AAACTAATATAAACGGTCGCAATTTCCATGATACCCCAACGACCAAAAACAATGCGGGAGACGAGAATTTGAAACATGAAAATTCGGCGGTGTCATAAGTCTGAAGAAGAAGGCTTAACAGCCTTAACTGGATGGAAATTCCAATGGAAATTCTCACAATCACCTAAGGAAATACTAATTTAATTCACTGGCATGGATAAGACCGTCTCGAGGAAAATATGTTGTGTTAATTTAATCCATCGCATCTTTTTTATGTCCATGCCGATATATTGAACTGTGTGGGCAGACTCGGCGGTTTAGAAGATAATAAAAGTCAATGCCATCTAAATTTGGCACAATTGAGTCGAACAAGTAATATTTGTTGGTTAAAATAGGCTTAAATAGCTGTGCCGGAATAGCATAATGACATTTCTGTCGGCTCTGATATCAAAGTATCTTTATCCAGTGTTAAATGATTGCCAAGAGGAAGAATTTGATATTGATTACTAAAATCGGTTTATGAAGGGCCAATTGCATGGATATTTGTTCTACCATAGTACCATTGAAAGACTAAAATGCAATGAAAATCAAATGCAATCAGGCTCCCGTGAAGGACGATGATGCTGAATTGCTAATGTCGATCATCGAGAAATTAATTACACTTACGAGATCTTCCGCGAGACATGCACTAGTTCATCAATACCCCGGAGGCCGGAGAGGTAGAACTATAAAAACTTGTGTAAATCATTTCAAGTTATTTCCAGTTGTTCCTAAATGATTAAATATTATTGATCACACTTCGCACAAATCAATCTGGTTTAAGTTCTAGTTGCATGTGTTCGAAGTATCAATCATGATCTTCATCTATATAGTAAGGCAAGTCAAGCAACAAATTACACCGTATTTTTCTGAACCATAATATAGAACGACAGTTTAGGCGATATATCATAGACCTTTACCATTAAGATGTCAAACGAGTTACCAGTAAAACTAGCGATATATACACAGTTTTTGGTTGTATAAGGCTTATTTATCATCCGCGATCTCGTGCAGCGTGTGGATATTGCGTTTTCTTGGTTTGTTGCGTGTTTCCAAAAAAATTAATGAATTGTCCTGAAATCGGTATGCTTTGTTTAATTGTTCTTAGCATTTGATATGCGTTGGTGAGTTGGAATGATCTAACATCGAAATTGTATGGGTCAATAGGGGCGTCAAAGAAACTGACTTGTTCCCACTATTATATCATTGTCTTTTCTGTTGTGGGCTGGATATTGCCAGTATGTGCTTTTCCACAGAATCCCACAGATCGAATTAGAGCCCCTCCAGAACTGGGCAATGCTGTGCTGCTGAGAAGATGATAAGGCTACTGGGTGCATCACGACTTTCTACTGTTCTTTTGTCATTGCAACAACTTGTGGGTTCATTTTACCTGTGAAGAACTCCAAGTGGTAAACTTGATATTCTTCGGAGTTCGGCCAGCATCCAGGTCGCCCCATAACACTGAACCCAATACCTGCCGCCGGTTTATATTCGTAGCATTCTACAGTCTTTGTGATTATATAATAATGGTCTTATTTTATGCTGCATTATTCATGCTCAGTATACGACTGTAAAGTCTGCATGATAAAATAAATTTTGTGCTACTGATCATTGAGCCGAATAGGTGTGCTATAGTAATCTCGTAATCATACGGGCCAGACTTAGAGTGTTCAACACAAGAGGCCAGTGTCCAGCCAATGCTTACATCCAAGACAGAATCAGGGGACCTTGGGTCGATCGATAGAATTGAACCTGAATAACCGCTCAAAAGAGTCGCTGAATAATTCCAGGAAAGATTTATTTAATCGGATTAGCGAGCTAGCGGTTGACATAAAAGCGCCTGATAGCTCACCAACCTCAGTAGGAAATTAGGTTCGACATTACCTGATTTGATTTCAAAATCTTGTGTGATGAAAAATTTGAAATAAGGAAATGCATGTTGAAATCTATTTTCCGTGACCAGCGTCACAAAAACTACATCAGTATTATGCATCAAAACAACATCAACCTTTGTTGATAGGCCCACACGTATGACGTATTTACATACGTTTAGTTCTTGTTTATCAAGGAATCTTCTTTTAACTGACAATGCACCCACTTCTTTGCTTTTTTCCCCCGTAATGAGCGTCATTGTTGCAGTGGAGGATTCTCCACATACTTTGACACCTTGCACCCTAATTTGATCCAAAGACACAACACAAGCTCCCACGCGAAGGCATTTTTCCATGTTATTATATCAAATTGTCAAAAACTTTTATTTTCCCTGTAATAAATGCGTGAAAATAATGTTTAAAAAGCAGATTTTTGTAGTTTTAGGAAAATGCCATTCCACGGTCCTAGAATACTTAGTTTTATAATATTGAAGAATGAGCTACTGAGCCACGCACACTTGGTTGTTTCAAGCTGATGAAAATTTTGGCCTGTTTTCATCAACCTGCAGGGGCGTCCGTTCATGGCTGCATGCCGAGAGGTTTTAAAGTGCGTGTGTGCATGGATGCTAAACTGATTTTTTCGGATTAATACGACTACTAATTGCATAATGTAGCTACAGACTATACTTTGGTAGTCTTTGCTACAACTTCCCGTATTTTCTTTTCAAAAAGCAATCCCTATAAACCTCATCAACAACAAATCATTTCTGTATATGTATGTATGCAGGCATGCCCACTTATATTTAATGAATAATTTTACGATTTCTGAAATCAAACAATCTCTGAAACTAATCTTTTGCGGAAAAAAACGTGTCTGCATCTCTGCGACTACGATATTAAAGTGGCATTCATGTGGAAACGGAAATGTATTCTCAACGGAATTATTTTATTTATAGAAGGAAGTATTAACCTTCCGCCGCAAAAGAAAGTTAAGTTGACAGTGTTGTATAATAGAATGGTTAAAAAACATGGGTAGGTAGGTTAAGTTTCGGTAGTGTAGGTGTTAAGGGTATGATATAGAACGATATTAAAGAACTGAACTTCCGAAATGAACAGTCTGGAAATTAAGTATTATTTTATCAGACAGCTAGGGGCCGATTGTATAAATCTAGGTTAGCTCTAAACTATACAGTTGTGATTGTCCAATTCTGCGACTAAATTTGGTTAAAAGCTAATTAAAATCTCTAAAGGTAAAATACTCACGTACGGAATATTGCTATATTTGGTAAACATATATATATATAGACAGAGAGAGGTTTAAAGGGTCTTAATTTCGAGTGAAAATATACACACTTCAAATTCAAGCCAGGAACAGTATAAGGAACTGGTAGCGAACGGGAAGGAACCTCTAGAATTTACCCACATCGAGTGAAATGCCAAAAATCATAATCGTATATATAGAATCATATTAGTTTCGAACTTTCACAGGTATACCTCCTGTTCCGCATTCTGCAAGTTTTTCCGCATTTGTAGTCACCGCTGCATAAAGCAAAGAAAAGTAAAAAAAAACTCAAAACTCGAAACTGAAATGTAACTAATAAAACTCAAATTGAAATGTTGATATTCTTACGCCTTCAGATTCTGTGTATACATGCAAGCAAGTTGTAATAAAAACATGCAATCAGAACTCATACAACTGAAAGTTAGCAAACTATATAGGCTACAACAGTTGGTGAACAACTGAATTTCTTCATCTGAAGCCAAAATATAAAAGTACAGTATGTACTTTTATAGACGGTTGTTATATTTAGTAACTTACAGAGGAGCAAAGTAGATTTGAACATTCATAGCTTGAACTGGTAACCTCCTTTTCCGCATGCCATTCTGCAAGTTTTTACCGCACTTATCGTCACTGACCGCTGTATACCGCCGCTTTACTTCTAAGAACCCAAACATAAATGCGCTAAAAATTTCTAAATTCACAAAAATCACACACAACTCAGAATCAAGCAAGGGACAGTTAACAAAAATTCGATCCTACGTTAGGATTTGAACACACGCCTTTGTGATTCCGGTGCATGCTCTTGCCACGTGTAGAGGACCGATAGCCTCTTGGCTTGAATTTAAGTTGTATATTATTTCCATTCGAAATTAAGACCCCTTGGTAATATTATATATCTGGACTTGCAGGGCCTGATAAATGCCATGCAAGTAAGAAAATCAGTAAGAAGACTATGAAGAACTACACCAGCCAAGCCAATGTTGTTCATACGATGACATAGGCACTGATCTTTGAGCACTTTTCTAGCTACTTGCCAAAAATCAAATGCAACCAGGTTAACCATTTTCCATTGTTTTCATGCCTTTCTACTGTAATTTTTTTCACAATGAGTTTATTTCGCTCATCTATCTGTGCTATACGAGATAGTACAGTCAGGATAAACTATAAACACGATAAAGGCCACAGTTTAGTGTTTTTAAAGATAATCCACGTTCATTGATATTTGGCCGTTTAACTAATAGTAGCCGAATTAGTGATAACTGATAACTTGATATCCGCGCGATATATACACCCCGATTTTGAAGCGTATTGCGTCGATTTGTAAACTACTAAAGGCACAAATGAAATGCAAAAGTCTAAAGAGAATCAAGTTAAAATCTCGTACTTCAATCTTGCGACGTGTTAATCCTGATCACTATTTGCTTCCGTGCTGTCGACGGAGGTAAAAAGCGTGCGAGTAAAAATAACACTATCATTTACAAGATGAGCGGCCGTGTTGAATCGTATATACTGTATACGGATCTAGCGATCACATATTTCTATGAAAAAACGTGGATTATATTTAGAGCAAGTTCAGGATTGCTGTTAGCATTAAAAAATCAGGCATATAAAACTACATGGCGTATGACAAGAATACTACTTGTGAAATTGTAACAAGTTTTATTCTTGTTATGCGCCTATGTAGTTTTATTTTATTGGCTTATAATGCCCGCAGCAAACCCTAGCTTGCAGCCTTCCTAGTTTACAAAAACATAAATATATCCATAAAACGTCGTGAAACATGACGTTTTGAACGATAATATCGCAGGCTCGTCAGAGTAAGAGAATTACAAGATGGTGGTCAGAATATTAGGAGATGGTTTGTTGTTGTGTAAATGATATATAAAGATTTGTAGGTAGAAATCAGGCAATTTGTATAGTAATATTATCAGCAATAATGCATCATCCCTCACGAGGTGGAGTGCGAGGTGGCAAGGATCAGTTTGAATGGGAAAGTGTAAAAACTGACAAACACCGAGAAAATTATTTAGGTATTTTCATTATTTGTTAACTAGTTTAAATGTAACTATCCAGTATCCATATCATCATAGATTATTTTCTGTGCTAACTTCTTTTCATACACATGTATCCAAATGACGTACGTTTTACTACGATTGTTTGCATTCCAAAAACTTTTTTGTCCATGTATATATTGGAATTTTTCTCCTAGGTCATTCTGTAATGGCACCTGTGGGAAGATGGCAAAAAGGAAAAGATTTGACTTGGTAGTAAAGCATGGCTGTTATTTTATTTTAGTATAATATACTGCTACTTGAATTAACAAGGTATGGTGCAACATGGTTTGTGGTAAGTGGAGAGTGTGTGCATGCAATAGTCTAATAGAAACCCAGTACAAACCTGACTCACTTTTTTCATGATGAATTATGATAGCATGATTTTATTATAGGTATGCAAAAGACAAAGAAACAAAAGTCAAACAACAACAAACGGTATATCTTTAGTGATAATTCTGTTGCATGCTGAACTACCAATCTTTTTTCCATTAACATGGCCTTTTCAAAATCCAGGCATGTGCAATAAGATGCAAACAAACAAGCTTGAGTTTACTGTATCACTGATCTTAATTGTTGGAAATTCTTTGATAGAATGTTTTCACAACAAATCACAAGGTTTTTGTTCTCTATTTCTGATGTGTAATCACTATAATGCTTCTCAACGAATTTACATCGATATTGCCCTTGTCAAAACGTCAAAAGCACGTTGCTTACATAAATTACATAATTAACATATATTAACGAGATAATCATAATTTCGCACACACTCCCCCATGTATATTCTTCTCGAAGATATACATGTTACATCTCCAGTTCGAATGTTCCTTAATTCGACTGTAAACAAAACGTTCTATACTTTAATGTTTGATAATATTGATAACAAAGTTCACAAGACTCTCTCAATCTTCATCATTTGCAATTTCTTGAATTCGTTTATTTGCTTCCACGGCCGCTGCCCTCCTTGGTCTCGGGTGGTATTCAGGAGCGTTTGGGTTAAGTGGTTGGGTCTCCTCGCGATCACAAGACAACTCCAATGGGTATAGATGTTGGATAGGCCGTTCAAGCGTTCCTTTTCCAGTCTTCAACACCGCTCCCCGTGTAACGTTATCTCTCCCCGATATGAGGCGGGTTACCATAGCTAGTTTCCAACGATTTCTCGGTTGATTCTCCTCTTGAACTATGACGATATCTCCCACCTTCGGATGGTCCGAACACTTCTGTCCAGTTTGACGATGTTGTCCACGAAGGCTTCTAATGTATTCTCTGCTCCACCTATTCCACATGGTTTGTTTGCATCTCTTCAGGAATTTGGCGCGTCTCTTTAGGTTCGCATCTTCTATACGATGTGCTTCCAACTCAGGTAGACTGTTCGGATTAATCTGGAGCATAGAGTTCGGCGTCAGAACTGGCTGCTGAATATCTTCATCCACGTACCCAAGTGGACGGTTGTTCAAAGTTACCTCGATATCCAAAACTACGTCCTCCAGCTCCGACCATTCCAATGTTCCGTTCCCAATGGACTTGTGGAAGGCCCTCTTAAATAAGCCTATGAGTCGTTCGAACTGTCCCCCCCACCAGGGGGCCCGGCTTAGATTAAACCGCCACTTGATCTCTAGCTTCGCCAAATAACTATTAAACTTTTCATCTCTTCTTACAGTCTCCAACCACTTTGCTGCAGCCTTGAACGTGGTCCCGTTGTCAGAATATACCAATTCTGGCCTCCCTCTTCTTGCTACAAACTTCTTAAAACATCTGATGAATTCCCCCGTCTCCAGTGATCTAACTAGTTCCATATGCACGGCTCTCGTCAAACTACACGCGAATAGGGCGAGATAAGCTTTCTTCTCCTTATTGGTTTTGACGCGATACTTAATCGGCCCGGCGAAGTCTACGCCCAGTACTTGAAAAGGTGTTGATCCTTCGGTTCTTGTGCTCGGTAGTTTCCCAGGTGGTGGTGCCTCAAATGCTTTTGCTTGAAACCTTCTGCAACCATGACATTTAGATCTTATCTTTTTTACCAGTCGACGAAGTCTAGGTATCCAATAACGTTCTCGTATCTCGGCCATCGTCATCCCAACCCCGCCATGCAATGTCGTAACGTGAGCTCGCTGGACTAAAGACGTTGTGAATGAGTGATTGTCGGGCAGGTAGATCGGGTGCTTCCCACTCATGCGTCCGCGACATTCTAAGACCTCTTGACCGTTCAACTGGATATTGAGGTGGAGTTGATCGGCTTCGAAACGGACATCTCGACGCGCTGAAAGCTGAGCTCGTTTTATCCACCATAGTCTTACTCCATCGATCTCTTCTGTCTGCAACGCATCACTCCTTCTCTCGTTGACATTTACTCTACAGTTATCAACAAAGCGTCGCACCCAGGCCCCGATGCGGAGAACTTTGAACAGGCTGAATTTGTCCAGTAACTGATCAAACTCATCTTCCTCAGTGTGCACCACAGTCAGGATTTCCTGCTTCACTTTCGCTTCTGCTCTTGTCTCTGCTGTTGCTTCTAAGGTGACGTCCGCAGGCCACTCACCATGGTTGTGGAGCCAGGGAGGACCATCTTTCCACATCGCGTTATCTTCCACGGTCCCGCCTCGGCTTCCCAAATCGGCTGGATTCTGTGACGTAGGCACATAATGCCAGGTTACTTGATCGTGTTGCTGAATTTTTCGTACCCGGTTGGCTACAAACTGACGATAATCGCCCTTCCCTTGTATCCAATAAAGCGCTACAGTTGAATCAAGCCAGCAGTGGATCTTCACCTGGTAGTTGCTGAGAGCCGCTTCAACATTTGACGCAATATTCACAGCCATGTGACCGGCAATCAACTCTAATCGTGGTATGGTCAGATTTCGCTTCGCGATGCGTGACTTCGAACAAACAAGTCCTTGCGTCGTTTCATCCATCTGACGGGTGACAGCATAAACCACCGCGCACACTCCCTGCGAGCTTGCATCTCCGAAACTGTGTAGTTCGATTTCCGCTACAGGAATGCGATGTGGAGTGAGTGATCTAGGGACTGTATACTCTCTTGGCAAGGAGTTTCTCCAATCTTTCCACCGTTTCAGCAAAGGCCCAGGCAGTTCTGCATCCCAGGTTACTTTGGCATCACAAATGTCACGGAAGAGCAGTTTGGAAACCAGCATAGTCGGGGATACAAGGCCCAACGGGTCATACAGCTTTGCAATCTGGGAAAGCACATCTCTCTTCGTTCTACAATCTTCCGCTACTCTAAATTCAATGCTGAAAGTGTCTCTTTCTCTATCCCACGGCAGTCCCAATAGCTTCCCTCCACTGCCAAGCTGCTGTTTTGCATAGGTCATTTCTTCAGATTCAGATGGTACTTGCTCAGATGCTTCGAGCTCCTTTGCATTGGAGTGCCATTTGTGAATAGAAAACGTTGCATTCTCGAACACTTCAGTTGTCTTGGTCTTCTTCTCCAGAACTTCTTCAACTGTGACTCCACCAGCTATTAGATCATCAACGTAGAGTCCATGTTGCACTTCTTCCACAAGCTTAGGATATCGCGCTTTCCAGGAATTAAGGTGTTGGTCAAGGACGCCGGCTAGAAGAAATGGGGACGACGTAAGCCCGAATAGAGCTCTTGTAAACCGATAGATCCTGATAACATCGCTGTTCGGTTCTCTCCAATGAAAGCGTAAAGAGTCCCTCTCTTCCTGTTTAATTCGTATCTGTAAGAATGCCTTCACGAGATCACCAGTAAGAAGAATTGGGTGGAATCTCGACTTAACTAGAATGTCCCAAAGTTGATTTTGAAGGGCTGGTCCCGGGTGCAGACAATCATTCAGTGAGGGGGCACTTTCATTTTCTCTCGCTGAAGCATCGTACACGACACGAAGCTTAGTACTTTCTGCCTCCTTTTTCACTACAGCCTTGTGCGGGATGTAAAACTCGTTTCCACTCGCTATTTCGGGCGCCGGCTCAACAATACCCTTTTGCAGCTGCTCTTGGATGATGTTATTGTAATCTTCATATAGCTCGTTCTTCTTTAGCTTCCGTACTAGATGTTCCAACCGTTTATTGCTCCCTGTCACATTTGTTGGTAAACTTGGATGGTTCCCTTTCCAGGGTAAGCTTGTTTGATACCATCCAGCTTCATCTCTCTCTAGCTGTTCTTTGAATTCTTGATAGACGGCTTCCTGGTCATTTTCATGTTTGTCTGCGAGTCCGAGTACATCGAGGGAACACAGCTGTTCATAGTCGTTTGAGGTTGATTGCGCAAATAACACTGGACTATCTTTGTCTTCTTTCCCTGACGACATGAGTGTCCACCCAAGAAGGGTCCTTTCTGCAACAGGTTGCCCAGGTTGTCCAACCTTCTGTGCTGAACGTGTTTTGATGGTAGCGTACTCGCTTGCACCAAGAACTACATGTACTGGGATCTGATCTCTGTTCTTCGGATCTTCGTTAACTTCAACTTCCTTAAGGTGGTCATACTTCTGACAAAGACTTTTGAATTCAGGGTTTGTTATCATCATCAGCTGGGACTTGTTTACCTTCGACAGTTCAATCTCTGTAGTGAACTTACCATCAACTGAGGTGAGCTTTGCTGAGTAGATTTCCACCTTTGTTGTTTTGGATGTTAACATCATGTCCACTCTTCTCAACTCAACTCGCTTAGGTTTCTTATGGAGTGTTTCAATCAATGTTGCTGAAGCATATGAACTGCCAGCTCCCGTATCAAGAAGGGCGTGCGTCTGGATCCCATCAATTTCCACTAGTACTGTTGGGTAGATCACTTGTTGATCTACATCTCTATGTGCAGAAAGCGCTGGCTTTGCTGGTTTGATCTCACTACAAATCGATGTGTGATGACGTTTACCACAGTTCTTACATGTAGTTGTACTCCTGCATTCTGAAGCTCTGTGTGCTGGCCCCGTGCAGTTAAAGCACAACTTCTTCCTTGCCAACATGGACTTCCTTTCATCTGCCGTGTTAACTGACTCGCATTCCGAAGATCGATGGTCACATTTGTCACAGTAGACACAAGATCTTTTCTTCCCGCTCAACTGTTCCCCTTTACCCTGCTGGGTCTGGAAATTGGGTCTTCGCTTTCGATGTTGATCATCTGTTTTCCGAAGTGGATCATCCTCCATGACCGGATTGCGTCTTGTCCACTGTCGTAGGGCTTCGGTGAACTGTACAAAGTTCCACTGTTCCCAGCTCGAGTCATTTCGTACTAGATCCCCTCTAATGGCTGGTAATTTATCCAATACCATAGGTACTGTGCCATTAATAACATCAAGACGATTCAATGTTTCTAGCGATTGTACACAGTAAACCAGTTTCTCGTAGAATTCATGAATTTTCTTAGCATTAGCTGTCGCAAGATGAGGTAGGTCCAATATCTCTTTCACGAAGGTCTTCACAATTTCGCTTTCCTTTCCAAACCGGTCTTTAAGAATAACAATCGCTCGGTTATATCCCTCCGACGTGTGCGGTAGAGCTTCGATTGCCTTTGATGCCTTTTCACACAATAACTCTCGTAGATATGCGAATTTATTTACAGGAGAAACACTTGTTTTGTGGATAGTTTCAGAAAACAAGCTCCAAAATCGAGGCCAATCTGCGTAAGTCCCATTAAATTTGGTGATGTGAAGTTTAGGTAACTTAGCTTGCACTTTGGATTCACTTCCGGTCCCTGTCGACGCGCTCACTTCCGGAGACTTGATCTCATTCTGTAATTTTACTTTCGCTTCGTGTAATTTCAGTTCAAATTTCAGCCGTTTCTCACGTTCGATATCCTCCTGTATGGCCTTGCTCTCAAGTTGCCTTTTCTCCACCTCTGCGTCTTGATAGTGTAACCATTCCTCCAATAAATCTGTCCTACTGTCCGCTTCTTCCAACTTGCTCTCGATGTCTTGATTCCAATTGTCGATTTCCTCGCTTTTAATTTTCGCCGCAATTTTTGTCGCTTCGACTGATATCCGCAATTTGTTGACTTTAGATATTGTTTCCTTTAAACATTCGATATGTCTTAGGATTACCCGTTTCTTTTCTGTTTTAAGAACTTGATCGCTCTTCTCAATCGCTCTTTGTAGTTGAATAATTTTAGTTCCAAGCTCTGCTTCAGGACCGCTTTCGTTTTCCTCCATTGTCGTCGCAAATGTCACTAGATCGTTAATGTGTTGTTTAGTTAAGTTTCGCCTCCAAAATCGCTGCTTTAGGTTCGCTACTGTCCCATCGGGGGTGCCACGTGTTGGAAATTCTTTGATAGAATGTTTTCACAACAAATCACAAGGTTTTTGTTCTCTATTTCTGATGTGTAATCACTATAATGCTTCTCAACGAATTTACATCGATATTGCCCTTGTCAAAACGTCAAAAGCACGTTGCTTACATAAATTACATAATTAACATATATTAACGAGATAATCATAATTTCGCACATAATACAAGATCTCGTTCCTTGCAATTCCATACAATTTTCCTCTGGCAAGGAAACAAAGCCTCTGGGATAATTGAAATCAGAAATGATTCTTGTTTTGTTGTTGGAATGTTGCAGTACAATATATAAATTAGCCAGGATATTTGGTTTCCAGTTTGGAATAGAGGATTTAAAGTATGTTAGTAAGACCATTCTTTGCATGTCCCACTGTAACATTGGTCATTACACAGTATTATTATATGGCAAGCGCTTGTTTTGGTTAATTCTGCAATTTGATTGGCTGCTGACAGGTCCGGATTTCCCCGTATTGCCCACGGGCAATATGCAATTCTTATTGCCCTGTGAAAACAAGGCAAAACTCACGGCAAAAACTGACTAAATTTAAACTGAAAAACAGATTAAATTCTTAAAGGGAAAATAATGAATTTGAAATAAAAATAATAAATTTTTATTTTACAAAATAGAGCGGTTTTTTTTTCACTTTAAGCCGATGTTTTGGTGTCGTGTGCCCGAATGAGATTGATCATTAAAATTACTCATAAAGAATTAATCATTACAATGTCTGCATGAATTATGCCATATAATAAAAAACTTACTAACTTCGACTGTTCAGTCTGTACGGTAAAATATCAAACCTCGGTCTTGGTGTATTGACCTCGCTATCACTCGGTCAATACGGCACGACCTCGGTTTGATATTTTACCGTACAGACCTCACTCTCAATCAGTAAGTTCTTATTACTGAATGTACAATAATACATTCATTAATGTTATTTAGGAACGAAATAGAATAAAACAGCTAGAAGAAGAAGCAATGGCTGCAGCTCTGTTCGTAATTAAAAATACATATATATTTGGCTGAAGTAGTTATCAATACATTATATAATCAGCTTTAGTCAGGCAGTCAAAACTGTTAACTGCATGTGTAACTGTATGTTTGGCACTTAAACTGTGGTAACCCAACTTGCTTCATTGTGATTTTACTGAGTTGACAACACATTTTTATACAACCAAGCCCTTAAGAATATAAAGATAGCTTGAACATTGATTGAAATTTGTTCAAAAAAGTCTTTAAATATGCTGAATATGACTGTTGTGACAGATATTTGTCAAAATTCTGTCGGCAAATTATTCTAGTTCAGGTCATCTATTGCGCAGTTCCGGGCTGCATGTCTACAATGCATTCTCGTCATATAATTTTATGGCCCAATTTTTAAAACGTTGCTATGAAAATTAATTTAGTGGCTTTGGTACAGTAAAGAAAAAGACATCTGCTCTGACAAAACAGGTATAGTTTGTCTTTTTAATCTGTTTTTTACAATTTTTTATAATTTATGAATTCAGAATAATGAGACTTGTAATATAGTTGTCTAAGACCAACGGAATTTTTTTAATACCAGGAAATGGCTGAGACTTTAAAACGAGGTCAAACGGAAAGGGATTCTGGGAATGTCGAGAGAGTGGAAGGAATGGGTTTTGGCAGGTATTCCATTTCTGCAATGATGTAGGCTTTTTCATGTTAGAGACTGATGGTAGGATAACTCGGCCGCCATAGGCATAATTAAAACCAATTTGAAGCGAAGTAAAGGCATCGCAAAATCAACTCGCAAGCTCGCTGGGAGTGTTTGCATCTAATTAAAATCAACTGTCAAGCATTGTGATTGGACCAAATTACTCGCAGCGAGCTTGCCAGTTGGTTTTTGCAATAGGTGTGTGAGAGCCTGAAGTGTAGTTCACAACCGCGCCGACGAAAACGACAAGAAGGGAATAGAGTTCACCGGCGTAAAAAAAAGCGTGTTGAACAACTTTGAAGTCTCAGACGTGTCCCAGTGGGGTACTAGAGGACAACCAGCCATTTTTCCAAATATTTTTCAAAATTATAGTTCAAGAGCTGCAATGATGGACAGCGTTCGCCCAAATGATGGTTTTGTAAAAGAACCGGAAACACGAACTCGGGTAATTTAGCTATTGATCTAGTATTTACCTATACTGTACTGTTACAGTACCTTCTGAAAAATCTCAGATTCATCTCCTTTTGTCAGTTCTATTTGGTAAAAACAACAAAAAATGGATGTTTTAACCAATAAAAAATTACTCCGATAAATGAATCTGAGGTAATTTTAAATTGGTTTGTTTTCACGGCGTGCATGTTCTAGCTTGCACAGGTTATATAATAAGGAAACATACTATATCTCTGTGCTAGGGCCAGTTGTTTAAAAGACCAGTTAACTTTTAAATGTAGTTAAGGACAGAATTGGCCAATCAAAGTTGCGTATTTCTGATTTAACTAGGATTTAACTATGCGAAGTGTAGTTAAATGGTTTTATATAACCGGACTCTGATTGTATTTAACAGCAACAAGTGAAGGCGAGTACACCAAGTACTGAAAAAGGTGACGATGAAAATAGAGATGAACAGAAAAAAAGGTAACTTTCTTAATGCATGCAGATTGTTGACTGCTTCATTCATAGATCATCAAAATAAAAACGCCGATTCTGTTATACTAACACCTTCTGAAGCTCTACCAAAATTAAACAAAGATTTTCAGGCATGATATATCAACATGCGTCTTTAGAATGCCATGATTTAGTAATTATGTTTATGAAACCGAATAAAATTCATTCAAAATATTATGAAAACCCTCGTCCCTAAACGATATAATCCATTAAGGCAAGTTAAATAAGGGCCTGTTTATATGATCCCGTCTAGCTGGGACGGGATGTTTTCATCCCGCTTAGCCGGGAAACTCGCCTATGCGGGATGGCGTGTTTATATGCAGTTCATTTTATAGTGCAGGTTCCTTCGACAGCATGTTTTAATGTAGAAAACAAATGTGCCAATATATACACATGCTCCTAATGTATGTTAATCGCGAATCGTCCCGGCCAAGCGGGATGGAGTGTTTATATGGCAATTTCTCGTCCCGTCTAAGCGGGATCCCGGCAAGAAGTGCGGGATGGAAAAGTGGTCATATAAACACTAATTAGTGTTTGTATTACAAGCGGGATCTCGGAAACTGTCCCGGCTAGGCGGGATCATATAAACAGGCCCTAAGTGATAAAAGAAGGGCGGTGATCATGAAAAATGTGAAAAGGTGAAAATGATCATCCAAAATGTCGAGAAGGTGTCGAATGAACAACAAGTTAAACAACAACACTTGTCATCTGTTTAGGAAGAAGAAAAAGAAACATAAGGAGAGAAAGTCAAAAGATTTTTCAAAAGACGAAAAACGAGAGAAAAAGAGGAGAGCAAGAAGAAATGGGAGCGAATCGGGCGATGATTGTTCCGTTGGCGAAACCTCGTCTCGGAATAGATACAAGGAAACAAACAAAAGCACGAAGCGAGATGAATCTAGAAACAGCGCGAGCGAAGAAGACAACAGATCTAGAAGGAGAGAAAAATATGAGAAAATCCCAAACGAACCTATAAAACGCAAACGACGGCACGACAGTAGCTCTTCAAATGATGGGCGGCGAAGATCAAGAGAAAGGGAAGATGTTGTGAATCGCCACAGACGAAGAAGACACGATAGTGATTGATGCTTCAAGGACTGTCATAATCGGTTGGTCTGGGACCAGCTGCATAAGAAAATTTAGAAAATCGGCCCGCGCTATTCACCACTATTCACAGTAACGGAAAAGATGGCGGATACATTTCAACCTCAATAACAATGTTTCCTGGCGAAAACAGACCTTACCGTTTTTCTACCTCAGATATTCACTTTTTTATGCTTTTTAGGTTTAAGATCTTACTTGTTATAGGGAGTGTGAGAAAAATGAAATTCAAATTCCTAAAGGAAATATACAATTTTAATCTCATGGGGGAATCTCATGATAAACTGCCAAACATAAAAACGAGGCCATTGGGTCGAAAGATCCGTAAAAAATGTATACAATTTTACGTCATTACAATCGTTGCTTGTAATCTTTGCATTTATTCTTCATTCTGTATAGTAAAATGTAGATGTAAATAAGAAGTTAAATAATGACATAATAACGATTAAAATCGTTTCCGAACGAACGTCTTAATTAGCAAGTGACGCAATAATGAGTCTGCGCATCGTGACGTCAGCGTCAAAAATGCATCGTTGCAATTAATTGTCAAAGAATGAACGAACCCGTTTGATCAAATCGAGTCACATCCATGAGCTTATTACCATCTTACCTGAGATCTTGGATAGAAACTGAAACAGCTTGTAAAGACGAACCACGTGCCTTGCGAGTGACGATCGATCAAGACTATGATTGGGTGCTGGTGGATTATCAGAAGGATGCAAGCGTCGGGGAAAATCAGCCGGACGATCTGCTTCAAGACTACATCGTGATCGAAGGACAGGAAAAAATCCAGAAGAAAGACGAAGCGTGGTTTGATGTTGGTCAAAAGACAAGCAGGTGTTCGAGAAAGTCCAAAAGGCGTGCACGGAAGAGGGCAAGAAGCAGTGCAGATGGGTAAGACTTTCCTAATGTTAAAGCCCTCTTTACTCGAGCAAATTTTCTTTGACACGTTGGGTATATTTTTTGTCCAAATGCACTTGCCGTAATTCTTCGTTCACACATGAAAAATTTGTTTGTTACATGGTATATTTGTCAAAAAATAATTTCACATGTGAACCGGGTTTATTCTATAAAAACAAAATGTCGTGAGACTTTAACATAAAAAATTTCCCGTCTAATATGCGTTAAATATCCGCGTAATGAAATCCGCCATCGTTTCTGTAGATCATAACATTTACAGTTCAAGTCACATGTAGCAATAGTCACACTAGCTCCAGGATTTTCCGCCATATATATATATACACCATTGTCTCCCATTCAGCCTTGTATCTTTTACTGGCGGCTGCCCCCCCCCCCCTTGCCTTTTGCCAGGAGGAGCAAGGGGGGCAAAGAGTGCCACAAACGAACATCAATTATAACACAATCGTCTGGTAAAAATCTAAGACACAGAAATTCTCTTGGAATGAGAAACACGAGTTCAACTGACGATGTTTTGCAAACATTCTTCATTATGTGCTGCTACAGGAGTGCCCTTTCACCAAAATGTGCCTCCCTTTGCCCTCGCATCGTTCCAGCGTCCCTGCACATATAAGTGTCATGCAGGCCTTAATTAGTGCTGGAATTAAACTTTGGATCTGATGGCGGATGCATATAATTATGTATCTCTGAAACTTGAAAAGTTTATTGTATTTTTGGATACAGGCATTCCCCTTATCTTGGCATCCCTTTTAAGTTTACGAAGTTTCCTAAAAAGCAGATTGGACCAAGATGGACCGGTGACGTTTCAATGGTGAAAATAGATGCTTCCAAGGATCGTACACGTTTGCCAATCATCCAGTTCCCATTCGAACAGTACGACATGCAGCAAAGTACTGTTCCTTTCGACGGGAAAAATCACGTGGGAGTCCCAGAGATGATACGTGTTTTCCAGGATTTGGCGAAGAAGACCTCGACCGCCATCATCTATTGTGATTTTGCACAGTTGAATGCCCCCAACGTGTGCATAACGCGTGACGCAGTTTGTCTGAAAAATTCTCATGAAGCATCGCAGAATTATCGTGCGATGAACGCAAGTGACCAATACATGTTCTCTGATATGAAACGTGACCAATTCATGCATCCTGGAAAATTGACACGTGAGAAATACATGGTTGCCGATTGCTTGACATCTGAGAAACCTGTGGAGAAAAGCACGTGCCTTGACGTTGTGGCCCATGACCAATGCATATGTTCGAATATCTTGACACGTGAACAACAAATGTTTCCTCAAATGATCCCCTCAGACCTGAACAACCAGCTCGTGCTTCCTTACGGAGAAGCTGCTGAGAAAAAGGTTGAAGGAATTCTCGAAGCCGGCTGCGTTGATATATCAAAATCCAAAATCTTTTGTCTGGCCACGTCTGAAACATTGTACTCAAAATTTTACACAACAAAGAAAAGAATGGAAGATCTTGTGAAATCTCTCCTCTTGCTACATCTCGTGGTTAGCAAAAAGCTTCAATCATGGAAGGACGCAGCGATTTCAAATGTTTCCAGGCTATCTTTTGGGTACGTAATCCCTGCCCAGTGTTCCGTCCCTCACTTTGATGTCACCAAACCGTTTCCAGAGAAGTCTTACTGTCACACAAATGCAGGGCAAGTGACTGGCAAGCAATTGCGTCGACAAAACCGCGTGGCAATGAGAAATAACGTGGTGAATAGTAACAGACAACGAGGAATGAAATGCGGTCGATTTCAAAATAATGTCGGACACCATGATTCATGGCATTGATGGGTCATTGGGCCTTGAAGGAAATACAAGATGAGGAAAAGATGTGCATGCAGTTATCTTCACAAGAGAACACTGGAGAAGTTTGAACATTTTTGAAAGAAGCCCAAAAGAAGAATGAACAAAAAATGACGATTTATGTTTTAAAAACTGTGCAATAAAACCCCATAAATATACTAATATGTCGTAACCGTTTCCGGTCAAACTTGACTTTCAGCCAAGCGAGTATTGATTACGTGCAGTTCTTCTTGTTCCCTGCAAAGAGCCTGAGAAATTTCCATTTCATGCAAGCTTCAGATTGTGGTTTCAGCTGCAGACTATGTAAGAAATAATTCATTTATTACATTTCATTATGGCAGGGAGTGAGCGTGTTACATCTCGGTATGAACGCAGAACACTCGCTGTAATGCACATACCTAAAGCGAAAGCAAAGACAGCTCTAAATAAAGACAGCTGCCAGCTGGGGCCACTTATTCTCATTCTTGTTTTTTTTTATCGTGTCACAACTCGAATCAAAATTAATTAAAATAATTGGTTAGTTCGGGGGTTATCAATGGGCTGTCAGGATATCGCCCACCAAAGAACAAATGTTTTATGCGCTATTATGTTCTGCCTCGATGTTTCGATTTCAATTTCAATTCGATATCAATGAATATAATTTTAGCAGGATCGGAACACCATATAGTACTCTCACATGCGCTGTGTATATGGACTATATGACCTTGCTCAATTGCAACTTGAAGGTTGTCTTTGGACCGCTTCTATTTTAATTTCATCAAATATCTACGTTATCACCGCTTTGTCTTCCTATTTTTAGACTTGACCTATGCCTTGTTTTACGCAATTACGGTAGTAACCCCGTAAAGTCGCGCCACTGTGGTCGCGCTTGGTGACTTTATAGGGAAGTGTTTCCGCTTGATTTTTTTTTAGCTGTGTCTACTTTTTGACGAATGTAAAAATAGAGTTTCATTTCTTATTTCTGTTGAAGCATTCTAATTATTGATATCGAATCACACAGAGCGTCTAAAGACTAATTTGACGTTGACGGTTCATCGACTGAACCATGTTGAAATTAGAAAGTTGCGTAAAATAATTCCGTGACGTCATGTGTCGAGGAGCCTTGCGAAACAGGATGGGCCACCCCGCATGTTTTTATTGCAGTCATTTTGCAAAGTGACGCGCCGTGTGACGCTGTTTTACGTGGAAAGAACGATCCTAAACGAATGACCCAACAACTCTGTGAAAAGAACAGAAAATAAGGTGACGTAGAACTGTGACGTAGAATGAAAATTTTACTCTCCAACTTGGTTTTCAATTCTCACAAAGTATTTGAAACGATCACAATATGGCTCAAATAAAATCTTGCCATGAATACCTTCGATCAACCCGTACATGCCAATGCAATTCGCTCGATTTTTATCCGTCAATCTTGTGTTCTTTCCTCTCGTCTAGGCAACGCGAACGGCTAGGAATATATTTGTGTGTGAAAAGAACGATTAACAATCGAGATAGTAATCGATCGAAGCCTGTATTGCTGGTAAACAACTAGGATTTGCGCCAGAAACATGGATCAAATCGAGCAAGATCATACGGCGAATGGAAACGTTTCGGATACAGAAGGCTCTCAGACGAATGTTAGCCAAGAGCAATTCACAGCCGTGCAAGATACAAGTCAAGGAAACACTAGTTTAATACAAGCAACTGTCGTACAATCCCCCCAACAGTTTTCACAAACAGCCGTATCTGTAATTCAACCTGCTCAAGCCTCAGTCATTCAAACTGCTACTTCATCAGCCCAGCAAATCCAACAACTACCACAAGCGATACAATTCCAAGGTGTCATCGATCAAGACGACGATTTAGATGAAGAAGGGAAAAAACGCCGCGATATTTTGTCGAGAAGACCTTCGTACAGGTAAAATTCTTTAAGGAGCAAGATCTAAATCTATTTTCGAGTCCAAAGTTGTTTATTATCAAGTATTTCTTTCTAAATCGTTTTGTACGATCTTTCCCATTCGGATGTTTTTGTGTGACGCATGCAATGACGCAATATGAATGCTTGTTCGCTTGATTTCAGTCATCAGTTGAAGATATTTGCGTGGCTATCGTTCTTAAGTTTTGATAAACAAGTGCTGATATCGTTTGAAGCAACTTACTTGATACATGCTTCTCAGCACGCATGGTTTACCAAAAAACAAGGCGAGAAAACGCGATGCCTGTTGCCTATCAAAGACCAAACTGTTTTCCAAGAAGGTTTGTTTGTTTACTGTGATTCCTTTTTGGAATTTTAATAACGATTTGCGCTGTAATAATTAATAAGTGTTTTTTTACAATACCTTCATATCCTGGTGTATTTGACACTGACAGTTTATTGGTAAATAAAGATTGTTTTTCCATGTGATTGCTGGCAAACAATCCAGCACTTAGAAGAACAATTTTTTTGACAGTTTGAATTCACCTCTCAACTTCATATAATGTAATTTCGGCTTCAATTTATTGCAGAAATTAATCTTTGAATAGAGTAAATTTGCTCAATTTTCAAAACTGAGGTAGAAATTTCATCTTGCTTTAGCCACCTGGCAGAAATCTCTACTGCCTCATTCTGAGGCTGTATTGTATGTAATGTAATTGTTTCTCTCAAGTGCTTTAATATTAGAACTATATTTATGTGTTGCAACATATTTTCATGCTACCTGATAACCACATGTGAAATTCAACTTGATTATCATACAGCACTGAATTCAATGTAAAAAGCACAAGGTTGGAAATGTTGCTTCTCATCATAATTTGTCTAATGTGCCACATTTTTTATTAATAAGCCAGAATATTTGGGTTCATCGGGATTTGAGGGCTAACAGTTAATAGTTACATATCAACAAGCTTGTCAATAGAATTTAGATCCTGGCATTTCGCCATTTTGTAATGTGTATGTAATATATTAGTTTAAAAAAGTCCTGATGAAGCTCTTTTCATGAAGCTGGTATGAACTTATATGACTAACTTTATTTCATGAATTAGAAAATGACTTTGTATCAAGGGTTTCAGTTGGCAGCATTCTCCTGTATGATGATGTTTTTCATTTTTTTTTTAAAACTAAATCAAATCCACAAAGAATGTTTATTTACAATCATAACATCAAAAGAAAAATCATAAGATCAATTTGAAAGTATTTATGTACTGAAAGTGTTTATTTGACTCATTTGAGGTATATTTTACAGAAAAATATATGATGATCTTTCTGATGGATCGATAAAAGTTGAGGATGAAAATGGTCATGTCATGGCAAGAGTAGCAACTATTCCTGCCAATGCGATCAATGATCAAACATCGACACAAACAGTCACAATACCCCAAGGAATCCAGATTACAACACAAGGTGGTGCTTTTTCTGGTGCATCGCTTCAAACTGTCCCAATTTCTGGACAATCTGCAACCATTGTCCAGTATCCTGCTGGTCAAAATGGTCAAGAAGGACAGTTTATTTATGCTGCTGCCCCAGGAGACGTTGAGGTGAGTAATAAGTTAAATTAACTTAAATATGCATAAGACACTGCTGTTGGTACAATACGGAAGAACCAACAAATATAGGATGAAACATGCTTGAATAATTACATCTCATCTTGTGTTTCTTATAACTCATTTCTTGAGTTTGCAAGATATCTTTGTTTGTTGGCATGTCTTATCAGATGCAGATGTGGAAAAAGTACTTCTGGGAACATTTTGTATTTGTGTTTTGCATTTTGCAAATTTTAAAATAACTCTATTAAACTAATCAACGTAACAACCCAGCCTGCTTTATGTATTATAATGAAAAGGCTTTTAAATATTTGACAGAAATTAATTTCCCAGGTTGCCAGGAAAAAAAACAAATTCCCACATTTACGCTTTTGCGAAGCTGACAACTAAACGTTTGTCAAATTTTCTGAAACATTGTCTCCGTGAAAACGACTCAAAATCCTTCGAATCAGATTTCACAGTAAGGCCAAAATGATTTTCACTGAATGACTTTCACAGTGTTTTTAGTGTAGATTAATATGGATATGTCAATTTGTCAAAGGCAACCACAAATCTGAGTTGACTGTCTGGATCGTATCCCCTTATAGCTTCCGGTCAGGGTCTCGAGATTGTTTACTTTTTGATGCAAGCTGTAGCCTGTACATTAATGTACTGTCTAAGCCCCACAAGAATGTTGTGAAAAATATATGTTAGGAATCGTATAAACATAGTACCCTATCTTTAAGATGAAACTTAAGTTGAACGTTCTCTTTATTCTCGAACATCAATATTTCAGAGATTTCTCGTGTGTTTCGATATTTTTCAACGCGTTGACTAAGTAAAACTAAAGGTACATTTAACCTTCCTCGAAGCTCCGGCAAACTGGACAATTTTCTCCCCGGGAACTCGGAACAATTCTTTAATGTACTAAAAACCAATTTTTAAAGATTACCATGCGAATCAAATTTTTGTTTCCTGAGCATTGCTTCTAAAAACATATATCCGCTGTTATAGAAATTTTGGAAATGTTTCCGCGCAAAAAAAGTTCCCCATAAATAGATACAGAACTTGAAAGAAGAATTTGTGATTGCACTTCAACGTCATTATTTCAGATTGTATGTCTGGTCTATATTGTATTGTATGTCTGGTCACAGTATAGTTTTGTGGTGTAAATTGCACTATTATTTACTTTTGAAAAGAATTAACGAAAAAAGGTTTGGCGAGCCTGGAGATCCACCCAAAGGCACTTAAGTATTGAATGAAGGATTGGCTTCCTTTTATGCCATGATGATATGTTTTGTTTTATCCCTATTAAAGTAGCGTCATTACCAAATATCAAACTACCAAAAAGTTTATAAAAACAACCCAGCTGACGATTATTATTTATAAAGCCAATTGAAAAGAAATTAAATTAAAGAATAAATTTATGTTTAAATTTACTTTTTATCACAACGTCTTAATAAGAAAGTATCAAAGTTAACTCGTGTAAAAATTTGAACATTTTGTCCATTGAGTCGAGAAACTCGTAGATTTAAGTAAATTCATCGCAAAATGCAGTCCACAAATCACAATTAAATCACGTTTTCATTTCAAGAACAAATTAAAAATGCTCATTAGGCATTAATATATTTTTGCATATCTGTGACCCCGCGTCTTTCATCATGGATTCGAAAAAAATCTTCGCATACGTATATACCGATTACCGTCTCACAAAATGATGTTCTGCAGACTACAATATATTGAAACAGGCAATTTTATTAAGTGCATATTCAAAACCATCTCTCAGTCTAGAATTCTTCTCATAGATGAAGTGCGTGCCAAGCCTTCGTTTTTCTCTAAAGACATGTTTTCAGAATGTCTGTGTTATTATAAATAATTAAGAGCATTTGTCTATAGAGGTGCGTCATAAAAAATCAACAAGAAAACATTAGAATTTGCTCGAAGCCTCGAACAGCATGTATAACTGACTTTCGAGAAGTGGCTTGGCGTTTTTAACCGCGTATTTTGTACGATAAACTATAATTTCGCATCTTCTAAGACTGAAGTCGCGGTTTTTAATAATAAGAATAATAAATTAATGCTCCTTTTCATTATGCTGTTGAAATGAATTTTAATATATTGTTTATAAACATGTAAAACCTGATATTTTTGTTGTTATACGTGTGTGAAGTATAGAAGTCATGGCATGCAGTATCAACTATAAGGCTAAATAAAAATAAAAAGCAATGTCCCGCAGTGATCATTGCAAGATAAATCCTGCGTAGCCAGTCTGACACTTCAGTTCCGCTATATGCTAATATTTAACGTCCATTGTCTGTTCAACGATCAATTTATGAAGAAATGAATAACGATAACTTAAAAATTTGCACAGCAGGACCAAGTCGTCAGACTGACCACGTCACTACTCACTAATTGCTGAAAATAAAATATAGTATTTGGCTACGCGTCTTGTAAGAAGTTGAGCTGAATTTGTGAAATAAGAAGAGACCGGAATTACTGCAGCTAATTGCTGCTTCGTGTTAATGTGCCTTGGACCTTATATATTCTAACATGGTGTGACCACAAGCTATTAATATGTGCTCTTACCAAATATTGCTGTAAATAAATACTTTCAGATTCTCGAGGGTTCGGCCCAGGCTTTATTCACACGACGCATTCGGAATTTTCGTGTAACGATATGCAGAAATTTCAAAAGATTGGAAAATATTCTGAATATTTGGCACAAAACAGCTTTTAATGACAGGATGTATTTTGCAAAGCATTGATATATAAGATAACTATGTTCTGGAGTCATTTCGCTGATACATAATCTCATCCCTGGCATATTTACTATTATTTACTACACAATCAACGTAATATAATAGGCAACACTTCTGAAACTACGTCAGCAACGTGTTTTATAGCACGTTTGCTACCTATATACAGATAATCTGTTCACAGTATGTGATCTACGCTTTTTCTCGAGTCTGGGTGATACTTCGAGTTGCAATGATGGTAATATTTATGCATTGTATACGTATACATAATTTGTATTGCTTGTTATTGTATCCTTTCTTTGCTGGAAAAAAAACGGAGGTTTCAAGTTCCAAACAATAGGAGTGACGCTGTAATTTTATATTAATTGTATTTGCTTGCTTCTACTTTGCAGGGTGTCAATAATGGTGCAACAGTCTATGCCATCCCGGCGAGCCAAGGGTACGCCGTACGTGGACAGTTATCTCCCGCTAATGCTGTTGTACTCAGTACTGGATCGGCTCTACAGTCACCGTCTATTGGCGGCGAGGATGCTACTAGAAAACGCGAAATGAGACTCCTTAAGAATAGGTTAGTTGAAGTTGTTTAAATTACGAATTCATCCCGTGACAGATATCGCAGTCTTCAGAATGACGTTCCTAATAAACAAAGGGATCTCCAAACGTTTTCTCACTTCATCCAAAATACCTTCATCTAAAATGACTGTGTTGATGACTAACATTTTGTAGCGGAACTATAAAAGGAAATTTCGATACGGGGGGGGGAGGGATAGAAGAGTGTCAATTCGTCTTGTAAGGATACCTTTCATTTCAGAGACGACATATTTCTTATTATTTACGTTACCAGAGGAAAAAGTACGATATTAGATTTTTTCATGCGTTTGTTTTGTAGCAGCTTTAGATAGTTGCTGATAAAATTGTAGCAATATTGTTTTGTCAAAGCCAGTGGTCAAAGCCATAAGGACTTTTTCGTCGTGCAAATTTCTTATATGGGCAACTAATTTTATTAACTTGACATGCAATTTACTGACGTAAAAACCCGTGGTATAGAACTTGGGATCTGTCCAGTTCAGTACACTGAATATATGCGTCATGTCTTCTGCTTACATGATATAGGGAGGCAGCGAAAGAGTGTCGAAGGAAGAAAAAGGAATACGTGAAGTGTTTGGAGAACAGAGTCGCTGTGTTGGAGAACCAAAATAAAACATTGATTGAGGAACTGAAGGCTTTAAAGGATCTTTATTGTCATAAAGCAGATTGATTTTATTAGATTCCAGAGTACATGTAACGCTAACAAACGAAAAAGTATATTCTTGTAAATAGTGAAATGTAATTTATAAAGACAATTCTTAGCTCAAGTGCATGCCCTATGAATAAGTCATTCACCCCTATTCGCCAGATAAGAATGTTTTTTCATGTCGATAATTTTTAACCATACAATTTACAAATCTTATACAGAGAGTGAATAGTGTACTGAATGAATGGTTCTTTTAAATATAGTGTAGAGAATAAAAAATATTGTGGATGTCTGTTAATTTTGTTACGGTAACTTGAACCAGTTCAGTGGAAGTGGAAGGTCGACCGGTATTCCTCTTCAATGAATGATGATGGCCTTGTAAAGTTTTTAAGAGATTTTAATGCCAAAGTCCGATTCAGCTTGAGGACGGATCAAAGACGACGTGAAAACGGCGAATAACTGGGGCGATGCCGTCTATTTATGGGCGTGACAGTTAAGGGGGGGGGGGGCGCCAGTCAGCTGCACTGTTGTGTTGTGTAACTTGTGTTGTAATCGAAGGGAAAATATGGTTTTGCAAGTGGAAACGCAGAATTGTTGACCAGTGATGGCGACTGTCACAGTTAGGTTGGTCCGTTCCTTTGAGTATAGAAATATGAAGGCAATTGTCCTGCGGGACGTCGATTTGGATATATCCATTGAAGAGTTCAAAGTTTTAATCACTGCAGGTGTGGTAAAATACTTTTTGAGATACAATTGTCCAAGATATGAATATACCAGTTCATAGGTGTACATGGATTTTCCCTGGCCCTGGCATCTGTGGCTGACTGCTCAGCAACACTATTTTTAAAGAACAGGGCAGTTAAATGCACTAAAATTGATTGTCTATAACAGATTTTTAACATAATGCACTATTGGCATGGCATTCTATAATTGTACCATTCACATTCAAGGAAAAGGATTTAGACCTCTCCCCCCCCCCTACAATCAGTACAGTTTTCTAATTAGGGTTCACAAACATTTTGCAGGGCAGCCTTGTTGGGGCGGAGTGCAGCACACTATATAGTGCATTAGATGGTAGATACCATATAGTATATGGCATGCGTTGGTTGGGTCTACTTTGAAAATTGTACTGCATACCTTGGGCGCACTGAGACTATGTACCTAATTTCATCTTGAGTGCAGAATTGCCCGAGTCTACAGTCTGTATGTGAGATTGATTTCCTAACTAAAGCAAGCTTTATCTATAGTTCAGTTTTCTATAGTTCATTGATAGCCATCCTGCATTGAATGGCAAAAATATGAAGCCTTGTACAAGGAATATAAACGTGTTGTATTATAGAAGGCCACCTCTATTTTAATCCTAACAACTAATAGAGAAATATGCTTTATATAAGTGACTATATATTTTTTAATTTCATTGTATTGCACTTCTACGGTAATTTAACTTCTGTTCTTTTCTCGTAGAGATCAAGAAAAGCTCAATTTTGCCACCACCGTTTAAAACATTTGCCTATGGTACGTAATGTTGTTTATCACAGTTAATATTAGACTTTGACTGATCAAAATGTCTTTCTGCCAATTACATCTTAAACCTTACTGTTTCCAATTTGCAACTTAGGATTGATCATGTTGAATAGAATGCATATCTATTTCACATTCTTTCCTCTCAAATGCCTTGCAATATCTATGTATAGACGAAAAAAATAGTTTTTTATTTTAAACACTGTATGCAAACACTACACTCTCTACACATGCTTGGTCATGATGCTTTATTACCTACACTTTTGTTAAAAAGGTACAACATCAAAGTCAAGTGAATTTACCAAATATTCAACACATAATAGATTATTTCTGAATATTAAAGGCATTCATGCCAGTGGCATAGCCAGCATGATAATTGGGCAGGCCTTATTTATATATTAGTGATAGATAGATTACTTTCTTTTCAAATCAAAATCAAACCAAAGATCTAGAGTCTTAGAATTTGAACTGTTTAGGTGCATTCAGGGGTGCTGGAAGCATTTTAGGGCAGTTAGGGCAGAGTTTTAGGAAAGGGCACATTCATTTTATCATAGCAAATGCACAAATGCGTCATGATTAATTGATGAATGTATTCAGATTATAGACACTATACAGATTATATACCCCAGGCACACTAGATGCAGATTATATACACCAGGCACACTCTACAGGCTATATACACCAGGCACGCTATACAGGCTATATACCCCAGGCACACTATAGAGATAATATACACCACGCACACTATACAGGCTGTATACACCAGGCACACTATACAGATAATATACACCATGCACACTATACAGGCTGTATACAATATCATACTGTATACAGCATTTACATACCGGCAGGCATACATAATATACTATGCATGCATTAGCCTGTGTAGTCTATAGTATCAACAGCCTGAATAGAAAAACTGGGTGATTCAGGAGATTGCCATCAGACACTTATTTTAATTAATATAGATACACTGAAAATAGAGTACAAAGCACATGGGTCAAAGGTATTTATCTAACCCGCGAGTCAATTCAATTTTTAAATTCTGGGTCAACCTTCTTTCTGGATATTTGAAAGCATATACCACAAGCTCAAGGTTGTCTTTCAGAACTTTAAGCGCGCAAAGGATGGTGGGCTTTTTACTTTTTTCTATAAATCCCCGAACTGAAAAAATGGCCTTTAAATTTGCAGCGAGTATGCTTTTTTGACATACTGGATATCCAGTTTTTACAATAAGTCATGGCCGTGTTCTTCATTGCAGACCAGTGATCCTTTAATAAATACTACAGATGATGATAAGCTAATGCTGAATCCAGAAAAATCACTAAGAAAAAACGGCATTGGTAAGCGTCGACTATACAATAGCTATATAGCTATATACTTAAAGTCTTAATTCTGAAATTCAGCGTTTGTCAAAATAAATTGCTGCAGGGCAATTTTAAATTCGGTACTTAAAACGATGCGATTATATTTATTCAAATACAAAGAATATTATAAAACTCGAGTCTATCAATGCAATTATCTTTAATTCAAATGTTAATATTGGGCGCTAATTGCAAATTATGACGTATGAAAAAGCAGCCATAATATTGGATTACTACGAATTCCTAAAACTTTGAAAATCATTAGCGAAACAAATTCGCCTCAGAACTACAATCTCAGCTAGTTAATAACTATATTCTTTACGGTACAGATTTCTCTGTGCAATGTATTTTATCAGTATAATGCCTCGTACCATGTACTTATGACGGAAGACTTTCAATGGATGGAACTGGACGAAGATATAGATCGTTTTACAAGAATGACATAAAAATAATTATCGAAACGTCATTTTATCGGTTTGATTCTAATTTAGACTAAATTGTTTCGCAGAGCACGAAACAGAAATTTCATACTTTAAGAAAGAAGATTACCTGAAGTATAAAGCCAACAAGGAAATCAAGTGGTGACCAAATCATTCGGTATAGTTGTAAATTATTGTACTCACTTTAGACATGAATTCATTTTAGACATTTTGAACAAACATGTCTGACTATACAATACGAAATATGTAGCTGTAACATAGTTTCAGTGCAGGTGTGCAGCAATTTTTTATTCTAATTGTTGCTGTCCGCGAAAAATTAAATCTTTTATGCAGTCCTGAATGCTGCTATCCAATGACCAAAGCCTGCGGACTTATATAAAGATATATGAAAATTGCTGTTTGTTAAAGCATCCAAGAGAAAAGAGTTCTCGCTATTAAAAATCATAGAATCCAACGAGGTTACCTCTGATAAATTTCTGACAAAATTCGAAAGTGATACTGATAAAATAGTGCTTTTATCAAAAGAAACATGGTCTTCCAAATATTTATTATCGGTAGAAACATACAAAACAAAAAGGTACTTAGTATATATCAGTTATCACAATTTACAACGTTTATTTATAGAACTAAGCAGTCTGTATAGTAGAAACTAGAAAGTGGTATTTACAAATATCCACCAAACCACCAGTTTGTAGTAGAAAGAGGACCAGCACTGCAACGAAATTTACTGTTGATGACTCCTTGGACATAATGGCCAAAATTGTTCTCACTTGAGGTGGAACCTTGTTGAGGACGTAACTGGCAGCCGTCTGTCCAATTACTGTCGATGTGAGGATGATATCGACTGTTTTCCTGCCACCATCTTGAAGTACATTGAGCGCATTGATGACCACGGATATTTACATATTCAACCTTCTTGCAGATGCCATAGCCCTGAAATGTCATGATGTCAAAATCCGCAAACTTCGCTCTGACATAATCGGTGTAGTCGACTTTGTGGGTGGGAAAACTGCAGGTTGCTCGCCAGTGAGTAGATTGAGACTTCAGATGAGTCATTTGGGAGAGGCTCATACGGTAGAGATTCCAATTAGGCGAGTTCTCGTTCACAGGAGCGTCTTCAAGTAATGATTTCGTGGCGAATTGTTGCAAGTGTCTGTTCTTCAAGGTGTAAGATAACACCAAAGTCCAGGCTGAGCCAACTTCCGAAGTCATGTCGCAATAAACTGCTATAAAGTCGCGACGCTTGAAGTCATATATGGTGTAATACCCATTGGATTTTATACTTCTCTTTAGGTAGTCCAGACAGCTTCGAGGAGTGATTTCTAACTATAAGTGAAAATGTCACATTGAATGATTAAAAAACATCTTTAAAAACGACTTACCTAATGGAATATACCATCATACTATTTTTGAAAAAAATTATGCAAATGCAGCCAGCATGCATGGATATAGAGTTCTGTTGACCTATATAGACTTGTATGGAGTTTTCAGCTTAGCCCACATGCTCAGTACCTTTTGCGTTACGTTAATTTCGCATTACCAGCACATGACCATGCAGTTAACAAACCCTGCCTCTAGTGCTAAATATGAGTAATACATTGCTCAGAAAATTAATATATGAGATAACGGATCTGCATAAAGTATACATCCAACCTTTGTGGTTACTGCTTTCGACTCCACTTTGATGCCAAGAAGAAAAAGGCCGAAAAATAGAAACACCATTGTTGAAATCATTTTCCACCCGTCGCTAACTTCATTACAATGTGTTAAACTGCACGACAAGCGTTATCTGGTTTAATATAATAAGTATCCATGCAAGAGTGTGGGTGGAACTGGCAGCCTGTCCTCGCACCACTCTATAATCGAGGGAGGGGGGAGTAGGTGGTGAGTTTTGTAGTATCAGCAGACAAGCCATGAGCCATCGCAGTGTTCAACGTCACTGTACCTCGTGCTAATAAATCAAGTGTATAGTGTAAACGGAGCTTAAATGGCATTCTACTTATAAAAGCCTAAAATTTTGAAAACCCCTCTTTTGTCTATAGGTTATATTTGTCTGGGGTATAAAATTCTTCTGAGCGGTCCACTGGGCACTGACAACAATTTGTAACTGACACTATGTCTAGGGTGGGCCGTGGTAGGGTATGCTCTCACTTGGAAGGAAGCGGACGTGCGTGAATGAATGAAATCTCGACATACATGCAGCACAAGTGTTGTGCTTAATATTGCCATGTGCGATTTCCCCCTACTTTATGCAAATTAATGGCTCCATGGTTTTATCAGTTGAGTTAATTTGAGTTACGAGTTTGTTATATACTTCAATTTCGCATTGGCATAGCTGAGCAAACACAATTTAATGTTTCGGGTTGCCGGTTCAGATATATTTAATTAACGAAACATTTTGGATTGATATACCTACGCCACACAATGTATAAAAACATATAAAGCGACATTTCTAAGTGGCAATGTATGCTATATAAATATAAATTATAACAAATTCAACGTGGAAACGATGTTTTTTTAATGCTTGTTTCAACATTACACTCTGATTTTCTGTCTTTTGTATTTGTTTGTCGTGCTCTTTCGAATGCAAGTTGGACTCATCGGAATTACGTCAAAACGTCGCATTTCATCGACGACAAGATTAAGCTCGGCTGTTTTTTTTCGAAAGATGTTCTTATTTTCATGCAATATAACATTCCTCTCGCGACCTCGATAATCCCTGATATTACAAATATGCTTACTCCTAGCATAGTTTATTGCGTTTCATTCCACCTTTTACAGTAACTATCTCAATATACATATGACCACAAAAAGCTCGATTAATTCAGCTGCAAACAACTATAACTACGCGTAAACAGCATATTATAATATTGACCCGTCGTTTTGCGCGGCTTGTCTAAAGTGTGTTGTGCCAAGTATAAATGAAGTATTGACGTGTTATCTCAGCATATGCATTAGGAACATTTCCGGACATGCTATATTTCCCCTAGCATATAATTGTATTTTGCCCTCAAAAAAAGGCTCTTTGACTTTGTAGCTTTGCACCTATTCAAAGTCAAAAACTTCGCTGAATTAGCCTGTATGGGACTTTATGTATGGCTTGAAAGCATTTAGAGATTGAAACTGCACTGACAGTTATTTGTCAAAACGTCAAGAATTTTTTCCGTATTCAGACTGTTGCTGATCCCAATCAATATAATAGATGTTTGTCCTGTATATATATTGTCTAGGACAAACGGCGAATCCGGCATGAGTTGTATCGATGAAAAACTATATAGCTATAGGTAACATTACTAACCTAGCTTATATATTTTTAGAAAACGTGTTTTCCTGTCCCACGTGTTTAATTTTCAGCAATATATGCGAAAAATAACGTCAACAATTAAATTTATCTGTGTTAAGCTTTAGATGTAGCTATAACTATAAGGGCATGGTGATGCATATTGCAGTGGCCATGCATGTATCGCTATATACTTATAATTTTCGCCAAAACGAGGAATCGCAGCCAAATATTAATCGAGCACTCTATACTTGTTTTTTCCAAGACCAGACTTGTTTCCTCTTTGACTAGTTTCCTCTTTGACTTTGGATAGTATTTTATCTAATGAATTCTATTATATTAGGAAGCAACAAGCACATATACTTGAAACGTCAACAACTAACTCGGTCTATCCGCATTTAGCTTCAGCTAGAGTCCCGGATCTACAGTAAAGTAGTGAATATTGGCCTCGTATTGCAGCTTTTCGCTGAAGTGAAGAACCTCTGCCAAGTATTGTTGATTGTTATTCTTGCATATTTTTAATGGCATATTTTTTTCAAACAGTATTTCCCCCCTTTGAACGTGCTTAACTGAATACCGTCATTTGCAATTGAATTATTTTGAGAAAGGGTACCTATGATTTATAAATGGATGCACCCATATATTTTAATGATAATAATTTAGCACTAGCTAAATGTGAGTATATACTGAATAACCATTATTAACTGATATTTCTACCCAAGTAACTGTGCATGAAACGAATGGAAACATCTACTTTCATAGTTTCAAGCATGCTGAGATATTATCAACCGTATTCAAAAAACCCTCTCTCACTTGCACTCATTCAGGGTGACATAGAAATAGTGTAATCATTTATCAATAAGGTATAGTCCTTTCTTAATCAATGGTAAAATTTACTTGCTCAACAGTTTTTTTACTGATAGCTTTATGATAAACTACTATGTTTCAACCATGCTTTAATTGGCATACGACGTTTTAAATCTAGTCTCAATCGTACTCAACATCAACATGTTTTTTCCTCGAAAGTCTGTTTCATTGCTACCATAACAATTTAATTGAATATCCGGATTGCAGCTTTTCGCTGAAGTGAAGAACCTCTGCCAAGTATTGTTGATTGTTATTCTTGCATATTTTTTTATGGCATATTTTTTTTAAACAGTATTTCCCCCCTTTGAACGTGCTTAACTGAATACCGTCATTTGCAATTGAATTATTTTGAGAAAGGGTACCTATGATTTATAAATGGATGCACCCATATATTTTATGATAATAATTTAGCACTAGCTAAATGTGAGTGTATACTGAATAACCTTTATTAACTGATATTTCTACCCAAGTAACTGTGCATGAAACGAATGGAAACATCTACTTTTATAGTTTCAAGCATGCTGAGATATTATCATCCGTATTCAAAAAACCCTCTCTCACTTGCACTCATTCCGGGTGACATAGAAATAGTGTTATCATTTATCAATAAGGTATAGTCCTTTCTTAATCAATGGTAAAATTTACTTGCTCAACAGTTTTTTTTACTGATAGCTTTATGATAAACTACTATGTTTCAACCATGCTTTAATTGGCATGCGACGTTTCAAATCTAGTCTCAATCGTACTCAACATCAACATGTTTTTTCCTCGAAAGTCTGTTTCATTGCTACCATAACAATTTAATTGAATATCCGGCCGCCGCATCAGGCTTCAGAGCTTCAGCTTAAGCCGCACGTGCACTTGTTCCTTGTTGGCGCTTGGTTCAGTCGTGTGTCTTATCACGACGCAGCCTGCACGAGACAACTGTATACCACTGCCTCTACCATGCATTCGCTGACCTATTGTGCTCCTGATTGGTTAATCCGATAGATTTACGTCATTTAATTGGTTAATGGGAATAATGACGTCTCAAAAGGAACCGCGGCTGTAGTTATACGGCAGCGCATGCCTGCATGCATGGAAATGGTTGGTCGCGTCTTCGGTAATAAAAGCAGGAGAGCTATGCAAGATTTATCATTCAGTCGGTGACATTTGGTACAAGGAATATCTCGAGAAATATTTCAATGGATTCAAAATTCCAGGTATATCATTTATATGCTTTCTTCAATTCTCACTTGCCGGGGCATGTTATTTTTGCTGTTTAACGCTCCGAAATTATGGTGAATTGTTTTATCACGTATATATACATCGACTTTTTATAGCGCCATATGAACGTGCAAGTCTATACGTTCACAACTAGTGCTAGACAGTCAATCGTTACCCGTTCATTAGAGATGGCAAATCTAATTACTCAAGTGCAGGCTAACTCGAGCATGCAATGATTTGATGTACGTTTTTAACGTTAAGATAAGCATAAAAAGTAGTATGTCGGGTGAAGCCGTTTTGATAGCCGTTTTAATCGATACAGTCCACGTATCAAATTGCTCATGCTCTTGCGATGACTTTGATCCGTGAATTCAATTCTTATGCAATGAAACAAAAATAATTTTGATTTATTACCTTGCCTAATTTCCTAATCATGGCTGCTTTCTCTTGTATAGATATTGGTGATTTTATCTCTCTCCTTAGTTTCGCCTTCATACCAAAGTAGGAAAATATCAATGCCATGTAAATCCACTGAATGAAGCACTGTATCTATCACAAACAAACGGCCTGAATTATACATGCATATAAGAAAATTCCGGGAACCCAACTGAAAAATTGCCACATCACGCGAACGCTATATATATAGAAAAACTTTTATGGGATCTTTTAAAGGGAGCTATAGGGCATGAGTTTTTATTGAAATTCATTAATTTGAATTTGGACATTGGGTATAGTTTGTATATCCAGATTATATCCTTTTTTTGTTCAAATTTTTGTCTATATTTAAATTTAATACAATTTTATGTACTATATCTATACAATTTTACATATATGGCGTGCAAATCTAGACAAGAGTTGCAATATTGTAGTCATATAGCATCCTATTCCCATGCAAGCGACGATCAGTCCATTGGGAGATAAACTATAATTTCAACATGTTTTTGACAACAGATCCATCTTGTGGCAGTGGAGCACAATGTACGGACGGACCTTGCTGTAGCAATTGTAAGGTTAGTAGAAAAACTGCATTCTTTTCCGCCGATCAAGTGGTATTCATGCAATAGCTAATTTTATGTATACTGACTTTAGTGCAGATTATTTTGTATATACTGGAAGTGATTATGATATTCTGTACTTTAGTTAGTAAAGTCAGTATATTTTGGGTGTATTGTACCTAAATCGGTGTTTGAGCCTGGGAATTCCATATAACAACATTAATCTAACGATTCATTTGTTAGCTGAGTGTGTACTATTTTGTAACTGCATGCATGGTGAATAACGCTGCCAAATAACTATAACTTTTTAAATCTAGTTTGTTGCTAGAGGAACAGTATGCCGTGCGGCTTTGAACTCGTGTGATGTTCCCGAGTATTGCAATGGTAGAAGCAGTTCGGTATGTGCATGCATGCAATATTAAATTTACTATTTATGAAACTTGAATAAAGTGTTACTACGTTGGTTGCACATGCATCTCAGGACTCAGATATCTCCAATTCAAGCATATAGAGTATTATATATAATTCATGCATGAATTTCCAAGCATACAATATTAGTCCAATATGATTTTTGCTTGATTTTGAACTGAATCGTGTTTTAGTGCCCTGATAATCTGGTAACTGCAAATGGTATACCCTGCAAAAATGGTCAGGTGAGACAGGAACTGAACGTGTTAATTTTTTAATATATTTGCTATTATTCCGATACAACACAGCAGTCTACAGACGTTAGCCATTTTTAACTGGTATGTTTGTCCATCGTAATTATATAGGGATATTGTTATGCAGGAGAATGCAGAACGCACAATGAACAATGCAATAATTTGTGGATTGGTGGTATGTATTTGGATGACTAAGATAGCAGACCTTTTTCGCACTTATTCTGGTGCGATTCGTTTTCTGGAAATTTCAAGTGGATCTGGATATACCTATATTTCGAATAGTTAACATGCATCCTTGAACCACACAGCTAGTTCAATGAGAAAGATTAGTCCTTCAAACTAGAACATAACTCATAACGTAACATAACTGATGACTCGCTTATAAGACCGGTAAAATTTGGTGTGGTATAATAGACCCTTTCGATAATTACGTCACAACATTACCGTTTTAAATTTAGAACTAGCTTAAATGAGATGGATTTCAAGTTTTACTTTCACAAGCTATGTGGAAAGAAGCAAAACATCCTTCTTCTTAAACACATGCATAAAAATTTTTTTCATTTTGACAAACAAGTCATATTCCCATAACACAAGAACGAGGCTGCCGGTCGTGGCCTGGGTGCCTCGTTTTAGTGTTACGACTTATTTCCGCATTTATTGATCAAAATTTAATATTCTTTTTCATGCATGTGTTGAAGAAGGATGTTTTGTATCTTTCCACATAGCTCTCATCGGATAGATCCAAAACAACATAGGAAACCTTGCTATACTGACATAGTTTGCTTTTGACTACAGGGCAGTGACTAAGCCATCCATTGCTTTGGTAAACTAAATAATTTGACTATTTTGACTCTTTTTCATCCCTGTTTAAATTTCTAGGTGCTTTTAAAGCTAACGATGCTTGTTATAAGGTGTACAATCAGCGTGGTGATCGACATGGGTACTGTCAGAATCGCAATATTTTCATCGGTGGCAAAAGATATTACCTGTACTATAACGCTTGTTCAATAAAGTAAGTAGTTTTGTAGTTATTGTTATGTAGAATTCACTTTGATTTACATGAAATAAAAAATGTAGCATAACAGGGCATAGTTCAATTCATAATATTTTAAATCGATTATATATTCTTCAATCTTCAATAGTTCAATAGTCAGAGTTTATAAACAAGCCGGTTAATTAAATTTGAATTACCGTATTATATTAAAACTGGGTATATTAAAACATGTTTAACTTGATTGCCGAGAACCTGTAAAGCTCGGAACGAGTTTCCCAAGCGATCTTGCCATGTCTTGTAATCTTTTGGTTTCTGAAGGGATGCCCAATGTGGTAAATTGTGGTGTGCTGGCACGGGAAACATATCACCAAAGGATTTTGGCTTCAGTAATCAGTGGACTGATGCTACCTTAAATAGTAGAAGAATCAGATGTCGGTGAGTTATTTATTATAAGTCATGGCTTTAAAAACTCAACCTTATCAGGTTTAAGACCATGTTCATATTATTTTGTGTTCTGCTGAAGAGGTTACTGGGAACTGCTTTGGTGAGCACCATATAGGGAGTAAGCCCAAATACAAAATCAGCTAAGTAATTTAATCTGTTAAGGTCCGCACAAATATACCAGGCTGGCAGTAAACCAGAATTAGGAACTGTCTTAGATGGGACGAAGTGCGGTGACAAAAAGGTATGCCATTTAAGATGCAATACGTCTATATTAACTATTAAAATATAGTGCTCGTGGAATCGGTCATATCACTCATATTTGCATCGGATCGTGAGTTACCGTACATGAAATGTGAAGTTTTTCTGTGTAGGTTTGTCGAAACAATAAGTGCGTGTCGCTTGCAGTAGCTTATGGTGGACAACGAACTTGTGCAAATAACTGTAATGGCAATGGAGTAAGTTTTGATTATCATGTCATTCAGCAAGGCTTTTAGTATTATATAAGGAATCCTAATTTACAAGCAGACAATTCCAAGACACACTCCGACAATGTAGAAGACACACTCCGATAAACAAAGGCAGCTCGAAACTTAATGTAATTAATATTCATTAAATGATGACATTTCGACGCTACCAAACTAAATTATTCACAAACTTGACAGAATGTTATTTCTAAGTTGGAAAGCCGAAGAGGTGGGGCAAAAATGGCCACATAGACCCAAGGAAAAATTTTTAACTGTTAAAGAAAGGAGATACAACAATATAGTAAATTCGGTTGATATAAAGTGATCGTTTTTTACCCCTATAACAATATTACATACATGAATTAAAATTTGACCATCAGAGAAAGTTCATTAACGGAGCGAGGCTGCAGCAAAACATTAATTTTCACGCCGTCGGCTTCCTATATGTTGGCTTTATCGTTTCATCTCCGACGTTGATTTGCAATAAATTCAACGTTATGAGTGCATACTATAGTAAAGATAGCACAGTCTGGAAAGATATGAGCTTTTTCATGATTGTATGAATCGGTGAAAATTATTTGTTTGTTCCCATTTGAGTTTTTCCTCACCGCCTTTTCTTATCAGAACAGTTATTTTGTAGGTGTGTAATGAGAATGGCAACTGTCATTGTAACCCTGGATGGAAGTGTCCTGATTGTTCAAAAGCGTACAATGGTGCGGGTGGAAGCAGTGATAGTGGTCTGGATTGTAATCCTACTGCACCAGTTCTATGCCAATGCGCAGAGGGCGCTTGCTGCAAGAATTGCCAGGTGAAAAATATAGATGGCCCTACATGCAGTTATTCAACTAATTATTAGTTTTTGTATTACTTCCTTGACTGTTCCCCATAGAAAAATCATTTTCAATATTTCATAGCCTATATATATATATAACACGAAAAGTTTGAAAATTCTACATGCTATAGCTTTTGCTGAACATGCATGCAATGATCGCAAGCATATCGAATATTTATCATTGACAATTCTAAGCCAAAAGTGCTATATAGGACTTTATAGGATTTTTTAACAGGCGCCTATAAAAAGTTGCATATAGATTTAAAAACCTTTCAAATTGCAGATTGTCCGCAAGGGAACCGTTTGTCGTAGCGCAGCAAACTCATGCGATGTTCCAGAGCATTGTGATGGTACTAATAGTAAGGTGAGTGAGAGCTTTTGATACTGCGGATGCTGTTTATTGCAACAATAGGAATTTCGCTGCACAGGCATCATCGGAGTCGGAGATTATTATGATACACGGTGAATGCATGTCTTTATTCGCCAGATGTAAAAATTTCATATTTCTAGCAGAAAACCTTTTCCCCTGCCAACATTTGGTATCGTAACCCAAATTTAAATTTGTATAGCTACCGTAATAATGCCTACCAGACATTTATTATGGTAAATCTTCTTTCTTTGCGGTATTTCAGTGCCCTGCTGATCTAAAGACGGTGAATGGTTTATCTTGTAAAAATGGAAAGGTGCTTAGCCACATGTGTATATGCTTCTGGACCTGGTTGATTTCATCTGCTTAACCATATAGTCGCCCAATGCAATGTTAATACTTATACGGACTTTTCTACCGTATATAGGGATATTGTTACAAAGGGGAATGCACAACGCATGATGAGCAATGTAACTATTTGTGGTTTGGCGGTATGTATCTACTGATTATAGTAAAGGTTCTAATAGTGAAAATTTCAGTCTTGTCGTTCTCTTCTCATACCATATATGTCTAATGTTGATTTGCGTTCGAAAAGGTGCTTTCAAAGCGAATGACGTTTGTTACCAAAGATTTAATCTGCGGGGTGACATTCATGGCTACTGCAAAAGACATTCAGCTACACGTTACCAGGCTTGCACACCAAGGTACGCATGCATGGGATCTCTATTTAGCTTGAAATACAGTATTATTTTAGAGGTTTTTTTTAAAGAACGAGTCAAAAGAAAACTGCAGCCTTTTCATAGACAAATTTGATACATGCATGCATGACCAAAGTTTGCCTATATACGATGATTCTGTTCCTGTTAGAATGCATTCTAATCATGGAAAAGATAAAACTGCAGCCAACTAGGTAATTGTCCCTCTAGTTCAGTTAAAAGTTTCCACCAAATCATTGGACAATCGCCCGGCGTCCCTATAGTTACTCATGCATCCTATATACAAATATAAATGTCTGGATTGATTCTGTTAAGTCGTTAATTTGTACACCCACAAATGACTTTTATTACCAATACGCTTTACAAATATAGATAACAATGTTTAAAACAAGTCACTCAAATTTTAACAATAGGTGATTTCCAAAGTTGGGGTTCTTTTGGGACACCATATCATAAAAATTCTCATTCACGCATGCATTTACTTTTTTGGCACGCCTTATACTATAGTATCTCTTTTTGTTTTTAACATTCAGAAATGTTCAATGTGGCAAATTATGGTGTGTTGGTAAAGGCGAAATAGAGGCGATAAACTTTGGCTATGGTAATAGATGGAGTCGTGGTACTTTGAATGGTCACACTTGTCGGTAAGTTTTTATCTTTTTCAAATAAGCTAAACGTTTTAAATTCGCCTACACGGTCTTTCTCAAAATTCACACTTATTCTTGTTGATCGATATTCTAAGCTCTGTGGTGATCAATATGGCCTCTGGTAAGCCGGCTTTGGGTACTGTCTTGGATGGGACAAAATGTGGAAGCGGCAAGGTTAGTATATGACTTATGCACAAGTATATATGATTTAGAATGATTAGAGGATTGTTTTACGCATTGGTATACTAATTAGAATGAAAATGTTGAATTATAGTTAATTTAAATGAAGGAGTACTAAGAATTATTCAATAATTAAAAAATTATTGAATGAAGTTGAACACGATATGAAGATTTATCATTTAAAGCCGATTTTTAATCAACATCGATAAACAACCATATCTATAGGCCAGGTGATCTCGCGCTCATATTTCAGCCAATCAGCGCTCAGAAAGTTTGTAAAAATAGAAATCCATTCTGCAGTGTTTAATCGATTATATCTTTTGTTATTCTTGATGGAACCATTCGAAATTTTGTGTTCATGTTTAGTTATAAGAGCTATAGCTCTGATATAAATTTGAAACCGAAATAAAGTATATTTCACGAGATATTAAGTTGTTTTAACGAAGAAATGGATTTTTATATGACAACTAGTCCTAGTCCTCTCCCGCCATATCAGATTACCTGGCCTATGTAGGCGGTAAATTAATAATATATAATAATATCAATTATCTATATTAGTAATTATCGTATCCTTTCTCTTCGTATGTACGAAGTTAGTGTGATAAATTATATGTGAATAAATCGTCGAATATATATGACAAGATCCATGATTCACTAGAGACTACTATATTCACTTTGCAACAAATGTTCTCGTTTTGTTTCGTTAGGTTTGTCAGGACAACAAATGTGTGTCACTTTTGGCGGCTTATGGCGGGCAGCCGAAATGTGCGAATAACTGTAACGGACATGGGGTAAGTTGTTTGTTGTCTACTCATATACGAGTCATCCCAAATTATCAACATTTTCACACCCCGAAAAACTGGTCTAGAAATAATACTGCATACGCTTTTTAAATTGGGGTCAATGACAGATGTCAAAGTGACTGATAGGGAAATAAAATGAAAAAAATAATTGATTTTATAAACTTTTTGAGGGTAAGCATTCCAGGAGGTCCCAGAATTAATCGAAAATTTTACTCTCTAAGATTAGTAAAACTCTAAACTGTAAATTTCCCCCTCTCATTGAATTTGGACAAATCTGAGAATTGATACTGAGAAACCACCAATGAACTGACAAAAAATTGCCTAATACCTATTCCGAGGTAAAAAAACAACGTTGTAGATCTAGTCAGTTTTTTACATTATACAACATTCATTTTACTGAACAGGTTTGTAATGAAAATGGCAACTGTCATTGCAATAAAGGTTGGAAGTGTCCTGATTGTTCAAAGGCGTACAACGGGCCAGGAGGAAGCCGTGATAGTGGTAGTTGTTAGCATGCATGCAACTTTATCTACGCTTTTTTGATGGTTGAATTTTCGATTTATATCTAACATTCAAATTCTATTTCGTATATGTGATCTGCCCTATATATATGTCTAGTATAAACGCATGCATATTATCGCAGTGGCGGATCAAGGTATAGGCTGAGACTTTATTTCAAATTAAACTATTTTAATTTTTTTTTGAAATAAAAATCCACTAACGTGATTGCAAGTTAGAGCTGTAGTAATCTATTCAGCCTTACCCTAGATCCGTTACTGATTAAGCCAGGTTCTCATGACATGAGAACGGAGCCCTATGCGTTGTGATGTCATACAAATAAACGAAAAAAGTATACATTAATGTATTTTGCGTCATTTTCTAAAGCATGTTCGACCTCCCCTGTGGAGATTATAGAAAATATCAATTGTTATGTTTCAATTGTTAATTAACAAGAACATGATAGAAATTGAAATAGACTTGCATGCTTATTTCCTTTAAGTGTATGTGAAATAGCGATCTCATGTGCATGCCTATGCCTGTTTCCCACCTACCAGAAACGTGCCCCAAGTTTTTTTTCTGGAAGATTTCGGCAGCATGTCATTTTGTAGTTCACGTCTACAGCGTGTCCGAAAGAAAGACAGCATTGGATTTACCAATAACAATTTTATTGTTGAATACCTTGAGTGTATGTTTGGCATCCATAGGCTTTTTTATGTTCATTTTTTTAATGTGCTTTCAAATTCCGCACTGAAAAGATTCCCTACGGGGCATTCAAATTTTGAAAATTGTGAACACTGTTGTATAGTCGTCTTTATTTCAAACATTTCAAACAACAAAAAAAGCCATTTTCCGGCGAATATATGACCATGGTCGTATATTTGCCATTTTCCGGCGAATAGTTTGTTTCCTTTGTTTTAAAACAAAGAATTAAGGGCTTACTATAACAATGTTTGGCCTCAGTAATCTGGTGTTAGAAGCATCATGTACAGGACTACAGGGTGTCACAAAAAAAACGCAACCACTTAATATTCTAAAATTCATATTGTTCACTTCATAAGCTCAATAGATTTTATGCCCCTGGGATTTTAAATTGGGGCTTCTAATCGTACAGTTCAACTGCTAATAGTCAAATCAGCTAAAGCAATAATGGTGCAGCTAACAACCGAACAACGAGTTTTATTGTCGTGCATGATAACTTGAATCCTAACTGTCGACCTTGTAAAATAAATTGTAAATAACATTTTACTCGTTAAATACTTTCAATTCAGCTCGTTGGTTTAGGCACCCGACTTTGTGCCGCTAGCATATGATTACAAGCTTTCTCGCATTCCAGGGGCCAAACGTCTTTTGTGTTGTAGAACAAAGAGGATATCATGAATATTAAGTGTTGCGTTTTTTTTATACACCCTGTAGTACGATCGTACTTGTTAAAACAGGTTTTTTCCAGTTTCGAGAGTTTATTGGAATTTTCCTTCTGTTCCCACTTCTCAGTTCAGAAAACTCGTCCCACTCCCCAGTTTCGGAATTCGGGTTTCCTCAAATTCAAAATGGCGAAGGACGGACACGGACGATGCCAAGAGAACGTAGTTTTCACTGTTCGTTTAAGAGCAAGCTTGTTTTGTTCTCTTATAAAGGTTAATTTTTTGCTTCTGCTAATCTCCCTACTGCTAATCATATACAATTGGGAAGGAATACCCTGCGTCCAAGGTAGCTAAAATCACAGTACTTTGGTTGGTCAGAGACTTCAAAAAAAATAAAAAAATACACACTCTTTTGTCCCAGATTTTAGATTTAATTATATTTAGCATTTAAATTCTGTTGTTGTACGAGTTTCGTAAATTTTGTGATATTGTATATAAGTGATTTATGTATAAATAGATTGCTATTATTGAATAAATGTTAGAAAAATGGTTCATAACTCTTTTCAATGCCCATCTATAGGTTCGAATTAATCAAGATTCAATCAAAAATGCTTTCAAAGGGCTTTAATTTTATTGTATTTTTTATTATTTTTAGCTACCAAATCATCTACTGTTGTTCATTAGACATCTACTAAGGGCAATTTATTTGTAAACCTGGGCAATGTAGAAAGCATTCATTCTATTTAAGTGCATTTGGAGATGAGCCCTATTCTACTGAACAGTGCAGTGCCAATATAGGTGGGTGTCCTAGATAATTTTCTATATTTAGATCTTTTTCACCTAATGCTGTCAATGACCCATAAAAGCTGAGTACCCTCAGATCATCTTTCAATGGATTCTGGTTGACTGTAAAATAACAGGCATTCACAAAGTACCTTGGGTCGTTTAGAATATGACGTTTGAATGTTGAAATGTCAGATGGTTTTGGCATGCATTCTTGCATGTGTAAACAAATTAGAAACAAAAGCACAATCCTACAGTCATGAGAAAGTACTTTCTTTTAACACAAGCATTTTCTTTAAATCACTTTCCTTCCACAACGCTGCAACTATGTCAAAGCACAAATGGAACGCTCCACCCATTCCTTGGAAATGGTGCATGTGACATTTCAAATGTCATATATTAAACAACCTAATATGTGTTGCGAACGCTTGTTGATTATGACCCAACATGCGTTGCGAATGCTTGTTGTTTTTACACTTCTTTTTCAAGAGTGGGTGTTATGAAATAAGCAATTTTGTTATATAGGGTTCTGTGTATTATAAATGTGATTGGTTCATTCATAGTCACATGACTTTAAATGAATGCAATGTTTCCTGCCAGGGAAACAAGTGAAAAATTGTTGCCTGATTCTTGTCATATAACAAAGTAAAGTGGGTGTCTTTTTTAAATGAAATTGTTGTGTAACATGTATGTTTTCGTTCCTATATAACAAAACACTACCTCAGGAAATAGTGAGTTTTGTTTTCCCTCGAGTCTCAATGTTTCCCTTGAGTTCGTCTCGGGAGCATACATTAAGTGTATAGTATACAACAGAGTTATTCCTGTCAGAATAGAATAATCACCTTCATAAGTTCCCTAGAATATTCCACCAAACCACTTTAAATCTGACTATATACCTGACCTAGTATATTCATTCATATATAATAACATTTTATTTTTTCTCTTTAAAAGACAACCATGTACAGTACAGGAAAGACCATGGCTAATCATACAAGGCAATCTGTTGATCAGTTGACTGAGAAAAGGCATGAGACAAAACTGAAGGTAACTGTAATTTATACGATTTTTATTTTTCAAAAAACTCTTCCAAACAAATGTATACATGTCAGAATGCTTTCTTTTCACCTAAAGAATGATTTTCAAGTAATAAAAAATGTTTTAGTACATTTTAAGATGTTCACTTATAAATGAGTATGTAAGGAGGGAACAAAGAATTTGAAATCAGGCCCTGTGGTCCCTGTGATCTTTTTCAAACACTCTCCAAAACACTTACAAAACACTTTGCTTTTATTTTCATCTAAACAGTAATTCTCAAATGATGAATGTTTTCCTCTCTAATGTTCTATTGTAAACAATCATAATTCAAACACATTGACTTTGCCAATATACATGTACTGCATCACCAAGATATCTGGTAATTAGGTCCGTTTCTAATGTCCAACTTTTTCTGTGAAGAAAACAACATTCAAAACAATAACTAATAAAACATTACTAACTCATTATTAGAATAATTCAAATTTAAATCGCACAAGGCTGTCAAAATTAGTGTATTATAGCTTTCTTCTACTGATTCAATTTAAATTTTGCATGGGGATACCAACTTCCTGGTTGGTCCAACTAAACGCCTATGTCCTAGCAGATAGTGTATAAAAGAGTTTTACTTCTTGGTTTTATTACAAAATAGGCAGTTAAGACAAGAGTTTTTTCTGTATCTGGGATTTTCAATGTGTTTTATCAATGGAGAAGTTAGAAATTTGTATTTCGTTCATACTTCAATTTTAAGCGCGAGTTACATGCAATGACTTTAATTGAAACATGTTATTAAAAAATATTTTTACTTGTATATATGACATAAACAAGAATGACTATAAATATACGACTTCCAAGGCATTCCAAGTTGTATCCCGATTTTGCTCCTCCAAGGTTGTTTGCCGAATGTACTCCTCCAGCATCCTGAACAAAGGCATATGGCGAACTTTCAACCACTCTATCAGTATTAAATGTACACAGTACTTGAGCTATAATTGCCAGTCAACTTTATGTTCCTTTTAACTGTAGTTTAAATTGTATATTAAGCAAAATGTTTTATATAAAATATATTTTCTTGCAAATATTAACTTTTGTTATGGGCTTTCACGTGGGGGACACTATCTGCAGAAAAATAATTAAAGGGGGGCACTATCTGCTACTGGATTGGGTCCAGTGGGGGGACACTGTCCGCGGAGGTACACTATCCGCTGTAGCACCTGCTTTATCCTGCATGTCGCAATCACTCATGCAATGAGTTTCCTTAAATCTCTGTACATTCTCCATTCAATTAAGAAATTTTACTCTTTTAATGTTGCATATGTTCAATACAATCAACTATACCTAACATAACTCAATTAGTAATGATAACCTTATTATTTCATAGACTGAAAAGTCTACAAAATCAACATGTTCATCTCCTGATTCAATATATGTTAAAAAGAGCCTCATACATGCGCAACTATAGTACTGGATGTCATATATGAAGTTAAAATAAGTAGCCACCAGTAAAAATAAAATTTATTTACAGACTATATTAAATCTGCGTTATTTCCAATCGCTTAGAATCCGTCACTTTTCTCTAACTAATTGTATCTATATATTATAGTACGCTGAATTTCGTAGTAACTAACGACAATATTCAGGATTATTTCGTCGGAACTTGGTCTTGTATGCAATCTTTTCCTTAATTGCGTCCATGTGAGCCAAAGTGTTATACCTCATAAGTTCATGGAGTCTGTCAAATCTTTTACCAGTGTATTCGAAATTGAAGGACGAATAAGGCTTTTCAGGATCATCAAAGATGTCGAAGTTTCCAAAGTCTTTATCCTCTTCTGTCACCCGCGGTACTCCTAAATACGTCACAGACATGTTTTTAATAAGCAGAACGAAATCATGTTGACTAGCTACTTGAAAATGAGTTGCTACCACCCGAATTTTACTACAAGAAAGGAATATAAAATATATAGGCTATGGAGTATAAGTGCCCTGCATGGGTAGGGTAGTTTTCGTTGAATGTCCAGTCCATGTGTAAAAAATATGCTGCCAGGACACTCGGGGATAGATTGGTATACATTTAATTAGAATATAGATATTATAATATTAATTACCTGATATTATAATATTAAATGTCAAATGGGAATCTAGGCAGGCGTCACATTTACGGGTTAAAACATTTTTATGACATGACCAACATTTTTTTACCTGGTTCGCTGAAATCCCTAAATGTCTTATTCACAAGAGGAAAATGTAAAACGATTGGACATTCGGGGTTTCCCAGGTCTTCAAATAAATAGCATTCTTGAATGTCGGTATTCTTCAACACTGGGTTCTCTTCGATTTGTGGAAATGGTAACCCTTGCTCTTTGGCCCAGCGTTCAGCTTTTAGGATATTCTAGGTGAAATTTTCAATTATAAGAATAAACTAGCTGTAGATTATGAGCGAAAATCGCCCATGTTGAGTGATCGCAGTTAAGCCTATGAACCGTCCAGTACTCACTTTAAATGGCAATTCTTTATCACCGCCACTTCTCTGACTGAAATCAAACGATAGAATAATTTCAACTTTCCGTTCAGGACGTAGGATGGTCGGATAAGGCGAGTTGAATGCGATACCACTGTCTACCAAGCACATTGTCTTGTGATTTCCAGGTGCCGAGTCGAAATCATCTTCTACAAAACATGTGATAACTACAATTTAGGTTTTCGTGGTTCATTAATTATTTTGTGTTCCGGACAGAAATAAAAAATGTGCACAAAAAACTATGTTCGAACTTGAAAATTCAGCTCGCCCGAGGAGTTACGATGAATTATTTGGCAATGATTCTAAATTGTTTTTAGCTGTTTGGAATGTTTTCTTTTTAGAAAAGGATGCAGTTATAAAGCAAAAAGAAATTTGAGACAAAACTACAAAATTTCGAAAAAATAAATATCTGTGATAAAATTCTTTGTTGAATGGCATAAATTTTGGTTCAATTTCAATAACACTCCTGTGTTTTGAATTCGTACATAGTGCATAGTACATAGTTACATATATTACGTTGAAAATTGAAAAGAATTCTCACTAAATCTGATAAGAATGGCCTGTCTCAGTGACTCAGCTCCCGGTATTGCAGTTAGTGAACACAGAATGATTTGAAGCCATATTGCCTGGAGAAAGTTTCGTTCACACAACTTTTCGCGTGCAAAAAATATATCATGACTTTAGAAATATAAAATGTAAAATGAGCTGTAAAATGTTTTCACAATATGATACCTTGTTCCTTCTTGAACTGCAGACCTCGTAGAATGTTAAAAACTTCAGCAGCTTTTCCTCGCCGAGACGCAATGAGATTGACTGGATTTAGGGCATCTACCAACCAACAATCATCTGTGATAACAAAATGTGATAGATGATGTTGATGAGTAAATAATGATGATATGATGATAATGATAATGATAATGATAATGATAATGATAATGATAATGATGGTGTTACAGTCAGGGCGAAGCCAGACTAGTGAATAAAACTCGAAAGGGGATTGTTTTAGCAATAGCCAAGAGAGCACGACATTCCCAACTCTTCAAGACTTATAAGTGAAAAATTCCCACATTTTACTAATAGATAAAATGCTAGAGCCAAGGGGGCAGTCTAGGCTGCTAACAATTCATATATCCTCCTAACTGTGAATATGTTAGTGCTATTAGGGAATTTATTTCCCTGAGGATTACCGTCTATTTCATCTTCAGGCAATTCATCTTGATCCTCTTCGTCATCACTTTCATCATCTGCAGTTTTAACCCGGCTTCCTTCTTCGAGAGCGGTTTTTTCTTAAAATACAAACAGGTACATAAAGTTAATGTAGGACCTGTTAGAATCGTGTTACCAGAAAAAACCGTTCTTAGTAATGCGAGGCCTCGGAATATTTTAATGTCATTAAATTTAACTGCTCTCGAAAACAGCTACATTTTCACTGTAACAATGCATGTGTTCGAACAGACTTAACACTAGTAATTTACCAAGCTCTCCTAAGACATCATCTTCAGATACATCGTTATGCTTCTTGTTGAACAGTGTGTGAAGGATTATGCCAAACGCACTACCCCATATTCCTAAAACAATTGAAACGAGGTGTCTACATGAATCTAATGACAATGAAGATTACGTGTTTGTTTCCTGTGCGATACATTACAATTCATAATTATGTACATAGCTCCGTGCGGGTTGCAGTGAAAAATTGCAAGCTCACCTTGTAAATAAGACAATGGTGCCTCTTCATATTTCCTGACCAAACACCCTTTATAAAACTTGCCTCCAAATTCTTCCATTTTCCCAAACACACCATATTTGGCCAAACCATATTCGAATGGTGTAAACTCCACCCATTCTAAGCAAAATTCGAAATCATTAAAGATCTTTTTTCCATTCCTTCGCCAAGGTTTGTCGGCTCGAAATGTAGATTGTGCGTTCTTATGTATAGGCAAGCTTTTTTCTTGCCACGGCCAAAACCAATTTAATTTGAAAACTGTTGCAACCATTCGCTCGAAAAACATTATTATGCATTTGACATATAGAATCGGACTTCATAAAGAGACTTTAAATGGAAAGATACTGGTTACGGTTCTGTCTAAGTTTTTCAAAATAATGGGAATTTCATCTTAAAGAATTCACTCTCAAGTTTCGTATAAAGAGTCGAAGGTTTTCCAGTCGAACAGAAAGGAAGATTAAAAGATTGCACATAGAGCGTACTGTGAAGATCAAGTCTGACTTACCACTAAATTCAGCTGCTGGCAAATCAAAACGTACTCGGATCCCAGTTGTAATGGGTAGAGGAACTTCGCCGAATTTGATTTTACGAGTTTGGTGGCTTAGTTTTGATTCTTGATTCTGCCGAGGAAATATGGAAAATTATATAACGGTTAGCTGCCGAGGGAAATAGCGGGTCGACCGCACACTTAACTTTAGTTTCAGTCCAAATTTCTAATCCTTTCAAAGCTGATGAGAAGATGTTTTGAAAGTGCTGCTACCAGCCCCTGCTGCAGCCGCTTCGTTGCGTTTAGAACTTGTGTATTCGACAGTTGGTCCCCCCACTAATGTTGGACTAGCTACGCCCTTGACCACAATCAATTTTTTGTTCAAAAAATTCCTATATTCGTATGATCCATTGGATTTCTATGGATTATCTATTTTGAACTGTTAGCACATACGTGCCAAGTTAAAAGTTTCAGAGCCAAGGATTTAGAAGGATTTAAAATTCCCAGTGCTCACTAAAATCGAAGATCCGGATTTGAGATTTAAGTAGGATACATACAGTTGATAAGGAATAATGCATATTTTTAAATGGAATACTCCCGAGTCTTCTTGATAAATACATACACAACTCTGAGCAAATGCCATTTGATTGACTGCTTAATATTATGTAATGTGGTATATCATCATGACTTACGTCCAAAAGGCAATCTCCAACAAATAATCCAAATAAATCAACAAGTCTGACCAGTTGACCTCGCTGTTCTTTTTCTTTCATGTGTCTTAGAAAATGACCGTGAAAATGCGTCCACATACTGGTTCCAAATTTCTCCTTTAGTTCCTCTGCCATGTTTTTACATGTTATATGATCAGGCCACCCTTCGTGCATGTACAATGTCGATATGTACCTGTGAGGGAAACAAACAAAGCTTGTGTGCTTCGAGAAACTTGCATAAGAGACTTACAGAAAGTTCATTATGCGATCTAGAAACAGGTAGATATTTTCACTGCCAGTTCCATCACTTTCTATCGTTTTAGATCATAAATTTTATCAAACACGATTCTTGTAAGACGTACAGTGTGGATAGACTCGTTCTTGATCACATGATCTCGGGGAATATCGTAAGCTTGTACTCCGAAAACCTGGATCCATCCAAATTTTATTGCTAAGCTGGGAGTGTGCGACATGGCGTGTGTATTGAATAGAATATTGATTTAGGTGAAAACTGGGAGGCACTGTCCATATTTACACGTTATACCCGACCCGTAATAAATACCGAAATCATAGATGCTGGGACGCTTTTATCTATAATGAAGCCTTTCGAGGTTTGCATTACCTACCATGATGAGCCGGAAAGTCCAGTGACATATGAAGAACAGTCAAATATCCCGGCGTCCTGAAGTGCACGAAATACCCCTGATAATCCACACGCAGCCCTATATCCTCCTCCTGATCCCATGATGGCAATCGTTGGCACCTACAATTACACAACACATGATGATGATAATTGTACTAAATTAGACAGCCTGAAAACCCTGAAGACCGGAAGCGGTCATCCATGCGGCGCATGTCAACCAGTGTGTAGAAATTACTGTTGGGGATTTGAATAAATTACCGTTTTTAAAAAACTCGTACCTCGTCAATGCTCTTCGGTGCTGCATCATCATCTAGAATTCTTGACATGTTTTTGAAAATTTCTGCCTTTCTTTTCTTTAAAAATTCCTTTTCTTCGTCGCACAAGTCATAGCTTAGTCTCAATTCCTTAGTGTCACTGCAAAAAAGAGTTTATTAAATTTTGAACTTAGTTTATAGACAATGCAAATAATGCACAATAATCTTTGTAGAGAAAACTCAATGGACACTTACTCGTATTTCACCAGCAATTTAATCTCCAGAACAGTTTTCTTTAAAAGAGGTAAAGAAAATGGTGTTATTCGTGGTACAAATATATTCCGTTCAAAATTGTGTCAATAATTTCGTTCAAACTAACTATATGAGTCATTTAAAAGGACATGGACTGGTAGACTAAAAAAGGAAACATATGTACCTCGTTTACTTTCACCATTTTTGTAATCTCAGTATCCATAGCTAGGTCATCCAGTCGAAGCTCCTGTGTGCCAATCATGTCATCTGAAACAACATCCTCATCTTTCACAGTTATCTCTGCCGAGAAAAAAGCAAAATAATTCAAATAATCAAAGATAACATCTTTAAGCGCTCATAATAACAATATAAAACAATCATACGATATCGTATTACTCATAGTATATACATAAATTTCCACACACAGATGAAGACCGTTAAGTGTTAAATATTTTAATCTTTAAGGAATTTGTCGCTAGATAAAATACCTAGTTTGTTTTCCTTGTCATGACTAAGGTAAAATTTAAAGCTTTCATTCCAAACTGGATTATATGTGTCTGACTTGACTGTTGTCCGTTGTTTGCTGTTGGGACTGGTTGGAACTCGCAGCATCACATAGGGATCCGGTTTTTCAAAAGGCAAAAAACTTAAATCTAAAAATCGTAAATATGAATGAATTTGAATATGTTTCGAGCCTTTGTACAACTGGTCACACCATCGTCTCCGATCAGACTTCGTACACTCACATTTTGTTACAAATCCTTGAATGGTCACATAATTTGCTTTCACAATTGTTACAGTCAACACTTTGATTTTCTCTTGTTTTACCTATGTTAAAACAACAGAATATGTTTTCTGGCCACGGTTGAGCCTACTTGAATTCAACGATTTTAGGTTTCCACCTACTGACCTACGTTACAGCCGACAATTTTCAACGGATATGCTTACAGTCAATATAGGTTCTTTCAAGTTCAATGATTTATTTTTTGAATAACGAAATACGATAGCATAATGTGTCTGATTTTGCTACTTTGCTCACCTCAAATCGATCAATGGTTTGGCGTACCATGGTTTAACAAAAAATATACGTCGAATGAGAGCTGAAAACAAACAAAACATGCATGCTTTACGGAGATGGATGATATTTTACCTTATACAAAAATACCAGACTGGAGAAATGTAAAATAGTAAAAAGTAATTAAAACACCCAACCGGACAGGAGGATGTAAAAAAAGTAATTAAAACTTGACCCTGACTTGAAATGACCGATATACCGAATATCCTCATGCAGGTTACATTGCGATTTTGGTTTAATAAAGCATCTTAATTCTTTAGTTCTCGTGAATAGCGATTATGATGACGTGTTCGGGTTTAAGTGAAATGTTTACAAACGCATGCGGATGTTTAAACTGAATTATCACGATTTTCGGGCAACCCACGGGTTAATCTACCAAACTTACGCGCAGTTAAAAAACCAGATGTTTAAAATCCGCTTAGAATCGACATTTTGTAAATCACTGTTACCTAAAAGACAACTTGTACATCATTTAATCGATCTTCTCTTGGCTGTTACGTAGTTTTAGCCGATTGCTTAATTATTGCCAAATATTGTTTATATAGAGGAAGGCCAGTCACAGTGGGGGCACCTAGCAATACACCATACCAATTAGCACATCCACACAAACCCTTGACTGTATAGCGCGAAGCCTCGACTGTATTTCTAGTCGTATATTCTAATACCCTGGTCTAAAAAAGGGCGACCAGAATGTGCAAATTGAATTGAAAACCGATTGAAAATACATACAGACATCAAACTAGGCCTATATACCATGTATGTTTTAATGCAGAGTAAACATGATTACAGTCATAGCCAAAGAATGATATATATATATTTTAGTACTCACCTCCAAGTACAGCTATATACCAGACTCTTTCACACTAGCTGAATGTTTTAAGGGACTGAAGTTTCGTCTTTCTTATATCTCTAGGAAGAAATTTAACCATACGTCACAACAAAGACCATGCATGTCACGTCTTAGTTGACAGAACGTCATCTGAATGCTTGAACGCATCACGCATGTAAGTACATGCTTTCGTGCGTGACCGGCGTATAGAATTACGTTTTCTTCAAATGGAAAATCTATATTCTGCCAATGCGGGCACATTTAAACTATAAAAATTAAAGACAGCTAGATTTACCATTATTTTGTATTTGACGAACATACTAGCGGTGTGAATCGTTATACGTCGGACATTCATTTATACAATGGCCTCCTATAGTTTACTATTTGTATTCTCCACTCTCCAGACAGCACTCTCCAAAATTCTGTCAATTTTTTCTTTATTTACCTCAGCAAACCGGTCAGCCATTTGAGCTGATATACGGTGGGTAGCTCGACCACTCAGATTGCGGAATAGCTCATTTACAGTGAGTAGCTATATTATAACAAACATTATATATGGACGGGGATATTTTACTGAAATCTAAATAGAACTCATACGCTACCACATCCAGGGTACGGTGAGGACATTTTCCGTATGTCACCATAGTTATTGTAGTATGATGTCACGTTTAGGAATGAAATAGCGAGTTTCAAAAATTTCCCGCCATTTTCATTAGGCTAAAAAATATTCGCTTTTATAATGCTCTTTCGCGGAGTGTTACTTGTCGTCTTTGTGTGTATTCTTGTCACTCTAAATTAGTCTATATAATAAACAGAACATTACACGGTTCGCTCTAAGATATGTCATATGGATTTTTTGTTCTCGTGGCAAAAACACTATCTCAAACAATATCGAACATAAAATCCATATCCACTCGGAACCGTATAATATCCTGAGGATATTATGGTGTAAGACACCATTTCTTTTTCTAAGTTGCGCGTTTTTCTATCAAGACATAAGATAAAGTATTCTACCATTTTGTAATTGTATATTATTATTATTATAAGCTGTGAATAAGCCTCGCGAACACATCCATATGAAAGAACCACACAAGTAAAAGTAATTATTATATTATATATATACTGCACAGAAAATTTCCGTAATGGGCTAAAACACATTATACCAATGACCAATATTTATATTATTTATTAAATGGTGATAGTTATAGCACTATTTTTGTTATTAAGCTAATTCAGATGACCTCTAGAGGTGGTGTATTTTGCCAAATTGTCTGCTAAAAAAGATTTTTGACGTCATATCAATGTAACAAAGTTTCACTGTGTTTGAAATCGAGAAATCGATTTGAATAATTCAGATTACGTCTTAGACTTAGTTGACAGAACGTCATATGAACGTTGCATGACGTATGCGATGTGAAGTACGATTCGTGCGTGAACAGCCGTAAAATTACGTTTTTTGACAGTGCCGACCGTGTGAATTGAATTGTCTTTTAAAAAGCTTCTCATTAGACCGACGTAACCACGCACCCACGGGTTCAGAAGTCTACCTCACCGGCCGAATGAGTGGCAATTTGACGTAAAACATCTCTAATTTTACGACATTCAAGCGAAATAGATTACACTTTTATCAGTGTAGGTGTTTTTAGACTCAAGAGAATAACAAATATTGTTTCACCCATGTCTGGAGGAAGTCTAAATTAAAATGGTACCATTCATGTACAAAATACGACGTAAACATGCATATATGCTCTGAAAAAGAATTCCAACCTTGGCCACTTGGATATACATGCATTCGTATATCTCACTAAAATTTTAGGTTCGTACCTCTACGCATGCTTGTAAAAAAATACGACTTTTATTACTAGATTTTTTCTATCAATTACAAATGTAACTCTACAAAAGTCAGAAAAACATATAAAGAACGCGGGAATAAGTTAAATAAGGTTTTACCCCGAGCAAACAAAATGGGTCGATTGGTTTATGCTATTGTTTCATTGTTCTATTGTATTGTTCTCTATAATTTATGAATATATGCAAAACATATATTCATAAATTATAGAGAACAATACAATGATAGAGAACAATACAAACGTCCCTTTTCTTAGCAAACTAAAATTGCCTTATTTTCGTGCACCAAAACATAACTCAAAAAAAGATATTTTGCCGAACAGACTATTTGCCAAAATAGCGGTACTTTGAGATTTTTCTTCGTGTTTGCGTGCACGTACCAAAAATTGCCATATTAGAATTATACACTTGATTGATTTATTAAAACTAAAATCACATGGCAGCGGAAACTGAATTGCGTGACTTATTACAAGGGTTGGTTACACTAGTATAGTAAAGCTGCTACTATTAGTATATATACTAATAGTAGCAGCTTTACTATACTAGTGTAACCAACCCTTGTAATAAGTCACGCAATTCAGTTTCCGCTGCCATGTGATTTTAGTTTTAATAAATCAATCAAGTGTATAATGCCGTTCATAAACGTAAAGGTTTTGTTCACACAATTTTTTTGTTAATGTCGAGCACATATATAAGCCACATGTATACAAATTTTATAAAAAGCATCCCTAGTTTAAAAATTAAAATTTTTTTTTCAAATTATGAGCAATACCCGTAAGTAGCTACATTATCGTCTTCTCGGACGTTTTACTAACAATTTTGCTGAAACGAGTGATGCCATGTATCCTTCGATTGAATTGTTTGTTCGTGGAAGATCTTGCTCAACACGACCGTATTGAGATGGCATATAAAGGACCACACCAATCCAAGTAGCTTCTTTTGAGAGAGAGAAGTTCTTTTGATGAAAAAAGATCACTTTTCGGCAAATGATCTGTTCGGAAAAATCCTTTTTGTAAAAAGTCCGTTCGACAAAATATCCGATCGGCCAAATCTCCTTCGGCAAAATCCCGTCCGTTGGGCAAAGTGTCATTCGGAAAAATGTCTTTCGGAAGAGTCTTTCGGTTGCAGTATGGTATGAAAAGATTTTATATTATTTTATTTCATTTTTTATATTTTTCAAATAAAAAAAGGCCCATTTTAAAAGGTCATCATCATTGGAAAAAGGCGCACTTTAAAAGGTCATCAAGATCAGAATCGGTTTTTCTTTCAATTTGGCTTTTCAGCATATTTGGTCGTTTTTGAAAAACTGAAAAATCCCTCAATTTCGGCTAAAACGATGGCCTTAGTGGTGCCTAAAAAAATTAAAAATTTAACACAAGTCAAAACACATAAAAAGATTATTTGTTTCCTAAATGAAATTAAAATTAAAAAAATTAACCACCTGGACTACCCGAATAATATATATATATATATATATATATATATATATATATATATATATATATATATATATATATATATATTGTAAGGCAGTTAAACATAATTTCAATTTCCGGCTTTCTTAAAGGCTGAGGAGTCTTTCAACTGTTTTGAAGCTTCCAAAATCACACCGAAAATTTTCAAGCTAATTTTGTTGCATTGCAAGGGTTGAAACCTTTGTCCTCGGATTGAGAGACGAACGTCTTAACCCTGGTCTTAACCACTAGACCACCGCATCATTTGTCGTAAGTTATTGTTCTTTATTTGACCTAATCCTTTTAGAAGAATTTTATATTGAATAGTAACTTCCGTAGGAAAAATCGAACCTTTTCCATGCAGCATTCGAACTTACCCCTACAACCTGGTAGGCCGAAGCTTAAACCACTGGGCTACCTCAATAACATATGTATTAAGGCTGCTATCAACAACCAATCCTACGGCCCATTGTTTAAGGCTACGGCCTACCAGGTGGTAAGGGTAGGTTCGAATCCTGCATGGGAAAGGTTCGATTTTTCCTACCGAAATTACTATTTAATTTAAAATTCATCGAAAAGGATTAGGTCAAATAGAGAACAATAGCTTTCGACAAATGACGCGGTGGTCTAGTGGTTAAGACGTTCGTCTCTCAATCCGAGAACAAACGTTTCAACTCCTGGCAATGCAACAAAATTTGCCTGAACAATCTCGGTGTGATTTGGAATGTGTAAAACAGTGAAAAGACTTTCTCGAACTTTGCTAAAGACTTGTAAATTGAAAAAAAATTTGAAATAAAAAACCAAAAGAAAATTATCGCGTTCAAAAGTACCTGAAAATTAAAAGAAAAGCACAAGTAAAAAAAGTTTTAAAAACACGTGTCTTCTAAAAAGCCTGAAAATGAAGAAAGTCAGACGGAAAAAATTTAAACAATTTCCCGCTTTTAAAAAACTATGGTTTACTTACCTTAATTTTTTTTCACGAAAATTTGACAGGGTGATTTTCTCGAGCGTGAAAAAATTTAATTTTTTTCACTTTTTTGAAATTCTCTTAGATTTTTTTTGACAAAGAAGTATTTTGTCTTGGGCTACCTGTGTCTGTCTTGGGCTACCTGTGTCTGGCTTGACACAGGTAGCCCAAGACAAAATACTTCTTTGTCAAAAAAAAAATCTAAGAGAATTTCAAAAAAGTGAAAAAAATTAAATTTTTTCACGCTCGAGAAAATCACCCTGTCAAATTTTCGTGAAAAAAAATTAAGGTAAGTAAACCATAGTTTTTTAAAAGCGGGAAATTGTTTAAATTTTTTCCGTCTGACTTTCTTCATTTTCAGGCTTTTTAGAAGACACGTGTTTTTGAAACTTTTTTTACTTGTGCTTTTCTTTTAATTTTCAGGTACTTTTGAACGCGATAATTTTCTTTTGGTTTTTTATTTCAAATTTTTTTTCAATTTACAAGTCTTTCGCAAAGTTCGAGAAAGTCTTTTCACTGTTTTACACGTTCCAAATCACACCGAGATTGTTCAGGCAAATTTTGTTGCATTGCCAGGAGTTGAAACGTTTGTTCTCGGATTGAGAGACGAACGTCTTAACCACTAGACCACCGCGTCATTTGTCGAAAGCTATTGTTCTCTATTTGACCTAATCCTTTTCGATGAATTTTAAATTAAATAGTAATTTAGGTAGGAAAAATCGAACCTTTCCCATGCAGGATTCGAACCTACCCTTACAATCTGGTAGGCCGAAGCCTTAACCACTGGGCTACCTCAATAACATATATATTAAGGCTGCTATCAACAACCAATCCTACGGCCCATTGGTTAAGGCTACGGCCTACCAGGTGGTAAGGGTAGGTTCGAATCCTGCATGGGAAAGGTTCGATTTTTCCTACCGAAATTACTATTTAATTTAAAATTCATCGAAAAGGATCAGGTCAAATAGAGAACAATAGCTTTCGACAAATGACGCGGTGGTCTAGTGGTTAAGACGTTCGTCTCTCAATCCGAGAACAAACGTTTCAACTCCTGGCAATGCAACAAAATTTGCCTGAACAATCTCGGTGTGATTTGGAATGTGTAAAACAGTGAAAAGACTTCTCGAACTTTGCGAAAGACTTGTAAATTGAAAAAAAATTTGAAATAAAAAACCAAAAGAAAATTATCGCGTTCAAAAGTACCTGAAAATTAAAAGAAAAGCACAAGTAAAAAAAGTTTTAAAAACACGTGTCTTCTAAAAAGCCTGAAAATGAAGAAAGTCAGACGGAAAAAATTTAAACAATTTCCCGCTTTTAAAAAACTATGGTTTACTTACCTTAATTTTTTTTCACGAAAATTTGACAGGGTGATTTTCTCGAGCGTGAAAAAATTTAATTTTTTTCACTTTTTTGAAATTCTCTTAGATTTTTTTTTTGACAAAGAAGTATTTTGTCTTCGGCTACCTGTGTCAAGCCAGACACAGTAGCCCAAGACAGACACAGGTAGCCCAAGACAAAATACTTCTTTGTCAAAAAAAAATCTAAGAGAATTTCAAAAAAGTGAAAAAAATTAAATTTTTTCACGCTCGAGAAAATCACCCTGTCAAATTTTCGTGAAAAAAAATTAAGGTAAGTAAACCATAGTTTTTTAAAAGCGGGAAATTGTTTAAATTTTTTCCGTCTGACTTTCTTCATTTTCAGGCTTTTTAGAAGACACGTGTTTTTAAAACTTTTTTTACTTGTGCTTTTCTTTTAATTTTCAGGTACTTTTGAACGCGATAATTTTCTTTTGGTTTTTTATTTCAAATTTTTTTTCAATTTACAAGTCTTTCGCAAAGTTCGAGAAAGTCTTTTCACTGTTTTACACATTCCAAATCACACCGAGATTGTTCAGGCAAATTTTGTTGCATTGCCAGGAGTTGAAACGTTTGTTCTCGGATTGAGAGACGAACGTCTTAACCACTAGACCACCGCGTCATTTGTCGAAAGCTATTGTTCTCTATTTGACCTAATCCTTTTCGATGAATTTTAAATTAAATAGTAATTTCGGTAGGAAAAATCGAACCTTTCCCATGCAGGATTCGAACCTACCCTTACCACCTGGTAGGCCGTAGCCTTAACCAATGTGCCGTAGGATTGGTTGTTGATAGCAGCCTTAATATATATGTTATTGAGGTAGCCCAGTGGTTAAGGCTTCGGCCTACCAGATTGTAAGGGTAGGTTCGAATCCTGCATGGGAAAGGTTTGATTTTCCCAACGAAATTACTACTTAATTTAAAATTCATCGAAAAGGATTATGTCAAATAGAGAACAATAGCTTTCGACAAATGACGCGGTGGTCTAGTGGTTAAGACGTTCGTCTTTCAATCCGAGAACAAACGTTTCGACTCCTGGCAATGCAACAAAATTAGCCTGAACAATCTCGGTGTGATTTGGAATGTGTAAAACAGTGAAAAGACTTCTCGGACTTTGCGAAAGACTGTAAATTGAAAAAAAATTTGAAATAAAAAAGACAATAAAAAATTATCGCGTTCAAAAGTACCTGAAAACTAAAAGAAAAGCACAAGTAAAAAAAGTTTTAAAAACACGTGTCTTCTAAAAAGCCTGAAAATGAAGAAAGTCAGACGAAAAAAATTTAAACAATTTCCCGCTTTTAAAAAACTATGGTTTACTTACCTTAATTTTTTTTCACGAAAATTTGACAGGGTGATATTCTCGAGCGTGAAAAAATTTAATTTTTTTCACTTTTTTGAAATTCTCTTAGATTTTTTTTTTTGACAAAGAAGTATTTTGTCTTGGGCTACCTGTGTCAAGCCAGACACAGTAGCCCAAGACAGACACAGGTAGCCCAAGACAAAATACTTCTTTGTCAAAAAAAAATCTAAGAGAATTTCAAAAAAGTGAAAAAAATTAAATTTTTTCACGCTCGAGAAAATCACCCTGTCAAATTTTCGTGAAAAAAAATTAAGGTAAGTAAACCATAGTTTTTTAAAAGCGGGAAATTGTTTAAATTTTTTCGTCTGACTTTCTTCATTTCAGGCTTTTTAGAAGACACGTGTTTTAAAACTTTTTTTACTTGTGCTTTTCTTTTAATTTTCAGGTACCTTTGAACGCGATAATTTTCTTTTGGTTTTTTATTTCAAATTTTTTTTCAATTTACAAGTCTTTCGCAAAGTTCGAGAAGTCTTTTCACTGTTTTACACATTCCAAATCACACCGAGATTGTTCAGGCAAATTTTGTTGCATTGCCAGGAGTTGAAACGTTTGTTCTCGGATTGAGAGACGAACGTCTTAACCACTAGACCACCGCGTCATTTGTCGAAAGCTATTGTTCTCTATTTGACCTGATCCTTTTCGATGAATTTTAAATTAAATAGTAATTTCGGTAGGAAAAATCGAACCTTTCCCATGCAGGATTCGAACCTACCCTTACCACCTGGTAGGCCGTAGCCTTAACCAATGGGCCGTAGGATTGGTTGTTGATAGCAGCCTTAATATATATGTTATTGAGGTAGCCCAGTGGTTAAGGCTTCGGACTACCAGATTGTAAGGGTAGGTGTGATTTGGAATGTGTAAAACAGTGAAAAGACTTCTCGGACTTTGCGAAAGACTGTAAATTGAAAAAAAATTTGAAATAAAAAAGACAAAAAAAAATTATCGCGTTCAAAAGTACCTGAAAATTAAAAGAAAAGCACAAGTAAAAAAAGTTTTAAAAACACGTGTCTTCTAAAAAGCCTGAAAATGAAGAAAGTCAGACGGAAAAAATTTAAACAATTTCCCGCTTTTAAAAAACTCATGTTTACTTACCTTAATTTTTTTTCACGAAAATTTGACAGGGTGATTTTCTCGAGAGTGAAAAAATTTAATTTTTGACTGGGAAGTATTTTGTCTTGGGCTACTGTGACAAGCCAGACACAGGTGTGAGCATACCTCGTTTGTTTTTGGAGCTGAAGAAGTCTTGAATTTTGGTCGAAATGGTAAGCGGTACCTTTTATCATTTTTGCCCAAATTGACGACTTTTGAAAGTTTCCTAAAAATCTGCATTGAAACATGCCGAAAATGGTTTCAAATGTTTCACTAAGGCTAGAGAAAAGAAAACCTAGAGAGAAGACTAGAGAGGAAAAAACTAAAGAGAAAAGACAGATAGAGAAAAACAATAAACAATAGAAAGAAACTAGAGAGAAAAATAAACTAGAGAGAAAAAAAGCTGGGAGAAAAAAAAACGCACATATATTTACATATTTACAAAGACTAATCAAATAAATTCAAATTCGACCATAATGATAAGGGGTCCTTGATCTACTGATCTTATTTATCTATAATATAAGTTGTTTTGCAGCCATGCAAATCATAGGAATCATAGGATGTGTGTTTGATTATTGTCCAAAACAGATTAGATCTGCAACAGTGAAGTAGCAACTTACTCAATTGAAAAATTGTATTAAGAATATTAAAATAAATTATATATATACATATATTCTTAGGTCTCAAATGACCCCAATAGGTTTGAGTAGGGATAACCAAATCTAGATTTGATGATCCCTACTGGATTTGGTAATCCCTATATCTGACACAGTAGTCTCAGAAAGTTAGTTTTGCATATGTGTATTACCCAAACATGCTAATAAGTAACAAATATGTGTATTTCACACTATTGGCTCACTCTTGTGCAACATAAGCATGAAAACATCTGTAGTTGACCTTCTCACTCAAATAACTAAATAAGCCGAAGCACCAAGATGCATTCATGTGTTTTTTATGCTGAAACTCTTCCAATGATAAATAAAAGATTTGCACACTTGTAAATAGAAAAAAGGGGACTCCTAGAGTGGATAAGAACATTACATATATGCATTCGCAAATGTAGACTAAAAAAACAAATTATGATGACTACAGTAAACATGTACTCCTAACATTTATTAATGGATGTTTGTTTGAATAGGTGTTTTGCCTAAGAAACTGTGCTGGCACACAGTATTAGTGATCGGATTCGCTAATCATTCGCTATGTATAACATTATTTGCATTGGTACATTATACAATTGATGCACCAACAAGCATCACAATATATAATAAGTCATAAGTGGAGGCTTCACAGAATGCACCCTGACTAAATGTCCACTTGAACCCCCAAATACATGTACATGGACATATGCAATGTAGTGAATTCATAATCATTCAGTTAACTTTTTGACAGATAACCAAAACAAAGCAGTTGCCCCAATTCCCAAACCAATTGCCCCCATGATAGGATGGTTTTCTATGACATCTTGAAAAGTATTAGCTAACCATGATATAGCATGAATTCCTAGAAACATTTTTTGCTGCCTACGTCTTTCTTCCAAACTCATATCAGAGGGAAAGACAACTTTTAGAATGACAGTATCCTTCTTTCCCACAGCAATGAATGGCTTCCATTTTCCACTATATATACCATTAATATGGAGGGAATTTTCCCCTTCATCATTTTCAAAAGGGAGCTTTATTTGCCCTCCATGTTGTGCTACAGACAAGGGCACATCAACTTTGTGATACGTCATACTTTCTTCCTGGAAAAACACAGGCATATCACCTCCATACATGAAGTCTGAAAATACATTAAAGGCATCATCCATTGTAAAATTTTCTGTTGAAATATCGCCGCTAAACGTAGTAGTGAAACTGCCAAAATCAAAATTGGTATGACTGTCAGTTGAGAACGGGTTCCTGCTTCCCTGCCTTCCCAAATCATATCTACGTCGTTTGGCTGGATCAGATAGAACTGAAAATGCTTCAGATAAATCTTGAAATTTCTTCGTAGCATCAGGCCGTTTGTTCTTGTCTGGATGATACTTCAGAGCTAGCTTACGATAGGCTCGTTTTATTTCATCTTGCGACGCTTCCCGAGATATTCCAAGAATATTATAATAGTCTTTTCTCGCCGACATTGCTTTTTGGTGGCTTACCGAAGTCAATTTGAAGTTCTATCTATTTATCCATCTATGATGCAATCCTCGTGTAAAATCATGCGCGAAATCTTCGTGGGTCTCGACATTGGGGTCTCGAGTCTCGACTCTTGAACACTGACCTGTTGACTTATTAAAGCTATTTTTTACTTCCATCCTGTAAAACAACGTTTCTGACAAACTTTGGAAACTAGTGAATTTCCTACTCAACTTCCATTCAGAATTAGTACTTGCTTGTATCATGGATGATAAAATCACGTCTAAAACTAAAACTATCCCTGCTTGTATAAACAATTTTCATTTATTTTGGGGGGTTAGCCCCCCTGTATGTCACTCATTTCAATTTTCAAAACTTTTAAACACACAGTCACACACACACACAAAAAAATTATTTTAGTAATTTATTTGTGTCAACTGATGTCCAAGTCAATCAATATATATCTTCATAATTTATTCTAAATGTATATCAATAAATTTACATATATAGATATAATATATAACTCTCCATACGAACGTGATTAACGCTTATATATGTACAAATTATGGTGGAATTTCAAAATGCTCGTTGTTTAGAGGTGCTTCCCACAGCCTTACGTCACTAATTACTTTGACTTCCTTACAACATAAAAATCCAGTATTTTGTTCCAAGTGCAATCTACAAGTCGTCACGTTTTGGCTGTTTCCTCGAAAGTGCAACCAGATCATAAATTTCAACTACTGTGATGTCAGTATGACATTTTCAAATTCCGAAACCTATACTTTTCGAAAACCAAATTTTCTAAAATAGTTGCGCAAGGCTTTCCTTTAGTTTCACTGTCACGATGTCTCTAATCAAATGTTACATGGAATTCTGTTAGGATTGCGAAGAGTGGGAGAATGATAGCTGTGTCGTTTGATATTAACGAAGAATAATGTGGATCTCTTCAGAATTTTTGAAACGCGGTAAATTTACAAAACGAAAGGCAAGCTTGGCGTGAATGGATTTTTGCAAGAAAAACTAAAACGTTCCTTGACCCAATATAACCAGAGTGTAGCGTGGCAGCGTCTTCAAATAACTTAGCATCGAATGTGGTATAACAACTGCCTAAAATAGACAAAAACACTTCTCGTTTCGACCTGAGGGCCTTCGTCAGGAGAGTTTGTATGAGAGTTAGTATGAGAGTTATTAGTTAGTCATACTAACTCTCCTGACGAAGGCCCCAGGTCGAGAGGTGTTTTTGTCTATTTTAGGCAGTTACAACATATGATGCTAAGTTCCTTGACTCAGTTTTTTGAAAGGGTACTTTGCAAATTGCACTACGATACTTTGACTTTAATTCCCTCGATATAAATATTTTAAGTCTATGATGTTAGATCGCTACTATTATTGGAAGAGCCACTACATGACAAAGAACGACCCGTATCTTGACATCTCAATATTTCTTCACATTCCCTACTACCGCTTTCTCGTGCGTACCACAATGCAGTTCGTCCATTGCCGTCGGTCAAGGTCACGTCTGCAAAGTACTGAATAGAAAATACAAAATGAATTTCTTCTGAGGCACTTGTGGTCCACCCATCAATAGATTCTTGTAAAAATCAGTAAAATTGTGACTAAACACTTTGTAATAAGTGTAAAAACTTTGTGACTACTTCTGAACATTATTTTTGTCACTTTGAAGTCACGTTTCGAAAACATGTTTAAGTGTTTAGGAATATTCGTGATTGTGTTTTAAGTTTTCGAAACTTTGTTTCGAGTTCTTTTCAGATCGTGTGACGCAATACGACCACCATGATTTTAAATTTTAAGTGTTCCGACGTGAATATGAACGTGAATAAAATTCACGTGCCAATTTATTATAATTCACGAATGTTTGTCACTCACCCATATCAGTAATTGCGTTAAAACGACATTTCCCTTCGATGAAGAAATATGAAGCGAAGTTTTTAAACCATCGTCTTCTCTTTCGTTCACATCTTTTCTCTCACTATGAGCTAGTAATAGGATCACTTGGCTAAGATCGTCCTTACGAACAGCTTTAATTAACCGCTAAAAAATCAATTAGATCTGATTCAGCAATCAAGGACAAGAGAGATAAACTATTTCTACGGCTGTGTTATCTGAGGATACAGTAGGTCTATAAATATGATGACATAACTGGGCTTTGCTCTTTCAAAACTTGATCGATATCCACAGTTTAGCCTATGGACATGCTTTGGAAAATTGCTACCAGTATAACAGTATTTTTTAGTGCCAAATTCATTTCTGAAGAATAATTCTCATCCATTTAGGCTACACAAGCTGTAACACTTTGTATACACACGTGTCTTATGAATACGCATCCAATAAGTTGATTTCGTCCAAATACGTGAAAACATGGCGTAAATTAAATCTATCAATTGCCTATGCAACACCCACCGGTTGAAGTACTACAAGGTGCGGTACGAAAATGAGGAATGTTATGATTGTGCTGTGGCCTACCTGCCCTAAAGACTGCTTAGAAGTTGGTAATGGTTTGAGGAATTCTTTATTCCGATATTTTGATCGTATCCACATCTCCTTGTCTTCCCTAAAACAGATATTTGTTGATATGTTTATATAGATAACATGTATCAGTATATTCCTCGACAAACTCTCTTCAAATCCTTACTCTGAAATATGAACTACCTTGGTGATAACGGTTTAGGTTTAGCTTCTGGTTTAGCCCGAGCTTCCCAAATACTGTTTGCTAACGTATTTCCTATTGACAACATTACTGCACGTTGTTCCGATCTAAATATAAAAAACTGGTATGAAAACTGTAGAAAATTGAATAATTATGAAAAAGTGTTTTAATCGTATAAAAGTATTTCAATGAATACTTTTTAGATGGAGTGAACACCAAATTACACTTACGGCCATTGGTCGAGATCAAGCGAACGAACTCGGGAAACGTGTGTCCCAAGATTTCTATGCAATCCAGAACAGGCTATGCATATTAAAGCACCCAGGTTTAGCGTAGCCCAATCAGGGTCTGAAAGTGAAATGATAAAATCTTAAAATTATTCCTGTAATTTCTCCCTGGCCATGGCCCATGCCATTAAGTTGCATAAGATGCAACTTAATTTTTCGGACGTGTTTCCGGGTCGGTTATTCCACTGTCAATAAATTTTGGGGTTTGCAGTATCCCGATGGACAACTCATTTTGTAATCGGTGACATGACGATAAATGGCAACATGTGAAAGACGCGAACGAGTAAAAGCCTGGGGATAGGGCGAGAAACATGCGAACATATTTTGTTTACTTTTGTACATGTATGCGGTCAACCTCGTGATCAGGATATGAGAAGGGACACTCTGGGTGCAAGGTAAGTGATGCGGTTACTTACTGGGCTCTCCACAGTCAGCACAAACATTATTTCCATTCACAAGACGAATTGGCTGAAGATCACTTTCTGACGATGAACTGCTATTGATCTAAAATAAAGAATTTTTAGTGATACACTGAATTTTATAAACACGCATTTTTGAGCGAAGCCTCGTGGGAATTTGTAAAATACAAATACAGGATAAAAATACGCACAAACACGTTCTAACCTTATCTCTGCCACTCGGGTTTGACTGAAGGCATGTGAGTATCTGTTTTTCGATTACTAGAACCCATTTTTCCCTCTCCTAAACCAATACAACAATAATGATAACAGATATGCTAAGTGATTGTTTCGAGAGTTGCTGTAAATGTAAGTGGTTCATGTGGCGCTAGAAAACCTTTAACAGTCCACTCTCTACGAACTACGAACATTTGCACAAACCAACCTCTTGCGACGGGGCAGCGAAATTCCACGATTTACCATCGAGCGAGACAATTTTAAACTCGTATTCCTCTGCGTGACCGTTCCGTGTATCTAATTAGGAAAATTGATCTCAATTAATGCTGGAACGATAACGTTAACATCTATAACTTGTTTCGTACGGCTGCCTCGTACATCTGCCTCCCATCCCATCAGATAGGCCTGTTGCTTATTTTTATCGGTGTAGCACCAAAGCTACATACAGTAGGGTGCATTGGTGAAGTGAAAAATAAACCTAAACTTCTGTCTAAAAACCGATACACACGCAGACACAATCTCATATAACCCAATATGAATAACCAACCTATCTTAGAAGTATCATTCGCGACCATCATCTTTGCTGTCCCGTGACTTTTCGATCGCCGATGACCTTTCCTTTTACTGCTATTTCCGGGAAGAGTATTCGAGTCTATACGGCCCTCTGGGGTGACAGTTGGCCACTTCCTTTCTTTACCGTCACACGGCGTTGTCGCAGGGGTCGTTGCAGGAGTTGTCGCCGGAGTTGTTGAAGGGGTTGTCATGGTTGAATTTGACTCGTTAGTACCGTTTGCTGCCTTCGCTAAACTCTTTTGTAATTCCTCGGGAAAATTACTAAAGTCAAGCTCACACGATTTCGTGTGTTTGTTATTCCGCCGATTCCGACCTCGTTTTCGAGGTATCGACTCGCTTCTGTTTATTGATTCAGGCTTGGATTTTATCGCTGTTGGTGTTACAGCGGCCATAGCATGATTTGCCGTGCTCGATAATCCTGATTTCATTTCAGTTTCATTCTCCTGAGTTAGAAAATCATTCGATATGACTAAAGATCCGTTCTCTTTCACCGTATGATTTTGAAGTATTTCATCTTCTAGGGATTGTGTTCGGTTCACTCCCGGGCTTCCAAGTTTTGGCGCCGCCGTCCTTCCTACAACGACGAATAGTGCAATAGAATTACATGCAGTGAAAAAATTTTCACGAACCATCGTAGGCTTAAAGTAGGACAATACGTTTGCGACCATGATTAATACATCATAGTAAATAAATTATTATAAAATATATGGTAAAATAAACGAATTCAAAAATCTTTTTTAAGAATTTTGCCAACCGTATAACCATTGTTACTGTGTTACTAAAGCCCGTTTTCCATTAGGCGAATTTATTCGCGCGAACAGATAAAAAGTAGGAAGCGTTTCTACTTTTTCGCGGCGAATTTTTTCGCGAACCAATCACATCACCGGATTTCAAATACCACTATCGCCTAGTGGAAAACGTGCTTAATCTCTCAATGGTGTTATTTTGACTGTACTGAATTCAACAAATTACAAATTGATGTTGTATATTGCATTTAGTGTGGAATAACGTTTTTGTGATAAGTGCATGATCACGGTCAGTTTAAATCATACGAACAAATGCCCCCCTTTTATTTTGTTAAATTGCAGTAATTACCTGGCAACGTCGCGATGGGAGGTATTTTCCCAGGAATTTTCACCGTCGATTGTTTAAGAAATATATGTTTACCGTGAACATTTCCAATGTAATCCTATACAAAATATACACATTATATATATGTATATTCAAAACACGATAAATGTTTCTGAATAGCCCATTTTTCAAAATTGTGTTAATGAGACGTCGGGACCAACCGAGAAATTTTCATTGCAGATATATTTTAGAATGTACTGATAAAAAACATGTTTTAATATTTTTTGTCTTAATTCCTGATTGGGCCAATCTTGACAATGACGAGTTCCACTCTAAGTGCTGATGTGATAATGCAAAATCTTTGCGGTTATTATTAATGGCCAATTACGAGTTTATTAGATCCTCAATCTTTTTGCATTATTGTACTGTCCATTCGAAAAAAAGTTTTGATTTGCTAATAACTATGCTTAAACAAAAAAGAAAGACGTATTAATTTCAAAGAGTAAGAATTATTTTTCTACATCATAAATTCAAGAGTCAAAACACAGCAGTTCTGCATATTTAAGGTCAATTTTGACTCCCAAAACTATTCTTCTTAATTTTGACTTCTTTGAATATGAAGTGTGTAGTTTGAATGTTGTAGGTTATAGCTAAACTGATGAGTAAAACATCGATAACAGTCGATATTATGATGTATGTATCTGAACACTTATCATTATCTTAGTTGTATCTCATTCCCATGCTGCGAGACGTCTGAGGCATTAGGTCATTAGGCAAAACACTGAAATACAGATAGCTACTCACATTCACTGAGGGGTAGTACGTCAGAACTCCTTCCTCACTTAGAACCACAAATTTCTTTTTCCATTCTTTATTTAGCGAATTTGTAGCTCTTTTCAAAAGATTTCCCTAAATTGTATTGGCATAATCACAGGTTTAATTTAAACGTTGTGGAAACTTTTACGTGGGTGTACATGCAAAAAACCCCGCAACAGTATAAATCCACCGTAAGGGAGGTCAGGGGTGGTGAACGTCTGCAGACCTTGGCTAACACTAGCCAGGCTCCTGTTTGTGATAGAAACTAATATTACATTCAGGAAATAAGTCTGGTTTTCTAGAACTTGCATACTTTTGATATTGTTGATACTTTCGATTTACAACGAAATTAATATTCGTAATTTTTAAGCGTGAAGTAAAGAATATTCTGCCGCGGTTTAAGAATTGTTTAAAATAATTGTTTAAAATTGTGAAATCTTGTTATTCACATACTTAGAAGATTATGGCCAAAAAGCTGAAGAACTCCTGTGGAGAAAGCGTTTTTATGACCTTATACAAAAACTGAAATATTTTCGGCAAAAATTCTGCCACAATTTTAGCTCAGAGGGTGCAGTAGAGGGCAGTGTTGTGGGGTACAGTTAAAACTGCATGATACAGTGCAGTAGAGTGAAGTGTAGCGGGGTACATTAGTGTACAGTTGCACCATACAGTATAATAAAGGCGTGTTTAGTAGAGTATCTACACAGAATACAGTATAGTTACACAGTAATGTACTATGGTAGAGCTAGGGCAGTGTAATGGCATATTTGAGTACAGTTTCATGAAGTAAGGTCCAGAGAATGTCCAGTGAATAAGAATACATTGCATTATAGTCCAATATTGTGCTATATAGAATACTAAAATTTAGTTAAATAAAATGAATTTCAACACACTGGTATGCACTTTATATAGTACAGACTGTACAGTGCAGTGTACTCACTAGCAAAATTGAAAGCATTCTATTGTTTTTACTGTTGCAACATAAGCTAGTATGAAGCACTTTAAATTAGTACAAAGGCCTATTACAAAATTTTTCTCAGTTGTTTACAAACCTGTTTGACAGGAATGAAACGTCCTGGTCCAATTTCCTGGTCTCCATCAATCTCATCTTTGACCTTATCAGTTTTCTAGATTAAAAAATTGCATGGATAATTTAATGCCAACTATTGTATTATGAATTGAAGGTCAGGGGTCCAAGCCTGCAAAGATGAAGGAAATAAATGCCTTCCTAAACTTTCAAAGTAATAATCTAATAATTCCTTGCCAATGATCAGACATATTTTGAAGCATTCAAAGAACACATACACACTGTGTAATACCAGGGGGGAGATACCAGGTTTAGACCTGTTTTCAGGCTTGAACCTGTCACATGAAAATGTGCTCAGATGTATATATATATATATATATATATATATATATATATATATATATATATATATATATATATATATATATATATATATATATATATATATACAAAATGCTTTAGGTAAAGTCTATACTCTATAACTTAACTAATCCAACACCAGATAATGTGGTAATGGACAAAGCACAATCAAAGTACACAATTAAAAACTTACACTTCCAAAAATAACAGTTCTTCTTCGTGTTGTCCTCCCCTTTGATGAAGGTGTTGACGATGGACTAACAGTGTCAGTTGTTCTTGAACTACCACTGCTCATTGTTGAACTAACAGATGTAGGTCGCCCTTCAGTTGCTGATGGTGGTGATAGCAAGGTATCATATGATGTTAGTACTGCAGAATCTCTGTTTGCCATTTTCTCTGAAGCTAAACAACAGGAATAATAGAGTGTCAATATAAGGCTGTGTGGGAGGGGACTGTCTGTGCATTTGCAAGTTGGATACTGGCCCTTTAAGTTTAATTTTTTGCTTACATTGTGCTTAGATGCACTTTACATCTAGTATTTTGGCCTGACTAATCTTACTTGTTAGTAGAAGAAATGTTAGTAGAGGAAAAGAAGTGTGTACTAGTACTAGGAGTAGGTTTAGTCTGCCAGTTTCACTGTTGATATTTATATTTTCCAAAAACTGGAATTAAATATATGTATATATTACTACCTATGAACTACCTTTTAACACAAATTTTATAAATTTCCAAAGTAAGCAAAATACATATTTAAATATGTACAATTCTTCAGCAAAATTTTCGTAACAGTAGCGTTGGCTACAAAAAGATTCAATATAAATCTTTCCTTCGTGGTATTTATACTGTCCGTGTAATTCTTTGTGTCAACTTGCGTAACAATTTTGTACGAGTAAACATGAATATTGTAAAGAAATTACGAAAACCATTATAGTTTACGTATATTACAGTCTTTCTCCTGAAAACTGTAAAATTCGGCGTTACTCAAACAGACAACATGCGTTTGACAAAGTGTTAAATATTACAAATAGCGTGTCAATGTCAAAGATAACGAGGATATAATATTAAATGTAAGATTAAACAGAAAGTTAGAATATCGATCATTGTTCGTTGGAGACAACACTTGGGGCTTCGCAATTGTAAGTCTGCCGCGTTCGATCAGTATTTTATACCAGTATTTACATTTGTCTGTGTCGAACATTTTATGAATATAGTCAATATACTTACAACATTTTTATGGCTTAGAGTTTTGTGTTTGAACAAAGTGGAATCACTATAGTGGAATCACTATCAATATAAATGAATTTCGTATTGCTCTCCCGTAGAAAAATTAGTACTTCTACAACTTTTAAACAAAAGGCCAGCGTCAAGAGCATCCAAGTTTATTAATAATAATACGTACGTATGATGAAAGGAACGCATAGTGAGATAATTTGCATGATAAATAGAACAAACTGGACGCATTTTAATAGCTAAAACTTACAGACATACAATTAGAATGGGGGTTATGCAATCTACAAATTCCCACAAAGCGTGCAGCCATATATTATATAAAATTTCTTGTCATAATTTACTGTAAAGAAAAGTGAAACTACTTGAGTTTTATACAAATTCACATTTCACACACTTAAAATTCTAATGAGGAGGATCAACGCCAACGGAACTAAATGTTATCTTGACATGATATACTGGACTGCCAGGCATATAATAGGACCTTTGCGACTTTAGGTACTGTACAGCCCTCTTGCTCAGAACTTTATAGTTCTGTCCATGCACGATGTACGAGACCTATTGACATTGACTCACATTTCATCGATATGGCGAATATCAGTAACAATTTACAAGTAATGAGGAACTATTACAAAGCATGCAACCTGACACTGTGCCTATTGAATTCCTCGCCACAGTAATACAATCGTGTCATATTCGGTATTTGTTATTAAACTAGAGTCAGATGAACTTATAAACTACTGAAAGTTTAGTAAACGGTCAAAAAGATTCTAATATTAATTACTTCGGCATTTCACACAACAATGTCGCAAATAATCTTTCCGACTCTTCCGTTAATAGGCAGGTAGAGTGGCTCGAGAAAGCCAAACAATTTATTAGCCGAGTAAAATAAACAAAATCGTCAATTAATGCTTTATATGACAGTAGTCCCTATAAACTAAATCTAGGATTAATAATCGCGTAGTAGAGAATTAAACTACTTAGAGCTGGTTTTCAATTAACTTGGTAAATTAAAATTAAGGAATACCGTCAATGTTTGGCGTCTTCGATTCGAGGATAGCTGCTTGTAGATCTTCCCAGCTCGTAATAACATCATATGAGCCAGAAAGTTGAAAACTTCGTCGCATCATTTTTTCAAATGAACGACAAGCGAGCAATAATCCAGCACCAAATTTACTCACATTTGCCGGTGTTGATTTTGAAACGCTATGCCTATGATCGTCAACTCCAGGCAACAAACTAACCAGTTGTTTTGCATCTTTGCCACACTTGACGGCTTGCTCCGAAGTGCTCACGACGGAAAAACGAGAAGTCTCACTACCGCTATTGTCAGTCTTTGAATGCTTCGAGTTTTTGAAGAAAAACATCGTTCGCTCTGAACACCTGTCTCAGTATTTATTGAAAAATATTATCATCCGAAGAAGACGAACTTCCTTATGTCCTATGTTGTACAATAATACGCGAAGCGATAAGTAAACAATTGAACATGATTCCTTGTCCAATACACGGAGCCAGCAAAGGAAAGAAGAGACTTTACCTCACACTGTTGACATTTAAATTGTACTTTACCAAGTTCTGGTGATATTTAATATTATATAATTATACATCTCGTTCTCATGAGACGTAATATCCGCTTTGCAGTCGAAAAAAAGTGTAAGGTTTCGCCGACTATGAAGAACTCACTTAACCCACGCATAACAAACTTGGACACACCCAGAATTCATTTCAACACGCACAGGTGTTATTGTTTTTAATAGATACTGATTACAGGGCATTACTGCAACCTGTTGTTTTCTAAACAATTTTGACGTTAGTCCTTTTAGAAGAGTTTAACATGGTGCAATGAGTAAAAACTCCAGTTTGGGAATTTCATCACGAGGTATGAAGAACAGAGGATACCGTATGCCATCTTAAAATCAACATATGCGGGAACTTCAAACTGCTTATATGGCTCCACCGGTATATGACAGGAGGAAAGAAAATATCTATATGGATTAACAAATGTCCTATACCCTGCAGGACCAGCAACCGCAGTGGGGAACCGCGTTTGCGATGCGAAGTAGTTTAATGGGGAGATCTTTAACAAAACAATTTTGGAAATAGGGAAAGAAAATATCGACATGGATTTTCTTTATTATTGCAGAATTCAGTTACTGATTTCCCTTATTGCAAGAGGTATTGATCTATTCGAAACCAATGTGTTCAGTCTGCAGAGGCTAATAATTCTTCACTGTGCTCGGTTTCCCTGAGATCCAGAACATACTGCCATCCAGTAATGCTCTTAAATCGCCACACCAATTCTTGCGTCAAAAATATTCGCGATGTGATGTATGGCAGGTTGCCTTAGCTAGCGATGTCATTGTTGATAACCCTTTTTAAGTTGGATAGGTAATCCTAAGCCCACCTGTCATGGAGGAGGAGGACTTGTTGCTTCGCATCTCATCGAGTTACTTTGATTAGTTCTTTTGAATCGATTCTATCCAAAGCAAAGGCGAATCTGTGGGCGAATGTAGCTCCGGAACACTTATATATATAAAGAATATAGTGTGACTCTCGCTCGAGAATCGCTTTTTGTGCGGTGGACTCTTGGTAACGACGCCAACAATCGCTTTGACTCTCTTCATCTTTTGGTACGACGGCAAAGTCTTCTTTCCCGACTTTCAGGTACATTCGACACCGTGGTTTTCTCGGCATTGCTGTAATGGTCTAGGGCTCATGTCTCTTCAACTATAATATATACGTCCAAGTATCACAGCCTCCTCCACACCCGGGAGTTTCCTAGTGGAAAACTTTGATCACCTGTCGAAAAATTATGGCTACCGCTACCGCGTATAAAGTCCGAGTGCCTAGAGAGGTATGGTAGACCAGAACTCTAAGGTAAACGATTATTTTTATGAATTGTTCCTCCGCCGGCAATTCTGATTGAAGACGAGCTGTCCGAAGTAATAAGTATCGCGTGTAAAGACCGAACAAATTCCGTAAATGGATTAAAATTGCTTTTTTAACCCACGTTGATCTGGGATTTTTTATACACAGGAAAGCAGGTCGTAGGTGATATTTGGACGTTTAAAAAACGCAACCTCGAAATTTCCCACGAAATCGACTTTGTTCATAATTACACTACGCGACCTGTCCGCCATCGTATGTGACGGAATGATAATTGTAATCTAAATAGGCCTTTACGGCTCAAAAGAATTTGGTTTCCTACGAATCTTGAATGACTTCTACCAGTATTATATTCCAGGGCAACAAAGCATTTTAAATTCCTGGACGTGTAATAATCTTCTATTTAATTATATAGTTCTATTTTGTGGAACAACTTGACAGCCTAGCGCTTTGAATGGCGAAATGAACCCCTGGGGAATCTCTTTTGTGTTTAAGAATAAAGTGGATTATTTGGGGAATTCCGAGTTCGCGTAGTTTTATACGCTGTCCAGGGTGAGAGCACCTAATGCCTTACATGTTTGGTTGTAATATGACAGACGTTGTTTTGAAAAAGTGAATCATTGATTGATCTAAAACATAAATTTTGTTCCCATGTTTGCATATGAGTTGGCGTCAGTTTTTTTACGTACCCTGCATGTATATGTTATGTAATACTAAAGTTGTACAGAAATGCTGTACTGTAATGTACTGTACATTACAGTACATTACAATTTCTACATTACAATTACATTACAATTACATTACATTACAATTTAGTACATTGAATTTCTGTACTGTAATGTTGTACAGAAATGTTGTACAGAAATGTTGTACTGTAATGCTGTAGTGTATAAAATTTCCTAAGAAATCAACCTTGTTCTTGAGCACAAAAGTATGACCTTTGGGTATTTGGAAGTTGAAACAGCTTGTAATCGTATTCATGAGGAATAACATGAATTATAACAAGTCATTTTCTTAAATATTAAGGAAACAGCTGATGAAGCTTACCTAATTGGAACATTTGGTTTACACTTTCTCCAGTTTCCAGACAAACTTCGATATAAGTAAAGTTATTTACATCGTTCAAGCGTCTTCTAATTTGACTGCAATGATGATTTGGACTCGGTGCACAGTTTTTTCCATGTTCTGACAAAGAGAAATAAATTTTGAAAAAAAGAAGAAAAATAAATCAAATGTATAGGGATTGAAGAAGGCGAGCTAAATCGTGCTAATCCATGGGCATGGGAATTTAAATGTTGTCTCGAGCCCTAAAATTTCTCACAAAAAGCCTTGACTGTAGCTGTAAAATTCTATGGAATTGCCTCGAAAATGAATAAGGAATCCTTATTTGCTCATAAAGGCTCTCATTTTTTTACTCACTCTTGAGAAAGGAATTTATGAACTTCAATGCCACATGCGACTCTCAAATATACAATGTTTTTACATGCATGCAGGCTAATCCTTTTTTTTTACATGGAGCTATGACATTACTGACACAGATACAACTATATGTCAGACGTTGAACTAATGATGGCAAACTCCAACTGGCGAAACCACATCACAACCACAAGAGAAATGCCAATTGATGCCTAAAAATCTCGTTAGAACCGCAGAGAAAAAGCCGATATTTCGCTACTCGCTATGCATTAGCTAATCCAAATCATAATGCAGCTTTGCAATAGTATACTCAACTAAGTTTTCGCTAACAATAACAAGTATATACTATTAATAGCAGTTAGGACTGGCCATTACCTTTAATCCCCACTAAGAAGATGGGAATGTCCGATAAATCTCTGTAGTTGGACATTCTCGAAAAATAACTGGGTAAAACACTCGAACTAAGCTCGTCATCAATATTGAATACCAACATTAGACCATCCAACCAATACACAAACTATACAAAAAAATACTGTAATTATAGAAACTGAATTATAAAAACGAAATGGACAACTTTCATTTTCGGTGGTAATTTTTCTATCGGAAATACAGTACTCCGTCTGTCGTAAAAAAAGCAAAAGTTTACGAGTTGCGATGAAACGGGGCCAGAATTTAACTGAATTGAAAAATCATTTTTCCATTTTGAAAATTACAGCTAGAAAAACCGTTTTCGCGTGCAGTAACCCCCAGCTCCTTGCCTTCTTGGCCCAGAAAAATAACAACCTTCTTCCTAGGCCCAGAAAAATAACAACCTTCTTCCTAGGCCCAGAAAAATAACAACTTTCGACCTTAAAATGGTTGTTTGATTTACCACGTGTAATACGTATGATTATATCCAGAAGTTTTAGCCATTCTAAGAGGCTCCCTATCCGTGCAAGGTGGTGGATTTCGCTCTTCTTAACTGAAAGGATGTCCACTATTATCGATAATCACACAAATGTCATTCATACTACGGATTCTTATTAGTTCAATGCTACGGCTTTTCAAAAATCTCTCTAGTGATTAGCACCTGAGATTCTGGTGATCCAGTTTCGTTTCTCATCAGTAAAAGGTAACTTTGACCATCAACAAGTACTTCCTTCTTATGGCATCCATTTAGTCTTTCCTCTTTAGGACATTCACCAGTCAAATATCGATGAATTAATGCTGATTTGCCAGAGGTTATGCTACCAACTACACCCTGTGAAAAGAAATAGTCCAGTTTATATATGACAGTCAGCGTTCAAAGGTTAAGCAACCTATAATTGACGTTATATAACATGCATCAGTTAAGCCCAAGTACTCCTCCCTATACGGTCAGAATTGACACTACAGCAAATAAGGCAGGTCAACGGTCACCGTACAAAGCCTTTTATTACAAGGCATAACTACCGACATATTTTCCTGCAAAGCTCTGGAGATATCTCGAAAGACTGACATTTAAAAATCGATAAAGGATCGTTGGAATATCTATAATTCTTTGCATATGCAACGTCTTAGGGTGTGATAAAAGGCCAGTTCACACGGTCACGGGCAATTTTTCGATAGCTGTGATTGACTAAGTGCAAGTTACGGAAGTTCAAAAAAGGGCACTTATATACCGAGCAATCATAACTATTCACTTATTGCATCCATCAAAAGAAGAAAATTGAAACTCTGTCTCTGTCTTGAGGCATAAAGTTGAATGAGCTGATCATTTAACTTTAAGTTGTCCTGTCAAAACTTTGAAATATAAACATGCATACAGGCCTTTTGCAGGAAATGTTTTTTTTACCTGTTAGGCTTTTCAAAACCGAAAATATCTTTGAAGCGAATTTGCATTCTGTTGAGTGTTGTAAGTTTTCCATATTTGCAGAGACAAATTTTTATGCTTACGATTCTAAAAGTCCACAAGCTCTTTCGAGTTCAGGGTGTAGGACAGCCATAATGGAATTACACTTAGCTATACTTCAACTAAGGGTAAGAACGTCATTCTGCCATATATGCTTCCGGCTGAAATTGAAAACATCCGACTAAAAACACACTTGTCGATTTGTCCAGAGAATGTGTCCGTCACATCGCTTTCACTATTTCGAACCGTCCAAGGAAGGTTTTGTATAAGTTAAAGCCTCAAAAACATGTTCATTCAGTTTTCTAGGATTAGGATATCTGACCCCATAACCAACGCCCAAGTTTTTTTTAGAATTATCAATTTCTTTGTTGTGAGTAAGGAGTAGGCAGATCATGGCATTTCAGGTTTTTTGTTAGCTTATTAAAATTGTGATATTCGACTACGACCTAGAAGGAATTTATCTAGTTTGTCCTAGTGTCATATTCAACTATAATTATTTGAGTGGATTATTATTGTTGTTGCAATAGAATGTTTTATTTTTTCACTTAGAGTAGACCTTAGTTTGTATGTAAATTAAACCATTAAATCACATGCTCTAAAATGACCAACTATGCATCATTAAAATCATTATATCATCAGTTTGTATTTATTATCAGTTTCCCATCCTTTATTTAACCTGCACCTTCATTGTTAACAATTGGTTTAAATTACATATCCACGATTCAAAATTTCAAGAAAATTTATTATAAATAATTTCACTATCATGTGAATTGAAATAGCACCTGTCCATCCTACAAAAAATGCTCTTAGCAATAGCTTTTTGTTCAAATACTAGATTGACCAATTAATAAATTACTAGCATGCTTGTTAACTGGAAGTTGAATAATTTTTGCACAAATTAGTTGAATAACTTTAGGTAATAAGTTTATGGAAATTTTTATTACCCTTCCATTACAATAATATACCTGTAAGTATTTTAATGCATGATTTAGATATTCTAATTTTTTAGCTAAATGGTGAAAAATTTCAAATAAAATTTGGGGAATGATTACAAATCCTTCTGTCAATCACTTCTGTCAATCAAGAAATATACATTTTGGCACTTTCCCATGTGCAGATGGGAAATGTTTCAAAGGAAAGAGTTGCTAAAAAGTTTGGCATTCAACTTTTTTTAAATTTTATTGACAGATAAAGTAAACTAAAAGCCTCTGAATTTACACAATATGACTAGTTGTATTCCATTCTCATCTTAATAAAACTTAAGTGAAAAAACTAGCATACTAGGAAAACTAGAGTGAGCAAACTAGCATGCATATGATTTAAACAGAACAAATTCTGAATCTCCTTTTGCAATCAGAAACAGAAAATATTCTACCACTTTCTGCTTTTTAATTAAAGTACATATAAATTTATTTAGTTGAGATATATAATGGGCTATATAATCATTGGAAATATTACACAATCCCATAGCATTTTTAAACTTCAGGAAAATATATTCTATATATCTGAACTTGCCAACCAGAAATACAGTAGGATACAAGAAATAAAATGATCAGACAGTCCACTCACCAACTTTAATTCAGAATCAGAAGATGGCTTTACTGCATTGAATTCTGGGCTATTCTGGAAGCAATCTAAAAAGGTAATTACAACATTAAACAGTATTTCCACAGTCTAAAGCAGAGTGAATAGAATTAAAATATGATTAGGCACACATTGCAATATTAAGAATATTTTTTGAAAGAACTAAGTTATTAGGAAACCACCAAACCGTAATATTAGGCAATGCTGCACAAGTAAAAAACATCCAGAGTATACAATTGATCATGAAATATTTGAGAATAAGAATGTGCAAAATAATGGGGAAATTAAAAAGTTAAATAACCATAAAACTAGTTGAGGGGAAAACAATATTCTACATTTCTACTTAAAATTATGGATATTACAAACATTAATAACAACTGAAAACTATTAAGGAACTAAATTCTGTATTGACATATTCCCCCAAATACTTAATAGCCAGACAACCATGAAAGAATAACAGGGATATTGCATTTATCATTCTTGAATATTACTAGCATAAACTGTCATATATTGGACTAAACAAAGTTGGCAGATGGTAATTTGCAGAAACATAGTTTTTTTACCACCCAAACTGACAGAGATTGACAGTGATAAGTTGCCTTTTGTTCTCAGGAATATAAAATTTCCATTAGACAACTTCCTGAAAGCAACACATCCTTAAATGTTATTACAAGTTGATCTGTTCAAACAAATAACAGGATTTCAACCTAATCATCAATTATTTTTTATATCATGAGTTTCTACATCCAGCGGAAATTGAAATCTCAGCAAAAACTGACTAAGGTTATACCAAACATCGTCTTAAACATGGTTTATATCACACGACATATATTTTTGTAGCTAAATAATGCGTACAATGCTCGGTATTTTGAGTATGTTTGTAGCGTACCAAGCAGTATTATTATTAAAACCCCGCCAGGACTATAAACTGCTTATGATGAAAACAGAGATGAAAATAACTTCTCTAAAATGCTTTGAAAGAAATAAACACCAAAAATATTTCTTAGTTTGGCAGTTTTATGAAACGGAGTAATGGCATGCGATGCATTCATAGTAAACTTCTATCATCAGTTATCGCATAAAACTTCAGAAATGCCCTTGTTGACATTGAATAACATCGTATGACATTTCCTAAGCTCCTATTCACAGCTCATTCATCAGCAGGACATCCCACGAAGGTACAACATCATTTGAGGTCTTCCCCATGAAACGTTCAGTGAAATTAACGATTTATGTACAAAATACATCGATTTGTCGAGAACGTCAACGATAATAAATTGCATTTATTCTTAAAAATATATTTAAAAAATATCTTTTAAGAGCAAGAGTTTAAAGGGTATCGGGTACATAAACATTAAAAGAAAGCAGACTAGCCGACAGACGGTCCGACAAACAAATACACCTAGTAATTTATCGCGATAAATGCAAGCGAACTACATGAAACAGATAGCGCAATGGAAGGAAACAATTTAGAAATTTCGTCTAAAATAAACATGGACTCAGTTATCATAATTTTTCTTCGCCAATATCAGCGGCAGCTGTTCCGATGCGAGTTTTGAAATAATTGTAGCTTTTTTAAAGCCAAAATTTCTATACTAATGAATACTTTTAAAATTCATTAACGTGCGGCAACTCCGCAACTTCGAGTGACAAGTGAAATAAACATTGTACAAACACGAAGAGGTACGTGTAGAATATGTTCTTGTTACGACATACCTTCGATATTATTCACCAGCTCCCGCATATGAATCTTCACAGGAATATTATCAATTTCTTGGAGAATGTTGTATAGTTTATCTAAAGTTTGGTGAAGGCTCTCAAATCTCATTGCCTCACGACGAATAGCACAGGCCATTGAAGGGATCGGTTCGGTCATGACTTGGTCTAGCTGCAAATCCTTCTCTTTTTATACGAACACAAGTTACGTACATTCGTTTCTTTGTTGTAATATTATTTTGCCAAGCCATTGGTCAGAGCGACAGCTGCCAGATGCTCTCTTTTGAATGCAACATGATTGTGAAATTTGATAAAGTCGATGAAGTTTGAGATTCTTTATTGACGAGCCTTCAACTTCTTAGACTGCGGTCTGCAATAAACATATCACGTCGCTAAATCCCCCTATGAATCCTTATACCCCTTCATATACATCATTATCCCACTTTAGCCCTACTCTGCGAGATAAGAGCTAGGGCCGACCCACTGGTCAGACCTTTCTATTTTCAAGAATGGACCTCTTGCAGAATAGACCAACTTTATATGATCTTGTATTCTCTTCGCGAGCCATATTTTCCGTAATTTACAATATTTCGCAGCCAATCTTGGCGAAGTTTTGTCGCCTAAATGAAAAGTTGTTCTATTGTATTATGCAAGTGGTCCTTTGGTGCAAAGAATCTAACAACCTGTTGTCCCTAAGGGACAATTTCTGATATGAGTAGGTATAATAGGATAAAGAAGATAGTTTAAGGATGCCTTAGGAAAAATAAGAACTTATAAAGAAGCCATTTAGAAAAAGAAGGGTAGAAGCCCCCGGCACGCGTGCTTTCTTGGGGGGGGGATAAGAATTCCACAAAAAAGGAGGGTGGAAGCCAGCGACACGTGTGCTGCAGACATCACTCATAAAACAATGTTTTTTTGAATTGAGAATTTTTTTTTGGAGCACTGTCCGCCACAATCCAAAGGAACCGAAGGGACTGGGAAAATATTTTGTAGCCACACAGAAATGATAAAAACCCAAGCACTCAAAGGCCAAAAAAAAAAACTTCATCCAATCACATAACAATCTATTGTTGTATTCAAAGACACGCGTAAACACTTTTGTTGTCATAGATACACTGCGCTCCTCTCCTTTATATTACAGAAACCTCCAATGTGTTTGTGTGTAAAGCATGCTATGAGGTCATGTCATAAGCTTAGGCATCGGATTCCTTATTTATTTTTGTTTATTCAATAAGGCTCATGCGATATTTCTCATCCGAACAAAGATGATCGACACTCGTACTAAAACTAGGAACGCGAAAACGAGAGCACTTGGTGGATAGCGAATAAACAAGAAGGTCTTTTGATCGTCAAAAGCCGATAGAGATCCAGTATCCTCCCAAATAGTTTGCTGTTAATCCGAGGCTTTCTGCCTCAGCAACCTGCACTGAAATTAACAAGCCTGGACAAGGAGCAAAATACTAAGTAACACGGTGTCATTGTTTGACAAAAAAAAAGTTGGTATCCCAAATCCCGTTCGATATATCACTTTATTTACTTTACTTTACGAGATTACTGCTAGTCTTACTGCTTCTTGTTCAAAGTGAAATCAAATTTAAAAATATTAAGATATTTTTGAAAGCGATGAAAAAACATCAAATTCCAGTCAATATCAAGTGCAAGTTCAATATTTACACAATATATCAACCTTGTGAGGAGCCATTTCGACCACTGGCACTTTTGGCCGCTGGGAATTTAATTTGTATATGTGTAGGAAAAAAGGTTTTTTATAACAAGTCGTAAGCCTTTCCTTCACCTTAGTCTATCTTTTAAGGGCCTGCGAGCGGGTTACTCAAAGACAAGACTATTATTATCTTCGCAAGCAGTTAGACAAAATGAAAAATATTAACCTGAAATTTATATCATAATCTGTAGTGTAGGATGCTTTATCAAATGACTCAATTAAAATTATTATCATTTCATTATTTATGTTTATGACTCAATTAAAATTATTATCATTTCATTATGTTTCATTATTACGTACAATTAAGTTACCTATACTGATTACATAGTGTTTTACTTGAAATCTTCTGCACTAAAAAGACCCTATGAAAAAATAAACGAGACAAAGTTACTGATGCTGTGCAGTGAGTGTACTTTCTCCCACTCACTCTAACTGCCACAATATTGAATCGGCATAAATCATACATGCTTTCCACTTCAATATTATATTCTGCTTTATTTCTTAGCTGCACAAAGGACAAATGGCGACAAACTATTAATTGTTTTACTTAAAAAAAGTTCTTGTGTTCCAATACTACCACTTTAATACATAGGCCTCAAGACTTATAAGGAATAGATTGACGTGTAATCCGGCCTTGCATTTTACGTGTTTCTTAGGTATTCGTGGAGATTACTTAACGATGGTTCATTTAGACTCCCCCGACACCCGGTGCTCACATATTTTCCAAAATTTGGTTTCAAAATAGAATTTATTTGCCTTTGAAAACTAACATTTAGCGTCGCCTAATCGTGTCCGGCTTGTGTTGGCCTAAAGTTGGATTTTGTCTAAACCGGAAAAGTCGGTCGATAAGGTGTAAAACGGCTTTTTGCATGTCATTTACGTGATCTCAGGACTTCATTGGTGTAATTCGTTACTACTACAGCCAGTTACTCTTTCTACTGCATGCAAACTGTACCTTAGCTCTTCGCAAAATGGAATCTTTTGAAGGATCGTACGGATGATGTTTTGAAGGAATTTCTAGCACAGCTGGGACAGCATCTGCATAACCGTCTAAAACATGGCGAATTTCTTCGGCTATCTAAAAAATTATTCAAAATATTGCGAAGTTAAAGATTCCTTTCTATATCCCAGGTTCACGATGGACAACCTTAGCTATACCGTGGGGGAGTTGAGTCCCAATTCGATCGGCGTTATGTAAGAAATACGTAATGAAATTGCCGCAATACTTACTATTTGGTTAATCAATATGATGGCAATATCGTTACGATTTGTAAAAGTCTTGAATGTTTCTTCAATTTCGCTAACTGACGTGTCTAAAAACATACAGTCATGTAAATCCTCGATATTTAGATCAATGTGATTGCAGTAGTTCCTAATTAGTAAAACAAGTGTGCATGAGCAAGGATTCAAGCGAGTTACCTTTAACTGAAACGTCCATTATAGACAATAGATTGACCAATGAATAAATTACTAGCATGCTTGTTAACTGGAAGTTGGGTAATTTTTGCTCAAATTAATTGAAGAACTTTAGGTAATAGGTTTATGAAAAATTTAATTACCCTTTTCTTAATATACCTGTAAGTATTTCAATGCCTAATTTATCCTACTTTTCAATCTGAATGGTTAAAAATATTACATCAAATTTGGAGAATGATTACAAATTATTCTGTCAATCAAAAAATATACATTTCAGCACTTCCCCATGAATGCACATGGGAATTTTAGATTAAAATGTTGATATTCAACTTTCTTGAAATTTTACTGACTCACAAACCGGCTAAAACTAAAAGCCTCTGTATTTATAAAATCTGATTTAATAGTTGTATTTAATATAGTTAATCAGGAGGAAATGATCCAATTAGATGAGCTTGACTCGCTGAGCTATATAATAATTCCACTAGATATAGCTCAGTGGAATGAATGATCAATATACTGTAGCTTGGCCAGTATAATAAGCTTAGCATGCTAAATATCGTGTGAATGTCATGGAGATATCAAAGTTCCGTATTTTTTTTGCCAATTCAATGTCTACAGAAATACGTAACGCATCATTCTTGGATTGCGATGCTGGAAGAATCAAAATACTTAAACGCGCATTATAAAAAAAAAGACGCCTTAACAACCTCGTCGCTGAAGGATCAACTCTCATCGCTACGTGATCTGACCTTAGAGAAAAACAATTTCTGCTCTGTTATTAAACACGACAGTAACGAACGGGTGAGTAGGATTGTAAAAAAAGTTGTGCAAGGGGAGAATATCAATGTGGTGGTTTAGAAGAGGTCAAATACTGCGGGAGATGGATTGGAAGAGGATGAGAAAAGCATTGAATAAAGATTTCCTGTTCTCTTGCAAGAATGGTAGCATAGATAAGAAGTTCACTTCACCATTAGAACAATTCCTCATTGAACGAACCCAATAATCCCACCGTAATGTTTGTAAACTTCTAGCTTACAATAAGAGAACATCGTGATCGTTTTAATCTCATGAATTTGGGCCAATCGCTTTTATCCAATCCTCATAACATAACTAGCTTCAACCTACAAAATCTAGCCTCTGATCTCAAGTCAGGAAAGTTCGGTGTGGAAAAAAGAAAGGCTCAGAAATGACATTATCTTTGTTGTTCCCACTACAGCTAAGAGGAACTCATAACAGTGGGGGACTAGAGGTTTGGTTGGACAAGCAACAAGATATAAGTGTTAGAATATCAATCAAGCATAGGAACTGTCAGAGTTGTGGTGGCATTGCTAAAGGAGTACGGCCTGAGAACCACACATTGACCATTGATGTTCAGGTTGCTGGTATACTGTAGATAGATTGAAATTTGTAAGATTCCTTTAAAGTTTATTTACAGACATTATACAAGTACATTATAAACACTAGAGACTGTACTGACAATAGACACATCAAATATAATATAAATCAACTATACAACCATATCAATGTTTTATTATGATCTAAGCATAACATTTAAAGAAATAACTGTGACACCTACTGGGAAAGAGAGACAGGGGTGTTCACTTCTTTTTTTGTTTTTGTTTACTTTACTTTAGAGAATTTTGTATGGTTTACATTTAATAGATTTTAAAGTCATAATCACAAGGACACACTTGTTAACATTACATATCTTATACTTAGGGTAGTGACCACACTGAGAATCAGACTAGGTTAGAAAATTTGTACCAAATTCCCTATGCATCATTGAGGAAAGTGCACTCATTTCCGAACAGTGTAACTGCAGGCAGAAAAGGCTTTCTGATCACTATCACTTATATATATATATATATATATATATATATATATATATATATATATATATATATATATATATATATATATATATATATATATATATATATATATATATATATATATATATATATAGGAAACAATTGTAACTACCACGGCCAGAAGTAAAACTAAAAGATTTTATTAAAAATATACTAAGCTTAAATTTTCGGCCACATGCCGCAGCCTTGAAGGCTGCGGCATGTGGCCGAAAATTTAAGCTTAGTATATTTTTAATAAAATCTTTTAGTTTTACTTCTGGCCGTGGTAGTTACAATTGTTTCCTATATGTCTTTGCTACCGAGCAGTGTGGGAATACTTGTTGGTTATATATATATATATATATATATATATATATATATATATATATATATATATATATATATATATAATATAACAACCCTGTTTACAAAACATATACTATAGACTGAGAAGAGTTGGGGTTAACAAAATACATATACATAATTTTGAGCTCAATTTCAGTGATTCAAACTTGAAGAAAAAAAATGGAAACTGTTGAAAAACGCAGTCCAGTTGTCTACATCGATTATCAGAAAGTGAAATTCAAATAAATACCTTTGGTCACAACGAAAAAGTTCTTTTGTCGTTTATCATTAATTTCACCAATTCCTCCCAAGAGAAAACCAGTACAGGTATCCTGTATAATTGTCATCTTTCAGTAAAACATTTATATAAAACTTTGATGTAAAATGCTATGTTGAGTTGATGACCTATTAAATATTGTATTGACCAAGTTTTATTGTTGCTTAAAATTTACTAGTGAATACACCGAATTATATATTATTATAAAGTATATCAGACTAACTTCGTCTCCAATCACAGCAATAAGTCTTCCTTTAGATACTTTAGAAGATACAACTCTTCCTCCTGTTTTGCTCGCCATTTTGAATTATTAATTTCGTCACTGGACTATATTCTATAAAAACACTGGATGGAGGAAATTTCTCGCGCAGTTTCCCCCTTCCGGCTTTGCCACAGAGGTTCTGCCATATTCGATACACTGACCTCGCAAAATTATGAAAGGTTTTTAAAGGGGAGAATCTTCAAGAAATGTCCAAGGCGATAAAAGCGCTCTTATCATTAGTATGGCTCAAAATGTCCTGGCAAAGGATTGCATTCGCACTTATGCCACGGTGTTTCCAAATTCCAACCATAAAATAGCCTACCTACGGTGCTGCAGGATTGGACACTAGGGCATTTTTCATCTAACTACACGTGCGTTGATACAGCATGTCTTGCACCCATGATACCAGATTAAATATACTAATAAAATGGTGCATCTAGAGCCTTTTATTAAACTAACGTTTCTGTTTTGTTATATTCAAAACCACAACTGCGCCTTACACTTTAAGGCTAGTTTCCACTCAGGAAAAATCTCCTTTGGCTTTGGATCGGAAATTTTCCTTTGTCCGTTTGTCGGTGAGTTCTTAAATGGCGTTTATAGGAAACTTTCCTGTCCTGCCGATCCAAAGGAGAGTGAAAACTAGCCTTTAAGCACTACATCGGATTAGTAACTTTAATATAGTACAGTATTCTCCGAATTGCTTTCATTATATTTATCCCGGAAATCACACCCAGGAATCGGTATTGAATTACAACAAATACTAAGAAATATATATGCTCATGTTCGACCATTCGACCGATCTCTTGTTCAACTGTGGAAATTTGTGTTTAAGTAAAGTCGCTGAGAAAATTGAGATACTCATAGCAAAATGACTGATGAGAGAGCTTCACTCCGTGATCGCGACCGACGAAATTATGGTTATGTGATGTCAAATATATCACTGTTGCAAAGACAGCAGACCCCGGTAGATGAACCTGTCCCCCAACATGCTTGGTACTTTGGTTTAATATCGACGTTTTATTCACACTGTTCTAATATCGCCGTGCTGTGTGGAGGTCCGTGGTGTGGATTCTTTGGTGGGAAACTTGAAGCGTTAGTTAATATCATTTTTTCACCTTGTATCGTGTTAATGCAAGCTGTCAACGAACAGCGTACGTATTTCAGACAGTCTGGTATTGTGTATTTGTTTCTATTTCTTACTACAACCGTGGTTGTAAATCTTATCGTCCCGCTGAAAAAAATCAAGGTTTCCAGCGCTAACAATATTCAACTATATTTCGTATTTGGATGTATAGTGGTTGCGATAAGCATGATGCTTTACTTGTGGCTTTTTGCTCGTGAGACTGTTGAATACCGCGACTGGAGCTTTCGTGCAGGCTATCCACCCGAGGCCTTGATGCGGGTCTTCTATCAAGCCGGGCTATACCTTTTTGGATTTCTAAGTTTCGGTTACAGCTTAGGAATTGCGATTGATCACATAACTTGTGGTGATTCAATCCAAGCGACGCTGCATGTAATGAGAGCCTTGTACATTGTTCTACAAACGCTATTCCTAAACAGATTCTACAAAACTAGAATTCCAGAGGGCACCCTTGGTATACAGATCGTGATGGCGCATCTCTTGGGAACCAATTTAGCGCTGTGGTTCTGGACTTTGTGTGCTGAAGAAGTCAGCGAGCCGCTTCAGTGCACTGGCTACCCCTTCCCACTTGAAAATGCCGACAAGTATTTCTCACCGCTCTTTGTAGAATATTTGTTAATAGCAGCAACCTTGTTATATCAAATATGGCAAGATTTACTGCCGAATGAGCAAATCCTAGCACCACACTGCCCCACATGTGCCTGTCAAATTAACGGAGATGTCGGTGAAGCGGATCAACGACAAGGCGACGAAGACCGTGTCGAAGACCGCAACGTGGAAAGAAGTTTTGGTCGCGGTTATGGCATCATTATAGGTTGCTGTTTTTGCATTGTCTTCATACTTCTCGTCATCGCCTCCGCAGCCACTGGTGAGATGCACCAAATTTACCACATATCTTATTCTGCTGGGGTTATATCCCTCTATTTGACGCAATTCTTCGCCTGTTATATCATCCTTTTGTCCGTCCAATCGCTGGCATGGGACGCTCACAGAACTTCGCTGGACCACGATGATGCTTTACTATACATTTCCCTTGTCGGCAGCCTTTTGTGGGAAGGATTTCATCTCTACAGCCTGATCCTGATCGAATTCAACCCAGGGATTGATGATGGCTTGGTTGCTGATTCCAATGTTCGCCACATAGACATTGCCGCAGACGTGCTAGCACTCCTAGAGTACGTTTTCCAAACAGCGTCGCTGATAAATCTTCGCCGTCATCAGCCGACAAGGGGTCGGAAGGCAACGTGGATTTCTCAATGTCTGCTTTTCCTGGTCACTACAAACATTGGACTGTGGGTCGAGAATTCATTCTTTGTTGAAATCATGATTACAACGCCTGGTGAGAAATACACTTCGATTCAGAAAAATTTGAAGCCGCTTGGATACATCCTACATCCATTAAACATATTCTTTAGATTCCACTCTGCCGTTTACTGCCTTATCACCTGGTCTATCTTTAAAGGCTGATACCCAGGCAAGGGCGTCAATCCTGGGGGGATTGGTGGAGTGAGTGCCCCCCTAATTTTTGCATAGGGGGGACGAATAGCTAATATCCCCTCATACTTACATCTTTATTAATAGTAAAATGTTAAGGCTACACAATAATTTTAATTTTGCATTGCATTGTTGGATTTGCTGCTCGAACACGATCATTGGCTAAAAACGTATTCACACTTGCTCTTTTATTGCTGAATATAAAACATATCGCTTTAACTACCCATGGATAGTTAAAAGACTGGATAGGAAACTCATGGCGTCAGCATTTTAACCTTGTTGAAAATCGTGACGTCACGCACGATATAGCTTGTGCTAAGTTGCATCAGGTTTTCTTGCAATATACTGAACAACTTATTGATTTTTTGAATTAAAAGAAGATTTACTTAAAATTTTGAAAAAATGGAAGTAGAAGATATTTTTGAAGAATGGGATGACAGTAATTTGATGGACATGGTAGAAATAAGTGAAGCCCTATACGATGAGGAAAATGCGATCGATGAATAAGTAGGAACAATCAGTTGGTCTGACTCTATTGTCATCTATCAGCTCTGCCTTGATTATCTCTTGATTATCCTTGAACGCACCGTTGTTGTTATGACGTTTACAAAACTGAATAAGGCTATCATTGCATAAAATACCAGGACAAATGTCACAGGAGTCAACAAAGTCTAACAATTTGATAAAGTCACTTGGGTTTACCAGTTGGTTTGGAATTCCAGTTACTTTAGCAGAGACATTTTTGTTGGAAATTAAGACAATCCAAGAGAAATCTTCATTGACAATGACAGATTTCTTTGCAGCTGGTGTTGCTGTTTTGCTGGTGGAGAAAGTTGAAAGTAGCAAAAATGGATGTCCATGTTGAACCAGAGTCCATAGATTTACTAAAACATTCTTGCCTGTCAGTTCTTCAAAAATTTTGGAAAAATTGTTGATCGAAGGGAGATTGATAACTTCACATGGAAGGTTTCGCAGGTGAAAGTCAAACTTGTTGTAGGAGGGTGCAGAGGGTACAGAGGTTACAGAGGGTACAGTTTTTGGTTTATATTGCCGATGAGAGTATTTTCTTTTCCTTGCCAACTTTATTTTTCCCATGTTATTTGAGTCTAAAAATGCAAAAATAAATAAAAATGAGCATTCTATATGATAAGATAATTGCTAAACATTGACTTTGTATTGGAGACTTGCTGCTTCAACCCAATGCTTGCTGCATTTATATTGTAAACATTAATATTTAATGGTTGCCACCCATACAAACATTGCGCGTACAACACTAAACTTTTGACAAAAAAAAACCTCCCAAAAAAACAAATCTAATTAATTTAATTGTTACAAAGCCACAATTTAGCAGAATATGTATCCAGTGTTTCATGTAACTAAACAAACTCGACAAATCTAATATATATAAATTGCGTCGCAAATTTCGGAAAAACAGACAGTAAAAATAGAGAAAAACACACTATTTTGCGACGCATTTTTCGCAAAAATGAAACAATTCCTTTGTAAACAAACAACGTCCAGACGTACCTTGACTATTGATGTGTGGCGTAGGCTAGGTCATATTTGCCGATAAAAAGAGAAAAAAGAACAAAATGTTACATAAACAAATATAGGTGAAAATTTGAAAAAATCTCAGTCAAAAACATAAGGAAATCAATGCTACTTACGTAAATATTCGCCATCCGTGACATCAGATTTTTCAACAAGGTTTCAGCCATTTTAAAAACATGAAAAACGCGTTTCGACCAATCAAAATGTCCCTAAGCACCCCACGTGACTATAGTTTCCTATCCAGTGATTTTATTATCCATGAACTACCTAATATAACATTATTCATTTTGAAAGTTCGTCCCTCCAAGGTTTAGATGGATTGACGCCCCTGTTAAAGGCGTTTATCTAAAGCGGACATCATAGAAGAACAATATATTATACTAATGTTAATTGTTAATGAGTGCAATGGTACTGAAATATTTTCATGCAATGTTCCATAAGAATATTTTTTGAATTTAAAACAGATTTCATCGCTTTGTGCTATAAAACTGATTAAAAATTTTAACTATTCAAACCAGAAGTACGAATATACAGGGTGTAAAAAAAACTCCAACCGCAACTTAATATTCATGTATGTTCGCTTCTATTCAATAACAAAAGATCGTAGGCCCCTGGGAATTAAGGTTGCAGTTTTTTACACACCCTGTACTCAGAGTTGAAATGCGGTAGGATTGCATGTTTTGTAAACCTTCCTCAAAATGACGTTACGTCACTGAGTCAGGTGGCAACCAGCATAAAGAAATATTTGGTTTTTTGGAACATGCATGTGATCAATTAGATTGCTCAACTTTGAACCTTCCTCACAAACCTCATTCAAAGCAAACCTTCCTCCGAGTGATACCCGCGTACCCGCAGCTTTTTCGCAACTCTGCCTGTATATATATTATACTAAAGTAACTGGCACGGCTCTTTGAAAATCAGCATGTATGATTTCTTACAATTTAATATAAACTATACACCTGAAGTGACGCATAGAGAACAAACACGCCGTAAATAAATTACTGGTAAAGTTCTCATTCAATGTTCTCTCTTTTCAACTCTTTTAAATAATTTTTGTTTAAAATTGTGTAATACGTGTGTGCAATACGAACATTATAGATTTTATAGCTATTAGAAGATAAATTAACTTTCTGTTGTATCATTTATAGAAGATAAATGCACTTTCTGTCGTATCACGTATTCTGTTATCTATAAAACATGACATCGTTGATCACTTTGAGAAACTTGAATTGTTTTAAAGATATAAACCTGACTTGTTTTAAAGATCTTACCTATCCCTTATAATTTGCGGTAGTTAAATAATCTCAGTGAAGGTCCCTAAATGTAGGGGTATAACTATTGCAATGCTAACTATGAGTGTGTGGAGCGGGAAATGTATGGTTGCATCAAAAAGACCTTTGTTACCGCCACTTGTACGCCACATGATATAAAGTCGCAGCCTGTTAAATCTCTTTATATTTCTAAAACAAACCATTGTATTTATATAGAACACACGAATGATTTCTGAATTGTCTTAAATACAAATCCGTGATCTAATACAAAAAAAGCGTGAAGCAGAGTCATCCATGGTCGTCAAGTGTGAAAAAATATCCTCCCCACTCACGAATACACGCTTCATTTTTCCACGCCCCTTCCGTACGACCTCATGTGGAACAAGGGCAATCTCCGGTGCACTTCAAGCTGCACGTTATGTGACGAGACTCTTGTTAGCTACACGCGATGAATGCAGTAATATAGTCATAGCATGCCCGAAGCAGTTTTATCGTGAGTTGCATTTTTGGGCACGTAGTGACGTTATATACAAATTGAAACCATGAACGGCAACTAAATTCTTATTAAGCATGCGCAAGAGTAATAAAGATGAGAACTGTGATCATGGATTTGGATTATGGTGGATTTGGATTACAATTAGGATAGTATCTTAAATAATCAATTTGTAGCAACACCACGTGTATTTGTTATATGTCCTTTAACCCTGGCCTTCAACGGTGCAACCGGGCCGGGTTAACAATCCCAAAGTTCTGCACATAACAAATACATGTGGTAACACGTGGTGCTTTACAATGATTGATTATTTTTACAGCCCCTTACATGGTATATTACGAGTATATTTCAAGCCCGGCAGTGCAAACCTCCAGAACTGGCAACACAGTTAATAGAATCTACATGGTTTGGAGTCTTGGAGACCACATAAAACTACAATATTTTCCGCCTTAATTTATATTTTTAACAACCAAATCTTTTTGTTCAACAGTAGGTGAAAAAAGATGATCATATTCACACTATCCCATCTTTTCGGATTGTTTTATAGTCCTGGGGCAGGTTGTATGAAAGCCGGATAGCGCTATCCACCGCGATAGTGCTTTTTAATCGCTTTAAAATCGTCCGCTGTTTGCATAACTTTGATTAAATCTTAGTATTCCTAAATCAAGGATCCTCTTTAATAATTGTTGGTCGTAAATGACACGAAATTCGTAACATAACAAAAAAACCTGATTTATTGGCACGGCAGCCAGATAATACTAGCCACTTATCGGCTATCTTTAAAAGGGGGGGGGACGAGAAATGGGGGAACCCGGGAATAGAGGAAACTATTAAACGAGTTTTTTGGCTAAATTTTCAAGCTAAATGCGAAATGTTTCGCCTGGTTCTTTTGAATTGTGAGCAATTAAGCAGAATTAATTTATTCACTTGAAATTCAAAAGAAAGAGGCGAAATATCTCGCATTTCGGCGAGAAAAAGTGCCCCTGGAAATAGGCCCTTAGTAAAAGTATTATTTTGTTACAAAACAACCCATATAAAAGTAGCAATTAATAAGCTGAAGGGCTATTGTTTGTAAAAAAGTATTTAATAATAATAATAATAAAATATCACATTTTTATAAGGGGAATCGGGATTCCCCGATTCCCCCTTTTAAAGATAGCGGCCAATTATCCGTGCTCGGTCTTTGTATTCTGAGGTTTGAGCACGGACAAACTTACAAATTTTAGGTCGTCCCGTCCCAGTAAGGTACGAGAGGATACGGGGCTATTCAATTAGGGTATTCTGATGGGTTATTCATAACCCGGGCTAGTAGTTTTATTTGCTAAGGGCTGATTGATGAATTCCGTTGTGCTTGATAAAAGTTTTCGTGTCTTAAATCAGCCAGGTTCATGCATAAAATACTCATGATACTAACGAAGTTTGAAACAACACTGAGAAAATTTACCTTGCGGCAGTGAGACAATGATCTGTCGTATCCAAAGCTACAGCCCTTATCTCAGTTATCTGGTTGAGGATTTGGGAAAACAGCCAAGATATTTCGCTTGCGGCACAACGGCAGATTTCGTGAGTTCAATATCAGACAGTTGGCCGAAATACCGCGTAGAAACATTCGCGAACAGTCAATTATGTTCGGTGCGTATGTAGTATATTAGCGTTAGATAAAATCTCTTTATTTCATGAGATGATTCTTTGCCCAAGTCTTAAGACTCCGGATGTACGTTCGGCACTCTTTTGATTTTAAATTTTTAGTATTCCAAGAATGCACTCTCTTTGTCTAATCACAGCCCAAAGACTCCTAACTATTTTACTTCTTCATGCAAATTTTTCGCTTGTTAATCCTGTTAATCCAGCATGACTGGCAGGCTCATTACATACACCAGTCTTTCATTCCGACAACCGTTTAGCGTACAATGTTAACGTATTCGATAAAAATTCTTTACCAGAGCGAGCAATTTCGGAAAACGAATTGTTAAAATTTAACCTTCAAACCACGAACATGCCAGCATTGGCTTTGTTTCCATGACAACATCTCAACACAACGCCAATAATGTATGACAATCAATAACGACAATCTTCCGACTCCTCTATATACCCTTAACCTGTTTCCTTGCTTTGTTTTAACTACTTGTGGTACAGTGTAGTAGTCGCAATAACAATATAATAATGACCCAAAGGCAATCGATTCAGTCTATTACATGACCTTACATGAGTAAGGAACTAATTCAAATTACGACACCTTTTACGTATATATGTATTTCTGTTCAGAAATAGCCCCTGTCGTCCCAAAATAACGCAAGAAGAAAAGAATCACGGGATCTTAATATAACCTCGCGTGAACAAGGCACAACGAGAACACAAGAACAGAAACAGCGGGAGTAAACAAAAGAAGACAAAATATAAGTCTGCCAGTTCCGGTCTCCCACCTGTTTGCGGCAGTGAGGATTGACAGCAGGCGGTCCATAATATAAATTTTGCCTATATCGATCGTAATAGAAAATTCGCTCACTAGAGACATCACAGTCACCTGATGCTGTCGCCTGGACGACTTCACAAAGTGGTGTAACCGACGAAAATTTAAAAGAAAATGGAGTATGGAGTATATTTTCGGTCGCTGAGCTTGTTTGGCAAACAAGTGAATTACATGGGCATCACATGGTTAACGTCAACGTTGCTAAGCTTTGGACTAAGCATTCAAATGATAAAACTTACGGACGAAAATCTGACAAAAGGCCGCGACTTACGCGAACGATTATTTGAATTTGTTCAAATTGTACTCGTATTTGGTGTGTGTTTTACGGCGTGTAGTGTATATTTCAAAACCATCCTGAGAAATCGTAAACCGCAAATGAGAGAAGAATCGCGAATGAACGAGACAACGTCATTGTTTGAATTACGAGGGTATACGATGTCCGAACTGAGTTCGTGTAATGGATCAAACGGGACAATCTACATCGCGTTAAATGGCAAGATATTTGACGTAACCAAAGATAAGAAGCAATATGACTCCGGTGGATGTTATAAAATGCTAGCAGGTCGAGACGCCAGCCGCGCATTTGCGACGTTAACGTTTGATGTTAATTCATTGCGTTCACAATACGACGATCTCTCGGACCTGAATGAAATACAAAAGAGTAATCTGTACGAATGGGAAAAGATCTACACTGAAAAGTACAAGATCGTGGGGAAAATTGTCAACGCACACAATTCGAAATCTTTACAGGATATTGCGATGAATTCAATTATTAAAAACATCACAATATCGCAAAGCAATACGCACTCTGTAGACCACCTACCTCTGCCTAGAATATTAAAAAAAGAGTTACGCAATTTTTTCTACGAACACATGGAATAACTAAAGTGATCATAATAAATAAATCACACCTATGTAGTACAGTACATATACATAGCCATAACATCCCCACTTGTATATAATAATAATATGTATATAAATGTATATCTAAATATTATTGTAATATATTTTTCCATATGAAATTTGTACACCAAAATGAATGTAATTTATATGAAATAGTGAAAAAATATAGAATAAATAAGAGAATTGTATGTCACAAACAGCTTTTTAGTGATATTGCATTTGAATAGAAAATTCTTGTTGTGGCTTTATAACCGCAAACTCGGAAATACCTGAGCTATATAAACTTGAAATTACATCCGCTAACGACAGCGCGCTAAAGAAATGGTGTCTGTTTACATGGTCTGTTGCCGAATAAGTATAAAGAGTAATGTCGCATGTAATTTAGATATATAGATATTAATTCGCGCTAAACATTCTTACTATTGATAAATAGTCTATAAATAAAACAGATATTTCTACTATATATTATACTATATATCGACTATAATATATATATTATCACGCATCATAATATAGGACCGTGTTCGCATAGGAACTTTTCATGTAAAAACGTATGCTTGGTTCTAACACTTCTATAAAGTCAAAGGACTAAAGTTGATTTACATTTTCAGTTGGATCCTTTTGCTAGTTAAATTATGTATATAGGAGTATCGCTCATATACATGCTGAAAATCTATTTTGAATCGCACGACTTTGCATGAGATTGTCGATCGTTCCAGAAATTCTGAATTTGATAGCTTCTGTACTCTGGCTCTTGGTTAGTTTGAATAATCCGAACAGATACAGAACATTACCTATAGCAGTAAAGGCATTAACTACGCGTAGGTATAGCCTGTAGCACATTGATATTGTAGGAACTAGGTAAACTTGGTTAGGTATATATATGATCGGAAAATATACTTAGACTTTTTAGGAAACACTGAGCCTTCTAGAAGACCATGATATAGGCTCTCTTGTATATCCTAGTGGAACCTTGGTAAGCCGGTGTATAGCTACAACCTTATAGCTGTAGCCCGTAACAAGGGACTTTTGCTTGAAACGTCAACGTTGCACTTCCCATATCTAATCACACCTACTATATACAGCTACTACATGCACAGAGGTTACACAAGGAGCCTCCACCGCGGATTTACAAAGCTTTATATATACTGAAGTAAATACTGTATATGATTCATATATGACCAATAGTCTTGTATAGAAATTGTGTATAAGACAAAGTGAAGAATTGAAATTACTCAGTCTGTTGCTTCTCTGTGGACATGGTGGTGAGCTCTCGTCAAGTGGGTGGCAATTGGATCACGTTTCAATTTCGAGATGTATCATATGGTTCAAAAAAATATATTAATTAAGTCCTACACGTCCTGTTGTCGCTTATTATATAACAAAACAAGGCAAGGAATTTTCTCTTTAGAAATCATGGATACCAAACATACTTAGGTAAAAGACTTAGGGAAAAAATGTGGTCATAAACACAACATCGTTAATACATTCTAGACTGGTAGGAAAAAATTCCGCCGCTACTTGATAATCCACTCAGGAAAAGAACAACCATCCAACACACAGACTATCGTTTGTTTATAATATTCTTTCCGACCACACACGAAAGGCCAATTAAAGCTGTCGTTTCACAGTATTGCACGATACATGCATATAGCCCTATTGCAATGATAGCGCTGTGAACCGCGGATATTAGACATTGCAGACATGGATTATAAATATTTTCCCGGACTATGACAAAGCATTAGGGTAATTCAAGAGGATATGAAAAATTGAAGGTATTGTACTATCTGTATCATGATAAACAAAAAACTCGATAAAATCAATTTCATGCATGTACGCAAAAACATTGCAACTGAGAGTCATCACAAAATGACTGCAGACATGTGGTTTCATGTTTCAGATATAGAATCCCCATTGTCCATAGTCCATACTAACATTTCAGAGGAAAGATTATTCTAGGTCGAACGTCCAGAGATTTCTTGCTATTTTAGGTGCCTGATTAACTGACGGTCCAACTATCATCTCATCACTATAGCTCCTATAATCTATACTATAGATGTGGTTTTACTGGTTTAAAGGTGACGAAGTTATATATATATCTTTGTAAAATTAACAATATACAAGCTCATCCATATAGTTATCTTTGTAACTTTGCCTTTGGTATCTATAGAACTGTTATAAAACAAGTTTACATTGCTAGACTTTCGATTCACATACTCCAGTGTTATATAAGGATTCAGTTTCAGAATTCAGCTAGAGAGAACTGCCATCTTTTCTAGACTCTCACTGCAGGGCTTTGGCGGCCGTGGTAATCATATAGCAGTCGGTTATTTCAAATGAAGAGATATGAAGAGATGAACTATCTCGAGTAAGACTAAAGTTTGGTTAGCATCACCGGATTACAAATATATCTTTAGGAGTCAGGACTCAAGAGAGGAGGCTGAGGAGCTACAGTAGGCAATCAACGTATTAATGGAGTGAAGACTTTCAGTACATATCATAACTTTAGCATGAAGCTATAAAAAAAAACACGCGTGTAGAGAGAGAGGAAATTGATTTATCTTCCACACATCAATGTATGCCTACATTTATTCGCATAAATGTAGGCATATACATTGATGTGTGGAAGATAAATCAATTACCCCTCTACACGCGTGTTTTTTCAACAGCATCATCATCACATTCAACAGTATGACAACAAATTAAGTTGCTTTATTAAGAATTATTCCATTTTTCTTCACATGCGATTCATGCCTGTTTGTATGCTAGCTGAATGCCATTATACTGCAAACCACATCATTATTATACTATATTCAGTAATTATAGCTATATACTGTATACTCAGAAATTGGGCTGGGAAGGTATATTTAGGATGCATCAAAAAAAGGTAACATACCTTTTTTTTTATACACCCTGTACAGTAGCTGGCCGATACCTAACGTTATCGTGATACTTTTGCAATAAACCAAAGTGTGCAAGACCTTGAACAATGCAATAAATATGCATTCCATGATAAGCAGAGCTACAGATCTATACAGTATACACAGCTGGGTGAATAAAGCTACAGAAGTTGATGAACATGTTTCCAAACTTTCCAAACTTGGAACAGGTACTTCGAACTTAACGGGAAAAAATTTTAACATTCGTTTACTAAAGTATATTTAGGCACAGCGGCGCTTCACGTCCATAAAGTAGGAAGTGAAACCATTGGAGTGAAGCAATGGAACGTTTGGACTTTCCAGCCTTATCTATATATAGCTAATATCTGCACGCGAATACGAACCTAGCTGCAACAGGGCATACGTCATGTTAGAGTAAGTTTTCTGCCCAACGTTTTCTGCCCGAGAGGTCTATACCAGCTAGCTATAGCTTATTCTATTTTATTCTGCGTGCCTCCATTTGAATTTGCTATACGAATATTAATCCTCGGGTATATGCTCGTCTAATATGCAGGCATTGCAACATCGAATTGAAAACGTCCTTAATAACCGATTGCCTGCCACGCCCAGAGGATATATACTCGAGTATTCACAAGCAGATATCATTGGCACTCGCATGCAGCTTGAAGTAGGGTGCGCTCGCTATGATTTTAGTCTGCCGATTATGATTTCAATGCATGTTAAAAAATCGTCAGCGGAATGATTTGTCGGCTCTTTGCCCTCGCTCCTCGAGAATGGATTTTTCAAATACCATCCACTGACGCTATAAATAGGTGACTATAATCGTAACGTGCGTGTGCTGGCTTTTTACAGAAAGAACACAAGGAAAAGGTACATTTTTCGCCTGGAACAATATGGACGTTCCTGAAATGCCCATTTTAATTTTTAACAGTACGCTTTTTATTAAAAGAATGGAATAATCGTGAAATATAATAATTAATATTTGATCATTTGATTGTTTTATTTTCAATGAAGCACATATATACATATTTTTAACCTAGCATATATATAAAGATTCTTTATTTTGTAATGATGTGAAACATCTAAAAATTTTGATGAGACGTGATGCTAATAAGGTCTTTCTTTGTTCAAGACCTACGTAAATTGACTCATGCGACAGGCTAATTCCTGATAATACCTTTTGTCCAAGCAATGTTCCCATGCTTGCACGACTGGTATATATCCGTGTGCGGAAGAGTCACAAAATTGAAGTGTTTCCTGCTTCCATATAACATGATTGGTGTGTATAAGGAAGGTGTGTATCCGGTATTCGATTCGTTAAAACGAACGCCAGAAGCGCATTGAACTCTCGAATCAGGTGGCTTATAATAAAATACGAATTTACAAGTTTATACCGAAAGTCATTGCATGGGAATAAGGCTGGAATGGCCAGGCAGGAAGGGACGCCCATTCATTGCAATTCGTTAAAAAAACCGAGTTAACGAGCTTCAAAATATGCAAGAAATTAAGATCATCCTGCATCCGGGTTTCAAAATATCACGAACATTTTTACTTCATTTTCTTTATCGCAATTTTTTTTCCGCCTGACCTTTTCCGTTTGACGCACAACGAACGTCGTTTATGGAACGAACGTCAACAACCGATTAAACACATTCATCGCAATCATCAACTCTTTGGAAACAACGTCAAAGTAGCTAATTATATACTGTAATCGTACAAATCCTATGTCATATAATACGAGTTTTGAATAGTTTTCGTATTTTCTTTGAACAGCTAACCTATATGTCTCCAAATAACTTCAAACTATACTAGACAATTGCAGTTAACTCCGATAATATTGCCGTCATATTATTCCAATGCCTTTATAGTGCCTGTGTTTTGAGAAAACATAAGCTCGTTGACTGGGGAAAGGCTCTAGCTCTTATCAATAAACAAAAACACAATTTTTATGTCACGTACATTGAGTGGCTGGCTGTGAACTTATGGGAATGTAGACCTAGGTGTTTCACATTATCTAATTTCAATTACCTAATTAGGTAAAAACTGAGAGGGCTGTTTATATTAGCCAGGCCACAGTAGCTCAACTATGTTTGGGCTGCTTCAAGTCACAAAAATCTTTCCAAGGCCAAAACAAAATGCTCTCATTAATTGTGCGACAAGTTTTGTACCTGATTGAATGTGGTTATCTCATATAAAATCACAAGGAAAAAATATCTCAGAATCTTGCAGTTATAAAAGAACATAATTCAAGGTAAAGAAATGAATCATGAATGGATGAAGTTATGAGCCAAAACACTTGACATACAAATTCTATATATAGGGCCATAAACAGCTTATATTCTGTTACTTTCCAGCTAATTCAATCCGTTTCTGTTATTGCTGAAATCAGAGTACTTAACAAACTTTGAAATTTTGGTAGATTTCCATGATCATGAAAGAAGACTGGTACATTATCTGCAAACTGCGCAGCCGAAAAAAAATAAGGGCCTCACACAAAGAACTTGCCCAAAGGGTGAAGACTTGCATTTTCTATTGAACCTTAAATGTTTTTAATTTGATCTAAATTCTTTTTACTCTACCTACACTATATAACAAACCAACATGACAAGTAGTCCAGTTTTTCAAGCCAATAGATAATTTTAAATAATGTACCTATTAGCATCCTTTTCACCACTGGTCAGCAGACTGAAGACTGGACAGCTGGAGTATTCATATGCCTATTTTCAGATTATGACATACAGTACTCACTCATAATTTATTGTGGGAGGCAGTTTGAATCCTACTTTAGTGGCAATCTTCTCAACCGAGTCCTCTCCACCTTTATACCTGTCATATAATACCTACATGAATAGTGTAAACCAATATGGTTGTTTCTATCGCCAATGATAATAATTAAAGAATGGGGGCAATTTTGTGCAAATATACAGCAATATTAGCGGTTTAGGATGCAACAATTAAATCTACAATGCAGACAGGACATGAATCTGAAACTCTCCCTTTGTATGTAGCTTGTGCCTTTGGCACTTTCCCTGGGCAAAGTACAAATGCCTGCCTGCCAGGGTGCATTCGGTGTATATCACACGCCGAAGATACGCCAAAGCAATCTTAACATTACACCAACTTCCCACCCTGGGCCATACTTACGACAATTACCCACTCCAGGACGTTACGCCGATCGCAGATTCGCCAGGACGTTCGACTCGTGAGTCAAAAAATGCTACACGTTTAGAGGACCATTTTTAAGAAGTTAAATGCCTTTGTTGTCGTTAAAATACTTAAATGCATGCAGTTGAAGTTGGTGTGTATGTGGACCTTTGAATTACAAAGTTTGGTGTGTTTATCCGGTATTTATGCGCCGACAAGTTAAAAACAGTGTACGCCACCACGCCAAGGAAAGTTGATTTTACGCCAGTACGCCAAGGATACCCTAACTCTACGCCGAAGATATTCCGATTTGTCTACACCGAATGCACCCTGGCCTGCCTGCACAAGAGAAGCTTCATATATTGGAGAGACTCCTAAGAGAGGAAGTATAAAAATAATAAAAATCATACCTTCGCTGCTCTTACGCTATTCAAAAGACATAAATATGTCTCTCCCAAGTATTGGAGATGACCAGATGCATTTTGATCTTTGCAAAGATTTTTATTTTCACACACCAAGTTAATATACGAATAACCGTACGTGTTTCTGTAGTTCGAAACCTGTTCCACGTGCTATGAAAATCAGAAAATGAAAACGATGTTACTTCCTCTTATGTCAGTAGTACTATAAGAAGCAGGCCAATTAGTGTTGGATAGGTTGAATATACCAGGTAAATGAAATCCAGGTTGACACATAATATAAATTTAATAATTTATTGTTGATACTCACGTTACTGGTCGACTGATGATTCGCCGCCCGTAAAGCTGAAAGTATTTCTCTATATAAATGCGAAGTCTTTTTGCGGACAGCCATACCGATTCACGAATCACGACAATTTCTTCAAATAAGTTCACTCATCGCTCCACTGTCAGCTGCCATGTTGAAATGGCTGGTCGACCCACAGGTAGCCCGCTATTGGATTTGCTTTTAGTTAAATATTAAATAAATTCTATGCAAAACGACATGAAGTGTCACCTTCCTTCATTCACTTCTGACATATTATCGCAGGCGCCAATTCGTGCGGTGCAGTGTAACCTTTATGTATATATTAATATAAGGTTGGCAACTCTTTGTCGTATTTTCACATTTACGAATTACATACACAAACTTACACATGAAAATACTCGTACTTAAACACAAAAATATATACAAAAAACTAAATCTATGTGGGAACTGACTCTCCTAAAACATTTCCGAAACATTTGTTTGTCTTTAAAGCCATTGCAAATATGTGAAATTTACGAAAATACAAACACTTTTTGGTTGAATTTTTTGAAAAGCCGTCGGGATCCCATCACCCTGCCCTACGTCACAGCAAACACGCAATATGATTGGCTTAGTTTTGAATTTTGAAATTTGTTTACGTTAACGGACTCAACCAGCCAATCATATGCGTGTTTGCTGTGACGTAGGGCAGGGTGATGGGATCCCGACGGCTTTTTCAAAAAATTCAACCAAAAAGTGTTGTATTTTCGTAAATTTCACATATTGCAATGGCTTTAAAGCAACAAATGTTTCGGAATGTTTTAGGAGAGTCAGTTCCCACATAGATTTAGTTTTTTGTATATATTTTTGTGTTTAAGTACGAGTATTTTCATGTGTAAGTTTGTGTATGTAATTCGTAAATGTGAAAATACGACAAAGAGTTGCCAACCTTATATTAATATATACATAAAGGTTACACTGCACCGCACGAATTGGCGCCTGCGATAATATGTCAGAAGTGAATGAAGGAAGGTGACACTTCATGTCGTTTTGCATAGAATTTATTTAATATTTAACTAAAAGCAAATCCAATAGCGGGCTACCTGTGGTCGACCACTGGTTGTCCATGTGCTGTAATGTCAATACTTCATGTTACATTGATATATATTTTTTGGTCTGTGAATATATAGGTGGGGTCGATGGTGGAAACCACGAAATACACGAATGTGATTAACTAAATATGCTACTAGCTATAGGTAAAGAACCGCCTTCTGCATCCGCGTTTCAGTTGTTTAGAAATTACGAAGAAAGTTCTTAGGGTACTTTCTGCCATTTTGATCTGCCTATTCGGCTATTTCTGGCTTCAGAGGATTTCCGCTCTATACACCAGAATCCGGGTCAAGTGAAAACAATAATACACAAAAACATTTTGCACGTGTCGCATTAAAATATTTAATCTATAATATTTAATCTATATTCGTTACTAATAGCCTGTCATCGTTAAGTAAAATCCCACAAGAAGTGTAAACCAGCAAACCCTACATGCCTAGTCATCATCATACATTATTAGGTACTGGCAATAGTTTCTCCCATCGTCACTTGTTTCCTCTCCCACAGATAGCAATTTGGAAGCTCAATATCCTGTTACACCACACCCCGAATAGAGAAAAACAGGGGTCATTAATATCTGGGGTTGAAACTCCCTAGTGCCAACTGCTCTTTACGAAAATCTTCGAAGTGAATACACTCCATTTTCTCACTGAAGACTTTACTTTTGTTTTCGACAGTGGATGTCGTATACTGTCTTCACAGGCTTAAATGAGCTAAGAATGAACTCTTTTATCCCATATTCTCCCTGTTGCCCCAACCACGACGATGATCTGAAGAGTAAACAGAAATTTAGATAGCAGAATGTATATATACTCAGGTTGGCGTCAGAACCCTAAGCTGCACCCTGCGGAGGACTGTTGTTAAGTTCAGTACTCCCCTTATATTAGTAAGAAGGTTGTTCGCATATGTAATCTACAAAACTTTGCATGAACAAGATTCATTCAACTGAAAACGCCTCATATGAAAATACACCACTTCATATACAAACCGTCTTTCCAGTCATCCCATTCCCTTTCTTTCGTTAATTTTTCTAAATATTTTTCATCCTCAGCACAATCCATTTCTTCCTTCCCGTTCTCTTCATCAGTCTTCTGCTTGGATGTCTTATTTTCACTTAAATTTGAAAAGGGACATTTCACACTAGGTTTCAAGTATGTACAATAGAAAGCAGCAAATTGATGTCATTCGCCATTGAAATGAAAAAATGCTTTCAATGTTCTTGAACCACAGGAGGAAATTTCAAATATCCGAAGTATTACCTAAATTCTGTGACGATTTTTCCCTGACGTAACTCTTTTTCAAAATATTCTTCCTGTGTCATTGTTGGAAGACTTGGGTAACCTGCCCCAAATACCTTATTCTGGAATGGGAAAGTATACACTTTGCAGTAACAATGAATAGGTGATGCCTAGCTATACGAAAGGAACATACCTGTATCGCTTGTCTTGTGATCAACACAGGCTTTGAAAATAACTAAAAAACCCCAAGATATATTAAGCATTTTACGCGCATCGGAATAATAAAGAATTTGTAAATCTTCGTTTTTGTACAGAATAAGACGAGTATGTATATCATTGGCCGCGTTTACACTACGGGTACGAGCCATTGTACGAGCCTATCTTTGAGCAACAATCAGTGACAAAAACATGTATTACTTGATTTTTCTTTCGTTCCTCGTTGTTTGGCATCTTTTCATTTTCGCGTTTTCTATCCCCGCCTTGTTGCCTCATCTTTGACATATGTTCCAAAATCGGTATTTCATCTGAAGTTACAATAACGAGGCTTCTTAAAAATTGAGTTGCCTCCAGTTTAACCAATTCGTCCTTTTCCCGCATTTTTAAGCGTACGTCACACGTATTAGGAAGCTAATTTAAGTGCATGCATGCGATACTTACTGTTTATAGAAGATAAGCTTTCCAACGCTTTGTTTATCCAGTGCTCCAGTAATAATATGTTAAATTTTCTCTTAAATCAAACGAAAAATATAAAATAGCAAAATTAATTTGCTGTTTTTTCAAACATCTGGCTAAAATATAACGGACTTAAAACAAGGCAAAACATCAAATCACATTCACGTATATTTTGACCAGCGACCCACCCGTGATGCGGTTTCTATGCAGAATAATTACCTCCAATTCCTCGTCAGGTTTTGTATCTGATGAAATTTCAAGCATGTCTGATAGTTCCTGTTGAGAACGTACATAAAATGTTGATACAACACAAGTTAGTAGCATCTCCCACAACTACGGTGCATCCGGACACATAGATAGGAAACTCAATGATTTATACCATCGAGCCATGTACTAACTTTGATTCGTTTTTCTTCTTCTTTCATTTTTTTAAATCTCGCTATTTTTGCATTTCTTTCATTCGCTAATTCGTTCAGACTTCTTTGACTAGCTGGTGCAGTTACTTCAGATGATGAACAGGGATTCAAATCCTATGATGAAGTCAAAAAGTCTGTTAACACAGTGCTTTACATACATCAGCAATTGCAGTATGAGGTCAAACAATCTGGATTCAAAGAGATTAGAAGAACAGAAATAGACTGTTCTGTAGCAATACCATGTCACAACATCATGCTATACTATAACACCACACTATGTTCTGTAGCAATACCATGTCGTAACATCATGCTATACTATAACACCACACTATGCAATCACACCATTTATCACACTATATGTACAATGTCATCACACCAATTCTGCAACCCACAACTACCATGCAGGCACAACACTATATTTTTTCTATTACCGTAACATCACATTATGAGTGATTATACCATGACACCATACTGTACAAGAACACCATACCAAACAATCATATCAGATATGTAGCCTACCATCTCACAAAACCATTCTATACCATGTACCATCATAGAGGGATTAATTTTGAGCCCTAATTAACATGTACCTGTTTTAACAAACCATACATCTTGCATCTTTCCAAGTAATTCAGACAATAGACCTGAAGTAGAAACATTTAATTTCAATACTTTAGCTGAAAAAGTCTACTAATATTTCACTCAAACAACTTCAAAAGTGGGAAAAAACCATATCTAAAAATGACCAAAGCACCTTGGAGACATTGACAACATCAATTCGTTCTTCTGAGCAAAGTTTGAGATACAAATCTCCAAGTAATGCTGGCACTAACATATATCTAAAGATATGGTAAAAATACTTGTAAGTATAATTCCCAATATTTGGCATGTTATAGAGGAAAGTAATTATGATGTTGTATCCAAGCAAAGAGCAGGTGCTTCTATGATGTAATGTGTGCTTTTTGTTTGTTTACAGGTCCCGATTCCTATAGTATTGGTATTCCAACTAAGTGTTAATATCATGAAAGATAATAGATACAGCTAGAGCTGGATTAGTTGGTGTATAGTCATTAATGTGGTATTTTGCCTGGGTGCATTCCATGTTATCCTTGCCCCGAAGAAGCTATGAATACGGGTATGTTATATTACTGCGTTCCAAATGAGATCAACTTGTGGGCAGGGGGGAGAGACGTGGCCCCAGAGGCCAGACTAAACATTGTGTAAACTAAGCACAAAATACTTCACTCCCTATCTTCTACCTTAAATCTGTAGTAGAAATTTCGTCCAGATCTTCGTTGATACTAAATAATGCTAGATCATTGATCATTTCTACTGACTTTTTAAAACACTCTATCGCCTCACGAATGCAATCCTAAATATAAATTTTCTTATGATCAAAATACGATTTAATGCCTGTGAAGTGTGAACATATGCCTGTAAAAATTATATTTTTATAAATTATATTTTTTTTATACTCGATATAAATATAGTGGAGTTAAATTATCAAAATACGTACTTGCAAATGTTTTGAATTTTCTGGTCCATCGTCGCTGTCGATTTTCTTAAAGATACTAAAACCGTGTTGGAATGCTTCTTTCAAATTTAACGATTCTGCAGCCATGTTGTTTTTGTTACGCAATACTTCATAATACATACAAAAAAGTGTATCCACTTATCCACTAGTACGAAAGACCGTGGGTAAGCTAGAGGTTTACGAAGAGACCAGAAAATGTATTTTCAATCTTTGAACTATTAATCAATGAGGTAAATCAACAAAAAATTTGATTTTCACCATGTACCACAAAGGATGATTATCATAGTTAGGTCTAATTATTATCCAGGGCCCCACATTGGGTTCCACCTATTTCTCTATTAGTATTTTGGTTGAACCACACCGTCTGGGCCATTTTTACCCCTCGCACCAGAATTTATTCAAAGCAATGAAATATGACACACATATACCACACATAGACCTTATGAACTTAAATTACGGCTTTACTACCTACATCGGACAGAATGATCAGATCGTGTTCACAACTAACAAGTATTGCAACTCAAAATACAGCCCAGACAATTAGGCATTAAAACAAACATATCAGGAGCTCTAATTCTACGCAGTGAAATCACAGTTTATGGTGAAATGTACATAAGACTTTAGCGTTTTTAGCTACCAGTTTAATTTAAAAATAACAGTGTATCTAATTTGCCTGTTCCTGTTGTTCAAGTCAGGCCACGTGTCGTATCGTGTCATTTACCACACAAAGCATACATCTCCCGCTTCAATCTTGTGTTCTTTTCCCACGCCTGTGTCAAATGGTGTCACGTTGATAATCGGTAATCGTTGTTTTTGCTCAGTCCTTACTTCGAGTACCGTCTTACGCCATTCTTTGTTGAGCAACTGAAAAGAAGAACAATCTTGTTTTGACCAAAATCCGCTACTCTACAACAGCGGCCAGTCAACATAGGGCTACTAGGCGTGAGAAGTAATGTAGTCTAGACTACCAGTATAGACTCAAGATTTAAATCCATACCCAGTGTACACTAGGTGTTAAGACTTAAGAAAGCTTATAACAAAAACACTTCATCATTGAGATTTCGAAAGTATCATCTACTGGTAGTACCTTGCATTCATCTTCGACAATTTTGGGTCTGTATTCAATTGGACTGTTCATGTCGATGGCAATTTCATTTTCTCCCATCAAATTGATAGACTTCTGTTTGCCATCAAACGCCATCGAGTTCTTGCAATGATATGTTATTCGTTGACATACAGAAACACTCAATAATCGAAGGAAGTTCATTTGAATCTCATCCGCATAATGGAACTAAAATTAAGGGTAACATATTTACTCTTCTCTCGATGTGGATAAAGAGAAAATTGGGTAGAATGAGCTTATGGAAACGTCATTTCCTCGAACTATTTTTCTGACGAGATAGGTTTGTAGGTTAGAAAGGTCTGGTAGTGTGTGGACGCTTCTCTGGGTGATACTTGTTCGAAGTTTTTGGCAAAAGCGACGTCACCTACCTCTTCAGCAGCGTTAGTTTTCTTAGAATTGAGAGACTTAATGCACGTTTCTTGTAAAGTGAAGTTACACCTGGCTTGGAAAGCGTTGCCATGACTATTCCAATCGGGGTCAATCCAATAAACACCTTTATGAATCATAAATCAGACCAACTATATATTCAGGTATGAGATTACATATTTGTATACAGTCTACAGTTAATTTCGAAGTAACTTTGATTACGCCAAGGTTAAGCACTTGTATAATATTATATTATATGAAATGAAACCTAGCTATATAGTTACCATCAGGGGCTAATGGGTATTCCATTTTCAAATCTCGGCAAGATCGTGCTGCTGATGAGGCTTCACGTCCATCCATCTTTTCCATCATAGCAAGGATGCCCTCCGTCGCTTTCTTAATCACACTCACGTCATCGACTAAAGCATCGTCAGTGTCGATGTCCTATTACAATATCATTGATTTGTGTCAGGCGAAAATCTTTTGCCGTTAAGAGGGATGATGTGTCCAGGGGAATTATTTGTATTTCACCTTTATAAATCGATCAATTGAGAGATAAAGAGTGAGACTCACCACATCACTTGAATAGTATCGAGGACCTTTCTCCGCAGCGGGTTCCGGGTCAGTTTCTTGCTGTAAGAGATTTATGAGGAATTATATGGCGGTTTTGCGTCGAAACCGGCAATATTCCGGGAATGGACCAGTTTGGTGGAGGAAAACCACAATTATAAAGTGTTTGGAAAGTACACTCTTCAACTTACAATGGTTACAGTTCGATCGCAAAGAGTAGCCCATCATTTAAGAATCACTATATATACATGCTGTCACGAAGATATTAAAAGAGACCTAGATTGTTGCTCATTCAATCACAAATCTTCTTCATCTTCCCAAGAGTGAAAAACGGTACGTTTACTATTCACGTTTAAATTCATGTGTCAAATGCTGCGACGTATAGCGGAAAAATTACTACATAAATAGGAAGCAATAGAATTCCTCACCCGAATCAGCTTTCCCGGTAGACCCTAAAAAAGAACCACGAATGTAATACCTCGTTATTGTTTTAATAAATATATATTGAGAATTGAGTATTTCACTCGCCTAAAGGTTCCTGCTAAATTGGTAACTGTTTAAATATCAGTGAATACTTACAGGAGGACCGGGTAGACCAGGGTCACCAGGGGGGCCCTGTGTTGAACAAAAAATGGAGAGTAATAAACATATTAATTGAACTGTTTGCTTCAAAGCGATGACATTACGCAGGCAAAGCAATATACATTAATACAGAGGGGTATTCAAATTCACCAGTTGTCATACATATTTCTACTTACAGGTGGACCAGTTCCGCCAACCCTTCCAGCTGGTCCTTCTTCACCTGGCACACCGCGTTCTCCTTCCACCCCCTAAACGTTAGGAAGCACAAGTTTTGTCAGGCTTGACTAATAAACCCTACGGTTAGACGGAATAGATAAATGCGCTTCACATTCTGGGTAAGGAGACTGTAAGACAAATCGTTGCAAAACTTCAACTCGTTGGGCCCGTTTTCACAGGCAAGTTCTGCTGCAAATTCAAGTGCGATTATCTCGGTTGATAGATGTTAACAGTACGTAAGTTACGTTTAGATAATGGCCCCAATACATTACAACTTTCACGATTGTTCTCTCGTTTGCATGTATTAAAAGATGACACTTACAACAAAAATCTCAATAAAAGTTTGCATTGACTCCACTTAGACACTCATGAACAATATTACGTTAAATACACTAATTGATATTCTCTTTACTCAGGTTTTCACTGTTGAAGCATTGTTACACTAGCCTTACCGCCACGCCAGGAGCTCCTGGAGGTCCGTCTATACCAACTAAACCGGGTGCACCCTAAAATTAAGAAAAATGGATAAAATCTAATATAATCATATAACATCATATAACAAAGGTGCAGGAATGACCACAACCAAAATTACAGCGAGCTAATAGTGCGAAAAGATTATTTGAGAAAGAATGAGGTGAGATCAACGCCATATGCATTACGTTTTCAGAATAAAAACCTCTCTTACGAATACCAAGTTTAGTTACTGTACGAAAGAGGGCCAATCAACTTCTTACCGTTCTTCCATCGACTCCGCCATGACCTGGATTGCCAGCTTTTCCATTGTCACCCTAAAGAAAAAGAAGCATGAAAAGTTATTGACAATGAAATGCTCCTTCGAGGTTAACTCGATATTGATAATGCTTATGCTTCATGCAACATCGCAAGATGTAAACGGATCGATATACAAATAATTTCGTGTACTTAAATCATATATCCAAATAATGAACACTTCGAACTTCGACAATATGCATGTGTTCTTAAAGATTGCATTTGACCTAACCAAACAATGGAGGTGCAGCCAGCAAGCCACCTCCAAAATTTAAGGGCAAAACGGCGGCATGTAGGCTGTAAATCCTACTCACTTGTTCACCAGGGGCTCCTCGTTTTCCTGGAGCACCAATGTCACCTTTTTGCCCTTTACGACCGTCATCACCGTCAACTCCGGTCTCACCAACGGTACCGGATTCTCCCTGAAACAAACAATCCATGCAATCATAGTTTAAGTAAGAGGGCGTGTTTACGATATTATATATAATTGCAAATGTACGCTATATTACAAGCAAGGAACGTTGCGTTAAGCAATCGCTTACCGGCGCTCCATCCGGTCCTATCTGTCCCTTAACTCCTTTCCTACCTTGGTCACCCTGTACAAAGTAATTTGAATTAGATAATCGCAATCAAAGTATAATTAGATAATCACAATCGACTTTTCACAAGCATATTGACTATTGGTTAGGGAGCATTTTGATTATGATTATGGATCACAGTAGTCTCATTTCTACACACCCTGTGGGCTTAACAGAATTTCCTTATTCATATGAATGTAAAGATAAAGATAAGATAAACTGCTCATACAGTACCGAATTACCCGGATTACCAGGTAGTCCATCAATACCAGGTTGACCTTGAGGTCCTAATGGACCTGGGGCACCATTAGATCCTGGCTGTCCACTAGGACCTTTAGGACCCTAGAAATATTAGACAGTTTTTTAAAGAAATATTAAATTCCCTTCCCGTCTTATTCATATGTTTGCAAAACTACTGTTACTTCTATCACTCTGCATGCAAACTTTTGATTTCAATTCTATTTTATTTCAATCTATTTCATTCATGCTTCAGGGAAAAATTACTATGAACAAGCAATGCAAGAAACCAAATACATAAAAATCCCAAAATATCACCGTGCCATGATTTTGCCGAATGGAGGCAGTTGAATGAAGAATAATGTACACGTTGTAGAAATACGAGATCGCTTTACAAACATAGCTTAAATTCGTCTTGCAATCTATCCCAACTTTTGAATGCTACGCATTTCGACATCGAAAAGCATTCGTTGGTAACAGGGCTAATTTGAAAGTGTTTGTGTATTCGGCAACCTTTGACTTCGACGCATAAGTCATAGGCATTGGTTATCCAAACACAGTCTATCAACTCTGACTTACTATCTCAAGCAGCGTTCATTTCCATCTACACTGCAGGCTTAGGCCTTTAAGTAAAGCCGGCATCGAATTCAGTTTTCCAGTGCAAACGGACTGCAAACGTAGTGCTTTAACATAAGGGAATTATAGCTTAAAAGCTAAGCCAGGCTTCAGCACTTAACGGCTTAATGCCACAGCTATACACGGGCGATTGATTGATTGATTGCATTTTTCACGAAGTGTCCGGAACTCTGGTAATATAAATCATAAATGTATGTTTCTGCACTCTACATGTCTTTTCGTTCTTTTCAAATACCACCTGCATGTATTTACAGTATTTATTTACCTGCTCTCCCGCTGCACCGGGATCACCAGCTTCATTGCTATCAGCACCATCTTCACCCTACGCAAATATTTTAAAATATGACATTTATGAGAAAAACTGATCGTAATTGCAGCCCTGGCGAAGATGTAATACTGCATAATGAATAGTTCCCTTTTTCGTGGATTGCAACTTACAATAGTTCCATCAGCCCCATCGGCACCTCTTGCACCTCTGGCACCATCAAAACCCTGAAATTAATTACAAAGATATATTGCTATCACACGAACAACGTTTAGGTTGTGGATTCTAGTTCACGCCAAAAAATTTGATACGCAGTCTTATTATTAGAGATGGCCATATAGTTCTCCTCATAAAGAGATACTGTTTTTCATGACGTACACAAAAAATATACACAAAATACGGGACTGATTGCATGCAATCTCTAATACGAAGCATGGCGTACCTTATCACCTACTCCTCCAGATGGACCACTATCTCCGCTTTCACCTGGCGAGCCCTAAAAATATAATCATCAGCACAACATCCTAAATCCATACAAAATATAATTTCGGTGTCGTGGAGGGGAGGGGTGTTGATGCCTTCAAACACTCGACAAATCATTGCCTGTGTTGCAGTAATCATTTATAGTCGGTCCCCAAATTCATTCACGATAAAGAGTAAAGAACAGTTACTAAAAAGGTAAATAGGTTCAGAGGCTACCCCTATAGCCCTATTCAATGAAATTTACATTTTCCTATCTATATATTGCCTTATATTTATATTCTACGCCTACAGTATTTATCAAATACAACGCTTTGGTAATTTCTATTTTAGTTTCGGGTTTACATTTCTATAAACGCTTCTAAACAAGTGAAATTTGGCCAGCCCAGTATGGCTAATCACGATCGTAGAACGGGCCATGGATTGGACTTGCCGCACCTTAAATGGCCTTACCTAAGTAAAACGTCCCTAATTCGAAAGTCTTCAATTTAGAATATAGTAAGTTTAATCAAGAAAAACGCCTCCCAATGGTAGGTAATTACCTTCGGTCCAGCATTTCCAGTTAACCCCTGTTGTCCCTGTTGTCCTGGATATCCCTGACGAAAAAATAATCGTAGTTAGACAACATAGAGAACGCTATCCGATTAAATTTAAAGTATTTCCACTGTCATATTTTTGGCTTTTTATTGATGATGACAATTCTGAAACTAAGGAATGGAGGCACAAATGCATGACTTCGCTAACACAGAAATTGCGTAAGGTATTATTACTAATCGAGTCGATGGTATTGAACTCATTTCAAATTAGATCTAGGGCCTGAAAATAAGATCTAGGGTTTTACAAAATGTAGTACTACTTGCGTGGCGTGGTCGAAGTCTATATAAAGGGAACAAATTATAGTTTTAGTTTTCATAATTACCGCAGAACCCTTCGAGCCTTTAGAACCTTTAGCTCCACTTTCTCCAATATCACCCTTAAAAAGAAAATATGATACAAATTATTGACGAGTACATGCCAAAAAAAATCTACCTTCAAATGTGACTTGAAACCAGCCGTTTGCTATATTTTGACATGTCCATCATAAGTGAAATGAAATAAGAGATCACTAGGAAATCATGCTTTCATCTCGGATAATTATTATTTAATTTACTTTTGTGCGAAAAATCCGACAACCTACCGTTCCTCCTGCTTTACCATTTTCACCATTTTGACCATCTTCGCCATCGTTACCAGGAGGACCAGGTGGTCCAGGTTTGCCAGATGGTCCTGGTCTTCCCCGGTTGCCCTAAAGTGAATCATTTATTTATGACCAATTTTATATACAGTGTTCTTGGGCCGAACTGGCCACGCCTATAAGTTACTAGGGGCAAAAAAATAATCTTGGAAATTTGATAACCTTACCTTCGCCCCAGACAATCCGTCATCTCCTGCACTACCACTTATTCCCGGTGAACCCTGCAGAACGAATATTCAGTGTCCCATTGAGTTTTTCGGGCCCCTGGGAGCTTGGTGAGTATGGGGTCCCGCTGACTTCTAAATCAAGCCTGCATGGTCATCTGATTTTTCGCAGGATAGTGGGTAGGGCATCAAACTTCAGTTGATTGACATAGAATTATTTCAAAAATGGTTCATAAGGCTAATAAAAGGCTGTATAGCAATTGTCTTGGCAGCGGAAAGTTAAAAGAGGGAGAGAAAATAGACTGTACAGCGATTGTTTTTGCATAGTATAAAGTTGAGCAGATAAGTTTAATAATATAAATTGCGTATTTCTCGTGCTTACCACAGGTCCAATTGGTCCAGGATCTCCCCGTGCTCCATGAACACCTGGACTACCCTAAATAAAAATTTATTTTGTCTACCGGATAAACAGTATTCTTACCTAGCTCAAGTGCTCAAGTGGGAATAAATAAACCGTGGTTATTGGAAAAGTGGCCTATTGGTTTAATATTTTAGAAGTTACTGGTAAAATGATTAAGTTATTGGTAGAAATTCACTGCAAACAGAACAATGCGAAATTACACAGTCACGAAAAGGAGCTGATACGTCTGCGAAGTGCACTTACAGGAATTCCACTGGACCCTATATCACCAGGATCACCGCCCTCTCCTTGTTCGCCCTAAAACACACACTCTAAGGGTGACGATGGTTGAGGAAACATTCAATCGATTATCAAGATGATTTTTTAGCGAAAATAAACATTTGAAGCGTTTCATACGCTCGACAATTAGATCTCGCCCAGGGCCGTCGCTAGAAGCTTAATTGGGGGGGGGGGGGTGCATATTCATATATTCGTTTATTCGTCTTATGCCCGACTGATTTCTTTTGTACGCTATTGTTTCGAACATGAATATACACCCTCCCCCCCAATTTAGCTTCTAGCGACGGCGCTGATCTCGCCACACTCCACAAGGCCCTAGTCGTAACTCGTAACGATTTCAAAATCTTTATCGTCTCAAAGATAACTTACCGGCCCACCAGGACCTCCGGACATTCCTGTTTCACCTTTTAAACCTTTCTCGCCCTAAACCATTGCAAAGATTATTTAGTTACATAAATCGAATTACCGTTGACCCCTCTACCCAATGGTTTTGAAATTATCGATTGTTGACATTGTGGACGATGCCATGAGGTACTACAGAGAGTGTCAAATGAAATTATAGAAGAGAATTTTAGTGAGGGAAGCAAGGGAGCTTTATTTAGTGCATAGATACAGGAATCACTTCGTCTTAATTACACTTTTTCCATCAGAAAACGTGAGGTGGCGATAAAGTTGCCCACCTTCCGTTTCTATTGTTCAGGGTTTATTGATTTTGTTTACAACCGCATGCTGAGTTTCCAGTACATGGTGCATAAATTTCATAGAAACTATTCATAACTTCTTCATTACAACTTACCATTCCTCCTTTATCACCTCGATTGCCCTTAGGTCCGCTTGGCCCTTGCAGTCCCTGTAAAAGCCAGTTATTCGGGAAAAGGTCACAACAAACAAATATTTTACTATTATTTTGAGATGTATTATTAAGCACGTTTCCGCTTCCAAAGTTTTTCACTCAAGCGAGGTAATTAAATGACTAGGAAGAAAAAATGTATATATTTTGCGATATCCGCAATTGACACGTACAGTCCCCTTGAATCCATCAACGAACGAAATATTTACACGGGCCGACAAGAATTTCAATTTTATTACAAATCTTAAAGTGTATACAACACGTACCGGTGCTCCAGCCTGTCCCTCATCTCCTTGAAGTCCTCGATTACCAGCGGGACCCTTGTGGTAAACACAGGATAACACAGGATAATAATCATGAAAGGTGGTGTGGTTTTTTACTGGTTCGTACGAAGACGTGATAAAAAATTCTCCAAAAAAAGTTGCATTAACGTTCTTCCGAGATCTTTAGTTTTCGTGTATAAATTGTGTTCCTTGAATCAGTGGCGGCGAAAGATCATCAAGTGGGGGGGGGGGGGCTAATATTCATATATTCATGTTGGCAGACCGTAAAAACATTCCATTGTTTTCACAGTTGAGCATGATGATTTTAAAAGGAACTACGAGCTGAACGTGAATATATGAATATTAACCCGACACACACACTCAACCACCTTCCACCGTCACTGCCTTGAATGATGATTATTCAAGAAAGTTCTATTGTCGTCTTGAAAAAACTATCAGTTCAACTTACACGCTCACCAGGCTTCCCAGTTGCGCCTCCATTTCCTGGATCTCCACGAACACCCTTGAGTAAAGGAGAATGTTTTATACCGTACATTCAACAAACAATAAACAACTATTGAGTATTTCGATAGATATTTTAGACACTAGACAGGAGAAAAGAACAAAATCCAGGTTGTGATGTCCAGGAAAGTCACCTGAAATATTAGCAAAGAAGAATGAAAATATAAATTTTTGTTATGTTCGACATTAACGTACTTTAGGACCTGGGGAACCAATTCGCCCTTGTTTACCAGGATTACCATTTCTTCCCTAAAAATAAAAGAAGCTATAGTACACAAACTCTTTCTCGGGGATAAAAATGTTGTTTTGCCGAAGTAAAGAGACGATGTGGCACACTTTCTCGGAACTGAGTAGCATTCGACATCTTCATTTACGATAAACAGCAGGTAGTTCGTAAGAGACAACCAATTTTGAAATGCTAAGTTCTGGTTGCTTAACCAGAAATTATAAAAAGCTAAAGGTTCAGTCTTACTGCTCGGCCATCCCGTCCACGCTTGCCTGGTTCACCAGGATAACCTTTATCTCCCTAAACATGATAATATTCAACCATTACACTAATTTATCAATTTCATGGCATGTGAATGACAGATCTACCAAATCATGAGCGATATGATTGAACCTGAACATACCCTGCCACCCTTGAGACCATTTTCACCGGGAAGCCCGGGTGCACCAGGAAGACCCATTGTACCACGGCGTCCCATCAGACCCGGAGGACCTGTAGCACCTTCGGGCCCCTAGACGTGAAAAAAATACTAAATAAAAACTAATAATCTATTTATTTCTAGATTCAAAATTATTCATTTCCTTTCGATCATTTCGTTCTCTTTAAGTGGATTGTTGTCACAATCGGCGAGCGTGATGATTATGAGTCAGCGTGCATGATTAATTAAAGACTTTTGAAATTGTGTATGAAATAGTTTCGTAAAAGACACACAATTCAGTGGATCCTTAAAATGAAGGGGTCTCAAAGATCTTCTCTCGTGCAGTCATTTCTAAACTAAGTGGACACTTCGAAAGAAAAATGAAAAGTTTCAAAAATGTTGCACATAAAAGTTGGACTGTTGGATTGTGTCTTTTCTACATACTTTGCAAAAACCTTGGTACTTATGTGAACAACTTACAGGCAATCCATCTGATCCAACTTCGCCACCAGGACCACGTTTTCCAGGTCGGCCCTAGGTCGAAAGGAACATTTCATGCCTCATGATGCATCAGGGGAAAAATTGTTGGCTTGTCGCATGTAAGCGAAGTAGGTTTTGTTCCATGTAGTACAATCTTTCAACGTATAATCTTTCAACGTCTTCAAGTCTGACTCACTGAGGTCTATTGCATTATTTCAGACAGACATTTACAGACAAACATTTCACAGATGCACGAACGTTTTAGGAAACGCTACGGCTATTGCCCCGCAGTATAATTGATACAGAAGATGCTAATATTAGTCTGTAGTGATTTCCAACAACTCAGCAAAAAATCGTTGTTACTGAAATACTAAGCTAAACGTCGACTACAAAACTATAAAAATTCATACCGTATGACCACGTGCGCCTTGCTCTCCAGGTTCTCCAGTGATTCCCTTAATGAGTTAAAACAAAAAAGTAATGTTATTTTGAAACCTTTGAAAACGAACCAGGGCATCGGGAGGGAGGTGGTTTGGGAGATATTTCGAACTGGGCGCGATTTTTAAGTCCAGCTGTGACATGAGGTATCTCAGGTAGCTAGGTCGACGTCGGGGAAGGGCGCTCTCACGAATGCGACAAAGCAGCAACATGATTGGTTAAGTAAGAAAATAATTAAAAGTCGAAGCCTATAGACCGTCGCAAACGGCCTTTCCCGGGAGTGTATTTCTACTTCTATCAGTTATCTATTGGTGGAAACGAACGCCTTTTACTACACTGACAAGAGCTGATGTGGTAAGTACGTTAGTATGTTCTGTGCAGATCTCCGTAATTATATGAATGCGTACCTAATTGTTCTGATGAGGTACCTGATCGACCTGACGTACAAGACGAAACGACAAAGCTAGATGTTGGCTGGAAGCCTGGAGTTCTGTTAAATGACCAGTGAGGTGAACAAATTCATTACTGAAATATAAACTATGTCTTACTTGCTTTCCTATTTTTCCTGGAGCGCCATAGTCTCCTTGGTAACCCTAAGGAAGCAGATACTCTCGAGTTGCATAAAAATATAAAAGTTATAACAAGATAACAAGAGATCATAACATGCGAGACTATAATTAGACATCACCTTTCTTCCAGGAGGTCCGGTGGGACCCTCAAGACCTCGTTCTCCACGATCACCCTGAGTAAATAAGGGAAAAGAAGCTAAATTATGTCCGACTGATTTCTTTTGAAAACAATTGTCCCTAAGCTACGTCAATATGAATATGTGAATATGCATTCCATTAGTTTAGTTTCAACCTATTTCATTTTTGTTAAAAATACTGCGCGTAACAGTCACAAACTGACCTGGGCTCCTTGAGAACCGGTTTCACCAGGCAAACCTGGCTCTCCTTCGTCTCCCTATAGGTGAATCAACATAGGTGAATGTTCACACAGAAATTGACACATGAATGCATGTTCTCAATCAATTTCTCAGAGACTGAAAAGAGGAAATCGATTGCATCAATTTTTCAGTAATAATTTTCATTCATCCTTTTTTCACGCATACGAATCCGGTAACTTGTACAGTAAATCTATGGGCAATGTAAGCTATGTCAACTTACATCTAAACCATCAACTCCGTGAATTCCTCGTGCACCACTGATGCCTTGATCACCCTAGATGACACATTTGAAAATATGAATTCCGATATAAGCGTACCAATAACGATGGTACATGCGAACCATACTTATTCATCGCCTTATTGTCGTCAAAAGGTAACAGACAAATATCTACTTTTTTTGCATTCTTTTTGAAATGCGTCCTCGCAGTGTGCGGGTTTCCCTTCGATATAGCCTGATTAAAAAGGTGTTTCGTCTTGTGGGCATCTCATGAAAATTTACAGGCCCGGGATATATGGTCACCAGCTTACCTTCTCACCCTTCGGACCATCAGAACCAATTATACCAGGAACACCTTCTACTCCCTAGGGAACAATAAAGTATTAATCAGGTAAAATATTTATCAATGAATCAATCTGTGAAATAAAAAAATAACCGACAATAAGTTTTTTGGCTTTCAAATTTTTCTGTCAATTTATGGACTTTCACAATATTTTTGAAAAAAAGCACTCAATGATTTTTTTGCTTTTCCAAATGAACAAAAGTGCTTTCTAAATAAGATATACATGCCAGCTAAGCTTTATTCCTGGGTCTTAAAATTGTCGTTCTTCGTACTGTACCTGAGCTCCTTTGTCTCCCGTAGGACCAGTTGGTCCCAAAGGTCCAGACTGACCAGCTACACCTGGTGGTCCAATTTGACCAGTATTTCCAGCAGCCCCCTAGGATAGTAAAGCAGCGAATAATTTTTATTCACAAAAATGTGATATCATCATTCCCTGGAGTAACGCAAACGTAATGTAACACTGACGATGCATGAAACTAACGATGCAAAAACTCTGCCCCGGTTGCATGCAGGAAGTTCGAAATGTTAGTTCCGGAGACTTAGTATAGACAGAAAGACAGAGCCATCGATGGTAACTTGGGGAAAATCCTCGAACCACCTCAGTTGAGCTCTCCACAGGTCGAGTACAAGCAATGACCTCAAACAAAGTATTGTGAAACAGGCCTAGTACGAGGGACCTCGCGATCGTTAATCGCATCCACTACTAAAATTAGCCATATCCTATTAATCATCAATTCAGAACAAATGATCAAATTACTATACGCATAGCTAATTTCAGAGATTCTGCGTTTCATACACACTATGTCATCACTCATGTTTGAAAGTTTCCTAATTAAGGTCGGCCTTTTATTTACCTGACTACCAGGTTTTCCATCCAAACCGTTCTGCCCAGGGGCACCAGGAGGTCCCTGTGAAAAAAGAGTGCGTTATACTCGAGATTTAAGACTGGCACAAAAAACGAACAGCGATACGGCAGATGAAAATACACCCGTTTTCCGTTATATTTATGCAATCAGAGAATGCTGGACAGTTATGCGGGAATTATTTATACTCACTTTAGGACCTCGCACTCCCTTTGGACCCTTTTGACCATCTCTGCCCTGCAATATCCATACTGTATTAGTATGGCATCAAAGACTAAAAGAATCGAAATGAGATGATGGCTCATTTTTATTAATGCACATTACCCTTATTCCTTTAACTCCCACTAGACCTGTAGCACCCGGTAAGCCTTGATCGCCCTAATAAAACAATTAAAATTTATCAGTGCGTCTTAATTTGATTGCAACTTTCATAGGTTTTTAATTTCGCGCAAACATCTAATCATGCAAACCTTTCAAAAAATAGTTCAAATACAAACCTTGGCTCCCATTGTTCCAGTCCGTCCTCGAGCACCTTCAAAACCAGGCTCACCCTAAAGAATGGCACAAAGTTTGTGAAGTAGCTTTGGAAAACAAAAATTTGAAATAGGTCGGAATCCTAAAGTAATATACACTATGCTGGACTTACCTTTAGACCGGCTGGACCAGCTGGCCCCTGACGTCCAGCCCTTCCTGGAGGACCCTAGGAAACAAATAAAGAACAAAACTGAGAAAAAAGTAAAACTATTTCACTGGGACGGTCTTTACATGTATATAGTATATCTGGTTGTGTAACTTGTGTTTAGTGCCATAGTTTACAATAGAAATCCGTCTGGATATACAAGAGGGGTCCCCCTAAATATCGCTTTAGTCACGCTTGCATGTAATACTCACGCTTTTTCCAGTTATACCAGCATCACCTTGCGAACCTGGAGGTCCGGGTATGCCCTGATGAGAAGTAAGAATTTTTTTTAGACAAGTGGTATACATATTAAGTACTGCATCAGAGAGGGGCTCGTGGTTGATAGGAAATCTATAGATTTATATACTTGTAGGACCCGGTTGAAAAAGTGTAGCAACTTTTTTTCCTCTGAAAGGAATCAAACCTATGTTCTTTTATCTACTGACTGCATGCCCAGTATTACTCATGTGAGGAGTATTAACTGAAGTAACATTTAACCGCGCAATGGCATGATGATAAGGTAATTTGAATTTTTCCCAGCTGTTGATCGATATGGGACATAGAATTTCTAGTATATTAAGTTTAAAGATGCAATGCTTATATATATATATATATATATATATATATATATATATATATATATATATATATATATATATATATATATATATATATTCAGTGCATAATATTCAAGTTGACTCATTCAAGAGAGATGTGAGAGTGTTATATATTTAATTTCCACGTATCCATCGTTTAAGCTAAACGAGCTTGATACAACCGGCCCATGTATATATAACTCACTCAGTAACATACTTTCCGTACATAGCTGCGGGTTTAGAACACACATTTGGACGCAACTCGAATTGTAAATGTTATGAAAAATTAATTGCTGGAGACTTAAGGCGCGTGGACCCGGTTGTATAAAAAGGTAGTTAACTTTTAACCATAGTTGGTGGCAGAATTGGGATTTAGATTAAAATAGAGATTTAACTACTTAAAAGAGTTTTATACAACCGGCCCCTGGAATATTCGCATTTTTAATCCATGAAGATGTTGCGATATTTACATGAATTCCTTTTTGTCCCATAGTGCCAGGAAGTCCAGTTTGTCCATTTCGACCCTGTAAAAAATATATCGCAAACATTTTACATCAACGACCCAATATGGACACAAGACATATTACTTTTAAATAGATGTAATGAGAAATTTTTGCACAGAAGACCCTTTTCGTATGGATAATGGCTGGGAAATGCAGTCAAATACTTTTATATTCAGTTAAAATATCGTCATGTGAAAATTACCCTCTCTCCACGTGAGCCACCAGTTCCTGGAGGGCCAGGGGGTCCCTATACGACCAAAAAAGTTAATATCAAGATTGATTATCGTATAAATTTGATATACACGATCGTTACTTGAAAAATCAAAAAATAAAATCAAAAACAGAGACGTCCTAAAGCTGCGAACATTGAGGGGAATGTTGATATTTTAAGATCTGACAACGTTATTCAGTCTCTTGTACGAACATTGTAAGTCAAAAATATAACGGTAGATTTGTCCAGATGTTTTCGTCTACGCTCAAGGCTGGTTTCCAATCTTGAAAATTTTCCTCCGGATCGTATCGGACAGAAAAGTTTCTTTTATCCCTGTGTTCTCAACCAAAACGAATTGTTTTAAGCACGAAGGAAACCATGTTATATAATAACTACAGTGAAACACGAAATTTGATTGATCAACAGCCGTGGAGGATCAGGCAATCCTGCACGAGGAATTTAAACTGGAGAGACTCGTGGGATTTTTGCGGGGTTCTCAAAATATCGCTGTTTCACTGTAGTTATTTTATAAAACAGTTACCAAATTTTTTTTTCGTGCAGGATAGCGTTATCCATGCACTCGGGATGTTGCTATCAACATCTCTCGTGCATGGATCGCGCAATTCTGCAGGTAAAACCATTTGCTAATCCTTTAATGTCCGATCCGGTCCGGAGGATAGTTTTCCTCACTGGAAACCCGAAGCCCCAGCCCTTACGGAGACAGAAAAAGAGCTTGCACGTTCAACTGCATGAGTAATACTTTTCTGCTAATTCTCACAATGCATTATGAATGTTGACAATGAAACTTACTCGCAGCAGCTATTTCCACTTTTCTTTTTTCTTGTTACTACATCTAAGGTACATACAAGGTAATTACAAAAATTTCTCAACTTACCGGGTTACCAGGGGCACCTTGGTATCCAGTTGGACCAGGTAATCCGATTAAACCCTAAAAGAGAATGATTTATTCTGTAGGTGTTAAATGTTAAATCAGTTTTAATCTCTAATGGGATGATTGAGAATTGGTCCAGCATTACGTCTTCCAATCAACACCACAGATATTGGTGTTTATGAAGTTTCAACCCGAAAATCTATTCACTGGTTCACAATTGTGCATTCCTGCATTGCTATCAAAGAGAGAACTATTGGATAACTTTAAAAAGTTGAATTTTTCATCCTACAATTTTTTGACAGCTCATCATACTGTAAAATGGCAATTTTGAGGCTTAAAGTACACACAAGGTTAATAGTCAATTCAGAGGATTCCTTTTTGCCGTGTGCAAGCTTCAAACATATTTTGTTAGGTATTTATAAATATTTTTTCTCACCAAGTTTGAAACCTAAGTATTGAGAGGATTGAGTGTTATATCAGTTATAATAGTTTACTGGACAGCCGCATCAACGCATGTTAATACATTACGTCAACCTTCTCAACATGCTCACGGCAAAATGCAAGCTGAATTTCACTGGTCTACCAAAAGGTCCCACTGTGCTTTTCTATCGCCTGAAACTGCATGCATGAGGAACACTACATCAGGTTTTTTTCTTACTCTGTCTCCTTTGAGCCCGAAAGCACCAGGTACACCTTCAGCCCCACGTGCACCTTTGGAACCTTTGGAGCCTCTTGGGCCCGTATCACCAATTCGTCCTGGATTACCGGGACTTCCAACTATTCCAGGATCTCCCTTTTCACCATTTGCACCAGGACTACCCTGACTACCTGGAATACCAGCTGTACCAGGTGGACCCTGGAGGAAATTTGAATTAAGGTTTAGCTTTGAGACCTTGAAATAGCCAGTAAGCCAGACATCCTTCAAGAAATTGTATTGTTCGGTTGACAGAATCATGCACAGTATCATGTAAGTGAAATATATTGTATACACCAATTTAAGGTGCATTTCCACTAGTATTAGTATTTAAACTATTAAATATATCTTGGAGCCTTGCCTCATCCTAACGAATTCGCTTTAATATTTAATGGAGAATTGTTTAATTATCCTGTCCTAAAATCATGTTCTGTTTGGTGTAATCACTGACTAGCACTGCATGTACTGTTTGTAATAAAGTTTCTGAATCATATTTACTGGAAATAATGCAGCTAAAAGTACATTGGCTTTGATATTTAACCTCGTTTATGGAGCCTTGTTAGCCCAAGTGCCGGATTTTCTGTAATGATGATTTGTAACAGCCAGCTTACCTGGGAACCAGGCGGTCCAGAAACACCTGATTGTCCACGTGAACCCTAACATGGATATGAAATACAGAAAAATGAATACTGCTATTCATGTATTAAGGCTTTATGATTACTATTAGTATGATAAAACATATACTTCATTTCGTACGTGAAACATAGCGTTGTATATTTAGAAAAGCTCTTAAAAGAGCCTCCTGACCGATCTATTTAAGCTATCAAAGAGTTAGTTATGAGTTAGTTTATGGCTTTTGTTTAGGATAAAAACGATATACCACATCGAGGCTTTGTGTAATTCAAGAAATTCGAAAGAGACTTGAAAAATGAAAACTGTATGAACAAACATTTTTTAGTTTACCTGAGGACCCTTGAGTCCCTGCTCGCCTTTAGGACCAGGTTGACCAGGTTCACCCTATTGTGAAGCGAAAAAAAACAAAATCGCGATCATTTTCAGTCAAATTTAGAGCCGAAAAAAAGCACAGCTGCACTTCAAAACTGGGTAATTGTATACGGTAAGGAGGGTAGAGTCGGTAGAGACTAAAGAAAACATCATCATTTATAAGTCTCCGAATTAAAAAATACTCTCAAACAGTCGTCCAAAACTACATAACAACGTTCCACCATTTATAACCAGCATGGCAGCGTAATCCCACTGTCCTCTTGATGAACCAACATGTCCATTGTTGTATACGATAACAAAAAAAGGCCGAAGTCAAAAACATCTTATAGAAAAAAACCACAGGTAAACTCACAGGTATTCCATCTCTGCCATCATTGCCAGGATCACCAGGCTCGCCCTAAAACAATACGGATTATTAATTTTAATCTACTGCCTTTGTTTTAATATATTATAGTATACATTCCTACATGGAAACAATACCTCTATTGAATTAAACCAACCCGACCCTAGCAGTAAATTGTACTTACATTATCACCAGGTAAGCCTGTTTCTCCTCGATCACCACTCAGACCAGTTTGACCCTAGTTATCATTATTATACACAGAATTATAATTTGCCCGAAGGTGTGCCATCATATTTGTCAAAAATTAAGAGTACCACTTACGCGTAATCCCTTTGAACCTTGTATGCCCTGTCGTCCTTGGTTTCCAGGAGGTCCCTAAAATGCAACGATTTTGTTACACGTAGACGCATAAACCTGGATTTGGGAAAGGAATTACTATAACTAAACAGTTTTGAGTTTGGACTTGGTTGTACGTTCATCCAAAAGGAACAAAGTAGCTTAAGCATGATAGAACTATAGGATAGACCGCGCTGTTCTATAGCTACGCGATGGCACAAGGTCTACTCGTTAAATAGAGCAAAATTTGGGTTGATTTGAGCTGAGATTAGAGCTGTATTATGAAAGTTTGGCATGTTTTGGAATGGCTGTATAAAGTTTCAACCAAATTTCCCCATCACCTCACAAAAGAAATAATTATTATACCTGAGGTCCTTGTAAACCACTCTCACCTTCGCTACCTGGCAAACCATCGGGTCCCTAAAGTATGAAAAAAATACTATACCCATTGGTGGCTTTCACGAGGCCTTTTCAGCGATTTGACTGGTGGTTAACCTGAAATGTTTCGACGATTATGCGGCAGACGTAGGAGCCATGAATTCATACAAAATGGCATATATTCCCAACCAAACACATAGGCTACAGATATTAACAGTGAAGTGCTGTTATCACCATTAAATCCAACTATACCTAGCTAAAAAAAGGCCTCATTTATACCATAGATACATACTGGATTTCCTGGTGTTCCGTCGCGACCTTTGATACCTTTCGAACCTGGTTGTCCCTGAAAAAATTATTATCATCAGTAAAACTCAGTTGAATATTATTACAAATAGTGCATTCTTATTGGCTATGATACTCGATATCTATATATAGGTAATGAAGAAGAATTATTTCGTATTATGCTGCCATTTTCAACGAGTCTTTCACGCATAAATCGCATTCACAGTTGGATCAGTGACTCCAGAAGAAATATAAGACGGGAAATTTAGAGTAACTCAACATGGCAAAGTTTTGTTTCTTATAGTTGTGATACTATATATGTGCCTCAATGCAATACTTACAGGTTCGCCAGCCATACCAGATAAACCAGGCGCACCAGGGTCTCCTCTACTGCCCTAAGATGAAAAAAGGATTTTTTATTCCCTGCAGGATTGGACAGGAAGCACGATCTATCATTGGCAGCTTTGACACTATTGTTAGAGAATTATGGATAAGGCCAGTGATGCCCTCTGCACGGATTCAAACGAGGGGTGCTTGAAGCAGAATCTACTTTTGTGTCAAATCGTTGGTGGAGGGCAATCCATTCTTGGTTACTGTTTTGTACTGAACTTGGAGCAAAAATTGCTTCGCGAAACAAAAACAAGTTACCGTACCTCTCGCCCAGGAGGGCCAGATTGTCCTGGGGGACCAGGTGGACCCTAAATTAGAAAATTAAAACAAATCATTTTTTTCGTGCGAAAAAAACACGATAATTGACGAAAATTAAAATGCAGTTGTGAAATAGCACTCTTAACCATGCTTTTATCGACAAGTATATATGCATGACTACTAAGAACGCCTTCGGCTTTGCTTGCCTTAACTTTGGGATTTTAATAGTAGAAAGAGTTATTATGTCCGCTGTTAGATGAGAATTCGAATTGGATTGAGTGCGACGTAACCAGTCCCACAATCAAATTGTAGGTTATTATTATTTATTCATCTATCTCGCCATCAAGGCATCAAGAAACACCAAAATATTAGCTTACGAAGACGCTACTGATCAGAAGCGGGAGTCGGTAATGATGGTAAAAATCTCCTAACGCGGTTATTCCTGAAAACTTGTAACCGTAAGTTGCAATATTACATTCTTAACCTACCTGCGGGCCAGGTGGACCAGGAACATATTGATATTGGTTCGGGCCAGGACCTTTCCCACGAGAATCATCATCCGGCTAAAATGAAACGATTTGACACGACAAAGTATAAATTTTAATTGCAGTGAAGACCAAGCTTTTAAATATTGCTAGCCGTGTGAATGAATCCAAGGTGTCGAATGCCTTTTGATAGATCTAAATAGTCTGTTGACCTTTAATGTATAAATCCAATTTTGGTAGGCCTAATATTGATTCTATCAATTTACAGACTATATTCAGTATATTCCATACGTTTAAGGTGGGCTAAAACGCTAAAATTGGATCATGTCAATAGACCTTAACAATTTTTCATATTGTTTGAAAAAGATCAAGATTTGAAGGATAAATGAGATGTGAGATGTAAGATGTGATTTAAATAAAATGTTCTTACATCAGGAATGAATATGCCACCAGGGCCGGCTGGCCCTCGGCGACCTTCATCTCCCGGGTCACCAGACTGTCCGGGTTGACCTCGTGGTCCCTAATAATAATTACATAGAGGATAATAATTTATTCCAGTGTTATGAATAACATAGGTTAACGTGAATAAAAACTAGATAAAAACTACTAAAGGAATACCAAATTGTTTTCCGCGCAGGCCTAATCTATGCACGAAGGATGCTCCAAGTGCATAGATCAAGCAATTCTGCACGGGAGAGCCATTTGGTAATTGTTTTGTAAAATAACTACAGTAAATTTAAAAAAGTAAATTTATAAAACATTTTAAAGTTTTCTTCTACACGGGTATTAACCAAGCAGATTGCGTGTTACATTTTGGTTATTATATAATCCGCTTTTCATACATGATACCCCATCCACTTTTTAAATGGTCTTGCTCTTTAGTTCTTTTATATCTTTTTTAATGTGCTTGGATTGTGTTGTATCTCTAATTAATCTATCAATGAATAAAACAAGTTACCCTTATGCCAGGTCGACCCTGTCGACCCTGTCGACCTGCACCACCATCACGTCCCTAGAATATATTTCAGAATATTGTTAACTCCTATAAAAGCTCTAAATTAAACGAGCGCACATGTTCTGGGCAAAAATAAGATTGTCTGTCGACGTTGTGCAAACGCGATTGTCTGACTCAATACTGTAGTATACTATGTGGTATGTCGAATAGGTATCATAGGTCAAAATGTATTCAAAGTACATGCGATCCGACAGAAATGTATAACAGTATAACTCGAATCCTTTAGGAAATCAAGGACATGCTATGCTTTTGAAGGCAATTCAAATCCCTTGAAATAAATCATAGCGGGATTAGAGGTTCCCTAAACATACAATTTTATTATATTTAAAGATATTTTAAAACACACTGAGACCTTTTCCCAGGAGGTCTCACTCGCCATCACTGGCTCTCACATTTCTCTGACCTAGTTTTCTTTTAAGGATTCTGTTCGATTACTTTACCTTTTCACCTTTTTCACCTTTTGGTCCCTTGCCTGAAACAAAATATAGAATCTAAGACATCGAATCTAAGACATCAGAAGAAACGCACAAATGATCTAAATTAGCCTGGGCGTTCCTAATTCATTTACGCGTTCTTAGGTCATTTACTGTAGATTAATTAAGAAAGGAACAGTAACCTCCTCTACTACTACCAGAGCGGCCTCCAGATTGAGTAATTTTCGTGGTTAATTCAAAAGGGCCTGCTGTCACAAGCCTGGGAAAGCCATCATAGTACGTGTATTTTCTGGAGATCTGAGCACCGTCTATTTGTGCATTCCGACCAATTGCTACAGATTCTATATCCATATCCGGGAAGGATTCAGGTATGCTACTTAGGCTTGAAGATCCTGCAGACGAAGCGCCGTTAGAAAGAAACACGACAGATTGTTCAGCCCCAGGGCGACCAGACCTTGCCAACATCCGGGAAGCATATTGTATTGCTGTATCTTTACGATTACCACCACCGCCATGCGTCATTCTGTCGATTGCATTATTAAACGCAGTTTTCGAACCACCGTTTCTTATTTCCAAAACAGACTTTGCTCTATCGCTGTAAGTGAACACGCCCATACGGACATCGTCACTTCCAAATTCAAATCCGGAAGCGAATTTCTTAGCAAAAGATTTCATTTGTTGAAAAGAGCTCCTCGTTTGGTCACCGTCTGGAATACCAAGAAGAATGTCCTTCTTGCCTACACTCGCTGTGAACCGTCGTGAAAGGCCTGCCAAAAATATTTCATTTTTAAAAAGTGTAATGTGATTGTACTCGATCAAATATAAATGTGGTTATCTGCATTTCTACAGCAATGGAATGAACAAAGAATCATGTATAAATTGCCACAAAGGATGTTCTTATGTAGTCTCACTTTGTTGCTCGTGTCTTGTGAATGGAATACTTGAAATGAAATTCAAATTAAACAATTTTCAACACCTAATAACTTAAACAAGCGCGTCAAATATTCATGTAAATCAATCGGACAAAGAAAATCAGTCGGACACAACGAATATGTGAATATGTGCACTACCCATATAATAAAGGTCCAGTTTCAATCAACGAGGATTCATACTGAGTTTCATATTTGACCAATAAACAATTGCTTTCTCGATTCCAGATCGATTCAGGAAAATATTGGAATTTTCGCATCATTGCTTCCATACTTTCCAATGCTTTAACTTTCTATTTCTAAAGCCTTACCTGGTACTATAGAAGAGGTGGCAGTTGTATGGAGTCTATTTTCAAGTTGACCAACATCAGTGGCCGGTAAATAGAAATCTCTTTTTGGATCACTCGCAACGTATCTCAATGGTGATCTGCTCGCGTCACCACCAATCGGAACGGGCATGACGGAAACACCTTGATACTTAAGTTGTTTGGCGGCGTTTTCCAATTCGTCTCGAGTGCCGGTCTCCGAGCCAGCCCCCAATACAAAATACTTGCTGGCACCTGCTCTTCCAGCTGAAAACATTTCGGAACCCGCCAGACGCAGAGCTTGAGGAACGTTCGAGCGACCAGATTGGTAGGACATACCATCAAGTCTCCGATTCAAGGCTCGCGTTGACGTTCCTTCGGACAAAGGCATAACAACTCGAGCATTCCTGCCATACTGGATGATGCCAACATTGGTGTTTCCCCGAGATAATGGATACGAGCTTGCTACTTTCTTTACAAAACTTTTAAAGCCATCGAAACCTCTTGAGCCAAGTTGTGTGTTCGAGGGAACGCCAAAGACCAAGTCGATTGGACCATCTTTTCGACCTGAGTAAACGAAGAAATTTGTCATAATTTAAAGAAGCCGTTTATACTTAACAAGATAAATCTCTGCGTTTGATCATCACAACTACCAATAGAAAGATCGATGTCGCTAAAAGAACAGATCACTGACTGAAAAAATCGGCGGCTAATAAAAATCCGTGTACGCAGACGATGCGCCATTAACTCAGTAATATATATACTCAGTAGCCAAGAAGATATGTTCTTCACCTCTGCGGTTAAATAATGCAATAAATGTTTATATTTTTAATTTGTTATGAAATTTAGATATTTCAAAAACTCCGCGCCAAACACATTTTAACAACCTTCTCCTATGTCATATGAAAGCGCACTAATTTTCAAATACTTTGGATGGAAGCTCTTTTTTCCATTAAAACCATTAGACTCCATGTAAAGTGGAGATTTTGTGTTCTTTGTGACACCTTGTCTGTGGTCTAACTGAGCTAGGCACCCGGCACCGGCCGTCAGCCCAGAAAATTGTTAACGTGTTTGGCCGCCTTAATAATCTTGTTGAACGGTTCGAATCGACTTCCGGAGGGGATTTTATTTTTTAACGCAAATTATTCAAATCTATCGGTAATGATATGCGCAGAATTACACAGCCTTTGTGACAGTTTCATCGAATGGAAACAATCACGGCAGGATTTAAGCTTTATTTGCACAGTGTGTTTATTTACAGTTGCATCAACTAAGCGAATAAAATATTGCATGGCCGTTTTTGTAATTTAAGTCTAATAATCTCAACATGTTATATTTATGAACCACGTGAGTTCTTCTATATCCATCTTCATTCAGTACGCATCAACTGGTAATGACTACAATAACAACAGTCATTCTAATAGGGTATAATATCTAGGTCTGTTTTCAGGCAACCTTGAACAGGAACCTCCTAATAATGTCGGTATATGCATGTAATTTTACACCAGACATACAAAGATGTGGCGATTATCCGTGTAAAAACAAGGGGCATTGTCCACGTGTTTGTACAAGCAATAAAAATAATAAAATGATGTTTGAAATGCTTTAAAGATAGGAGAATCTTTTGATGAAATTTCTATTCCAAAGAAATGAATATCGTGTAAAATGAATTAATGAACACACAATAATCCAGCTCAGGGGTCAATGAACCCTCTTACCTATTTTGGCGGCACCTATTTAAAGTATACGGCTTGATATCATTAACAAACTGTTGTGATCACTGCTCTGTTCGTGAGAAGATGAGAACAACCTAACTAAAAGCTAAGCATTTTGTGTAATTTTACTAAACATCGTTAGATGGGGAGGTTTTCAGAAACATCAAGCTGCCGGTAAACGATTACACGTTCTTACTCTTTTTAGAAACGAAAATGCCATTAGTAAACAGAAACCGCAAATCATGAACACAAGGACTCATTCATGAGGAATTCGTGAATTTCACGCAAACACGCAAGCAATAAGCGCTTAAATACTGTTTCGTACACACGCTGTAAACAAAGAAAATACAGCAGAAATAACCCGCAAATGACCACATATTGATGCTTAGGGTTTGCTTCAGTAATACAAAAAATAATAAGCCTCCTCTGTTAATAGGAAAACACTTTGTGTGTAATACTGAAGCATTATATTTCCCCACGCACACTCTAAAATCATAATTAACCCGGTGTTTTATAAAACTACCTCTTAAATTTTATAATAACCATATTAGGCCGTACAATAGTTATGTTGAAAAGTCAATAAAATTCATTTTTCAATTACAAGATCGAATTTATAATTCACAATGATGGCACACAGTGGTTAGTAACGTTTAAGCGACAACTCCGAAGTTCCGAGGTGAACCTTTCCAAAGCCAAATGAAGGATTTATTGAAAGATACAATAAATAATGAAGTACTAAAAATAACGATAATACTAATTTCCTACCACCTTGCGATTTCACTAATGAGACGGTTATCGAGGCCAGTACCAACACAGCTACGAACGTCCTCATCGTTGCCACCGATAGTCAAACAATTCCTCAAATACGTCAAGCTCCTTTTGTCAAAAAGGAAAAGCTTTGAGAGGAACGACTAACGACCAGGTTTTGCAGGCCAAAGACGTCGCCTAGTAATGCGTGATTTTCTCCCAGGCGCAATTTGAGATGAAAGTCTTATAAAAGCACCATGCAGAGATCGAGCAAGCACAGCACTAACTAAACGGAAATTCATAGAGAATTATTACGCACGGAGGCTTCTGGGAAGTAATTACAGCCATCTGCCTAATGCCTATGTATCACAATACACTGACACAGATGAAGTAGGTCGATAATCAGTAAACCTGTTAAAACAATTTGGAGATGATCACTTGATTGTTTGGTGAGAGATTAGCTCAAAATGTGTGCATCGTTGCGTGAAAATCAAAACTATGGTGTCATATCATTTTGACAGCACAAGTGCATGTGTCATATGACTCGTCCCTAGTCCACTTTGTGGCTGCGCTATACGGTCAGTATTGAGGCGTGCAGAGAGTAATGGGATGCCAAAATAAAAGTCGATATTTAGTCATATTTTTCTCAAGAGACATAATGAAAGAATTTCCTATTTTTTAATCTGTAAATAATCACAGATGTATCATGTATGTCGAGACCGCCAGTTACAAAAAAGTCTGATCTTTCTTTTTTCAGATTTACGTGTTTTTTTCATTATAATCTAATTTACATTGCAAGTTGCTCTTAAGCCGGTTTTCCACTAGCGATATTTTTCGTGTAGAATTTTTCGCTTGACTTTCCCTACGTGTTTAATTTGATCCGCTTTGGAGTTTGGACAATACTCCCAAGCCCGAACTTCGAGTTTCTCTCAAAAAAGCGGAACTGAATATGTTTTCGATCGAAGGAAGCACGGAATACAAAGAATGCTGGTTGTTTGAAGGTGTTTAAATTTCCCTGCGCTTTACAACTCACACTTTATGTCTGATTGGGAAGATAAATATTAGACTGAGAATACTTTAGAATACTACAACACTTACGGTGCACACCACCGAAGAACGATCAACGTTCGGTCGTTTAGTCCTCAAAGAAGGCAACAACTCTTTGCATTTGCAGGTTTCTTGAAACTATGATTGCCTTCACCTTCCTCCCAATATTTTGAAATAACTACGGATTCGTCAGGCAACAATGCCAATGGCATTGCTATCTACCTAACTTCACAACTGAATTCATAAAATCATACAAACTAAAACCCTAATTTCCATATTGCACCGACAGTCAAGGAGACCATTGTTAATGATTAATATAATGAGCGAAATCTTTCGTTTTAGCAGATCAACAAGTATTCGCATGAGTAAATGTATTTGAATAGTTTGATAAAAGCTGTTTTTCAATTGACAAAATTTAAGCATCAATCTCTTGCAACTTACCCGGTCGTCACCATTATCGTGACCATTCTGAACCAATCTAGCAGTCATATCAAAATAATAAAATTCGACTAAATAGGGACACTAGAGGTCCCATAAAAACAAGAAAAACGTCACTTATTGTACCTTTAGAAACTCGCCAGTGACGGAAAATTGGCATGATTCCCGTTAATAAAAAACAATCATTAGACAGACTGCGCCCCAATGGTCACTAGTTTTCACTTCACAGTTTTCACTGACGTACTATACTTTACTGATTCGCAAATGATAGGAAGAAACCAGTTTTCCAGCTCAAATCCCAACCTTATTTTCTACTGTCCTTGCGTGAAAGCAGTGGCAAGAGCAAGTGATTTGCAGCTCCAGTCTTCAAGACCCTCTCTCAAATCAACATAGAGAGTCACTATACCACAAGTTACTATTTTAAATTGTTAATTATATTCAAATGAAAAAATATATTTTAAATTTCAATGATATTAACTAACTTTGGAATTCTAATGTTTAATATATGCACCGCCTGCCCATTATTGTGCCAAGCAGTGTTGGTGTTAATCACCGGCAACGAACAAACACAAGACAATTTATATTTTTAACAATTCTACACACACTGAAATGTACAGAGAATAACGATTTAGCTGTTATATTTATTCAACTAATAAGATGTAATTCCCTAGCCTGCGTTTTCACGTCTACATTTATTCATTCCGTTGTCAAGCAGGCTCCGTGTTCGTATCGTGTTCTTTACCACACAAAGCATACATCTCCCGCTTCAAACTTGTGTTGTTTTCCTACGCCCGTGTCAAATGGTGTAACGTTGATAATCGGTAGCCGTTGCTTCTGCTCCGTTTTTACTTCGAATATAGTCTTATGCCACATATTATCATTTTTCTAAAACAAGAATAAATCACTTTTAAAAGTGCGTACACAAACCACACAGGTCTGGGTTCTAGGAATGCTTCATCACACTAATTCTTTGGTATTAAAATAGGTTCGAGTGGATTTCAACCCACCTTGCATTCATCTAGGAGAATTGTGGGTCTGTATTTAGTTGGACTGTTCATATTAATATCAATCTCGTTTTCTCCGATCAAGTTGATAGACTTCAGTTTGCCATCAAACGCCATCGAGTTCTTGCAATGATATGTTATTTGTTGACGAACGGTGCTACTTAATAATCGGAGGAAGGTCATTTGAACATCATCGGCGTATTCGAACTGCAATGTAACACAAAATATCACTTGACATCAGAGTCAGGGTTGACAACAAAGACATGGCCATTCAGGATTCCTTTTGATTATTTGGCCATCTTTACCTAGCCTAATTTTACTTACTTCTTCGTTGTCGTTAGTTTTCTTAGAATTGAGAGATTTAATGCATGTTTCACGTAGAGTAAAGTCACATTTGGCTTTGAAAGCGTTGCCATGGCTACCCCAGTCAGGATCGATCCAGTATTCGCCTAAATAAGATCCAGCAGTTGAATGTAACGGACGGAATTTGTGATAAATCAAAGGGGGAAAATCGCGTCATTCGTTACTCCTTCGCCAAACGGTCCTTAAAAAGCCAACAACCGTGTGACGAATTGATTTATACCTTTTACTGATTTACTTTTATCGCAAAGTATAGGAAATTTTCTACTATACATACTATTTTCTACTATTTATTCCTTTGGGCAAAAAATTGCATAAAATTTTGAGTCAAATTTATTTTGAACGGGCTAGGGACCGTCAACACCAGCGATAAAACACTGCTTCCATTGGGCGAAATTTTCAAGCAAAATGCGAAATATTTCGCCTGCTTTTTTTGAATTGTGAGCAATCAAGCAGAATTAATATATTAAAGTGGTCACAATTCAATTGCCAATCCATAACGTACGATTTTCTTCTTTTGACTGATGCCAGAGAGTGCATAAGTTACAGATGTTTGGAAAAGAGCCCAAAATATCAGAGGATTGGTAATATTTCGCCAGTTTAAATCTATCAAAAGGCGAAAATAAAAATTGCTATTTTACCATCTGGGGCTGAGGGATATTCCATTTTCAAATCTCGGCAAGATCGTGCTGCTGATGAGGCTTCACGTCCATCCATCTTTTCCATCATAGCAAGGATGCTTTCTGTTGCCTTCTTAACGACGCTTACGTCATCGACCAAAGTGTCGTCAGTGACAAAGTCCTAAAAAAAATATATATTGCGATGCTGCATTAAGCCATTAGCCGACTATTATTATTGAAGACGAAAAGGAACGTTTATGGTGTTTAAAAACCGTCGAGTTGTTGAGAGTTGATTTTAGAGAAGTACAGGACCAATTGAGATGTTTCGATGATCGAAAGAACACATACTGGATCTCAGTTAAAAACTGACGACAAATGACAGGGGCGCCACCCTTATGTATCACACAACCATCGGTGTTTCTTGTGTTAGACCGGCGTTACGTGCTGTAAAGCACTCACCTGATTGCTTGAGTAGAATCGAGGTCCCTTTTCTACAACGACTTGTGAAGCTTCTTGCTGCAGGGTAAACAAAATGTTTCCAATTACCAAAACAACAAAGATTATCCCCACAGTAAAAATCACCACGAGGGCTCAGGGCTCTTATCACATTGGTTCAGGGCTGTTCATTTTAAATGGCGAGGTTAAACGAGATTTCTGATAGATATATCTCGTCGTATTTCATTATGGGGACGAAAAGTTTTTTGTGACAAAGTTTTCACCTATCTCTAAACTATACTTATATCGGTCTCTCTGTAATCGAAAGTGTAATAATGATAACTTGACATGCTAAACATTAAAACGTCTTCTGACGAAGGTCCTCAGTTTAAAATGTCAAGAGGTTTTGCTGTCTGTATATCTTAGACAGTAAATATATCACATTTGACGAGAAGTTACAAGTGTTTATGCCTCATTCCTTACCCTGATAAGGACTCCAGGTGGACCCTACAGAAGAAAATGATAATATTTAATATGTTGGCCGTAGATAGCCTGATATATAAACAAGACTAATCTTTTTGTATTGAAATGCTGTGTACCATAATACGCTTAATATTTATTTAAACGTTGCCAAAATATACTTACAGCATTACCAGGTGAACCGGGATCACCAGGTGGGCCCTACATCGGAAAAAATTGAAATGAATAAACGTGCATGACTGTGTGGTTATATGTTTTAAGAAAAAACAAATCTGGAGACGAAGTTGGTGAAGATAAGAAGATTGACTATCTATATGTTCCAGTAAAAAACGTAATTAAACGTAATTGAAATTTTTTGGCACAACGGGTTTAACAACGACCAAACTTAGTGTCTGAACACGGCAAAATTTCGCCGGTACATTGGTACAGTTTAGTGTAGAAAGATAAAGGAAGACAGCTGCCTCCTACAGGTAGAATCTGCCTAGTGCCGTCCCTCATGTAGGTAGAAGATGCCCAGTGCAATCTCGTACTACAATATACACCAGTATCCCTGGTTATTACTTACGGGAGGTCCAGTAGCTCCACTTCTTCCTGCAGGACCATCTTCACCTGGTGGACCGCGTCGGCCGTTGGGACCCTAAATAACATCAATGTCTTTACTGTCAATCTTTCCTAATGGTTTTTTTCTTAGGTATTCCATTGTGTAATGCCTCCTTCTCATGTACTACGACCTCCGATATACCATATTTTGATATGTAAAACATCTTCCATATCATCCCTACCATTCGATGAAGGGCACTCCGCCACAATGCAGGGCCCAATAACTAAATCGTCATCATACAGACTCTATCAATGAACGTAATACGAAAGCTTACCGCAACACCTGGTGCTCCAGGGGGACCGTTCTTACCATTTGGACCAGGTACACCCTACAACAATTAATAGTAAAATTTTCAGCTATTTTCTTAAAAATCGGTATAATGACCAATGCACAGTTTACAGAAATATCAGAAATCCTATAAAACATCAAAGTCAAACTAATATTCAGTTGCGACTAAAAAAGCTTGAAAAACCCTTCCTACAGCTACACGAAAGAGCAGATATCGCCTCGAGCAGACAACGATGCCTTTAAACTACATAAAGAGATAGACTTTTGTACCAATTTTCCTTGATTACCACCATGACCAGGATTACCAGGTTTGCCATCGTCACCCTAAGGAGAAACAAATGTCAACAGATGAAAACTTACACCACGATACTTTATTTAGCTCTTTAATTTACTTTTCTCTACAGCATAGTAACATTTTAAAAGACTTACAGCATCACCAGGCGGTCCTCGTGTTCCTGGGGCGCCCATGTCGCCTTTTGGTCCCTTAGCACCATCGTCACCCTCAACACCGGTTTCACCAACGGTACCGGTTTCTCCCTGAAACATAATATTCCCAATACTCACTCTCGTTAAGTTGAGATAAGTTGACCGATATTGCAGATTGTAATCGGTCGAAAGCCTACAGTTGCCCTAAACTATGATAATATATAAAGGTGAAAACATTACTTACGTCGTCTCCGTCGGGACCAGGCTGTCCCTTTACTCCTTTCGGTCCTGCATCACCCTATTATTATAACGTAAACTTTAAAGTGTGTTTTGAAACACGCTGTGTTGGAGTGTATTTCAAAACATGCCCGAGGTGGAAGGTAGATTGCAAAAAGGCTGGGAAAGAGTGTATATTGCAACATTTCTGAGGCGGAGCAGAGTATTCGAGGTATTATTTACGTTACAACGTTATCAGTGTATTTTGCAAATGCCCGGGAGGAAGTGTACATTGGAATATAACCGAGGTGGAGTGTATTTTGCAACATACCCAACGTATAGTGTATTTTGCAACATGCACAAGTAATAAGGTAGTAAGAGAAATTTAATAGTTAAAAGGTCGTACCCGGTTACCAAAATTTCCAGGTGGTCCATCAATACCAGGTTGACCATCAGGGCCTAATGGACCTGGTGCACCAATAGCTCCGGGACGTCCATCAGGACCTCTAGGACCCTAGAACAAGATTGCAAGGATTTGTAAGAATTTAAGTGTTCATACGAAAAAATTAAATTATGTTTACAAGAAAATATAAAGAAATGTCCTAGTGTAAAAAAATCAAATATTCATTAGGAAACATCGGGTTGCGTATAAGGTGCTTAATTTTTGGGGGGGACGGATCTGTTTATAGCACTGTACGCATCGTTCTGCTCAAGGTCATTTCCTATCTTTCTGACTATAAGCTCAAGCTCGTATTCATTTACAACATATAGCAATTAAAACGGACTATCACATCATTTTGCCGTACATTCCTCCGTTCATTACAAAGAGTAATATTTATTTGCACCCAGTTCCCAAGAGCCCTACTAACTTCTCTGCGACTTAAAATAACAGTTTTACCGACCTGTTCTCCGGCTTGTCCGGGGTCTCCAGATTCATCACTATCAGCGCCATCGTCACCCTTAATGTATATGATAATAAGTTGTATAAAAGCTTATACACAGAACTGACCATAAAATGCAAATGCGATTAGATTTGTTACAGGGTCGAAATATCTAACTGGGAGGATCTGCAAGCGACTAAAATTTTGTAGGCTCCCAGTTAAACTTTAATTGAGTTTCTAGAGCTTCTCTATCGAATTGGTGTGAATTGGTGTGAAGACGATATTACGAGGAAGACTGGAAAGAGAACACGCTTAATCTTAGCAAAGATGGTATGAAACTTACATCTTCACCATCAGCACCATCAGCGCCGTTAGCTCCTCTTCCACCATCATAACCCTGGATTGAAACAATTTATTCTTCATTTACACAACAACTATGGCATTTGACTCTTTGGCTGTACCAAAAAGCACGACGATTCAAGACGATTTACTGGGAGCAATTGTCATATTGACAAAAATGGGAATGGAAAATTCTAGATAACGTTTTACCATGCTTTCTTCTCACTCGATTTTTACAATTTTCCATTTTTTTTATCTAGATCCAAATATGTTAGCCAGGTGAGCGTATAATATTAGTGTGAGGATTTTTGCCAAGTTATGTATTTGAAAATGTTGTATACTTAAGATTTTGTAGAGAAATTTGCAAAACATGCTTTAAAATAAACGGTATTCTTGAACATGTTTGATTACAAGGAAAAAGGGCGCACAAAACAATCTCATTTTAAATATTACTTTCTATCAACGGACTGGTAACCTGACTACCAGTTTTAACAAGATGGATTTGAACTATTTGTTCTCAAGACTTGATACTTACTTATTCACAATTACTACCCCTACGAGAACCTTACCTTTTCGCCATCTCCTCCTTCGTCGCCGACGGGCCCACTATCGCCTGCATCACCCTTAAAATAATACATGAAAAAATTAGACATCACTTCCATCGCTCGTTTTCTACCAAAACGACTAGGTGTTAACTATATAACAACATCAGTGACAGCTAATAGTATGTAAAACAAGCAAGAGTTCGTTGACATATATTAACGAAATGGTGCCCCTTCCCCGTAATAATTTGGCACCCTCATCGTAATTTTGCAGGCTACTATATAAAAAAAGATTCATTGGTATCTTTGTTTGCTTACCTTAGGTCCAGCCTTTCCAGTTAACCCTTGAATACCTTGTGGGCCGGGGTATCCCTAAAAAGGGCGCGGTAAAGATGTTAAACTCGTTGTCACGAAATGCTTGGTAAATACGTGGATTTTCTTAATTGTACGCATATAAACTGTCATACTGACCGTGGCTCCCTTACTACCCTTGGCACCAGTGGCACCTCTTTCACCAGCATCTCCCTAAAAAAGAAGAATTAACAAACGATAAATCATACAGATCAATTTTTAATTCTAGTTCTCGTTAGGTAGTAGTGCGAGAAGGACTATGTCGTGAAACAAGTATGCTTTCCCTGATTTCAACCAATTGCGGTCTTTATTGGAAAAACGCCGGCCGACTGTTTGGTGATGGCCACGAAAGAAATCTATTTTGTCATTGAATATATTTTGTCATTTTATTCAAGATAATGATTTAAGAAAGCATATCTGGTTTTCCCTACTCAATTGTATAACTTAGCTTTAAGAAATCTCACCGAATCTCCAGCTTCACCATTTTGACCGTTTTCGCCGTCCAATCCAGGATTACCCGGAGGACCTGGTGGTCCAGTTTTACCATCTGGGCCAGGTTGACCTCGGTTACCCTAGGATGAAAACGGATTAATGTGAGCATTGAGTTTTCCCAGGTTAAAATTCGGTAGGTTTGACTATTAGACACAAAAAGGTTATTGGAAATTTTTACAATTTTCTGAAATTTAAATGCTTCAAAAGTAGGCTCTCAAAACATACAGCAATCCGATTGAAAGGATAACATTCGTACAAGAAACAATTGGCTCTGAAGCTTTTTAAGATATTAATTTCTGTTGTTGATGGCCACAAAGTGCCTTATTGATCTACGGCTGGATTTCCACTTGCGGAAAAATAGTTAGCCGGGGAAATATTTGCATATTTTCTTTTGAATTGAGAACAGTCATGCTGTTTAAATTGACTTGAGATTTTACCTTAGCTCCGCCCAATCCGTCATCTCCAGCAACACCAGGTAATCCAGGGGATCCCTAGAAAGTAGAGCATTTAATATGGTCACGGATGTTTTCATTCATCATCGTGGCCTTTTTTACAGTTGTGGTGGGAATGTTATACCTGTCATAGGGGATAGTTGGAATAAAATGTCATGTGCGTTTGAATTACATAATATATATATACTTACGGCAGGTCCCACAGGACCAGTCTCGCCTCGGGCTCCTTGTACACCTGGACCTCCCTAAAATTGTGCATATCTGCATCAAGACAACTGAACACAAAGACTGGGCTGGAATATCCTATATCTTTTAGAAGTTTCGACTATCATTAGTTGATCAGTTACCGTTACGTTTTTTTAACTAAACATAACAGGGCTTCCCCGCTCACCTACAAGGACTGCTTCACCGATGAAATGGAAGGATAAAATATAAGCGCAGTTATGGACTTACAGGTCTTCCACTGGATCCAGCGTCACCTTCAATACCACGATCTCCTTGTTCACCCTGAAGTGCAGTGGGGAAAAGGGATTGATTAACGAATAAACATAGTACTTATACAGCTAATTCGATAAAATGTTGTCCTTTATCAACATAGAACCTTGAACTCAAAGAATATATTGCAAATCACAGGGCGTTACAGATTTGACATCTTACCGGTCCACCAGGGGCTCCAGACATTCCAGCTACACCCTTCAAACCTTTCTCGCCCTAAAAAATACAAAGAAACAATTATGATGCATTTTAAAGTACAGTGACAAAATTAGGACGAGTGAATGTCTAATGTTTTTGAACGTCTTTCGACCATCCTACTGAAAATTATTGAACTTTTCAATCATTGTTTCAATTCGGTAATTTTTACAACACCGCCTGTTCGTCAGAGTAGTTAACCATAATCTCATGGTATTCGGTATTCATGTGAGTCTGTATCAAGACTCACCTTACCACCTTTATCACCTCGACTGCCCTTAGGTCCATCAGGTCCTTGTTGACCCTGAAATAATACAACATAAAGCGTACTTAGAGTTTGAAGAAATGCCAGGAGACGTGAAAAATAAATCGAAAACTTACGGGAGCTCCTGCTTGACCTTGGTCTCCAGCAGCACCTGCATTACCTGGAGGACCCTAAGAATGAACGAAGGATGATAAAGAATATTCATAAAGTTGCAACCTAACGCAGAGTTGCAACAGCATCCTCTAGGAGGATTTCAAGCTATATGAACACCTCCGTTTGATGTATTCACTGAAAGACCGCATTTTTAGAATACAAAATTTAAAACATACACGTTCACCAGGTGATCCATCTGCGCCACGACCTCCGATGTCACCTCGCTCACCCTGTTTAAGAGAATAAAAATATATTAAACACTGTGGTTGAAACATTTCTCATTCGCCAGTCAACTCCGTTGCTTTTTGCGGAACTAAATCTTAAATCTTTCCCACCATAATTCTCCCGCCATGTTGTGCAACCCACCATGTTGTGCAAACGTAGTTTTACATTTCGCTCAGAGCTTAAGTGAATTTATTACGTCTGATTCGTCATTCATAAAAATGATGTAAAAATCAAGGAACGTTTTGCACACGTAGTTATGCACCGAGAAATAACAGCGATCGAAAAATACTACTAAGATTGGGGCCGAATAAGACAAAGTGGCAGGTGCAGTTGTCCAGTTCAACAACATTTATCTCTCGATATTACTAGAAATCAGTATCTTCGCATTTTAAACTTTGGATTCTCCAATCACACAGTTACTCGCTGACTTAATTACTCGCAGGCCTAAATTTGTAACAACATATCTTTCTATCGAACTATCATATCCAACCAATACCTTCTTGGGTAATTTTAGTTAAAAGTTATGAACTTATTTTATTCATAGCAGTGACATACCTTAGGGCCACTGGGACCAGGACGTCCTTGGGCACCAGGATTACCATTTCTACCCTGTGAGATAGTGACGAAATGTAAGTCGATACACACAGTATGAGCAAAACCACTGTAACAGACACTCTTTACTTACAGGTCGACCATCTTGGCCAGGTTTACCATCACGACCAGGATTACCTTTTGGACCCTTGGGAAATACATTATGTCATTATGGTTATGTTATTTCATAATAAAAAAGTGTACTCTTAAAGAGTCACTTAATTATAATCAGCAGCATTTAGTAAAACCACATTGGTTGCTGTATTTGAAACAATAGCAAACATCAATTGCCAAATTAACGAAGTGCCATGTACATTATAAAGACATTTCACTGCAATAAAAATCATTAAAACCCCTGAGATTACCAAAAACGGAATAATACAACGCCTATGTGAGCTGCCTTAGTATTTTGACACATTGTCAGGTACCTTGCCGCCCTTCTCTCCGTTTTCGCCGGGAAGACCGGGTACACCTGGAAGACCGACTGGACCACGACGTCCCATCATGCCAGGAGGTCCCATTGCACCTTCAGGTCCCTAAATATCAAAATTACTTTTTAACATTTCGTACAAAAGATATAAACAACGCAAGGTGACATTTCAATAATTTATCATTGAATTGAAATTGTTACTGAGCATCTACTGTTGTAAAGTATTTGGAATTTGGAGCAAGGCAAGATTATACACTTCTAGATCTCAAACTCAGGTGGGCATTCACATCAACGAGTGAAAAAAAAATATGATAATGACTCAAGATGGACTACACACTCACAGGTTGGCCATCAGCACCAGCTTCACCGAGTGCACCAGGTTTTCCAGGTTGACCCTAGAGAACAGCATGCAACAACAACAAAAACGTTTCAAAACTATTTTCCTGAAAATCGTCAAAATAAGAAAGGTTTGGATTAAAGGAAATAAAATAGTAATAAAAAATTCCAATAAAAAGCCAGATAATTGGTCAGTGCCCTTGAAGGACGAAGTAATCCTGAATAGAGGTTTTTCAGCCTTGTTTTTACCATCTTACTTGTTATAGTCAAGTGCACTTACATGTACCCTCTACCTTTGCATGCGTCATGTAGCGGGACTCGGTTCTGGCTTAAGACCGCCCAAGGAAACGTGCCTTGTAATAAATCGTTAGGAGCAATATGCAAGCAAATGAAGTATAATCTTACCGCAAATCCAGCTGCACCTTGTTCTCCAGATTCTCCTTGTGCTCCCTAGGAAGGAAATAGTTTAAAAAATACACTGTATAGTGTATATAACACCCTAACTTTCCTTCTAGAACCCAGAACGGTGCGGATGTAAAATTGCGATGTAAATTGATGACAACTCAAGTCCTACATATATTAAACTGAGTGCACTGAACGTTTTAGAACAATCACTAAAAATTAATGAAATTATGATATACGAGTAAAAAAAATCGATTCATTTGGTTGTTTGAAATGTATCATAAAGTCATGCCAGCAGATACGAATATACATTTATAACATCCTCTAATGATAAAATTATTCTTAGTATGTAATTAACTTACCTGTTCACCCCGCTTGCCAGGTTGACCATCTGCCCCTTGGTAACCCTATAGTCAGAAAAACAGTACGCTCGTGTTATCACTTTTAATAAAGCTATAAAGCTAAAATTATTTTTTTGTTATCTTTAGCATTGGTATCATTAACCCCATTGTTAACATGGGAAAAGATTTGACCCACTTTTAGGTGAAGGGGTAGATTAATATAACAGATGTTCTCTACTTACCTTGCTTCCAGCAGGCCCAACAGCACCTTGTAGACCTTGTTCACCACGCTCACCCTGGTACAAAATGCATTCAATTAGTCATTCACGTGATTAGTCTTTCAGTATAACCACATGTATTATTCCATTATCCTTACATTGACACATAGTAAAATAGAACATATGTAATGAAGAGTGATGCATCTCAATATCCCATGCTACACATTTTAAAATTTAAATTCACCTGAGCTCCTTGAGGTCCAGTATCTCCAGCCAAACCTGGCTCCCCATCAGCACCCTGTATTCATAAAAGTAAGAAACGAGTTTGGCGAACTCAATGAACTTACAACTGCTCCACCCCCCTCCTTATCTGCTATGATCAGCTGCTATATATATATAATGCACTACGCATAAATGTGTACATTGGAAGGAAAGAGCTTACATCTTCGCCATCATTTCCAGGACGTCCCTGAGCCCCTTGCACGCCGCGATCACCCTAAAATATATAATGAGAGAAATCACAATCTGCCCAGACAATGATGTCTAAATGAAGATTCACTTAGACCAAAAATTATATTCAGGTTGACAGCTGTTATGAATGGAATTAAAAAAGTACTAACCTTCTCTCCTTTAGGACCATCTGCACCAACATCACCTTCGATACCTTGAGAGCCCTAGAGGATTATTAATATAAAATCAATCAGTGTATCAGTTGATCAACATAATACGAAGAATGACGTTGAAATTGGTAGTTTAATTAGAAAGACGGTCAATATCTAACCTGTTCTCCTTTGTTACCAGTAGGACCAGCGGGACCTTGAGGCCCTGCTTGACCTGCTACACCTGGGGGTCCAACTTGGCCGGTATTTCCAGCAGCACCCTAAGATTCAACACAATATATATATAATATATATATATATATATATATATATATATTAAAAGATCAAAAACATTCTATAATTCTACTCACTGATTCCAATTAATACTCATAAATAACCCTGCTGACAAAGATTACCTGTAACCAGCATTCTATTGGTAAAAAAACTTTAATGCTCACCTGGCTACCAGGCTTTCCATCAACACCATTTTGTCCAGTAGGACCTGGGGGTCCCTAAAAATGAAACAAAGAAACCAATCAATTATAGTTTTCAAATTGTCAATAAGGTAAAATTCGATGCCTGCAAAGTGCTAACTACTGTATGGTTATCACTGATTTGCCCACAACAATTCTAACAATAGGATTCATTTATTTATAAAACTGACCTAGATCTTTAATCTTTGTGTAAGCCTATTCTAAACCTTTTACCTCAATTTGGTGTTCTATTGAAATTGATTGAAATTTGTTCATACTTACACGACCACCCCGCGAACCCTTTGGCCCAGCTGCACCATCTTTGCCCTAAAAATATTTTGTTGAGATGATAAAGTTGTGTCAAATTCTCAACAAGGCCCTTAAACTGTGTAAGTTGGGGAGAACAGTGTAGGAATTTAGAACCACTGTGTTTTTTTACTAAAATGATGTACTCTTAGAAGCCTTAAAATACTGAAGTATTATGTAACATTTTACTATTCATTTACTAGCAGAATGCCGTCGTTCTACAGATACAGTATACATTTGCCTATACAGTGCGACAAGATAACTTCAGGTAAAGCTGCATCTAACTATTAAAAATCCATGTGGACATATGGAACCAGGCCAATTCACATAATAGGCTATTCAATTAATTCTTGAATTATCAAGGTACAATTAACGCACAAGCAATTTTATATTTCATTACCCTGGCTCCTTTCTGTCCATTATCTCCACGCCCTCCTGGAAGACCTTGATCACCCTAAAAGGACCATCAATTCACCCTTCATCACCACAAATTTCAAATATTAATACTTGTTATCATGTTTATAAATGTTAACAACCAAGCTCCCAGATGAAGACACAGCATACACTTAAGTTATATTTGTACTTGCAGAGAAAATACATGAATTACTTACTTTTGAGAATCTCTCTAAAAAATTTTCATACCCTGTGTATGTTTAGGGTTATGACTACTTGCCAACTATAAATAATAAATCATTATACTGAAAATATGTACCTTAGGTCCAGTAGGTCCTGTACGTCCCAATGCACCAGCAAAGCCTGGATCACCCTATAAAATATCACTTTGAACATAAATATTCAATAATATGTTCATAAATTACATAACTTAAGTATATTTACCTTAACTCCTGAAGGACCAGGTGCACCTTGACGCCCTGTTCTTCCTGGGGGACCCTAGAAATATATAATGATATTGAATCACTATCAATTATATATGTATACACCTGATTTTTGTGTAAAAATCACAGTCAAGTAAAGGGGCCTACTAAAAACCGCCCGAGAGTACAGAAAAACCGCCCAAGACTTAGAATGTAAAATGTTAAACATCGGTCTCAGTTCTGATAGTGTAAACATTTTTCTTATCTAGCCTTATCCTAATTCTAAATAAAATACACTTTATTTTGTATGTTTTGTGTGGTCAGAGATATAAACAAACACTCCTGAAGTTCCTATAATATTACCATAATGGGAAGATTAGCTATTTGCCATACATTAGTTAGAGGAAACATGAAACCCATTCAATATTAAATTTTAGTCACTTACAGATTTTCCACTGACACCAGGATCACCTTGGTTTCCAGGTGGGCCGGGTAATCCCTGTTAATGATAAAATTAACAAATGGTAAAAGTCATTTAGACAGCATTTCTGCAAGTTTTAGTCAAAAAGAGGTTGATACTAAGGGAAACTATAATACTAGTGAAAATAGTATGAGTATGATAACAAAAGATATTTGAGATAACATAGCTAATTAGGGTGAGAGAACAATGGCATAAAGCATTGCTAAAAACAAAAACAGCTGTCCCTATTAAAAACAGCTCAATAATAAAACATGTCAGTAGCCAAAGTGGAAAAAACTAATTCTACCTGATTTCCTTTAGGTCCGACTGGACCTGCAAGTCCGCTTTGTCCGTTGCGACCCTAGAGATATAGAAATCATTATATTGACTACCATTTCTTCTTCAGTATATTTATGTAGCAAATTATGAAATGTAGGGTTCTTTAAAGTACATAAGCTCAATCCTTTATTCAGGTCAAGCATGCAAGACTCACCCTTTCTCCACGTGCACCAGATGTTCCAGGTGGACCAGGGGGACCCTAAATTGACATAGTAAGTGAGAAAGCAAGTAATGGGATAATTCTTTCAGTGTAATGCTAATTTCCTTCTTACCATTAACAATCTAAAACTCCTATGCAAATGCCTACAGTAGGTACACCTCAAAATTGGTAATCCAATGCTATCACTGTTTATAGAATAGCAAGTTTGCAATAAAGAAAAGTTCCAATTACACAATTATCTTTTCACTGGGAGGAAGTACATAGTTAAAACAAGTGTCACTAAATTCTACCTTGTTACAATTCTACCTTGTTAAAAGGAATATGCCTGAGTTTTTAAATAGCAGGTATGAAAACACAACTTACAGGACTGCCAGGGCTTCCTTGGTATCCAGTTGGTCCAGGTTCTCCAATGCCACCCTAAAGCAAAGTGGTAAACACATTAAAGTAAACCATCTTTGTACACATTAACAGAGAATTTTGCTTTAATTGGCTATTGTACATGTGTGAAAGATTTGCTTAGTGGGATACAACAAACAATATTTTGCAAACTTCTTTAGTATGTGCTGCTACAAAAGTGCCCCTTCATAAAAACCTGCTCTCACCCTCTTTTGCCCTCACATTGGTCCAGCAACCCTGACCAGTTATGTACAACTTGTATACAAGAAAACCTCTCAATGCAGTTGCACCTGCAGAACCACATTTCATGACAAATCATTGTGACTTGAAACACCTGGACTGTTCTTTTGTGCCCAGCATGTATTACCATTGTTATACTTAGCTTGCAAGTACTACTCATCGAGTACAGTCTGTGACATTATTGAAGAGTCACTTACCCGATCTCCCTTGGCTCCAGGGCCACCTTGCACACCTTCAGCCCCACGTGCACCTTTGGAACCTTTGCTGCCTCTTGGGCCTGTATCACCAATTCGTCCTTGATTTCCAGGATTTCCAACTATTCCAGTTTCTCCCTTTTCACCATTTGCACCGGGGGCACCAGGACTACCTGGGATACCAGGTGAACCAGATGGACCCTATTATAATGAACATTTCATTCATAAAAGTAATAATTCACATAATAATGCATGTGGCAAGGTGAATAGTATAGGAACATACCTGTCCACCAGGTGGCCCAGAAACACCAGCCAATCCACTAGCACCCTATGTAAATAAAAACTTTTTACAGCTCACAAATGAAAATTTTTACATGTTTCAACTCACATTACACTGCTCACATTACAGCTGCATTCATTCATATGCAAATATATATCAAATACATCATATATCAATATACTCTTACTAAAACAGCAATTTTTATATACCTGAGGACCCTTGACTCCTTGCGCACCCTTAGAACCAGGCTGACCAGGCTGGCCCTGTTTTCAAATAAGACATTAAATGGCATGGGTAAAATTGTAGATATACACAGATGGAAAAACGACGGTAATATCATATTACCATATCCAATATTGCCTAGCTCAAAATGGTTAGCTAGATTCAAAATAATTATAATTGTATACATGCTCTTTATTGAAGAACTGCTATTTTCTACTGCTGTGAATATTAATATAAAACAAGCAACAAAAATCAAAAGGAACATACAGGCTGTCCATCTCTTCCATCTTTTCCAGGGTCACCAGGTTCCCCCTAAACATGAAAAGGGTTGACAAATTGAATATATATATACCTAGGTTGATTGCAGAGAATTACATAGATTGATAAATTAAACATAACACAATGAGCAATTAGTACTCACATTATCCCCGGGCATGCCTTGTTCACCTGCATCACCAACAGCACCAGTTTGACCCTAGTTAAAAGAATACAAAATTTATATATAGTAAATATGTAGAAACATTAATTTCTATGCAAGAATTCCTCATTCGTTAGGCTATTGCAAAAACAATGGGTGTGAATGCAGTTAAGTAAATAGGGTAAATAAGTACAATAATTCAATATGTACTTACACGTTCTCCTTTAGAGCCTTGTAGACCTTGTCGGCCTTGTCTCCCTTGAGGCCCCTAAGATAATATACATTGACAATTTTAACTACATTTGTTTAGAATAGTTTTAACACATACCTGTGAAGGCAGGGTTGGAATCAGTGGGGTAAATGTACAATTTTTCTTGATATTATCTAGACAGTTTTACCTGCGGCATCAGTCATTTGTGCAAGCAAAATCATATATACATAAATATACTCTACATAAATATACCTGAGGACCATCAAGACCACCTTCACCTACAGAACCTGGATCACCAGCGGGACCCTAAATTAGTGAAAAAATGTTACACAATGTAAACTACAACCTGTACTGTGAAAGTAATAGTACGCTCAAGCTCAGTTTTGACTAAATGATGATGTACTACACTGTTTTACTGTTCCAGTTCAATGTACAACACCTCTAGGCAGGATAGTTCTATTGGCAAATTTGACAAAGTCAATACATACTCGTTCTCCAGGTGTTCCATCACGACCTTTTACACCTTTCAGACCTGGTTGTCCCTAGATAGTTAGAATATATAGTTGTATTTGTATATAATTATAATGTCAATTTATTAGTAGAGTGTTCTGTGTACTATATTGAATTCCAAATAAAAATAATGCCTAATACATACAGGATCTCCACTTGCACCAGCCTCTCCAGGTATACCAGGGTCACCTCGGTTACCCTAAAATAAAAAAAATAAGACCTTTACTTATAAAACCCTTAGTTCTATGGCCTTAGTACATAGAAAGTATGCATTAACACCAAATATTTGCATTACAGTACCTCTCGACCAGGGGGGCCAGATCTTCCAGGGGGACCAGGAGGACCCTAAATAATACAATGTTGAAGTTAACTGCATTGTACATGTCCAAATAGATGAAGCACAACTACATGTAAAATTTGTCACAAATAGCATGTATTATCGCACATACAACCTTCTTTACAACCATGTTTGTTGTGTGGGCTGTACATACGATATAGTTTATATCTGTTGTTTACTTACTGCTGGGCCAGCTGGACCAGGAATGTATTGATACTCGTTAGGTCCAGGACCTTTACCACGATCATCATCAGCAGGCTAAAAAATAAAGTAACTATCAGAACATCGATATTTTGAAGATGTCACACAAAACACAACCTTCTCCTATCAGGTCAGTCTTTATTTTTCAATTTTTAATTATTCCTTATTTTTCCATATTTACTGTACAAAAAGGGGTGGGGAAAATACTTAAATTTTGCAAGGTTAATGTGAAGAAATTGCTTTTACATCTAGAACCTGCTAGATATAATAATTTTAATGGCATGATATGAGATTGAATAGTACTAACATTAAAAGCTACGCCTGGTCCAGGTGGGCCTGGTCGGCCTCCATCACCTGGGTCACCATCTGGGCCTGGTCCACCGGTGGGACCCTAGAAAAATGTAATCATATATATAGTAATTAACGTAAAAGGCAATAACAGAAATATCCTGGGTATAATTTAACACTTTGAAAGGAATGATAACAGTTATAGAATATGCATGCAAATAGTAGAAAACTTATGAGGAAATACAAAAAAATTAACACACTCAACAACATTGTCATCAAGCGTAAGTTCAGTCGCCATTTTTGGTCACAGGAAATTCCTTACAAAAATAGCATGTGTACCACTGTACTCTTTTGTCTGGTTTGATCTGAACAAGATCTTTAGGATGCATGTTTTCCAATACTCACCCTTATTCCTGGTGGACCTTGCCTTCCTGGATCACCTGGAAAACCATTAGGTCCCTAAATAAGATAAGACCTATGTAGTAAAATTTTTAAAAACAACATTTAGAAACATAACAATTGCTTGTTCGCATAAATGAACTGTTCATAGGTTTTTGTTGATATTTTTCAATATGTAGCCATGGCCAGTTGGCCCAGTGCCAATGGCGTTATTGAAAACAATCATCGCAGAAAATGTGGTATAACAACTGTCTGAAAAAAACAAAACAAAAAATTTTTCAACCATGCCTGTTAGGAGTAAAGGCCTTCATCAGGTGCATTCCTTTGACAGAACTCACAGAAGTTATTTTTGTCTATTTTAGGCAGTTGTTCTATCATATTTGATGCGAAGTTGTTCGAAAACGCTGCCACCTGTGCAGCCATGCCCTTCCTTACTATCTTATGTATATAAGCCCTTAGAAGTTGAATAATGTTTCAGAAGAAAGTTAGCCAAGGATGAATATGAATTAGTACAGAAACGGATCCAACATTTGCGTAAGAATAAATCGTCCTGAACGTTTGTTTCACATTTTATGTGATATCTCAGTATGACAGTATCAAATGTTAGTTACGTAATTACCATGAGCTGGAGTCATACCTATATAATTACATAATTATTAAATATCATGGGAGCTATTGGTATTTGATATAATTGTTTTATATCAATATCATAGCCAGATATCATTATAAAAATGCGCAAACCTTTATGAAATTCTCGTCACAAATTTTCATTTTGCTAGCTATCTCATTCACTTGCTGAATTTTTTTCGTATACAAGCTGATATAACAATACAGTGAGTACTAAGCTTTCTAGGTCATTCATATCTAACAAATGCATCAAAAAAACGGACGGAAAACTTAATTCTCTCGATTATTATAAGACATTACTTATTTTTCAAAGATATGCATGTGTGTAACCTTAATTGTCATCCAATGAAAATTGCGTCGAGACTGCGGTGAAAGCTGACAATGTCTCATTATTTCAATTTGCGTGTTTTAGATATTGCGTGCTGCATTGTACCACTGACACTACTGTGTTGCAGTTGCACAGTGCTGCTGAAAAGTAGTATTATACCAGGAAAACAGAGGTCACCACAAATCAGCGTTTTACTAAAGGCCCGTACAGGTGGGCTAGTTTTCTTTAACAAGTTTCCTTGCCAAGTTTAATTTGCTTGTGTGTACGCGAAAAAATTTTCCTTGACAAGGAGCCTTGTTCAAAAGCTAGTCATGTCAGCTTTTCAAGAAGGAAACTGCGCACCAATATCTTCGAGCCAGTTGAGCGGTTTTTGGAGGTTTTATCTTTTCTGTTTGTTTTGAGATTCGATCGTATATCACATTGTCGTAAATATACTCGACATATATATTACCGTAAAACTTAATTGTCAAGAAAAACTTGTCACGGCAAACTTGTTGGCCACACACACGAGCAAGTGAACTGATCAAGAAAACTTGTCAAGGAAAACTTGCCCGTCTGTACGGGGCACAAAGATAACCCTGATAACTAGTAAATAAATCTTGAAGTGTTGTAGCACTGAAGTACAATTAAGTAAGTTTAAGGTAACATTGAGAAATACATACTGGTGGGCCTTTTGGTCCTTTAGGTCCCTTCCCTATGAAAAAATAAAAAAATCGACATTGTCAGTTGAAAATTACTTAAACAAGGTCATTGTATTTGTATAATCGTTTCCTTAGGACGGGCGTTTCGTTGTTAAGATTAATGATTCACTTCATGGAACTATTCCACGACAGTATTTTCACTTTATTCAAAGTATTTTGCGATAAATAATAACATCACGGAACATGACTGCTGTCTGCTGTTTTATACTAATACAATTTGTCGGAATAAAGGTTGTATGTAACTGTTAGTTAGAGCATGTTCACACGATCCAATTTATGTGGGAATCATTTTACTTGCAATAAATGCCTTTTAGTTGACTTGTAGTTGTAATGTAAGCAAACCTAGTAATAGCAACGCCGCATTTAAATTAAACAGGCCGCATTCTGTATGTACCTACGGTATGTCAGAGGTGAATGGGATCAGACTACATAAGATCGTATCGAACAGAACTTAATTGTTACATCGTCGTAAAACTAGGTATAACGTTCCATCAATCTGCCATAAGATTTTTAACACGTAGCTTACTCGTAAATAAAAAAGGGGAAATTTCCCTGTTATGCCCCTATAAAAATGGACGAGGAGCTATTTTTTAAATTTGCCTTGGCTTGGCAACAACACAATTAAAAACCCATTCTTCAAGTCATACAGATTTTCGAAGCTAGTAGGTTCTGAGAAGTCATTGAATTCGCGACTTCAGTAGAAAAAGCTCGGCATGCACATGGTAAATGCCAATTACATTGCCTTTGGACTGTAAATCCACACACTATTCTGTGACCTTATTTGAGATTACCATATAGGAACTATAGCCACAAGGTACAAGTTTCCGGTATCGGAGCTTCAACCACGAGCGTAAAGTGCACACAGCAAGTCAGCAACACATATCTTAGATAATTTAACATTGCAGTGTAAATAGGCTTTTAGAGTCGTAAGAAACAAAAAGTTTTTGTTTTTGTTTCGACACACGCCGTCGTGGTCATTTCATGTTTCAAGATCTACATGTGATTCTACAATTCGGATTAAATTTACGTATGACCGGTCAAAGGACGCGTCCACAACAAGGACGCATTCATGAGTAGGAGATATTCGTTTGCGCAAACTGTGCGCGAACACGGATATACAATTTATATAACGCTTTGAATTATTGCATTTGTCCCACAATGAACAAAGATATAAAGGACATGGCTGCAACATTCCATACAATAAAACAATGTTTGAAATGCTCCAGACATATTTTTATTACTAATATAATGAATATACAGCACGATTTTGATAGTCCCGACAGAACGTATGCCCTCACAGTCTCTAGATACATATTTCTCTAGCAATGAAGCTATAACATAAACCAACGCAAATCTATACCGCAGCTATAAGCCCATAATTTATATATCAAAAGAGGATTTTTTGCAATTTTATATAAACTCATACCGCGCGTTTTAAAAGAATGCGCGCATTGGCATACGGCACGAATGCATATTGTAACAGACTGTTTATAATGATAAAGATATAAACATGAGCGCAATAACAAAATAATGAGGAATACGATGTTTATCGTGAATTGATCAAACTAGGAGCATATTTAGTAAACATCTTTTCTTACCATCTTGCGAGGCCACCAAAGTGACGGCTAACACCAGTACTGCGAAAGTACTAAGAACTCTCATCGCTTCAACTGGAAGCCAAACTGTTCCTCAGGTAAATGCAAATCCTTTTCGATAAAAGGTAAGGCGTAAAGAGGGACGACTAGCGACCAGTTAGAGAACAATCGCGTGTGACTAGGACACTGAAATCAGCCGTGCTAAACCAAGCCAGCCAATCGGTGTTACCTATGAATGGCTGCGTTCAGTCTGCGTCGACAGTCAGGGCGCTGACATGGATATCAAATGAATAACTGCATTGTTCCGCATGAAGCATTCGCTTGTATTTAATAATATTAACCAGATCATGAATCTATTATACTCAGTTTAGAGTCTCATCACGTTAAATCCTCACGCAATGCTAAGCGCAGGGTATAAAATATCTTTTCTATATCTCGCGCAAAGAAAAAACGAAGAAAAATGAAGCCAAGGAGCATATATTTTTCAAGAATGCGTTCCAAAAATATGACAGCGGGTTAGGTCAAATGAGCCGATTATTGTCAATGATTACAAATAATATCTGTCTAACCCCAGGACACAGGAAGTTACCATGGCAATGCTTAATTATTCTAACTTATGCCGGTCTCTGAAATATCACAACAGCCATTTAAAATCGCCATTGATAGAAACGCGCAAACGATATGAATAAAACGCGCAAACCTAAACTTTCGCGAACAAGGACGATTTGCATATGTTAAAACGAGTCCGATAGATAAAAATGTAATGTAGGTGGTTTATGATCAGCTATTATATGAAAACCAAACGTGCATGTCTACTGAATTGATAGAAACCTATCGTGCGCCAAAAATATATCACGCTGATTATCGCTATTATATTGACTTGAACTTGTTCATAAAGTCACGCAGCAATTTTTTGGAAAATTAATTCATTGTTATAAAGATTCGCGAGAGTATGACAATGATTAAATTATGACTGAAGTGGCACACTGACCATTATTATTCTCCGTAGACCTCTGAATGAAGTCAGTCACTGTGGATTAACGCGAGGTTTGAGATTTTTGTTTACGCACGCGATCGTTTTGCCCTTCTCTCATCCGAACAAGCATTCGCATACGAGCAAGCCCGTTTACTGTAGCTTGAGTTGACTACCATCTAAATAATAGCCTTCACTGCGTACTGACAATTTACTCAGTTGCATTGCTCAAGTGAACGGTTTATCAAGCGCCTGGGTACGAGCCAGCCACTTCAACAAGCCTGCATGTCATAGGTATAAAACACGTAAGCCCTTGCGGACGGAAAAGCATCTAAATGCTTCGAATAACATTGGACTGGTCTTAGACTAGTCTGTCTTCGTACTGACGTGTCATGTGCACTCATGATCAACGAAACATACAGACACGTATCGCAACTTACAGTTTTCAAAAATTTATATAAGTTATTAAGCTCGAAATGCTGCCAGTTTGAGAAATTTTGTTTGTTCTTGTGGTATTAAAAAATTAGCGCCGTTTTCTCGCATCGCGGAACTAAACTACTCCCTTGTTACTTGTGTATTTTGACATCACTACTTTCGAATCAAATTCACGGAAAGACAAAATATAAATAGTTATTTCTATTTCGCGTTTTACGGAAAACCCGCATCGGCCCTTATCCCCCCCCCCACACACACACACACCTAAATTCTGCGATTTCGCATTGACAGTGTTAGTTCATCGGTATTTCTTATAATATATAGTCGAGATAGAAGCTTAGGCCTGGTTTAAACTGACAAATTTTCTGAGTGATCACAGTTGGCATTTTCAAACGGCAAATTTTAGTAAGTTTTAGAGGCGTTGGGTATACAAATATTCAAGGAACTAAAAAAGTGATTGACACTGAGTTATACTTCATCATGAAACTCGCCACAACTTGGAATTTATCAATACCGGAACACATGCAGGAACCTTGACAGCGTAAACCAGGCCTAGCAGTATATTGTATTCAAAACGTGGGATTAATTAATATGCTTTGATCCTATATAGCCCTTCAAAATCTTGTGTCGGTTGCCACCTTTATATCTAGTCACACCCCTTACTGTGGTACTCACCAGAAGGGAGATTTGCCGCGTCTATACAAGTCGTAGTTCCCGGTCGACATTCATGTGGCACACAGCATTTTTGCCTTGGACCACATTCATCATCGCTTGTACACGTATCTTCAGGTTCTCGACCACAAATTGGGGATGGAATAGGGCATGTACCTATCAGGTATTGAAAATTAAAGAACATGCTGTAAAAACCAAAGTATAACACAAGGGTCAGCATGAGCCACATTTTCGGGGCAATTTAAAACGAATCACGGCTTTTGTATTTGCCACCGGCAAATACGCTAGTTCGTCATTACTCATCACCGTCGCCATATTGTAAAAGAGAGATGGAGAGAGAGTTTGAGGAATACAGGGTAGGGTGTATAAAAAAACACCACTTTAATAATTCCCAGAGGCCTACGATCTTTCGTTACTGAATAGAAGCGAACATACGTATATTGTTGTTTGCAGTTTTTTTATACAAACTGTACAGGCAGGGTGATTAAAAAAGTGATGCCTTTCATACTCAAATTAGCCGCGATCTTTATATGACTGGCCTATTGTGACAATTCCCTGGTGTCCAACAGGACGTAGTTGATTATGCGAAAGCGTTTAAAGCAATTTAATTAACTCATTCAACGTGACGCGTGTGCTATAAAAACAATTTGATAAACGGTTTATTATTATTTACAGAGATTATAATAAAAAAATGTTTACAAGCTATACGCCACGTCCTTCAACATGATCACCACTTTTTCAGCACAAAATAAGAGTTGTTCGCCTGTGCATATCACGAAACACTCTCTGAATCATGTCAGGTCGCTGCCGTAATGTGTTGAATCCACTGATCAGTGGTTGAATCACGTATTACTAAATGAACCATTATGTGTTGCCAACAAGTAAAATGACTGACTATATAAAAAGTCGTCCAGTTCCATGCAAATTTCTACACTTTTATTATTTCTCGCAAGATTAGTTAGAATAACCTCCAAAGGGAGCACAATTAATATTTTAGATGAATTATTGTTCACTTATTTGACATGCTTCGTACACCCATGAGTTATTTAAGCAACTTCTGTTTAACTATGTGCCTAATTTGAATTTGAAAGGCATCACTTTTTTTTCTCACCCTCTACAACGGTCGGCAAACGCCTATAAAGTCCCGTACAGACGGGCAAATTTTCCTTGACAAGTCTTCCTTTCCAAGTTTTATTTGTTCGTGCATGTGTACGCGAAAAAATTGACAAGTTTTCCTTGACAAGGAGCTTGTTCAAAAGCTAGTCTGACATGTCAGCTTTTCAACGAGGAAAAATTCTCGCAAGGAAACTGCGCAACAATATCTTCGAGCCAAATGTGCGGGTTTGGGAAGTTTTATCATTTTTGTTTGTTTTGAGATCGGTCGTATACTCATTTTATCATGGTTCATATTGCCGTAAAATATACTCAACATATATATCATCTTTAAACTTGTCAAGAAAAATTTGTCAATTTTTTTACGTATATGAGCAAATAAAACTTGGAAAGGAAAACTTTTTCGCCATACACACAGGTCAAGAAAAATTGTGAAGGAAAACTTGCCCGTCTGTACGAGGCTTAACCCAAAGTGCTCATCAACATCGGCATTGATCCTCAAAGACAAAGCGAATGTAAATTATACATGGTTTAAGTGTACAGGGTGTCCCAAAAAAAAAGCAACCACTTAAATATGCAGAACATTAATACATCTCTAAAGCGCAATACAGGGTGTATCAAAAAAAAGGAGACCTTTAGAAATCAAGCTATTGTTAAAATTTGAATGCCTTTTTAATTGCATTTGCACATATGCTGAACCGTAGTGCGTGAAATATTGATGGCATGCATGCATACATTAGAAAATGAATTGACGTTTGTACACAAGATTGTCAGTTCGCGATATGCACAAGCGTACGGTAGTTTGTGTTGAGAGAAATGGAGGCAACGTTGGAGGTCATGGTCCATGACATTCAGTTCTTTTGATGTTCAATTTATCAGTAATTTTCATTCGGGATCGAAATGTCAAGTGAATCTGTGTCAGATCAAGTTGTAATTCATTCCTGACTCATGTAAACATTTTAATAGGCAGAGTTTGTAAAATGGGATGCTGAGCCATTCCGGATTCAAAGTCAATTCTAACTCATGTGAACAGCCCTAATGCTCGCACGCAGTGTTAAAAATTAATGAACAAATGATTTGTTCATGTTTTGAAGGAACAGCTAAAGCAATTTACCACGCATACTGTTATCGCTTTTGTGCTTAGTCGTTTGTGCTTAGTCATTTGAATATTTTTGGGTCGTTATTTTTCCATATGCTATTAAAGTTATTTTCAAATTCCCAGGAGCAGACAATCTTGTGTACAAATGTCAATTCATTTTCTAAAGGTCTCCTTTTTCTAATGTATGCATGCATGCCATCAATATTTCACGCACTACGGTTTAGCATATGTGCAAATGCAATTGAAAAAGCATTCAAATTTTAACAATAGCTTGATTTCTAAAGGTCTCCTTTTTTTTGATACACCCTGTACAGGGTTTCCAAAAAAAACGAAAACTATTGAAATCACTCATTGTTAAAATTTGAATGCCGTGTGTACGAATTTCAGCCCGTGGGGATTTAATGCAAGTTTAAAATGCTAAATGCTTTGTGTTGCTAGAGAAAGGGGACATGTCGAAGGTCATGGTCCTTTAAATATTGTTATTCATATTTGTAAATTGTAAATATTGTTAATAAATACCATTTTTGCATGCATCATTTGCATGCATCATATGCATGCATAAAAATGAGTATGGTAAACATTTATACACTTGTGGGTCCCAACAGAGTGCTTAAGCATTCAAACTCTAACAATTGCATTGTTATGGGTGATTTCAATAGTTTTCGTTTTTTTGGGGACACCCTGTAGATAAGCACCTCTGGGAATTGAAAATGGCTCTTAATCCTTCATTTACAATGCTATAAAAGTCATTTTAGCTGAACTATGGTGCAAACCCGAACAATATTAATATTCTTGCATATTTAAGTGGTTGCGTTTTTTTTGGGACACCCTGTATAAACGGCATAAACAATTGTAATTCACAAACCTTTTTTCTCACCTAACATGCATAATTTAACCTCATATAATTATCATCTGATTATCTGTTGTTTGAATCGCATTCAACGCAAGAAAAATACGACATTTAAACCAGGCCGAATTGTTATGCGTGATTTCTTTTCGGGGTTCTTTAATGTTCCATTTTGGAATTAAATGTTCTCCAGTTTGGGAGTTTGCTAATCGCTCGATAGAACTTTAGTCAACTGCGCCCTGTTGGACACAAGGGAATTGTCTAGTAATTTAAGTATTTGTCAATTATAAGTTCGCAGCAAATTTGCGTATGAAGAGGCATCAGAGTTTTTGTGCCTGGCGCACACTGGTGAAATTGGCACGTACACATACTTATCCCTCGTGAAAATTGTCACCTTTACTTATTCCTAGTCTGCGGGGACCAAATTGAGATATTATGTCATTCGTGCTCATTTTTACGACATGATTGACAGATTACTCAAATCTTCCCCGCAGACTAAGAACATGTGTAGGTGACAATTGTCATGAGTGACATGTGTGCTAAGTTCACATTTCACAGTGTGCGCCAGGCTTCACTTGAGTAGATCATTGGCACATTGGGTAGAGTAAAGGCGGCCTAGAGTAATCCAGAGTAGATTACCCCCCCATAGAACGGATTTAAACACGCAATGCGTTGATCCCACGCGGAACGTCAGGGATGCGTTCCTCCACGCGGAATAATGTGTGCACATGGATTAAGGCTGTTTTTCATTACATTCTTTGAAAATCTGCTCATGCGGACGTAGTGGAGAATCGGCTTTACGACCCTGTATACTTGCGTAGCGTACTAAATGGACGACTTGTGCATTAGATCAATTTCTTTAGAAAATTTGTACGACTTGCGCTTCAGAATATTTTCTAAAAAAACTAATGTAATGCTTGTAACTAATTTAGTTACACATTTCCGCACGTAATACAAACGTATACAAAACTTCGCATGGCTATATTATCCGTATTTTACAAAATTTCGCAGCCAAACTTTGTATTTGCTCTTTTCAGTTGTTGTTATTTTTTTTTCATCTTGTTACTTAGATCAAAAATTAGTCTAAAGCGCAAACGTGTGCGCACATGCTATTTTAGGACGTAATTAAGGATTCGCGAGAAAAATATTTTATTTCGTAATAATGAATTATTTTATATTCTTATTTATTTATTTTTAAATCTGTGTATAATAACTTGCCATCGCATATCTTTACTGTACACCGTCGTGAGTGGAAATGTCAATAGAGATTGAGTAGAAATGGCAATAGAGATAAATAATGATTTGTAAGAACATAATGTGCTTAGAAAATTACTATAACTCCTAATACTTGCAAAAATGTTATCAGTGAATAGGAAAGAAGGAAAATATTTAATTAATCATGAAGGATCAATAAATCAATTGAAATTCATATTCAACTCCTCAGTTCTGCTGTATGGGTTTGTGTGCATATAGCGTAATGTGTGAATGCAAAGTAGTTCAGTGGTTAAAGCTTTGCACAGACATCGCCCTGGTCGTAGGCTTGATTTGATTCCTGCCAGAGGCTGATCTATTGCTGAATTTTTCTTACTGACTGCTCTCCGTAAACCCTGTGATATGTCTTTACCTGTCACTCGATGCTAAGTTATTATGTCTATAATATGTATTTCTGTTTTGAAATGAATACAAAAGTTTACTTCCTGAAACTAGATAAATGTAGACTTATCACGCCTTAGATTCACTTGCGAGCAAACCAATCAAAAACAAATAAAACATTTAAACATTCTATACAGTTATAGAAACATGCTTTTCGACCAATCAGCACGCGGGTGCTATAATTTTATATTATAATACCTATATTTGTAAGGGTGCTAAAATTATAATAAATGTTATTGTACATTACTGACTGTATATGAAATGATTGAATATGAAATCAAAATAACGATTATAGTTAAAAAAATATAACGTTAAATGTTATATATCAAAACCACAATTAACCATTTTATAGAAAAAATGATAATATATGAGATATAATACCTGGCCTAAGTCGCGGACGTGTAAGTGTGAGTATAGCAAGGGTATGGCTTTTCAACTCATTACCACTCAAATCATGTACTGAACAAAAATATCGTCCAGCATCATTCCATACCAATTTTCTAATCGTCAATATATGTCCATATTGTTGAATATTTCCACCAGTTTTTAAAATATTCTTGGCCCCCAGAAAATTAGTTTTATAAAATTTATATGTGTCATTCTTGTTCTCGACGGGGCATGCGAAATTGTGGGATGAACCAACCTCACGAACCCTAAATACTAAAAAAATTATACACATAATATATGCATTCTATCAAGTGAAGATTTATTTTACCGAGATTATATTAATGTGGAGTATCCTAAAGCTGTGTAGTTGGATAGAAAACTCATATCAAGTGACCTTTCTCGCGACCAATATTACGACCAAAAATAGCATATATGCAAGCAGTGACGTAATTCCATGTGCGCAAATCATCAAAACAGTTTCCGTGTTTTGATGATTGAAAACCTCACTTTAATATTTGAAAACATCACTCAGCCTTTGCGTGCTGTAGCTAAAAGCCAAACCAAACAAGAAACAAATAAATTCTGGCATATATCCAATTCTATATGCATGAAAGCTAGAAAACCTCTCGCAAAGCGCTTTAGCTACGACCAATTCAATTGTGGTATAGTATACTTTCACTTCTCTCGTTTTGATCCATTCTTGAAAGTGCTGTCTTTGATGAAGTGTTGTAATAGGTTCAGTCTATAAGATACAATCTTATAGACACCTATTACAAATCAATAAAAACACTTATGATTAATTGATATGACCCCACTATGCTTATACTGTGCAACACATGGTGATGGTCTATCTTGTCGTAGCACGCTTACTGTTACCTAATGCATTTTGTCACATTCGACTTTTTTATATCTTGTAAAATTTGCAATAATTTTTAGAAAGGTATAACATGGATGCGCCTTAAATTATAAACCTTTACAAATCATGAGTTAATACAAATTACTGGAACCTAGTTGACAAAGTATCACAACTTTCAACAGCTTAAAACAGTTTACTCCACGCGGGACAAAAATATAACAGGATCTTTCAAACGAACTTTTTTTGCAGCTGTATGCCATACTATATAGCTGACTTTTTAGGGGTTGTAAATTGACCCACAGACTCGTCATTATTTAATTATTTAATTCAAGTGATATCACGTAACCTCGTTCTGCAAACTTAATGACAATAACAAAATCAGCTAACCGCGCAATTTGCTCCATTGTCGAACCTAGCTCGAAATCACACTCAATTTAAACACTAGACTCATAGTAGATTGTAGAATTTTTCATCTGGAAACGCTCGACCCCCATTTTTACCGGTGATGTGCGTTCGGAATGTGTTGATTTCGGTTAACGATCATGAACAAAAATTTTAACATTATAACCTCACAGGCTCACAGCGTATGTGATTCAAAAGGTTACCCGTAAAATGAGTAATTTAACAACAGTGATGGGCTCATATGCTTTAATTAACAACAAAATAGCACTCTATTTGCACATGCATGGTCTCCAATATGACGACACATCAGAACGAGGCAAAACTGACATCGCAAATTTCCGCCCGACGGACGCAAATTATTTCAAAATTAAAAGGCACAGCGTCAGTTATGCCAAGTTAACTATAAAACATCGATATGAATTCGGTTGAAAGATTAAACTGAACATCAGCGCACTCACCTTCAGAATGCGCTGGAAATATTTACATGAATATATAGGCTCCAAAATTTTCGCCAACGAACAATGGTCCTATTGTATCAAATTGCCTCAACCTCACGCATTTGATAGCAACGCAATTTTAGCAAACATTGAATGAGCGGTTAACGGTATGAGTATTTTCATTCCGTCTCCCTACTTGATTACTGAAAGAAATATAAACTCTAGTAATGGGAAAACTGTCAAATTTTTCGCAAATCCACGGGGGCCATAATTGCAATTCGTGTTTACATTGTACCTGCCCGGCAGTGATGAAAACTGTTCGCTCCTTGAAGCATTGGATAGAAATGCTTCAAATTCAATATTGTTATTTATTAATAATAGACGTGTTAGTTTACCTGGCCTTTGTGATACAATCTCCTGCCAAGTACTCACAAAAACTAGCAAACAAAGGCAGAGTCGAGTATACATTCTCAGTCTGGTCTAATATATCCCAGTATGTGGTTCCTGAAATGCGGAGTCTTCGCAAATAATAAGAGCCTGTAGCTTCTGTCCTTGTTAGGAACAGACCAATGACTCTCTCTTTCCTCGTGGACTGCCCCCACTTGTGCAAACCACAGAATGTTCGTGATCGCAAACCTGATCCCCTGAGAAGAGAGCACCTCAGGAACTGTTATCGGATCCAGTCAGGTGACTGCATGATCAACGCTCCTTTGAGGGGATTACTCTGGGATTACTGGCGAATAACTTAGCATAAAAGGCGGTGCTTGGTAGCTCTTAAGGTGGGTTCTCTAATATAAAATGTCAATTTTGAAGCTTATTGTAAAGAAACGTAGCGTGTATCATTGTCTCTGGGATCTCGGCTAGAACTAAACACTTTAAAATAAAGTAATACGCCACGTTTCATTTAGTTGCAAACTTGCAGTTGACGTGGAAAACAGGCCCCAGTTACACGGGCGATTTTTGTCGTCAATTTTCTTCTCTGTACGCTGTAAGTATATTTAACAGACTAGGTTACTTTACTTCGCCCAGCTTATACAACCGCGTACCTAAATTCAAAAAATAACATACGCTAGAAAGAGAAAATCACCGATGAAAATGGTCCGTGTAGCCGCAGCTTAATGAGTCTCAACAACTCCGTAGCCAGGGCCAGGAAATCAGTTTGGAGAATAAAATGGAGATGGGTGCGTGAAGTGAAAGTGAAGTCCTTGAGCAGCTACGGAGAAGGGGTGCAATTTGTAACCAAAAAAATTCTCTAAGAAAAATGAAAACGAACCAGTGGCGTAAAGAAGACGATAATTGGGGGGCACATAATATACTCATGTTGTGCAAGATTTTTTTTTTTCAAATCCATTGTTTTTACAGGTCTGTTAACATGAATATATGCCCCCCCCCTCAAAAAAAAATTATCGTCTCCCTTACGCCAATGAAACGAACTGGCCACGAACCCATTGTACCGATCATTTCATTTTTCCGTAGTTCAGCCATACAACGTTGTAAGGACAGTACAGACGAGACTGTGCATCTCTAGCTGGTTTATTACAAAAATTAGTTTAATTTAGTACACAAAAATACTACTATTAAACTAAAAACTTCAAAACGGTAAGAACATTTTTCAGTAACGCCGTAAAGAACACCCCGAATTTAGTACTAATCGAAAAGTTTGGTTGGGAACGTCGCTGATGGATGCGCAGAAATATATTATTATTGAGTCTCTATTTTAAAACACCCAGACTATTGAAACTATTAATATACTAACGGTAATAATTCGGGGTGTTCTTTACGGCGTTACTAAAAAATGTTCTTATTTTTGAAGTTTTTAGTTTAACACTAGTAACTAACTCTCCTTAGTTTGAAATGTTGAGAAATGAGAAGGTTTTTTGATCTATTTTAGGCGAAACACCTCTAGGCGGTGAAAAACCACATTTGATGCAAAATTGTTTGGAGAAGATGCTCCCTGGTTATAACACAGTTGATTATAAATATTTACCTCCTATCCTAAATCTAATACTAATCTTAAACTAATCTAGTCGTGTATTTAGGATTTACTGAACATGGATTATTCTACAACACTGACATTGAACAGGAAGTGACAAGGAAAAAATGGCGGCTGAAATGCTACAATAATGACACCTGCTTGAAATGGGATAACACTTGAATAAAACAAAATTCTCGTTGGTAATAATGATGGAAAGTGAATGGCACGTATCTGATAGCGATGAAGAACATGAAACAGGGCGTTATACACAATTTATGCTTTCAAATTTGAAAGGACTGAATTGTACATTATCAAATCAAGATAAAGGCGATGAGATTTTGAATTTAAGCTCTTCGAGTCATACTACCGACCAGTATATTCCAAAGAACTTGAATGCTTTATACACACAAATAGAAAATAACGGCTATATTGCTCTGCAGTGTAAGGGGTCAAAACGTAGACTGGAGTCAATAAAGGATGAAACCCACAGTGTAAACAATCATACCAATGCAACCACAAATTCCACGTGTATAGTTAACAACACCAACGAAAGTCCAGTTGTGGATCCCATTGAAGATGAAGCCTCATCAACTAATAAAAGGCGAGTATTTTTTATCACGAATGGTCAAAGTTTATAGTCTATTCAGCGGTCATTTCCGAATGCATATCATATAAATGTAAAATGTGTATACATAGTTACAACGCATAGTTACAAATTAGAAATAGGAGTATTTTGAATGTAGAATAAATGAGAAGAATTGAAATGATACAACCTTTTATAATGCAATTGATATACCATATGATCTATACAAACGCATGCTCTGCAAGTCTGCTCCATTATGTGTTGCTCCATTGAAAAGGTTGCAAAACAATTCATAGCCATCCCTAGATGGTTGTAGTGACAACTAAAAACATCTGGACATAAAGACTGTAATATGTGGGTGTAGGTGCATCTTGCCAGTGAACCTGTCAATATTGGAAGTATGATTTTTTATTTGTAGTGCTGTGAAGAAAAGTGAATTTGACTATGTTGAGGAGATGGATACTATGCCTGCAGTCAGGTTACCCAGACGAAAACAGAAATCTGAGCATAACAAATGTAATAAGTCAGTTTTATCAAGGGAGATATTTTATCTAGGGAGATAACATGGTGGCATAAAGAAAACAATGTGAATGATATATCTGACTATATGTTTCTGACATATGAGACATGTGATACTTTTATGCATCAAGAATTTTTAGACTGATGACAATGCATATTATGATATAGTAAATTTATATATAATTTACAGTAAGTTTCATGGCATTGCATTGATTGCATTTTATGGCATTAACATAGACTATACATAGCAAGATTGCTACTGTACTACAAGGTGATTGGTTAATACCATAGTCTATCAATCAGTATGGTATAATACAGTTTGCTGTAGTACAGTATGTATTTAGAGAGTATGGTTAATGAATGACATAGTTTGTTGTAACTACTAACTAGTATTGATACTCTCCATATAGATGGGAAGACGAAACGTGTTGGTAAGATGGAAAATGTCATCAATGATCTTAGTCGTTATAAAAGACTTAATGCGCAAGTCATGGCTGCAGATAGTACCAATTCTATGTCTCATTGATACTAGTAAAGGTAGTGTCTGAACCTACTGTGTACTATGTGAAGGTGGAGAACAAAAGCTATTATTTGCCAGAACATCACATTCAGAGGCATGGCGACCGGGGGAGGGGGGGGGGGGCGTGGTGAGATGTTTAAAATAGGCCGTTTCTAAAGATCTAGCCAGCTTAACTGAGATCATGACGTCATAAAGCGTCTCGACAAAGCTGAGTTATCATGTGCCTGGTGTTATTTGTCCTTATTCTTCCAACTAATAGTATAAAGGGTGAATAATTTAAATTCTAATATGCAGTTGGGAAAAAGATAAACGTGTTTTCACATAAATATAATAAAATTACTTGATATTTTCGAGTGTCAAAGTAATATGCAATGAAGAAAATGATAATTCAGTTTTGTCGAAGATTTAAAAGATTTAGCTTCTGATTGGTTGATTTTTATGCCCAGATCAGCTGGAGATGCTTGAAATATGAAAAAAATTCTTCCTTGTCACCAAGCATGTATCGCATCGAGTATATCCGTATGGGAAGGTCCGGGAGTAAAGTTATACCGTATTAATTCTTACATCATCTGTCAATCAGTCAAACACTTTCGCTAAAAACGTCGACGCGTACCCCGATGGAAAATGGGCATTTCCTTATCAAAAGTTGTCAAAATCACGTACACCCCCCGTTTCTGACTCGTTCGCCACGCCCCCGATGGTAGCATTGATCATCTTATGGTATTGCCATGGGCAACATCGTCTCTGAAAAATTTCTCTTTTTGCTGTGAATTTAATTCCCTGCATGAATATTTCTTTATTTTTGTAGATGATCATTCCCAACACAGTGCTACCGATCTCACAGGATTCCATAGAAATTCAACTGGAAATTAGGCAATTTTGAATGTCGCACACAAAATAATGTAGTGAATATGCTGAAGTAAATAGTACACTGGCTTTAAGCCCTAACTTTTATTGCAGGTTTTAGAATTAGAATTGATATAGTGTATATAAACAATTTTACGGTATTTTTTAGGACAAGCACATCACCTGAAAATATAAATGTTCGTGTAATATATAATTTCGATGGTATTTATTCATATATACATGTTAGGCCATTTACATTCAGGTTCGAAAGGCCATGCCCTGTTACAGTGGTGCAATTTTTCTTGCAAGTCTACTTTTAAAAGATTAATTTTAACAGAATAAGCGCCAAATTTACATCTCTCGAAAGTAGAATCGTATTGCAATTCTGATGAAAAATTGCGCCGTTTAACAGCCCTGTAACCGCACTTAACCCTTTCTAACCCTTTCTAGAAACTAAGAATTGCTGTGATGTGGCCCTTTTTAACCGATATAAAATATAGTTCCTTCTTTTACTACAAATCCATTATTTGTAACAAATTACTTTTATACTGCAACGTCTGCAGTATAGGCAGTATAGCCAAATATTGTAGAATACAGTACGTCACCGTAAGTCACAGAATCGGGCCTTTTGTATTTTGCTTTAGGGGACAGAATTTTTCATTTAAGTTGTAAGCATTGCCACTATTTATATCTGATATTGTATGTGCTATAAATAAGTCAAACACTTTTAGTAATAGCATTGTTTATAAATAAATCATTCGTTTAAACAATAAAGGGACTTCAAATATACTGAATTCTACTGTAAAACTGTTTATTTATCAAGGTCTAACAAAAACTATGTAATGTGATTTGTAGTTTTATACAGTTTTCGGCAACCCGTTCCCAGGGTATTCACTCTGCCCACACTGGAGCCAGATTTTGTGTCTGTGGTTGCCTCACTTTCTATTTCATTTGGCATTTGCACATTGTATTAAAATTTACCCAGCACATTAAAATAAACTGGTTTAGCAGGAAAACGCTAAGTCAATTCTAGTTTGTAAGCTGTGTTAAAAGCCGTTCACGTTTATTTCCTGCCTGTTTGAATGATTTGATTATTAAGAGTTCGCAAGCGCACTGCACGCCGTGCACGGCTAATTTGCGGCTAATTCTGTTACATATAGTTTCACTCGAGTAATAAACATGACCAAATCATTGATCAGTCCCGTCTTCCATTCAATAACTTGTGAAAGGAGGCTATTTTCAATCCAAAGTTGAAACAATACAAAAAAAAGAAAAGTCCCATTTAACATTCGATAGTATAAAAAACTTGAAGGTATCCGCCAAACAAAATAACATCGCAGATGCAATTGTACAAACATTCAACTTTATTCACTTGAAATCTCCACTAAACTAGATAATTCTTTCATCATATATTAATTTCAATAGTAAATCTGACAACACGTGAAACATACAGAATTATTCTAGATTACACATTCTAGATAATTGCCCGTAAGGAAGAGAAGCTATTAGCGTTTCTTAGACGTTTTCATTGAAAAAAATATGGGAAAATATGGAACAATGGATATATGCCAACAGCGAACTCGACAACAGGCTATTTTCTATTATGTAATTTGAATTCAAATCAACTGCCAATCAATTTAATTGTAGCATATAAAATTGACTATACATATTTCTATTTAATGTTTTCGTATATATGAAACTTAAAGGTCATGCATGCAAATTGAAGGTTACAAAATTCGGCATGACAAAAATTTGCTTTAATTAAAACTGAAACCCTAAATTAATTATCGAACCACTCCCCGGCAAGCAAGGAAGGTCAGTTAGGGTTTCAAAAAATTGAAAATTCTAAATTTCATTTTGAACTCTTTCTATAAAAACAGGATAAGATGACTTGCGGTTCTCTTTCTAATCATACGCAAAATTATACGCGCGCCCAATCGTTTCGCACAACGAAGCAATCGTGACCATAGAACAAGAGTAAATCTTGCTAAAACAGCACTAAATTGTTCTGCATGCCATTCTGTAAAAAGAAACATGTCAATCAAGATAAAATAAAAAAAATTATAAATAATATAATAGTCATACATTATTTATGACATAGAAATAATTTTCCGTGTTTCTATACTGTTTTAGTATACACCCGACTATTGTCTATTACAAATCCTATATTCTGATTAGCTACTCAACCATTGTCTATTCGTGATGGTGAACGTTTGGGAAATTGGGTCATGCACAAATTACTGTATGTGCTTTCGAGAGGGTGGGGGGAAATGGGTAATTTACCCCGGGGTTTATTGAGGGCACAAAGTGTTACTGAAAACAAACTTATACAATTACAGGGAGCTTATTCCCAAATGGTTTGCTACTGTCACAAACTGGAAGCTAACATTCAGTCAGTATACATTATTTCATCCTTGTTTTTCATTCAGTGATGCATATATGATGTGGTGTGAATGATGGATAAATGTTGCGACTGGTTTTGTAAACTGTATAAGTAATGTATATAGTGTGTGGATATACTATTTTATCTACTGCCTGAAATATAAAAAGTAAACGTATCAACGTTTCCACCACCAAAAGACGTTCTTATAGAAAGTCATACGAAGGCCCTTGCTATGCCTTGGTCTTTAGATTGAAAAATCGATGGTTTTCTTGTATAATATTTTATAATATTTTAAATGGTAAATATATTTAGTTCTTTCTACATTTCAGCTATTTACTTATGCTCAAATGCTTCACGCTGCTACTGCTGTTTTACTGATAGTGTATCAAACAACGACAACTTACTTGCACCTCTTGCAGTCCTTGCGGATTATTTGCTGCTTCAGCATGTGTATTTAGTCCAGGTGCACCATTCATTTGTTCAGCTAAAAGAATTCCAAAGCATATTAATTTCCACCAAGTTCGGTTCGGTGCTGCATTGCGTTCTGTGACGCAGACCAACTATGGTAATATACTGTAGTGAGTGTCGTGAGTAGTATACTTAGAACGGAATTCATATCACGCAGCGCTTGATTTAACATGTAATACGCCTAAAACCCCACTTGCATGTACTTTTCTAAACAACTCCACACCCCTAAATTCGATTCTACGTTGTAAATAGAAAGTGTTTATTTTTCTAAATAGCGTTATAATCCAACCCACCTTTCCTAACATAGGGCGCTTTCCTTTAGACGGCCAAAATTGTCAGACCGGTCATATTTTGAAATGAAATAGAGTATTTCGTTAAGAACACAGCAGTGAAATTGCATTTCCCGTGCTAGGCAGATGTAAATAACAATGTACTGGGATGCAGAGCTTTTGAAACACTCTAACACCAGTAATCTGTCTGTACTGAAATAGAACAGGACCGGTCTGGCCGTTTTTACCGTGTAATAGTAAGCGCCCATAATGTAACTAGAAAAAAATTCCAGGTGCTTGTCTTAATAGTGATGTTAGTATGTTTTTTTGTGGTGTGACCAAACTTCAACTATACTATAATTTTTGTATTTATAAAGTATATTTCCTTCAATCATTACATTTGATTGAATAAGGTTGTTTCTCGTGCTGAAAAAAATGTAGTTTGTGTACCTCCTGGAACTGAACTTCTATTTTTTTCCTTGATACTTTGTTTCGTCGGAGGCGGTGGTAATAATCCTGCCGATGCTGCCGCAGGTCGTGGACGAGACACGGATGCCAACTGGGCTGGCTGGCTTTGCGCCTGATCAAATGCCGGAATATTTGCTTGAACCGGGGCTTGTTGTTGATCAAACGAGGAAAAGTTTGGTTGTGGCGGTGGAGGTTCCTGAGCGCCGTTGATCTGAGCTAATGGATCGAATATATCATCTCCCAGGCTTTGAGAGTTATTTGAAGCCTGTTGCGGTTCACTGCCGAATATATCAAGCAGATCACCTCCTGCATGATTGTTATTGGATACTGCCTGAGGCTCTGTTGGGCCTGGGACTGCAAAAGGGTTGACACCAGTAACGGGGACACCGGGGGGTAAAGGTCTGGGATCATTTTGGAAAGGTGGGGGGCTTTGAATGTCGAACGGCGAAGATTCAAAGGCCGATACGGAACTTTCAGCAAACGGATCAAATGGTTGCTGCGCTGGTGGTTGAGACACATTTGTCTGCACATTGCTCTGTAGTATAAAGATCACAATGTTTACATCCACCGAATAAAGGTGCGATCTTCACAGTACTTTCTAGACTCTAGGAGCACGCAGTTTGCTGCATTATGAGACATTATAAAAATAAGATATCTACAGATACCTACAGACTTTTCGTATGGAATTAAGTAAGGAATGTTACTACACGGAAGCTCAAAGCTGATTTTCTTTCTATTTACTTGTTTATTTAACATCATTTTTCGCAATCTTTTAGCTTTACTTAAAAAAATTGATCACGCAGGTACGCCAATACAGTTATATAGCTAGCTACTGTAAATGTGAACTCTCAGGCGTCCCCAAGAGCAAAAAAATGGAGTAGATAGAACAGCAATGGTTTGGGAGAACGATCGATTGTACCAACTACCATAGAAATGACTGGTGAAGATTTTGATCGATCACGAGCAGTAGTAGGTTGGCGAGCAATTTTCTTACCTGATTAGCGGGAGCAGCTGCGACAGAAGCCAATGATGGGGGAGCGGCTTGTTTCTGATTCATTTTCTCCATTTCTTCGAGTTTCTTTCTTAAAACTTCGTTTTCTTTTTCCGCATTTTGTACACGTTGCTTCATTTGACTCACGTCTTTTCCGGTTTCGGCTTGATTCGCTTTGTATCGCTTGTATGCCAATTCAAATGCCTGCCCTACTGCCAGGGTTAGTTCCTCAGCCTAAAAACGTTTATGTACATGTAACTACTGTAACTTCATTCTTCCAATCAGTCCAAGGTATTTATTTATTTTATAATTTTGTGAACAGAGAAAATACTGCATATAAACGAACTTACATTTTTTTCACACTCAAGGATGTAGCACTGGTGTTGCGAAGTTTCCTTGTCTCTGGCAATAAAACCAAACAATTTTTTGCTTGTTTTATCATCAGCACAATACGAGACCCTTTGCAATGGAAAGCTGTAAAGAGTTGTCTAACAAAGAGAAAAAATATGAAGAATTTAATTCATTCCTCACCCTTTCAAACCCCCTTCCCCATTCATTTTTAAAAATGTAATGCACATAACATATGCTGAGAATATGTATAAAATGAAAACTTGGCAATGTTTATAAAGAATAATCAGAACAGTATAACATAAAATGTAGAGAATACATTCCATCCTAATATAAAATGAAATTGTGCTCTATGTAACATAAATGATTGAATGAAGTCAAATGGTAGGAATCAAACCTACACCTCTGTGGATTCTGGAGTACTGTTTAATATATATTTATTCATATGAGAGAAAGGAAGACACCCCAATAAGCAATTCACTCGAATTAAGTGCTTGTTTAACTAGTATTCGAAGGTCACTAGATTAAAGTCTATAGATAATTTGAACATACTTTAGATTTTAAGTCTGTCAGAATCAGGTTTTGGGTAGAAATACACAATTCCACTTTCTTAAGTTTGCTTGCTTTTAAACCTTCCTCACTTTTCTTGATATCATTGGCAAACTTAAATGAAAAGAACAGTGGAAATTAAGAAAAAATTAAAATGACCTTTTTAACAAATGCACTTATGATTTATGCCTGAACATGTTTTCAAGACACTCTTTACAGCCGCTCTTTTACTAAATACAAATTAAGGAGGCTCCTTTGTTAGTGTCAGCTTACTTGAATATCAGAAATTCCATTAAAACATGCTATCTTTATCAGTTCAAATTGTAAACACATTATGATTTACCTGTAACTTCTTTATTGATTCCTTTATTAATTCTGAGCCTTTGGACTGAGTAACAGGTGTGCTACCCCAAAACTGTATAAAAGTGAAATGGATGCTAGTTTTTCTAAACAATTCTAGAATTTACATGGTAATTTCCTTGTATTCTTGTATTTCTATGGGAAACTTTTGGAATTAGGAGGAACTGCAGTGCACTCTTAAATAATTTTGTAGGGCAAATATACAATGGAAGACAATATTCTACGCAATCAACTTTCACACTGTCAAAAGATAAAATGTTTCTATTCAAATTAATAGGGTTAATCCAAGTTTTACTGAATATACTTATACCTGGTGTATTTTGACAATCATGCATTATTTTACCTAATGCATTTACCTAATGGACAAGTGATCATTTTTGGAAGAATTCAAAAGATTGGGGGGAGGGGTTTTAGCCTTTTAGGGGCCATTTCAAGAAGTGTGCAATTAAAAATATTAGGGTATGGTTAATTGAGATGTTTAAATATAAATTTCCAAGTGAATTAGGTATAAATATTGAAACCTGAAAAACAAGAATATTACACAAATCTCACACAGTGAATCTTCTATGATATTTCTTGATACAATAAGAAAATAAAGCTATTAACAAATTAATAGACAAGATCGAATCGATTATGAAAGGTGTGAAGATAGATTGAATGCAAATTAAGAGAAAACTGCGACAGCGATGTTTGCTTTTTCTGTTTGCCAAGCATTGACTAATCAATACCGTTTTCACATTATAGCACACATTACAGAATAACAAACGCCAAGTATCTAAACTTTGGAATTTGCGAATATCTGCAGCTGGCATTCCCAAGGTATGCGAACAATTGGCCTAAACTAGGGACAATAGAAATCGCTTACGCAACTTCCCGATGAGGAGAACTATAAATAAAGCAAATAAAACAAGCTTCATGCATATATGTGCATAGTTGAATCACCGACAATCGTATATCGATGATTTACGCTTTATACGATTTTGCTCAGTGTCATAGATATTCGCAATGAACAAGACAAACTACACAGATCTATAGCTTCGGCTTCTTTGCATTATATTGGCTTTTATATAACATTTCCCATACTGTAGAATAAATGCCCAAATATTTAAGATATTTTGAGATATAACATATAAAAGTCAACACAGACGGACCTTGCAATTATAGCTCACTTTCCCCTTTTCTACGGCATCATCTGAATGTCGCCACTTCGGATCTAAAACGAACAAAAAGCGAATGTTTTCCCGTTTTATGTCGAATGCGCTCCACTTGACCACAACAGACTCGTGTACGAATAACGCATTTTTTAACTACTAATCTCTTTCGAAATATTCTTAGTTCCTTTCTTATACATACCTGGCTGTTCGTTCTTCTTTTTGCCTATTTTAGCACGTTGCATGGCCTATTTTTCTCAAATTATGCCACAAAAATTGAAACGAGTTAACTTTCCTCTGCTTTGCCAGATGAAGGTTTCGCGTGGACTGCACGCAACCAGCACGCTAGGAGCCTACAGGACATAGGACGATATTTTCGTGGGCGGTTCAAAAGTCAACAAGTAATTTTTGCAGTAAATAAGAAGATACCTTTCTATTGTAAACTCTATATTTCAATTTTCACAGACAATTCGACTGGCGGAAGCTTGCGAGTTTCCTTACCGAACTTCTTTTGAAATACTACGTAACTATTGTTTGTTCCTACTACCAGGTTCCCACTGGTGCATATCGAAAGATAAACCATCTTTAGAAATTATTCTATAATTTTACAAAATACTCATTACTCAGTGGGTGCCTGCTGTTATAGCATAAACCAGAAGTCAGATTCATCAACTTTACTAAGTTGTACACGTGGGAAAAAGCGGAACTTATTGTTCCTAAACATTTTAATTTTTCGATTTCAATTATTAAAAACTTGGTTACCCAACCCAGTACCGGCAGACGCAACCTCGAATAACGGTATCGTTTTTTACCAGCAACAATAGTTATAGCCTGAGTTGCAGCCACCACCACTTGTACTTATGGTTCATTTACTTGTATAAAACCTGTTGGTTCTACAAATCAAGCCCCGTTTACACTACACTCAATTTATCGGCGCGGCACGGCTAAATTTTATTAGTGTTATTTATTTAGGATCCTGAATCAGGATACTAAAACAAAGGCCGAGCACAGATGAAATGGGAAGGGGTTTTAACCGTGCTGTGCCAATAAATCGAGTGTAGTGTAAACGGGACTTCACGGTGCCCACAATGACACCAACATTGTTAGTAACAATGTTGGTGTCATTGTGGGCACCGTCAGAACAAATTTGGTCAAAATATCTGGAGACCCCCGCAAATACCGTAAAGCAAGCATAGATTGTAAGAATGCAATATAGCTTGTTTTATAAGTACATTTAAAACAATGAGCATCAGAACTACAATGTGGAAGATGTACCAAGTTGGGTTGGGTTGATGACATGGTGTTTTTGCTGACGTAAAATAACTTTTTAACGATTTGATATAAAAAAGATAACGATTTTTTACAAAATACGTGCGTCGAACGGTACAAAGAACGTGTGATTCTATTAGTATCAAGCTACGCGGAATTCGTAACGTCTATAAACGACAAAAAAGGTGTTATACTTGTATCCAGCTTCGGTAGGTGATAAAATCGAACGAAGATATTCTTTATCGTAATATATCTTCAATGAATCAACAACTAATAAGCTATAGCGCTTCCCACTCCAAGTTTTCGTACTCACGCATGACGCATTCACTCGGAAGTCTCAGTTTAGGATTAAAAAATGGTAAGTGTTCTCATTTTATGTATACGTGCCTTAACTTCATCAATTTTTAGATGTGCTAAAAAAATAGGGGGAATGGCTAGAATGAATCGTATGGTAATTTAATGGTATCAAACTTTGACACAAAAGAATCTTACGAATTATGAAGAGGCATAACGAAGAACCTTGCGAGCGAGAGAGATCAGGGTTTTGTACGACTGACTGTACCCCACGCCAACTAACATGCAACCCAACAATATGAACAACATAATAACGTTTTACGAAAAAAAAATTAGTAGCTTTTAAATTTACAAAGGCATTCCCTAAAATATTGTTTACAACGCTGCAAGTTCAGAATTTCAATCTTGAACCAACACGTTGCCGAGAGTCTCCGATGTCACATCGTTAGTTCCTACAGAATACATGTAATAAGTTTGCTTGATATAAATACAATATATAATTTTATATTATTCACATTATACAAACCATTATAGCATTGACAATATCGTTGGCATTGTTTTTCAAAGCCTTCACAGCCTAAAATTGGAAAAACGAATAGTTTTGCCATATCTTTTCATACAAATGTATCTAAAATTCAACTAGCCAGAGGGCGGTCTATTTAAACGGTGTTAAACGAAAATTATATAATTTCATAGTGGAATACTGCATTTTAATCTTGTGTACATCATTCTTACAGATACATAGGCCAAGGCCTAGCGCATAGGTCGTATCTTGGTCGCACCTAATTCAATTGAAAAGGACCTATAAACTAGGCCTTATATTATGAGTTGGAATGTGGGTTATTCCTTTAGATTTACTTACCTTTGATCGGGATACGTTTGCTTGTTGCATTACTAATTCAATATCCTTCGACTCTACACCTGACTCATCAACCTAGGAATAAGAATTGAATTTTTAGAATTCACATACGCAACATATTACCATCGTAGATGGGCTCTCGTATCCTATATTGTATAAACTTCCACATCAATTTATTTACCTCTTCATCATCACTCTCTTCCTGTTCAACAGATTCTTTCACTTCACTGATTTCTGACATTAGTTTTTCTGTTGCTTCAAATTTCTTTGCAGCCTAGATTTCATGCAAAGATTTGAATTTAAATCTAGAGCTATAAAAGGGTAATGGAACTGGATAACATGCTGTGTGTGCTCTCATATCTCATAATCTTACATTCATTGGGCCTCTTCCTGTTATACAAACTGAGAGCTGGGGAGGGTGACATATTAAAAAACATACACATTTGCAGTAGACAAGGGTAAGTTTGTAGCAAACAGTGCACAACAGGACTTCCCTCAATGTGTTGGTTTTAATCATCAAGCACATAAAAAGGAAAGCGAAGTTCAGTTTGGAACACCTTACCCTCATTTGTTCTGTCTGACTAAGATCTTCAATCTAAATAATTGCATACAAAAAGGTCAACAGTTAGTTTTAGGTCAAACACGAACTAAAATTCTACAGTCACACAAAACTATACTGTGCACAGATGCTATTATGTTTATTTTAATCATACATAAAACATTTATATAAAAGTCTGGTAAATGTAGATCACATCAATTACAACTTAAAATAAATCCAATAACTACTGTCCCTATGTGATGTATTATGAAGCTTATGAAAAATTTAATCTTGAATTCATTTCACATTTGTAAAACATAAAAATATTTGAAGAAATATCACTGGTAATATATACCTTGGCTTCACCAAATACAATATATGTATCACCATTTGGATTTTTGTAAACATCAGGTTTTGCAATCACAAATAAGATATTTTTTGATTTTCGGATTGCAACTCGATTTACACCAGTGATAGCTTTCAGGCCAAGTTTCTGAACAGCTTTACGAGCTTTTTTCTCACTACGACTTTGCCTTGCTTTGCTAATGGATTCTTCTGGGACACCAGCAGCAGCAGCTACTTCACTGACACTTTGACTTACACCTTGGGCCTCCTCTAACTCGGGAATGTCATCATCACTGTCACTTTCAGTCCCTGAACCTGAGATTAACAATGCAACACAAAAATCCTTCAAAACCAAAATCCCTTAAACCGACAAAAAAACTAAAAGTTTTTACCATATTCGCTGATATGGTTTAAAATGATTTGCAACCCAGGGTATGCTAATTAACTACATATATACATTATGTGCTCTCATATCTCATAATCTGATTATCATAGGGCCATTTTTATACAATGTGCACTATAAACTCGGGGAGGGTGACACATTACAAGACACAAAATTACTTGAGACACAAAGGATAGAGCAATAATGCAACATAATATAACTCCCCTCACACAACAGTTTTAATCATCGAGCACTTTCTAAGTCCTTAAAAGAAGGATTTGTAAAAAAAATGTACACAGGGGATGTGTGCCTGAGGACGACTACAATACAATTGCTGTAAACCTTTTCTTTTCAGCCTCAAAAACTGACTTAGAGACATGTTATTTTTCTGCTGAACATGTCACTCCTAAGTCCTAATATCATAGAATACAGTGCAACATTATGTGAGAAATTTACAAGATGTAAATCATGTTCAATCATCTGATTTGATGACCTAGTCACCAAGCAGCCAAATAGGATTGTCAAACTAAACGGATTGTGTTAGTAAACGTAAACATGAGGTCTCAAAGCATTGTTTAACTTTATTTAGGGAGGTGATGTTTTGCTAAAAAATGTCTAACTGGGAACAAGGACTTGCAATGCATACTGGTCATGGTATTGATGTGATGGTAAGGTCTAAGGCTGATATTTTGCCAATCTTGAAAAAACTTTTAGGTTAAAAAAATGAGAGGACCAATATAATTATTACTGGGCTTTATCAACACAAGTCTTACTAATCCAATAAACAAAAGGTGAAAAATTTTTATGTCTCTATGTCTCTATCTCACCAAGGATTTGTTTGGGAGTTTTTCAATGAAAAAGCCAAGGTTACTGTCTGATGTTCATTAGAAATCAGGTTCCATTGCTCGATACACAAACCCCACATTGCTTGTGGCAAAGCTGGGTAAACCTTTGCAAATGGCCCCATATTTTTATCGATTCTAATGACTGTTTTGCCAATAATTAAAGATAGTTTTCCTTATATATCTCTAAGAATGAGTGCCGTTTACAAGAATTAAGTGAATCAATTTAAAGAGTCTCAAATATGAAATATGAACACGTTAAGGTTACGTTTTATGTTTATGATAAATTTAAAAATAAGGCGTCACCTTCGTTCTCTTCAGCAGTAGGTTTTTCCACGGCTGGCGCTGTCATTCTTTAGTCTGTTCTGTTAAAAAATTATCTTTTAACAGGCTTCCACAAATTAAAATAAGTATTTTAAAGTATTTAATATAGGCTGCTGTTACGAATATATGAATATAAAACGATAAAAGACAGTACTAACCTTCGATTGGCAAGGATTACAGACCACCAGTTAATATTTCTGGTAGTCAATTTCGGCACAGAAAGAAAAAGGAACATTATCACGTTGAGGAACGTGTTCGAAAATGATTGTCAGCGGCCTCCCTGCTGTTCACGTTAATACTTTATGTTCTTCATGTTTCGTTCACACGGCCCCCGCCCCTTCAATGGTTCAAGGATTCTAGCAGGTAACCAGGTTCTATTAAATGACAATGAGTGTAATACATAATTCAATCTTCAATCATGCATCATTTATTACACACACTGTGATTGAACAATATGATTGCACTTTACCAGGCCCGTGGGCCGTGGAAGAGTTAAAGGAATAAAAACACACATCTTTGTATAATTGGGTTTTTAACAACGAGTTCAGAAACAACGAAGCAACGCAAACATCGAACTGACTTATATATATTATAAGATTAATCAAATACATGACATGCTTGTACTAACTCAACGTAATCAGTCTTCATTCAACACGGCAGTTCGCAGATTTCCACTGATGCGTTTTTCATACGCACGTACACGCACGTGAAAGTCTAAATCCTTATACATGTTACCTTTGAAAAAACTAAGTGACTAAATCGGAGGAACTTAGTTTTCTGCATATTTTAGTATGCATTAGTTGACCTAGATGTTAAGTAATAAAAACTTAAAAGCATTTAAAATTTTCCGTACGTGTACATGCGTATAAAAAACGCGTAAATGCCTTTACTCTTAGATTGGCCGTATTAGCATTTACGCTAAAAACAGATATTTCATCGGAGTTTGTGCCTTTGATTAAATCAAATTCATGACCGGGATGAACTTCTAATTTCCAAACCAAGTAACAAATTTTACATCACCGTCAAACTAACTCCAGATCAAATATCTGCGTCAACAATCAGCATCATATAATAAATTAACCATGCATAGTCTACAGGGTGAGTCAAAAAAAAGTGACACCTTTGAAATTCAAATTAGCCGCATAGCGGCTGTAATGTGACAGAAGTTGCCTTAAATGTTTCATGGGTATACGAAGCATATCATATTAATTAACCTAAAACATAAAGTTTGTTCCCATTGGGAGTTAAAATGCATTCTAAGCTCTGTAAATACAAAAGAACAGTTTTATCAAATCGTTTTTGTTGATTGTACATGGGAATTGTCATATTCCAGCCATAAGTTCGCAGCTAATTTGAATTTCAAAGGTGTCAGTTTTTTTTTACTCACCCTGTATATTCATCACTAATCAGTGATATTTGTGCAGCATGCTTCCGTTAAGCCAGTTTTCCACTAGCGCTATTTTTCGCGTGAAATCACTTTATTCTTTTGTATTTGAGCAATTTGTTCCAGATGGTTGCAGTTGAGAGCTCTGAAATAAAAGTAAAATGTCGCTTCGCGCGAAAATAAACGCTAGTGGAAAACCGGCCTTAGGTCGCCTACACTCTACTTAGACTACTACACTGTCGACTTTTGACGGCGATTTTCTCCTCCTGGTGTATGCTATTCAGTAATTTAACGAACCGGGAGTGGTTCATTCACTTCATTGGCCAAGCACAACAACTGTGGTACAAAAACATAAAATCGCTAACGAAAACCGTCCGTGTAGCACAAATGAAATTTGTTAATCCTACAAGTTATTCGTACAGATAAATAACAAAATAGCAATAATAATACTGAATTATTTGTAGAATATATCCTAACAATTTTCTCTAATTTCATCGTCATAAATAAAGACTAGAGCTCTTTTATACTCTTTTTGAAACAAATACGATGATCTTACAACGTTTACTTTTATAGAAAGCACCTCTCTTTGCATGTAGTCCGATAAGTTGTCGGGCTTTTCCGATGAGAAGAAAAGAGCCTTTACTGGCCCTAAATTTCAGTAATAAATCTACTCAATAATAAATCGAATTGTGTACTAAATAAATAGAATCCTAGCTTTTTTATCTTTATCTCTTAGTCATAGATTTTGAATTTTGTCTATATTACATATCATATCTAGGTATAGAATGTTAGTACATTTGTGTGATTCCCGCGAATCAACAAGATAGGAGGTAAATCTCTGGTCATCATTTCTAACCAACTCATGTAAAGGGTAGGCTCAACTGCTTCACTGGGAACAGGTAAAGTCATCACAATCAAACTGGTATCTTTATTACTATGCTTTTTCAGTAGTTCCCCCAACCGAATGTGACGCAAGCTCCTCTTCCTGTTTTCGCCCTCCACCGTATGCCCTGCAAGGTTTGTAAAATCCGTAATACTGTCGTCCTTCGGTTTTTCTGATATGCCATCAAACTCTATAACACGTGAAACATCGATGCGAAATTGTTTCAGCAATTTAACCATTCGGATTTTACTGGTGGATAACTCACTCTCTTTCTGCATGGATTTCGGGGTAAACACACGCAAATCACATTTCTTCCAGTAACGATTAAGACTTAACAAATACGGAATGAGCAACGTAAGTCCACCGTCATCAAACAACCACCAGACATCAATGGTTCCCTCGCGTTTCTCATTCAAAATACGTAATGCGTTCTTCATATTATCAGTGTCATTAAAATTTGATCTAAAAATGGCGACGCCTAAATTTTGATCAAACGCATCTTGGATAACATTCACATAGTCTTTGGTTCCCTTAGAATCTTCAAAATCTTTTGAAAGTTGTGTCGGGCCTTCGTCTTGTGTATCTACCCGTATCTCTTCTTCCCCTACGGCTGCGTCATCATCATTTGCACTGTTTCTACTTAAGCTATCCCTCCAGTTTGTTTTGAAGCCCAAAAATACTGTGTTTGGTTTCATCTTGCCAAGTCCAGTACATTGCAGTAAACTGCTCACGCCAGAGCGAAATTCACGGGCTAAGGGAAATATATCATGAAGTATTAATTTCAAATTTAAATTGTAATTTAATTCAGCTCACTTTAGGCCCGTTTACACTAGCGATTTTTGCTGCAATTTTCAATGCATGAAATATTTTTTGCGAACGAGAGAATTAGTAACGGAAGTTCGAATAAGAGCTCTAACCTACATCGGAGCTAACTGTATACACCGAAACTAATTACTCGTTCACATCTATCAAAAGAATAAAATCACACCGAAAATCGCAGCAAAAATTAAGTAAAGACGTAACTTCAAACTTTATAAACTGCCTTGGGCAAACAGTATTTCATACTCTACATATAGAAATGCATGGCTCCTACTGCACAACGAGAAGTAAATCATTTAACGTACCGCCGAGAAGTTGGGCGGAGTTTGTTCAGTCAAACTGCATGATCCATGCCTCCAAATTATGAAATAGCTGAGAAAATCAGAGACAATACTCCACGGACCGGTTATGTAAAACACTTAACCAAATTTGAGTAGGTAAATCGTACAATTAAGCCCAGTGTTGCCCCGATTACCTATAGCTAATCTATACTCTCTTTATCAATAGTTAAAAATTAACTACTCTTTATACAACCTTTACACCTTTACCAATCAGCAACCATACAATAAACAACTCAAGTCTCCCAATTTTTCATGTTATATTTAAGCCCCGTTTACACTACAGTCAATTTATTGGCACAGCACAGCTAAAATGGGTAGACGTGCCCTGACTTGTATTGTTAGCCTGAGCAGTAATAAAATTAGGTACGCGTACCTATTTTAGCCTTGCCGTGTCAATAAATTGGCTGTAGTGTAAACGGGGCTTTAATTACCTGTACATATGCAGTGGAATGCCTTTATCTTATTTTGATGAAGCCATTCCCTGGCTTTCTTACGAACATCTTGTTTAGTGCCCACAGAATCAGTCACTTCACCACATATCATCAATCCGTTATTCTTAGTTACATGTGAAACTATGTGAACCAGTTCTTCATGATTCTCAGGCGACCCGCACAATACAAGACACTGAGGTCGAAAGTTCTTCACGTGTTCCTCTGCTTCATTGTATTGGTAACTCATTGCAAGTATCGTGCGATATGTAACTGCCTGCGTCGAGGAACCCCAGTTAACCTAGAGTAGAAATGTTGAAAGTGAAGATAATATATCGACGATAGCGACCAAATTGATCACAACAACAACAACAACAACAACAACAACAACAACAACAACAACAACAACAACAACACAAAAAAAACAACAACAACAACAACGATTAGAAATATTGCAATAATAACCAAACTAATCATATAACAACAACAACCAGAATTATTTACAAAAACTAACAAAACAATCAGTACAACAACCACAGTTACTGCCACAGCAACAACCAAATCCATCACAGGTATTGAAATAAGTATATAACATGGTCTTGGCCGTCTTATAGTCATTCCGACAATAGCATGTGCTTGTTTGGTGTCATAAAGACTTTTCTAACACCTCAAAATCATCTCACGCTTTGTTAAATCTCAAGTAACCTGGATCAAGTAAACAGTTCCTTACAATTACAATTTTAGTCTTACCTGTGGTTTAGTATACGAGACATATTTATAGAGAGCTCCGATGATGACAATTGTAACCAAAGCTGCCCACCATTCAATGAGAAACATAATGGCAATACATAACAATGCTCCGAACAAGGAAACCCATTTATTGTAATACTTGAAAGATGGCCTCCAACCCGGAGACCGACCCAATGATGCTGCGAACACAGCATAATTAATTAGGGCATAGGACATTAGGAAGAAGTTGGAGATGATCGGAGCAATCACATTGAGTTCAGCAATCGCAATAAAGCCAGAAGCTATAAAGAAGACGAGAATATATGCTCTTCGAGGTTCGTTATTTGGTCCCCTTCCTTCGGCAAAATATTTAATGTAAGGAAATATTTCATCTCGACAAACAGCTTGAAAAACTTTAGGCGCTCCAACTAAACTGGCGAGTGCAGACGATAATGTTGCCGCGAAAATACCAATGATCACCAACGGAGCCCAGATCGAAATCTTTTGCATCAGCTGAAAAGAAGCAAAAGGCTATTATAGCGGTCTACTCGCCTTGTAAACTTATCACGTGCTCGTTTGGAAAACACGTGCTTTTCGATAGATTTTTCACTGAACACGTGGAAGTAATGGTTCTCGTCTCGGTCCCCGAATGGACGTTTAATATTATTTTTGGTCCATAGCAAGATGAATTCTCGATTCATTCTTAATTTTCCTGATCTACATGAAATTGTAATTGATGGTAATCTAACTGCCTTTTTTCAATGCAAGTGTTACCTGGTAATCGTTATTTAATCCATATTCGCACTCCATCATGGCACACGTGATCGTCTCATTAACAATTCCTGTTGCATCTCGTACAGCGCAAGATCCAGCCATTATACCCAGAAGTACATAAACGACACCAGTTACTCCGATTGCAAGAAATGTTCCTTTAGGGATCGCCTGTTGAGCATCGTCTAAGTCCCCAGAAATATTGACTCCAGCAAGAATGCCGGTGGCTGCGGGGAAGAAGACGGCAAAAACAGAAAAGAAATTCTCTTTTCCTGTGTAACTGGGGGGAAAATTTTCACTAAACACCGATGAACTTATACCAACAAAACCCTTAGATTTGGTATTGTCGTTCAAAGGTCCTACAAAAAAGCCAATGACAACACTAATCATGGCAGCAAGAAGAAGAAAAAGCAAACCTAACTGTGCCTTAAGCACCCAGTCCAGGCCAATCAATGTTAGGCCAAGTAGTATGACAACTGTGCCAAGTCCTATGATACGAGTATCGTTTATTTCGTTTATCATAAGAGAGTTGCTTTCTGCCATTATATATGCGACAGTTTCTGCAAAACCAACAACGTACATTGCCACAGCTACCGCATTTGCTAAGGAAAAGATCAGACCAATCGAGCCACCAAATTCTGGGCCCAGGCTACGCGATATGAGATAGTATGCTCCACCTGCAAATGCAATATGTTAGACTTAGACAACTCTTCATTCCCAGGGGCCGGTTGTTCAAAAGCAGGTTAAATTTAACCCTGGGTTAGTGCTAAACCTGGGTTAAAATCCTTAACCCTAGGTTAGCTAAACCTGGGTTAAAACTGTGTTGTTCAAAGTTGGGTTAGCGGTAGGGTTAGTTAACCCAGGGTTAAAATATTTAACCTAAGATTAAATGTATTTTAACGACTAAGTTGGATATAAGAACGTTTTCAATTGGTCAATAAACGAGCGGCAAAACTTTACCCGACGAGGATATATTGTCAGTCGAAAGATTATATGCCGTGAGGGCAGGGTCGAAGGGACGTTGTTTTGAACCGCAATTTCCGTGCATGCAATTTTAGAAAGATTCGAAATTCGCAAATGTTGTATGATAAACAATGTCGCGATGTGAAGCAAAATTAAGCAATGCATATTATAAACAATCTATTTTGAAAATTTTAGGCATTCTTTGATTATTCAAATTCAGGAACAAACGTAGCCTTACCACTTGCTGCCAATCAAAAGAATCAAATTTTGGTATGCGAAACAAATATTTCGATTACGATCTTTCAATTTGTACGGTTGTATTCATTCATCGTGTATTGCATTGAAGCGAAGATAAATAAATCAATACATCAGCTGAAATCGAACGAAGTCAAACTTAAATAATTCTTTGCTGTCGAAATTATTCGTAAAACCTTTCAAAAGTGTTTAATTCATGACGAATTATACGTGTTTACGTGTTTCAGCTCCTTATTCATCCATTTTGAATCGAAGTTAACCCAGGATTAAAAAGTTAACCCACCTAGCTAGCAGGGTTAATTTTTTTGTCAATTTTAACACAGGGTTAACGCTAACCGAGCTTTGTGCAACGCAAATCAACCAAGGTTTAAAATTTAACCCTGGGTTAGGCATTTTTAACCCTGGGTTACCGTTAACCGGCTTTTGAACAACCGGCCCCAGCTGTTTTTATATCGTCACATCTGGTTGAAAACTTTATTATGCTGCATACTGGGTCTGGGAATATTTTTTTAGAGTTAAACCCAAAAAGAAGCGTAAACTCGTACATTAAAATTAGACATGAATTTAAATTTGTGTATATGCATGTCCTCATTGTCCTGTACACTGATATACGCAAGTTAACATGCAAAACCACATATATATTATCAAACTTCTTTCATTATAGTTTTGGCAGCTAGACGATACTGTATGAATCTAAGGTTTTGTTCACATAATCCAATTTTGTTGGATCCAATTCACTTCTGATGGATATCTGTTGACTTGCAATGTATATGGAAAATACAGCAAATCAACTTAAGCTAATACAGTACTGCTTTATCAATAACAGACTACATTCTATATGTCAGAAGGGAATTGGATCCAACAAATTAGACCTTTTCAGTAATTACATCACAACATTATCATTTTAAATTTAGAACCACATTAAATGAGATGGATTTCAAGTTTTACCCTCACAAGCTATGTGCAAAGATGCAAAACATCCTTCCATAACCTGTGCATGAAAAATAATTTTTCATTTTGACTAATAAGTATGGAAATAAGCCATAACGTAGGAACAAGGTTTGTGGTCTTGGCCCCTCAGCCTTGTTCTCGTGTTATGGCTTATTTCCACATTTATTGGTCAAAATAAATAATATTTTTCATGCATGTGTTGAAGAAGGACTCTTTGTATCTTTGCAGAACTCTTGAAATCCATTCCATTTAAGGTGGATATAAATTTAAAACATGATGTCAAAGTGTTGTGACCCAATTACCGAAAAGGTCTATTGGAATGTGTGAACAGATTTTAAAAATGTGCATGATTCAGAATATTTTGTTTTGCTTTGTTGCTTTGATGATATACTTGTGTGAAGCATTGAAGGATGGAGGGAAATTATAACAATATTGAACTTCCTAGAAGTCTTATATAGAGCACATCTATGATCACCACATTGACAGTAAAATCAGATGTCTGAAAATTAAGTATGCAAATTATGTGCTCAAGATGTCTAAAAATGTGTGTTCACCTTAAAATGCAATAGAAAGTATGTTAAATAACTTAGTAAATGGCAGACCTTTTAAAATACCATGTCTATCAACAATAATAATCAAACCTTTATACCTCCTTTAATTTGCCCATTGGTACAGATTGCAGACATTGATATTGATGTTAACGTTGTCACAGATGCAGACAATAAAATTATTACAATAGAAAGACCAATGCCTGCTTGACCAACTACCCAAGTCAAGCGGAGGAATAACATAACACCCCAGATATTCAATAGACATGGTACCAGAACGCCTTTGATCCAGCCAAATTTATTTAGTTTTATTGATGGTCTGTTTTCTAGATCAGTGACACCTGTCTCTTCATCTGCTACCATAGGCTAGGAAAAGCGAAAATATTACTCATCTTTTAATACTGACATGTCATATATTTCTCCCTGGAAATACTTTTATAAGTATTAAGATTGGATAACAATCCCATTGGGACAACAGCAAAGGCAGCCTTATCTAAAGGCACAGGCCAACAACCCAGCACAGACGGGAACCTACGTATTGTTCTTACATGATTTATTTCAATTAGGAACTTGTATTTCAGGTGCGAAGCCAAGATAAAACTAGTACAATATAAACCTGATATGTAAATGTTTTAACAGTAAGACAAAAAAATCGTGTTAGGCTTGAATATTATGAAGAAATAATGCAAATTTTGTATGTTTATTTAATGGCACTTGTGATTAAGCAAACAGGAATCAAGCTAGCATTGAAGCATCTTAAAAGCATTACAAGCAGACAGTTTGAAGAAACATACTCTGAAGAATAACATCTTGTAAACTATAGACAATAAGACACAATTTTAAGATGATATTTCGACTTTATTCCAAAGTGATTCTCAAACCATTGCCAAACATTCTGGTTTGAAAGAATATAAGATGTTTTATTCTTCGGAGTATGTTTGTTCCTGTATTGAAGATTCGTATCTACTGTAATTGGTTTGGGGAATGGCATACATGTTTGCATATTTAAACCGCGGACCCTACAAAATAACCAATGGTAAATTCACATTGATAAATCAAGGTTTGAACTTTGAACCAAACATCATTCGTGAATATACTATTAAATGCACAAATTAGGGTACCAAATTACTATAAATGCACTAGGGTGCCAAATTACTACATTTACGTTACTGTTATGTAAATGCATAACTGTCTTACCTGTATTTCTGGGCTGTTGCTTTCAAACCCTTTTCTTAATTGATCTAGTGTTGGCCTTGATTTACCTTTCGCATTCCCTTGAACATGAGACGAATCATTTCTATAAAACACTGTCATAGGAACTGCTTCATGTGTACCATAACCAATGGTATTCTCAGCTGTACTAGGGCATAGAGTTGTATCATTTTTGTGAAAATCATCTGTCTCTTCGCTCTCAACAGTTGTAACAGCAAAGCGTAAATTACTTTTGGTTGTAGACCTGTCATTGTTTGGTTCGGCCATAACGGCCGAGGACTCTCTATCTTTCTTTCCGTTTCACAAAACAGATATCATATCTAGAGACATATCGTCACCAAAATACGTACATTACAAAGAGCAACTCCGTCTTCGAACTGAACGGCATTATAAATGTCGAGTCACTCTCAATCTCTCAGATAATTTACTTTATATATTAACAGCGATATAATATGGGCATATAACATAGCATTTTCATTTCATTAGACGTTAAATTATTCTGACGTCATGATCATGACCATCTGCCATCTACCCACAGGAACTACTTAGGAAACCGGCCATGCGACTGTCACGGGCCAAGTTAGCTTTCTCTCTCTAGTCTCTATATACACGGCAAAAAACGCTCTCAAGTTGTTCCCGGTTGATGAGAATAGGCCTCAACAATGTTGTGTTGCACCCCATGAACAATGTTTTCAACAATGTTGCAATATTGTAAGCGTAACAAAGTGGAACAACATTGTTGACAACATTGTTCATGGGGTGCAGCACAACATTGTTGAGGCCAATGTTAAGGCCTGTTCTCATCAACCGGGAACAACTTGAGAGCGTTCTTTGCCGTGTATATAGAGTTCACTGGACGTGCCTGAAAAAACAAAGCGTGCTTCGCTCGCCTGGGCGGAGAAATGAGCCCGGTTACCCGAGATTCAACGAAGCGCGAGATGATTTTTGAAGTATTGAAATGAACAGATAACATGATCCTGGCATTCGTATGATCACCACAACAATAGCATGTGCTTGTTTGGTGTTATAAAGACTTATTTCAATACCTCAAAGTCCTCTCAAGCTTTGTTGAATCTCGGGTAACCGGGCTCATGTAAATAGCTTGCTTTGTTTTTCTGGCCCGTCACGGTCGCATGAGCAGAATTTCTAAGGCCGAACGAATGTAATGGCAGACAGTTCCTTTCGTACGGAAATAGCCTGATGAATATACGGTTCCAGAAACCTAATGATATCTAAATGACACATGTAGCCATGACTAGCCGTGTAGGAAATTAGTCAACCTTGGTCGAGGTACGAACTTCCGAGGTAATGTTCACGAGGCACCACCATGGTTGGTGCCAAGGCCACGCCCACTTTAACTAAATACCACTTCCAGAGTGATATCCAAATATTATGCAATAATGGACCGCTAAAAGAGCAACTCGAAATTAGATTGGTTGCAGTTGCGTAATATTGAGAACGTAACATTGCGTATTTTTTCATATCTGTAGACTGCTATCAAGATTCCAAAAATTTGGGCATATTGAGCATACTTGGTTTACGAGTCAATAAAAAAGTTACGGACCCTATAGGGTGTTGATATTCCATTCCATTTATGTCCTATACCATCTAAAAACAAAATAATACGATACTTTGCTATGGTAACGATATTGCACACGTTGAGTGGAGCTGTCTCAGTAGTTTCTGGAATTGATTGCTACCGATGATGCCAACAGGAATGTTCCATATATGTATATATATACAACAATAGTCGGAATCATCTTAAAATTTTTATTGTGTTTTTGTGTATTCTATACAAAAATTAATATTTAACTTCCGACTCTCAGTCGTCTTCTTCCGAGTCCGTTTCTAAAGCGTAAAACAGAAAATCATTTAGCGACTTATTGCCGCGTTTTCTTAAAGAAACTGAAAATTGGTTCGGCTATGTTTTTCCAATCGCAAAATTTGTATTGTATAGTCTTGAATTCAAAAAGCTAAATACCCCAAAAGAAAGGGCTTCTACCAGGGATGAAAGGCAAAGTCCGATTACACTGATTCAATTGAATACACATAAAATTGAATGCACCATTAAGAATTAACCTGCAAACAAAGATGTACGTGCCGAAACATTTTAGGGGACGAAAGGTTCGAGTCAGCTAGGGGATTATGTTAATCCTGGATAATTTTGAAATTTAGGCTTTCGGAAACGCGTTCTGAGGCACCATAATTTTTTTATCCATAAAAATTGTTTTTGCCCAATACGAGGGTGCATCGGTCTTCCAACTCCCCCCCCCCCCCCTTCTCTTCCTTCGTGTACAGGTCAGTGAACTGTAATAAAGTACAGGTGCACTGAAAACAAATCTTTCCGGGTTGCCGTTTTCACAAAAATGTAAAAATCGCTAGTGACCTTCCTCGGCACTTTGAAGCCATTCGACCATCTTTTTCATCTGTTCCAAGAAAACACTTTTGCCTTTGAAACCATGGCCTGTCTTGTACCACTTTAATACTGTGTCTTCACTCAGGACATCGGCTAAACAACCAGGATACAAAGTTGATTTAACACTCGCTGGTAATACAGTGAATAAAAATTCACAAAATGAGCGAATCTTGAAATTGATGTTTAGTTACATGGTTTGGAGACGACATAAAATTACAATACAACTCATAACTATGGTAGGGTAGATTTATGCAAAAAAAATTGATCCTTTCTCATCACATGTCATATTTTGCACAGATAAACCAAATAGCAATCTTCTAATTAAAATACTTTTCAAGTCAAGGTTGAGGAGCTTAGCAAGACCAATCAATAGACACGTGACGAGAAAGGAACCATTTTTTTCATTAATTTGGACAATAACATTACATTGGACAATAGTCTCCAAACCATGTATATCCGATTAACTGTGGGCAAACCCACGCTGGTAAACCAACTGAAGTAACGAGGCAGCCAAAGTTGGCAAGACACACGCGCGAACACACTTACTCTTGTACATGAGAAGAATTATCTTCTGAAATACTTTCATAAAATTCATATTATCATAACAATAATCCTGGTGAAACAAGGGTATATGTAAATTAATTCCCATTTTAACACACAGCCGAGATAACAACAGAAAAAAGGCAAAAATATGAAATCAGACTTTTTTTACCCTTTGTTCAGCGAAAGTTTAGTCTAAAAGGAAGCCTACCTGAATTTTGTTCATCAACGATAACTCTGATGCGGCGTTTGAAGCAAATTCCGCGAGTAATGGAGAATATACCTTTATTTTTTGAAAAACACATTATTTTAAACACATTATACTGTAAATGACCGATAATCAGAAACCGATCATCGTGCCACATCCTTTAAACTCAAAGCTGGTAAAAACACGGGGTAGCAAAATGAAAGCAATCATGCGTAACTGAAATAATTTACCTTCAAATGTCTAAGGGCTTGATCTGCTACCAAATCTTCTTTTTTGTTCCATTCAACAGAAGACATTATTGCCCTCCATGTCTTAAAAATAATTAAAATAAGGCTTTCAGGCAAAATGAGGTTGATGTGTTTTATAATATTATCCATGAATGGAAGTAATTATTTCTGTTGGATAACGAAATATTGTGCCTAGTGAGATGTATTGACATAAGCTATGAGCAAATTTGGGATTTATAGCCGAATTCGTTTTAGGGATGGAATACTTGTCTTTTATATCCTAGTTCATTTGCATTAGGTTCGGCGCATGAAAAGTTCGACGACTGAAACAGGCCTAATACGTCAAAGTCTGTAAAATCCATCTGAATATGAATAGGGATGGATAGATTCGTATTCGATTAGACGTACGACCGCAGAAATTGGTGCTTATGAAGTTTCAATCAGAAAATATAATTTTTCTTCTCCAATACATTCTGCAATCTATTGACAGCTCATCATACACATCTGACAGCTGTGAAATGGTCATTTTGTGCAAACTTATTTTGAGCATTTATAAATATTTTTTCTCACCAGGTTTGAAGTCTAAGAATTGAAAAAGTCTTTTTCAATTTCCGACAGCACTCAATCAATTTCCTTACCAGAACTATTACTTGTTCTTCTGTCAAGTTATTCTTTTCTTTCTGTTCATTGCAGTTGGCTATGATCTATAAAATATTTAGGTTAACCTATCAACTTTCCACTCTCGAAGAAAGTAATACATCACATGATGCTTTTTTGCTTTGGGGTTGGCTTCCATGTCAAGATGGATAAATGCTTACTTCTTTTAAGGGAACTTTAGCGTCGATCATCTCAGACAATTGAGACTGGTACTCTTTCTTCGATCCGACGTGTTGCTGATTTTTCTACACGTAAGACAGATTATGACATGCAATTAACATTAGAAATTAACCCTGGAAATCTTAAAATTACTGCTGGAAATCTCATCACTGGCTTCCACTTAAGGCCAGTTCACACGAGCTATTTATTATCTCCCTCACGCAGAAGAAGACAAGTGAATAGTTATGTATATGCTCAGTGTACGAGTGTCCTTATTCAAACTGCCTGAACTTATCCACTAGATCACATCTATTAAAGGACGAAAATCACAACAAAAACCGTCATTGTAAATTGATCTTAATGGCACAATTATGACGAGACATTACCTGAATTTCAACGAGCTTCGGCAGTCCAGCTGCAACAAAGTGTTTCTCAAATTGCTCATTTGTCCGCTTATTGGGAGGGAAAAATTCCTAGAAATCATATGTAAGTTAGTGTCGAGTAACGGCTATTCGTTAATGCGATGCTATAGTGAGATCGTGGATAACTGGAGCTTTATGAAATAATACACAGCTTTGCACAAACTGGCGTTGGATAGATATTGTTCCATTAGTAGGTGATCCAACTTCCAAAAGGTGATCCAACTTCAACACGATATTATTCATGAACTACTCAATGTTGTCTAAAAGCGAAATTGTTTCACATTCGGAAAGATTAATCTCTTAACTATTGAGTGGCACGTTTTCAATACCAAATGGAGTAGAGTTTTTACTCACATTTTGTATCATCCTCGTATTTGCTCATTTTTTGTCCATTTGGTTCTGAAAAAGCTAAAAGCCTGCTCTTTCCGAATGTGTAAAAATCTCGTTTGTAGACTATTTTGTTTATAGTTTAAGTTGTTCACGTGTGAAGTATAGCGTGTTGAAGTTCGATTACATTTTTTTGATACACCATGTAAAACTAACCAATAATTTATCATCCATTTCATTCTTTTTCAAGGTATTCGCAATAATACCAGAGGAGTCTTTCTTCTCTTTAAACCAGACTTGAAACAATCTTGTCATAAATTGAAGAGAAAGACCTGAAAGGCGACAAATTTATCCTGAGTTAATTTCAATGCTGGGACAACAACCGATTTAATGCGGCCTGCATAACTCTTCTTCTATTAGACCATTTAAGGAGTTTAAAAATATCCTAAAATAACTTATAAACTTTTGGCCACAGTGGCTTAAATGTCACCTAAAATGGCAGCATGCTCCATATGACTTGACTAGACAAACCAAATATTTTCCTACAATTTCCATACAACAGTTTTTTAAATCTTTCTCCAGTGACATGACATCCACGACGCCATATTTTCATGCAACGTCATATTCTCAAATATCAGTAACACTTGTATATAGGCTGGGGGCTTTAGGTAAGTTGAAAGGCGAATAATAGCTCCACAAAATGGTGTGGCAATAATCTAAAAAAAGTTCACCTTCTTTAACCAAATGCTCATTCTTAAGTTTTGCTAAGAAGGCTCCTTGCGTCATACCTACAAAATATATGCCGGACAACGTTACTGAAGCACATGCAGACAGACTTCGTCTATTCAAACTGCATTATATATATAACAATATATTCTTATTGGGACAACCATCTGAACAATTACCAGAATGAATGCATTCACACATAACTGTGGTTGTAAATTATTGTGATTAAATTATTCACAGTAGAAGAAGGCAAGCGTAAAAAAACACGTGCTTAACCGCACTTAATTGAAGAGAACCAGGCGTAAAGATAAGGCCGAATAAGAGCGAGACATGGTTAATAACAAAATATTAAACTGCAAAATTGACATCATGCTCAGGTTTACAGACACTCGCATGCAACTTACTATATCCAAGAATCATAGCGTAAACCGTTGCAAGTTTCATACGCTGCTCCTCGGTGAAGCCTTTCATGAAAACGATTATCTAAAAACCCGAAACATCATATTTAAACACCTCAGCTGTTGTAAATGACTAGTTTTACTATATAATTGTAACGAAAAAGCAGCTAACAGCCGGTGTCGGTGATGTACAACGTCCAACCTACCTTATCCAAGACATCGTCAAACGATTTCTGAAGGTATTTGAACCTTCGAATAAGCTTCTGAAACATCTACACCGAATAATACATATAAATGTAAATGTAACCATGTTACAGTCAAATGATGCTGTTCATTATGATGTTGAAACTTTCTAACGTTTTACAGATGGACATTCCATGCAATATCAATTTGCCTCAATCAATACAACCATCACTTTACATATAACTTTGCTTACTCACCTGAACATAGGATCTGAGTGTTTCAGTGTCTTCGTTGGCTTCGAAAATGCATATTGACGTTTTGGGCTTCTCACCTTCCAAAATAATGCTACCTCCAGGGGCTTTGGAACGAAAAAAGGGTTCAGTAAACATTGACATTTATTTCAACCAATAATATATGCATGTCTATGCTGTGTGTGATAGAAGGTAATTCAAAAAAACAAAGGATTTACTTTTCTGTAAAAAGCAGGAAATTTTGTACGTTGGATCAAAAATAGTAGAAATACAAATTACCTATTGAACAATATTTCATGCAGAAGTCGTAAATATTTGCAATGATCTTAATAGAAGTTATATTCACCTAATAATCCACCAGCAAAGAGGATTTCAAACAACTGTTCACCATAGGCATGATAATTCAGTTTGTTACCTGGATTGTCTAGGAAGGCTGATACCTAAGATAACAACATCACAGTAAGAAATGTACAACAGATAAGGTTCGTACAGATGATATACACAAAATTCAAGCAGTTTTCACAAGTATTTAAAAATATATTCTTCAGTGCAGCTAAAATTTAGGTCTAGTACAAATTTCTCGCGTTAAAATTATCACGCATATTTGGGCTGTCTATGAGACAACTTACATTTTCAAAATCACTACCAGTTTTCTCTAAGCCAGTAATTACAGAATCACGAAATCCTAAGGGATCGTATTTTTCTTTTTCGTCTAAAAGTAAAATGTATAAATAATCGCTAAATGAAAGATGGAATAATGGATGGGGTTTTATAGGCACAGATGAAACTACTTTTAAAGGGTGTTGACATGTACGAAGTATTAGACAATACGTAGAAATATCGCAAGAGCAACAAAAAGAACAACCTCTCTTGCGGGTCTTGATCCGCTGTCCTCCCAGAGTTGGTTTTGGATTCTTTTGATTCATACAATTATCTAAATACAAGGCAGAAAAAAGAAATTCTAAAAAAGAGATACTTCTAAACAAGTTATAAAAGAGAGAAAGTTGTAAAAAAGAGATTCGCAAATTTGCTTCGACTACAAGTGTCTCCAAATTGAATATTATCTTCAGTGTTGCAGACCCACAGAATGTCAGAACTAACAGAACAACAAATTTCGTTGCCGCTTAAAGAAAAAATCTCTCTCTCCAAAGAAACAATATTCCGTTCAACCTGAATTCAAGGCACTTAATCAAAGCACTTTTGCTGACACACCATTTGAGAGACTCAAATGTTTGGTGGAGAACAAATCTTGCTCTTGACGACTCTCAGAGCTCCTGAGAATCTTCTTCGTAATTTGACTGCAAAGTTATTACAAAAATTCGATGGGGGAGTCTCACGAGAGGTCATTATATGGTTGAAGCTAAGCGAGAAAAGATTTGAAAGCTTTGTTTCCTAGTCAGGGGAAGCGTGACCATTCTTACCCTGACTTTGTAAACCATCGAGGCAAATGCGATTTCAAGCAGAATTATTGTACAAGCTCGGATGGCCTTTTCTTAGGCTCGCGGAGGTTTCGGCAAGGGAGACTTTTATACATGTAAACGAACTAATTGTTGTAAACGACAAATACATCAAGCGAGAGATTTCCTGTCCAGACTCGTTACAAATTTCTTGGCAGCCATGCCGGAAGTTTTTTAACGAAGTCAAGTCTCATGAATTGTTTACAATACAATTTGTTCCGCTTGATTATGAACCCAAAAATTTGATTTCGCGTTATCTAAGCCTCGCTAAGAGTCTTTTAATCAAGTCTTCCTTTCAATAGCTTTTTTCGTAATGATCTAGTACAGTACATGTACATGATCATTAGGAAACATGATCATCATCAGTACATGATCATTACGAAAATCTTGGTACAATGTTGATGTTATTTATACAGGTGCTCCTTTATCTTTAGAGGATACCTTTTCATTATTATGCTTTTTGGTTTGGGAGTGGTATTCTCATAAATCATTATCTAATTGCCTTGCTGCCCATACACCCTTCATAATAAAGGGCATGGTCATGGACCTTGGTGATAAATACAGAGTATCCTTGTTCACAAGCACTGAGATTTTATCCAATCTAGGCCATGCTGCAATCCTCATCAATCTTATTAGGCAGTAACAAAAGTTATGTATTGGACTTATTTGGAATACAGTTTCTTGGATGAACATTCCATGGGTGTGGTGATCCCATGATCTGATCAATAGGCATCAAGAGTTTAAAGAATTCATGTTGCTTTTTGGCTTACAGTAAAAAGTTAATTATGTTCACTTATAAGGCAAGTGATTTATATATCATAGAGTTCAATTAATATGCAAGTTTCTATTCTCACATATGTCAGCTTTCATATAACTTGATTTTACTATGCAAAGTCATTACGGTGCTTTTTTAACAATACTAAAACTTTTTTATTAACAATTTGCATCTGTGTTTAAAGTTAAGTTACATATGTTGAGCAATTATTTTTTGTGTATGGGAAAAATAATAATAAAAAAAGTTTTTCTGGGCAAGGAGGTAAAACTTAGTCATGCATCTTTTTTCAACAAGCAAAATTATCTGCATCTTGAAAATATTGAATGGTTGCCATCCAAACACTCTATATATGTTTACATAAACTGGCTTTTGAATCAACCCATGGCTTAGATTAACCAATTGTTAACAAGCAAGCAAACAAACAAGGAACTTGGGCAAGGTTTTGACAAATTAAGCAAATGATTGAAGTACTCAGATAATTACAGTAATAAAAATAACCACTACTTTAAATAACAATTCCATTGTGACAAAGTAAGTGTCAAAGAAGATTTATGTCACTCAAACGGTAAACAAACCTGCTTGCCAACTGCGTTCCATTCTTATGTGGCAAATGAAGCTATGCTTGCAAATTAACAAGCTATTCGGCAACAGTTTTGACACTATTTCTATATCTAGGTGTAAGCAGGTCTGAATCTGATTTAAAGCAAAGAAGCTGATCTTTGATTTTATGCCCCAGCAGAAATTTCTTCAGGCACCTAAGATACATATGCATCACAAAGATATGTTGGATGTTCATGCAATAAACCAACGTTTAAAGTAAGGGCCTCCACAGAGTATGGATTTAGTTGTCGACAATTATTTGTGATCCACAACTAAATAAGTCCGATAAAGGATTCCACCCACTGGCCCTCAAATACTGATTTTGCAAAGCGAAATAGCACTGAGATTAAAAGTAGTCGACAACTAAAACAAAAGTTTTCACACACTAGAAAAATGCCAAAAAACGAGGCTTTCGTGACAACTAATAATTTAGAGTTTAGTTGCGGAAAACATGCGTGACAGACTATGATTTTAGTTGTCAATAACCTTTAGTTGTCGATCACAAATAGTTGTTGACAACTAAATCCCTAGTCTGTGGAGACCCTAAGTATGAGTGGCAATGGAATAAGTCTAGGGCTGTAACCAAAATTTTCAGCAGGTTCTAATGCATCTTTTTCTAAGAAAATTTTTCATGATGTGGTGGATTGTAAGTTATGGATTGATTGACAGTAGGAAAAACCCTTCCAACAGAAGGTAGTAGTAGTCAGACCTTGAGATCAGATGAAAACATTTTTTTATGCATTGTTATTAAGTAAGGTCTCAACAACTGTTACATTCGCATATTGTAGCAACATATACCTGCATACATTGGCATACAATTATTGAAAGGACTAATATTTAACGTACGATTTTTCGCAAATTTAAAAAGCAAATTTAATTTCACAATCAGCAAACTTGTCACATCAGCTGAATGAAATACAAACAGATCTCTAGTTGCAAGTGAAAACACATTTGACGTAGCGACAAATCGTCGGGAAGACTGTGACATGTCAGAAACATATCATCGACAGAAAACACTCGACCTTGACGTTAATAGACCCTAAATTTCAATGCCTTAATACGTGTATATTATCAGACCACAAATTTATCCTTGTGTGGCGAAAATTATGAGTTTTGTGAAGTCATTGTTGATCCTACACGGGCCAAACCCATCACGTCTTTATTAAAATGGAAATTTTTTTAACCGAGAAACAAAGATAATCCTCGTTCGTAAAATTAAGAAAAGTCTCACGCTTCTATACAGGATAGAGAAGACAATAATCGTACTAAAATTACCAGTACAAACATGATCAGTACACATGATTATGTACTAGTACCACTAAAGTAAAACTTATGTTGTTTATTCTTCGAAACTGTGATATATTTTTCAGTTATATACACACTAAACTACCCTTGAATACCACGTTAGAAAACACAGATTCATGTATAGAAAATATGAATATACCTTTTTCAAGAACAGGAGAACCTTTTCCTTATACTGAATTTCTGGCGTGACTCGAACACGAGGATTTATAAAGCGAAGTTATTCTCTAGTTTCTCCGCGTGAGTGGATTGAATGATATACGTATCTTACCATATATAATATTTTCTAATTTCCGGTTAAAGACCTAAGGAAATATACCCCCTGGAAGATATTCTAAACGTAATACTTCCCGGGGGTAAAAGACAAGAAAAGCCATATTGATATATGCCCTCACCCCCTGCATAAAACCTCAACATAATGCAAGCAATTTTATTACCAGTAAAATATCCGGGGGGAGAAACAGAGATCACAGATCTATGTAACGCCTGCTTGCAGGTTAGTTCTTTCTTTCAATTTTTTTCAAAACAAATGGTTGCAAAACGATGGAGAGTTCGCAGAGAAAATTCGAGGCCGCGGTCGATGTTATTCGAGCATTACCAAAATCTGGTACGTTTTTTAAATCGTCTATGAATAAAATATTATTCTACTGTGAATTTTGAAATCGATTTTATGCTATTCTTTCGTTAATATTGTAGGCTCTTTCCAACCGTCTCACGAGATGATGTTAAAAGTAAGATGTTTTTAGTTTTGCCTCCTTCAATTTTATTGTCAGCATTATATTTGTCTAGATCTCATGACCCTGTGTAGTTATGTGTAGATATGTTAATTTGCGCAGAAGGCTGTCGCTTTGATAAAATCGTGTATTTTAATTACATCTAAAGTAATAATATGTAATCAGCGATGAACTTTGTTCCCCCTCTCTGGCTAGCTCTCAACAAAGATATGTTGTGTGAGTGTGACTAGGCAAACAATATACCTTTCATGTTTTTTCAAATTATAATTCTTGGATACTGTTGTATGGAGATCTCTTTTTGACCATGTAACCCTCAATCCAATCCATTTTTTCATAGATTTTCCCAATTATTATATACCTGATCTAGCCATGATGTTTAAAAAAGATACTTAGATAACAATGTCTCTGAAAAAAAATGCTTAAATGCAAGTAGATTGGGGGAAAGTTGTAATATGTTGTGTACTTTTTATAGTTTTATGGATATTATAAACAAGCAAAAGAAGGTCCTTGCAATGAAACAAAACCCTCCTTTTGGGATGTAATTAAAAAGGCTAAGTGGTATGTTCTGTTTTGTTGGAAATATTTGCTTCCATTGTGCTTATTTGTGCACTTCATGTGGCTTTCTCATGATTCCAATGCACCTAGTATGTAAAGTATAATCCAATAGGAGTTTTGATGCTCCTTATGTAGGGAGGCTTGGTCAAAACTTGGTGATACAAGCAAAAAAGAAGCTATGGAAAGTTATGTTTATGAACTTAAAGAGGTACATATTTATGAGAGGGTTTTAACTTCAGCCATCCATATAAATTGCCATGTCAAATACTAAAATGAGCAGATCAATCACTGAGCAGAACATTTGATCACATATAGGTCATTCGAAATATGCCGGAGACAGACCAAGCTTCACAATTCATCACTGCTCTGGAGCCATTTTATAAAGTAGCGTATGCAAAGGGAGAAAAGTCACCACCAATATTTAACATATTTCACAAAAAGCAAGACCGTACACCAGTTATCAAAATGAATGGACATGCTCTTCCGTTAAGAGAAATAGGTGACAACCATAAACTTAACACAAGTCATGCAAGTAAAATACATAACATTTCTGAGACTGTTTGCAATGGACAATCAAATGACATTGAAAATACTGGGACAACAGGATCATCGCTAAGTAATGGGGACATGAATGGATTTATACCTAGGAAAAATGGTATGACTTGTACACATTTCTTTTTTGACACATGGAATGCAAGTAGCAGTGGGGATGATAAATTAAATGTGGAACAAATAAATTTTAGTTTAAAAGAAATTTTAGTTCGAGGTACCTTTTAGAGTCAAATTAGACTAAAGACCAAACAAACAAAGAACAATGCACATGTACTGGTATGTTTCTTATGTTGTAGACCTAAATGGTGCTTCAAGTAACGACCATGTTGTCATAAATGGGGATTTGGGTGATAGTAACAAAGAGAGCAATGGTAATAAGGATATGCAAGATGATACAGAGGAAGAAGATGATGATGATGATCTCTTCTGTGATTCTCTTGGTCCAGAATTACTCGAAGAGCAGGTTAGGTGTAAATACCTCAGCTTACTATAGCCACCCAACAGTCTTCTTCATTACTGAAATATTCTTCTCAAAACTAAGAAATTTACTGAACCTTGTGAAAATTGTTTTGTGCTGCAGAATGGCCAAGTAAGGTTGCCTAATTCAGCAATGTTGGAGTCTGTTCCAGAGGATATAGTACCATTGAATGACAGATGCCTTTCTAGCTTTTCTGATGTAGAAATTCTTGAACAATTTGACATGAGGAAGAATGGTGGTAGCAGTGGTGAAACTAGTAGTCCACATTCGGATAAGATGGTTCATGTTCATTTTGAGGATCTCAATACATCCGAGGTTGAAGGAGCAATTACTCATCACAAGGCATCAAAAGAACATGGTGTTAAGGAATGTGTCGTACAGCCTAACCAAGTAGGAGCTGGTTCCGGTGCTGGGGATAGTAAGGGGCCATCTAGAGCTACTGGTTCTGGCGGAAAACATACACAAAGAAATGGTAGTCGCAAATATATTGAAATTTTGTATAAATTTGTATTTTGTGCCGTAAAAAAATCTCACGTAAAATTTACGAAGCATACAGAGCTAAAATTTTTCCATGACCAAACATTCCAATTTTGTACTCAATCTAACGGGTTTTATCTGCATTGTTAGATTTCATACTTGAACAAATTTATTGACCATTGCGGGAATATCAATTTGTCATTGCGGGAATATCAACGACAAATCTCGCAGTCGCATTCCAATCTATACTGCCCGATTTTGCAATAAATGTTATACAAAAAGTCAGCTATAAAAAAAGCTTTATTGCTTTATTCATAGCTTTATGGATGCTTTAACTTAACGAATTGTACTCGTACCTGTAGGCTGTAGTCCAATTTTAAGCGACCTATCATGTATTGCATTGCAGAGAGCCATATATACCCATACTTGTAGACGTAGTTAATTTTTGTGTCGTCAACAGTGAAATTCCTTTAGGGAAGTAGGAACAGCTACGATGAAAAACATGTTAGCATGGCACATAAAAACTAATTCAAAATATTTTTAGCGAAAATCTATGTTATTTTAGTTTATGGTACCTAATGACTTGCGCTTATATTCATGTAAGATGTAATGTTCAGAGTTGCAAAAAAGCTGCGGGTACGCGGGTGACACCCGGAGGAAGGTTTGCTTTGAATGAAGTTTGTGAGGAAGGTTCAAAGTTGAACACTCTAATTGATCACATGCATGTACCAAAAAACCAAATATTTCGTTATGCTGGCTGCCATTTGACTCAGTGTCGTAACGTAATTTTGAGGAAAGTTTTCAAAACTTGAAATCCTACCGGAGGAAGGTTGAACTCTTTTTGCAACTCTGGTAATGTTAGTAGTTCATTTCTTCGAGACACCAAAATTATAAAAACACAGTTAGCGTCTTTTTCTTCTAGTAAGCACTCTTTGATATATCCTTTTGCAGCTCAATATTCGGAAAGATCTACTAGATATGGTCAAAGATATCGACGACGAAGTCAAGAGAGTGACAGCGATGAAAGCCCTGGCCGATCTGATCACAATTCAAGTAGCGAGAGAGACGATGTGGCCATCGATAGGATTGCAGATCTTCTGATAGAAATACAGGATAATATGAAAAAGATTTTAGACAGGCTTAAGAGGCTAGAAACATCGTTGCAACAAAGTCAAAGTATCGTAAGTGAATCGTATGCTTCTACATATATAATGTTCGCCTGTGAGGTATAAAAACCCAGCTAAATATTTGATATTTTGTTGTGTTCATATTTACTATTATTCTTGCTATCCTGCCAACATACACGTATTATGCATTCTTATTGTTCTGTTTTAAGAGAGCAGATGAAATCGTTTTTCTTTTAGTCGTGGTTCGAAAACTACAGACCTTCCAAGACCTTTTTATTTCTTATTCTTTGGCCTTTTATTGTCAATTTCCTCTTCAAGTTTTTGCGACGAAGGTACCGTATATTTGATTTACGTAATCACTAAATTTCATTTTTGCAATTCTAGTTGTATCTACTTAATTGGCTCTTATTATTTTTTCTATGCCGTATCGTGTACATATGTCCCCTTTCATGTGGAATAGTTTTTCACCAAATGGTTTTCTATTTTACAGATTTTCGACAAAACAAAGATAACATTGAGGCCGCGACTTCGTCGAGATGGTCTAGAGTCCACTGGCCTTGTGAGTTGGTGATAATGAGGTTACAAATACATTATGGGACGTGATGACGCGACCAAAATTATCGTTCCGGAAAATAGTCGGTCTCATGATACACTGCCAATTGTTTTAAGAAAGGTGCATTTGTTACATGCCAGCTCTGGTCGAAAAGCCTGGGACTTTTCAGAGCCGTCTATCCCAGACAAAAATAAAAAAGGAACTTATTTGTTTAGAATGTGTACCATTGTCTGCCTCACATTGTTGAGTAGACATGTACAAGTATTACGTCTACCAACCATTTTTGACCATTGTATGTTTTGGGCCATAAATATTTTCTTATAAAAACTAATTGAATTACACCTAGTGTAGTTGATCACAATGAGATACCATACACAACGACTATGATTATAACTTCTAAATAAATTTGTAGCTATAATGATTGAAGTGGGTTGCAGTTTAAATTAAACAACATTGATACTTTAAATTAGCCATAAGATCCTAAACATGCCAACGTATATTTGCGTGAAAGCTCAAATAGGCAATTCATTATTATGAAAAAAATTATACACTTTCCTGGCTGTCTCCTGATCCAAACTACAGTCCATTAGTTGTTCTATAGAAGCACGAGCGACATTCGAAAGGCTTTGGCAACCTTGATGAAGAACAAAGCAATCTATTATAAAGAAATTAAGGATTACAATTCATCTATGTACGAGCCAGTTTTATAACTGACAGTGACATTTTCACTCTGTAATAGTACTAACGATCGACAACACAGTACCTATTGGATAAACGAGAGAGACCAATTCTTGATATCACACAAAATATCACTACCCACAGTCCACACAAACTATCCTTTCACCCACGCAAGTGTGTCTAGACAGATGAACCGACTTAACTAAAAGCTATTCTGATAAGATTTTCTAGAAAAAAATCCCCAATCAAATAAAAGGATACCGTGACAGTTGAGCCCAATTGCTGAAAGAATGTTGAGAACAACTTCTTCAGACGAAGAAGACGAAGCAAGATTACCCAATCTGGTTTTTAGCAACGTTGACGTTGGTTTGGAAGTTACCTGGAAATGTATTAGCAAGAGTGTAGAAAAAGAACTGGGGGGCTTATTTCGTATGGAGCAGGGGCTCGTATGTTTTTTTTTCTAATGGGTCTACTACTCTTAACTGTTAAGACCATTGTGCTTTGCCATAATTATGACTAATCATACTACAAGCAAAGCATTCTGGTTGTGAATAAGGCCGTAAGGTCCTTTATTTAGCTACGCTCTTGAAGCCTAACTTGGACTGTGGAATCAGGGCCGTAGCTAGAAGTTTAATTTGGGGGGTGCATATCACTGATGGCGCATATTCGTATATTCGCCTTTAATACGCCTGACTGATTTCTTTGGAAAGCAGGAATATACCAATATGACCCCCCCCGCAATTAAGCAGTCTAATTACGACCCTGTATGGATGGACTCAGGTCAATTTATTTCAAGCTTACCTTCGCAATATTCAGCATAAACGACACGCATTCTTTGAAGTTGTGAGCAGGGTAGTAGGTTAAAGAAAAAGTAAAAAACCTAAGTAATAAAATGGCAAATATTACAGAAATATTAGTAAGAAAAATTGATGGGGTGGAGTGACACCTATATTCTATATGTGAACACATATACCCCAGACATGAGTAATATGAAAACTTTGAAAAAAATTATTTAGACAATATGGGAAAAGGTTGGGACCATTTGTCAAAAAAAAATCTTCATTCCTTTTCATCCCTACGCCTAAGCTTTCAGAAAGTATCTATCCGGCTTCTTGTTATAGTACCTGAAAAGTTTAACTATGCATACCTTTCTTGCAATGTTGATAATATGGCGAGGTGTTTTTCGTCTATCGAAGCAGATGTTGTTAAAATGAAACCATTTCTATGAACTTGACCAAACTTTGAAACTCTAAAATAGATAGGTTTCAGTGACCATATCGTGGGTGGACACTAGGAAACTCATGCGTGATCAGAAACTGAGAAGTGCTTCAAGTGCATCCACAAGCCTGAAAACAGTGGCGGTTTAAATGTACCTTTCGACCATTTTCCCGTCCAATGCACCAGACTGATCGTTTTGTGATTCGATATCACGAATGTCAAATATCAGAAAGGCAACTGCAGACTTTGGAAAAATCACAGAGTTTTCAATTATGTTTTCTGAAACTAAAAGAAATGGAAAAATATAAAAAAACTAAAATGTATCAGTATCTCGAGCTTCACGTTTAACCCAAAACAAAACATATCGCTAGCGATAGAGAAATATAAATACCGCGAACTCTGTGAATATCCTTCAACTGGGAGAAGAGTTCAGTAGTCTGAAGAGATGAATGTATAATAACTGGCCATTTTTCATCGATACAAACGGAACTTTCCTGCATGTTTGTTTTTGGTTAGTATATTTTAAATTTCCCGCGAACACCACAGCAACAATACAAGTACCCCCCCGGTTTAGCATCCCGCAATAAAGCGTGCGCAAAACTTTAGCATGATCAGACGTCTTGAGCCCTTAAAAGATCGAATAACACCGGAAAGCTCACTCAAGATATTAATTTCACAACTAAACAAAACATTTTATAAAGTACATTATTTACATTTTACAAAGGAATGTAAATTTACAGTCCGTACTCCGGATCTCGCCCCGAATAATTAAACAGAACAAAGCCGTCCATTTTACAATTTTGGCAGCACATAACATTCCAAATACTTTCAGGTAGTATCATACTGTTTTCGAATGTACATTTTATACAGTTCGTACTTTGTACAAACGGTACAATTCAACAAAACAACAACGCCGTCATTTTAAATTGTGGCAGAACATAAAAACATTCCAAAGACTTGCAACATCAAGCCAGTGAAGGATTAGCGACTTGTTTCACTTTAATAAACGTTACAATGATCAAGAGCCAATTTATGCTGTCCCAGTGCAGTATAGCTCTCAAAATACTTTCCACAACGAGTACATGCCCAATGTTTGAGCTCTTCAATGTGCTGCGAGAGACTAACTCCAGCTTTGAAACTTTTGAAGCAAAAGCCACAGGTATTCATCAGCTCGGTCTTCATTGCAAGTTGCTCCAATCTCGACTTTCCTCCGTGATGTAATAAGAACATCAATTCGTCGTGCCGTCCTCTGCGACGGGACATCAATGCTCTCAAAGCATCTCTGGCTGGCGGACGACACACTCTTTCACGTCGTCTACATCTGGTTCTTCCCAAACGACAGTTTGCTGGAGAGGTCCGAGTTCTACTTGAACGTGGTGGAGAAAAGCGGCGAGAATTTGCCGAACGCAATGGAGAGGCTTTCTTGCTTGAAGGAGAAGAATCTTTTGACGGAAACGAAGTCCGATCACGTCGGAACCTACTGAAACGGCTGCTGGATTTTCTCTCCTGGGTCTGGGAAAATTCTGTCTCGCTGAATACAGTTTCGTATTCTGTCTCGTCATCGCTGATAGTAATAGTCTTAGGCGAAGTACGACCACTTGATGAGCCAGAATAGCCAGAATCTTTACGCTCTCTTGGACTTTCATTACATTGGGTACCTTTTTCAGGAACAGCTTGTTTATCTGACTTCACACCTGGGTCAGGCGTGACAACTCTTTGCTCGTCATCGCCGCTTTTGGTCGGTTCTTTCCAACGCACTGTTACGGACAACGGAGTGAGCTCCCGCCAATCCCGCCGTATTGTACCATTTTGAGCCTCCTTCTTTAGCTTGTCGTCGGCAGTTTTAACTTTAGAGCTTGCATCTTTTTTCGCACCGCTATTGAAAAGGGTTATTCTGCAGCCATCTTCGTCCCACTCAACAATATTGCTCTCGCCAATCAACTCTGCAGAACCGTATAAAGGAAAGTCAGTCACATGCTCGATGTTTTCGACACGTCTCGTCGCAATATACCGACACTTTTTGAGCTTTTCTAGCTCGCGAAATACCCACAATCTGCGGTTGTTTAGCGTGTACCAAACCCATTGTTTGTGACACCAAACAACATCAATGCTTGGCAGGTCTTCGATTAGAACTTCTTCGTTTGCAAGTTGCTGCAGCGTTTCTCGCAGAGGAATTCCGTCATCGAATGAAGAAGGCAGTAGCTTCTGTTTAAAGCAAATATCACTAGGTTTTAACAGCACACGATACGTAAAGGCCATCGTGAACACTCTCTTGTTTACTTCACACGTGTTTATTGTCCGAAACCGTGCGACAAGTAACACGAAACCGGAAATAGCGTATCAAAATAACGGTGATAGGTCAAAATTTTAATGACCAGTAATATGGCATGTCAATCGAGGAAGGCGTGCAAAATAAAAATAATCGAGAAAAATGGGTGAGTAAAATTTAAAAGATTCTAGATCTTATCAACCGTGAACCATGTGTAATAAGACCAAGGATATGTCCATTGCGAGTCTGTCTGGCCAGTGTGCTGGTTAACAAATATATGACCAAATTGTAGTTGGTATTTGAAGACGCTGCCACTCTCCTAGCCTTTTATCGACCGTCCTGGATCGAAGTTTGAATGTCCACTATTTATTTGGGTAACAATGAAAAAAGCCTTGGTTAATCATTAACTGCGGAAATAAATTGTGGCGAGTACAGTTCTGGTAAAACAACACGCACAGTTCGTATAGTAATGCGAACGTAAGTACACGCTTACTGCCGGGATAAAAGAACTGTTTAGTAAAAAAATCGACAAAACACAAATGAAATCTTCTTTGGTGTAAAAAAGTCTACTCTTTTTCGTTGTTTGTTTCGTCTGTTTCCATGGCTTCCACTTTCGGTATGTTTTTTTTATCATCGTCGTTTGTTTCTTGCTCAGCTAACTTCTGACGTTCATCTTTGTTTTCTTCTTTTGTTTCTTCATCTTCGCTATCTTCCTCAGGCTATATAGGGGAGAATAAAAACTCAGATGTGGAAAATACGACTGATTTGTGATAGGGCCACATTGGGATATCCACTGATCTGGAAACAATTAATATACTACAAGAGGATAGGGTGGCTATATATGACATTGTTTATGAGAATATTGCAGCCTACATATATGACACTGTTCAATAGTTAACAACTATGAAGAAAATTGTTCTCAATATCTTTTTTGTTCAAGTTCAAAGAAACTGATGAAAAGAGACTATATAGGAACTACTAACTAGTCTTGCATGGCTTTTTCTTACGGACTGAACAGACTATTTTACATCAAGAGCTTATTTTCTAATCAAAGCGTTCGAACTAACTAGCTTATGCTGATACTCACCGTGTCATCACAATCAGTGCAGTACCAAGAGTAACCTTTTGGTTTTGGATTTGTCTGAAGAGGGGAGAGATAATAATTAGCTCTTATTTTTGAATCTTTATCATTGTTTACAGTGTCCATATACCAACTAATCTGGTTTTATTGAATAAAGTACAAAATTCGTTTTACCTTAGTTGGAGGATCAAGGCAACCAAAATGGAAACAATTTTTACATTCATCACATCTGCAAATCACGAAATGGTAATTTCATTATATTATTATTGTTTAACACAACTAATTCGAGTACCTTAGAGATATGCTAGAATATACCGTAATCCAGGATACGTTTGCTTTGTGAAATTGACAGCCCTGAATGCTACAGATACCTGACGAGGTTTGAATTATCTCCGGCTTTCCCACATGTTTCACATGTACTCCTGACATCGTCTGGCTTCCTTTTGTTATAAACTGCACGAGCTTTACGCTAAACAACAAACCAAAAAACGAGAATTAACGATTCTGAATATGCATGCATATGCAATCTATGTATATAAAAGTGTCATGTATAAAATAAAATAGTGAATAAATAGTTAAAAAATGCTCCCAATTCTCACACCTAAAACTAAAACTTCTCTCTTTTCATTATTGACCATGAATCACATGCAAATCCTTAGCAAAGGTTTACCTACCGGTCTAGGTTTCTCCACTTTCCTATATTTAACAGGGTTTGTCGTTGCTTGCTTCTTAGTCCGTTTGTACGTTCTTTTCTTTTTCTTGTCAGGCTGAGATAAACAATGTAGGTCAAATTAGTTAATACTCAAGTTAGTCGACTGTATATTTCTCCAGTAATTTCAGTAAAAGTAATTTCCCTGTTCAAAAAATCTCATAGTATAGAAAGTAGAGACTTCAATATTAACTTTTTAAAATATCTATCTTTTGGGCCTGGAAGCCACGCGAGAATATTACTGTTGATCCCATTAAATAAACACCACAATTAGTCAGACCCACTGCTTTGCCTTTTTATAAAGCTGCGCTCAGCACGCATACTTACATCCCTTCCTGGAGTGAATTTTGTCGGTTCTTTAATGTTACGCTTTTGTCGACTTTCTAAAAGTGACGTGTTATCATTTGGATCTACTTTATTGTCCTCATCTTCACTACTGCTGCTGTCACATTCTGTGCACTGCCTAAGAAAAACAGAGAACTCTAGACATGCAGTTCGGTAATCACTTGCACCGATATATAATTATACTGTAGAATGTGAAAGTTTGGCTTTGATTGGCTACAAGAGGTGCAATTACTTTTGAAATCCCACTGCAGCTCAATTTCAAATGTAATTGCACTTATCACTCCACAACAAATCTTTCGTGAAATTTGGGAAAAACATACACGAAGAGTATCAAAAACAGCAAAGTTCTCACACGTTTGCCCGTTTAATCGCACTTGAAACTATGCTTATTAACTGTACTTATGGTATGATTTAAAAGCACTTATAAAAGATCACCACACCATGTGAACAAAGTGGTTTCCAACAACGTTTCATCTGGGCGTGTTTGCAGTTCCAGTTTGCTACCATGTTTTTGTGATCTATCGTTTAACACAACTTTACAAGTAGCTATATTTGATAATTACCACAACAATGTACTTGATTTCTTGGGCATCCTCGTTAGCGGTGGATCCACGCATGCCAAATGATAGTAACTGTGACATGTGTCACAGTCTACCATCAAATGCTGGTTGTCTGATTTCTCACACTTCGAGCAACTATATCAAAAAAGTTTTGTAAATCAATATTCTTTTTTTTGAACTAGTTCTCTCTGTTTGAGCGAATTTTCTCGGTTATTTCAAACTGTAGTGCCAACTCCGAGCGACCGTCTCACAAACTCGGTTATTAACACACGACCCCCAAAAATTCTAATTATTTTTTTATCTCAGTCAAACGTCATTGTTCATTAACTATTTTGCCTCTAGTTCCAGTCTTCCAGACCCCTTTCTCGTCGCAGAACGGCTGGTTTAGATGAGATGTTAGAGCAGCGTGTTTCCACTTACACGCTAAGTTTTAACTCCTCCTTGGGCTGAACGTCGTCTTTTTTACTCTTGAATTCTTTTAAAATATCAGGCAATTCTATCTCCTGAAGATCTATCTATTAAAGAAATTTTTAAAGCTTCATTACGAACAAAAGGAAGAAAAGAACGGAGTGACGCTTATAGATAATGAAATATCCCGGAGAAAAGAGAATTACAGGCCAGCGCCCCTGTAATGGAATGCCTTTAACCGAGAAGTGGATTTGCATTCGACTACAATTTCTTTCCCGCGCTTTCAGATAACCTGTTAGTCATTATGTTGAGATCTGGCAGAATCATGCAGTTACTATTCAACACACAAGAAATGACGCATTAAATTTTCACCTTTCCCGCCAGTTGACAAAGCAAATCATGCAATTCAAAACACTTGTTTTCAATAGTTTCACGTTGTGACGTCACTTCCTTCGTACTTTGAGACAACTGCAAGCAAAATATGAATGATGTTGACGAATTAATCACTGAAACGCATTGTATAGTGTAGTTAACACAAGTTAAAATACAAGAATCTCGACACATCGATTATTTACATGAAAACTGTAGCTATAAAAGAAGGGCTTTCGCTCGTCATTACTGTTTTTATAGTTTCAAGGTACTTTAATGTTCTTATATTTTTCCACTTTCTTAGAAAATGATACAAGGGATCCCCCGATTTTAGGGGTGAACCAGGCCCAATACACATGTATGATCTCGACACTGTCGTTACAAATAAAAACACTGGCTTGATTCACCTTTTATGAATCTCTTAGAATATTTTGCCTGCCGAAGTTGAATGCATTTATTTACCCATATATCGGTAAATTCACTAAGATGTCAAATGCGTTGATGTTCGTTGATGTACAGAGAAGTAAATCGAAGATCCGATATCCCAGGCCATGCAACTCAAGGTTCAGCCTGAATCATATCGTAGTCAAAAACAAACCTGCTCATATTTTAATCTCAACGTTCGTTCCTCTTCTTGCAGTTTCTTATTGTTGCTCGTCGACTCTTCAAGCCTCGTCTTCATGTTTTTCATTCGATTACCGCGTTCTGCCAGTTAAGGGGTGAACATTTTTACACATAAATTCTAGTTCGGAATAAACAGTTAAATAGCTGCAATCTATAGTTGAAGATATCGTTTGTGCCTTCAGTTACCGTAAAAGTAGTTGACAAAACCGACTGTGAGCGCAGCTGGAATATGCCATTTTCTTCGCATGTTGGTTAGACCAGACTAGAGAAATAAGGCGCTCAACAATGAGAAAATACGTCGCAAAAAGTTACGAGCGTGACACAAAAGACGGATAAAACTGCAAAAGTAAAAAAGAGGGGAATTGATATAACAAATCATGGCTGGAATCTTAATCATACAAGGATATGTTCGAATTAATGATACTCAAAAAGTTGTATTTTGTAAGGTCTAAAATTTCAGAAAAAAGAAAAAGAATATGTTTACCTGATGTGAAACAAATCCAAGTAACTCTGCCTTCTTCAGTAAATGACGAAAAACTACATACGGTAAGGAATATTAATATATACACTTCATAGAAATTGGGTAATTGTTCACCCAATACATAACGATTAATTCATGCAACCTCTTTCTAGGTTAAATAATCACATCTTTATAGCAGTATTACAGTAGGAAAGTTGTTAGTGTGTTATGTATAGTTGGGCAAACAACCCAGGTCTGGTTAGATTAACCAAAATTTATTCAAAGTGTTTTTGCATTTCAACCGTAATATATTGTGGAAGTGCATATACGTGGTTAAATAACCTAAATTAGCCCTATATGTTTACCTGATGGACAAGAGAGTATTGAACGAGCAACTTTTTCTCTTGGAGCTAAAAACAGCATTTTTTTATCAAACTTCATTGTGGGAGATAAACAATGTCACAAAACAGAGGGGAAATCTGAGGCAGATTGTTCAAAGACCGACTCGAGTTAACCCGAGGACATGCATATGCTAACCAGTTCCTTTTTTTTATATATTCTTAGGAGCGATTGTTTTTTCAATACCTAACAGCATTTAGAATCGATTTAAATTATGCAGATGTAACTATCGGTTCACTTTCTTGTCAAGGGCAACAGCAGCTGTGTAATTACTGTCGCTAAATATTTACCAGGCGGTGGGGTTCTCTCCTCCCTTTGTTTTCTATAAACTTCTCTAGCGACCTGTAACGACTCCTCCACCCTTGACTAAAACAAAATTTCACTTCATTGCAACACCTTTCATATAGGGCCCGTTTAAACTTTTGTCGCAACTTTTGCTGCGATTTTATGTGCGATTTTCTCTTTTTGATAGATGCGAACGAGTGAATTAGTTACGAATGCTGTGATGTATAACAGCTCTTATTAATTTGAACATCCGTAATTCACGTCTATTCACTCGTTCACATCTATCAATAGAAGAAAATCGCAGCAAAAATTGCAAGTGTATAAACAGGCCTATAGAACTTTCGAATTCTGTGAAACATTGTCATATACAGATTTTCGCTGAAATTTAATTTGCTTATATACCTTATGGTTCATATCGACATCAATCTGTTTAAACTTCCTCACGTTAGAAACGTACGTTAAGTAAGCCTGGCGCTAAAGATAGAAATACCCGAAGATGAAGTGATGAACAGTATTTCATAACCAGGAATGCGGTTATCAAGGTATGTAGGGGAATCAAACTTGCGATTAGGAAACATTATAATATTTACCTTTTTCTTAGCAATTGATTTATCGAGATGAAGCTTACAATGTGCATAAAGTGGATCAGCCACATCCTGTAAATTAGAACAATCCGGTGCTACAGTCCAAGAAATCACGAGTGTGAAAAAACAGCAAGAGGCGCCAAGAGCATTGACCGCGAAAAATCATGATTTGTTCGCGAAAGCTGGGCAAATTTGGAGGTTTCTACGTAGTTTGGGGCATTCTTTCCCAGAAATGATAAAACCTTTATTTTCTGAATTAATACTTTATTCGTATTGGGGAAAACCGGACGCGTAGATACCAACTCCCCCAACGAAGGGAGCGACATTAGTTGAATAGTCGAGAGGGTTTTTTGCTTGAAAAACTAAAATCTGAACGTCATATGTTCACACTTCTAAGAAGCTATCAGTCAATGGAAAATAATTTATTCCAGAAAGCGAAAGTGGCAATAATAGTGTCTTCCCATATAAGAAAAACGAATGTAATTCTGTCTAAAATTCCGCCATGATGTCATTTAAGTTTCACATTCGTCAGATTCGTACTTAGCATGCACCATAAACGAAAACAGAGGCATGGTTGCTTCTGCATATGGTAAGTGAGTTCCCATCCTGGTTAAAATACAATTATACCTCATCATCCTCTTCAGGTAGTTCAGATAATAATCCTTTCTTTTGTGCACTAGATAATGAGCATTGATCATGCATTGTTAATTAAAAATGCCATACAGTAATCTATCAAAGACAAGTAGAACAGAATACAAAAATTAGTCTGGTCTAGGATAGTTTCAAAAGTATGTTAAACAAACCATGAAGCATGGAAGAATGTTTTACACAACCCGGCATCACATCCGATACAAACACCAGTTCTACTCAGACTTGGGTCCTCGCACAAGTTGCATTCCTAAACAAAAGATGAATGATATGCTTCCTACAAATGGAGAAGGTTTTTGTTGGCTTACTATGACACTAGTATACCTTTGCACCCCACTTTGAGGCTGGCATGTCAATCAAAACAACACCTTCAAGCTTTTCAGGGATATCAAAAGTGATACCAGGCGTATACAGTGCACACACAAGATGCACCCATCTACAGGGGCAAAAGAAACAGGTCTCTTTTAGTGCTTGAAATTCCTGTCTAAATAAATAGTGTTGTGCATGGATGACCAGAGCAAAAAATATGATAAGAACAAAATGAAAGGTTTTCCTCTGTTTTCATGCTTTTTTTAAAGGAGTACCGTTTTTTATAGAACACATTTGTGTTCCAACTTTAATGAACCACTAGCATAGATCTGAAATATATTCTGAATATACCATGGTCCTACTATGAATATACATACTGTCCACGCAAAGTTTCTTTGAATATACCATCTAAATTGGGACATAGCTCGCATTCCTAAACACAGAAAATATAAATTTACTATACACAGTTACATATAATTAAATACCTCATCCGATCTTGTGATTCCCTTATGGTACTTACAGGAGTGATTCCACTTTTACATGCATCACAAAACCATGGCTCAGTAGAAGATTCTGAGTCTGATGAGTCATTAGAGTTTGCATCATCTCCGGTATCAATCCCAAAACAGCCTAAAGAAATATGCACAGCACATCAGGACTGGGTATTAACATTTATAAGTTCGCAACATGTAGGACCAGGTAATTTCACTAGATGTATGATAAGGCAAAAATATAATACATATAATAATCATTAGCCTTACTTTCATGAACAGAGATTCCACAATTATCACATTCAACAATTTCATCATCCTCATCACTGTGGGAAAAGTTGATAAGAAGCACACAGATAGGAAGTAGAACACAATAAAGACCACAAGGTTTCTTACCTATTGTCTTCCAAACATATACCACAAATTAGAACTTTGAGTGAGTCCTTAAACTCTAAAGTTTTATTTTGTACCTTGCAAAAAAATATATTCACGTGTTAGTTACATGACTTTAAAGGTGATACTACCTTCCAGCTTGCATCCCTTACCATCTTTTGCGGTGTTTTAGCTTCACTGTTTGGTTTTGTTTCTTTTAATTGTTCCATCATGTCTTCAACTTTCCTTGGTTTATCGGATGGGGAGCCAGAGCTACCTTCATCTTCATCACTTGTATCATCCTCATCATCATTTTCATCATTGTTAGTTTGTTGGCTTCCTGTTTGTTGTGTTCCTGCATCAGGTTGTTTTGATTTTGTTGGATCTTGTGAAACATTATGTTTTTCTTCATCACTCTCTGCCTCACTCCAACTTCCTAATAAATAAAATTAAATGTTTGTGCTCTTTGGTCAATATAAAATTCAAGGACTTATCTGGGATTTCTCTTATGATTTTAAGGCAATTTGATTGAGGAAAAATAATCTTAAATTATCTTGTGGACAAGATTATACTGAAAACCTTTTACGTTGACAGATTTATGTATTTAGGTACAGTTTCACCAAAACATTATACAATTTCGTCTGCAAAAAATGCATAATTTTGGCAATTGGCACCCCCTGCAGTTAGGCTTACGGTTTCCTAATTCGTACCATCATCTTCATCATCACTTCCCATTTGAAAATCTTCATCGTCATCTTCACTACCATCTTCATAACAAAGAGCAAGCTGAAGTAGATCATTATTCTCTGCAGGCTTGATTCGCCTCTTGTTTGGTCCTCGTTTTACTATAAATAAATATGAAGATATTGACGGAATAATGATAGACTTTAACCTTCCCTCATTTAGCTGCTCATTTGGAGAAAAGAACATACGTTTCTATCTAGATTAATGTCCGGGTACTCGAAGGCTACGAATGGTGTTACACTTACAAATAGAATTTAAAAACTTAGCACGTTCGTCCTCCATCTTGATTTCTAGGGTGCTTCCACTTTCAAATTTGCAATTTCTATTTAGCAAGGCTGGAATTTCCATAAATTGAAAAAAATTCTACAAACAACATATTATATGTTTAAATTTCCATTAAATTTCCACGAAAGGAATCAGGAAAAGGCAGTATTTTTAAGGCATTAGAGTTGTTTCCGTTCAGTTTCTAATATCAAATTATCAATATATGGTGTTCCATAATGTAGTAATTCGCCAGAAGTTCTGCCGTCTAGTCGCGAAGGCAATGCTGTCGCATGTTTCAAACTGGGGGTTCGAGGCCAAACATCTCCATTTTAGGATAAAGAATAGGATAAAGTAAATCAAATAAACATAGTCGTTTAGCACATGATCTAGTGTTGAAGACAATGGTCTCCCAAGTGCTAAGTCGATGTATATGAGCGCCAAACATGCTTACAATGCAACTTTACATAGGACAAGCATTCAGTCGACCATTAAAACAGCGTATTTCATTTGGTAGATTCATTAAAAATTTTCAACATTCGCAACTAATTTCACAGCTGAAATTGTACTTCAACATCAGGCAACAGATTACCCTCTTCAATACTCTTTGGCCTTGAAGAAAAAGCTTTGCCTTTTGGTTCCTTTTTGACCGCATATCACCTAGAAAAAATTGTCTCTCATATATTTTCTAGAAATTATTAGTAGTTTCAGTGGAAAAATGGTCCTTTTTTTCCGATATTGTTTTATTTGCAACGCGTTACTCGTTTTATACCATGTATTTCCACCTATTCGGGCTTACAGCCCTCGACACCACCCTATCAGGAATAATTGTTTACAATTGTCTAAAATCACAAATCATTAATTTTAATCACTACAGAATTACAAGATTCACACATTTAAAAATTCATTTACATAGTTGCTACAAAGTGTTATATGTACAATATCAATTGCAAGTAAAATATTCCATTTCATTAAATATTCAACTTTACACCAAATTCCTTCTTTTTCAAAGCTAAAAGACAACTTTTCAAATACAACCCTCACAAAAAATTGTTTTGAGTTTTGCAGCATTTCTAAGTGGGATCTCGAAGACTGGCTCTAGAAGGCAGGTACCGGTTATATAGTTTTCAACAATATGCTATGCCGAAAACATAACGATGACAAAGTCAAAGACCTTCGTTTTATGGGGTTTGTTTTGCAAAGCGCACTAGATGGTACTCAAACAGCAGTGAGGGAATAATAGCAAATTAGAAATTATAAAAAACAGCAAATAGGAAAAACACTTCCTAAGTACAAACGTCAAAACTTCTATCCCCTCACTGACTCAGTCGTTCTAAAATCTCTACTCTGCTTCGGCTGGTTATACTATATATAACACGTCAACAGTCTTTTACAGAGGAAATTGGTCAAGTAACTCGAAACATCTCCTACAATAAGCCATATAAGCAATACATATTTACATGATAGTATAAAAGGTCCATTTTAGAAAAGGCCTCGGCTAACACAATCTCCTAGCTAGTCGGAAATCCACTGCGTGTTCGAAAGGGACACAGCACCTCAGTGTGACCGTTAGACGCCTCAAACATGAACTTCGTGTCTGCTAAACACTTAAAAACAAGAATAAAGGAATCTGTAATTACACCTAGTTCCTGTATTTAGCCAGGAGAACTTTCTTAACACAGTAAGAAAGTGCATATGATATGGGGATGCAAAATATCAATTACTGAAGTAATTACCCTTTGATTATTCACAGTCTTGACATATTTCTTGCCAACGTTTCTCAAAGAACTTTCGTAATCGTTTTCCAGCTTGACCAACCTAAATACATGTGTATATGTATACAACTTTCAAGACGCTGGAAACCTGGCAAGCATTCCTGCAGGGGGGGTTGAGATTCCCCCACAGTGTAGTAGAGTTGCAATTTTTAAAGCGACTGACTCATTCGGGTCTTCTCTATTTAATATTTCATCCCAACTCTCTCTTTGTTACATTACCTCGGAGTCATCTTCGTTATAGTGATTACAGTTATCAAATACTAGACGACTGTCAGCTGCAAACTCCTCTCGTGAAGTATATCTAAGGAAGATTTGGATCAATTTTAATTCACACGTTGGAGGTTGGTCGGGTAGTGGAAAGCTTGAATCAGTTGAATGCAAATAATTCAAGGCATGGCACTAACGATGACAACTTACTGAAAATCCCGTAGTTTAACTTTCATGGTATGGAAATCCATTGGCGATAGGATTATCGTATAGTACTCAGGAAACTAGACAAAGGTTAGAATAAGGGTTATCCTGAATACAATCAACTTTTTATAGGGATTAGGCGGAGGGGGGGGGTCAATGGAAAGAGGGCTTGGCAAATTTCTTAGTAAGGGCTTATTAGAGAGTGGCGCATTTGTGGGGAATAAATAGAGAAAATACGGTTATAGATCTCGAGAATTCTGGCTAGGTCGAAGCTTGCATGACCAGGCATAAAATAAACAGCATTCAATATATGACGTCTGAAAGCGTAGTTTTCTTACCTGTTTTGGATTGACAGGAACTAAGAAGGGCCAAGCATCTTCATGTTTCTCCATCTCGGCAAGCAAACTTCGACATGGTGCCATATCCTTGGAACATTGTTTTCGGTTCAAATGCTGTCGAGACTCCTCGGTCAAACTATTTTTCTCATCTAGAGCTTCGCTCTCTGCTTGGATCTGTTTCTTCCTCTTACGGCTCGTTGTCGACGCACGACTGCGGGATTTCGACTAAAATGATCACGAACACATCATTATGCATGTCTATTGCTATCAGGCTGCAAATTTAAGTTACACGTACTGCAATCTAAAGCACAGCACACATGCAGATGCTCACCTTGACCTTTTTACAGTTAGGACATGACCAGCAACGTGGAATTCTAAAAAATTCACGGAAGCGAGTTAGTGCAAGTTTTACTCTGAGATTATCAGTAAACAACTGCTTTTTTTTGTTTCTAGGTGACATTGCTGGTTTAGTCGAATGCAGGCGTTATTTCATTAGCACGAAAGAAAATTTAATTTTTATAACTTGACTTGCAACTTACTTAGCAAGTGGTGGATCAACACATTGTGGATGATAGTTCCTTGGACATTGGGTACAACGAAGAAGTCTGTCCTGTGTTCCACGACACATGAAACAACAACTTTTACCAGTCGCCTAATGAAACATTAAAAGCATGCATTTCGTGAGGCTAAAAAGGCTAATCTATACTAGCTTTATTCCAACTCACTGATACACAATTAACTAGGTACTGACTCATCATGAGTGACTCACCATAATAATGCAATCAGTACAATACCAATCACCCTGGGGGATAGTATCAAGTTTTGGCTATAGAATGATAAAACAAAAATTTCTATGTAAACGATCGGTACTGGTAACAATTACAATGTCCTGATATCATTTTGTCTTGACAGGTTCTAAAAGGAAACTATATTGAATTAAAACTATGGTGAAATTGATATTAACAGTTTCGGACATCATGTTTTGAAAAATGCAATGAGCCTAAAAATAAAGTCATAAAGAAGAGAGCTGGTAACGAGAATTTGATCGCTCATAAAAGCTTGAAAATTCTTTACCTGACAGCAATAGGTGTGATAACCACGATCGCATCCGTCACAAAGTAAAAGAAGTTCTTCGTTGTCTCCTTTACGACACATCTGGCAGAACTACGGAGCAGAGAAAAACAGTTTGAATTTACACGAATTACAGAAGCGAACTGTACAAGCAAAGTATTGATTACAACTTACGACTTTCATAATAGATTTTGCCCAGGCAATACAATCAGCTAATAATGTCAAACACATGTACAGCTGAGCAGGTGTACGACATGCGGACACGGTCTCTCGCCATAATTTCAATGCTGGTGTGATCACTTCTTCTTTCTCGCTACAAAAATGACATGAAAAGAAAAATTTAATTTATGCTGTACAATGAGCTTTGATTGGTTATATCTCAATAAGATAAACGCATAACATCATAACATCGCATGACTGGCTATTTGAAAAAGAAACAAGGGACGATGACTATTTGTACTGGCACTGTATTGTAATCCAAGAATATTTCCACTTTTGTTTTCAAATCCTGCAACTGATCATTTTTATGACTTGAAAAATTACCTCGAACCACCCTGAACCTGTGCACTTGTTTCAGCACTCTGTTCTTCATTCTTACTGCTTGAACCGTTTGTAAGATTGGCGGGAATTTGAAGTTTACTGCAAAAAAGATATTAGATCTATATTAGATATTATCTGTGGATGAGAGTTCAGGGACGAATTATTAGAGAAACCTTTTTTATTAACATGAGAGGGGCATTAGCTCTATTTACGCACACTGAATGTGTATGTATTTCAGGAGCAATCATTAGAGATATATTTGAACTTGTTAGTTCAAAACGCTACTGAGATGTATATTTAAAAACCCCGCAAAGAATTTCGAGAAGACAGTAAATACATGCAGACTGTATAATACCACGAGCTTAAGACAACTTACTCATTTCGTAAAGGCGACTTCAAGTATCTTCGCTCAATCCCAGCTTCAAGAGCCGCCAAGCGTGTGATAGCGATGGTCAGAGGAAGACCGCATAAGCTCTCGGGCTTACTACCGTCTTTTGAAATAGAGAAAAGAAAGTTAATCGACGTCATCGCGTAGAAGAACAAACCATCAGTGTCCGTTCAAAAAAGAACAATATTTTACCCGATTTTCTACTGTATGATAATGTCTGCGATGCCTTGGCAGGTAATCTCCAGCCCTAAAACACAAACACAACATCGCATCTTTCAAAAGTTATGCAATTTCAATCTGTAATGGCCTTCTCCTCCTTTAGAGCCATGCATTAATTGAGAAAGTGCCAGTTTGTACGTCGCATTTTGGTCTCGTCGAATGAAATTCAAACACCAGACGAGATGTTAATGACTACTGCATGTTTGAATTGAATTCGACGCGATGTATTAACATGTAATTAAAGCCGATAAGAAGAACGAGTCATCCCAATCGCGATAAGATCAAGTTGTTTTATGATCCAAAAATGTTTTCAGTGCATGCATATTAATAGCTTAAAAACGAAGCGGGAAATGTAATCTATTGTTATGGTAACGTACTCTCCGTTGTTCGAGAGCACATTCAGGTAGCGAGGTCCAGTAAGGCTCATCCAGACATTACGTATTTGCTATATTCGTCAAGCGTTGTGTAAGCACCACGCTCATCGTATCACTGAAGAAAAATACAAACTTACCTTGATCTGCAAACTCGCCGCGAATATCTTTTCTTCAAGTTCCTCGACTTCGATTAAAATATTTTTGTTCGCAGCGAAAGCTTGATCTGGGAACCAAGTGTCGACAATTTCTTTGTCAGATTCATCTCCCTCAGGCTTTACCGGTTCATCTTCCTCGTCACTTGAGTTCACTTCGGTTGATACTAAATAGCGCAAAAAAATTGTCGAGTTTAAGTTACAGCTTAAGTGTTTACTGATAAGAGATGAGATAAACGCGCGAAGAGCTGAAGTCATTCCCGTTTGAGGAAGACTTGATTGAATGAACAAAGCTTACAAAAACAGGTTCTTGATGAACCTAAACTTGCGATTGAACAATGCTCTGCTACAAAACCGGTACTCTCCCCATACAACAATTACATGAAATAAGAGTGTATACTTACATTGAAATTCTTGCTTTTCGAACGAGTGATGAGTGTAATCGTTGAACTTTAGAATGTTCTTTTGTAAACTTTTCTCACGTATGCCTCTTTGATGTAGCGTCTTTGTGAGGTCCTTGAGAAGACGTTGGTCCATAACCCTCCACCAGCCGCATTGCATCTCTAAAAACAAGTGAGTTGAATGAGGTTAGTATAGATGAGGTACGAATGAAGATGAAACAACGCTTAATAATAATTAATAATTCGAATAGTTAGGCAAGCGTACAAACCTTTTGGTATAGGCGCTGGGTCCTGGCGTAACGATTCCATGACACTACGGCGTACCTCATCGAGTGTAAGCGGGCGTTGTGCGGACGGCAATTGATAGACGGGTGGGGGCGTGATTGCCACTTTCTTTTCAGCGGCTTCGACCACACCGGATGAGCTTTCACCCTCACTTATCTTAGGTTGTTTAGGAGGCCTGCCCGGTCTTCGTGGTGCACTACCATCTAATGGGATACGTTGCGTATTGATGGTCGGCATCCAACAATTGGTTATGGTAGTTTTATCACAAGGCTCGCGCGGTAAAAGATCAAACCACGGTCCTGTCGCGCCTTCCAGTATTACTTTCGCCCCGCGGGATGATGTACTAGAGTTCGTGCTCTCCGAGGCGATCGAGGTAGAATGATCCGGGAATTGCGCCAAATGGTTGCGGTTGTCCTGTGTGGGCGATTTTAATCCATTACTGGAACATTCCCCGCTTTGTTTTCCTTGCAAGGAAACGTGCTGCATTAACAGCTTCATAGGGGAATGTTCATCGCGTGTCCCAGTCATAAGGTTTCCATGGAAACCTCTGTAATGTCCTTGCGACTCCCCTGTAGTCCCTTTCATCTCGTCTATACACCGAGACAAACCTGGACTAAAAACACGCTGACCCCCGTAGTTCTTACCACCCATGACGGAATGTTCATCGCTTATCTTAGACAAGTCGAAATGTTCCAGGCCTGTTTCGCCATTATCATTGCCCTCAATATATAAACTTCCACCGTATGGTAGCACCCAGTACATGCGACGAAATCTGTCTTGACCCAAGTACAAGGCTCGTAGCGAATGAGAAGATATAAACAACTTTGAACGAAATTGAGCTTGTTTCTAGAAATAGTAAACAAGGAGTCATATTGCTAGGTCACAATGAGAAAAAACAAGTGGGGAAAGGGGGGGAGGGGCTTGCTTCAAACAAAGGAATTGTCGCCATTTTATCAGGTTTGTGTATACTATCACTTTAAACTTTTCATCTTGGCAATAACGCATAATCCCGCTAAGGGCATAAAAGAACTAAAAAATTGCAGAGTTTGGCGTTGAAATATTGTAAAATTCAAGGAAATATCACTAAAATTCGCTAATTTGTATACTTTCAGTGTGCCCGGAAATTCTCACTACTTTTTGGCTGAAAAATGTAACGCATGCAATACAACGGTAACGCATGCAATACAAAGGTAACACATGCAATACAAATATGACAGACAGACAGCAGTAGAACCAATTGCATGTTCACCTTTTCTAATCTCTTTATTCGCCTTTCGAACTCATCCAACGTTTCTGGTTCCGCTTTCTCCTACAACATAAATAACACACACAGTGGAGTATTTCTTTGTTCAACTTTACTTGATGAGACATAATTAGAGAAACAATCTAGCCATCAAAAAGTCCAGTTAGTTCAGTTTTCATCACAAACAACCGCATCTCATCGTGTGGATAGTATTATCAGTAGGTACTTAGTTGGTACTCAATCAATCTCGAAATAATAAGCGTATATACTGTAGCTATAATTCACGGCATTATCTACATATGGAATAAACATACCTCATCAGCAGAGTCATTATCGGATTCATCTTCTTCATCATCTCCTCCTTCATCGTCTTCCCCAGCATCATCATCTTCTTCTTCTTCATCTTCCTCTATTTCATCATCATCCTCCTCATCATCGTCCTCATCGTCATCGCTGCCTTCACTTCCATCCTCTTCTTCAACAGCTTTCCTTTTCCGTTCCTTCTCATTTGGTGTCGTTACCGTTGTGGTGCTACCTCCAGCCTTCTTTCCTGGACTCTTCTTTTCTTCTGATGCCACTGGTTTGGGAATCTTGCTATCCGGGAATTTTTGCTGCTGTAGAGACTTCAATCTAAATAATTTGGAAAACATATTACAGTCAAGCTTTATATGAAACGACATTACAATATCGATTCTCAGTTACTTTTACCCTTAACCGCACTTTATTACATTATTACAAACACATACAGTAGGAGGCAAAAGTTTGAGTCCAGTGACTGTATTTCTTTGTTTCAGCAGCATATATTAATATTCTACAGAAAACCTTACCGATAAGTGAACTAGAAAAAAGTAAACAAGTAAACAGAAAAATACATGCTGTACAACAACTATGAGATGTTATGATATTCATTTTTACGTATTTTAATGTGCAAACATGCATTTACATGTCATTGCTTAGTTCCCTCTTTTTTGCTCTTGAAATGACCTTTATTCTTGCTCGCATAGATTCCATAGGTTTTTTAATGTCACACGTTCAATACCTTGCCAGCATTCGTTGACCACTTGCCTCAAGTCAGCCTGGCTGGCGGGTCTGTGCCTCGCCCTCTTCCGGTTAAAACGGTTCTACAAGTGCTCCATAGGTTTTAGATCTGGAATATGAGGTGGAAAGCCATGACAACGAGATCACCAGAATGAGTTTGCTTCTAAACGATTTCTGGCACATAGAAGATGTGCATGTGCTTAGGGTGATTATCATGTAGTTAGACGTGCGATCATCTTTGTACCAGATGAAATTCCATGTCCTTGAAGAATTGGATGATACTTTTCTTTAATTAGGATCCTATTATATCTTTCAATATTGCCAAACCGAGCATGACCAAAGCAGCTAAAAGTTTGCTTGAGTAGGATTTAGTTTCTTCGAACCTCTCCAAGGTTAGTTGCATACCACCTTTTTAAATTCTCACTTCTTCTGCGATCTTACGAGGAAAGAATCCTTCAATACTTAATGGAACTATTTGTCCTTGTGCACCATCACTTTGCCCTTTTTCCTACCCATCTTGGGCAGTGTAAAGGAATGAGAACTTTATTTTGTTATAATTTAGATCATTAGGACCAAAACAGTGTGCAATTAATATAGTTTACAGTACTGAAACACTAGCACGCATGTCTTAACTCCAATACGCTGCCAGGATTTAATACTGGAATTCTACAACGACTGGACTCAAACTTTTGCCTCCTACTGTAGTTCAAAGAATTCACTTACTTTCTAAGATTTCCTTCGGCAATCCACTTATTGTGTCGAAGTGAAGACATGAACTCGATTTTATTCTCGATTTCCCTGCATATCGTTCTACCGCATAACAGCTCGTTACATATAAAAGCCAGCGAACCAGCCTTTTGAGATGGACTCAGCGCAGTGAATGGCTTTTCCGTTAACGAATCGGAAATCTTAAAAAAATAAACAGAATTGCTGAAAATGGACGCTGCTGTTATAGAAGAGAAAAAGTGATATTCGCTCGCGTTTATATTTACTCTTTTAACGGGTTTGAATCAATGCCGTGTGTATATATAATTAGGGAGCGACAATTACACAGTAAATATCCGGCTAATCACAGAGTAAATAACACTCTGTTTGGGATAATGTTGGCAGTTGCTGACGACATGCAGACTTTAATATGGATATTTGAAACGTGCAACAGCCCTAAGAAAAGCCATGTGTGAACGTGGCCATAAAATAAGAGAACCCCCTGATGACGAATAACGTTTATAAGGAGGTCACATGGGTTTGATAATTTTGATAATGTGGAAATTTAAGGGGGGTATTCAAAACCGCATCAAGAAACACGTGTTGAGTATACCTCATTTGGTTCAGCATTTCGGGCCAGAATGAATAATCGAAGGACCTCAGAAACATTATGTTCGTTTACTTCCACTTGATCAAGTTTCACACCAAGTGCTGTCTCAGCCTGGATAAATATGTACAACAGAAGGGTTTTTAATATACTTACAGTACATCTATATCATTTGACTTATTAAATATAGAATACAGTAATATAAGACTCGCTTTCTACACTCACACATGGTCCTTCCACACCCGGGTCGTCAAGAGCAGCTAATAACATTGTTTGACACAATGGTGTAATAACATCCTCGTCGTTTTCATTCAGTAATGACGCTTGCATGTCGGCCATACTTGGTACTTCATTTTCAAAATCTATTCGATAAACAAGTATCACAATTGTCTAGTTCCCGTCAATAAATCTTGAATCAAACACAATCAATGTCACAAGAGGAATATAGTCGTACCAATATCCAAGGCTGTGCCGAAGTTGTGGAGGAATTCCTGGACCATGCAGAGATCAGCAAAAGCATTTCCCGAGATCTTCAGATCTTTTACTCTTGTCAGTTCTGGCAAAGGCTGGGAAAATAACAGATGATATAGTATATGAAAGTAAGGTGAGAAGTTATGTTAACGAAAACAAATTGAAAATCGTGAATTCAATTTTTGTTTGTAAACACAGCAGTCAATTTGACGCAAAAAAATGTAGTGATATAATATAATACGTTGACTATTTTCATTTGGGCTAAAAGGGATGATGAGATCATTCACTGCGACCAGTCCCTATATGCACTCACTGTACATCAATGCCATTCGTTCCTTTGTTATACAATATATAGTACACGCACGTCGATAAAACATGCCATGCAGTATTGGGATGTAAACCTACCTTGGCGTCTCTCAATACCATGTCTTCAACAGGCTTCTTAAGTTCACGAGATAAGATCATTTCCCTACGTTTTTGTTCCTATAAATAATAACAGAAGAATATTTAAACATTGTTAACGAATGCGCAGCCTCAGGAAGTCTCTAAAGCCTTGTTTCCACCACCCCCAAAACATGAGATATCAAACGTCTCAACTCGAGATAAAAATTTGCTTTTTGAAATTTCTTTTTTTTTTGCATGCCTTCCTCTTGCTGTCTTATAACGATGCTTATGTCGCACCGTACAACTTGCACATCACAACATTATTAATAATACAAACCAATTTGCGTTCTTTGACTAATTTCTTTGCCCTCCTCTTCTCTTCTTTAAGACGTTCTTTTTCCTGCAGAATAATTATTTAATCATGACGATAAAAGAAATGTATTTCTAGAAAGTGCTTTGAAAACGTGGCCAACGCGATGTGATCACAGTACCTGTGCTTTAAGAAGAACAACTTGTTGTCTTTTCAACTCTCTTTCCTACACAATAATACGTATACATATTAGGCTATTCTGACGGTCGAGGCTAGTCACGAAATACGTGCGCTATAATAATTTCTTCAACCGAACATGAGTATTATGGGATATTAGCTATTACAACAAAAGCTTGCATGGGGACGCGAATGGGAAACCTGTAAAACTGGGTTAGAGGAAAATGACATGTTCAGTGGTTAATTTTAAATTTGGTAAATTTGAAGATATATCACGAGGGGTAAAATACTGTTTTTGAGCCGGGGCTGGTTCTGTATATCGCTCGTAATACCAAAGTTCTGCAAATTATTGAACTTTGAGGGGCTATAGCTATATGCCACAATACTTCGCAAGCAAACTTTACCAACTGGTTCTCTAACACAACGCTATCACTCTTGTAGACCATACCTTAGCTTTTCTCATTGCTTCATGGTATTTTGCGTTAGCTACATCTTCTTTCTTCTTTTTTCTTGCCTAAAAAAATAATATCCACCTGATGAAATGCCACGAAGGGACTATACTGAAACTCAAAAAAGTCAAAACTACCCCGAGAAGAGTATAGTTATGGGTCAATATGACTAATTAAGATTACCAGAGAAAAACATATTCAAGCTTAAAAACAAGCATTTTTAGAATAGCCAGTCTAACTTTTTGGAAAAGGTCGACTTTAAGTTATATAGGCAAACTGCCGTTCAAACAAAGCCCTAATTATCAATTCGTGACTAAATTCAAAATTTAGGTATTCTCATAGGCTCTGCCTGAAAAATGTTTAAACAAATTTGCCGATTAGTTCAAAATAAAATTCCTCCTTGTTATAATACGTACCTCGATGAGTTGCTGAGCCTTCACTTCCTTTTCCAATTTCTGTTTTTCGATTTTTTGCAGCTTTTGCTAAGAACGAGAACAAGATCGCAGGATGAATAGCGTTGATTTGAACAGAAATTTCATTAGTAATACATCTGAACTATTGAAGATAGTTGCAGATTATTACCAATTGTTTTAAATGTCGTACTTCCTCTTTGGATTTCCTCTTCTGTTCGGCCAGCAAACGAGCTGTATAATAATAATAATGATGATGATAATAATAATAATAATGATGATAAAACCGTACTACATTAAAGAAGTTCATTCGCAACCTTGTGATACGGTTAGAACAGAAACGGATCTGTTACACGCTTGTGATTTGTACTGGAACAACTCTACTCTGCTATCTCTATGGGTGTGAAGCAGACGGGAAGCGAGCTTACCTACTGTATACCAATCCTGATATCAGGATATTTTATTGGCACTCTTCAGAGAAGATCCAATCCGTATTACAACATAGATATGTTTTGTTACCTCTTTCCTTTTTGGCCTGTTTAGCGGCCTGAAGCATTTCTTGTTTTTCAAGTTTCTGTTGCAATCTCTCTTGAGCTGTTGCGATGAAAAAATCTTATAATTTCTACATCTTGAAAAACTATTATTTCAACGTAACACTTGGTCTTTTTTTAAACACATGTCTCCAAGGTTGGTTTATTTCATCGTGCTTTTGATATTGCGAATAATCCCTCACCTTTCCTCAATTTAACCTGCTTGGCGGCCTCAACTGCAGCTTGTCGTTCAAGTCGACGATGCATCTTAGCTTCAGCAACTTTCTTGGCATTTTCTATGAGAAACAAAAAAATTCCGCGGGTTAAAAGCACGCCACGATAAAAGTTGGAACCAATTTATTATTTCATCAAATAATTTTCCCAACCTGACCCTAACCGTGGCCACCTGCATGAAGGCTAAGTATAAGGAGTATCTACTGTACAACCATTTGACCAATACCTCCAAGATTGGCCAACCCCCAGAACAGTTGAACTGTCAGGCGAATACACTAGGATACTAGGAAGTGCACGTGCATGGTATACATTGTGCAACCCTCACTAAACCAGGTCATCTCGCGCTCATATTTCAGACAGTCAGGGCTCAGAAGAGTTGTCAAAATAAAAATCCATTCTGGAGTAGCTATTTTATCGATTATATCTTTTGTTATTTTTGAAACTAGTCGAACCTTTGTGATTTTGTTTTACTTTTGTTTATAAAAGCTATAGCTCTAACAAAAAATTGAGCCCAAATTATATTTTTTTTCAAGAGATATTCTGATATTCAATTGTTTCAACTGAGAAATGGGTCCTTTTCAAGATTGAACTAGCTCCAGTCCTTTACTGCCTTTTTAGAACGAGATTGCTGGAAATACTGACGTTGACACACTAGTTTAAGATTCTTTTACTGCATATATATATATATATATACACCCGTTTGCAAAAACGTTGGCCGCAGATAGATATATAGATAGATACCCGAAATCTAATTAGAATTGCATATGTTGTGTAATATGATTGAAATCCCATGCAAATGTAATCATATGCAATTCTGATTAGACTTCGAGTATCTATCTATCTATCTATCTATCTGCGGCCAACGTTTTTGCAATTGGGTGTATATATATATATATATATATATATATATATATATATATAACTACCTTGCTGTTCTTTCTTTTTCTCCTTCTTTTTATTCAACCTCGCTTGCTTTTCTTCCTGTTTCTGTTTTTCTGACCTTTTCCTCTCATGTATTTCTTCTTCAGTAAGAACACGGAACTCGTTACCCTGTAATGTAAGTACAGTGATATTAATCATTCAAAATCAGAGCCATATGTGAAATACAAATTTAAATTGGGTTTGTAACGCAAGCGGTTGTTTCATGTCTGCGCCGTAGATTTGGGGTACCTCGCTGATGGGAGGAATATTTAGAGGAGGTTTTTATCTCCAAATATTAAATCTAATAAGATCAGTCACTACACCCAGTGAGATGAGAGAGGAAAATAATCATAGGCAAAAGGAAAAAAATCTTTCTAAGTTTGACCAAGATAATTTCCTATAGAGGAGAGCACGTGCTCACCACTTAGTGTACATTTTTTTAAATTACCTGAGTGCATTCTAAGAATTCACCAAGATGAAGTTTCATGCTGAAGCTAAAATGTGCCAGGTCCATGTCTGTTATTCCATTCTTCTCAATATACTACATCAGAAAAGATTAATCAATTAATTTACTCACTTAATTTACTCTAGTATAATATAGGTTCATCAACTGCCTCAACACACGAAAACGTCTCCCATCTATAAATGCAATAGATGTATTTGCGACATTGCTACTTGGTTATCTTGGATAAATTTTGGATGGATTCACCAAAGTGGGGAAGCACGTCTCCCCACCTAGGCCGGGACAGGTGCAGGGCAGGGGGTGAAAAATGTGGGTATCAATTAAAACTTGAGGAGAATATGTACAAAAAAATGTATTTTAATACAAATATTTTAGTGTACTTGGAAGTTAAAAGTAACTAGTTAAAAGTTAGAAGTAACCAGTAAGAATCAAGTAGCGCTTTCTCAACCTTGTGTTATAATTTTTCAAACAAACATAGATTCTCATATCCTCTACAGCTGATGCTTGTGCCCCACCCCATGGCTATCAGCTAGACTGGATCCCACCCCCCACCTGCCCCTACAAAACAACACTTTTTTACAGTTGCTGTCAGCGCAGGATGTAAATAGTTAGAAATTCTATTTTTAATATGCATATACAGTACATGGCAACCAAGTTGTTCCTGGTTGATAAAACAGGAAAAAACAATGTTGTGGTACACTCGGATCGTGGTTGTTATCAAGTTGTTTAAAACCTGAAACTTGATAACAACTTGTTGGTGGGATAAAGCACAATGTTGTACACACCTGTTTTTATCAACAACTAGTGCATTTTTAGCTTTGTATATCCTTTAAATTTACCTTCTTCACATCAGGGTAAGTTCGTATTTTCTTCCCACATGGAGCAAAATAATAAACATCTCCTCTTAAACCACCACTACCAGCTGCTGGTCTTAACTTTGTTTGACGTCTCCACCTGCAAGTAGAGTAAAGCCAAGAAATAGTTTGTCAGTGCCATTATCAATAAAACAACTATCTAAGTGTTAACTCAATATTTCTCTTATACTCTGCATAAAATCTCTACAGCAGTTCTTACCCTTTTTCTAGAGGAATCTTCATTAGTTCTTCATCAACGACGACTACTCGTCTTTTACGAGGTGGGCCTACAGATAAATGAATAAAAGACTTGCCAACCCATAAGAAGTTTTGTATAACCTAGGAGGGATGCAAACATCAAATTTCCCTACACCATTTGTTATGCATATATTTGATAAGTTGGCCACACACTTATTTTAGGCTGGCAAGTAAATGGCACAATAATGCAAATGGCACAGTACAGTACAGTACAGTACAGTACGGTACAGTACAGTACGGTACAGTACAGTACAGTACAGAAATACACTCACCTGAATCAGTTGTGGATTTTCTCTTTCCAGGAGAAGTTTGATCTTGAGAAAAATCACTGTCCTGATTACCATCATTACTTTCTGCATCACCATCCTGATCATCATCCTCTTCATCGTCATCATCACTACTTTCACTTCCACCACTGCCACTCTCAATTTCACTTTCACTGCTCACTTCTGGCTCCTGAGAAACAAGCACACAATTTAGGATGTTGACTCACATTTGGTAGCACATCACTTTTTCAAGAGATTTCATGTTAATTAACTGACCCAAAATAGGCCAGCTGCAATGCCCTTCAGCAATGTACATTAATACCTTCAGCAATAATGCTTTCAGTTGATTGGATAAACAAAAAAATGACACTAAATTTCTGTTCTTCTATCAGGCCTATCATTTTCAATTCCATAGTTAGGATAATTGTTTTCACTAAATAGAACAACTAAAAGTTCCTTGAAGTGATTTACATATTTACGGGCAACTCATACTTAGTCTAATATAAACATGTTTTGATTGACCGTTTGATTTATGTAGGCAGAAGGAAATAAAAAATCCCCCAGTCATAACAGGCACAGGTAATTAGAAAACATGGGCAATGTACTTAAAGCTATGTACAAATCATTTAACAAAAAAATTGAATTATGAGAAATACCTGCTGAATAACATGTTGTTGCTGTTGTTTTGGTTTCAACTGTTGTGGTTGGAGTGGCTGGGCATGAGGTTTTACAATCAGTGGTTTCTTCCCCTTGACATCATCCTCATAATCAAAATTACCATCCTCACTGATACCATCATCATCACTATCACTGTCACTACCTGATTCACCATCCTCTTCATCACCATCACTACTGCCATCATCACTACTACTGTCACCATCTGGCCTTGGGATGGCGGTTGCCCGAAAGCGTTCCAACAACGGGGGCTTACCACCTGTTGGTCTGGCAGGTGGCAACTTGTTGGGACTAGGTAACGCACTTGATGGTTGACTGGGTTTGGCAATTGGAGCAGGAGAAGATTTAATTAATGCAGGTGGTGAAAAAATAGGTGCTGTACTTGTTGTATTGCTCTCCAATGTGTTAATAACAGAATCGCGTTTATACTGATCATGATTTGTCACTGGTGCATCTCGTTTATACTGTTCAAGATTCACAGGTATATCAGGTTTAGGTGGACTGATAGCTCTCTCCCGCAATCTAGATGACACTTGTTGAACATTTTTATCTGCTTGTGCCCTCCCAATGTTAGTTATAGGCATACTTGTATCTGCATGAGAGTAGTTAGGTTTTTCAAGAGGCTTAAGCTGATGATTGGGTGCATTTTGCTGGGATTCACTAGCCATCGGAGGCAAATTTTGTTGTGGCTCTTTTGGCATCAAAGGTGGTGTATTGAGTCTAGATTCAGTAATAAGTGTTGAAGGTACATCAAATCTTGAATCCCCAGTAATCGAGGTTATACCATGTCTACTGTCTCCAGAACTTGATGTTACACCATGGCGTAGGTCATCTGATAGTGGTGTGTCATTCAGTTGAGACTCATTGGCAATTGGAGGTATATCAAGTTTAGGTTCGCTTGATAGGGATGGAATGTTAAAGCCAGTTTCACTGGATATTGATGGTATCCTAAGATGATGTTCATTTGTAATTCCTGGTACTTTTAGGCGAGAGTCATTTGGCATTCCAAGTAAATTAAGTCGTGAATTATTCGGTATGCCTGGAATATTGTGACGAGTCTCATTTGAGATAACAGGTACATTAAGGCATGATTCACTTGGAACAGGTTGTACTTTTAATCGGGACGCGTTAGAATTTGCTGGGGGGCCCGTATTGTGATTTTGTTTCAGACTTTTTGCTGAGTTACTTTCTGAGAAGTTTGTTGGCCTATTACTTGACAAACCCATAGTGTTCCGTTTCTCCTCCACCTCTTGCATTTGTTTCTGTCTGTCAACCATCTTTTGTTGATGAATATCCTGCCAAGGTGAAAATCCATTGCCACTAACATCTAACATTAAACTGTGCCCTCCAAGTCGGTCTTCCCAAGCCAGCGGTCTATCTTTACCTAGCGTGGGCATGCTATGTAAACTGTGTGCTGGCTCTGGAAAGAAACGTGGGGTTGATGCATAATAACTGCCTGGTGATGATCCATTTAGAAAATCAAAGTTTCGATAAGCCTGTGTAGGATTATGATAGGTAAGGTTTTCATGTGATCTCATATGTTCTTGCTCATGAGGTAGCCATAGTAAAGGATTACCAAAGATATCTGTATTGTTCATATTTTGAGGGTGAGCAGTTATTGATGGTTGCCGCCACCAGCTGCTTGATGTTGCAGGTGTTGGGCTGCGCTGTATACGAGGACTTGTTGCCATCAGAGGGTCATGGGTAAGGCTAGGTGTAAAGTCATGGTGGTGCGAGTTGACTGAAGGAAAGCTTGGACGTCTCCCAATCACAGAAAATGCAGACGGCATTTGGGCCAGCCCATACCTGTGCTCATGAGGTAATGGAGGAGACTGAAGGATTGGAGGCTGGCCTATGAATGATAAAAAGGCATACTATGATATAAAGTGTTAAAATTTATTAAAACATATAGTGCAGAATGGTATGTAGACAAGGACGAGCTTAGACAACGCTTTAAGCAAGGATAAATTCAGCTTACCTATCATTGTAGAGTCGAAGAAGGTCCTAGATGAATGTATTGGACTCTGTGATGGAACATCATTCGGCTCCATTGATACTAGGACGGTCAAGAAAGCAGGACAACACTGCTAATACTTTCGGTAAAAAAGGCGAAGTTCGTCAGGACGGAAAACACGCTAAATGACATCAGCTCGTCTTAGAAATAAAGAAAATGGACAAACTACATAAATTAGCGAGAAATAAGCACTTCGGTGATGTGTAGAACAGAATAGGAGCTCGAAATGCCCAATTTCCTTAAAACGGGTGCCATCTTGTGACACGGTTCTTAAACATATTGAAATTAACGACGCAACTTAGCGAAGGAGGGTTCACAAGGAATCGAGTATGTCGTGATCTCAAAAATTCAACGAACGCTGTGTAGGATATGAAATCGCCGTACAAAATACTGGAGATAAACATTACTATAAATACGATATATTAATTAAACTTGTACCTCGTACGGGCAACCTTTCCCTCCTATTTTGCCATTAGGAAGATCCTATACTTGAGGATAAAACCGGCCATTTTGGACGGCGTTTCTTCGCTTGATTTTGTATGTTACAAAATTGTGTTGAGAAATTCGTAAACGTGCTCCAAATAACTCCACTGTCCAGGTATAAATGCTCTCTGCTAAACACGCTAGATATTCCAAGCCTTGTAGCAGCGATAACAGTGTGCAAAACGAAATAAATTTTAGGATTTGCTTCGATAAACTAGGTTTAGGTATCGTTTAGTAATGATATTGAGAAAGAAAGGGCGAAAGGATAGCATAAAGCGCATGTGGTATGGTGACGTCACGGCAATTGTAAAACAATGCCCCCGTAAAAATAATCGAAACTTATCATTTTGCAAAAATTATACTTCTTAATCCCCGGTCGCTTGGGGGCAGACCTATTTAGGCGATATTATTTTAAAACGTTTATACTTCAATGGAGGGTTTCTCTTTCGCTATTATCGGCCCTGAGAAAGATTGGTTTCATGGGCAGGCTTTCGTGACCTTATAGTTATGGGTAAATTCTGTATGCCCGTGAATGTTCTGTACTTAGCTGGAAAGGATTGACTTGACAACAATAACGTGAAATCACATCGCTGAAAAGTTTACTCGGTTTCATCAAGCTAGTGCTGTCTACCGCAATATTTTAGTTGCTATGTTGCCCGTATTTTTGCTAACGTGAATAATATACAATCGGGGGATGCTGTGAAATTGTAACTTAAATTGATTTGTTACAAAATTTATTCAGATAGAAAAGTTTATCAACAACAGCTCATGTTACAGCGCTAGCGCGGAAAACGAAACAATTTGAAAATATATAAGATTCGCTACATCATCAATTGCCGAGGATGATTTGTTTACTTCGATATAATATGGAAAAGCCACCAAAGTTTATAAAATTATCGGTGATACCATAATAATTCTATTTAACATATTTACAGTTTTTCGAACTTTACATAAGCTTCCAAAATTCATTAGCACGTCCTGTAAATTCTAGGAAACACACCACGCATAGCCAGTGTTCCCCCCGGACAACTGCCACTTTACTTTTAAATTCACAAAATCCTTAACAGGACGTACATTTGTTTGGAAATTTTAACGATATACGTATTTATTTAATTTGCACATTGGCACAGCTGACCTCGCTAGCTCAATACCAGGGGCCAGGGCGCTCAGAATATTCAAGTGCCTTTCTGAACAGGCTGGGCACTTGTAGTAATAGCATGTATACTTATGTTTTTCAACTAGATATTTTTTCCTTCTGCTTCTGGTTATATTCCAAAATAGGTACACATTTCCACTCATACAGGATACTATAGCAGCTCTATAACCACAATATTAGCGAGTTTATACGTCACACAGTCATACTTCTCATGTGTCCAATGCATCATTATCAATAGATAATCATAGCCTAAGAAATTTAGTCCCCATTTTAAACGCGGGGGAGATAATCAGCTGCAAGGCTGCAATGCCTTATTTTGTCTAGTTTAGTAGGTTCTGTACTATTGTTCTACACAACTCAAACCCAAAAAGCCAAAAACATTGTAATGTAAATGTAGATACATTTTACAGTAGGCCAAGGTATAAACCGACTATCGAAGCATTTCTTCGAGATCGTTCTAGGTCAATATTAAGGCTTAATTAATTATGGCCGCTCCGTTTTAGCTATATCTTTGAAGCCTATCAGGATTTCACTGTTTCCTGATCACCCAGCATGACTTGGAAACAAAGAAACTACGGCACGTTGGGATTTACGTTTGAAGTTGAAGTGAAAAACAAGGTTTAAATTTGCAATTTCGAAGCGTGCGCTCCGACACGATTTCATTGCTTTTCTTGGAGTGAAAATGTTAAATTGATGCGAACCATACGAGGCAAGATCTCGCCCCGTAAGATTCAGCTTAGTGCGAAGCAGGCTGGATCCGCTCGTATTTATATTATAGTAACTATACGCGGCCCGCCCGTGGTGACGGTGGTGTGTTTGTCAGTTTGGTATATTGGACTGAGAATATTAGGCCATTTACACACGATGTATTTTAATAGTTGTGCACGATTAGTAGCCTGGCGTATGCGATTGAATAAAAAACGCGTACAAACGTCATATATGCTATCAAACTTCGCTAGGGGCGTCGGGAACGATGCGAAGGCATTTGGGGAAGTTTCGTGAAAGACACTTCTGTCTTGACACATACTAGACATACGCATACAAGTGTTGTGTAAGGATGTCGTCGGCTGCCGCATTTCTAACGCTGTCCAAGCACATTTAATGAACATTTACAATGCCGCAATGTGTATCAGGATCTTGCTTGATGCGTGCATGCTGTAGTGTCGACAAGGCGGAGAAGGGAAGTAATCCTTCGATTGCAAAAAGAACCGGGTAAAGTTAACATTGAGGACCAATGCATGTCATGAAGGCCGTTGGCCATAGTTTCTAATCTGCCTCAGTCCGTCTGTACACATAAACTATGGTCGTGGTCGAGCGAAGAATCTTCACAGAATCAATAGAAGATTGAAGGTTATATGACATCATATACCGTAGAAAGCTGAATTAGTGTACCTAATTGTTTGTGCACCTGGTCGAGTCACTTGCCAAACAGTATTTGCAGATTATCATGTTTTTCCTTTCGCCAAAACAAGATTAACGTAATCCTTTACTAAGTTAACGAGTGCTAATTCTTGTTCAGTATTTATTGACTCTTTCTACCTTGCAGCATTTTCTACAATGTGTTACTACGTGTCATGATAAGGCGCGTAGTTTATATGTAAATCAATCCGTATTCCGTAGTGCTTGCCACTCATGGAAAAGATGTTTATAATTGGTACCAGGTTAGACTGAAAGAACAGTATTCGTCTACCACACTACCACAAATGGTTGCTACTTCGCCTGATGCAATTGTTTGTTTCCCTTCATTCGAATTCGAATGCGTATTATAAGAATATATAGTGCAAATCCTGCAATTCTAAAACGATGAAGAGTCAACGATTAAAAGTAAAGTACAAGATAAACGAAGTATAATAAACATGCAGTTTTACCCTGTATAGTTAGTAGTTACATATCTAAGATGTAGAGAAATACAATACACATACAACTAACATTCTATAAATTTCTCGTGAATCGTGATTCTCTGGATGCATAGAATATATCATCCATATATAACCGTGCATATATATATATATATATATATATATATATATATATTAATATATATATTAATATATATATATAGCATATATACAGCATGTTTGGGATAGTCGGATACCGCCTTTCGATAGGACGACGTCTTATGAATGATCAAGGGTTGCGGAACAATTTAAAATGGGGGGGGGGGGCGCTGAAATCAGTGTTCTCATTTTTGGTAATCATCCTGGTATAATCATCGTAGATTATTGATTTAGTAATTTTAGTTCATTATATTATAATGCACAATGCATGATTCCAAAAAGAGCATGCATGTATACTCGCTTGAAAAAGGAACTTGGTGATTTTCAAAAGTTGGGGGACCGCAACGTATTGGTTTCGCTGCCCCTGTATTAATTTGTGCAAAAGCAGTCTTGAATGTCATTAATTTTCAAATGATTTTTGCCAGTGAGTTTGTAATATGATAATTGATGTGCACTTATGCCTGGTTAGGTATCTTGAAAAATGGTACCATCATCTTGTTCTACGATCTTTATATCACCTCCAATGATGTCATTGTTATTACCACATTTCTGTTTAGTCCCCGATGTCGCAGTATTAGGCTCAGTTATATTCATCGACATTGAGATTTCTTTAATAACATTTCCCGTACCACTGAAACCCAGATCTTTGAACGGCGCAATTACTTCACCGAAAATGCTGTGCCTGGAGACGCAGTCGTAGCGAAATACCTCAAAGCAGAGCACTTGCGTGCTCAACATTGAATATTCAATTTCAAATTGATAAGTTTCGTTGTAGTTCGGATTCAGCGTTCTGCGCTGAAGTTTAGATGTGAATATTTGAAGTCCACTCGGTAGCAGACGTGTTTTTACAAACGAATCCATCGACATGTTGTTAAATTCGTCCGTGTAGTCGCGTCCGTGATGCAATTTTACTGTCAGGAGTGACCTATTGGAGAAGAATATATCAGACGCGTTTCAAATGTGCCGCGAGTAAAATATTTTAACATATAGGCACGCATAATGTTAATCATGAACTATAACTTGTAATGAACACGCTTTCAAAAGATGTTTTTTAGATTTTCACGGCGACGAACTTGGGTCGTTAGGCAAGACATTTGTCTGCGAAATTCACCTTTTTGAAGAAAAATCTTCCTTTTTGTCTATATCTACTGCATATATGCAAGAAATCAGACGGCTTCGCAGATAGTTGATAGTTCGTCTTGCTGTGTTGACGAATGACGATTCGCGATTCGCGCGTTTGCCTGGTTTGACACGCAAACAAAAGATCAGACCAACTTTATTTTTTTTGCCAAATTTCTTCCTGACTCCTTAATTATTGACTCGTCGCGGTAGTATAAAAATCCCCATAAAAATTACACTCCATGCATGTTTTTACACGGTACCAGGTTGCCATCGGAACCGGTCAAATTTTGTAGGTGATAAAAACAGAGAGAATTTTTAATGTCTCAGACCTGAATTTATATACAAAATCTATCAAATAAATAAGCATGCACTACTGACCGTTGCTCAACAACGGGAAACAAATATGTCGTGACGAGCGGACCGGTACCGCGTATCAATGAGAACGGAGTATAGAGAATGGTGGCGCCTATTCAACTTATAACTGGCGATTGCTATCAGTATTGGCTGGTATTTTGCATTCTAGTGAAAAAATCTTTTTGGTCAGGCACGCAAAGCAGAAGCCTAAACCTCAATCTATATGAGTGGATTATTGCTCTATTTAACTGAGCTCGTTAACTTGGAAATTTGGCTTCGTCTAAAGCCGCGTTTACACTTCAGGCCTAGACCTGGCCTGGACCAGGTCTAGGACAAGTCCAGGTAATATGTGCTACGTTAATTCGTACTGTCTTCCTTGTTGATGATATCGGATAGCCAAAGTTTAGACCCAAAACACGCCGATACTATATGTATCCTATACAAATCATACTATTAAGTTCAAAATCAGGTCCAGATCACCTTCTGCTGTTGGCCTAGATTTTGTTGCCTATAGACCAGGTCCAGGCCTGGTCTAAGGCCTGGTCAGCAGGCCAGGTTAAAAGCACGTAGCGTGAACGCAGCTTAAGAATCACCAAAAAAAGAGAGATTTCCCTAAAGGCAATTTACTGACTTGAATATGCCGCATGGGAGCATCACAAGTCACAGCGCATCATATCTTTCGCGCTCACATGCAGTTCGAGGTTTACGCTACTTTGAAAGGCCAACCTTTATTGAGTTAACAATTAATATATCCAAACATACTTTTCCTTTTCCATATTGTAATCATAGCCGAAGGAAAACTTTAAACGACCTTTTACGATATCATCTGTCTGTAAAATAAGAATTAGAATATGCATATAACAGTTGAATAATTTGTGCTTTGTTGAGTAAGCCGTTTAAGAAGAAAAATCATTTTAAAACGCCGGATCGCGATTCCATGGTCAAAAGGTACGGTTCCCATCCCTATTTAGCTCGAATACGCCTATCAACTATGACCTCAGTTCTAACTTGCAAGGAGTCAAATAGGGTGATGAGTGTGTGAATGCGCTATTATCAGCCATTCGAACCCATTGTGAAACTCCTTTGCGCGGCTACGCGCCCCCACAAAAGCGAAGAAAGTGATTATAATCATGAATATTATGAAATAAATTATATGACATAATTATATAGCTAATAAATGCGTTTTTTAAAATCGGCGGCAAGTCCTTTCGTCAAAGTTCGCGAAAAAATAAACAGTCCAAAAGATAATTTTTTATTGTCGTCTATGTAACCTGTATTGCATAATTGCACCGCATTACACCGCATCTGTGAGTAGAGCGAATGATATTTCGGTGAATGAAGACGCGAATAATTCGATGTTTAAATGCGTGACTTCCATCTTGATTATAGTATTACAAAATTTTGAATTCCCAATTTGTTCCCTTGCCTGAATTTTTTATGTTCAAATTAAACACGAATAAATTAAAATCTCATTCCTGATTCAGTAGTTTAAGTTTCTTATGTTATATATATATTTGTTCTTATATATTCGAGTGGAATTATACACACTTTAAATTCAAGCCAGGAACAGTTGATGGAAAACTGATGAGCCAACTAAAGTTCCTCCGGCAGGAATCGAACCTACGCTGCCGAAGGACCTTTAGTTGACTCATTTTTCCGTCAACTGTTCCTGGCTTGAATTTGAAGTTTGTATAATTCCACTCGAAATTAAGACACTTTGAACCTCTAGAATTTACCTGCATCGAGTGAAGTGCCAAAAATCATAACTGTTTTTATATGTTTTACTATATACTTATATCATATACTATATACTCTGCGTTCAAATTTTCAATTTAAACTAAAATGCCATGCATACACGTCGCTCCTATATAGCTAACTATACTCAATTAAATTATCACAGTCGGACATGCCTTGAAACAGATTAGTTATAGTAGATATACGGACATCACGTAATTCACGTTCCCGATTCCTTCGTGCAAATTTTGAATTTGCTTATTTAAAAACTTTGAATTGTTTTCCCAGGGGCATATACATATCGGCTTGTCTTATCTGCGAGTGTTCAATCATTAATGCAGCACTGAAGTAATTATAGGTATAAACGAGCTGGTTTCGTACTGGCTTATAGGAGGAAATAAAATTGTCTTACTTGTTTACAAGCCACGGGTTGTTGATATTCGCCTGATAAAGGTGCAAGAAATGGTCGAATATCAGTCTTTGGAAACCAGTAACTTCTTGTCTTGTCACTACGCTCTGCTCTTGTTGCAGTCCCTTTTGTAGCGTCCTTGCTCTCTGGGGGACTCCAGAGTCGTTTCTCTTTTAATTGCGGGCTATCATGGGATGTCAAGACGATTGAGGGATATCTATTCTTCTTCGGTTTGTTAATTCTCCAGCGGTAAAGCAGAAGAATGAAAAAGGAGAAAGCAACAAAAGACACCACACCCGCACAGACGTAAATGATAATCAATTTTGGCACCATGACATAGCCTTGCTACATCATCCAAGTGTTGTCTAAAAAATAAACAAATACAAGTTTATGCATGCATGCTTTAGGTATCATTTTATCATGCATGCTTTAGGTATCATGCTTTACGTAACTCGTTACGTAATGTGTAGCTCTATATAAATTCGACCCAACTGACAGCTACCAATAAGTAGGAAAATAATTATGAGACTTAAAATCTTTTGACTAGCCTTACTTTTTGAGACAATTAAGTGATACTGATAGAAATGGGATCAGTCTGCCAAATTTTTTGTTCGATATCATACGATATTCGGAAACTCAGTCAATCCAAGTGAACTTTGTGTAGGCGATATAATTTGCTGCTTGAAGCTTGTTTTAAAGAAATTTTCAAATTTTCCCACACAATGCATTTATTATGCCGTAGAATACAAAACCGACATTGAAGCTGCAAGTCAGTAATGTCTGCATACTATCAACTACTGATAAAACCACCAACAATATATCGCTAATGCATATTTTTGGCGGTTTGTGGTTTATAGCTACGAAGCAATATACCGCTAAGTTTTTCCCACACACGAAAGTATACTGTATATATAAGTTTAAAACTGACAAATTTTATGAAAACTAATTTATCATTCGACGGGGAAGACTTTTTATTGCTGCACTTGGAACAGGTTGGGAAAACATTTTCTACATCAGCTAGATCAGCTATATTCAGTGTTACTGTTAGGCGTGAGCCGTGAAGGAGAGATTGAAAAGAAACAAATCCGGTATCCGCGTCTGACCGTAATTCGGTAACGGAAACCAATCACACGGAGAATATTTGAAACATGTGTTGCTCAGTAGAGATGTTGATGAAGATTGAAGATGATCCTCCGATAATTCATCAAGTCTCTCTTTTCCTTATCAAAGGACGTCCCGATTCCTCATTTAAAATTACAGATAAAAATGCCACAAATCGCCAGGAAACGACGATATATGATAGCCTTTCTGTGACAATGAGGGAAATGGTCGCCATTTTGAGGAAATATATGTCATCGTGAACTTGGTTAATTCAGTCATAATTCCAGCTGATGCCTTCCAAAGATGGAAGACGGAGGGTTGGCAGTGTTTGCCCTCATTTTTTCATCGGTACCGGTCTCGGAACAAAGTTAGCCTGCAGGACATTTTTTTTTTCAAATAAGGTCGGATCTCCTAATCCAAAGTTGCAACATCCTTTGATTCTGATGTTACAGAATGGAGTGAATAATTTAAGTCATCCGGGCTTCCCGTCCTATACGCGCTAAATTCCTTATTAAATTAATGAAACTATACATATATTAAAGTGAATACACGCTCGGCACTGACGTAAATAAATTCACTCAATTCACCATATATTAAACGTCATGAACGTGACAAAAAACAGTCGGCATATAAGCCGTTAGAATTTGGAAGTATAGTTGCAGTGGGCGAGCCCCAACCCATATCAGCACGCAAGATCATTCATTGGTTCCCAGGACAGTAGAGACAATATATATGTACAATATGCTATCATTGCTATGATATTCATAGAATGAATCATGATATTCTTCTTTGAATATATGAAAAATGATTTATACTCATTTCGCAATGAGTTCACTCAAGTTCACTCAAGAGCTCTCATGGCGGCAGTCCCGAAACACTCCTATTTCCGTTTATTGGGCCGGTGCACTAGCCATATAGATTTTTTCGAATTTTAACTTTTGGCCTGATTAATTATGTAGCTATAGAATATGCTAGCTAAATGATAAGAAGGTGAAAAATCTATTCACCATTTAGTTAAACTAACAAACAACAGGTTATAGCGACATTTTTGAACACAAATATGCGGCCTCTAGCAACCTTATATGTATATATACTAAGATGTAATTAGTGAAAATTATACTCAACTTATAAGAGCTCTAAATGAACAAAGACTGAACCGTACATAAAAACTAACCTCAATGAAGCTTGAAATTTCGAAATTTCTTATTTTAAATTTTAGATCACCAGTAAATGGCACGCTGATCTAGGTTTCCTTTAGGCCTATACTCTTCTCACATCGTACGACCGTTACCACCAATGACATGAATTGACAGGATTATCACGCTTTCGACTGACGGTTAAAAATCTATACTCACTCTTTTATTATTCCTTCAATTTACAAGACTTGATGCCTTCAAATCATTTTGTATAAACATACAACTGACTAGATTACTTTTCGCCATCAATGCTTTACCGTATAAACAGGGTACTTACACCATACTTCATCAGCACAACCGTATATCTGCACAATTTTAACGGCCTCGTTGGCAGTCGTTGCCTCGCTCACTTAATTCTGTTTACTATTAGCTTTAAATTATTCTTCTAAGTTTGGTCATGCAAAAATCCGGCCTGTCATAAAGCCTCAATTTACATAAAGCGGTAAGCGTTGTTAAATATTCATTCTCAATTCCGCAAAGCGATAACTGAAATGATCACCAAAATCAAAGAATACTGATTACGAATTATGAAGCAGCATCGCTGGCTGCACATGACTGCATTCAGTATCAAATATATTGAGAATGTATGATGCAGTATAAATCTAAGTATTACCATTGTGAAAATCTAATTTCCTTTTATGCCGCGTGTTTTCAATATCTAACTCAGATTTACTGATGACAAAATCGATACACATACAGTTTGATTGTGCTTAATTGTCGCGACAAGAATATTACTATAGTGAAATGTATATATTATTAAACTACTCAAAACTCTTCAAAACTTCCTTGCGATAAAAAAACATGATTTGTCTGTACTGCACGCGATGGAAAATCACCTTAGAGACACAAAAATTCCCTTTCCTTGCCTCAGGATAATCACTGACTTAAAACTGCATTTTCGACCATATATTTATAGAGTCTATACAAATGGTCCAAAATTTACTTTTCCCAAATGAACTTGTGAACAATATGTTGCGGGAATTAAATTGATTTAAACAAAATATCGGATATAATCATTTCATGTACAAGAAAATTTCTATAGCAAATTTTTTGGTGGTATCTTTACCATGAGACCATGTTTATAGAAAGTTACTGATAAAACAAAGGCCCAAAGTGACGACTTCTCAACCTGCACCTGTCGAATGATCTGAAACGGCATAACGTTTGGCGATTTTTTCAGAAAGTACACTTAAATTGTTATATCCTGCACCGATGTACCGATTCTTAAGTGCCAGTGATTCGAGGATGATGGATTCGAGGAAATAGGAGGACGAATGAGACATGCACGGAAGCAAACTTTCATGTACAATGTAGGCTTCCAGCGGCAGTCTGCGAGCTCCATTGACTTTGGCGGTAATTACTGGTTGGTTGAAACCTCAATTTGGCGTACATTTTCTCCTTAAATGTTAAACGATCGACCGACCGTACTGTAGGAGCACAGATTTCAGTAATGTATCGCATCAAAACTCGCATGGACTGAATTTAGTTGCGTGTGTAGGTATGACTACGTCGTTTATAATCTACGTCGAGGTGAGTGGGTGGTGGGTAGTGGGCAGAGGACGATAATAAAATTGTTCCCGAAACGCCGATAATTATATATAGGGTAACCAAAGCTGATAATATCAACACATATGGAGGGCTTTGATAAAAAATTTCGAAACATTTAGAAGTACTGAGATCAATTAGACAAATTCGCGCGCGGCGAACGTATAAATTTATTTAAATTCAAAAGTGCATGACCTCCATGCATCTTAGCCTGATTCAAGACTGTATATGAATGTGACCATTCTCGATTCATCTGATTTGGTAAATCGAAAAAGTCTCGTATAACTGATGTAAATTTTAATCATATTTTAGACGACTAAAGTCAAGATCTATAAGAGGGAGAAAATGGTGAAGTGCCGTGAAGGTAGTTGTTATATGACAGATACGCATAAATTTCCTACTAGCTAGATTATATCCAATTAATCCAAATAAGCATCTATGTTGGAACAAATATGATGAAAATAAAATTATTTTCGAATTTGGAAGTATTATATACTCCGCGCCCCCACATGCCAATCAAGCGCGTCTAGAAGTATGCAAACCTCTAAATCTTTTCTGGTATGTAAAATATCACCGCGAATTCATTTCACAATATAAGTATAAAGTTGCAAGTTAACATCAACCTAAGCTTTGTAGCTTCCCAGAATTTCCATTTAGCTATATTTATGCATTTTATGATTTATTTTTTGTAGGAACTTCCTTATATACTTGATCATACATACATCACATGTTAACGTGTGCGGGCAGATACTAAACTCTTGCAGGATTTTCCTGTGGCTGTGCCGTGGATTTACTAATGCCAAACTTGTACTAAAATGAAAGTGCCTTGAAATCTTCACCACACTTAGTGATCGTATAGCTTCATTTCTGTTTCAAATATCCCTGTGATTTTGGATGTAGTATTATGATTTTATATGTAGTATTACATAAAAACATTTGAAAAATGCTGTACCGACTATAGTCCGTATGTATGATTTAATTAAATCAAATATACTATAAATTCAAGGTCATGATCAGTGATCTCTTGAATTAAGAAGGCCGCGATGATGAAAAATCACATACCGATACATGCCATCGTTTGTAGTAGCTGTCAATCCAGACAATCCTCAATTATATTTGATAATTTCTTGCCATCACGCCATAAGTGACATGTCCATCAGTACCAGCCAGCCAGGAAAACAAAGATTACATCACGATAAACGCGTAGGTGTTCGTGGAAGCTGTTAAAATTTAAAAGATTAATAGGACTCGTGAGCAGGTATTCCTGTTGATTTTTTGAAAGTAAATACTATTTGTCAATTTTGTGTATATATGTGTAATTATGCATGACGATAGAACTATACGGTCTAAAATGCTTTGTTATTTACCAGAGAATCTATTCAATTGCAATTGCAAATTTGTAGCAAGTTATCAATTTCTATAATTTCTATTAAAGGTTGGTTTTTTGCCGTCCGTTCGAAAATTTTGATTCTATTGAAAAGAAGAAAACAGATTGAATGTTTTGTCGAATAAAAAGGTTATATAATTGCACTATGCACTAAAGTTATAGTTTACCTTTTAGGATTCATTAATCATCATGTGAAGCTCATTGTGTGAACAATCCTTAAGACAATCAGTCAATTCAATAAGAAATGCACGATTTGTTATAACATGATGCACTAGCCATCCATATGGTTCAATTTTCAGTTCAAAAAGCTAAATAAATCAAGCATTGGAATGATGCAGAATTGAAATCTCATGTCAGATAATGAGGAGAAGTAAGAGGTTGTAACGTATTGCAGTAAATGAAGGATATGTGTTCAACACATGTTGCTGTTTTACAAAATACAATTGCCGTTGCGTGGGACAACCTCGTATCCAGGGTCTTTCCTCACCCTAAGTTCGAGATTAGTTTAGAGACTGAGCGTGTTTTTGGAGTCTTTCCTCGACTCCAGATTAAGCCAGATTTCTAGTCCCCCGTTCCGTTCTCAGGCGCCAATAGCAAAACGCGCCGGTGTAAATAACTATTGTAGTGGTAGTGGATATCAAACTCGTTATTGTGTCTCAATAGAAAAACTCTTGTATCATTTGTATCCCCGATTGAGGTCTGACTCTCTAACTCTCTATTCCAAGAGTCCCTCTCTTTGAACTCTCTGAGACGCAGACCAATTTCGCGCACGGGATTGAGACGCAAGCTAGATAACAGCCTAATAACAACTTCTATTTGGGTGATTGTAGGTAGAACCTTAGGTTCTGGGTTGACTCTGGATAATCGGATCGTTCTAAATGATCTATGGTTAAACCAACATAACCATCCAGTCATACACAAGGATCTGTCGTTATGATAATATCACATAATTAAGTCATAGAAACTAGAAACGAAAGCAGGAAATTCGAAACTCAGCTCGTGAATTTGACTTCCTTATCAATATGTTTTGGACGATAAAATTGGGGCGCAACAATGTGAAACAACATATTTGGCTATAAAATAAACCTTTAGACGGCGACCTGTGAAAGTATTTAGTAACTTGCCTTCAACTATTGCAGTGTATAGTCGACTGACTCGACTCTGTATCGAGGCTAGAGGCAACAGCACAGTGTACTAAGGCACCAACGGTACGCGGTACAGTACAAGGAGTTCTACGAAAACGTCGAGACAGCTTGTGGTGGTTTTTGTAAGTGAAAAATCTGATGATAATTTTCTAGTATTCACCCTTGCTTCTGGACGTATATTTGTTTACGTACACTATCTCTCTTGAATGGAATTCATAGACATAGGTCTTGCTTATATATAAATTTATATTGAATACGACAGCACTTTCGACTTTATAAAACAATGACTGCTCCGCTCACAGTAGACGGTATAGTACTCAAGGATCGATTACCAGTCTCCATATAGTGGTGTCTTTTTCCAAATCAAATTAAAGCCGTACAGCAAGTCTCAAAATTGTCTCAAAATTGGCCTTTGTTTTTCTTATGAAGTTTATAGTGATACCCCGACCGAATAGCAGAGAGATGGAGACTCGATCGAGAAATCGTCGGTCATAAATTTTTTCGGAGAACACGATGGATTTTAATCTGTTTTACTTCGGATGCATTTATTTATTGCATAACCCATTAGCCACTAGACCGACTAAGTCTTAGACTCAAACAGGCATTTTTAAATAATCGGCAGTTGATTCGTGTACACTGTCGCCAAACGCTTTGCCTGCAAAATGCTTGGGCTACTGCAAGGTCACCACACAGTACCTAAGCGGAAAGAAAAATGTGCACCAGGCAGGTGTAGGCTTTAGTAAATCTCGGTCATTTTTACCACCAATTATGTATCCCAGAATGAGATTTTGTATACTGTTTGCACTTACATGCCCCCCCCCCAGCCTTTTAAAACTATTCTTTATAATTATTGTGATGTTCCAGACCATTGAGCCCAATGAACACATTGAATTGAATTTTCCACAACCAAGTGCATATGATAGTGACAGTAAGGAAGATTAAGCTAGACATCCAAAGAACTCAATTATAATTTATATGGTGCATCTGTGTATGTGACATATGGGTTGTTAATCTATTCTACAGATATTGAAAATGCCATCACTGCACCCTTCAGATTATATTTCAAAGGAATTTACTTCCTCTGGTGAACTGGAAGGAATTTTAACTGGTCAATATAGTTCAAGTGAGGAACAACCTTTACTTTCCAACCACCCCAAATACTTCACTGTTGTTCCTCGGCCATATATGTTGTTCGGAGTATACAACAAGATTAACTATGTAGCTGGTTGCTACAAATCCTGCTTAATGGCAAACAATGAACAAGGCCCAAGAACACATTCCCTTCTTCTTTTTGGTGGGGGTTTCTCAAAGTTAGGCTCAAGTATGGCACTTGTTTTATTGCTTGTACTTGCTATAGCACCTTTTTCCACAATCTGGCCTTTCATTGTGGAAGAACACACAAGAATTGACAGTTACAAAGAGTTGCTTATATTCACAGCATGTATGCAATTTGTATTTTTTCTTTGGCACCTTTACTGTATTTATGTCATTAAAGTGAAAATTTTGGAAGTATGGTTGAACTCATGGTTCACGTTTTGTGTGGAAACGAGGATTCTGCTAGATGAAAATTCTGTTAGGACGCACTCGTTTTTCAATCTTAAAGGAAAGTTACAAGTTATAGATGTGTCGGTATCCGACTTGTGTCGCCTCGACTCAGGTTTGCATCAGCTCACGGGAACAGAAAGAGAGAAGCTCGCACGTGTTCTTGAGAAACACAGGTTGGATCAAGCTGTTATCATTCTATATTCGGAAAAATTCATGAGTAAATTTATAACGCGTTCCATGTTCGAGATATTTGTCATTGCAACGTTATCAGCTGTCTCAACAGCCATACTAGTTTGGAAGACGCTAGTCATGGAAGTTTGAAAGTACACTAGTTATTAGTTAGGGAAAACAGTACGAAAATAAGCAGGGCTGTACTTATAGGGGGTTTTACGCCTCTCTTCCCACCTATTGTCGCATGCAGATCGTATTGGATGATCAAGGACAAGGTTGACAGTTCAGTGACTGTTACCAGAGGTACGCCTGAAATAACCACTCATTAAATGGCAATGCTGAACAAGAAGAGGTCTGAACAGAAATTGGTTTGACTGCTTGTGCTCGATAATTAGCTGATACCATCATATGGTACTATTTTAGGTGAAATGGAAAACATTTTAGCTTTTCATAACATGTATATAACATTAATATGACTATAAAATTTGATTTAGTCCCAGTGACGTAGCCAGCTTGAATATTTTGTCCCGCTATGTAAATTTCGAGTTATTATAATTATTCACTTCTTTAGAAATTTATTGTTTTCACAGTCAATGAACACCAAAATATTAGCATAGCGGGACAAATCGGCAGGCTGGCTACGCTACTGGTTAGTCCGTTTCTATGATGCAAATTGCCTATAACAGATGTAAAATAGTATATTCGTAGATTCTGACATAGAATTAGTAGGTTGGGTCTTAATCTTTTCTGATTAAACACTTCCCTATATTAGGTGTGTTTCCTCTAGATTTTGATTAACTATTAGGTTATTTACAAAATGCCGGCGGAACGCATTATGCGTGTAATCGTAACTTCTGCGCGCAGAGAGCCATATTATATGAATAAGCTAATGTGAGCATATGACATTGTCTGGAGCATATTGCTTTTAGGAGAATTTTACAATAAAATTGCCTTTTTTGAATTTAAAAATTAGTATATATAGTAAAAAACAGTTCCAAATTGTTAAAAACCTTTTCTTAATTTATGCCATCTTGGTTTCGGTTTCGTTCCAGTCCTCATCTCTTCCCAATGGTCAAAATTTTCGCCACTTCCATCAGCTCCTAGCAAAACTGTACCTAAATTTTCTTCCAAACACGACTTCCCTGTTTTGCTTAAAACACAAAGCAACAAGCTTGATTCGTGTAAATATTCTGCTGGAACATCGAATGTTAATGTTTCGTTGTATTTTGGATTCTGCTCTTTCTTTTTTGTCGAGGTTCTTTGTACTTTAATTCTTTTGTCTTTACGCAATAAAGCTACCTCAACAAATGGATCTGAAAATTTCCATGCGGAATCATTGACACATATGTATCGGTCGAAATAGCGTTTCGGAAAAACGAATTAAAACGTTCAGTATTTAGAATCTTAATTATCTTATGCGTCTGAGTCACAGATATCAGGATGTACCTGGGCCAGATTAACGTTTCACGGGGCCTGTGGCATAATAGAAGTGCGGGGCCCTAGCCCCTCCCCACCCCTCATGACCAAAATGCAGTAGTATATTCTGATGAAAAAGTGAAATGTCAGTGGACAGCGCTAAATGAAACTACTGTACGTTTCGTGATATTGGTGAGCTACTGTACAAAAGATTTTCATCATTCTATGGAGCTATTATGTGAATGTCAAGATTTTTCTCTGTTCCCGTAGATCAAGAAGTGCACATTTTTGCAAATTCTACATGAGAACGCGGGCCGCTTAAATACCTACCAGGTAGTTCATCATCAAGTTTTGTCAGGTTGACAACTTGAATGATAACAACAGCTAGTCTTTGCGTTAGACGTAGATATCCAAGTGAAAAAAATATTTCGCCACACACATCGGATGCCTTTAAATATATGTGAAGAAAAAACACTTCAAACTATTGAACCTATGCATGCCGCCTTTCAGAAAGACTTTGACTCATTGTAGTGCATGCAACCATATAAAAAATGCCATATATCACTTGCCTTTGGCACCATTAGAAATGTCTTTGCCAGAAAAACATCGCGACATATGGACAAACCATATTTTTCTAGCTCTTGTAGGTGAACCAAGGTGTCAGCCATGACCTCGTGATGTGAAAAACGATCAAATGACCAAAGCGAGAATTTTAAACTTTGGAAGAAGAGATAGTGGAGCGGTATTGTAAACTCGAATGACTCTTTCAATTCAACGGTGGACGTCCTGTATACTGATGACTGACATGGTTTGTGTTTTTGTGGGAACAAATTTATCATCATGTAGTAATTAATTTCATTTGCTTCGTTTGCTAGTATATCGTGTGCCTTGAGCAATAGAACTACGAGAACCGATCTGTGAAAATATATTATGAAGTGTGTGAAAAATAACCACATATACACTTGATGTTTGCGGGCACACAAAACTATAACCTGATTGGGTCGTTTACGTTAATGCCACTTAGCCGTGATTAAACAAAGCGTAAAAGGACTGTGATCAGTGAGATGAACGACTGATTTTCATTATAATCAATTTGTGAAAACACCACGCATATTTGTTTGCAGTAAACAAGTGTACGTGGTGTTCCCATACAAGTTTATCATTTAACTTTCAAGAATGCAAAATTTCAAGAACGTTTTTGATCCTCATATTTTCCGGGAAATTCGCAAGATACTCTTTGCCCGATAGAAGTATAAAAGTATAAGAAGTATAAAAGTATACATTATCTGCATATTTTAGCGTCAATTGATGTAATTTCATATGCAAATACAACATTTTCGAGTTCAGTTTGGGAATTGGACGAGAGATCAGAGAATCGTTAGTGTTATATTTAAAGGTAGGGAAGCGGAACTATATATATGAATCTCTCCAATCACCAGGCATGTTAATAATAAAGTTGATTTGTACCTTGTAACATCATATCGCAGGTGAACGTAAAGCGTCCCAGCATAACTTTGACTACAGTCACCGGATAATTCATCGTCTTCAATGACCTGGAGTGAGCAACGTGGTTGGATGTAGAATTGGCGAGTTTTATCATTTTAATGGTGAGTGAATAACTACAATCAGTTTCAAAAGTCTGGGACAGGTAGGCCAAAAACTCGATTCCCCAACATTTCGCTCTATTAATGTTGTGAGATTAACGTAAAGGTGGGCTTCAATAACGAATATTTTTATCATAAGTAATTTTCGTTTTAAATTACAAGTGCCGATCTTACTGAATCTATATGATTCCCCCACAGAATCAATATGAGGTCACGTGAAACTCAGGAAGACCCCCATCAGACGTTCAAACACTATCAAGGAAAAAGCAGCTGCATGGAATTCCGTCCTCAAGACGGGCGTATATATTAAAGTAGCAAAATGCTAAAGTAGTATATTCAATGAGTTGTGAAATTACCTTTGGCATTTGATTAAATAATTCAGGTTGGATGAATGATTCGGCCAATGTTCCATATGGAAATTCTGGTAGAAGAATGCTGAATTTTGCTGAACTTTTCTGCCATACTTTGTTGGCTTCACCACGACGTTTTTTGTAAACTCTACCGCTATTCAGACTCGTCCGTTTCGCGGCAATTTTAACCAACATGTACAACACAAGAGCCAACACGACGATGGAAAGGGTAGTTATTGCTATTACATGGGTTTGATTCAGCTTGGTTCCCATTAATCTACGCGGCTGAAAAGCAAAAATCCCACCATGAGATCCTGGGGACGACAGTTTGACAGCGATATCAACTGAAGAGAACGTTTTTAAGTGTTTACAAAGTGTTCAAAAAGCAATAAAACTGTCTGCACATAACACATTTAATTTCATAAAGAGAAACCCAACGCTGAGAATACTTTAAAGAGGTTTCTGTCTAACATAGGTTGCCCACACTGCAGACAATCATTGGAGCGACTTATAGATATATCATATATATATTTCTATAAAGACTCTGCCTATGTTCTGTAAAGAGTCAAGTGTTTTCATGTGTTCCTATAACACGAATCTAATTGGCCAATTCTGTATATAGCCTATATAAGTAAAAGTTAACATTTTATACGTATTATGTAGCTATTCTTTTTTAGCGATTGCGAATTCAATAGACAATTTTATAGACCAGTAAATTTATCCTACTGAGCTCAGTATCCGCATTTCCTCGTAATAAACAACTACACCAAGTTATGTTTGTTATATATGTCTTCGTTGTTGACATAAAATATGTAACTTTAATTAATGATCATGCATATTCAACAGTGATACTTGAAACGGGGAAAAAATTTCCTTCTCGTTTCCTTGCAGACGTCGTCTCGTTTCCTTGCAAGGTCGGGAGAAACGTTAAGGTGGTTAAAAACAAAACATTGTATAAGATTCAATCTAATAATAACGACCCGATGTCTTTCACATAATCGTGGCCATGATCAATGATTATTATTTATTTGATTTTAGTTTAACATTAATTGGAAACGCTGCATGCGGGGCAGTGGTCGTGCGGTCTATTAGATTACTTATAGATACCCCCTCATTCCCCTCCATGTCCATTTAATAACTGTCTATATACGACTCATAGTCTTAGTATAGTAAGCCTTAGAAATGCATCATAACTTTATACCTATAATATTTTTTCTTCGGCTATACGCGCATCGCATATACAACTAAACTGTAGTTGCCGTCACATTCCAACTATAGCACGTCATGAATATAACTGACAGGTATTTTAAATTATGTTTTAGGCATATAGTTTTATAGGTCATGTAAGCAAAGACATATAGAAATATATATATATATATATATATATATATATATATATATATATATATATATATATATATATATATATATATATATATAGCCTAGCTTTCACTAACCTTTGCGCTTTGCTTTGTATTTTTCTCACTTTCAAAATGTTTTGATCACGGACGAGCATCTCTACCAATTCAGTTCGCCCGTCCTGTCCATCAAGCAATGTTCATTAAACCGGTAATGTCTACGACATGCGAATTTTTACCGCTACACCAGTACGAAGCACAATTTCAGGTACGCAAGTAACATTCATATAGCATGGCTTATCCAAACTAAAAAATTACTAACAAGACCGTTTGCAAGAATCGTCAGCAGTTATGTGTTGTTGAACATACATCCGACAAAAGTTAATGATCCGACTGAATGGCAGTTTAAAAACACTTAAAGTTCGTTGAATATGTCCGTTAATATGCTAATATTTAACGTCTGGTCATACCTCAATGACGATGCAATGATTATAAAGACAATGAAAACGTAATCATGCATGCTTCCAAAACCACGCATAATGTTTAAGCTCAACCAAATAAGTATGTCTGTATAATTTGTCTGACTGAATGTTGACATGTCATCTCAATGGGCTTACGTACATGGTTCGAATTGAGTTCATAGACGTCAGTGCGGGTGCTTTGGCGGGCAAACGTCGAAGATCAAGATATTACAATTTAAGAGTCTAGAATTAATAAGACCAAATGCAGAACGTCGCCAAAATGCAACTCATAGACATAATATACATAGCCAAATGCGATGCCAAAAAAGAACCCACAGACTGACACCAAATTAAGACAGCTTGCCAAAGTGTCAAAACCATAGAATAGTATTGAGGCAATGAGGGCAATTCAGCGGTGCGAAGTGTGCTCGTTTCTTTCTGCAAAAATAGGCAATAAACTGGCAAGAATTATGGCTAAGAAGCCAACTAGTTTAGTGTGTTTATTGCCCAAAAAGGTCATCTACTGATGAGTTAGGAAGAATGGAAGATGGCGGAGCAACCAACCAGCACATGAACAAGGCATGGAACATGCGCAGTCAGCGCGAAGCATTCCAACCATCGGCCAGCCCCGTACCCAGGCGCTTTGATGCTTGAAAGCTTTGAACATGACGCGCGTGGGCTTTTACCGGCCGATTCGACCGTGCTCGAATTCGCCCGTTTAGGTTTTTACACGGTTTGAACGAAAAATATCAGTAAGGATACGAGGTCAAAGTACCATTCTGCTAAAATTTTTTATCAAAATTCAACTCAAAATTCAACTTTAGAAATAGAAATAATAAAAAAATATTAAATATATAATAGATAATATATAAAATTATTATTCTATTTAAATTTTGTACATTAATTGACAAAAATTATCTATTCCGAGTTTCATTCTATGTTTTCTGACGTTTGCGCCTGCGCCTCCATTTTCGCCTGATTGTGTATTTCTATCCATGACTCAAATTTGTTTTCAACTTGAATGCAAACAAACTTTATCCTATATTCTTGTTTTAAGATATTTTTTGCTGTGTATAGAACTTCATTTTCACTTGCACTTTCGTCTGGGAAATCAAGTAAAAGAGGAAATCATTATAAACTTTCCACCTTCACAAAATTGCAATCTATAAAACGCCTTGAAGTACTACTATACCACTTATATAAATTACGCCATAAAATATGGTGGTCTATTTCAACCGTTGTAAAATGCTTGAAAAATTCACTGATTTGGAACATGCAACAATTAATAGAAGGAAGCACTACCTAAAAAATATCAGATTGGCCATCAGATTAGGCATCAAATTTAATAGAATCAGTTTAGTCTATTTGGTGGAACGGCGCTATTCGCTGGAAGAGCGATACCTGGACTGTGCAAGTATACAGGGTGAGTAAAAAAAACCTGACACCTTTGAAATTCAAATTAACCGCGAACTTATGGCTGGAATTTGACAATTCCCATTGTGTACAATCAACAAGACGTGGTTAATTAATGCGAATGGGCTTAAACCAATTGAACTAATTCAGCGTTCTTTTTTATTACAGAGCTTAGAATGCATTTTAACTTCCAAAGGGAACAAACTTTATGTTCAAGGTTGATTAATGGGTTCACTTATTTGATATTCTTCGTATACCCATGAGATATTTTAGGCAACTTCTGTCACATTACAGCCGATTACAGACACATTGCAGCTAATTTGAATTTCAAAGGTGTCAGTTTTTTTTTACTCACCCTGTATACAGGGTGTCCCAAAAAAACGAAAACTATTGAAATCACTCATTGTTAAAATTTAAATGCCGTGCTCACGAATTTCAGCTCGTGGGGATTTAATGCAACTTATAAAATGCTAAATGCTTTGTGTTGCTAGAGAAAGGGGACATATCGAAGGTCATGGTCCTTGAGACATTTAAATAATGTTATCCATATTTGTAAATTGTAAATATTGTTGATAAATATCATTTTTGCGAACAAGCAAATTTGACTGCATCATATGCATGCATAAAAATGCTTATGGCAACCCCGATTTATACGCTTGTGGGCCCAACAGAGTGCTTGGGCATTCAAACTCTAACAATGGCATTGTTATGGGTGATTTCAATAGTTTTCGTTTTTTTGGGACACCCTGTAGTTCATGGATTGCTAATTATGTATGGCAACCATGGCTAGTTAATCCCTACTCAATGTAACTTACCAATCCGTAAGTGTACGTTTGCTGCCAAGAGGTCGACCGTCAGGGACCATAAACGCAAGCTGTGAACTTGCGTGACGCCACTTATCGATTCTAACGAGTTTTTCACTTCATCGTAGGTAAACTGATCCGGTGTACCTGAAGTAAGTTCAGAGGAAAAATTATCATCGTGTGTATATAGAATGTTGTGAAATAGTTTGAATATTTCATGTCAGTTGTTATAAATTGCCATGCACCATATAATATATTCAAAAAACCTTTGATAATCTCATATGTCTAATACTGAACAACTTCTATGTCTATTGAATATATCTTAAACCCATGCATGGATAAAATTGTATATTTAGGTATATAGCTATAGTCTAAATTTCAATCCAATTCCTGCCAAACCTGAAATTAAACATAGTGAAATCGGATAAAATGTTACATTCAGGGCCTTTTCATCTTGAGAGAAAGCAACAATCATTTTGAGAGAAAGCGACCCCTGCATAAAATATATAACCAATGTTATATAAAACATATATAAGCATGTATCCATGTTTGCCATCATTGTTTTATGAATTTGCCAAAATGCTAACAGAGGGTGTAATTGGCCCTCAGAAGTACCATTACTTTGTACGCAAAAACAATATTGGGTGGATACATGATCTATGTTCTATAACATTGCTTGTATTTTAAACAGGCCGGGGTCGATAACTCTGAAAAGGTTTCCTTAAAAAAGGCCCTGGTTAAATTTGAACAGCTGTTAGTGTTAAGCAGTAAAAAATTTTATTGCGGTACCAATACCAAAAATTGTGCGTAGTGTAAATTGGGATATATGACCTACTTTCATTTTATAAGTTACTAGCTTTTCATGTCAGTATAGTTACCTTCCAGAAATACTTTCATAATATCTTTAAATACATTTAGGCTTACAAGAACTGACATGATAGAAAAGAGCAAGGTACAAATGGGATCAGCAATTGTAAGTTCCGGCTAAAAAGAGAAAGCGAACTGAATCAATTTTTGAGAATTAACATTTTTGATATAGAAATCAATGTTTTCAAATCAAATTAGTGGCTGAGAACTATAACGTTTATACCGGATCATATTTAGGTAAAAATGAAACAAGCGTTACAGGTAATTACTCACCCTAAATTTGATAATAACAGCAGCAATTAAAAGTCCTAAAGTACACAAAGTATCTCCTAAAATATGAATAAAAGCAGCTCTAATGTTAATATTTTGAAGCTCTTCTTTTGATTGTGTTTCTACTTCTCTCATTGCAGGTTTCCCGCCATGGGAGTGACCATGTGATCTCCCAGGAACGACGAGAATCAATCCCATTCTTGATAAGAATATTGAATAAAAATGATAATTGGAATTTCTTACTTAAGATTATCCTAAGATTGAAGGAAGAGTTACATGAATTTGAAGCATTAAAATAAGTTAATAACATAGTTCTGTCGGTGCGGGGCGGTGCCGTAGTCATCCTGACAATATAGCATGTGCTTTTTTGTTTCCGTAAAGACTATAAATTTTATGGGATCATGTTAGCACTGCAGCCCTTAAGACAACGAGGATCTGAGGCCGACTCCTTGTTAATTATGGAGAGGATTGATAACTCAATTTTTTTCAAAATGTGGCCTTATATACAGTACACTATTCGTATGTGAAATATCAGTCGACCGAGGCTTTTTATGCATGGGCCGAGCGACGAAGGATCGATGTCGTGGCAAAAACCTCGCCTTATATTTCACAGTGCAGATCGAACAAGCGAGGTCAATAATCTGTTTATTATATGGCTGAACTGCATGAAACATCCGGGGTAATGGTCCATGCAGATACGGAACACCACAGAACACGGAATGTACGGGTTTTATGGACCGCTCGTCAACCAATCAGAATAGAGGATTCTGAAACGCCATATAATAAATTTGCTTGTTTAGTAGTCAAAATAAGTGAGTGTCTATAATAAAGTATTATAGTAATTATACTGATTCGAGTCATGTGATAATCCGTTTTTGGTACTTACAAAATATTTGCTATCAAACAGAACCCGGCAGTCAACACCATGGTATCTGCCTCTATTTCATAATCATGGTAGACTATTCTTTCTATGGCGTAGTATGATAGGAAGGCAGACACAACCCATCCAATGAAAATCGTTAGCAATGCCCCAATTATTTCTGAAAACGATGTACAGGGTTCTATTTTATTGACTGTGATCTTTATTGTTACATATACTACACGTTAACAATAATGTCCAAACAATGTATATGGGGTCAACTATTCATAGCTTTACGGGGGGTTAATGGATTGAATCTTTGCTTTGGCACAAACAGGTCATCATTACAGAGAGACACATTAGTTGAATAAAGTCAGTTACACACAAGGGATACAAATTGGGAATGTATAGCTTAAGTTAAGCTGCTTAACTAGCTTACCTGCACGATAAAAACCAAAAGTGTGAGATTTGGTTGCAGGCCAGGCTGCAATGTTTATTGCTAATATACTTGTTAATAAACTTGCCAGATCAGACATCATATGTGCTGCATCGCTTATTATTGCCAAGCTATTCGCCAAATAACCTCCTGTGTGGGGAGAAACGAATTAAATTTTGTGAAGGACATTGATTGCGTTGTTCCTTCATTCAAATGACATGCACAGATTACGAGTGATCATTTGTTGTGAACTGTGAAACCAACTACGCTTTAGGCCTACGACAAATATTTGCACTCGGTCAAGTTGATTTTTTCAATCAGCTTATACTATTTAGGACTAGTTTTTATCAGTTAGTCGTGATTGTCTGAGTTGCTGATGTATTAGAATATTGCTATGTCATTCAGTCAATGACAACTCACATTTAGAGACGCCACTCAGGATTCTTCCCGTGTATACCTCACTATAGGGCCTGTTCATATGAGAGGGCCGGTTTAGCCGCTCGCTTTCGCTGGCCCGCTTGCATAATGTTTTCAAATGAGCTCATATTATAGTGAAATAATATGTTTCATATTATAGTAAAATAACATGTGAGCGAGATCCCGGCACTGCCAAGCTAGCCCAAACCATTTTCTTACTGCCTTCCCCCCCCCCGCTACTAACGAATAAAAAAGTCCCTGTTTTATACTCACCCGCAACTTCAACAGCTATGAACACAATGCAAACAAATGTGGCAAGAAATAGTTGGGTTCTTGCTTTCGAGGTTTCATGTTTGATTTCTGTATCTGAATTAACAGGACAAGGTTCTTTATCCAAGTTAGCCATCATACACTGAGGAAAATGCTCCCATTCAGAATTTCTTTGATATTACTAGAAAAATATCAAATTATAGATTAAATAGTTATTATTTAACTAATAAACTATACAAAAAACTACAACGCGATAATTAGTGGAGGGGGGTCTACAGGGTCACTGCAACCCTATAATTCCCAGGGACCACGATCTTTTGTTATTGAATAGGTGCGAACATATATGAATATTAAGTGTTGCTGTTTTTTCATACACCCTGTATAGTTTCGGCCCTGAGAAAGAAATTCTATTTATAATAGTCAAATTAATGTAAAATATATCATTATAACTCCTTTCTAGCTCTATATTAATATTTAATTTGGTTCTTTGACACATCTGAAAACATCATTATGAACTTATGATAACAATTAAGGATTTCAGCCTAAAAAACCACACATTGTATAACCTTCACTTTTCCCAAAAAAGAGATAGCAACCTATACAAACTTTTCTTTCAAAACAAGGCATCAGTCCTGCATGCATGCAGGTGCACCTGCTTCGCGCAATAGCTGTATAGGCTAAACTCGTTGTACTTTAGGTGCTATCAGGTTAAATGTTTCTGTTATTTTTCAAAAATGTGAACTTTGGTATGAGTAGCAGCGTCCTACGTAGATTTTAAATATATTTTAGTGTATACATACATGCATAAGTATATTTTATTAAGAATCGTGATATCTTAGAATGTGTACACGCATATTATATAAAATAATCCTATATATACAAATTATATTCTCGCTAATTAAAATTAACAGTTCATGCATGCAAACGATGCTTCTTCTGAAGTTCAGATCCAGTCTTGTTCAGTGGGCATAACCTGCATGCACAAATTTATATTAAGAGAACAACCGATAAAGATAAAGAAGAACATATATAAGAATTTAAACATCTTTTTATGGTAGAATTATTCATATGCCTAATATATAGATTATATGATTTAAATATACATATACGTCAAAAAGACGTATTGCGAGAGTATAAAAAATTGCAAATGTAAAACGTGTAAAATCTCACGTAATTCACACTCAAGTTAAGTCATATGGTATATATTTAAACAAATCACTTTTTTCAATTTCAAAAGTTAAACACGGCTTTGAAATTCAAACTTATATATACGACTATAAGTAATCGTGATGTCAAATGGCTAGGTTTTTAATGCCATCTCGATTTCAAACTTCCTGGAGTTATAGATCAGTACTCAGTAGTTTCACTTCGGGTCACAGAAAATGAACGGCAGCAACCAACTTTCAAAACTTTTACAGCTTCTTTTCTTAACAGAACTTTATTCCAGAAAAATATGACAGAATTCACGCTAGAGTTCAAAGTTGTAATAACCCTCATCCACGAAAAGTAAGCATCCACGATCATACTTGGGCCGAACCGAAGCCGGAATATTGGATACAATGAGGATGGCAACAGAGTAATCAAAAAACAAGCGACGACCAGAAAGCAAGATTTTGCGTACTTGACTTCGCGAAGAAATAACTTCGTTTTTGATTTATGCTCGACAATATTGTTCAGGCTTGGTTTCACTTCGGAACGACGCAGTCTTCTCACCTCTAGATATATTTTAATGTTAACAAAACCTGCGAAAATGATTAGTGTTGGAACCGTAAGGAAAAGCATGACTGCAATTGGGGCGATGAAATAAAAAGATAAAGCAAATGATATAAAAATCAACGCGAAACCACAAATCATAAAATACAGAATTCGTTTCTTTGTCAGTATCTTGGGGTATGAATAAGGATGAAGCACTGCAATGTATCTCTCGAACAATATGATAAAAGATATCACCAAGGAAAATCCAATAGGGAAAACAGACAATTGAAAAATTATGAAGCTTGTAAAGCAATCCCTGAGACCCAGAAACGTCCCCAGCATGTAAAAGACTGATAACGGTGCTCCTATACAACCAACTCCCAAATCGACGACAGATTGAATGAGTATAAGAAAATAACAAATCTTGTTCTTCAGTTGAGTTGATTTAAGAATTGTCAGCATTGCTATCAGGTTCAATAAAACGGTTGAGATCACCAACGTGCCATTGATGACAATTGTTGCTACGCGGTTTATTTCGTATTTACTGGATGAAAACTTTGTCGGAAACCAATGTGTCCTTCCAAAAACTCGGCATGTCATTATGTAGGATTCGGAAATATTCGTCATCCTTTCGAGATCTAAATTTGTCGCCGCCAAATTGCGAGACAAGAAATGGAATCGCAGAGCAAGTTAAATCGCGAATTACGCATTCACAGATTCAGACGTATACTACCACTTACGTACAAGTGCATATAGTAAACTTATTAAAACGTCTGCAATTTATAGTCCTCCAATAATTGCCACTCTCGGCAAAGCTTCGTGTGTAATAAGTAAGTAATGAAGTCATTATTATCCTGTGATTATAATTACCGTGCGGCGTGCACTTTTCGCAACAAAAGAGGTGGCTGTTTTAACGATGCATGTAAAAAATATAGCGTTATTACCATAGTTATTACCTTTTAATTCAAGACCGAAGAGAAAGCATCTTGGAGGTGCACCTGCTCGCAAATGTGCGCATTTGATGAGATTTCTTGCCCAAATTAAAAGTTTTGCGTAGTTTACTGAAAAAAACGGTTCAATATATAAATGCATTGTAGACAGAAGAACACACATTCTTGTCCAGTTATATTTAGGCTAATATTTCAAGAATTATTTGTTATGTTTGAAAAATTATTGCATTAAACCCCTGGGTTTGAATTTCTGGAAAGTAACAGAGAGGCTATAGCCTAGAAATTTCAAATGCACCGCGACAGTATAATATTATTAGATTATATATATGTATAGATCATAGATGGTATGCGCTTTAGCCTATAAGGGCCCGCCCGCCAAATATTTTGATTTCTAAACTTAAGCTAATTATTCATATTTAAAAATATGAAAAAAATTGAAAATAAAAATTTTTGGCGAAGCATTGATATGTCGTCGATAACTTCAAGTACAAATTTAAGATCTTCTAATAGATTTTTAGCTTGTTTTTAACAAAACATTCAGTTTAAACAACTAATCATGCAACACTCATGAGCCGCGGTTCTATAAAACTCTTCACTTTATTTTCGTATATAGCCTTATTATATATAACTGCATAGTTCAGATTAAACTACTAGAATCAGAAACTCATTTTCACGAACGCTAAACGATCGCTAAACGTGAAACACGGCGAATCGAAGAGACTGTCCGCAAATCAACGGATCAATCACAGTTGACAAGCGTGCATCATATATTATCGTGTGCGGTGTACGTGCAGGTGTCTCTGAGAGTAAAGCAAAAACGGCTGCAAATATTAGCCTTTCAGCACTTACCTTCCTGTAAAAGCTTTTAGTCAAATTAGTAATTTTAGGCATGGTGGCATTAATATCCGTTGATTAAACTTCCGTGGCAAATAAACTTGTTATTGATGGGTCTGAGTCTGACATGTATAAAATTATTTATGCCGCAATATATGCGCACAACTATAAGTTCGTTACTAGCCATTTACACATTACCGCAATGGGAAGGAAAAACACAGAATGTATCCCCTCTATCCCCACCATAGTACTGGTAAGTCTATTGCTTGAGTTAGGACAGTCGTTTTTCTGGTGGGGATAAACACGATTTACCATAGTTGCAATTGGATGTTTTTCAGGAGGTGACAAATTAAATAATTAACACTCAAGTTCGATGCATGTAAAATAAGAAATCAGTCGTATTTCTACGCAGACAGGTGCATGGCTTGCTGAATTTTCATTAATAGAAATTTCAATCCTATCCAATTCCTCACTACAATCCAAAAATATTCTAGTGAATTCCATGTTTTATTATAGTCTTAAAAGCGACATCATAGGACGGTTTTTGTGTATGTGAGTGACAAAAAAACACATCATCACCAGGGCCGCACGCACGCAGGGATATTTTTCCAGACGGTGCATGCACATGCGCAGTAGAGAATAATTTAAAATCGGGGGGGGGGGCTAACCCTTTTTACCTAACGTGACACAAGACATAGCAGTGAAATTGACAAAGGCTTGTTATAAACATGTACGAATGTAAAATAAGCACAAGAATTTTCTTGAACGATATCTTTGACACGCATTTAACCTAGTATGGACTGTAACCGTAACGGCAACTGACTGGTTGATAACTGGAGAGTCTGTTTAAGAATATATGCATGATCATGTATCTCATTTCGTAACAGATACTGAGTAATTTTCATTCAGTCATGTAGATTATTGTTTTTAAAAGAATTGACTACTATCACTGGAGAAGAGTATTGGAAAGTTTGCCCAAGAATTTGCCAGCAAGCAGGTTATACATACAGCTGGCTATATTTCAAGAAATACGACTGCATAATATATATGTTGCAACAAACGCAATCACACAATTTAATTACCTAAATGTGTGATTGTGTTTTAAAAAATACCGGTTCAGTTTTCATTCCAGTTCAATATAGCTATTAACATGCAGTACTACTTCAGACATCTGGGGGCACTTTTTTAAAAAACTATTTGACTTTTAACAGAATTGGCCAATAAAGTCGCGTATTACTGAGTTAACTTGGATTTAACTATATCCCGACCCTAAGGGGTAAATAACGAATACAGAATATATTTTTCACGGGAAAAGGCTCAAAGCCAAAGGAGATAATATATCTCTGATTATGAAAATGCTTAGGCCAATCAAAACGCATGTCAAATTTTAAGGTTAAGAATTGATCTATCAGCTTAAGACATAACTAACATTGATTTTAAGACTTAACGGGAAAATAAAAATACATGGACCTGATGCTTTATTTACTATCTTTTCATCTCAATTCTTTTGATTTGGGTCATTTAATATTCATATAATAACAACTTCTTTAACTTAATAACTTCTTTAAGTTATCGACGAATAAATTGGCAATTATGTGTATATAGCAGCTATGGACGAAATGCTAAAGTTCAAGAAATATATATAGTGTCAAAATCGAAACTTATCAGTAAATTATCGAAATAATGGATTATTGTAGTACTATGCCTATGGAAGTCACTAAAATGAACAAGCAGTTACACAAGTATAAGTAAAAGCTGATCAGTCATGTAAGTTGTGTAACGATTGACAATTAATGGCGAACCAGAAAACATTTAAGATTAACATAATTATACCTTAATTCAGCTCAGTCAGATACTTTCAAGTTCGCTGAACATGTCATCGCTAATAATGACTTTCAAACCGATTTATTACCTTGATGTTTTCCTGATCAAATTACATTTGGTCCATCGTTTTTTATTCTGTATTTGCCACAACGTTAAATTACTGCTCATTGAAGTTCCTCGCAACAAAAAAAAATAACTTGAGAGAACTTTAAATTGTGTTAATGTGAAGTATAATATGACTGTAACTCGGTAACTGTGATTTCGACTCTCGTGACAATATGCCAGTTGTAAATAATTAATTTTCACAAGTCAGTTTACAACGGTTTAACCTGTTACAACTTTTTAGGTAAATTTATTCGTATATTTCATTTAAGACGACAGTTCCCCGCACCCCCGGAATTTACACTACGCAAATCTTTTCTGCACGCGCCATTAGCGCAATAAATCCACCGGAGTGTTAAGGGGGAATTGAGTTCCTAGAATTCATGGAGTAGAGTTTCTAGAATTCGCCGTAATTGAAGATGACCGCGAGTGGATCCTAAAAAAGATTGGAGTTTTTTTCGGATCTGATTCGTAGGTTTTTTGACCAGTTTTGGTCTCCGCATGGCGTCCTATACTTTTTGTCAACAAACTCTAGATAGCGACAATGCGACATGTCGAAATGACGAATTCTTAACAAAACTACCTCATAGAGAAAAAAATTCTCAAAAAAGCTAGTGTATCCTCGCTTCCTTCATGTAAAATTTTGAACACTTTTACACTATTATCGTAATTTAAATTTGCAAAAAAATTTCGATCAAAATGCCGCCATTTTTTCATTATGTCGCCTAGACGGACGTGTGTCCAGTTTCATATCGCGGCTTAATTGTGACGCACGTTGATTTATATGCAGTGTATAGCTACTATTATTCTAGGCTTTTTACAATAAAATATCATTCTTTCTAATTTGCCGTGTCTATTTTTTAAAGTAAAAGATCATCTTCGTCCTCTAAAAGATTTTCTTCATCAGTCAACACATCAATGATATCCTGTCCTTGTGTTTTCTTGCTAGGACGTTTTCTAGGCATTTCCACCGCTGGTCGTAGACTGTGCATCATCTCGACGTCCTTTCCGCTAGACAAGGTTGACTGCCAGTGGCTTAATTCATCTCCCATCGATCTAAAACTAAAGCTGAGTTGACCAATGACAACCTTTCTTCCAGCACTCCAGCTTGGACGGTGTTTTACGCTAATTATAAGGCAAGCAGATTTCTTTTGTTGGTCGGTTAGTTTGAAATGAAATCTGTCATTAAATATCGGAAATAAAGTTCTGCTCTTTGCATTTGTCGTCTCTAGAAAAACCCGAGACGTGCCGTCAAATACCTCTATTTTCACGTATGGATCTGTAAAATGAAGAAGAGGATAGTCCACACTTTAAAGTATAGTTAAAAACAAAGTAAAAAAGAAAGCGTATACATGCAGAGCTCAGAGCTAGCAATCACATATTATATTCCATTGCCGGAGTAAAAAGATGTTTACTTACTTGATAGACCTTTTTTATCGACAGGCGAGAGATGCGAACATTCTTTAACAGTAACCCAAAAGATTTCATCCCTGGGATCCCAACGAAAAGAAAGTAAAATATCGCCGCCTTTCGCCTAGTTAACCAGGAAAATCATTATTGAACCTTACAAACCGAATCCATCTATTTCAAAACGACATGCATAGTTGCTATATTGCTATTTTCATGGGCAGAATTGTCAAAACACCAAACAAACATACCCCTTTTCGCCATTTCAGAGTTTCGTCAAAATCTTTTTCTTTTCCTTGTATACTATTAAGTATCCCACTCATTTCTATCTTTGCCACGCCAATCAAATCTCTCGGTGATATTCTGTTCTCGTCATACACATAACACATCAATGTCTGTTCTTTAAGTTCATCTGGCAAGATGTTTATAGTTATGAGATCATCAAAGACAGGCGAAATGCTGTTACGAACTCTTCTTGTCTCGAGATAGTCTCCTTCAGCACTCCTTGCTACTGAAAAGGGATCCAATTCGACTTGGACGAAATTGAAGGATACGTAGGCTGAAGACTTCACTGATAAATCTTCTGCGCTTTTGATATGCACATGAAGAATTGCACTACGAAAACGAACATTTTAGTAATGATGAATTTTACTGATGTTATGTGGAATAATTTTACTTGTTTAATTTTTCAAGTTTGTACAGCTTATTTTGATAGCACCAAAGGACATGATACTTTAATGCACAAACTATTTCCTATATATATGTATACCACTAAACTCGTAGGACAAAAATCACGTCATGTGCGCCTGCATGCATGGCTTTACTAATAAGATAAATGAGCTATTGTGAGCTATTGCTCAATTTCATGACTGGCGAATGACAGCCAAATAAGGTGGAGAAGAAAGGCGTGAGGTGGGGAAGGTGGGTCGTTATGCGTATTCCACCCACCAAGAACTCTTAAAAAATCCAGTTTCCACCACTCGCTTTCAAGGCCTTATATATCAATACTTTTGTACTTACTTTCGTTTCTCGTAGAAAAGGGAAAATTTCAATCTTCCAATGTTTTTCTGTTTTAAAATAAGAAGGTTGATATTGAATAGAATTATGGCATAAGGAAATATTCGGTAATAATAAGGATAGACTATATACACCAAGGATATCTTAAAAAATATACTCAGTAGTAAAAAGATAGTCGTTATATAGTAGCCCAACATTGAAATTTCTTATGACAGATTATTCGCCAACTGAACTTTGGCTAAAACATTGGTACTTGGTAGATTCTGCTGCATAGAGATCCCGCCTTATATATACGGAGGTCGCAGCATATCAAGCATGTTAGTTGAACCATATAATTAAAAAACCCCTACAAAAATTCGTGCCATGTTAAGTGAAAGAATCATGATTTTCAAAACTCACAATTTCCCTGCCAAATCCATCTTTTGGTTGAACTTTAAACAATGACAACTTCGGCAGTTTTAATTTGGGCAATTTAATCTTCTTGAGATATCCTCGCAACACTCCATCTTTCTTCTTCTTTTTTCTTTTTACTTTTTCCACAGCAAATTTCGAGATACAGGAACATATTATAAGGATGATAATGACTGCAATGGTCACCCCAACAATCAAACCAATCGCAGCTTGTTTCTTGTGCGTTTTTATCCAGTCTATATACAACAAAGTAGTAATAATTTTTAAAAATATTTCTATATTATACGTGCACGGTTATCACTGTTTCTAAAGTGGCAGTTTCCCGGCTATAGAAATTTAAATATAGGGTATATTGCAATAAGAGGTTATACGTCGCATTTTGGTCGCATATAATGAGGTGTGTTATATATATTAACTAGAACAATGTAGCACAGTTTATGAATAAAGATTAATATATTTTTAAAATTATTACGCGCATGTATATAGTATGATGTCGCCGAGTGTTTCAAAAGCTAAATAATATTATTGACGGTAGTACGCCGGATTGTAGTAAGAAAGGTACAATTTCGGTACAGTTATAGAATACAAGGCAAATAGTGCATTATGTTAAAGATCTGTTAGAAGATCGATTTTAGAGACAGAGCATAGGACTGCCCCCGTTCTTTAAAAATAGTGTTTATTCTTGTTCTCTAAAAGTTCAATTCATGCATTAAGAAACATAAAATAAGGTACATTTATCTATAAGACTATATATGGCATTCACTGTTAAGAGTTGGGTTGGTCAGGTTTTCTATAATTGTTCCACAATTTCTCTGAAGTAGTGTATTCATAAATATGATACTCGACTCTCCTGCAAAGTTATGCACCGTTTGCCATTGCAAGGTATTCTGATAATTACTTCGCTATATAGCAGTCTTTTATGAGACATTACCCAGAGATATATCGTTTTTAATTATATAACATATAGGATTAACACATACATACTGCATAGTAATATTGTCGTTCGTCAATATGTAGTAAAAAGACGATATAGGCATAGTAAACTGCACACAAACCCCAATGACACAACATTGTACATGCATGATAGCCTTATGGCTTACCTGTTACTGCGGTGACATTGATGTGTGGTAGGTGTATATTTGGACTTTCTGTTGTTACATTTTCGTGTGGAATTTCTGTTGTCACGTTCTGAATCTTTGGCACTGTCGCTTGCTCTGACGTTTTAGACGGTTCGATACTGTTCGTGTTGATACTCAGTAACACAAACACAAGAGCGATAAACCACACTCGCTCAACAATAGCCGATGTTTTGTATGAGATATCTACCAAGTGTTGACCCTAACCAAACATACGTTACACCTCAAGCATTATATCAAAACCTGAAGTCTCTATAAACAAAAGCTATATTCTTTTAAACACTTTCCAAACATCATCCAAGGTGAATCAGTAAGACGACATACTTCTTCACGCGAGATTGGCCAAGCTTGGCTTGGCTATTTATCAGCAATGCGGCCTATGAAACAAAGACCAGTAACTGACCGGATCGGCGGAATATAACACACGTGCTTCTCCCTGTATTCAGTGTATTATCAGACTTGCCAAAACATAGTGTTTGTTCCCAAATGGAATATGGTTATTCACCACTACCTGCGCCCTTTTACTGCGAAGATTCACGTGTAACGATAAATACCAAAAAATTCGACGTGCAACAATCCAGACGGTTCTACAAAGAGCTGTAAATATATTTACATAGCCTTCAGACTTGACTGCACACACGCATTTTTAACTAGTAACTGCTAATTGTAAAACCCAGGCGAAGAAATGGACTTTTCCAAACCCAAAACTGCGGCAAACATCATTGCCTAAAATTGCAATAAAATGAAAACAATGGTATTTTCATATCGCATCTTATAAAATGTGGTCTTACTCTAACAATTGCTGGAAGTAGACAAAAACTGCCCGGCTTAAAATATGCGTAACTCATCAGTGAAGGTCATGAGGGGTGCATGGATTTAACACTAGCGATTGTTTTCCACTGGCATTTGAGCGGAAAAAATTAACGCTTGTAGAAAACTGGCTTAAACCGGTTGTTGTACCATGTACCAAGACATTCAACTAGCGAGAAGTTATCGAAAGACGATGCCACTACTCGAGTATAACTGCATTTGCATGGACTAGTTCTTTAGTATAACTGCATTTACAAATAAAGAAACGTCATGTATTTAGCTAGCAATTAATCTATACGGAATTTAATTAATAACGCCAAACTTACATTATACCCAAGTTAATGCTATATACACAGGTTGAACACGTATAGATTCAATGAATCAGAATCATCTCGTTCATATATATTCGTGTAATGCGCGGCTGATATCCTTAAAAGTGGTTGTTTTTATACAGAGCTCGAGGTGATAAATATATACACCGTCACCGACAACTAGGGGTCTATGAGAAATGGTCCTGAATGTTGATGTATCATTTATGATCTCTAACAAAACAAATGTACTGAAAATACTTCAAATTTTTAAGTTTCAAATATTAACTAAGGAGAGCTTTGTGAGGATGTCACAATGTTGAGACCTGAGGACCAAGAAAGCAACAAGAATGTTGAATACTTCGGCTAACATTCTACGGTGTAACGTGAATACTTTCTTCTTCAGTTACGTGATGTAGAAATGAACAATATCAAATGTAGCTACATGTTGGATGATTATTTCATGGCTTGTCAACTCGATACCTCGGGAGTTTTCGTCTCGGTAATTTTTGGCGACTATAAAAGTGGATGGAAACGTTTAAAAGCACGAAAATCGAAGCTGAAAAGAATGTATAGAATTATAAAGTGTACTTTTTACTGCCACTTCCCAGATAAAATGCAATGAAAACTATGAAAACTACCTTCTTTATTGCTTCCCTAAACGATTCACTGCTTTCAACAAACTTCCGTTTCTTCGTTTGAAAATTTTCCTCAATTTGCTGAAGTTCTGCTTCTAATTTTTTCTGGCAAATTAAAACTTTAGACATCAACCACCTTTCAGAACTTGTATATGCAAGATATTTCGATAAACGATATTTCCGAATGTGCATCCACGAGAATATTTACCTGGTGTTCACCAAGTGACTTGACTTGTTTTCGCAGCATGTGGATACGCGAGGTTGTGACTACTAGAATAAACAAACACATGCACATTGTGTCTCTCTGTCAATGGCATATCTATAAGTATATCGTCATGAACCGCTGTATATGACCGGTCACCCCGCAGAGTTTACAGACAACTTACACTGAGGTGTTATCACTGGAGGTATTGCTTTGCGGGGAAGTAGGGAAGGGGGTGCCGAGGCCACAACACACCGCGGTGGAATCGGTTACCTTCTCTTTTTTTTTTAAATTTTTTGTACTAACCAGTGCGTAGATCAGGAACAACAATATCACTAAATATATCTGCCATAAGTTTTTGATTACGATGAAAACGACTGGCTGCAACATGCTTGACAGAGAACAAATCTTCTTCATCTGAAAGCGATACGTGAACATACAAGTTTACCCGAGAAGCAGGTATAAGACTTTGTTGCCTTTAGTAGCTGTCTATACAGAAGACTGCACGGGGTAAGGAATGCCCATAATTAAAGGTCTCATCCGATCACGAGATTACACGAGGATATTGGCTTCGATTTTGATTGCTATGTCAAGTGTTTTATCAAATCAGTGCACAAAAACCAAAGAAAACCTTCAGACTGGTCTAGGTATTGATGATATAGCCCACTGATAACGTCCACTTACCATCACCTATGATTGGTTCCAAACTGAATCTCGCGTCGTGTAACTAAAAGATAGGATTGGGAAGAATATACTATCTCGCGACGTAGACTACGAAATCAGCCAAAAGAAGTTATATCAGTTATCAGAAGTAAAGCAAAATCGGATTTATTGTAATGCATGTCAATACTTACATCAAATGAAGCAAGATCGATACCTCTAGCACGAGCTTGTTGTTCTTGTAGAGCTTGTTGAGCTGTTAAAATAGGTATGGTGTAATGATGGACGGGAAACTAAAGGTATATATTGTCGGCAAGATAAATATTGAAATTCAGAACACAACTTCTAGGTACGTACCTCTTCCTTTGGCAGCAATCCACTGTTGATATTCTTGGGAATTATGATAAGCCTTCATTGATTCATTGTATTGAACCTGTCAACACGATAGGGAATATAAGTAACTGCATGGAAACGCTGAGATGATGTATACGGAGAACTAAGGAGAATAAGGTTTGTATATCATTTGCACTTGGTATACTGTTGCGGGACTCTTGAAAAGGTGTTTTTTAAATAAGTATAGTAATGACACAAAACCGAGCAACAGCAAATTCTTTGACTCAATGATTAATGAATAAGCAAATATTGTGAAAAATTAGAGTGCTCAAAGCTCGATTCACTCACCTTGTCAAGTTCATATTCATCAAAAAATACCTGAAAAATGAAAGGAAAAAAGAACTGGTTAATTACGTTAACTGGTGTGTAGGTTAGCAATGGTCTTTCTATGTATAGGGTAGTGTAATCAACCGATAGTCAAGGAACTACATTAAAGTTAACCATTTTTAAAAACCATCAAAGTTTCTTTGAAAAAGTGTTGCTTTGTTTTGAGTGGGTGAGAAAGCATTACTAATGCACCATGTTGCTCAATCTGAATTCAAGGCTTTTTCATTACAATAATACTTTTAAGTCTTATTGCATCTTATAATATGCACGGATACGCTCTCCTCCCGGAAAGTCTAGGGATTTCTTTTCATTGATTGACACAACAAATATATGTAGCTGGCAGTTAAACTCAGAGCACCTGTCTTTCTTCATCAGGAAGATCCCTCCACATTTGACCAATTATTTTGCCAATGTCCCACAACTTGCCCTCGGGATTCTGGTTTTTTACTTGCTCCCAAACCTGAAATTTATCCATCAAACATCAACATAATGATTTGCTTGAACAATCAAGACTTATATAGTAATTGTCACTATGCGCTTTTGGCTAATTCATCCCACTGTCAATGAATTTTGGATAGTGCAAATTTTGTTGAGAGAACTAAAAGGTTCGACCAACTTTACTGCAGCATTTCATTCTATTTTAAGTTTAATAAATATAAAAATTGCATTTTATACTTCCTGTGAAATGCATAGAAGTCATATACTTGACAGAAGTTATAAGAGCGATTTTTGTTGTAGTTTGATAGTATCACCTTAAGCATTGTTTTCACCTAGGCCTGAATCGCAAGACAAATTTTTGTTGTCTGTACGTTTTTCACTAAAACTAATGGAATAGCTTTCTATTCTGTCCTGGTCATAAGGGTAATTTTAATGTCATGTATAATCGGTTGTAAGAAAGTATTATTGGTCACAACAACGCAATTCTATTTGTCAGTCAGTCAGTGATTATCGACAATGGGCATCGCCAAAGATTGATAGCTGAGAACAAACAAAGATGGTGTCTGGCACAGATTGTCAGAAGCTATCTCATTCCACTGCATATGATTACTGGGTGATGAAGAAAATCGTTTGCGTTTCTGAAAAAACTACCCATCTCAATTGTTTTGTGAAAACTATGAAAACATGAAAACTGCATTCTTAACTCATTCATCACTTGTTTTCATATAATTACAAGAATCAACTGTGCTTCTATATTTGGAATATCAAGCATAACAGCTTACCTTTCTACTGAATCTCATGTAAGGCATCAGTGGCTTATCAGGAGCTTTGGGTGCTGGCGTATTTTGAAAGTCGCCAGGCTAAACAACATGATTTTTAAATGATATAATCATTTACTGATATAATCACTGCATGGTTAAATTGTTTAAGTCCTGTTGTAATGTTGTTGCAAATCACTTCTAGTGAGCATTTTTTTATTTTTGAATTCCCTGATAAAGCAACTATGATTGCTTCTCAAATGTTGATAGTTAAAGTACCAATCACTGCTTGTCTTGGACAGATTTTCTAGGGAGAGGTGGATGGTTCACATCTCTTTTCTAAGGTCCAAAATGCATACAAATGCATTTCAGGGTTCAAAATTTCAATATTTCCAGGGAAACCTGTACTCTGACTCCATAGGCAAAATATGAAAACCACCCATAGTTAGTACACAAATATCACAGGACAGATACTTACTAGGAAAGGTCTTTGTGATAAAAATCGCTGTTGAGTGAGACCAAACATATTTTGATTCATGCCAGGTGAGCCTCCCCATTGACCCTTTTAGAAAATAAAAAGGTGCTTTTGAATACACGAATAAACACTCCAATTATCATTCTAGTTTCGCCTCTACAATGGATTGATAACATTCATATAACATTTCCTTTTCACGCCTTGACCAAATGATAAATGTCAAGCCCTTGTGAGCATTGCCTTGGATGACAATAGGCATAATGCAACGGCAGCATAATAAATATGGTAAATATATAGTAAAAAGGTAGCCTAGAACATGTTTTGCCTCATTTAAATGATTGTTTGTCACAAGGCTTCCATGTTGGATTCACTAGAACCCACAAACAGGGTCTGTGACCAAGCTAGCTCATACTAATAGTAGGACTGTTTGACTCACCATTGAATTGGATGGAGGTTGGTAAGATGGACGGAACTTGGCTAAACAGAATATAAAAGCAAAAAATACATTGGGTATATTACACTTCCTTTGTCTTATACGAACATAGGACAAAGTGTATTAATTGGTCTTTTATTGCAGAGGTGTGGGTTCAATTCCTGCCAGAAAGAGAGAGCTGCAATTTTGCAATGTTCCCAGTTAGGTCTTAAACATCGCATGTTTTTGCCTTCATTCTCTGAGAAAAGTTCAACAACACATCACACGTATAGGTTGCATAAGAAAGACATAGAACACAAATAAACACATTAAAACATATTTAAAAATGTGGATCTTCCTATATTTTATATAAAAAGTATAACAAACCACTTGCTTTCTTTAACAATTTTTATTATAAATTGACAACATTCACATAATAAAAAACCTTAATAAAAGTTCACAACATTTAATAGGCCACCTATGAACAAACGTAACACAGAGTTTAAAAGTTACAACTTTTAATACACAAACCTGCCATTCCTTGGTAAGGGTTCATCGCTTGCCCTGCTTGTCGAAAATCTCTGGACATCATTTTGTCGCTTTTTATTATTTCAAGAAACGATTAATTTCTTTAAACTTCACGTTGCTATACTAACGTTTTTTGATTGATTGGAATAGGTTTTAAAATCCACTCTTATACTGCTTTCACGCCGCCATGTTGAACAAGTCAGTGGCTTTGTTTGGTTGGGTTGGCTCTAGCGCATGCTCGGAGCCAAACATAGTTGAATCAAACAAAACACCAATTATACCACCAACAACAGCCCTTAATTCCTCAGCATGCGTTTTTACTGGAATTCTGAGCATTCAATAATTATAAGACGCAGCCATTGAATAGAACTGGACTCATAATCGCGCACTCTTAAAATTACTTTGACAACCCTTTTCCGGCACCGGTGCCCATATTAAAACTGGTTCATAAAACATGCTGAGTACAATGTCCTTGTTAATTACTAGTTTTTACTACCTTTAGTAGTACAGAGTTGCAAAAAGAGTTAACCCTCCTCAGGACTTCAAGTTTTGAAAAATGACGTTACGTCACTGCATCAAGTAGCAACCAGCATAAAATAATTGGTTTTTTGATACATGCATGTGATCAATTAGAGTGTTCAACTTTGAAACTTCCTCACAAACCTCATTCAAAGCAAACCTTTCTCACGGGTGGCACGCGCAGTCTTTTTTCTGTGGAGGTAGTGCCCGTTCGTACAGAGAAATAACGGACAATTTCATTTGGAAGCGTCATTTTCAATTTAGACTACGTTCACACAAGACCGGAGGAATTCGGGACCGTACTCAAAAACACCCGGTTTCCTCGTGTGAACACGTAGAACCCACCAAATTTTCATCGCTGCCCAAACCGCACTAGTATAAATTCAAATCATCTACATTTTATTATGTTCGGATGCCATTATACCTTATATACAGGTGCATAGAAATAACAACATTTCGAAGTTGTAAGCTCAGTGCATAACGCCTTCGTGAATTTTTCCATCTCAAAAGGTGAAAGGCTACCTGTAATCAATCAACTGTTTTAAACCAGCGAATATGCTTCTTGGAATAATTTTTTAACCAAATGCGGTGCAAGTGCCTACAAAATCGCGGGCTCTGGGTACGAGATTGGACTTCTTTTAACCCTCTGTGCATGCGCATTTCATACTTTAAATTATAAACTTCTTAAAATACAGTAATGTATTAGTATATTTTAGATAGAACTACCAAATCCATGTCAAAATCAAAATAATCAAATAATAATAGTGACTTTTTTGACGAAGGTCGAGTCGTTGTATCGTTAAATATTAATACCTATTAGAATAATCCTTTTCCTAATTAAAATCCACAATATTAATTTTTTAAATTTCTAATGCAAGGACTGATCCAAGTTAACCAGAGTTACGACTGTAGAAGTGAACTGCAGTATACTCCATACTTTATAAAGGGCATGTGTCATACAATCATAACCGCGGCAATCAAGTCCATAAAGTCCAGTTTTTCTTTATATCATATGCCCCAGTAATTAATTTGGACCCATACGTGGCAACAGACGCTGAAATGTTTACATGAACAATCTTTATGTCACAAAATCAATTATTTTGACGTTGTGCGTGATAGAAGCGATATTCGGCAAGTGATGCTTGTTGAAACATGCCTCATTCATGTACCTACAAGTAAAAAGCAAGCGGGCCATCAACGTCGTCAAGATAAAATTGGTTTGTCAAGTTAATTGTATTCTTTATGTATAACTTTCGGAGACTTTCTTCTTAAAAACGTACATTCATTTTAAATGCATGCAAAATCTTAACTTCATGCATGTAAGTAAAGTAAGAATATACGAAAGCTACAAAATACGGCCAAATAATGGCATACTATCTATACTGGCGGAAGTCCACAGATGCAAACAAGTGAAACTTTTGAAAAGGTGTCGAAGAAGAATATATGTTAACTTTGCATTGTCGGAGGAGCATTTCAACGTATTTTCTAAGATGGAGAAAAGAAATATTCTAACAAAAAAGGTAAGATAGTTCTAGCTTATATCCAAACATTATATCAACCATACTGTTGACGATTAGTTAGCTTAGCTCTACTAGACCACCGACGATTAGTTAGCTTAGCTCTGAATTTCATGCACCGATAGCTCAGAATAAAAATTATGATTTGAATAAATAAATTCACCAAATTGTACCACCATGAAATTGTCAAGGTAACCATTTCCTTACTGCGCAAACGAATAATATATTTCGCTAAGATCAATACTCCCTTGTCCACATGGTCCGGTTATATATAGGGCTGATATATGATATATAGATTATATGAGATCCATTTTAACACTAAGTATATCAGCTGGCCTTTTAGTAAATATTCCGGCAGGCTCAGTTTTCTGTATTGGTTTTGGATTAGTTTTCTGTATTCCCATTTGTATTGGAATACACACACGAGTACTGCAGTACGAGAGTAATTTCGTCTACAGTAATATAGATGTCACAGTTTGCTGGTATTTAACATTCTTCGATACACCCCAGCAAATCGAGGATAAGGTAACGAAAAGAATTGTTATATATAATTCATAACATCGCAGCACATGACTGCAGTCCTGCGATCACGCTTCCCGTGATTACTGAATTACTGCTTCCCGTGATTACTGAATTTATATAACATCTTGGAATAAATTCGGTTAATGCTCAACTAGAAAATGTCTAAAATACAGACCGAGTTAGTTCTATTCCAAAGTGTGATATTGAAGGTATTGATTGGAACTAGTGGGCTACTTTGAAAAGAATCGTTATATCTATAAAACCTGTTTTCATACGTCGTAATTCATCGGCGATGGCTATTGTAAGTAGTTATTGGCATATGTATATTCTTTATCTTTCGAAGAAAATTATATACTTCATTGACCACCGACAATAGATCGTAGACCATCGCCGATGAATTACGACATATGAAAACCAGGCTTTATAGATATAGCGATTGACATGTTCTAATCTAAAGTTCTCTGTTCAAATCTAAAGTTAGTCTAAACTCGTATTTTTTTGTATACGCGTGCGTGGTGTTCCAAAGATGTTTCTGGGTATACGTGTGCAATGGTGCTCCTGCTTTAACCAGCACGTATATCAATTGATGGTAATTGTATTTTCAAGTTTATGACATTCTTGCGTTTTCTTATAAACAACTGACTTACGTATACAGTTATGCCTGAAGGTGGTATAGTTTTAAAAAAACCTGAATCATGCAAGCATCAACAGCAAACCCAAATAATTAATATGTACCGAAAAAATGCTGGAAAATAACAAGAGAAACTTCCAAAATGAGCTGACATAAGAAATGCTTGCGTCATGCGTCTGCGTCATTGCGCTCGTTCTCCGTTAAGTTACTTATTTATTTATTAGCTTCGCCAATATCTCATAACACATCATTCTTACAAAATAAATGTATACAAACAAGGCGAAGGCAAATCAAATTGAAATTAAAAATTTTGTAAATTTTGCGTTTGTTAGGAAAAATATATACTTATAATTAGAGTTTATCGGCAAAATCATATGAGTATTAAATATATTATTTATATGCAACTAGGCGGTCTATAGTACATACTGTACTGTTACCAATAAGGGTCCTGTACTGAAAAAAGGTTAAAATTATGACAAATTTAAATACGAAATAGTAATAGAATTTAATGAGTTATTATTTATTACTTTTTAAATTCCCCTGCCATTTTGATATTCACATAAAATTAGCTTGTAGGTACACCACGTAAGTATTTAATACTGCAAAGCTTTCGGTCCATCAACCCCGGCCTTCATCAGTGCAAGTGCAATATTAAAAAATTCAGTGTTAATTCTGGGTTAACAGACCGAAAGCTTTGCAGTATTAAATACTTACGTGGTGTACCTACAAGCTAATTTACTTATTTGATGTCACCATGCAAACGTACAAGAACATTATTAAAAATAAATTTGTTAATAATATCAAAAGGATGTAAAAATGCAATATTATTATGCGCTATATAAGAATATTGTACATTGTACAATATTAAATAACCACGCCCAGCATACAAATTCAGGAAATATGCACAGCCATGCAATAAAGACAACAAATCAGATAAATATGTATTGTAAATATGTAGATCTGAAGGTTGTAAGAATAAACATTCAAATCTTCCAAAATGATTTTCCGTCTCCACGTGGCAGAGTAATTCAATGTCAACTTTGACAATCGACAGAAACATTACTAACTTTCTATACGCGGGGTACGAAACGGTAGGTTTCGGCTAATCTGATGACGATGATGCCTTGATGATACCCGACAAGACCAAAAAGCTCGACACCACCAACTAAGCTGAATTTATGACCGCGTGTCTGACCTGAGGTAAGAAAAGCCACCTTGCATGACTTTAAAATATGAAGAAAAAAATTCTAGTAAATGTACAAATTCAGGGAACATATATATGTGTAAATTTTCGACTCATGCATGGTCAAGTCATATTTCTCGGTTAACTCATAACAATGCAGAGCCGGCTAAAAATTAATATCTAAAAATTATTGGACAACCTGTTTTTATAGTAAATACAGAACGAAAATTTATGATACTCCTGATGGAGGAAGTTGACGTTTTTCGCAACATAATTGGAAATTCATTCATTACAATTAAACTTTATGCTCAATAAGTCGGTTTCAATACTAATATGTCTACTTATAGCATGATACACCTGCCTCACATCATTTGCGTGCACATAACGTTAGTGCACACACTAATCAGTATTTTGTCTGCCAGCCCCTGGCTTGTATTACAACCTCTAGGCGTTTGGGCATTGAATCAATGTACTTAAGAAGTTCATCAATAGGGTAGTTGTCCCATACTTCTTTAACTTTGTTAAACGACTCGTGAGAAAGTCAATCAGCGTTAGAAAGTCAATTAGGCTTAGAGGATTCAAATCAGGGGAGTGGGCAGGATGATCCAATACTTCCTACCCTGTCGATTTACACTTTCTTCTAAATTCTTCACCTGGTCGCCAAATGTAGTAGCCAAAAAGTTGGAAAATAGTCGTCTGTAGTAAGGAGTTATTACACTTTGGCCCCCTCACTTTACGCCCCTGCCTTGCAACACCATCGCGAGAAAAATTGCATGAAAAATTGCAACGTATAAGAGGGCATTTATTCTCGTGCTTACTTTTACTTTCTGTCGTAAAGATATCGTCTTTCTGTCCTGGTGCTTTTAATTTTACTTCATAGGAATATACAGCGGGCGGTCAAAAAGTAGCCCCCATAACCGAATCATTAATTTTGTTGTATACTTATAGTGTCCGATATTCTACTTTATGTAATATAATTCTCATCATTGTGTGCAGACTGGCCTAGAAACTCCGATTTAAAATTTTGACTGATTTTTGAAGATTCATAATACTCATTTTTTATAACATAGTCGAAAACAATCAACGTTCTCCTAACACAGTTAGAGACACAATATTTGCATTCAAATGCGTATATATGGGTACTAGGTAGGTATATCGTAGAAATTACAGGTACATGTTTTTTAATAGTTGTGTCTTTTAGTACATTTTCATGACCATAAAGATATCCGTAGTTCAGAGGCGCTGTATTGTGTCATTGAGTGTCGTTAAGGCACAATTTCACACCTGAAGCAAACTCTATTAAATAACTACATTATTGTTCAAATTAAAGGTTACTATTTTGAAGAATTTGTTCTGAAACATGCTATATTTGAATATCTGCTTGAAACCGCCATCTTGAATTTTTATAATGCTACGATACGTGTTGATAATCGCAATTTTTATCAACTGGCACCTAAAACTAAAGAAATTTGCGCAAACACATATTATTTAATGGCGCTACCTTCATTCACGAAATGCTGTTGGTATGCCACATTTCGTCAGGGGCTACTTTTTTGTCCACCCACTGTAATTCGGTAAATTTACGAATAATGGCATCCAAAAATCGATTCGTTAGTAAATCATTACCCACGTCAGTATATTATTATTGTTTAAAAACACCCCCCAATCGGAATGCTCTCAGTACGGCACTGATGACTTCGCAATATTAACTCACTTTGGGCGAAAATTAGGGGATAGTGATTTTTTCAACCGTTCTTAAAATGCTTGAAAAGATAAAATTTCATCTTTGGAACCAACAATTATTAAAGAGGTCCTTAATAGGCCTTTCTTATAATGACGTCAAACGCGGAAAGTCTGATGTTACACGAAATTCAATTGGCTCCACAAAACTATCGAGCCAATCAAACTTCGTGTAACATCAGACTTTCCACGTTTAACGTCATTATGAAAAAGGTCTATTTAGGACTACTAAGAGGGGGGACGGTACCATCGCGAAATCTATTTGACGACAGTCTCTTAAAGGACGGGACTTATTGGTATTTATTCTCATATTGGTATTCGACAGGTATTTTAACTTATAATTTTGCCCATATTACATATAGTACAGTTGGATGATCATTGAAATGACGTTTCCGTGAAAATATAACTGTACCTAATTTTACAATGCAACGCTATCACGCGATAAAAGGTTATAACGTTAACTGTCTGAATAGCTCTGTTGCATGTTTCAAAAATATTCTAGGTTCATCAGTTTTATAATATTTATAATTTATAGTTTCCCTATGAATAAAAAGGACCTTAAAATTACAGTAAGACATTTCAAAAGAATTACACAAAATTTAGCCTTGTGCCATTTACAAATAGCTTAAAATTGCTTACACATTGACTATGCTTTCTTATTAGTCTATAATTAATTAATTAATGATTAATAATGAATCTCATTGCTAACTAACCTCTAATAAATAATTACTTACATCATGCACTCTTTCACATAAAAGCTACATTAATAATACAGAGGATTAATTTGAATGCAGTTGTGAATTTAATAAATTTAAACAGTTTTACAATTAATGGAATCAGGGTGAGACTGAATTTGTAGAACACTTTAAAATAACTTTAATATTTAACTTATTTTGAACAGTGATTTCCACACATTGGTTTCTACACATTGGTTCCACTCATAACATTGGGTAGGCTACTTGATTTAAAATACTGTAATTCTGCAGGTTTTTTATTTTTCTGAACATAAACTGCAGTTCATATACACCTAGAACTACAGTGAAATATATATATATATATATATATATATATATATATATATATATATATATATATATACCAAAATGGTGCACTTAAATACTCAGTCTAATTGCTTTTAATATTTTAAGAAATATAGTGATTTGAAATGCAAACCAATCAATTTGTTTACATTAGGGATTGTACCCAAGCTTTTAGGTATTTTATGTGTATACTATGTTAAACATTGTTGAAAATAATAATATTAATAATAATGATTTATTGAAAGCACATCCATATATATGGCTCTTTTAAATGATTACAAAACTAATAGGCGTAGACTGCAAATAGCAGATCTTAAATAAGTAAATCAAAATAATATTCAATGAACAGTTTAAATTATTCTAAACAAGATTTAGCTTTCTCAAGAAGAAGGTTCCTGGTAGCTTTAGTGAAAGACCATATGAAAAGATATTTTGTATATCCACTGGTAACTTAAAAACCATGAGCAGCCGAAAATTTAAAAAAGTAAAGTAAAAAGCAAATTCCGAATAAACAAGACATCTTGAGAATCAAAATATAATTCAAACAAGACACAGATTAAGATTCTGTCTGAAGATGACTTTGTAATAAAGTCAAAAATTTACAGTCTTGATCTGTGTCTTGTTTGAATTATATTTTGATTCTCAAGATGTCTTGTTTATTTGGAATTAGCTTTTTACTTCACTGGTAACTTGTTAAAAGATCTTTTTGCCGTATCTTGGAATGTGTTTGATTCCTTTGGGATTTTTAGAGATGGGGCTCAAGAGGATCATAAGTTATAAGCAATTACGTTATGTAATTCTAATCTGAGGTTTGTTGGTAATGTTTCACTATATATTCCTTTATACACAAGTTAAAATGAACAAGTTTTTCCATTTTGTCAAAAACAGGACCAAACAATGTTGTGCTGCACCCCATAAACATTATCGAGTTAACAAGTTGTTGCAACATGTTGACAAAAATGTTCATGGGGTGCAGCACAACATTGTTCGGTCCTGTTTTGAACAACTTGCATCAACATGATGATTTTACATGTGTGTGTAGGTTAGTTTTAAAGCGATATATTTTCCCATCACAAAAGCAGTGCAATTTGCATTCAGCAGGCATTACAGTCCTTTAATTTGGTAATTAAAGCAATAATATGGTGCAAAAATTATGCCGCTTTTACCCATTTTAAAAAATTGGAAGCTTTTTACAGTCTCATTTCTGTTACTGAATGATTAGAAATTAGCAAACCCTACCTGGCAAGATAAATCCATTTTGTTAGATTTTGCTTTATGATGGTTCTTATCTTTCAATTGATAATCTTGAAATAAAAAAGAAATCACTTTCATTATACTCTGAAAGATGTTGTATATGTTGTATATAGTAGATATACAGTAACCATGGACAATTGAACAATTTAACATGAGATCTGACCTAGGAAAAACTGGAAGGTGTTTGGTTGAAATCATAAGGAAAAACCATAGCCCTTTCCTCTTTTACCTCTTAAGGATGCAATATGTGACAGTAGTTGTTTATCAAAGTCAATTTTAGTTATGAAGACACTATGTTCAAAAGTGACTCAGTTTACTAAGGTTGAATCAGCAAAGTCGAACCCATCACACATTGTAAGCTTCAAAGGTGAAATATCTATATTTATTCTAGATGGTGTGGCAATTAGGGGCAGTTTTCTTTAAGTGGCCAAAACAGTCAAACTGGTCTTGGAATTTTGTCAAGAATTCAGAGTATTTCATTAAGAATTTAGCTGTGAAACGGCATTTTCCATTCTGAGCAAATGTAAAAACAACTTACTTGGGTGAAGAACTATTGAAACACTCTAAAATATCTGTACTGTAGTCTGTCTTTACTAAAATACAACAGGACCAGGCTAGTCTTTTTACCCTATAAAAGAGAGCAACCTAGGTTGTTACTAATTTTTCCCATTTCTCCAAAATATTGGAATACCAGGTAGAATGATTGTGTCCTGTTAGAAATAATGCATGGTGATTAAAATGTATACCACAACCAGCCTCCATGAATTCACACATGCTACATTCATGCAACACAACTATTTTAAGGTTAATTAAATATTCTTATATGTTTGCATGGTGACATCAAATAAGTAAATTAGCTTACCACCTAAGTATTTATTACGGCAAAGCTTTTGGTCCATTAACCCGGGCCTTCATCAGAGCAATACCTGAAAACAACCAATTACCTTGTTTACCAATAAGGATAACATTTGTTTTTACCTTGTTTACTTGTTTAGCCTTTTCACCTTGCAATAACCTTGTTTTCAGGAAATTACACTAATAAAGGCCTACGTTAATGGACCAAAAGCTTTGCAGTAATAAATACTTACTCCATTGTAATTATCACTACTCTGGTTTTAATAAATTAAAGTAATCACCACACAAAGATTAACTTTCACGACCCAACGTTTCGACACCCTGGGTTGAGAAAATTAATCTTTGTGTGGTGATTACCTCAACTTATGAAAACCAGAGTAGCGATAATTACGGTGGATTATATACCTGGTTGCTGTGAACTCATTAACTTCAAATACATGGTGTACCTCCAAGCTAAATGACTTATTCTTTAAAAGGCTGCTTGCGTAAGATAAAATATTTAAAAAAAAAGTATCTACAACATAGCCAACACATGGTGATATAATATTATTCATAACATAAAGAATAATTCTCTAAATTTCTTCTCATAATTGCAATGTTTTTTGAAAGATTTAAAATATCTAATTACTATAGTGGACGGGAGCAGCGTGGCAGCACAGTCTTCTTATGTAATGTGATTAGGCAACTTCTTGAAAATACAAGAGTACACTTCCCGACGTTTCAACCTTAAGGTTTTCTTCAGGATGGGTTTAATTTTTTCATTTCAGGCAACATTTTAGGTTGTTGCTTAACCACATTTGATGATACTGCATACTTAACTGTGATCTGGCTTGTATGCATGTCGAGTGTCGAGGTCGTTTTCCTTTCATATCTTTTCAAACGTATCCGCAGCAGATTGATGTTTTATCACATTTCATATTAAAATAGAAAATTCTCGCGATCAAATGGAAAGGGAAGCTTCTCATATACATGGCCCCTCATTTGAAAACATTTGAATACGTCCTTCACAGCATAGTTATCAGCACAAAACTCTGACGAACACGAAAGTGACGAAACCCTTTTCGTCTTCTGGCGTATGAAAATTACTATTGTCGTGACATTCCTGCCGAATGCCGATACAATCTGGGCGCAGATTCAGTTTGTGGGCTTTGTTGGTCGTTGTGACGAAATTTGAAACCACCAGCAACCGCATTTTCTTTGTTTCCAAATTCCAATCACGTGTCTTTGGATGAACATTGAACAATGAGACAACTTTGAGCGCACTAACTGTGCTTTGAGGTGTTCCCTTCATTTCACGGCAATAAAGAAACCATAAACTAAGCAACAATTTATATTTTTTCCCTCTAAAACTGCCTCTACACTTAAAACGCTACAATTTTCTTTTTCGTTGCAACTGTCCGACAACTGAAATCATTCAATTGCAACACGTCCAGTGGCGTAGCCAGCCCGACAATTTAGTCATGCTATGCTAATATTTTTGTGTTCATTGACTGTAAAAACAATAAATTTGTAAAGAAATTAATAATGATAATAACATAAAATTTTCATAGCATGACTAAATCGTCAGGCTGGCTACGCCACTGAACACGTCATTGCAAGTATGCCCACCATTTCCTACCTGAGCTGCTCTTTATTTATAGTTAAATCCTGCTCATTCGATGACATACGTCAAAATACGGCACAGCTAACGATATACAGAATGTATCCCCCTGTCCAGACATGGGCACACTAGATTGCTAAAAACAAGATGGCGACAGCGAAGTTTAGATCAGTGAGATCAATATATTTTTAGATTACGACGGCTTTTTTTAGTGCCGAGTAAGCAGAGCCAGAACTAAACTGAAAAATCATTCAACAGCTTATTCTAGATATAACAAACCGGCATATAAGAGTAGCGTTCTTCTTCATGTAACAAATATAACATTCTTGCCGATGGTGATCAGCTAGCTGTTACATTGAGTATTGTTACAGTGATTACGTTCACTTCGATGACATTCCCAATACAAAGACATCTCCGCAATAAGCGTCGTAGCTTACCTGCAGGCCACAGTAGGCGAAAAATCATGGAAAATTTCTTCACGAGTTAGGCATCGATTAGGTGTCTAGATATTTCTGAATTAGAATCATTTACCATTCTTGGAGGGCAACTGAAAATTGTAATTAGAATGTATATCGACATTTTGCGTAAGTCATTATTAAATATTCATTTGTATAATCTATTACACAAATGACTCGCGTGCGTCGTACACCTTCGGGCTTCTATGGTGAAAAGCGATAATAATAACACATGTGCGTTCACCGTGTTTCATGCAACAATCAGGAAGCTGTTATACGCGCCCTGGGGGATAAAAAACTTTTTTTTAAACATTTTTTTTATACAGGATGTCCCGAAAAGCCCACAACTATTGAAATCATCTTTGTTAAAATTTCAATGACTTCCAGGTTGTTTGCGAATTTTTGCCTGGCTGTGGGTTTAATTCGAGGGAGGGAGTACCAAAAAGGGACCTCTCCCTGGCGCAACGAAGTATAAGTATTTATCGTGGCCAAAGAGGAAAATTTTTTAACTAAAATATCCAAAATAATATGTTTTCGCACTTTACAGATGATTTTAGTGAAATTACATTCAGCCAAGTGATTTTGTAAAATTTCAGTGCTAGGCAAGGCCCTCCGAGTCCAGTGTATGTTGCCTCTTCTTCGGTATATATATGACACAAAAACATTATATACAATAACCATGTTACCATTCACATATTTATAACATGCATCAACCTGCGATATCTCGGTGTAGATTAGTGACAATTTTTCTTCCTTTTAGTATGGCGTCTTTGGACGACGTTCAAACACTTTTAACTGTAATTATTGACATACCGAATTTACCACTTGACCAAGTTTTTGTAAGTGATTTCCTGGACTACTGTAACATTGCCGGGATCTACACAAATCTGAGAAGAATTCTACTGGCAAATCGTAGATACGATCTTCTGGAACTTGTTGATATGACAAGGATAGGTAAAATTTGAAAACCTAAGATTAGTTAGATTACGCATGCTCGCGTCTTACATAAGGGTAAAATTAGAGTTAGAACTAAATACAAAAAGTACTCATTATAATAGACCTTATGCATAATGACGTAACAAGCCGTGACGCCTGCAAGGAGTTCTGGGGCGCTTTCCATTTGAGCAGAAAATCTAGATTTCGTTTTCGGAATGCCCAGTAGCATAATGGAACGCTCAAGCCTAGCAAGCCTAAAAGTATTCTTTGTTGAACTTTGTGAGGGGTCAAATGAACTACCTGTATCTGACTCATATTAAATTATTAATAAATAATTATTAGACTTTGAAAAAATATCTAAATATAAAAAATCTCTAAATGAAAAAAAATTTGCACTACTATTTTACTAACGCAGAATAATCTTTACTTACCGCGCTTACAACTTGTGACTGGAATGATTCTGGATTTGTTCAATATTTGCTGATATAAATCTAGGTGAACGTTAATCCACCATTTTCTATTTTGATGGGTTAACTGGTTTGCTGCTACCTCCTTCGCAGGCGCTAGGGAGCATTTCGGGCGATTTGGGCATTTCGGGCGGGAGTTTGGCATTTCGGCACCGCCCGCCTATTTGCCCGAAAAGGGCCTGCGGAGAAGGTAGGGTTTGCTGCACGTGAAGATTGAAACTGAACCGTAATTGCGAAATGTTTGAATGGAAAGTGAAAATTTCGAAATTTCCAATTTGTGGACAACCTATAGAGATAGTCCGAAATTTTCGAAATGATTGTCCGGAAATAACCATGATCACCAATTTCATTTTTTGTCAAAATGTCTGGAATTTGCGAAAAATGGAAAGCGCCCCTGCTGGTCTTAATTAGTCTCCTCCGCAGGCATCTCTTATATATTTATATTGGGCATTTATATTTGGCTTGGGTTAGTTAATAGTCACGGCGGAAAAAATTTGAATATCCCACCGTGACTATTAAGACCAGAACTGTTACGTCATTATCCATAAAGTCTATTTATAGGGCCATACATAAATCGCTATATAAGAATCACATTCGAAAATTTTTGTGCCGACATGCATGCATCTTGTTTAAATACTTACAAATTACAATTACTTCACTTTGCATATATTTTAGGCAACATGAGGCTATTACGGGACTACGAGCAAGAATATGTTCCTTTTCGGGACATCCCAGGTCACCATTATCCCCAGGCAAGTCACCAGTTGACAATTGATTGTCTGCCAGTGAGAGAAGAAACTGTCTGCCATGCACTGAGAAACGGAATAAATCGAGGAATAAATGATGCGCTGCAATAGGACAAGGACAGGAGATATTAAATAAGGACTGTTCACCTGAGCCCGGTTGGCGAGATTTAACGAAGCGTTAAATGAATTTGAGGTATTGGAATGATTAAATAACATGATCTTGATACTTGGTAGTCGTGTAGTCAATCTAGCAATAGTATTCTCATTAAATTTTATAAAAACTTTTTTTTCACTTAACATTTTTCCGAATTATATTAAAATAAATAATATAATTTGGTTCGTTGTGAGTCGGATTTCGTTTTGTAAGTGCAATAGCTAACAACAGGAATCCGTCGGGAAGAACTGAATATATGAAAATTCACGCCCCCCCCCAATTATCGTTCAAGTCCCCTGCCTTAGACATAGGCACTAATTTTTTAAGTCAAACGAAAAGGAGGAAAACCGGAGTGCCTGGAAAAAACCCTCCAAAGGTAACCTGAATTTCAGGTTACCTGACCGGGGGTCCGAATTTGGTATTCTCATTTAGAAATTGTTAACAATGACAATTATTATTTAACGTTTTATTTATAGTTGACCGTTTGTAGTATTTCGCGTAGCCCCAGGAATTCCATATTGCTATTCAATTCTTGAGCTTCGTCAATTGAATCCTGCTGGTGGCCTAACGTGCGAAGCGCGCATATCGTCCGTGCCAAAACAGAAGGGGCCGAAAAATTTTAGATTTGAAACGAAAAATTATACTAAAGAGGATCCCTGATATAGGAATACTAAGATTTAATCAAAGTTATACCACAAAACGAGCGATTCTGAAGCGATTGAAAAAACCACTATCCGGCATTCATACAACCGGCCCCAGGCTGTTAAAAGTAAACTGCATTTTGTCCGACAAAAATTATTTCAATGATTCAAATACTCATTTTATGATCATGCTTTTTTGGAAAGATCTGGCACTTTGGAAAGAAATGCTTCATATTCACTTTCATGCTTTTTCATTTGACACCGCGATGACGATGTAGACAACAACGCTAGTGCTTCTACCATTCCTTCTCAAGACATGTACCTCATGCACCATTTACCTTTTTTTATACGTTATAGATTATGGTTGACAAAGCTCTTCTTTAAGGGGTTCAGTTTTAAGGCAAGAGGGTACAATACAATAATAACCTACGGTTAAACACTATGCCCCAGGTATAAGTGTAGTTATTATGCAATGTAATAAATATATCATGCAATATAGGAGGTATATTTTGCTTCTCATAGAAACGTAATCTTTCATGCTTGAGATTAACCAGAAAAAATTGAAATCCAAAAAATTAACACCAACAAGGGAAACAGAGTTGATGTTTGCTAGTTGCTACGGTCTATTTTTACCATTGAATGAGGCCTTATTTTACATCAAATTACCTTTGCACATAGCGAAATTTTCTCGGTGCCACTGGCACACAGCGTTTTTGCAACTCTTTATTATACGAAACCTTTTCGTTGTAAAAAATTATTTGAATTAAGGAGTTTGAGCCGTCGTCTTCGCGTTGCTGTCCCAAGTCTTTTAATAGTCTCCAATTATAAAGCTTGTTATGACTATTATGCTACGTTCACATGGGACTAGGCGAATTTGGGACCGTGCTGGAATTCCAGCACGGTCTCAAATTAATCTGGTCACGTGTGATGAATGGGTAATGATCATAGGTCGTAAAACACGTATCTCACCATATATAAAGATAATGAAGCATGAGACAATAGCGAACTAAAGAGGAACAATGAAGTACCAAAAGGATCACATTTAATGCCTCAAAATTGAAATACTAGCGAATAACAAGAATCGTTTCGCTCCAATCTAAACCTAATAGTCACTTGATGGTCTAATTTAAAATCAATAATGTTCTCAGCAACAACAGCTAGTCGCCTTTTTACGTCGATTTCTTTGCTTTCTTCGTCTTAGATTTCCTCAATTTTTTCGCGACTCTCTTTCCTTGTACGAGTTTTATTTTATTCTTTATAGTTCCTTTCTGTTTGGAACTCGTCTAAATAGAAGGCAAAACACTATAATCAACATACACGTTGTGTTTACCTCATAAATAAAACATACACCACACCACACCATACCAACTGTTCAACACTATTACCAACTGATTATACCACCACTATAGCGATTCGAACCATTTCGAGATATTTTCAACCGAATTTGAAATTTCGAAAAACTTGACGAAAATAATGACTTCCCCTTTGGGCCATCTGACAGTAAACTCATAAAACTCTTCTACTGTTTTTGACAAAAACACAGAGACGAAAACAATACAAATGAGATGCCTTTGCTCCTTCAATTCAGATTCAAATTGGCTTCAAAGATGGCGGCAACCGAATTATCGCTCCAGCTCATATTGAGTTCACTGTTATCAAAGCAACACACGCTGTATCTTAAATTATGATAACTACGGGGAACTCTTCACGCTGGATGAAAAGAACAACTTGTATATATTTTCATGTTGGGTACAAAGTAAAATCACCTTTCTTGAGTAAAACCGAGTTTTCGGCACATGATTAGTAATTCGCCTCTTTAGTTGACTACTGTAACGATTGCTCAGATCTTTTACTCTGGAAAAAAAGGTAACAAAATTGACATTAGTCCAGTAAAAGATTAAAAATATTTCTACTCAGAACATTCGAAACTCACTTGTAAATTCGTACAAGCCAATGTTCAGACGTAAATACTTCATCTAAGTACGTAAGTTTGACGTTTTTGTTTCCAATTTCAACGTTTCTCGTGCGGTCAAAACCTGACGGAGTCCTAAAATCCAACTGTAAAAAAATCACTGTAGTATTTGTGGTAAGTACATTTAAATACATCAATTTTAAAGCGCACAGAACGCATTAGTGCAGAAATTTGACACAAATCAGATTTGGGAACATTTCTGACTTTAACTATTATCGCGGTACTGACACGTATGTACTGAAGTCATTGGGCATAATCCTCCACTATAATGTAGATGAAAAATGAGTGCAAACCTGTAAATCGCCAAATCTGTGATAACACAATTTGTACATCAAACAATTCAGTAAGATCGGTGAACCAGCAGCATCGACACGGAATTCTCCGTTTGGTGTAAAATAATCAGACTCCTGGAAGTATAACATAAAATAATCAATTGACCTAAGAAGATCCTGCGACCACGTAACTGGTTGACTTATTGGTTCTCACTTGATCACCAAAGTACTAAATGTGGTATGGGTGTTAATTAAATATTGTTTCATCAGCACCAATCGTGGCGTAAGTTTTCGACTACGCGCAAGAAAATCTCAGAAATCAGAACAAAGAATATTTCTGCATGAAACATTTAAACCCGACAATTAGGATGTTGGAAAATTTGTGTAAATCAGCTTTGACTAACTAGCTATAAACACATGACAATAAAACTACGTTGATTTAAACGTCCTAAAGCCTTACGGTCGGGGGTTGGTGAGATAATACACAGGGTTCCATGTGGAAAGGACACGGCATATATTTTCAAAAATATTAGGTGACTGTAGTCTCATGAATTTTATTCCAAACATACCCTTATATCCTTGGGATGTTCGCCTTCGGCTATCCTGACCATCCATAGAAATTTATTGATATCATCGCCAGAATAGCCAATCACTCCACCAAATATGACCAGGACATAATTAACGTCAAGCGAACGCATTATTTTATAAGCTGCTGTTTCATTGGATGACATTGCTTTACCAACCTTAAGAATAGTGCTAGATCATCAGGCGCATGCGTCGAAAGCAATCATGCAGTTACTACGAAAGGTTATTGAATTGATTCACTGTCGCGACTCTTGCCCTTTGCAGCTCCGACCGAAGTCAGGGAATTATCACACAGGCACACATGGGAAATAAATACTCTACTATTTGAGGTGGGTATTTTGGCAAAAATGCTTACTGTAAATTTAATTATTTACCAAAGCAATATGACTGTTGTTCCATGTGTTGTTATCCACAAGAGTTGTTCTATTGGCAAATCCAGCAATTTGGTATCCATAATCCCACCAAGACATCACTCTAAATTAAAGACATTTCATAGATTGAAGGTACCAGCTTTAACTGAAGCGCCAGAACAAGTTTGACTGCATAAAACCATATAAAACCAAGTCCAACAGGATGAACGTACTTGAAATTGTAGTTGGGAAAACCAGTCATAAAACCAGCTTTCTACAGCTACTTCTCAGGGGGGAGGGGAGGGGGAGTTATCTGAAAGTTTTACCTTGAATCGTCTGGAGTGTTTTGACGTAACCAGTAGTAAGCCTCCCGGAAATCATCCAGAATATTTCGACTCCTTTAAAAATTAAACAAAAGGAAAAGGTTGAAAAAATCAAATCATGCTTATCCTCTTTACCATGCACTACACTGCGTTGAAGAAGATTCTTATTCCAAATCAGTGTAGGCATTCAGAATTTAATAATTTAATAATTTAATAATTAACAGCAAGAATTTAATAATTCTAATGACTTGAAATTCGCATAGCATGACCAGGCTAATGGTCAGGCTGGCTACGCCACTGCAGGCATTAAAAGTTATCTAAGAAAGAACAAAATTTCAATGCCACATTATCCTTCAGTAACTTACTCACCCGTCGTAGTTGGTAGAGGCAAGGACAACAGAAGGACTGGAATAAGCATTACTGGTGACCCAGGTACAATGAACAGCATATAGGAGAAGTAACATCAATATACACATGACTACCATTCCACCAAGGTTAGTTGCTGACGCAGATGAACTGGGTTCGGTTTCTTTTTCCTCCAAAGCTTTAGGTGAAGGAGCAGACAAAGAAGGCGGTCGGTCTTTCTTTTTGGTATGCTTTGTTCCCTTTCCTTTAGGTGTCTACAAGTGAAATGGTTCCGTTGATTTGTAAACAAAAAGCGACAATTTTTGCCCAGTTTGTTTCTATCCAAAGCGATGACCTGGCTTAGCGCCAAGTAAAGTTCTTCAACCAGTTTTATACCCGAAACCACCCCCCCCCCTTTCTCCCTCGTCCTTGATGTGACGGTTCATAAGAATGGGTCTAGTGAAATGCAAAATTTCCGCCGTATTGCTTAGGATCAACCACGCCACAATAAAATAGAGTCATAGAGCCACAACATTACAAAGTCATGCAAAATTTGGTCGAGACATGTTGTTTAAATGTGAAATATACAATCTTTTAAAGTGTGAAAAATATTTCAATTTCTACCTTCTTCTTGTCATTGTTTGTTTCTTTTTGTTGTTCTTCTTCGCTTTCTTTTTCCTGTTCCTCTCCCTCGTCAACTGGCGTAACATCCGGATGAATGTAGTTATCCAGTGTCACTGAGAAAGCAATTGAGGCCAGTACACACACTACCGGTGTTAGTGTCAGCATAAGACGCACCATGACACCAGCGAAATACGACGCAGTCACAGCATACAACACAACTACAAGTGGAGAGAGAAATATGTCAATGGTACAGTCAGAGTAAACTAGGTCGACCATTCAGTTTAGAGCCTCTTAAGTCTGAGTCTCACGAATATCAAGTAGCCCTACTATTCATTATTTTACCGTGGCTAACGTCCGTATTCAAAAAGCTCACTCACAATCACACTCACTGTGACTCACACTTTTTGAGTGTGACATTTTGTTATTATACTGATCATGAGAAAGTTTTTTCATAGTCAATAAGTAGATTTAAGGTATAACATTGAAAATCAAGTTATTGCTTGACTGAAAATACAGCAATGGAAAAGTTATAAGATTGACATCTCCCACTCAATGAGTTTTAGTGCGAGTGAGCTTTTAGAATGCAGGTTTACGTCCACACGTAATAAACCAGTCGCGGTTATATATTTATAGATCTCTATGATACAGTTTAGATTTTCTAATCAATCCAAACAACAGAAAATTATTGTCGGTATTGCAAGATTAAGAGTCTTCAAGAAGTTTTGACAATGTAGCTAATTTATCGGTATAGGAAAATAAAAAAATAACGCGGGGGAGCTTTAAGTCCAAAACAATTCAAAGTACTGAGATTTTGATAATTGGAGCACAAAACAACTCTGAGGCTATGTGCACACGAGCGTAGTTTTCGAGCATTTTAAAAATCACTTTTGTCTATTTTATTGTTTAGTTACGATTTCAAACATAAGCAGAAACAAAAGCAGAAAATATATTATTCTAGGACTAAAATTAGGTTCGATTATTACTCTTATTTACTACATGAGAAAAACCTAGACAATGCATTATAGTTGATGAAAAAATTTTATTTTGCACCGTATTTACACTTTAAACACATTTTTTTCGTGAACAATAATCATATCTACATAAATCATACATATATACAAATTTGAACTGCAATGTTATAAAATGTCAACATCTTCTTCATCTTGCGAACTTAAACTAAAAGTTCTCTTAGGAACTGAATATGAACTATATGGATAAGACCAATACATATTGGGATAATAAGGTATAAAACTATTCGGTACACTATAGTTCATAAAGTGAGATGTTGGATTATAAACTGTGGAAATATCAGGGTTCATTATGTTCCGCTCTGGAGCCAAGATCTCGTCTATCGTGAAGCCGCGTCGTTGGATAACAGGAGCAACTGGGGCGATTATAGGAACTCTGGCGGGACAATATGGGATAGGTGGTCGTGTGTTTATTCTTTTGTAGTCGGGAATGCTAGTTCGTTCAACTAGCGATGGTAAATTTTCATCATGATTCTCTTCCCGCGTAAATCGTCTTTTTCTTCGTCGATATTTTCCCTCGTCGAACATCATTTCACTCGAGGGATCCACTGTCCAATAATGACCTCTGTTTTGATCGTGGTCGTCACGCGGGAGTTTCATAAAACAGTCGTTTAGGGTGAGGTTGTGTCTGATTGCGTTTCGCCATTTTAAAGGACATGTTCTGTAGTACGGAAAGTTCTCGTAGATGAACTTCAAGATCTCAGACAAGGTCATCTTGTGGTATGGTGAACTTCTGATTGCCATGGTGATAAGAGCCACGTAGGAATAAGGTGGTTTACCCGGTGGAGCTTTAGATCGCTTTCGTTTCTTGGAAACAGTCGCAGCACTGCTGTTGAAACATCTGTATCCCGGAACTGCCTGGATGTTCAGGGAATTTTCCTCTTCTTCGACTGCAACTTTCATCATTTGTGTTTCTATCGACGACATCTTTCGTTGTTAATGGAGTTGTTCTTGCTTTGAATGCTCAACACTGAATGACTCGTGCAGTGAAAACGAGCTCTTTTATAGTCAAGGCAGAGCGTAGGAAAAGATCATTAGGACAAATAATATAAAAGCTATTCTTTTACACGAACAAAGAAGAAAAACGGTCAGAATAGAAGAGCTATAAAGTTTGATGCCCCCGCATAGCGTTGTTTACGAACTGTTTGTTATTGTGTTTTTCTGGATGGTGTGGGAGGTGCGGGGGATGTTTGGAGAAAAACAACTGTTTCACCAACGAAAATTAGAAAAAAAATGAGATACATAACTAGCAAGTATAAATGTTGTATTGATATAAGAAAATCTAGGTTAAAACGTGGTCTGTTACAGTGAAGAGCAATGATATAGTAGATAATGTGGAATTGGCAAATATATTATTTACAGTGTTGCCATATATGGTGGGAGTCGCGCGCGATTTTTTGAGAAGCAGTTAAATTTAAACCATATGCAGCAGAGCATCGACTTAAAAACTTTCAGGAAAAACTCCTATTTCTTCTAGCGTAAAATGCAAAACTGATTTTTCATAGTGATCCGATATCAACCTCACAACAGTGTCCTGCGACAGAGGTTGACGTAATATGTATGATTCTGTAAGTTGTGATTTGCAGATAATAGTTGTCATAGTTATATGCACTGTGCATATCACTTTTTAAACCAACGCTTCATGTGAAATATAAGTTAAAACCTCGTCTCAATCTCATATACACCTGCCAAATCATATTTCTAGTTCTTTCAGCGCGGGTTTATCATTTAATGAAATTGAAAAGGTTTTGAATGACCCTGGGAATGCGGACGTTTCCCTATATAAGTTCTTTCAAATACTTTTTTATTGTTAACCTTTCTGTCTTGACCATGCATCGTATATTCATTTACTCATTACGCCCTCAAGCAGTTAACCCTCGACTATTTTTTATTGTGAATTGCTAACACAATAATGTAGAAGGTGCGGGGGATGCTTCGAGAAAAACAACTGTATTATAAAAAATATTACCAACGAAAAATCTTGAAAAATTCCCTATTCTATAGCATCTTAAAAACAACTGGAAATGAACTTTGTTAATACTTTCGGTGGATTATCGCAGTATATATATCATACAGGAACTTGTTGCTAGAACTTTGATAACAAAATGCCAGCTAGAAAACTCTTGTTTTAATTGCACAAGTTCAATACGCTTTCAATCTGTATCCCCGATTTTGTAATCCTAAAACTCAGGATTTACTTCAGGTTTACATTTGGAGCGATATTTTTGAAGACGAGACGCTTTTTCAGTCTCTCTGCATTGCCGGCTTTTACACAACATTGTACCCGGGATCTTTGACCCTGGCTACGAGGTTGTCCTTCTTTTATTCGTGCATCAACAAACAGTGACAATAGAGTAAAAGTTAGGGTCAAAATTGTAAATCTAAAACTAGACTCACTGAATACTCGTTCATCGTTAATTTTCTTGACGACAAACCAGAGTCCGGCTGGGAATGTACAGGCGAGGATGTGCAGATCAAAGAAGAACGACACCCACGTGGTTGGTTGATGTTCTGATACTGAAGCAATGATAGGAATATGGATCTTGGCATATCTACAAATTCATTATTAAAGTTGTGTTTACTTACGTACGGTGTATGGTGTAAGCATAGGTGTAGGTTACCAACATAAGCATTGTTGTTTAAACATGAGTAATATGGTCGAAAGGTAGATGACCGAAATTGCATGTTTCATATTGTCAAGAAACTGAAATCTGCGTTTTTTGCGAGATTGTAGGGGCTGTTATTCTGAAATAATTTCCATGAGCGGCAAAAGTTTGACATCAGCCTCAGAAATTTTATTAACATCATTTAACACTCTCATATCCCTTCAGTAACGTTCGGGATTATTTTCAATTCGCAACAATTATTTCCGTTGAAAGAGTATATCCTAGAAAACCGAGTAATAGGAACAGCCTCAAAATTTTATTTTCTGGTATGGGCACATTTCAGACTGACGATGCGTTATCTCTTAATAAACCTGATATGAAAAAGATTGGCAACTCACCCAGTGTCGTATAAAGAATAAAATCGCCCACTCCAAGGTGCGATATAACCTATAAAGTGAAACAATCTCACATGACGTGACTGATCAAAAGAACAACTTGTTCTGAACAAGGCCTTGATTGAGGAGGATATCGCCCGAAGACGGGCCGTAGGTACACCTACTATAGTATAATTGTATTATATTATGTTTAACAGTCGACGATCTTTCGGTCATCTCCAATTGTCTGGCCTTTGGGCAGTCAAATGAGTATAAACTTTTTTCCTTGCATGGAAGTATGACATTGCTCCCATTCATTAGTGCGTAGGGGTACTAGACGAATCTTCTCCCAACTATTAGTTAATAAATTATTAGTGCCGATAAGAAAGCTTTATTAGGGATAGTGACCGAGGCTTGGACGCGAGCTTTGATGAGATTCCCTTTCGACAAAATGTTTACCTCAGGTGACAATTCCTACATTTCAGTGGGGTTTGCACAAATCGGACGTAGAAATTTTGTGATTCGAATTGTGTTTCCTTGTGAGTGCTTTCCTCCGAGATGAGAGAATAATTCCGTATTAGCTAAGTCTAACTTTCCTCCCAATGATTTTGTCACTAGGTCTTCTCGTTCCACATACAGCGGAGTTGAGAACTTTTATAAGACATGAACCGTTCGAGTAAAAAAACATACCAGAATACGTGAGTAAAACAACCACAGCGAAAACCAAGCCAGCAACACCCGCGACAATCAGTTGAAAGAAGTGTTGTATTTCAGCCCATGTCGTGTGATCTTGGAGAAATTTGAGGAACGCATAGGCTTGAAGCAAAGCGAATACGCCTGAATAGAAATAAAATTAAAAAAACGGAATACCTTAGTCTATGTGTGGCACCAACAGGAGGCATAATGGGCAGTAAGCAAGTAAGCAAGTGGCACCAACTGTTGTTTTAACTCTAGGATATTGAAACTGGTTAACTGCGGTGAATTTGTAAGTCCTAATAAGTGACACATTCTGACACGTGAAATCGTAATTTTCATACCAGCGGAGGCCATATGTTCACTTGTTCTGATTGGCTGGAAACCAACGAACGGCACTTGCATTGACAAAATCAGGCCCATTATAAAAAAGGTCGAATAAGCTAGAAAAGAACAAACCAAACTGAAATCAAATATTGCCGAAAATTGGGCAAATCTTCGAACATCACGGCGATGCATAAAATTTAGAATAAAAAAAAATAAGAATAAAATAAGAATAAAATAAGAATAAAATAAGAATAAAATAAGAAAATAATAAAATAAGAAATATTTAGAAGCAATTTAGTTTAGCTTAGCACTCATTTGCTGCGTGATGAACAGAAATGAATTCTGAATTCACTTACCTACATAAATACGGTTTGAAAATCGTCCCATAAAAAGGAGGAAAAACACATGCAGAGGAATAAGATTTATTATAAAAACATAGCCACCCCATGCGGAGACCTATATAAAAGACGCAAAAAATTTTTGATACAAAAAATGTAAAACCATGGATAAATGCGTTTCTTTTCTTTGATTATTTACCATGTAAAAATATGCTAGGGCTGCTGATGCTGACCAGAATATGGAGCCTGTTTTGACAGATTTTATCTGCAAAATAGAAAAAGTAAATATTCTCATTTGTATTGTAATACTGTTGTAGGTGTTTATCAACTATAGGTTCAAATATTTCCAATATATATTCCTTGATCTTTCCTTCATATTTGAATTGTGTATTATTAGTGTTGGATAATATCAGCCCTTTGTTAAAAAACTCATCTAAATTTACTGTGAGCTACTGTACTTTTAACCACCTCTAATATTGTCAAATTCTCACCCATAAAAAGTAAGTGAACTGCAATGCAAATATTGCTATTCCTTCATTATCATATGATCCTGCCACCGAACGAGATATATAGCCAGGAGCTGTAAAAAATTATGAACAGTCAGCATAGATCATTGATTATACCTCTGACAGTTGAATATCAAATAAACAAATACAATTTCCTTTTACACAACAGTACCTATGGCAATGAAACAGGCAGCAAATAGTCCAGCTCGAGAATTCCATAGCTCTTTTGTCAGAAAATATGTTGCTATTGCAGTAAGACCACTAAAATAAAATAAACTATTAGTATTATATGCCTTAATTAACCTTCAATGATCAACAGTTGTGCATTATTATTTAAACCTGAACATTGGTGCCAAGAATACACAAACATCCCGGATATGTACTGTGATATTCAACACATTGAGAAATCTGTGAAGTGCAGCTGAGGTTACCATCAAACCAGGAAATACCTAATATGAGTAATAGTTTTATAGCAGTGATTGCAATTGGCTCAATCGGGAATGAAAATGAAAGGAAAAATTGTACGAAGTAAAATTAACTTACTGTGCCACCAACAATCCGGCCAAGTGGATACCAGGCTCTTTCATCAAACCAATTGAGAAAATTATAAAATCCATGAGAAACTAGATGATGGGTAGCTCTGTAGTTGAACCTAAATAATGATTGGAATAAATATCATATCAAGTAAAATGTATAAAAAATTTTAAAATTGTGATAAAGGAGGGGATTCTGTCAGACATTAGGTTGCAAATTGGTATGAAAAATGAAATCTTTGAACTTCTTTTAAACTAAAGTGTAGGTATAGTAGATAGCTTGACCAATACATGTAAAATAAAAAGTAGATGGCATATTGCCACAATGTACTACTTTTCACATACGAGATTAATCTAGTGTGGTTTTGTTATGGGGATGCAGGCTAGCACCAGGCCATGAGATGCAATAAAAAATTAACAATCAGTCAGCCAACCAGAAAACTATATGGCCAGTGACTGCAATTTCAGTTTAAATTTTGCAAACTCTATCTGGCAGATCTAATTCCTGATTAAGTTTTTTATTGCAATAGATACTTCCTCAATTTCTGGTCTGAAAATGAAAGCTTCCTGGTTAACTATCAAGCTCAAGTCTCTATGAACTAAAACAAATTCTATATATGTCTGTTTTAAAAACAGAAACAAAGACTAGCCTCAAACTTGTTATCAGCAAAACAAAAAGTATGCATCCTTAAGAATTCGATTAAGATGACATACTCCATCTTCCAAATTAGAACAGGCCCTTCTTTTAAATTGTTTGCTTTGGCAGCAGATGTGAAATGCAGGCCTATTCATACCATACAGCAAGAAAGATAAACCATAGGGCATTCCATGAACGTCACGCTTAAAATTTTTGTTTTAAAGGTTACATGGAGTGCGCTATGGGTTGTATTTTTAAAAATATATTCTTTACAACAATAGCTTGCCAGTTGGAAAAGAGGATATGGATGTCTATTTACAAACATTCACAGTTCGACCCATGCAGCAAGAAATTATATCAGCAATTTTTCCACGTGTGTCGACGTCGTATAATAAATGAGATATAACAACACGTCCAGCTACTGCACATATGAAATTATCTCTCATTCTCTGATATTGACAATGGACGCGCAATGTACTCCTTTAATGAAGATACTTACTAACTCATATTTCAACTTACCAAGGGTCAAATTCATGAATAATACTTTCAAAACGTATCACTGCAAATAGACGGCTCGCAAATCCAACAATCCATGCCAGAGATAAAACCACAAAACATAAAAGTGACTGTATTCCAAATGCTTGGTTTTTAGTGCTGAGCGCTTTACCGACGTCCATTTTGAATAATTTTCACCATGTGCACGATGCACGATGTGGCACGAGCTTGCAAAAATGCAACACGTTTTCGGGTGATAAACCAATGAAAGGTCAAAGAATCGTCATGTGACAACCTTTTACACGCGCAGAAACACCTGGCATTCCGTTACATTAAGGTGGCTCTCCACAATTTGAAACACAATATACATTAAGATTTAAGAAAATTGTAATATGAAGCCTACAAATGTCGCGTGGGCAAGAAATGCCTAAAATATCTAATAATGTACATTTTTGTAATTTCCGAGACGTCAAGTTTGGCCCGATGAGAAGTATTCTTTCTGCATACTGTGAACGGTTTTTTAAAGCGTCAAACCATCAAACATGCTTAGTACTTGGATTATTTACATGTTACTTAGGAAAGGTAGAATCCAAAATCTCCTTTTAAAAACGTCTCAAATGAGAGGGTCAAAGGACACTGAGACAGATAATTTGACAGTGTGCCAGTTTTCCGAGATTATTAGTGTTTGAAAAGATCCGAACATGTCACGATAATTTACGAAGGATTCCCGATCTTGCACGGAAATTTGCCGATTATATATTTACATTTTTGAAACTTCGTTGATACACTCACTTTGTTTTGACCATTCTTCCACGGTTATTTACATGTCATTTTAACATTTCCATGTATTATCTTTGGTAAAGTACATAGATCATAAATCATTATATGAAGCCTGGAATATGAGTGTTGAAGAGGCTCGAGAGAAGATCTTAAATTTAGCTGCTGAGGTAGCTGAAACTGAAGATTGTAATGTTCCAATACAACTTGGACAACTCCAAGGTATTCGATAAGTCAGGAAACCTTTGTGACAGCATGTTTGATTCTTCTGTATTTCTTGATAAAATGTTGCCTTTGCAATTGGGCGATAGACCAATAGCTATAACACAAAACCTTCGTCTTTTACGTATGAAGGCTGAATTCTGAAGAGTGAAGCTCACAACTTACAGGAGCTGTTGATAATTAATTGAGAAATCTGCCTCATATCAGTCATATGGGCTCATATCCTGTATCTAACATACATAGTGTGGCTGCATGCACCTCATAGAACCAAACTTTCATGTTCTCCTATGACAGCATACAACTTTACACCATGCAATTTGTTGTATAGATTCTTACCCTGGTGTTTGTGAACTAGTACACAAACATACAAACGTGACATTACAAATTCCACCCTGAACATATAGGCACTCTTTTACATTCGGCAGAATGATAATCGCATACAACTCACCGTGTAGTCTAAATAGGCCTTAAAAGTCCCTGGTGACCACATAGTTGGTATGAAATGCAGCCCAATTATTATCAAAAAAATTTACAATGCTGGGTATCAACTTGACATGCTATACCAGGGGCGCTTATATTTATATAAGTCCTGTGGCTGTGCTGGACATGCTGTGAAACTGATCTTCCAAATTCCCTAACTGTACGTTTCATAGGCTCAAGTTGGAGTTTCTTTTTGTTCTATTTCTAAATAACAGAATCTCTTCTCTAGCCTGTAATTTGTTGCAAATTCCAAATAGACGATTTGCAAGCAGGCTACCCAAGACTAGTGGTGAAACTTTTACTAGTAATGAAGCTTGTAATAAGATTCTTTAATTCACTTGGATAGGTTGAACCTGTTGTTGAATTATATGCTTCCCCATGCAGTATGTATAGAGGGAGTGGGGGTCTGGACACTACCATTTTGAGTTCACTGGTCTGAACCAATTTTCTTATTGCCCATAGATAAAGAAAAGACGTTGTGTTTTGACATTTGGAACTTGTCATATATTATGGGTTACCTATGCCCCTGTCCCCGTGATTGTTACAACCTATAGCCTCTGTTTACATTGTGGTAGACATTGATTGGGAAGGATCCTTGGACAATAATTAAGATTCTTAATTTAGTTAAAAGAAAACAAAATTTAGGTTCACTCATCATGCCCTAAGAATTGCATAAAAGATCATGTTAAAGTTAGTAACTATGTAACAGTGCATTTTGCCTTCCTCCCTAACATGTTTTCAGATTTACAGTTTAAAAATGCTCTCCACATCAGACTAAGAATTATGCTCTTTGTAATGCAATCTATTAGATGGCTTGTGAAGAAGCAAAGCGAGGTTTTGTTAAAAACATAATTGGAAGAACATTTGTATTTTTACCTAAATATAGAAATTCTAAGTGATTATCCTCCTGGAACTGAACCTGGTGTAAAGATACGCCAGGATATTTGGAACTACGATGTTTTACACGTTTGTTCTCTTGGTAAGTTGAATCACGCAAGTGGGAAACATTAGCGTATAGGATACAGTAATTATCTCCGTAGAAGTAAAAGATCACGCAGTAGAAATATATAACAGAAAAAGGAAAAATAAACAGCCCTCTGTCCAACGAAATGTCGAAGTTTTTGTTATATCTTAGAATGAGTATAGTTGATCAATGATTAATTTCCATATTAGCTCTCCTTCAAGACTTTACCCCAATCGATGGTGGATGGAAAACAGCTGCTAGACTGTGTTCTATTCTTTGCCAATGTTGCGAGGGAGTTGAGTTGCAAGCATCCATAGAATTCAATGAAACGTTCCTACCAAACGCCTTGGATAATATGTTGGACTTATCCTTCAGAATACAGGAAATTTACCTGTCCACAGAGGTCCGAATCCTTTTATAATAATAGAAATATTTTCTTGCTTAGACACTTACGTACATTCATCTGGGCTCCACACGCCAGAGGCGTGGAATTCCAAAATGATTATTTTAATCAACCCAAATCCCAACCTAAACCTACCCCAACCAAAATCTCTTAACGTAATGTCTAATATTGGAGATGACCGTTTGAAGGTTTTTATTTTTGTGTATCTACTTCTAGGTGCGAGTAAGACACGAACTTTATAAAAATTACAAAGATGTAACTGATTCAATAGTATGGTGGCTTAGTTACGCCCCAAATCTTAATATTTCAGGTACTTTAAATGGATTTTTGCGCAGCTATAATCAGGCAATTGACCAGTCACAACTATCACTGTAAAACCACCCTAATAGCCAGTAATACCCGAAGGCATCGCTATCATTGAGCGTCAAAAATTGTGTATTCTTTGTTTTCTATAAGAATGACACTTTAACTGATAAAGTTTAATACTTGCTTTGTGTATTTTTGCTTTCGTTGTTATTTGTATCCCATTTGTTTGTTATATCTTAGAAGACATAGGAGTTAAGACTGGCATACGTTCTCAAATATTTGCTCCATTTCATAATATGACGATTAAACCTACTGCAGTTTTAGAATCTAAACGTCTAATGCAGATGTTGATGGTTGAAGATGAAGAAACGTCCTTACTGATTCTTGTAATGATACACTGTATACTACGTAAAGACAGGTGCAGCGATACTTGTAATTTGTATAAAAGACTAGTTAACGTTTAACTGTAGTTAGGGACAGAATTGGCCAATCAGAGTAGTGTATTTCTTCGTCAACTAGGATTTAACTATGCAAAATATAGTTAGAGTTTTATACAACCGGCCCCTGATGTAGAAATTCATATTTGCGATAAATTTTCGCGGGTCACACAATCATTTTGTATAGTTATGCCCAAAAATATACCTTGATCCTGTAATAAACTGAGGAAACATTTTTATTCATTATTCTCGATCTATATTTGAAGAAAGTGAGAAATAAAAGCTATATAATCAAATCTATACTAAGTGTAATAACCTAAACTGAAGGACGCATGCGTATGTACATATGTTGATTTTCCTTATAGTTGTACGTCCATATGAAGGAATGTACTTACTGTACATAATGTGTTTAGGAATGTTCTCAGCAAGTTAAGCGAAGAAAAGCGAAACGGTTTACTGGATGAACTTATCTATAAAATATCTGCTTCTGAAGATATTTCTGTTGGAAGGTGAATAAAATGACATGATCTTTAACGAACGAAGTCGAAGAAGCGAACAAATTTCAAATATGACCTTTGAATTTTGGCCAGAGTAGTTACCCTTTCCCCATCACTTGTATTGAAAAGTAGAAACTACAAATCGTAGAAATTATTTTTCTTTTTAAAATTCATCTTCTATTCGAAAGATCCGCTTGTCAACTGCTACTGATGTTTATTGACCGTCAACCTGCTGCAATTGTGGAACTTTTATCGTCCAGAAAGTATAGGTATACATGCGCATTGTAACAGCACTATGCACACTTGTTGTTTATTAAGTAAGGTTTATACTATGCATGGACACTGGAGTAGATCTCAATCCCATGCTTGTACTGCTTCATGATACAACCACATATAAAGCTACATTTTTATGGATACAGTACATTCAGGATTTTCATAATCCGACAGCTCACATTTCATTCTCACATTTTTTCACTATAGTTTGAACTTCTTTTTTCCAGAGGTTTAAAGACATACTTAAGCAAGTGGAAAGATAAAGGCTTTGATCCAGATTTGAGGAAATTAACGGGAATACTAGAAGCAGGAGGTGTTGCCCAAGCTCACTTATTGGTATGACTTAAATATATGTGTAAAGTCATGCAAATGATAAAGATATAATTGGAATATCGGTTACGCGGACGATGCAGTGTTATTAACTTTGAATGGTGATCGTAAATATGGATACTAAATTCGTACAGATAGATATGAACAGTACAAATGTGACTCTTTCAAGTACCTATAAAATTTTAAGAATTTCAAATGCATTATTGAAAACCATTCTTTTAGAAAGAAGATCTTGCCGCATCAAAAATCCAGGCTTGCTACAAAGGATTCAAGGAAAGACAAATGTTGACAAAAACGACAGCCGGTGTGGTGACATTTCAAAGACTTTATAGGAAGTACAGATTGAGAAAACATCAGGAGCGGACAGAAACGAGATGGAAACGGGAGAAAGAGCTTCGCGAAGATATCTCGAGAAAGAGAGATTTTCGACAGAGTTTAAATAAAAATCTTAAAACGTTGGAGTATCTGCCTGCTAACAAAATCCAGGAATATTTGATAGAAAAGCAGGAGGCGGCGGCTGTAAGGATACAAGCCGCATTTCGTGGGATGCGCACGCGAAAGTGCGTGTCAGAGTTAAGATATGAAAAAATATTTCAAGATGCAGCAATTATAATACAAAGACAGGTGGGGAGGAGTCGTGGTTCTTCCTTATACCCGTTACAACATACAGACCCGGCCAGGGTTGAGGTCGAATGAGTTTTGAATCGGACAAGTGTTATAACATAGACCCAAGGATCAGAAAGTCAAATTACAATGGATTTCAGATCTGGCAGCTTAAGTCAAACTGAAATATTACTGTTAAACTACGAAACGTCAGAAACGTTCACTGCGAAATATTTTACCCATATCCTTTTCTTTTGTGAAGATTTTCCGATCGAGCTCGACCTTAATAAGATGTATTTTAAAGCCGTTTTCTTGTATCGTTGTAGTTTAGAAATTATGTAAAAAGAAGGAAAAGTGCCGAAAAGGTTAATTTTCAATCTGGGCCACCAGGTCTTGACGACGTTCGCCGGGCAGAACTTCAGGAACAAATATTACGTTATCGTGAAAATATGGTGGTAGGTATTTGGGCAACTTGGCTTCGTGAGATATTTTGTAAAATGGGTTCGCCATTCGTATCAGAATCCTATATAAAGTGCTGTTAATATTTTAGCATAAGTCTTGGACGTTGGAAACCATAAAAGAGCGCCACTACGAGGTAAAATTCTTTTTGAAAATTGCATTTATTTCATTTAACAGGGTTTTATTATTAGCGGCATTTTTTTAATTGAAGGCACTTGGATAGCTTATCCTTCTCTTCCGCGATGAATGTTCAAAGTGAGACCCAATAAGTACTTAATAGCCCTATTTCCTTATATCGTATAGACACAACGACTTCTGGGAAACCATTTAATGTTGTATGGGAAAGCAAGAAAAAGTGAACAAAGAAGGGAAGCGTTATTAGCCAAAATGAATGTTGATGCTGAGTTATTACTAGGTAAATGAAAGAAGTCAAATGTTATCCACCAATAGTTACTGAAGAATTTACTATTATTTATGATGCATGATTGAGGCCTATATGTTTACATGTGCAATTTTCAATCAATCTAATCACAGCTGAAACCAGGATATGTTTGTTGGGCATTAATCTTTGTACTGAGGAATCTATCAATACTGATAATTCAAATTGAAGAGAAATGTTCTTTACCTTTTGTACAATAGAAGAAGGAAAAAAAAGTTGTTCAGTAGAAATTTTGACCAATCGTTTCACAAAAAACTCTTTATCCTATAATCTTTCCAGGATCACCGCAATTGAAGGATGCGAATATGGAGATTGTAGAAATGTACACCTCTCGTTCCGCTCCTGTTATGACGAAGGCACAAATGAACCACGCTGAGGACATAACAAAGTTAAAATCACCTTGGTGGAAAAAACTATGGGATAATGATGAACAATATGTGATAGATAATATCACAGAGAAGAAAAAGGAAGAACTGAACTTTTAGAATGTAACACAGATTTTATACTCGGATATTCCTCTATTTTTAATATATATTTATTAAATTCAATTTATTTTATATTGCTCATGCATTCTACATAATTTTAGCCGTCCATTTTATAAAATAAGTATCACAAAATCTCGCCTAATGGCCTACAATAGCACATCAGTATACATCTTTCTCACAAACTAATTTTTTTCTAATATGCTTTGCATGATTGGTCATATAAATATTGAATTAGTTTACCCGGCCAGGTAAATGTAAAAGCATTCAACAGCGGTTTGACGCAAAAATTTTTCACAGGGATGCCGGAACTGAGAGGCAGCAGGTGCAGCTCCCCTCTCAGCTTTAACCAGCAGAGGCAAGGGAGGCAAAGGGAAGCAAAGCGTGCCCCTTTTAATTGTACAGGATTACATACTGTAGCAATTCATTAATTAATCTGCTTTAGAAAACGCTAGAAATGCAGCTAACGCCGAGCTTCAAGAGTAGCACAATCGACTGTGGGAAAACCTCATGCAGACATCGAAATAATTTAACAAAGAGACAATGGCGATGTCTACTGCCGATGTTTATCGGTTTCTATAGTATTCGTCAGACTTTAGTTAACGAACTTTTGTACTCCCCCTGTGCCTTCCAATCGTTCCAGCGTACAGGAAGAGCATGCCTATTGGTTTAGAGTTTTATTACGTCATGACGCGCATAGAGGGAACAACGAATTAGATCCAGGCCCTGCATTTAAAAGTTTACCAGATTCCCAGCAGATTTTACAAACTTTTAGACGATGTTCTTTCTTACCTTCCAGTGGGAATCTTTAAATGAACATTCTTATTACTCTATTAGACACGCTACTGTTTACCATGTGCAATATTTTCTTTTGTGAGAAGTATGTGCCACCCCAAAACCTTTCTGTCAAATCCTGCGGTGAAGAGATTATATCCTTTACCAGCCATCTCTCCGCCCCAGGCCACGCTGCTCACCATTCTCTGGTGACTCTGCCAAACAAAAGTTGGTAAATCAATTAGGCCGCGTTTCGACGTAAAATTTGCTGATCACACTTCCTTATCTTTAAAACAACGCCATTCTTTGCTCGCTCGCCTTTTATCAACTTGAATTTGAAGTATAATCTACTTACATATCTCCTCCTGCGAGGAAGATGCACGAGTCTGAATCCAGAGAGATCCAGCAGATGGACATGGCGATTGTCATGTGGGATCGCGATGATATTTTGATCAGAAGAGACCGAGAGTCTGAGAAAATAATGCAGATGAAAGCATACAATGAGATCATGCAGTATACATCTACTTCTTCTCGCCTGAAGTGGTGGCAACAATTTGTGCCATTAAAGACGTTAGACCTGGCGGCATCACAGCCGATTGTTGAAGACATAACAATTTATATTTAAGTTGAGAGAATACCGATCATTTTATAGGAATATATATTGTTTCTGTAATTAACCAACCGTCTTTGTCATACGGTGACATTTTTGTGATATACTGATATGGATGAAGTCTTAGTGGTCATGCACTTTTTGTGAAATGGCTTTTTGTGAAATAAAAGGTTCACCTGTTCACGGCGGAATCCAAGCGAATGGTAGTTAATGGTGCCCTCATGTTTTTCAAGTCCCAAACCTATAAACAAGCAAATATGCAATTAAGAAACGATAAAATCCAACCTGGTGTGTTGCTGACGCATTGCTTCATTTTGGTTTCATGAAAAATGTCTGCATGGATACGCATGTATAGGAACGTTATAGTACTCTTTATATACACCATAAACAATTATTAAGAAACTCTGGGAGCGAAAGAGTGATGCATATATAGGTTGTGATATGCTATGCAGGCCTATAAAATAAAAATATATACTTTTGGAGCATGTTTGTTTTCTCCTGCACGAGTGTTTTATGCCTGTTCTCTTTGGTGTTCTTGACAATAAAAACTTACGTTTACTTAGGTTTACGCGGGTCTAAATAAACTAGCGATAATCCATAACGGCTTGCATGCATGCTTAGTGTTTTGGCAGGACAGCATATATTAAATAAGCACTTGTTTCCACCCAATTATCACATACAACTTGAAACTAAATCTTTTACAGCACTTACATCAGTTCGTGCATTTCGAAACAAAAATTCTATTTTATCCAAATTCGCTTGGTATATATGTACGCGTATAATAAACAAGCTATAGCTGTTTGTAAAATTAGAATATATATACTATACGCATGACTACAGAAAAAAATACATAAATAAAGTTTTAGGTCAGTCTCATTATATACACTTTTCAAGTTTGACTAAAGTTAGGCAATAATTACAGTATTATTATATATAGCTATACAAGTACAAGTAATCAATGTTCGTAGATATAAAAATTTTTTATATGTATAGGAAGGATTTTTCCAGGTAACACTTTCCCGATAGTTGTTTTTCTCAAATCAAGGCACCCCCGCACCTCCCCCATATGTATACCAATAAACAGTTAACAATGGTTGGTAAACTAATCCATGCGGGCGGAGTACCACCAATCAAACTTTATTCAGTTCTACTTAGAACTCAGAATATAATCAAGATATTGTTTTTAAAATGTTAAAACAGATTTTTTATCGCTTTCCTAAATCTTTTTTAAAATGTTGAAACAGATTTTTTATCGCTTTCCGGCTTAATTTTGACTTATCCAACGTTTAAGTTAAACCGGCTTGATACAACCGGACCCCATGAAAGTGCATAAAGCCCGTTTTCCACCAGGCGAATTTATTCGCGCGAACAGATAAAAAGTAGGAAGCAGATAGTGTTTAAGAAAGATATTTTGGTTTATTTTGTATTGATTCATAATTTCACATACTGCATGTCATTGAAGAACGTAGAACAATTTAGCTTGATTCGTACAAAGTCTTTCATACCTTGACTCATACATAGGTCTTTCCGACATTTTTCTCAGATTATTAAATATAATGTATGTGCATGGTAATGAAAAAGGTAGCGAAACTCGGTGTTGCATGGACAAACGCAAAAACTATCTTAGGAGCACTTTACACAAAAGCCATTGCCACTTTCGCATTCCTTCCTTCTCATGATATTTTTACTTGGATTTAGGAGATGTAACAAATCATGTTTCAACTTTCATTCTTTTATATCAATGCAACATTCATACTTATAAGTTGTGTCTTAAACATTTCATTTTCTGTATACAAGATTCAATTTTCGTTGGTGAAACAGTTGTTTTTCTCCAAACATCCCCCGCACCTCCCACACCATCCAGAAAAACGCAATAACAAACAGTTCGTAAACAACGCTATGCGGGGGCATCAAACTTTATAGCTTTTCTATTCTGACCGTTTTTCTTCTTTGTTCGTGTAAAAGAATAGCTTTTATATTATTTGTCTTAATGATCTTTTCCTACGCTCTGCCTTGACTATAAAAGAGCTCGTTTTCACTGCACGAGTCATTCAGTGTTGAGCATTCAAAGCAAGAACAACTCCATTAACAACGAAAGATGTCGTCGATAGAAACACAAATGATGAAAGTTGCAGTCGAAGAAGAGGAAAATTTTCCTGAACATCCAGGCAGTTCCGGGATACAGATGTTCCAATTATTCAACAGCAGTGCTGCGACTGTTTCCAAGAAACGAAAGCGATCTAAAGCTCCACCGGGTAAACCACCTTATTCCTACGTGGCTCTTATCACCATGGCAATCAGAAGTTCACCATACCACAAGATGACCTTGTCTGAGATCTTGAAGTTCATCTACGAGAACTTTCCGTACTACAGAACATGTCCTTTAAAATGGCGAAACGCAATCAGACACAACCTCACCCTAAACGACTGTTTCGTGAAACTCCCGCGTGACGACCACGATCAAAACAGAGGTCATTATTGGACAGTGGATCCCTTGAGTGAAATGATGTTCGACGAAGGAAAATATCGACGAAGAAAAAGACGATTTACGCGGGAAGAGAATCATGATGAAATTCTACCATTGCTAGTTGAGCGAACTAGCATTCCCGACTACAAAAGAATAAACACACGACCACCTATCCCATATTGTCCCGCCAGAGTTCCTATAATTACTCCAGTTCCTCCTGTTATCCAACGACGTGGTTTCACGATAGACGAGATCTTGGCTCCAGAGGGGAACATAATGAACACTGATATTTCCACAGTTTATAATCCAACATCTCACTTTATGAACTATAGTGTACCGAACAGTTTTATACCTTATTATCCCAATATGTATTGGTCTTATCCATATAGTTCATATTCAGTTCCTAAGAGAACTTTCAGTTTAAATTCGCAAGATGAAGAAGATATTGACATTTTATAACAATTGAAATAAGTTTAGCTTTAATATAGTCATATAGGTTGGTTGAGCAAATTGTAAATAAAAGAGAAGGATAATTTAATAGAATATTTCTACATAAAACCTTACTTTGTGTGTGCGAATTTTAATTATATATTTTCTAAACATATATCAAGTTCAGGGTGCGGCTAATAATTTGAGCAAAAACAGAATGAAAATTTTCCTGATTGAGAGGTGCATACAAATAACAGTAATATAACAACACTGATTACTGCATGAAGATACGTCAGATTCGATACGAATTATTCAGGTTTCTTGATTAGTGAGTTATTATAAAGAATACAATAAACAATTACTTCATGGTTTCCGTGTTTGGATGGCCTGATCTAAACACGTAGGAATGTTGTGTTGATGTGCTCCAAGTTTTATATTAATAAGCGAATTAAATTTTTGTGTTTGGATGGCCTGACTCAAACACGGGCTTCGACCATATACACCACTTATACCCTAGACATTTTCACCTTACTGGTATGACTGACTGATAGAACTCACTCAGTTCGCGCAATACCAGAGCTTGGGAGATGAACGAATTCGCAACTCTTACAAAACCTATTCCGATCTCTCTCCCTCCCTAGCCTCCTTTCCCGGCCAATTTCACTGTACGAACCTTGACTGTGCGATCATCACTTCCACTTACAACAACATCTTGATCCGTGAATACGGCTGATGTGACAGTACTAAAAGTATAAGAGCCCCACTTGATTGAAGAGCCACACTAGGTTGCTCAGGAAAAACAGTATCCGGTGCTATAAACCTTTCCACAAACCTCGTATGCCCTTGAAAAACGCTGACCGAATGTAATGACGGCGTTCTAAAATCCCATAAACGAAACGTCGAATCGTGAGATGCCGTCACGATGAGATCTTGACTACGATGAGAGCACGTGTGGGTTAATTCATCATCATGACCTGCAAATATAATTGTAATGATACATTGTTTGAAAAGAGTTTAGAAATCCTATATATGAACTATTTGCAGATGAGAACTTTTGAGAGTATGACTGCGATACGAGTCAAAACACTATCACTATCAAAACATGGAAATGGGCTGACAAAGTAAAAAAAATCCATGCATTTGGCTGACAAGAAACCAAAAAGATTATCAGTTAGGTAGATACAGATTATCAGTTAGACAGATACCCGTAAGTGTTTGTATGACTGTGCTCTGTTCCGCGTCCCAAAGTTTGGCGGTGTGATCCCAAGAGGCGGTGACAACTCTCTTTCCATTTGGCAACCAGTCCACAGCCATAACCGCACCTATAAACACAAATTTACAAGTTTCACATACACAGTCAACGATTACGCCTTCCGTCTCTGTTTTACAGCTGAGGAGGCTTTTCGAGTTAAAGACCTAGGACTTACAGCATAACTTGTCATTGGGATTGAATATGCTAAATCTGCAACGCAGACAGAGGCGTAGCTAGAACTTTGAAAAAGGGGAAACAGCGAAAATCTAGGTGGGGCCAAGCCGCCATTGTTACTCAGTCAAAACGCAAAATTTTGCAGTACGCAGATTTTTTGCATCAGATTTTTTGTATTGTTGACGGCCTGAAGCTACATAATAAAGATTCACTTTTTATAGGATGAATCCCCTCAGGAGGTGAGTTTTGCAAAGGCGGGCGGTTCCCCGGCTCCTGCCTTGTCTATATGTCTCTGAACGCAGACGCAAGAAATCTATCAGACGAAAATCGCAAAATCCTGGCAAAAATTGCCAGGGTGATCTAGCCCTATTATAAACGTTCATAAATCAATTATATAGATTTACTTGGCCGAATCTAAAGCTTACCTGTGTGTGCTTTCAAAATAGTGCCCGGGGTCTTGAGAATGAAGGGACGATGTCCATCGGATGAGTCAATACCTCCTAGGTTAAAATAATCAATGAATCTTTAAGAGAATTTTAACATTTTCATCTTTTAAACTGTTGTACGTCTTAGGCTGAATTTGAAGTGCAGGCAATCACTAAATGACTCAGGTCTGTTAAAACATTGTTTTTTTGAAACGAGATACATACCATCTTCAAGTTCTTCATCAGTGCCGTCATTTTCATCATGTGACCACTACAAAAAGATATTAAAAACTATTATTTTAGCCATTTCTTTACCCAAAACTAATAATTTTGTACTATGTAGCAGTGAAATACATAGGTAATGTTCATCGAGAAACATACATCAGGAGAGCTTCCACTCGGCGATCCTTTATTTTTTGCAAACTGATCCATGATTGAAGAAGGTAACTTCCAAATATGACTCGATTCATCGCCAGAACCTAGTGAAAAGTATTGATTAATATACCACAAGAATACTCAATATAGTTATCATTAATGTCGCCAGCGAGGTGTTTGAAGTGGAAACGGAATCAATGAGAGTCAGGTCTGCTGTTTCTAACAAGGTTTTGTGGAGGAACAACTCAGGAAGAATCTAAATATTATGTATTTAAATATCTAAATATTACGTATGAAAATAACCGTAAAAAACAAAGAAATGAGTCCATTCAACTCGATTAGCCATCAAGGATAGGTATCAGTTTTATCACTTACCAGTACAAACAATTGGTTCATTTGGATGAAATTTGATGGAATTAACTAATAAAAAATAAAGAAATTTGCAAATTCAAAATTTATGACAATGCAGGATCTTATAGCCTTTAACTTTACAACCAACATTTAGCTACAAATAAATCACTTCACAAACCTGATCCTAGATGTCCTGCATATTTTAAATGGCAATGCCCAGAATCAATACACCACAGTCTGGCAAAATGATCTAAAGAAAAAATTCATGGGCTTTTAGGGAACATTTGTTAGGAAACCTCATTAATTGTCACTGGTATCAGCAATATTCAGTTTTCTACTTCTTGAAGTTTTAGCCAATTTCATGTGCGTAACCCCATCTTCAACCATTTTCAAGAGGGGTGAACGTTTACATGAGTGCAAAATATTTCTTAGTGGGTGAACACCTTCTCACTCTCCAGGCAGAAATTGCTTTAGATATTACTCTTTTTGCTAGTATGTCTAATTGTCTACCCAAACAGATTAATAATCCATTATTTCCCATACCAGCTGAAGCTGTTCCTAACACAGTTGAGACATGTTTTGAGGTGCTGACTTCCCAAACACCATCTTTATGTCCTTCATATGTTTGGAAATATTGATATTCAATACTTTGGGTTTGCCCAGGAGTCTTGAAACTGGACACAAACTAGCAATTATAACAGTAATTTGTTTAATATAATTGATGGCAAAGTGATGATTACTGCTGCATTGCCCATGCAGGCCATACTCATTTAGCTCAGTGGTTACTTGCAATTAATTACCTGTATGCAATATTAGACTATTTTTTAACTACCTTGCTAGTCGATGCCTTATAAGTAGTCTTTAGTTTTCTAGACATCAGTTTCCCAGCAGCTTTGGTTTATAACAAAATAAAGAACATTAGTTTAGACTGTTATCATTCACAGGAGTCATGTTTTCATTTTATATAAGGTTCATCATAATGTTCCATTGTAATGCATGTTTTAATTTTATTGTACTTCAACTCACATGTTTTTTTACTTATGGCACTCTTTGTTGCTCCTGTCATCCCCTCAATACCATACAACTCCCCTGATTTCTCTGCATTATCCACATTCCCACTACTTTCAAGTTTCTCAGTCAACACATCAACTTTTTCCTGAACTAGAATGAAACATTATTTTCTACAATCAATAAAAAGTACTTTATCTTGTTTTCTATTGTTACCATTTCCAAAAAAAATGTGTTAAAACTAGAAAGGGGCTATATGGGTGTGGACTGTGGAGCTATGTGACAATCTTTAGAAATTGTTTTTTTTGAGGATTAAGTTGAACCCCATTAATTACACTCACAACCCCAAAGACAGGGCTCAGGCTACACACCTGCATAGTTTATTTTAAAAGTTGACATACAAATGTGCCAGAAGAAAATAAATGGAAATTAGGTTTTAGTGCTGTAAATAAACACTTTGCAAAGGAGATTATTCCTCAGGATAAAAATTCATCATCTGGTAACAAGTTCATCATCTGGTATAAACTGTATTCGCACGTTCATACTATTAATTTCTTAAACATAATTAAATTAAACTTTAATATTATCATATAAATGGCACATATATATAATATATAAAATAATAATACATTTAAAGATACGAAAATTATATAAAGAATAATGAGGGCAGTACTTACGCGTCTGGTTTTCAAGGCAAACTTTTTCAAATTCCTTTTCAATTTGCGAAAATAGTTCATTCAATTTCTTTCGACAAGTGTCAGGTAAATTATCATTCATATACACACTCCCATATTGACTGCCTGCACCTTCTTCGGTTACACATTTGGGTGACCGATTCCTTCCAATAAAGGGCTTCTTCGATTTTGTTTTGCTGTCACCTGATGGATATTTGCTCATCTTTTAATAACGGTTTACTACCGTAAAATTCGCTTACACATATGCACGTATCTTCTCATTTTACTAGATCTAAATATCTAAAGTTGGTTTAGAACGCCGACTGAGCACAAGCAAGAATTGCCTGTTCGCAGGCTAAGAGGTTGACACAGTTCACTATTTTTGCTGATTTTGTACATTTATTATTTACTATTCATTTCTGGAGCATTTTGCCTTTTCCTTATAATCCAAGTAATTTTTACCTGTTTGTTAGAACATGGTATATATGAGAATTGGAAAGGGGTATATTGATGATAAGTTACCAAATAAGGCGTAGAATTCCATCTAGAATACACATTACAATGCCAAAATGTGAGTTAGTTATGGCATTGAACAATTTATTACTATACAATAATCACATCAAAAGGAAAAAAAGTTATACAATATAGAAACTAGTTCAACAATTCAGATTGCATAATTCCAAAGCAATATGGCACTTCATATCATGTGTTATTTCAAATCCAGATGTTTTCAACAAACAAAATGCATCTTAGTTGTTCATCATTTATATTCAAGCCCAAAGCAAACTAAAGTTAAAAAGAAATGAAATATCAGTTGACAAATAATTGTCAACACTTCTAAACTGGACCTGGGACTAATTTGATGTCTGGTTATATATCATCAGGATCAGAAAAATATTTACACTAAACATGACTAAGAAAATCCATAACACAATAGTTGAAATACTTTCCTGATACAACTGATTGCCTATTGCCTAATGCATATAACAATAAACTCATATATAAAACAAAATACAATACTGTACACATGGCATTTTAATACTACAGGTGCATTTTTCTCTGTGTCTAAATACCTAAACATATGCTTGTGTTTTCAATCATTTGGTGAAAGATTGAATGTCCATCTTTAACCTCATGAAAATATTCTTACCATTGCACTCATATTGCTATTACCTTAATATTGTCGGTTCTGGCATTCCTGGATCTGCACCCCTTTTGAGACCTAACAAAATCATTAAAATAATTAAACGATCGTCAACCACCATTGCTGTATATAAACCTACTGTGTATGAATAACATTAAGTAGCATTTCATAAAAAGTACTGAAAACATTGCCTGTCGACTATGCGGTATGTGCAGGCTTTTTATACAGTCATAGCACGTGGTTAAAACTAAAGGAAAGGAATACCTAGGAATACCATCTTTTATCTTTATTCTTTGTTAGAAGGCGGGGGAAATATAAATTACATTTACTATACCTAAATATATTATGACAGGAATAAATCCATAATAAAACGAGGTTTTCGCTGTGCCCAACACCGCCTGAATTCTTTTTTTTGTATCTTTATTCCAGTCAACCATGTTTACCGATTACCTTTTTGAACAAAATCAGCTACTCCCCCCGGGAAAAGCCCTAAATTGGTACTTTTTCTCGTTGTGTAAAGGGAGGGGATCTTTTACACAATGGCCTTTCCAAATATAGGGTTTAATTACTGTAAAATTTCGCAACATTGTGGACAAAAGATAGCAGATCAAGATTACGTATCTGCATCAGTACACGACTGAAGTCCAAGACCAAAGTGCAAGATGTCTTTGGTGTTAAAAATTGTTTCTTTAGTAACGAATATATTTCGTGTGAATGGAGAAATAAATTATTTATCACTAACTTTGGTGGCCGGTTTATTACCCATACTTGCTTGGTTTGGGGTTAAGAAGTTTCTTTCGAATAGGAAAGGGCCAAATCCGTTTGCGCAAGACACCCGTCGTCCGCCCAAACCATTGGAGACCGATTTAAAAGCCCGAGATAAAGTTTTAAAGAATGGTTTTGTGGCAAAGAAAGTTCCAGACAATTTGGATGCTATTTTTATTGGTAGTGGTATCGGTAGTTTGAGCTGCGCTGCGATGCTAGCCAAGGCTGGTAAGAAAGTCTTGGTACTTGAGCAACACGATCAGGCTGGTGGATGTTGTCATACTTTCTATGAAAAAGGTAACTTGCTGTGCAAATTTGTTAACTTTCACGTATACATCGCCAAATTGTGCAGTCAGTGCAGATACTTTATGGAAAAGATACTTTTTTGTGCAGATAGTTTTTTCTGCAGACTGGTTAAAGGTGATGTACAGTCATATGTTAAAATGCTTTATTGTTCTCTATGGCTTTAAATGATTTGTTGTTTTTAGTTATTGTTTTACTTATTAGATTGTTTCTAAATTATTTACGGTTTTAATTAGCGGGGTCCATATGATCAGAACCGATGCACTAACTAGACATTACCTGATAATTTGTACCAGTTACCTATGGTCCTGCTGAAATGATCTTTGATCTGCTGAAATTTGATATCAAAGAGACATTTCCTAATTTGATTAAATTTTTATTATTTTCTTTGTATTAAATGATCTTGCTCAATATGTCTAAGTAGCAAAATTTTTGTGGGTAGGTAAGGGGATAAGGATATTTGTGGAGTTTGTTGTAGTATGGCCATTTCCATCTGCTTCTTAGTTAGCACATATAGTTATCTGGCACAGCCCTATTTTTATTCTTGTATAGCAGCAGCTCACTGCAGGGGTGCCGGACCCACAGGGGCAGCGGGGGCAGCCTGTGCCCTTTGCTACCAAATAAAAGTATCATAAATTCAACATTTAATCATGATGCCCACTTTTCGCATAAAAACTAATATGTGTAACATACACGGTAATATTATTGAAAATGTGTTCTCCGGTGCATTTGCAAGTCCACATCTACTTCTAAATTTGAGTTTCCCCTTCGTGTGGTAGCTAAGGTAAAATGAATGTGCCCTTTTCTAAAACTCTGCCCCCGCCGCCCTAAACTGCTTCCGGCGCCCCTGGTTTACTGATCTTTATATTCAAGGTTTTGAGTTTGACACTGGTATACATTATGTTGGAGAAATGGCTGGTAATAGTGTCACAAAGTTTTTGGTTGATCAGTTGACAGATGGTCAGCTTCAATGGGCTCCACTTGATCCAATATATGATGAGGTTGTTCTTGGTTCATCACCACAAGATGCAAAGAAAGTTCATATTGGTACTGGCAAGGAAAACTTCAGGAATGCTTTGCTTGAAAAGTTTCCTGAGGAGGAGAAAGCAATTGACAGATATTTAGACTTGTTGCAGGTACTAGAAACCATATTAGAATGAGGTCTGGTAGAAAACAAAATCAAAATAAAATATATGAGAATTATACAATAAAATTTTTATCCTTCATTACAGAAATGCAAAAAAACAATTCTTGGTCCATTTCTTATAAAAATGTTACCCAGAATGCTCTCTCAATTTCTCATATCCACTGGTATCATTCATTGGATAACAGATTATTTCAAGTATTCTCAACGCAGCGTTGCTGAGGTGATGGAAGAAATAACAGATAACAAAGATCTACGTGCAGTTCTATCATATTGTTTTGGAGATTATGGTTAGTGCATATGGGATATGAATAGACTCTCTCATAATTACAGACTACATGAAAAAGCAAAAAAATAGCACACATATGATTTGATTTGTTTCACAGTTTGTGGTTCTCTATTTAAGGCACTGCACCCAAAGACGCTAGTTTTGCTTTGCATGCAACACTTGCGAGCCATTTCCTGAGAGGAGGATACTACCCTGTTGGTGGTGCAAGCGAGATAGCAATGAGAATTATTCCAGTCATTGAGAAAACTGGCGGCGGTGTCTTGGTACGAGCTCCTGTTAAAGAGATACTGGTGGATGAACAAAACAAAAAAGTCAGAGGTACAGTTTTGTAAGAATCAACAAGTTCACTGTGCTTGCGATGACTGCAGTGTGAGTATGGGGTTAGGAAGGGTGATATGATCAAGAACTGTGATTAAAAAATATCTCGAAAGGTGGTTATTTTAACCATAGATTCAGGTTTGGTGATTGACAAGTGCTGTGTTATAATTCAAACATTCCCCCCTCCTCCAGGTGTTCGTGTGGGTAAAAGTAGTGGTGATGTGGATATCTTTGCGCCGATGGTCGTATCCGGAGCTGGAGTGTATAACACGTTTGAGAAACTGCTTCCCCAAACGGTTGAAGAGAGATCTTCCGTGCTGAGTTCCGTCCGTCACGGCGTCGGCGCGCTGACCGTTTATGTTGGTTTCAATGTATCTAATGATGAACTGGGCGTTGTCCAGGGTAGAAACCAATGGTTTTTCAACAGCAATGAATTAGATCAATCCTATGAAGATTATATCAATCTACCTGTAGAGAAAGTTGGCGACGAAGATGTACCGCTTCTGTTCCTTTCATTTCCTTCGACGAAAGACCCAACGTGGAACGAAAGATTTCCCGGAAAGTCGACGTGCGAGGTGGTCAGTCTGGCGGAATATGATTGGTTTGCAAAATGGAAAGATGAGAAGGTCATGCATCGCGGTGAAGAATACGAGGCGATCAAGCAGCGCGTCGGCAAGCGAATGTGGGAGCAAGTTTGTCGATTTCATCCAAATCTTAAAGATAAGGTCGAGTATTTTGATATAGGCAGTCCGCTGAGCAATCAGTACTACATCGCGGCATCGCGTGGCGAGTTGTACGGCGCTGACCATAATGTTGGCAGATTTCATCCTCAAAGTGTTCTCAACTTGAGAGCGGATACATCCATCAAAGGCATGTTTCTTACTGGACAAGATGTTTTCTGTTGCGGCTTCTCTGGAGCATTGTACGGAGGTGTAATATCTGCTTGCACCATCTTGAAGAGGAATCTTATGGATGATCTATTGGCATTAAGAAAGCAGAGTAGAAAATAACACTGATTTAGAACACTATGAAACTCCATAAGCAAACATTTTATTTCCTGAATTGCAAAAAGACTGTAACGTAATCAATCCTTGAATTGAACATGACATTTGACCATAATTCCTTTAAGCGAAAATAAAGAATTAAAGTAGTTAAAAATTTGACATCTCTCGCAAGGACCAAATTTAAACGCATGTGACTGTGCTAATGTCTGTTCACACGATCAATTTTGTCGGATGTTTTATAGTCGGTTGATTGCAAAAAGTATATGGACAGCAAATCAATCAAAGGCAACGCAGTATTGCTTTACCAATAACTGACTAAGCTTGCAGCGCCCCTGTGAAACAACGGTAATATAGCAAACTCACCCCACCTGTTTCAGCCAGAATTATTCGGCGGTTAGAGCGTAGCATTCTGTCAACAAGTCTTCATCGCCAATGACAACGCTTTACTGTTGCCTGGAACGTCAATCAGTGCTTGTCTTCGAGCGAAAACGGAAAACTCTAGGATTTTGATTGTTAAGAGCAAGAAGTACGTATAGCTTACATGTTCGGCAACAATGCAAGCTATTGTTCTTATCTCATTAGCTTATATCTAAGCCATGGTTTTGAGTGAGAAACTAGCTTGGTACGACTATATCAAATATCAATTTATGCCAATGCGACACTCCTGAGGACACGAGCTGCCTCAGACTTGACTTCCGCATTTATGCAGTAAAATTAAATTTAAAAAGAAAACACGCAAATATTTTGCTGGAGAACTATTTTGCTGCAAATGGAAATCCTCTTTTGTGCGATAGTTTCCAGTCTTTTTCGTTGATGCAAGGCGCGCTAAGGAGGACTAGGGACTAGTCTGCTTACCCCCTTCGACGCAACTTACGCAAATGCTTGCGATCATTGCAATCCAATTCGGATTTTGGGAATGCATGTTTTCCCATGTATGTTGTTAAATCATTCGTTAGATGATTTTGCATGTGCAAGATAATGAAAATAAGCTTTAAATATTTTAATTCTGCGCTAATTGCAACTTTTTACATTTAAGTCAATTCATAACATAGACTTTATATAGTTTTAATAGATGATTAAATATTTTCTTACAGTTACATAATTATATAGTTTATATATAGTATTAAATCATTAAGATTGTCCTCGTGACGACCAACTCAACAATTTACAGTAGAAAATAAAGTCTGTTTTCACCGTCTTCACTGCATCCTAAAATTGAACGCCCCAAGAATTAGTGTTTGCCTGAATTAGTGTTCTCAACACCCCCACAGAGAACCACACTTTTGAAGTGGGTTAAGTGGCGGTTGATGTTTCCAATGACACCCCCACCCTCGCATTCCTGGAGACTTTTGAATAGCTGCTCTTGTTAATAACATTCTAAAGCCCCTAGCTGATTCAAATTCAAGTGTGCCCCTGTACTGTCATATCAGCTATAGTTTCACAACTTTTTATGTCTTTGTGCATAATGAAAGTAAATATCTATATTACCGCTAATTCAACTTAATGTTATCCAAAAACCGAACGAAAATGTCGAACACTGCAGTGCGAAATATCTGGTACAAGTACGGGAAAAATTTATAGAAAGACACACTCCATTATACTTATTTACTAGATTGTTTTTTAGAAATTTCTGAAACGAGAGGGAGGGGGTGTGTGAAATTGGCTACTGTAAACAATTCCCACAAAGCTCGTATTCGACTTTCCCCCTTTGCTTTAGGACAAACCTAAATAGACATGCATATATATGTATAGTTAAACGTAATTTTCTTCCGCCCCTTGCGTTAACTGTGCTCTAATCAGAATATTCTTAGAATTTGCTAACACTGCCGCGAAGTTGAATGGGGAATGAAGTATTAAAGTTGAAAACCTAATTTAGGTTAATTTAAACAACTTTCTTTACTGGTCAAATAGAAGTACAAAAAATGTTACTGGAGAAAATTTGGTAGTATTTTTGATGTCATATGTGAAACGAGGAGAAAAAATTTAATTAAGACTTTGTAAACAGGTGGCACAATGAAGTGGAATAATGAACCACAGGAAAGAATAATCTTAAGCTTTATCTAAAGATCGTATCGAAATGTCTGGGTCGGCGGTTAATTGGAGTGGATCCATGTCCCTGTGGTAGGCACATGTACTTGCCCAATATTTTTTTATTGTGTATATAAATAGAAATTCTATGTGATAAATATATATTCCTTTCGAAGTTTGTAGACGTAGTACGGGTTAGAATAATCACGGAGCAACGAGGCAGAAAGTTCCTGTACTGTATTCTAATGGCGCAAATACAACGCGATGATTACGTACATGCACCCACACAACTTTGCACAGGGTCTTCGTGCATTCAGTATTTGAAGCTAGCCTGCGCCTTCAGACCTCTAACTGGAAGCACAAGAACTTAGTCAAATGTTTCTTACCCTGACTCCTTCGTTAACCACTCTCTTTAAGCTAATTAGCTAAAGTCATCAGAACTAATACTATACGATTCTTGACTATGACAACTCAAATTCCTTATTTGCTATATTTTCGTTACCATATGGTTTATTAACTGTGTTCTGAGCATACATATTGTTATCGTTAAGGAAACATTCTCGACCCAACTTGAATATTTCTGCATTAGTTGGGGTATCATCAATATATATGTGTATGATCTCTTGTACAAAGGCACCTGCCTTCACGAGGAATATCCGTATCGCCCCCTATTCATCGAGAGACTGTCCGAAATGCGCACCTGCTGTCTGGGCTGATATTTTTTTTGAATGTTTTCTTTATGGTTATCACATTGTGATTAAATTTTACTACACAAAAAAGTATATTGCAACTGAAATTTAATTATGGAAACTCTTAATTCTTCAACTTATAATGAAAATTGAACGGAAAGGAATTGTATTTCTCATATGCCAATAAACTAGATTTACACCGTGCAATTCTATATCGGAAGCTCATTTAACTAAGTGTACAGTGTAAAAAAGTCCTTTCGGACTTCATTGTTCATTTGTCTTCTTTATATTGTGATCATTGAATTAAGACTTTCAGCCAGTTGTAATATTAAGCAGTCTGACTTAAAGTAATGTCTTAACAACATGTGATAAGTGCTAACAACATGTGATTCAGGAATAAACTAATCATTCAGATGTTAAATACATTTTTGGTTCCGAGAACATATAACCATGAGAAAAATGTTTGCATGTGAAAACTTTAAAACCATTATAACGCACAACAATAATTTCCATTAATGCATGTATACTGCTACAATATTCATTATATATACTGAGTTATTCAGCAAAGTCTGGAAAGTTACTCTCTTATTATATTCCGATGAAATTGGGACAGCTTCCTGCCTTTTGAAAGTAAATAATGTCAAATACTGTAAACTCACCAAAGTATCAAGAGTTTGTGCTTCTTTTATTTCCCTCCTAGATTTTTGCTCTGATAGCCGGCGTAAGGCGGTGGATTGAAAGGTTCTTTATGTAAGGCGTGGTCTCTAGCGACATTCAAATGCTTGCCACGGACTCTTCTCTTGCCATATCTGAGAGGCTGATTGGCTTTTCGCTCGTAACTATCAGCCATGTCTTGGTAGCGATCGTCAGTGTAGCCATCATTATATTCCCAGGGTTGCTCAACCATTCGTGCGGTCACTTCGAGAAGCACACACGTTACCACTCCAAGTAAAAACAATAATTTCAGCGTTGTCGTATTCATGCTTGGCTTCGTATAGTTCACCAAAAGAAAGGGTCTTTTGAATCAAATATATTCTTACTCTCTCTCTCTGTGGTTACCTATTGAAAGAAACAAATGAGATTTAACATAAACTGGCCTGGTCTGACACCAGTATGTATATAGATATATAAAAAACTGATCCACGTCAATGTCAATCTCATCTTTATACAGCCGGATCGATTCACAACTAGTTATATTTATAATATATGCAATTAAGAAACTAAGTTTTACTATAAGAAACTTTATTGACTACCGTAATTTGCTCAAACGCAACCTGAATCACAAACAATTTGGTTGCCTCGTTTTAAACAATTCCCAATCGCTACGTTGAAGAATAATGATTTCGCAAGAGTCAAACAATCCTTGAAAACTTTCCCTATTCTTCAAAATCGCACTCCTTACAACCGTTTTACATGAGTCATTCAGAATTCCTTTGAGCTGTATCATAAAAAACCTTATCCCTCATTTTTTTTTACTTCAATTATAAATATGTAGGTAAAACCAGAGTATAATGTGGTTCATTAACATTTCATAACGAGAAGTCAGCGAACTTGGAAAACGACTCTCACTGTATACTAGGAAAACCTCCAAGGCTAAGCAGAGAACAACAGAGACCAAAAACAGTTTGAATGATTCTTAACCTAATTCTCCAGAGACGTTTTCAATTCAGTTTTATCAATATCTTTCAGTATCGCTGTCGTAGATGATGTTTACACTCATCTTTTTACAGCATATGCGTTGTTTGTATCATGCCGCATATGAGGCTTTTGTCTCAAGAAAAGAAAGACGGCCGACAACATCACTTTTTTATTGATTTAGTTTTAAATAAATCCTACCAATTAAACATGTCAGAGAAAAAGCTTAAACTAACCGTATAATGACTTACCATACCTACATCTTTAATAATCCAATAAAACTATCAGCGAAACTTATGAGATCGATATAAATATGTTGTAAAAAACGTTGAAAAATACAAGACTCATGCAGTACTGTTGTAAAAGCCTTCACATATATCAGGAGGGTAATGTATAAAAAATTATTTAGTTAGGAACTCACGTGAAAAAAAGGTAGCTGATCCTTCCTTCGCACACGGCAAGTTGGAAAGTTTTGACAGTTGATGCAAAAATTGCTTACTTTTATATGGTTTGATATAGGAGCGTTCATTTACGTCTTTTGCCAGGTTTTATTGAGTGGGACCGACGCTGAAATTATCCTAATGATTAGGGTCAAGAAATGGACAGCTGACCAACAAAACACTTGACGTGAGGTCAGCTGCACAGACTTAACGACCTTTCCTTGATCGCGATTACTATCGTAAGCAATCTAATGACTTCTAATTATCTACCCTCTCTTATCTTGCCGCCTTATTGTTCACGAGCATGCGCATAAACACCGCCTCCCACACACGCATTTTCAAGGGCAAAGAACTTTTGGGTTTCATCGAGGCTATCCTTTTGAATTAAGTTCGCTTGGTCTGTTCAATAACCCGTATATTGATAGGAGCCTTGTTCATTAAGAGGAATTAAGTCAATGTACATAAACTACATCTTTTTTTATAAAATTTGTAGCACTATTTGTTTAATGCAAATATAGTTGATATCTGCGTCAATCTGGGACAATGGAAACTAGTACATACGTTATTTCCAAAGTTAAAAAAGAAACGTTTCTTTGTAACATGCACAAAATAAAATGTGTCAAAATTTCGAAATTATCACATTTAATGCAACGATGAGCTTGGCAGCTAGACAATATTCATAAGTCATTCATTTGCATAGCATCATAGGTGTGTTTTTCCCTGGCGTGTATACATATACTTGTTTCCCTGGCGTGTATACATATACTCTTATAGCATCTGTGAATATCGAGTTTCAATCTTTCCTGAAAAAAGCCTCTTGGCAGAAAAAAGAAATTAACGATCATCATGTATATTACTAGATGAGTTTTCGTATCATCCTATCAAAGTACTGCATGACAGTTTTATCTATGAAGCAATCTCATTCTTTTGCTTGTTTACAAGAAAAATTTGGTAAGTAATCATATAACCGCATTATTTCATGTCGAGCAAATAATGCTTAACAAGCAAGGGTTTCGTATCTCAATTTCAATCGTGTTGTTGGCGTGACAAAGTGTTGGGAACAGTTTGGTAGAAGATTCATTTTTAACAATCAGGAAGTTTTACGATCTAAAGAACAAGGGGGAAAAATGTTGACCAATCAGGGCGTTTGTTGACATTTTGGTCTCTAGACCAATCAGATTACGTGGAATTTGCAAAATGTAAACAGAAGGAGTGAAATCATAACACCCTGTTCTAAGCCTTCTGCAGCAGTCAATGTTTAGTTTTTCAATCTTAAAACACTAGAATCTGATAAAGCAATTCCTTTTCTACAATTTTGTCGTCGGATTTTTCCAGAATCGTCCTGGAGCGAAAATTATTTATGTTTGAATTATCTGGACAAAGTCGTGTTTTAACAGACGATCAAATTTGAGATTTAAGAGTGCCGGGTTCGATTTAAACCGATTTATGAAAAAAATAACTTAATCCTTGACGTTGTATTTTTAAACTCGAGCGTAATTTATGCGGAAACGCCCCACTAAAGTGTAGGTATACATCCGGTTTACTTCTTGGAATTTACAGGCCTGTATTACCCTTGCGATTTCTGCCTTTCACAGCAATGCAGAGGATGGCCTTTGCCAAAGGTTTATTTTTCGCAGCAGTTCGTCCACAGTTGTTTTATTCTGTTCGTCTTCGGTCTCTCCAACATCGCTATCACTGTCGTCGCTCTGCTCATCGTTTTCATCTTCACTGGGTTCAAAGTAGGTCGCTGGAGTAAATACAGCGTTATTTGCAGTCGTACCGAGATCTTGAACACTCGACAGCAACGTTGCTTCACAAACAGGGCAATTGCTAATATTTGGCAGAAGGCATTCGATATGAAATGAATGGCCACATCCGCGGAAAACGTTCCAGAGAGGGTTAACTCTTTCGCAGCTGATCAAATCGCACTTTCTATGACAGGGAATATATAAAGTAAGACTTAATATAATTTCAATTTAGTAACTAGTACAGGTTTTAATAAAAACTTTGCTTGTCAGGCAAAATTTGCAGGAGATTATTACCTATATTACGATAAGACATGCATTTCTAACTCTTAAGGGGCAGAGGAGCCCACCGTTGCAAACTGTGAGCTTATATTCATGTGTTTTGGTTATATTATTTAATACCTATGTTGTCTGTTATAAATTTCAGTAGGGTGGCTAAACTCACCCTGACTGGCTTGTAAATGTAATCACCCTAAAATTTGCATCATCCATGGCTCAGTCAATTGAATTTTAATTTATAATTTTACCTGTTTGGGTTTGGGGGATTTTTGATGGATGTAAATCCAAGTGGAAGGACTCTATTTGTCATGATCTTCTCACCAAAAAGGTGGGGTAGCTTCCACTTAGTGGTATGTTTTGGCTGTCTAGGGGCTTGGGGTTGTTGAATTGTTGAATTAGGGTGGGTGTAAATAGATTCAAACTTCAGGGTGAGGAATTCTGCTGCTTTCACTTTTAAGGTGTCAATTCGCTTTCTGCTGTAATTTGGCTTTCTGGGTGGAACAAATGCAGATTGGAAGAAATGGAGTTCATGCTTGCAAGCATCAATTTCTTTTAGCTTTGCGTGAAATTTCATCAGCTGTATCAGTTTCTTTGGTTTGTTTTCTCAAGACTGAGTGAAAGTTTTCCACTGGATACTCATCGAATGCAGGTAAATGTTGACCAATGGTTTCAAGCATAGTTGAAGCATTTTCTTGCCAATGAAGAAATGTTGACAGGGTTATTAACAAAGCTTTGTTATAGTGGCGCCTTCGGAATATTACAAACATAACCCAACAGTGAAGTATGGACTGGAAAAAAAGTTCAAATTTGTTACACTTGAAGTTAATTGAGTAGATACTTAACACCAATGGGATATAATTGTCGAGAAGATTTAACAGTGTTAAAAACTGAATATCTTTGCTTTTGTAGAACATCGAGAGAATAAGATCCCTGATCAATGTCCATCCGCCATAAATGATTTCAAGCAACAGAGATGTACGCCATGGTTTTGGTTTCTTAGCCAGCTTTGCTTTTTTCCCAAAGATGAAAGCATAAAGGTCAGCAAAAACATTGTGAAAATTCAATAAGACACATTCTCTTGCATTTAAGGATATATGTAGTGGACCAATCAGGGGAACCACATTTTTCAACACTGTTGGCACACTGGGAGATGATGAATAAACCAACTGTCTAATGAAATATTGCATGGGCCAGTCCCCAACAAAGGGTACAATAAAGTCCTTAAGATAAATTTCCAAGCCACTTGTAAGCATTTTGTTTATAGCTGTTAGTGCATTTTCTACAGATTTGAGAGGTAACTCGATGCTGTCAACCAGTTTGGTGTTATCCATGCATGTAATGTTATGATTCTCCACTTGTTGATAATCATGAATTAGAAGTCGTTGTCTCTCAGCTTCTGGATCAAAATATTTTGATAATGCCCAGCTAGGCATATTTTCAGCATATGTTTTAGCTAATTTTGGCATGTTAATGGAAATAAAGTTTTTCACATCAGGAATTTCAACGGGATGTTTTGGTAGTATATCACTTCCCTGATGTGGAACTGCTTGAATTTCTGGGAACACTTTTAAAAGCAAAGTTGCCATGTGAACCACTTGAGTCTGGGTTTTTGTCTCCGGGCGGTGTTGTGTGTGAATATTGTGGTAGTCATCGATGCATAAAATAAGGAATTGGTTCTTCTTAATTGCATCTGTAATGAATGTAACAACATGATTGTGTGGGTTGAAGAGGCTAATTTAGTTAATATGTTGACTGTCTTAGGATGTGCAACAATTCCAAGATTCCGTAGAGATTCAAGCCCTTGTTTGCTGATTCCAAACTGCTGCAGTGTCCTGGATAGTGTGACTTGAAATGAGTTGCATTTTTGTGATTGTGAGTATAACATGGTGTAGATTATGACCATTGTGCGCATTTTGTTAAGATTTTTTCTCTTTTCAGACATTGGATCCAATGTTATGGCTTCTTGTATGGATGAATATAATTTATCAGCACCAACATCTTTGCACATAATCTCAAACACATCAGGATCCATTTCAGGCTCTGCCAATTTTGTTATGACAGGTCTGAGTTTGTTCAAATCATTTTTGAAATTTGGATAGGATGCCTTTTTTACAAGTTCTTCATATTTGTCTATTGACATAAAAACACCATCATCTGTTTGGCACTCTTGCTCGGCTGTAACAATTTTGGAATTGCTTTCCAATTCTTGACTGCTAATTGCAATTGTTTGGCTGGAGCAACAGGAAATTGTTTCTTCACCACTCAAAACTACAGGCGAGTTGATGTAAGCCGTTGAAGTTTCACCTTGGGAGCTGACTTCAGTAGTTTCTTTTTCAGATTCTTGCCTGTTCATCTCGTTTTTAGCAGAAGATTCCAATACCACAAGCTAAATTACAAGTGTGCTTAATTGACTTTTTTTTCTCTGAGGGCCATACTAATGGCCATAAGGTAATTATATGGTTTCAGCTCTTCACCTACACACCCCACCCACTTATTTCTAAAATGTAAAAGTATGGGCATTTACAATGTGAGGGCCCAGAGTATGTTGTCATTCTGTAATACGGATTTTTTCTTTGATAATTACAGCAAGTTCACTGATCAGTTTAATGCTTTTTGTAGGTCATACCTGGCTTTTCACGTTGTTTTTCAACTCGTCGGCTTGTTGTTTAGGAAGCAATCGCGTAAATTTCCTTTTCGTGAAGCATTTGTGCAGGCATGTTGCACATAGATTCTGGATTCCATAAGACGATTTTTCGCCAAGTTCTTCCTTAACATATTGCTCAAAAACTACTGAAATTACAAGCAGGCCACGATTTCTTAGATTTAAAACCTTTTCTCCTTCACGCCCCGACCATTTTTTATGAAACGGATTGTTGCATTGCTTTTAAATTTTGGCATTTTGACAGACTTTATTCACTTTAACAATTTGTAGTATCCTTTTTGCATACGCTGAGAAAAAAGAAACATTTTCGGAAAAAGCGCGCGATTTTCCCCGCTGTATACGATATAATATTCATAATATTTTAAAAAGTAAGCAAAGCAATATTTGTTAGTTATAATGTAAATATACACTCTTTGTCATATATTATTTAGTTAACGTCTTGGTAACCATTATTTTTTAGAGAAATCAGTTTGTAAACAATGCAATTTCTGTAGAGTCTAGAGACAGGACTGGTGATCTACACTGGTCATGCCGTGACAATTCAAACATAAATAATTTTCGCTCCAGGACGATTCTGGAAAAATCCGACGACAAAATTGTAGAAAAGGAATTGCTTTATCAGATTCTAGTGTTTTAAGATTGAAAAACTAAATATTGACTGCTGCAGAAGGCTTAGAACAGGGTGTTATGATTTCACTCCTTCTGTTTACATTTTGCAAATTCCACGTAATCTGATTGGTCTAGAGACCAAAATGTCAACAAACGCCCTGATTGGTCAACATTTTTCCCCCTTGTTGATCTAAAGTGATCGGCTTCAACGGCTATCCGATCTCACAACGGGAGATTTAGATTGGCTCTATAGGTCCTTTGTGGGAAACAGTTTAATTTCGAAAAGTGATAATTATGTTCATGAATAATTAAGCACAAATTCGATCAGCTTTCAAACTAATATTTATAATTGCCTGCTTGATATTTTCCACTAACAAGTAATTGCTTACGGCGACTTTTTTCAAGTAGTCGAATCAAGTTGATCCATCAGTCCAAATAACCCAAACCAAAAAGAAAAAGGTTGTGTATTCATATATCTAAAAAAGTATTCATATATTACGTTCATAATGGTGAAGTAGGCGCGGTATAGGATTTATCCTTGACAAAGTATCACAGTTATACATAAAAGGCAATATCGGGTTAACTGTTTCTGGTTTATGAATGTTATATATTTAATTAGGGAACTTAAAGCCCACGCAGAATATAACTTAGCTACATTTAATCATTAATTCTGAATTGCAGTAAAGAACATGCATGCATGTTCGCCCACCCAAATTATATCTCCACAGAAGTAATAATGTAATATAAAGGGTTCTCTCGAAGTATTCAGCTTTTAAATTAGCAACATCTGGAAATTATCCAACCCAGGCAAAAACGATTAAGTATTCGCTTTACAAATGCATGTGCGCATTATATTTTCAAACTTGCTCTTGTTGCTCTTCTATATACCTGTCCCAAGACTCGAGAGAATAGCTTCAAATGAGTGAATTAAGAATATCTAGAGCCTAGAGGAAAGGGGTTAGCTGACTCTTAACTCTCAATACCTTAAGGATGGATCTAGCAAGCAGTTTTATCATGCTAGTTTCTGTCCATATATTTTAAACTAGTCTAAATATTCTCAATAAAAACTTTCAAAGCTCCCACGATCAGTAATGCGTATGGCCAACTGTCTCTCTATATAAGGGACTGGGAATAGTGATCAAAGGGCTTAGATATATTATTCGTCGATCTTCGACAAAAGCAAAAATCAAAACGAGCCAAACTGTGTCATGTATAGCTAATACGAATACTCTTCCAGGCTAGGACTATAGGGTTTTCCAACTGAAATATATTCCATATTATTTAACATGAGTGATTTTTATCCATGAAACCGTTAACACAGGCAGCTCATGGTTGGTCTTCAGTAAATTTTCCTTGATTAATCAGAGTTTTGAAGTTGCTTTGTACGACATTGGCACCGATAAAAATTATTAATTGGAATTGAGTAAGAACACTTGAGTAAAATCTTAAAGTAAGCTAAACCAACTGGTGCATTGGGTTTACAAAGTAATAAATGTCCGTATAATTTATTTTTTCAGCACCCAAGAGTAATTTGGTTAGTAGAACGCATCGCTTTTTCGTGAGTTAAAACATTTATTTGTCTCTGTAACAGTTGTAACGGTGCAAATTAAAAACTTTTTAATATAGAGATCCGTATTCGGCCTTTCATAAAATGAAATTTTAGACAACGATTAAAGAATGCTAACATTAGGCATATGCTCTTAAATAACTTCCCGTTACATTTGAAGATCAAAAGGCATTGATTTTTTGTTCATCACATTGTCATCCTTGGATTTATATTTTATTTCAAAGAGATAATTGGGCTCCCTGTGAGTTTGAGATATTATAATGATAATTTGTGAATGCGATTCTGGATCTGAGACTGAGCTTTTCATTTTTGCATTACAACTATCATTATCTGCATGTCAGTAATTGTTTGTGTAGCATTGAAAACAAAACTAAACGCATTACGGCATTAGTGTTTAATTCGATTGATTCCGGGGCATATTCAAACTTGTGATGATCTCTCATGTTCAAACATGCAGATTATAAAATCGTATTCGTGACGAACAAAGTTTTAGTTGAAATAAATAACAAATGATGGAGTTTCCAAGTTTATGAGTGAGTTATCTATAAGCAATAACCCATCATCATCACAGTGAAATACAGAAATGGTGGTCTGTTTGGGTCAGTAATATTAACTTTCCGCAACCCCAACTCGATAGATATCTTACAGTTTCAAAATCTTTGGTAACCCAAACATATAGTGATGGCGTAAAAACGGCGTAAAAACAGCGTTAATTCGGGTGGCCACTTTTGAGATCTAGTTAACAGTCCCTCTATCCACCCGATTGTTCCCACTGATCTGAGAATTAACTGGATAACGTATTCGTGATATCATTGCGGCCAGATCATTGGTTCAATTTCACTTCCTCTTTTAAAGAATCCATTCAACTTTCCTGTCCTCAATAATTATTTCCTATTCGACAGCAATTCCATTCAGTTTGAAAGATTTACTGGTAAATCAATACCGAATTTGTGTTCCCATAATTCCCTGATGGCATCGAGAAAAACCGTAAGTGAGTTTTCTGACTGCAATATTATTTCCCAGCGGTCGTCTTCGATACTTTCAGGCGTATCCTAAATCATGGAAATGTCTTGTTTTATACGTCGTGAGAGCAATTACTTGTCAAAAGTAAAAATTTCATCAGAGGTGATATAGGTATCAAGTTGATTTCGTTTAATATTACCTCATTTAGAAACTCAATTTCAATTTCACACGGAGATTCAGCGAATAGTTCCTAGCGGAATAAGTTATTACAGTCAACTTTCGTCGACAAAAAATGTGCATGAAGGAACAGCTGGGATAGAACTTTTATTTGAGACTGCGGGAGAGAAATCACCTTTTAGCACAGTACAACCTTTTGAATGATCGGTTTTAAGATGGATTGCTATACCCTTTCAATTGAGGAATCAGTCACGCATAATTAAAGCATAATTAAGTAAAATAATCAGTAATTTTACCACATTAGTGATGTTGATAATTTCTTGTTTCTTCTTCATTACAAACTGTGGTCCTGATAAAACTTTAGGAGGATGATGTCGTCGAGGTAATGGCCACTGGTGGTTTTCCTCAGCCAACGCGATCTGAGAGTTTGTTATGATTAAAGCCACTTGTGTTAATTTTTCTTCATCTGAAAGAAAACGAATTGGTCAAAAAGAAAGGGAAATGAAAAGCAAGCTTTTTGTGGGGGTGCACTTCCGGGGCATTTTTCAAATAAGAGAAATGTTTTTAAACCAAAGAGCATTTTTTCACGGGCGTGTGTGTGCAAATCCCTGCCCAGTTTCTACGTTTTTAAGGATTAGCTCATCTCTGGTCACAGAGAACCACAAACCTTTCCAATACGCGAGAATATATTGTTTTATAACAGTATTGGCTTCGGATGACTCCGACATGTTGTCCTTAGAACTGTTGCTGACTTCGTCCTGTGAAAGAATAATACGCTCACAATATCACATGCTGCACTGTATACTGAACCGCATTGTCATCTAATGCATCGCTCTGTTCTTTTCTCCACCCGCATTTCCATGCACAACTGTTGTACATGAAAAAATCTGCGTTTTGATGATAAAGCTTGTTCCTGATTGATCAGAACTGACTGATCAGAAGGATGCTTCGTTCGCAATCTGCGTTATTACGCAGTCTTTTTTAAAGGTGTAGGAGATTATTCAGTGCATGGAAACGCCCTTGTTCTGTTAGGACATAAGACATTCTGTAAAGACATTCTTACATTCAGAAGACATTGAACCAAACAATGGTTACCTCTTGCACTTCAGCCGGTAAGTCGAAGTAATAGTATTGTTCCTTTTCTAAGTTCCTGCAATCCTTGTTGAAACATCGTATTGCTCCTGCATTGAGCAGCAGCTGACTTATCTGCACAGCTTCTGGATAACTGGATGCCTCTTTACGATAAATTAACCAATCAATTAATTCTTCACCCAGCACGCTTTTAGGTAACGTGCGTAACCAGACCTATATATAATATATTCATGGTAAAGCGAAGGTTGGGAAAAGGAAAGAAAGGTTGGTGGTACCAGGGGACTATACAAGAGACATTATTATGGTCAGACGCGATTACAAAACTATGAAGTCCTTTAATCTATACCTTACGATCTTTAAGTAATGGTGGATCTGTGAAGTTTATTGCTTGTTCGTAAAGACGTCTTCCCTGTAAAAAACCCCCACGACTTAACAAACGTTATTGTGAAACTGTTATAGCTTGCACTGGACACGATAGAAAAGGAGATTCATTTTCAAAACTACTGTAGTCGAACTTGAAAGACATTTGAACCACCATCGTCGGTAGCTACTGAAATTTGGTAGTCAAATAATTTTAGTCATGATTAAACTTGTTTTTCCCATCACCATTCCACTTTTAAGCATTAAAAATTGTTTTTCTTGTTTTTCAGTCACGTCAATGAAAAAATTAAATTACCTTGACCATGAGACTTTCATCCTTAACACCGAAAACTTGAATCCTTTATTAATTTAAAAAACATTCAGTTAGTTTGGCACACGAACAATCCTCTCAACTTATTGTGAGTGTCAATATTCCAACTCAATATTTATATCGAGAGCTAACATTCAATCCTGTTTTGAATTTGGAATTAAAATTCTTTCGCAAAACATTATGTCAGAATAACTCATTTTTTACGTCAGATTTTCACTCATGTTCAAGCGACATCGCTCGAATACCAGTTCTTACTTGATATTTGCACAAGTTTGCGAGTTAGCTTTACCAATCTTGGGAAATCTGTGTTTATCTCCACAAGCTTTCTTAGCGAAACCTTGTAAAAATAAATATATAAATGTAGTTTTGAGGATGGTCTTATGCAGTATAGTTCATAACATATTTTATGCAATATAGCGTAAATATATATATATATTTCATAATTTTATTTCTTGAGTAACATATATACATATATTTCAATTCCTAAATAATGATATAGTCCTAGTAAATACAGATTTCTAGAGTTCGTGAATGTAAAAACAACTCTGAAAACAGCCTACTTCGAAGTGTTGTTAAAAAGTTCTCGCAACGTTTCCTATCTCCGACCAAAAACTTGTAACAACCAAATTGCTCAGCAAATTCTAATCTGAAACTCTATAATATAGGGCGAAACATTTTCAAATGTTTATTATGATAAACTACACTTGCTTGCATGTACTCCCATAAACGAATCAATTGTATCTTTTTAGATGAGGATGAGTTCCTTACCTGACTTTGAGGACCGTATTCAATATATTTCAGATCTGTTAGAAGATAACATGCCTTTATCGACAACCACTCCTCAGGCCGGGTGCTAAGGTTATAGGAAATCGATCATTAATACTATCGATTATCTATATTATAAATTATTATTATTATTATAATTATTAAATCGTGATATGATAATAATGTAGCCTCTTGTATACCTGTAGCCTCTCTACGCCCCTGCATCGCGTATTCGAAATTTCAAATTTAAATTGCTATGTTCTGTTTACTTCTATTTAATATGGCTCAGTACATTTAAATTTGTTTGTATATTCTCTACCTTTCGATCCCAGAAGTTTTGCAGACATAAGCAATCGTATTTGAAATGACTAATAATGAAGGTTTGCCGTGTGAACTACCGTAGGATGCGACTGGACACTGCAATAAGATAAAAAGATGATAGAAAATGAGCGTTCGATTGAAGCTAAGGATTAGAAGTTTAGAACATGTTTTTATATAATCACAAAGGTGATTATCGAAATATGTGGCCATGCACTTATTGGGTAAGCGGCATTAGTTTTGGAACGTGGAATGATTGGCAAGTGAGAGCATTTTCGAAATTTGACTGCTCTAAAGTCTCGGAAATGACCGCTTCAGAGCAAGTACATATCTCATTACAACCTACATACAATTTTGAAAGTGCTGTTTTATTGGAGAGGGGGGGGTGGTTGGGTTGAAAATGATATCCCTCCAGAATGTGGTGACAAATGCATACGAAAGCACCATATTGCACGCCTGACCTTGATCATACAACAAAATTCCTCGTTTTCTCCGCCTTTAAAGAGTTTCGTTTCTAAGTACAGCTTCAAGTGATGGTCGCAATGCGTGCACGAGTCCAAGGAAAAATGAATTCTTGACGATGTCTTTCCTGCAACCGGTGTCGAGTTTCGTGTCTCTGAGCCGGACTGCGAACTGTAAGAAGAGGCCGAGGGACTTTCTTGTGTTCTGTTATACAACCCACGATGAGATCCTGGCCCAGATAAACTGTCGAGTGAAATGTTCATAGCAGGAGAGGGACTTGAGGATTTTACCTGAATCAAGCATGGAATGGTAGGACCCGGTGATTCGCAACTTCCATTGTTTAAACTTTTATCATCACAAGTTTCGTCCTTTTTTGACTTTACTTGAATGCTGGAAACCAAAGCTCCATATTCGCTGTCTTCCTCAGGTGTGTCTTCAGCATCTGCGCTTATGCCAGCGTCCTTATCGCTGCTCGAAATGCAAATATCTGGTTGTACTAGGGCATCGCGGACTGTACTCGGAATGAGATCAGGATCTCGGATATTAGTTTGATGCCTAAAAATTGAAAAGTCGAGTGGGAGTTTAAGCCCTGGAAAAATGCTGATCTTTTTGCAACACGTAACAGGTGCAGGCTGCACACGACTTCATTGCTCCAAAACGGAAATCATTGCCCGGAAGCTATGCTAGAATATAAACCAGAATTTCGCAGATCTCCCAATTTCCCGCCTATGCATCTATACTATGATCTCCATTTGTGCAAAATTTGGCAACATTTAGCCACTGGGTCGAATGTTCTGCATAAGGTGAAGTCTATCTTACGTATAATTCTATTTATGGCATGTACTGCCCAAGAAGCAACCTGTCCAAAGGTTTTGAAAACAAAATGATCACGATATAGATAAATAATTTTCTTACCCGTCAGTAACATATTCGCGTTTACTTCGTGTTTGCTTATATGTCTCTGTTTCTGTTTCTTCTTTTGTCACCTCTACCACGACAGAACTGTGACAAACAGCACAGACAGATATCTCCTTTCTAGTGGTGTAGCACTTCAAGCATTTTAGGCACTAGAGAGATTGAAAGAGATCTTGCATATCTCATGCAATTTTAACTTCGCACACTCATGCAGAGCCAAATCTCATCCGTGTTAATGCATGGTATTTGAAATACACGTGCAAACAACGGCATAACGACATCCTCGTCAACTACCAGGACGAATGCTCTTTTTCATTACTCATTGCAATGACAGGACATTAATGACCAACTCGCAAGCTCCCTGCGAGAGTTTTCATCCATTGAAAAGGCTGTTTTGTGTTGATTCAAATTAGATTAAATTACTCGTAAAGGGCCCTAAGTCGGTAACTTCTACCAAAAACCAAAATCAGTCTGGCAAATCATGTATGAAATCGCACCTTTATTCTTCGAAAAAAAGGGCCGGCCAAATTTCTAGTCGGGCTTCATACTTCCAAAGGGCAAATCAATTTAATGTCAACATACAGTACGCATACAACGTACCATATAGTACCTTAAATTGCTTTTTAGGAATGCTATTTGCAAGATCAGGTTCCTTCACGTAGTCTTTAAGAATGGAGACAAAATTCTATAACATAAGAAGTTATATTGAAGAACTTATAAAATTGTATGGGTGTGATAATTGTCATCTGCAGTCAATGATGCAGTATACCATGCAGCATTCGAATAGGAATGAGGTGACAGAAAATACGTATCCGTTGCATATATTTTTAATTTTTTTCATTTGCCTCTTCACGACTCGAGGCGAGGGATTCTGTATTCCTCGCCTTTTTCATATATGCTAAACGGCGGAACATAGTTCATGTTTACATGTGTTTAGCAAGCAGGCAAGCTGATATACCTCATATTGTTAACTACACATTCCAATATTAACAGCCAATCTAGTGTACAGGAGTCATTTACGAAATGTGTGTGACAGTGCATGTGAAAGGTTTCAACAATGATTATGCTTGCCCGACTTGATTAAAGCAAGGCTTTTTTTTGAGAAAAGTTTGAAAAAAGTTTTACCGATAATTACCAATAAACCACAAGTAAACATTACGATATAAAGACGCTCACCTCACATTGTTCTTCATCATGAAAGAAATACTCTCGATATTTTCTTTCTTTGTGAACATGCGCAAATTTCAGGTGTAATCTTATTTTTTCATCATCTCGAACGATATTTAAATCAAGAAGACCATTCAAATCCAACCTTGACATTTCCTGAAAAAATACTTCGTTATGAACACAATTTTACAGTCTCAAAGTCTAAAATGAACTCCTATACACTGGACTTTTTTTCAAAATCCGTACTATGAAAATTTGCTATACCCATACTGTTTGCAAACTATATCCATAGTATGGAATTGGCAATTAGTATGAATATAATAAATTCCATACTATTTCGAACTAGAATCCATACTATTTCCATCATGTAGATTTTGAAAAAATCCTAATCCTAATCCTAAATCTTACACTTTGATCCTAATCCTAATCCGAATGATGCAATTAAAAAATAGTACTGTTCCATGGAAAACACTCAAAGAAACGCACTGAACATCTTTTCTCACCTTCAAATTGATATTTTTTTCAACAATTTCACTATCCTTCACTAAGACAAACAAATCCTCAGTTGTTTCTTCAGTGGACTGCGGTTGTTTGATGGACACCAAGAATATCCCACCGCTGTCCTCATCTAAACAGATATTCGGTAAGTTCAAGTGTCCAAGAACAGAATTCCAGTATTCTTAGGTTGTGGAGGTGTCAAATATTTTTACAACTTTCGGCAACAAGTCTTTTCAGAAATGTCAAAGATTGTTAAAACTTCAGCATGAACATAATCTTTTATTGTCTGCGCGAAGAACCGATCTTATTTTTCGCGCGAAGCGACATAGTGGGGTATGCAGTATGCTAGTCCATGTTACACCAGAGCTAAACAGGAACTCGTATTTAGCAATACTCTTCAAAACGAAATAAATGCAAATTTACCATCAAGAATTTCTTGCTTTTCCGCCTTGCTGAACGGGGGGCTTTCGGGTGATTGATACATATCGGCATCATCTGTTGTGATCCCTTCTAACTCGGATGACGCACTCGGCAGCTCTAAGATAGGAGTGTGCAAGATAGCATTGCGGTTACCATAGTACAGTTACAATGGTAACATAGTACATAGTACAGTTACCGGTTACTATGGTAACATAGTACATACTGTAGTACAGTTACCGGTTACTATGCCACAGATATACCTGACGCCACAACCCCTCCCTCCCTTAATCCCGCCATATATGGAGTCTAGCAATAGCATTTGGCTACCTAGAACTCTATCACTGACTACAGCAGAGGCATAATTAGCAGAATTCGTCTACTTCAACAATGAAAGGGATGCCGTGCCGATGGAGTAAAAATGTATGTCAATCACAACAAAGGCAGCCTAGAATTAACGTCTTTTCTATTCTGCCAGACAATTTTTTCGGTGGATGGCTGTCAGGGTGTCAATTTCTGATGATTTCTAAGTACGTATTTTTATGGATTCTTAAAGTGATTTTCACGCTGTACGAGATTTCTTAATGTGGTGAACTCCTCATTCCACAAGGCAATTTTGATTTCTTACCTGAGGAAGTTTCGATTGGGAGTTTTGGCGTATTTTTCTTCACTTGTTCTTGATTGTGTACAATGAGGTAACCTAACAATGCACAGTTCACTTAAATATTTATCACATGAAAATCAATATACTGAAAAAATTCCACGAGTTCAATCTTTCTTTTCAAAAATACTAAAATTCTTGTGCAGAATTGTCGCGTCCTGCAACGCTTTTTAACTGGAATGAATAGTATAGTCTGTTTAAAAGCTCCATGTTCTTGGTTTTTCTAAAGCATTCTCCCTTACAGTACAAAAATACACGTTTAGGCATCGTAAGAGCACCGCATTTTACCTTCTCCAACATCTCTCTTGACTTTTTCAAGTTTTTCTAATTCTTCCTTCGTCTCCACTGTATTGAAGCTAAGAGTCCGAGACGCGGGAGCTGATTATGTGAAGATCATTTGATTAGTAAAATACAGAGTAAATATGAACAGAAGTGCAACTTAGCTTGGCATCGTGTACTACTTGCTAAACGCTTCAAATTTTATATGCTTACATTTTTGTTTATTCGGTTCTTCACCCATAGTACGGATGGGCGGTTGCCTTGTGACGGCCTTTTTCTTCCTCTGAAAAAAAATATGCATGGATCTGCATTGCAAAGCTAGACCGTTAGTTCTCAAATATTCCTGTCTTGAATTTGAGTTGTGTATGATTTCTACTTGAAATCAAGACCCTTAAACCCTTTCAAAAACCTTCATTGATTTACACCATACCAACAAATAGTTTCACTTGGAAAATCTCGAAAGAATATTAGTCAGGGTTACCTTTTGCTCAGGAGTACGAGGTGTACTACCGTATTCACCAGAGGAAACAAAGCTTTCTGCATTATTTTGAATCATGTGTACTGGTGAACCATAAGGTCGAGCTGGTAAGTAACATGTCAGATCAATTTCTCGTGACTGACCGAGACTCTATCAGAATATGAGTAAAAAAGTAATTAGTTTGGCTAACATGACAATAAGAGTATTATTAGTTGACAATAACGAATGATCTCCATGCAATCAATATAATCGATATAAAATACAAGCTACGTCAGTACGTCGTAATGGACTTACAAACAATTCCTTATCATTTAGTTCTTCATTATCAAGTAAAATCTAAAAATAAAACAAAAGTCTACAACAAGGAGTTTACCAGAAATTTTGCATGCAAAATGGTTGGCGAATTATGAATTTTTGCACTTTACCATATAAAAATTTAACCATATAAAAATTTTCCAATGTTTGAGGTGTATATTCATTTTTATTCATGTTTTTCATCATATGTTATATGAATAGCCACCTCCCAAAATGCGTGCACCAATTTTTGAGGTTCGAATCATGTTGGAATTAACTGTATATATTCAGCTTTGATTTTGCAAAAATCATCATACCGGAACTTGACGTGGGCTGGGAGAAAGACACGAGACAACGCCAATGCGATATCTTTTGTCATAGAATATTGGATTGCCATAGCAACAAACCTAAAGTAGTAAAAGGCACAAATGTACAAGATAAATGTGATAAAACCCGACATAGTTCAACTACCAGAAAATAGTATAACATAAAAATGTTTAAGTTTAAATTCTTATGACTGAGTATTGTGAGGTTCGGCAAGAAATATTTTAATGTAAAATTTCAGCAAATTTTGTATATTTCATATAACCGAGGGTAAATAGAACCCATTTATTTGCCCCTAAAATAAAGCAACATGATGTACTTACTGAAGCTAGTCGGTGTAAATCTAGCAAAGAAGATAGACACGAATATTCTGATATGCAGTTAGCAGACACGTCCAAAGCTTCTAAACTCGATAACATTTGAATACCTGAAAGGAGAGTGAAATGGAGGATAGTTTCCAACAAAATCACAGGCACGGAGAACCGTGTGAACTTCACCCTCAAATACAGGCCTCGTCAAACTAGCGATGCTCTGGAATATAAGAGAAAGCCTGCATATTCGATGGAGTCAAACTGATTGAAATCTGTTCGTTTTGATGAGACAGAGAGCCCAATAACGCCCCCTAAAGCATTAAATATGTCAACCATGCAGAGCTAGGCGACTGGAATAAATGTTTCCATCGCCCGTGGAAGACGAATGGGATATTGATAGGATAGATATTGATAGGGTAGGATAATATGTCATTTGACATATTATTTGAGGTTTTCTCTATGCCATACGGAGAAAAAAAATTTAAATTTTGTCGTGAGAGAAAAACTTATGCAGTTCAGGGTACGTCAATAATATATTGGAAGGTCCATAATCGTCAAAGATCAAAAAGGTGGAAATAGATTACAACAAAGGTTTCAAAGCAATAAATACACGCACCTTCCAGACTTTCCAGATCATTGTTTCTCAAAATCAGGGTTGTTATCTTCGAACAGCAGTTTTCCGGGAAAGAAGGAATTTTTGTAAATCTATTGTAGCCAAGATCCAGGTAACTCACCTCTGGTAAGTGCTAAAATATAAACGAACAAACAAAAAATGCGTTTGAAAAGGACCAGAAGGTTGTGCCCCTTTAGTAACTCTGAAACAGGGTTCGATTCCACCAGTATCAGATTGCCACAATGTCTATCGTGATAACATGAATAAGCACGAGAGGGTGATGGACCCCAGCTACTATTGGGATGGTTTCCCGATCTGAGAAGTTCTATATATAAGAGGATAAGCTGGGACCCTACGTGAAAAGCCCCACACACGAGGATAAGATTGTGGCATGCGCCATGTGCTCCGATAAGCCATAGTAATGAAATACAGTTCAGTTCTTATAGCTGGGCTTCATATTCCATTATACGTCTACTGTTAACTTAATCATACAAAGGTGAGCACCAAATTCGGGGGCACAGGAGACATTGGAAGTGCTTACATGCAGTATAAAGAAAAGAAAATATTAAATAATACCATCCATTCTTCTTCACTAACTTCATCTTCTTTAGTGATCAATTCATTTTGACTCAGGTTCAAACATCGTATGCATGTCAGTAGACGCTGAAATAAAAATAGTTTGTACAGATGATCACGTAACGATCAAGTGACGTTCCTCGTGCATGTATGTGCATGCAGTCCTGTCAGTGTATTCTGTGTAGTCATGGCTTACCAGTGAAGAATCAAGACGGTTTATGGTGTTACAACTAAAATCAGCTACTTCAAGGTGCGGCCAGGTGAATGCGGTACTTAGATCAGAGCCACACAACGTAAGAATATCCTGAAATAGTATTATTAATACAAACAATATTACGCCGATTTATTCGAATAGGGCGATGATCATCACGCTTCCTTATGCTCCCCACCCCCCTTCAAGTTTCGAGAAAAGTATAATCTGTGTATATGCATGCCTTCATAATCCTGCAGGGTTATCCATGAATAGCATAGTGCCAGAGTTCCCCAGTGGAGAGGTGAAAAATGAAATACTCGACAATCACATCAGCTACGTACGTCTAATACACTCATACGTCTAATCGCAAAACAGCTATTTTCATGGTTATGGGTTGCTATGTTTGAACATACTGTAGTGCACGGGCCAATTTTCTAGACTTCAGAAACCTGGCACTTTTGCCCTTTGGGCTTTCAGAAGTGTCGTCAACATAAAGGTCTCTAAAGTTGTGCAGGGGTAAATGTCTGCGGCTGAGTAAACTTTTCCCAAAACTTTTCCACCTAGCTATGATATCACTTACATTAATTTCATTAATACAGCGTTCGAGTTTTAGGACTCTAATTCTTGACCTTAATGTTTGAAATCCAGAAATATATCCTATAGCTATTTTTTCAATCTAAAAAAGAACAAAAACAGTTTGGCATCGCCAAATTCCGGAGATTCGGATTCAAATTATAAATCAGAAATTATGAATAAATTTACGAACCTGAAGGATTTGAACAGCTTGAAAATGCGACAGGTCAATCACATTGCTGAACTTGTAAGTCGGTCCTCGAACAACCTTTTTTAGAAAGAAAAACCCTTTCCTACATAATCTATCGTGTAAAAACAAAGGAAGGCGGTGATTGAAAAAAAACGCAACTCAGGAATTTTAGTGAAAGTTCAGGCGAGCATCTACATGGGGCCAAAAATAGCTGAAATTCATATTTCCTAATCTGTGTCAAAAAATAATGATATACGACCATTATATTTACAAATTACCGAAAAATTTCTCGCGTAATTTTGGGCCGCCTATGATACGATTTAAATAACCACGGCGGAATTCACCAAAAATTAGGGGGGGGGGCATATCTATATATTCGTGATATGTAGAAATAATTTCTTTTCAAATCATATGTCTTCACAGTTCACAGCCTGTTAACATGAATATAAGAATATGCCTCCCCTCCCAATTATCGATGCTAGCTACGCTACTGATGAAAACGTCAACCTATGGACAAACCTAAAAGTTCGTCTACGTAGTAGAAATATCACAAAAAACAAAAAAAAGAACCTTCAGTGTATGAATAGACTGCACGCATTGCTTGAGGTATTCTATGATGCGGTTTTGTGAATCTATGAAATTGAAAGCAAAATATTCGGATCAAAACAGGCAAAAACCTGACGTATGCTTGAACCACCCACTTAAGTTTTGGGCAGAAATACTTGACGCTGAACGCTGCAAACTGTATATGAAACTAAAGCTTTTGAAAAACTTCATTTAATTGGTTTAGTAATTGCCTCAAAGTTGGCTGTAATTTTGTGTTTTAAAATATATGATATACAATATGAAAAACATGAGTATTTTTTTTATAATGCTTTGAACGTTCCGTCACCGAAAAGCGATTTACAAAAGCTTCAGTTTGATAAACAGTCCAGCTATACAGTTTTCTGTCAAGCAGCTGAACTCGTGAAGTTGAGCTTTAAGTCGGTTTCTCTAAAGTCAATTAATAATGGCATAATATGGCGGTCATTTTACTTTGCTTACTAACTTGTATGTTGTTGGGTGTCTTCAAAGCATTTGCTAAGGAAAACAATGACCGAAGCTGTTAGGCATACTCTTAATCTTCCGTTGGAAATAACATCCTCTAAAATGAAATGGCAAAAATGAGATTTCTTTTAAAACACATACAATTACTATCATTGATCTTTATAGTAAATGTATCTTTGGTTAGTAAACTAGACAGTTGAAAATTCAGATCTACGCAAAAATTGGATCAACAATCTACATAAAATTTTATAGCTGTGTGGGTTAACAAACACGTCATTAAGGTCTACAGTTTCCATTGCGTCGTTTCGGCAAGTGCGAAAGTGCCAGTATGGAACCACTAGTATATATATATATATATATATATATATATATATATATATATATATATATATATATATATATATATATATATATATATATATATATATATAATTCAATCATATATATACACGCACTTGCGTGTTCCATATTCAATACACCGGTAATTTAAAAAGCATTTGAGAATCTCAGAATTAAACGTGCAGTGGGATATAATGTATAATCCTAAATTGCTAATGGTCCTTTCGCCGTGTTAAAAAGGGATAATTAAAAACTTCTAATCGAGGCCATGCATGCAGGGAAAAATGGATGAAGTCGAAAAACAGAAAATTCATGACAGATTATTACCATAACCATATAGTATCTGGCGACATTTTAAATCCTTTTTCTTTCGCTATATACATGCAGACAAAAAACATGCATTCACTTTTGCGATGATAAAACCTTTTGCATGCACGACGTCAAAACTATCATTTTACCGGGTTAGGACAGAATATGTCTTAATACTGATGGCAAAAACATAGGCCATATATTCAGTTTGGATAAAAGATGACTACGTTATACCTAACTGGAGTTGCTATATTACATGCGGAGTGAACGAAATATTAATGACTTTCGGTTTAATCTCAATACGCATTTCCTGCCACAATCTAAGTTTGCCTTTTTTTTCCAAAGCATGCATGCTCTACTTTTTTTCGTATACACACACAGAAAGCCTTAAGTTTCTCCCACACTTACAGTGGATTTTACAACAAGTTACCAATTGCATTACCAAATCTTATGTGATATTTAATCACTTCGCATTTCATAAATAACATTTGATTGGATATAAACTTTTCCTTCCTAAATGAAACTGGCAGCGTTGAACCGTATAAACACTAGTATACTAGTATTTTTGCTTTCATCATGCACGGCAAGTTAACGCGGCGCTTGTGGAAAGACTAAAGAGATAATTTAAAGCTGTTTTTCTCCTCCCAAATCCAGCAATTTGGACGCAAAGAGATTGTGGATTTAAGAAAAAACAAATTACTTTTTGGAAACAAAATAGCTAATGGGGTAATTTACGCCTGCAGTTGTTAGCAATTATAATTAATCAATTTCTGACACACGTATAAGAAGCAAGATTGCTTTATCCAAACTCGCAAAGCGTATCAAACATTGTTTTGTAAATATCCCAATTATTCTCATAAAAAAATTGTGAAATTTTCCGACACAATCATTTGAGCGAACTCCTCGGCTGATCTCATTCCAAAACGAATACTCGAACAAAAAAGAGCATTTTCGCTGAGAAATGAGTTCGGATGAAAGCTTGGACGGGACGAAGGAAAGACGGTGCAAAGATGCTAGTATGCCACTGCCGAGTCCCTCGAGTTCCGAAAACAGTTTTCGGAACAAATCTGAGAGCAGTTCAGAGAATGGATCCGCAGCAAGTTCCCCCATCGTTCGAACCAAACGCAAGCGCTCGAAAGCCCCTCCTGGGAAACCACCATACTCGTACGTGGCATTGATCAGTATGGCCATCACAAGTTCACCACGTCGGAAAATGACCCTGTCCCAAATCAACAAATTCATCGCAGATCGCTTTCCTTATTATATAACCTGTCCATTGAAATGGAGGAACGCAATCAGACATAACCTGACCCTGAATGATTGTTTCATCAAGTTGCCTCGTGAACCGCAGGATGAGAGCAAGGCCCATTACTGGACCATCGACCCGGCCAGCGAGACCATGTTCGACAATGGAAGCTTTCGCAGGCGACGTACAAGATACAAGCGAGAGCAAGATTTGGACGAGATTTTACCAGCTTTGGTCGAGAGAACGAATCTACCAAAAGTTCCAGTCCAGCCTCAGTTTGTTCAACCCTATGGTCCTTACACGATGGTGCCAAGTTTACCATCGCAAAATACTCGCTCCACAGCAAGACGTGGTTTTGGTGTCAACGATATACTCGCTCTCCCACCGATCTATGGGCACGTACCCTATCCCGCTTCCTCCACGCAGCAACTGATGCCTTATTTCCCTCCATATTACATGCCTTATTTCCCACCTACCGTATTCGCAACCTATCCTACCATGCTGGGAACAGGAAATCCTAATTACGGTTCTGGTTGTGACATAAAGCAAGAGATTCCAACCGAAACCGCAGCAGAAGAATATAAGGACACTGCTGAAGAACTTTAGTCTGGTTTATACAAAGTACAGTGTACCAGTATGTGTACCAAAGGATTTTGGCACATCGCTACAAATGTCATTCACTTGACCATTGCTTGCTTACGGATTATGAACCTATCAAGACTGCATAGCCAGTGGTGATCCCCTGAAGAACTTATTATGCACTGTGAATGTAGGTAGTATGTGAAGAAATTACTTTCTCAGACTGCAGACTTTGGCCATTGCCATGGGTTTAGCCATTAATATCATATGATTGAACCCATTAGTGGCCTGTGACATTCACCAAATTCTTTTTTGTCAATTTTGGTCATATTCTTTTATGCATAGTTAACAATTAACGCTTCAACTCATAACTATTTAGTATGTATATTTTTTTACAGTGCATGCAGGATAAGTAAATTAATAAATAATCAGATAGCAGGGAATGTATTACATCTAGAAATTTCACCGATATGGAAAACCAAGACTTAAAAACAATGGAAATAGCTCAGGGTAGGACCCTCTTTTCAATCTGCTAATCTTGTTACATGCTATCCTATATAACCATATTGGTCTTGTTAATAATAGGAAGGGTGGTTGATAGATTTTTTTCTTTTTGAAGCCAGTGTGGAAAGTATGTAACATGCAACTGAGATATTGGATACACAATTTTGATATTTATTTATTTACTAGTATGTTTTTGAAATCTCAGGCACGCAGTTTGCAAACTTTCCAGTCAGGCTTTGAGAATTATTAGAGAGTGGGCTAAATAGAGAGGATACAGTGTTTATTTGTTAACATACAAATTGGTTAACAATATGTGTAAGTCTCCAAAACAATTATAAGATCTTTATACTATTAATACTAGGCTCTGACATTGATAAGCATGATAACAGACATAATAATAACCACTCCACATGTCTGTCCTGACGGATGATTATAATATATTGTTTATTTTAAGGTATGTATATATTTGGAGCAGAATAGAATGAAATAATACCTTTTCCATGGAAGAGTTGTTCCAATTTCAGCACTAATTGTTCCGCACCATTATCTAGCATTTTAAACCTTTACCAAAGCGGACAAACTTGACAAAATGTTGAAATATTTTCCATAAACATTTTCAAATGTTGCCACATGACAGTCACGGACCATATTTATTGATATTTCCTGCAATATGTTTGGCAAAGATTCAAATTTCAAAATGTTACAATTCAATAAACAGTATACACTGCTTACATGACGTTTCGGAGATACTTCTGCCTGTGGTTTTCACACCCAAAATTTTCCTTTTAGTTTTCTTAATTTTCCTAAATATTAATTTTATAAATTTGGCACATTTTGTTTAAATACGCAGCGAAAATAACGGAAAAATAATATTTTGTATATCCTAGCAAAAAGTAGAGTTTAAAAATCATGAAAAATGATAAAATGCAGTTAATGCATAGGTATATTATTTGCCTTTTTCCCCCCAAAATCAAAATTCCTTTATCAAGGAGTGAGATTTTCCTGATTTGCCTTTAGAAGAGTCAAAATATTCGGACAATTTGGTTTGTAAATTTGAGAAGGAAAGGAGTGTTTATACATATAATTCTTGAAAACATGTCGAAAGCAATCAAGAAAATAGTCGAAGAAGCGAGAGATAATGCCTATACAGAACTAGATCTAGCTGACAGGGAGATTAAAAGTTTAAATAGTGTTCCTATTTTACGTAAGTTCTAAAATTTGCTATAGTATTCTTTGTTCCTTTTAATACTATAAATTGTATGTTTCTCTGTGTTCACTAGTTCACTGGGAAAGGGTCATCTGTTCCCCCGATATACATTGATTTCTTACTGTTTAGTTCAACTAAGGCAATTGACAAGACTCACGCTATCCCACAACAGATTAACAGGTACTGCAATCTACATTATACGGATTTATAGTTTATACCATTGACAGATGCCTTTAAATAAAATACCATGTATTAATTCTGTAATAATTCAATATAATATTTTCTTATTCTATGGTTACAACAGCTTCAACCTCTAATAATGGCCATTGAGATTTGTTTGTGGCTCTCATTAATGACAACCCTGTCTGTAAGAATATTAAGTGTTAGCTATTGAAGATTATTTTCTTTTAGCAATTCCTACGTCTATTGTTGACTTGTACAATTTGGAACATTTAAACCTTTTCAACAATTTCATTGAGGTGAGTGTGATAGATGAGAGAATAGAGTAGAATGGTTGTGTGAATAGAGCATTACAAATAGGGTTTTAAACATCAAGACTTTCAGGATGGTAGATATTAAGCGCAAGAATAGGATTAATTCTAGCACATAACATTCTATTGTGATAATTAGTCCACATATATTTTCATTTATTTTGTTAGGAGCTTCCAACATCAATAACGACACTATCAAAATTGAAATTTTTAAATGTTGGGTGAGCACCTTGTGTGTTATACTGGATTATCAGGGTTTGAAATAGCAGTTGATCAGTGATTGTCAGGGGTTTTTTTGAGTGGAAGGATGGTTGTTCATCTTGATCGAAAATCTTTGAGGATTGTCTGAAAAGGATATGCTGGTTTTTTTGCAATGAAATTAAATAAAATTAACATGAATCTGTCATTAAAAAACACATGAAAAGCCCTAGTTAGGTTGTACAATTTTGTAAGTCAGTTCTGGAAATTGCTCCTGATCAACCAGATTTTCATATGATTAGCAAAAAAGTTGTGATTGTCAATCACCATGTTCAAAAAGAACTTATTTTGGGTATTTAACAAAATTGTTAATGGTTTGAAAAAGTGCTTTCCTTTCTATGAAAAAAATGCCTACTAAAAAAGAAATTTAATTCTATACATTATAGTTGGGAAATGGTAGAAACTACAAGCTATGATTTTTTTGGCAAACTACCCAAAATAAATTATGCAAAATGCAGTCCGGTAAAATATGCCCTTACTTAGAATCACTTCCTTTTCAAAAATACTATAGTGTGTCTAGTCAAAAAGATGAAAACTTTATTATTTCTCCTTGGGAACATTCTCATATTATAACTAATTAAAATCAATAGGACATTCTATGTGGTTAAACAGTATGTCAAGTATTTGTTTGTTATTATTATCTTACATGTACATTTTACCCCTAAGTACAACAATGTTTCCTACTGCAGGGTGAACCGTTTGAGTACCTTACCTCGAGGTCTTGGTTCCTTGCCTTGTCTGGAAATTTTGGAATTAACATACAATAACCTCAATGAAAATTCTCTTCCTGCAAATTTCTTCCTCTTGGCAGGTATGTTGTGCACTTGGGGTTTTCAGTAAAACACAACCTAAGAAAAATATATTTACTCATTGAGTTCAACAAGTCCCTTTATAACGTCCTCTGTGCTGAACTACAGTAAGGAAACCTGCTATCCTGAACTCTCATATTATGTTGCACTGGAATATGTTTTTTTTCATTTAAATGCAGATAGTTTGCGAGCCCTGTATCTTGGTGACAACGACTTTGAGAAATTGCCAGCGGATTTTGGAAAACTTAAAAATCTACAAGTGGTAAGTTAGATAAGGTACAACAGATAGTAATTAGTAAATGGCGATGAAAATGTCAGAATATAGTAAAAAATACGTCCTGTTGCGCCCTTTCCACATGATTGTTAATGAGAAACAGTTGGTATATACTAATGATTCTTTTCCTCTTTTAGTTAAACCAAATTTTAACACGCAGAATATGAATAAATTTTCGTTTTTATCTTTTTGCCTTTATAGTTGGTTTTACGTGATAATGACCTGGTTGAATTACCAGAAGAACTTGGCGAACTCACAAATTTAAAGGAACTGCATCTTCAAAATAATCGTTTGACAGCTCTTCCACCATCATTAGGTAAAAAAGAGTTCCGTAATGGTGCATTTTTTGCATATGTATTTTTCTGTGCATTTTTCAAATTCTATCCGTCAACTCCAAACCGTCAACCGTGCTCTTCGTAATCGCAAGCACTCTTGTACTAAAAAGGTAACTTGCAACTTGGCGAAGCCCGTCATGTTTTCAAAGCTGAGGGAAATTCATGGATTCAAGCAATACAAGATCAGTTGGTACTTGGAAATACTCATGTCTTTGAGAGCCTCAAATCTGATGCATATAAACAGTAAGAAAGACTTTCATGTTCCACTTTTGAAAGGATTACAAAATCATTTAGTATAGTATAGTATCTAACTATCATATATTAACGAATTCAATAATCAATCATATATGTATTTTCAGGACATACAAGAGCCACGTTGATTCTGGCATTGCCCCACCACCAAAGAACGAGAAAGAGAAGACATTAAAACGAAGCAGAAAGAAGGCGCCTTGAATTGATTCTAAGTCAGCTAAAAGTGGAACCGAACTAAATTTTACATTATTTTATATGACTATGAGTATATTTTTGTAGAAATATCTTTAAATTGGGAATTGTAACATAGGTGAGAAAAATATTCACTTTATAGAATTTAAATGTTGTTTGTAAGAAATGTTAATGTATAAAAATATGCATATATAGCTATCGCACTGTTTTTGCGGGTGTGAATGACAATATCAGTATGTCTCTCATAAAATGTGTTGTGGTTTTATCAATTTTATACGAGTCCTGGCTTCAAAAGTAACGATTTGAGTTAAAACTCGTTAGCGGGATTACTTTTCATATCATAGCATTTGGATGACCAAAAAAGAATACACTTTAAAAGGCGCTGTTTGTACAATTATAGAATACCAGGTAGAGGATCAAGTTTAGAATATAGAACTGCATCGTTCTTTAAAAATAGTGTTTATTCTTTTTCGGTGAAAGTCCAATTCATGCATTAAAGTAACAATTGATATCATTGATGATATCGATATTTCGCTGATGACAATAATACATAATATAAACTGCAATGAGGAAACCATATGGAAATGACATTCATGCACGTTAATGTAATATTCGAATACACCGGACGGCACATTTTGCCTTTTGGAACCCTGTACCCGACTGAAAATACAGGCGAAAATCTTCGCTTACATCAGTTCTCAACTAAAATTGCATACAAAAGGAAAATTCTCGACTATATGCTAAGTGCTAACACTTTGCCCGACATGCGTTATGCTAACATTTCTCATATTCTTCAGTGTTCCCATGCAGGGACCCAGTCCTGCAGTGCAGTCGTTGTGGAACCCACTGATACGTCATAATATTTACACTATAGTGGATTATGTAAAGAAGAAAGAACAAACCGAAACAGCCCTGAGATACATGAATGAGAGAGGGGGTATCGATATTACTTTTACGTTAACCAATCACAAACGCCGATACGAGATATTGACCAATCGACATGTAGCAACGTTTTGCAGGGAGCTAGGGTGGGTGAACAAAAGTGGACACGCATTTTGTCTTTCTTTGCTAACTTGAAACTTACTAGGGTACTAAGGGTAAAAAATGGAAGAGCAAAATACACAACAACAAAACGTGGTTAGTTCCTTGTACTCTTTACTGGAGTCTGCCAAATTGTCCGATTACTATGACAGATTTCTGCAACAAGGTGGAGATGATATCGATCAGCTTTGCGAGGCAACAGAGAATGAGTTTAAAGAAATTACAAAAATGGTTGGTATGCATACAAAGCCATTGCATATCCGTAGACTACAGAAGGTTTTACTCGAGTATTGGGCAGAGAAATCGAAATTGGGCACCACAAAAGCCAGTTCTGTTACCCTTGGTGGTCCTTCATGGATAGAAACATGGAATACAGAACAGAGCTCCCAAATGAGAAGCAGTGGTTTAAGTCTTACAAACCCAACTACCACTACTATAAAAATAACCACAGGAAGCCCTGTTGAGAGTGCAGAGGTGCAAACCTCACCTGCAGCGACTAAAAGAGGAAGGCCACCTAAGGGACTGAAGAGGAATATGAAAACCGGAGTGTTTGAGTTGAAACTACCTGCAATGGAAGCTATAATAGATTGGGAAAATTTAGATGAAGAACGTAAACAGCTGATACGTGAACATTCAAAAATTTATGGCAGAGATGCAAAAAAGAGAAAGTGCTTAGATTTAAATAGCCATGAGCAAATAATCAATGAAGCAGCAGCTCAATTGTGTTTAAGAGACCCAACACTTCTAGTTAGAAGAGATGAACTTTTTACTCAGGCAAGGCGTATAGTTCGTGACAGTGGGTTTTCTTTCGTCCATGGTCATTCTCGTTCAAAGTTTGCTGGTGAATTGAGTGCAGCTGAAGCAATAGTAGATAAGGGTATGTAGATGTGTCCAATTATTTTGCTCATTTTCTTTAATCTTGGTGCCATTCCATCTTTGATAACCCCACCTCTATGCAAACCTTTCAATTTCTATGCAATTTCTTGACATTGACCCCATCATTAAATTAAATGATAGCTCTTCCATTGTTTCACAAAATTTTATTTACCTGCCAAATGATGCTCAATAATGCCAATATTATTGGGCTTTATAAACTCAAGATAAAAATAATTTTCTTTCACTACAGATGCATTCAGGTCTGCAGGAAACAGGTCCCTCCGTCAAGAAAGACTGAAGAATGTTAACACAATGATTGAAAAACATAGAGAAAGACAAGTCATGTTGATTAAGAAGAGGACAGAGTTAGAGAGCAATAAACAACCGGTATTGTTAATATTTTAAAGCTTAAAAAACTCTGACAAAAGGGACAATTGGTTTTTATTCAGTTATGGAAAAAATTTTCATGATGTGTGTCAGAGCAATACTATATTGCATTATTTAATTTATTATATTTTTTAATGCTTTAGACCAGTGATTTGCAACAGGAACTAAATAGTGTTACAAATAAATTAGAAGAACTGCAGACAGAGCAAAAGCAACTCCAAAAAAAGCAGCGTCGATCTGAGAGATATTTTCATAACAAGGATGCTCAAAAAAGATCATCACTAACAAGTATGACTTATATACAGACAATGATTGCAATGAAATAAAAGAACACATTTCACATCAGTGTTCTGAGACACCTGCTTAAAACAATACTTTTATCCTTAAAGAAGTATGAGATTAATAGAAATATATTTCATACCTTTAAGAGATAGTTTCTGTGATAATTTCAGGAATTGTAAATTGATTTCCATTCATTACATGACAGCGCGCTAACTCTCCACACACAGTTGATTACGCATCAGACATTTTACTTCAGAGTATTTATGATCATAATTATAATCATTTCCATATGCATGAGGTATCATCCACTCTTAGGATTCTGTAATTAATGCCAATTTCACCAGGTTAAGTGAGTTCACACCAGACTGTTGACTGTTCTTTTGTTTAGTGTGTGATACCAGTCAGGCAACAGAAACAGAAGTACCAATGCAGGAAGAAATGCAGCCAGAAAATGCAGAGGACCAGCACTCAGTTGTTGTGACAGGAATATTGCAACCTACAGGTTAGTGTCAGTCAATGAGATGATGATTTATAGAAAGAGACATATCACATATTAGATTCCTATTCATAGTGCATACAGTATATAGCAACATTTTAGTGGAAAAACCATGGTATGGTATTTATTATAAGTCCTATTTATTATGAATCTTTTTTGGTTCATATAAAATATTGTAAAATGTAGACTGCAGCTGCATGCAGGCTATTGGTATATAGGGGGCATGCATTCATATTTCTATATTCTGAGGAAAGTGTGTTGCTTAAGGTCCTCAATAAAATACCTAGTTTTAAAAATATGTATAGTGTCAAGTTTGCTCCCACCTCCTGTTGCAAAAATATTCATTTCATCTTACCAATCACAGTCCATTTACATTTAGATGATTCGAATACGCAACAAGATCATGGTTCATCCGACGATCCAAGCGGCAATCGCACGTTGTTTGCCATAATCCCACAACAACAGCTAACCGGTGAAGGGGCGACTTTAGATCAAAACACCATTAATAACCTCTTGAGCCTTGCAAATGAACAAGAAAAGTTGAATACGAGCCCAGGTTTGCTTTTTGTAGTTCACTAAGGATACACTAAAGTAATCTGTGACGAAATAGCAGCGCAATTGGTCCAAGCCTACGCCTATTAGATAACTAGGTCTTATGGTCATGAAACTAGGTCTTATGGTCATGAACAACAGTCTTTGTTCTTTTGTCCATATGTTTATGCAGTAAGAACTACGGTAAGAACAATGGACTATTTGCATAAAGAAGCAATCAGCCAATGGCATCATTCATTGGAATAACTCCACTGTGTATTGAAACATAAAATAGGAAATTTCATGATTTGTGTAAGGTGATGCCGTTTTACTATTAAATCCTAGCTCATAAATATGCTTTAAAGTTTGCCAGTGTTTTATGACCACATCTGTAGACTCCAATTCAAAGCAAGTTTAATACGGTAAAACAGTATTATAAAATAATATCGCTACGTGGGCAGAATTATAGTCATTTCAATAAGTTCAGAGTTAATCGTCCTACCACAAACCCCTTCTTGCCTCTTACATTCTTCTGTTGGGTTGCTGAGGACCAACCTCACAGAGGTGGCGAGCAGTCAATGCAACACCCACAATACGTACGTATGGTTGTTGCCTTTAATTCAGTTCTTTTCATCCTCTTCATTTAGCCTATCAGACTATCCTTGGACAGATCGGAATACAACCCAGTCAAATCACACCACAACTGATCTCTCAAATCATGTCCACGAGCACAGCAGAGCAACCCACCATGAGACAAGACCAACAGCAATATGTGACACAGCAACCTGACATGACTGTTGTTGAACAGCTTGCAACGACCACGACACCCACCGAGCTCATTTCTTCGGATTCAAATGCCACGCATACTGTCGTGGCCTCACTTCAGGATCAGTTTGTTCAGCCACCGGATTATACATAAATAACTGTGAAACAACAGAGACTGTATATACTGGAATATTTCTATTCCGTTCCGTAAGACTATATTCTAGGGGTGCATGTATGGTAAGTATATACAATGTATATATGTAAAGGAACTATCAAGTGTTCAGGTATAACTAGCTAGCCCTAGTAAAACGAGTAATATATTATTCCAACTATTGACGACATTTTAACAATGACAATGTACTTTACAGGGTGTATAAAAAAACTACAACCCACTTCATATTCATATATGTTCGCTTCTATTCAATAGCAAAAGATCGTAGGCCCCTGGGAATTATTGAAGTAGCGCTTTTTTTTATACACCCTGGAGAGCCAGGAATATATGCGACATCACAGTTAAATTGAGAGCATCGTAATTTAATTTGTTTCGAAATGTAAAAATCTGAAAATTATATTTTTATTACGCGGCACAAACAAAAAATAACTATTTTCATTTCAAAAATGGTTATTTTTACTGCACGTAATGTGTATAAGTATAATTAGTATATATTAAATTTAGTAGCTATATAGTAATTATTAAATATAAAAACCTATCTATATACCTTTATCTTCCACATTTCACATTCCACGATGCTCTTTTTAGCTGTAGTGTCTATAGCAGGACACCTATATCCATGGTCGTAATATAGGTTAAATATCTCCCCCGTTTTATGCAATATTTCCTTCACTCTCGTGGCACATTTTGGTTTGCATGCACACCCGTTTGTGCAGCTTTGTTAACCATACACGTCGTTAGCCAGTGGTTGTCAGGAAGCTAATTGCACGCAGTTGAACGGTCACAGAGTACTGTAGCTAATTACCGTTGCCTCGTTTTTTTGTGGTATACGGGTTTATTACAGAGGAGGCTGCTAACCCTTTAGAAACGGCAGCAGTTTTGGAGTACGACATTCAGAATGGAAAAAAAAATTAATAGACATTAATTGACCACTAACTGCGCATCCTATTTTATGACTTGAAGTTTGCTCAAGTCAGGTCTAAATTAGTATTTGTAAATACTGTAATTTTTTGTGTTTATTTTAACAATTGTGTTGATGTTATTTCTGTTTGGACTGTTTTATTACGAATTAAAAAATTTAAGAATAAATGGACGTATTATTACTTTTATTTTTACGTTTTAGCCATAGCTACAAAAAGTGCCTGTATATATATTGTTCTATAATTATTATGAAAGTTAAAAGAAACTCGAATTAGCTATTGGTGAACTGGTATTTTTCATCGCCTCGAAAAACCTGACAAATGATTGAATATAGACAGAGAAAAATAGTCACAGAAAAATTGCTTGTGAGTGCTCATACATGCAAGTGCGATTATATAGCATTAAGTTAAAGCGTGAGAATGCCAAAAATAGGCAGCTAGAAAACGTAGTTATACGTGCGGTGTAAAGTCTAGTTTCCCAGTTTCACAAATGTTTTATATTCCAACAAGTGATTTCTGGATTTCAGGAAAATCTATGTAGAAATTCTAAAAGTGAAAAGAACATTACGTTTCTCTATGTTTTACGATTGGCCAGTCTCAGGGTCCTGAGCCTGAGGCAGTTGTTCCCAAAATAGCCCATTTTTTTGTCAAAATGAAAAGTAAGGATTCGAACATTCTTGTTGAGATTTGAAAAGTCTGCATGAAGCTAGAAACTATCGCTTACAGCTGAGGAAATATAAAAAATGCTGCATATGATAATACCTTGTATAATTCGGTGCATTGATGGATACTGCTGGTACAACACATTTCACGGATAGAATGCATACTGAGCTGAGGGCCACCAATGTCTACGGAATATAAATGTCTTTTCAGAAATGATAGAGGAAATAAAATGTTGTATAAGTTTAATCCTGCGTGCATGGGTGGGCTCTGAGCAATATAAAGGAAACACGTTTACAAAAAAAGAATCAAACTCTACGAACCTACTGTGCTAATCCCGAGCTTGGCTGATAAAATAGGTCCAATTGTTGATCCACAAGGGCTGTCATTTCGTACAGCAAATTCCTGAAAGAGTTGTTAATTAGGGAACTGGTTAAAATGCTGTTGATTGCAATCTTTATATAGGCAGAAAGAGCCTGGGTTTTCTCAGTCTGCTGTACTCGTGGACTACAACTAGAAAAAACAGGTCAAATTTTTCCAGAAATTATAAAACAACAACGCCTAACATTGCAAACTTACCTGAAGAGGTATGTCGTGTTTTTCTGCCACTATGCGTAACACACTTGCCGTGACAGCCGTGGTCGCGTATTTTTGATTCGCATTGTATTTTATCACTGGACCCTGAAACGTCGATGCAAAGTTTTCTATTATATTTGCTTGCATATAGCTGAAGGGATGAAAAATGACGGGTGATGATGTTTTTGCCATTACGTCTCTGCCTAGCACGCCAGAGGTAATTCTTGATTAAGTTTTAAAAAATGCATAGTTTATATCACTTACTTGATGTAAAGCTGGTTTCAAATTGGATTCGTGTTTTTTACTGAAACGAAAAACAAAATTGGCAGGTTAGAGCGATCGCGCAACAGCACCAAGTTCCTGTGCCATTTGGCAATAGTAAAATGATGGAGGGATGCTATTTTGCATAAAAAAGGTTTCACAAAAAATTTCAAGTGTTGTTATATCACATGAATTTATGGTTTCCCTTTGACGAGTATATCGTTAACGCTCCGCATGCCGTATACTTTTTAAACAAAATTATCTGCGGACAGGAAGATATGCATGGTAATTAAGGAAGGAAGGAACTGTCTTTAACAGAAAGCTTTACTTTGCAGACACGTGTGTGTCGAAGGTAGGCAACCCTTAATCTATTGATGTGACATGGTCCAGTCACATCATGCAGTGATCGTAAATATAGAAATTTAGAGAACATGCAGTGATCGTAAATATAAAAATATAGAGAACGACTTTACACTCAGTAAAGAAATATAATATATATATATATATCCTTCTGTGAAAGGAGATTCCAACCACTTTTTCTCTACATCCATACATTACAAGTTCTCTTCATCCTATGTTTATAGGATTGTGCAGTGTATTATGTAATTATATAGTTTTCCATTACTTATATACGACTGGTCGAATGAATGTTATAAACAATCATGAATATCTATATACGACTCTAAATGTACTTGTCGTATTAAGTATGGAGGTTAATATGGAGGTTTAAGTGTTATATTATAATAACTATCTCCATCCAAGAGCATTAAGTAGTATTTCATGATATTGTTAATGCAACGATCACTTTCTTCGGCTGCGCACATCGATTCTTCGGCTGCGTATAAGATCTCAGAGGCATCAGTCCGAGATTCCACTTTTGACTGCATCTCCTCATAGTTTAATCTTCAATCTCACAATGGCTATGAAAACGCGACAAGGGATCGACACTACGTGCTGATGCGTGGAGATTATTCGTTCTCATTCGTCTTAAAACTCTCGGTAACAATCGTATAAGCGCCATTTTGAAGTGCCTGCTTCGGAACACGTAGAGAAATGGATCAATGCACGAATTGAAAAATTGAAATGACAGAACCCAAGCATAAACTCTTTCTGAGACCACGGTGTATTTTGGTTCGCTGTTCAAGGAAAATCTAAAATCGTAACCCAGGATTAGTAGATACGTGAGGAAATAGAAGAAGACTAATAGGAATGTGTTAGCGGTACTCCTCCACACGGGTACACGCGTCTTCATCTGTGTGTTCCGTGTGCTTGTTGTGGTTGAACCCATCGCTCGTATCTTTTGCCGCTGTTTCCTGGCAGCCATGTAAACGACCAGGTACAGGACGAGAACTATTACCAAGCTGGAAATCATGTATACCCGGAGAGCAAACTCCGAACATTCTGGCGTGTCTTTTTGTAGCGAGGTGAAGAAAGCCATGGAGAAGGATAGAGGCATTATCCACGACATGAAGATGGCTTGAAACGTTCTACGTTTGGTCACAAACGCTCTGTAACGTAATGAATATGAGACCGCGATGAATCTATCGACGGTGATGGCCAAAATGGCATTTCCATTGGAGAACACATGGAACAGGCACAGAGCATGGTAGTAAAATCTCACAGTCTCGCCAAGACTGTCCTGAAGTAGAGCATAGATATGGAATGGAAAGAAAACGGCGCATGTTAACAGATCAGAAAAGCCAAGATTGAAAATTAATAGGTTTGAAGGCACTCGATTCAGTCGTTTCGTAAAGGCAATGGTCACTAAACCTAATGAATTTGCAGTAAACCCAATGATACATTGCGATAATGATATCAGGAGTAAAAAGTACAGCTCAAGTTGACGGAAATCTTGTTTAATCATTCCATCTTCCAACGATGATTTTCCTGTCATTTTCAACCAAATTCCTTTGTTCAGAAATTGCTCTCATGCATGTACGATCGAATAAAGAACAATTCAGGCTTGTTCGTTCCAAACTGATCAGGGCTAAATAAACATGTACGACCTCTGACAAAGAATATTTAATATCGTGATCTGCGAATTTGCCTTCAAAAGTAAATAAAACAGTACTTTAAGTAAATATTATAAATGTAAAACAAAAATAATAAAGGAAGCAAAAAAACTATAAACAATAAACAGCGTGCACTTGGGCAGTTATACATAAAGCTTAGTTTTAAGTCATACTTTGGATCAGATATGCGCTTTACATTTTATAAAACATCATTAGTCTGCATTTATATACCAATGACAAATCAATGACAAATGAGGTTTAAACCCGAATTTTTACAAAAAGTTAATCAATTATAAAAATTATATATTCCTAATAATGCCACGCAATCTGGTCGACGTGTTAAAATATATCTTATAATTGACAGGATGAAAGTAATTGGAATAAATGTTCTAAAACAAGTCACAATTTTAAAAAAACACAAAAAGTCGCTATTTTCTATTAACATGCATGCAGTAGCCTATTATGAAGCGCGGGAAAGTATCGATTGATCAATGCTCCACTTTTAATACATAGTAGACGAGATGCCTAGCTGCGGGCTTTTGGTTAGGACATCCAAAAAAGCCTACTGACTGTATACCAGCTGTACGAAGTATGTCGATGTCAAACTGCAGATGAAATTAAAAAAAATGAAGTCGGATAGTTCGGATACATGGCTAGCCATTAAACCTAAAGAAATGTTGACACCTCTATTCTGTACAATTGGCGCGGTATAGCCTATCACAATCGTACGTGAATGCAAGAATAAAGGACGCCTTTTCACACATACATGGACGTGGACGGCCATGTAAGACAAATTGGACAATTTTTTTCATTATGAAAAACTGCAAACTTGTAGTGGGTTATAATTGTGCCTACATGTGTGTAGGAGCTTCCGGGAGCATTTTGTAATTAAAATACATAACACCTCTTTCGGTAAAATTTTGAGGAAGCGTACTTTTACAGAATTCCGCTTGTAAATAATTTATAACTTATTCGACAATTCATACTATATTTTAGTATACAATATAAGCAGGCTTTACTCGAAACTTTATTATACAATTAAAATGACATAATGTGATATGACTTTGCCATGCAGTATGCACATACAGCAGGTGATTAGAATAACCTTGCCATCAGTATGCAATATAGTTGATTAACAATCACAAGGGTGACCTTGTCCGCAACGTTACACGATAGGTAATTGAACGTGCATGGGGAAGATATTGTGGAAGATACGTTGTGAAGTATCACCAAGATTTAAAGACAGTTTTGAATTACTGCGGCATTAGGTATAAGGTGTTTCACCTTTGACACAAAAACTTCTTTCATGAGGCAAAATATTGTAGTTTTTTACAAAATCGTAAATTTTTAATCTTAAATCCTAAGATTTTTCAATCGGGAGATCGAGTTTGTCTCGACGTAGTTTGAACAGAAAGAGCACAAAGACTATACGATGTCGCACCGTTTAAAAAACTCCCGCCATTTTCATTTTTAACTCCACAGGTGAAGAAAAACGGGGATACATGCATGCTGTAACACAACCGATGTTCAAACATTCCTAAGCGACGGTTAGAATTCACAGATTCAGCTAAGATTTTATCAAAGCCCATACTATGTCACAAATTACATCATGTACCCACGCGTACCCAAGGTTACATTACATATATTCACACTTCATGTGAGAAGTTCTTCACGCGATTATATCCTAAACACAATCAGAAAAACGTATGCCTATAGGTTCTGAAAATTCAAACCAAAGACTTACGAATAGTTAGGATGACAGGCGTGTGCTTGATCTGCACTGACAAGAAAGGAGCTTGCAAGACTTCTTTCATAACACGTCAGGTCATCACCTAAAACAAAAACACACAAGAAAATATCTAAAATGAGTCATGGAGGGAATGGAATAATAAGCATTTGCATCGCATCAAACACGTGTTTTCGGACTATAGTTTCTTCAAGATATTGACTTGTGGTGGATCATACCCGTAGCTCATACTGTACATCGCAGGCCCTTCGTTGAGGACAGTACAGTGCAATCAATCGATATACATCAGTAGTTGTGAAGACGAATGCAGTGCAATCAATACGGACCAATGGTTCCAATATGGACCAATTAGTTAGTAAGTAGTGCATGACGGGACTGACTTGTTTGTAATCAAAGCGATTGGGACGAGGTTGAATTTATCAAGTAACTTACTGCTTGGCGAAGAAAGTCGTCTAAGGACTAATTCTGTCCAATTGGAAAATGCACCTTGAGCACTTCGAGAACCAATCTGATAACATCATAAGTACAATTTTAGTAAGTTCATTCTACAATCACTGATGTATATACTTAACAACGTATATTCTTTTTCTCCTTCTGGCATCCATCTCGTATGTAATTTTTTATGGCAGTCACTCCACCCACGCAACACGAAGTGATCGTTCACTACGTTCATTATTATTCATTTCATACACTCACTTTGTTTATTCACTTCGCTCATTTACTACTTTATCCACTTTATAAACTCACTTTCATCATTCATCACTCCGTTCATTCACTTCGCATACTTATTTTATTAATTTACTTCGTTCATTCACTTCATATACTCATTTTAGTCATTCACATCGTTCATTCACTTCGTACACTCATTTTATTTATTTACTTCGTTCATTCACTTCATACATTAATTTTAATCATTCACTTCGTTCATTCACTTCATGTACTCATTTTAGTCATTCACTTCGTTCATTCACTACGTACACTCACTTTGTTCATTTACATTCATAGAGTAAACCTACCTCTTCATTGTCATAAAGAACAGCCATACGGATATTTGTGTCAGTAGAAAATGATGAATCCAGAGAACCAATTAAACCCTGTAACAGGCGAAAAAAACTGATTAATAAAAAATAAACTATAAAGCAGGCTAAGCGATTAATCAGACTCGATTAGCTATGCTATTTTTGATTACCTGTGCCAAATACATGCTTTATATTTCAATATAATATTGTAAATAACAGTGATGGTGTACGCATGAGGTGCATTAAATTATTATTGTTGTTGTTGTTGTTGTTGTTGACAAAATCAAATAATTTAAAATCAAATGAATCTTAGATCAAGAAAATTAGAAGTTAAATGAATTGCCTATACATACAATAAACTAAGCTGTGTGCACAAGAGCGTCGTTTTCGAGCGATTTCAAAACCGTTTTTGTCTATTTTATTGTTTAGACACCCTGTCCACAGTAGCCTAAAAACTATACCCAGCGGGAGTGGTGTAATTGAGAAACACTATCGTCTTAACTTTGTAGTAGAAACTGGACCTGGCTTAGGAGTTTGAAATGTTACTACGTGCAACAGAGCGTATAAATGTAGGATGAGAATAATACATTTTACCTGGATAGAAGCATAGGCATTAACAAGGTTATCTAGTCTTGGTGAGAAGATGAACTCTGACATCGCTCCACCTAAGGTCTATCATTAACAAGAGAAGATCTCAGAGATCTGGTGGTAATACCAATGAAGAACTTGTGCTACAATAAAATGTGACTATATGTGTTTTTGTTTAATATGAGTATGCGTAATAGAGTTCCAGGTTTGAATGAGGTTTTAGAGTTCACGATGTCGCGTGTTTTGGAGCGAAGTTTTGTACTTGTAAAAATTGTATAATATACTTACAGCAGGTTGAGTATCGGCAAGACACAGTTCAAAGTCAACAATATCCCCACATTCACACGACATTTCTTCACATAACATTTGAATAAGAAGTGGTTGGTGTCGGTGAGAGTTGGTCTAAATGGAATGAACGGTGCAGAAAATGTAAGTATTCACTATAAGCAGATAACTTTGTACTCGTTGTCGAAGAGAAATTTTGCGGTTGGCTTATTTTTATTTTCCTTTATGATTTGTTAAATTAAGTCGGTAAAACAAAGTCTTCCTATATATAGCTACTTTTGAAAAAACTAATGCATCGCCATGGGCAGGATCCTAAGCTGATGCATAGAAAGTTGTAATAGTTGGCTGTTGCAGATAGTAAAAGTTTGAGGGAAAAATTCGGAAACCATGTAATGTAGCTTTTGCAAGGGATCCATGGACTTTAGTTTCCAAAATCAGTCATACATACTATCTTGCACTGGTTATTGTCATTTGCCTGTTCATCTTTTTGTTCTTCATTTGAACACAGTAACTGTTTCGCAGCCTGAGTAGCTAAGACTGGAACTCTGCAGAAAACATGTTTGTATGTTTTAAACTATGTTTTAAACTCAAGCAGCCACAAGAAAAAGAATACGGGAAAAAAGTTTTAATAACATGCAATAAAATTAACGTTTGTTGCATGTTATTTAATTAGCATTTCGTTTGCCCCTGCTATAGCACCTGAAAGCACCTGAATGGATTTTTCTAATTATTCTTATGAGTAATAACATGTACTCCTAACAATTACTCGTGACAAAATATATTGTTCCGTGGTAACATACGTGTGGTTTTCCAAGTTGGGCGAGAACTTATCATTAATATCTCTCTGCAAATGTATGGCCAAATGTGGGACTCGTAGTATGGGTTTCTTGATATTAACTAACTTGTGTTGTAGCTTGCCTTCTTTCTATAGAATTAAAGTTTGTTGCAATACTCATTTGTTCTGAACCACACAAGGTGCTCTTCGATATATGGCTAAAAACAACACACTCTCTTGGGATGCTGCATGAGTACCTTAATGATAACCCGTCCAGCTACAGTTAAGTCTCGATCAAACCAAGTGTTCCAAATCCCACCACCATAACATTCAACCCCTACTTGTAGGTAGCCATGTTTCTCAATTTTTGAAACTGGTTTTACCTATGTCAATATATAAATTTTGAAAGTTTAATTTGCATGAAATTCTGGCTGCTACCTCCCTAGTTTTTTATTTCCATTCTGTTATATCTTCGGATTACAGACCACCAACAAGATGCAAAGTATGAGATTAAATATGCTCACCTTGAGACAAGGACTATCAGTATGAGCACCAACAATACTAAAACCATTCCCAGGAGAATAAGCACCACCAACAGCAAATGCAATTATACTTGATTGGTTCTTTGTAATGAAATACTAGAGAATGAAGGACATATAAGTAAGGATATTATCAATGGCAAGGAATAATATTGTTACAATAAAAAATGCTAAATTATTCTTGCTTTCTTTATGACAATATTTATTTAATGATACGGCATTTAATAGGTTATCTATATACTATATACTGTATTATGGTAAATTTTGCATCAAATTTTCACGAAGATATTTCGCATTTTTCCCCCCTGCATGGCTTTCATACATCATTTTAAAATAAAATAAAAACAAAATTCACCTTTCCTCCTGTTTTTATTTCCCATGGACATTTTTCATCCAATTCAATAAAGTTTTGAGCACCAAGTAACTTCTGGCACTCTTTCACAGCTAAGAAAATTAAAAATAACATTTTTGGACTGAACCTTGCTGAAGATTTTATGCAGTTAAATTCAATGCACCCAGGAGCTACAATTGCAAAATGAAATCTCTCATCTCAAAAGGACTATTTTTTTTCTCAAATAAAACACTTTGCCAGAAAATACCGTGGTCATTTTGCAACATAAACCAAATTGTAAGGCTGAAAAATGAAGAACTAAATTGGATTGGTAACATTTTAAAATCAGGAAGTGCTACCCAAACATTCTATAATCAGAAAATTCCACAATTTGTCACATATTTTGTGGTTACAAGCTTTAGTACAATGTAAGTGCATACATGTACCTACCATGAAATGGTGAAGGTGATCTGTCAACAAACTGTATGAACTGCTCTGCTGCCTCTTTGTGTATCTGGTGAAAAGAATAATAAACAAATTCTTCATATCCTTTTTGTAGCTTGTGAACTAATTGAGTCTAATTCAGCAAATATAAACCTGCAGTTTCCTGGCATCACTGACAGTGAAATACAAAATCATTGCAAATTTGCTAGCAGTATAGGTTTGGTTTTAATACTATGCTTACAGTCAATCTTCCATTTTTGGCCATGACTGATAAAATAATTACATGTATCTTGTGAAATAATTTTATTTTTAACAAACGATAGATGTCCAAAAACTCTAAAAGGCTTGTTGTATACACTGTAATGAAAAAAGAAGAGTTAGAAGACAGTATTATAGAATATAACAACTACCTTGCTCATCACGTTTAGGTTTTGAAAAATCAAAGGTGAACGAAAAGGAGAAGTGCAACGTCTAAAAATCGTAATACGAACAGAACGAAACTGAAACCGAACCATTCAAAGGAAAAAAAACAAGATTCTACGAATGATCGATCAATCAATCGAATGCAATCATTGCAACACTGAGGAGCAACACTTCATGTAAGGATTATGATGAGGCATTACATTCATGGAAGTATTTACTAAAAGTACTATCATTCTAATTTTTTACACCATCAAATGTTTATATCAAACATTCTATTCAAATATTTCGCCAGCAGATTATCCTTTTAACAAAGGATTCTTGTGAATCATCATGACAATTTTGTTAGCCTGTTGTCAGAAAATGATGTTAACCTGTGTCAAATTACTATTCCATATTGTCCATGACAACACTATTTTGTGAATTTAAATAAAATTTTCCATATTTCATGCTTAAGCACTTTCTGTGATACTGGCACACTATTTGTCTACAAATGATAAAGTAGATATTGTTTAAGGGCTTCTGGAATGGGTAGATTTTGTACTTCGTGTGGTGCACACAAGCTGATTATCTTAGTTCTGCAAAAATGCTTCAATGTAAAATGCATTCTAGGCAGCAACCACACAGAAACAGCATCACATGAATGTCCAACTGCTAGATATTCACAGGACTTTGAGAAACACAAACTTGTTTTTACAGATGAATTTGCTTGTATATTTGGCAATGCCAGGTGAAGTAATTCAGAAGTAAAATCTATGGTCCACAGTGTTTGCAACATATTTGGATCAAAAACAATAAAACCACCTATTCCTGAAAATGGAATTGCTAACATTGTTCCATCAGCTGAAAATTGTGGGCAAGAAGCAACATGTTTGTCAGCTAGGACAGGATTATTCTCCTTGAGACATATCTTGCCAACACAGTCAATATGTTTGTTCAAGCCATCACAGAGTGCAGAGGTATCCCATTTTTGCAAATAATACTCTTTTGTCAAACATATTAGTTCATGTATGGAAGATGGATTGAAAACACCCCAGATCTGATGAGACATTATACCATTCAACTCCTGTAATTCTAGGATGACCTTCCATGATTTGGTTGATATTAACATTACTCTTCCATTTGGCCTGGGAAGGCAATAAGTCCCAACAGCAAGGAATTTACTGTTGAAGGAGAATTCAAGACTTAAAAAACGTACTTCAAAATTTGAGTAAAATCTTAAATCAATCAAAGCATTCTGTTCCTTGACAAGTTTGTCTTTCTTAACTGTATACACCTCCAAATGATTTCTATCTCCTATAGAAAAGTAATTTGAACAGACGGCAAGTACCACCCACTTTCCATCTGGAGAAAAAGAGCAGCAAGTAGCATGTGAATCTGTACTCCGTTGTACGATTTCATCAACACAATCAAAAATTGGTTTACTGGGATCTGTGTGCGTTTGATAATATAAATTCCGATTGCATTTCCACAATTGCAAATGACTGAAACCAAGATAGGTTAAAATCGCAAAGTATTGATTGCTTCTGCATACAGCTATATCTCGGACTGCGGTTTCAATGACATTTCGGGACTCACCAGAGTCAAGGTCCATTAGACGCAAATCATGAACATTTTTTGTTACAGTGGGTCCAAAACCTGGAAGTGAAATAGCTGAAAAATGAATTGACCCAAAAAGAATACACGATTCATCTCTTAGAAATGCGATGGTTGATTTCGGTTCAGCTCGTGTCACATCTGATTGCCGTTGCGTTGTGAAAATTCTAATCATATTCGGCGCGCATGATGATTGAGTCTTGCTTGTATTTAAAAATCGGTAGGATTTCGGCGAAGGATCGCTGTCGTTACCATGTTCTCTTACTTTTTTGTTTTTTGATGCTTTCAGGCCCATAATTTTGAAGCTTTTATTAATATATTCTTTTACATTTTTTAAATATATTTTTGCAGGGTTTACAATATCACCTTGTTGAATATCACCTATTCACATATATAAAATGATAATAATGCCACCCCCTCCGCTGGCCCTTTTCGGGCAAATATGGCGGGCGGTGATATTTTTCCGCATTTTCCGAAATCGCCCAAATGCTCCGATCCTAGCGCCTGCGGAGGTAGTATATAATGAGTCATAGGGGCGCGCTTTCCATTAAGCGGCCAAAATGGACAGACCGGTCATATTTAAAATTGAAATAGAGTATTTCGTTAAGAATATAACGATAAAACTATATTTCCCGTGCTAGGCAGATGTAAATAACGATATACTTCAATGCAGAGTTCTTGAAACACTCTAAAATACCAGTGATCTGACTATACCGAAATACAACAGGACCGTTCAAACCGTTTTTTCCGTATAAAGGAAAGCGTCAAAGCGCCCATATACTCACATTATATCAGTGCTTACACGCGATTTTCTAGTTTTTCTAGCATTGGTGACTCTTTATACCTTCGATCTACGATGGTAGAATGTTGGTATCAGATTTTCCTGAGCTAAGTCATTATCGATTCATTCAATTGAGCACATGAAGGTTAATAAGTATATGATTAAGACACTGATTAACGAAACTAACGGTGATATCGCCTGCTTGTTCATAGAGCTTAACGTTTAGTTGAAATAGTGTTTTTTCTTACTGATGAAATCTGGCGAACCGTTCCCAAATGACCATCGAGTCTGATCGAGAACGTCTACTTTCTTGTAACACCCTATGTAGTATATAATATGAAGTAAATTGTAACCATATGATCACATCATCACCGTTCGTTTACACTTGCAATTTTTGCTGCGATTTTACAGTATGTGCGATTTTCTTCCTTTGATAGATGTAAATGAGTGAATTAGTCACTGATATTCAAATAAGAGTTCTTATATTTGACAGATTTGCTAAATCATTTATATGTCAATCAGTAAACTATTTGACAATTGTTCTTAAACAATTTTTTTTAACTTTTAATACCATATAGTACTCCATTGTTGTGGTTCACCCATTTATACGAAAAGTATCAAATATTTATTATAAATCATTGTAGTACATAATAATAGTAATCTTACCAATTTGTAAATATAATTACCAATTCTTAATCATATATATTTATATAGTCCACTCGATGTAAAATCAAGTTTTTTATGTTGTGTCTTAACAGCATACAAGTTGATTCTATTAAAAACACCTTAATTTATACATCAGAGCATTCGTAACTAATTACTGGTTAACATCAATGAAAAGAGGAAAATCGCACATAACATGTCATCGAAGCAGAAATGCCAGAAATCCAAGTGTAAACGGGCCTTTAAACTTTTGGGACAAAATTTGTGTCTATTTTGGGGTTGTCGCACCCCTGAACCCCTTGCGCTCCACTCTCGAGGCAACTACCTCCGGATATTGACTTCGCATTGAGACCAATCTGACAGTTCTGGTCGAAATCGACTGCCGTTTTTAAGACAATTTTAATATTTTCTCTTCTTTTGTTCCTGCTATTCGAGCTGATTGCGGACGAGAGCCATTCGATAGCCAAGTCGGTCCATGGGTTATAAAATTTTGACTGATATCAAATAGATTCATAACAGACGAAGACTAAGTAAAAATTGTTAAGGTAAACTATACATATAAAAATGCCGATATAACCAGGGAGCAGCGTGGCAGCGTCTTCAAACAACTTAGCATCAAATGTGGTATAACAACTGCCTAAAATAGACAAAACACTTCTCGATGTTTCGACCCGAGGGCCTTCGTCAAGAGAGGTAGTTACTCTCCTGACGAAGGCCCTCAGGTCGAAACGTCGAGAAGTATTTTGTCTATTTTAGGCAGTTGTTATACCACATTTGAAAAAAAAATGCCACTCTTTCCGCTTGGTTTCGATAATTAGCGGCTTACGGGTTGGTTATGTCGATTAAACATAATTTGCTTGAACATTAGTGACAATGCGGTAGATAAAAAGGATACATTTCTTTCTACAGAAGAAGGTAGTTTAAATACCGACGGAGCTTGAGTGAAACGACCTCTAGAAACCCCTAAACGAGTGTAATGGACTTTCAATTAAATAAATTCTTTTAGGCTCTCATGTCATTACATTAATTCTTCGATCACCGGGATTAACTTTTGGATGAGATAACAGCATTTCCCACTATTCGCGTAAAGAGAGTTACACTTAGTGGTTAAAATAATGAAACAGTGTTTGGAAGGATAGTAAGGTTGCTATATATTTATATAACTAACCATGCACCAATTAGTCCCACAAAGATGAAAAATGGACTTTGGGCAGCTAACAATCGGTTGCTATATTAGCCTACAACATTACCTGATGGATGAAAATATAAACTTGCTTTCGGAGAATAAACAGTCCCCATTCTCGATGGCATGAATAAGGCAGGAAGACAAACATCTAATCAAAGAAGAAGCATAAATTATGTTATAAAGAACATCAGTAAGTGCGGCTATATGTATCGATTAATCCATGCTCTGTATATTCGTATTAAAAAGAAATAAAGACACCCAACGAGAGTTGCCATTCCTGAAGATCGGTCAATTCTTAAAGACTGGTAGATATCTCACCATTTAAGTCCAATTCATCTTCTTCAACACTTAGTCGGTTTTGTGTTGCCATTTTAAGTTCATAGTTTTCCTGAACCTATTTATAGTGAAGAAGGACGGATCAATGGTGTCGTGATAGATAGATGTTACCAGATTACATTACTTATATGTTACCATCTTACATTCATATACAAACATTTTTACAGTCCAACACCAAAAGTCAAAGTACTGAGTACTGGGCTAGGACAGTTGAAATAGTAATTAGAAATCCAGACCTCTTTCTTTGTCTTTTCACTCAAATCCTGATGATGTTTAGCACTTGCTCTGGAAAATTGTTCTAGTCTATCAAAAAACTGTAAAAAGACGAGGAAATGGTGTCCTTATATGAAGAAAACGGATAGCAAGCAGATATATTCACTCACACTCATTGCATGTTTCATAGAAATTGTGTGTTAAAACGTTGAAAATCGAACTCTTATTCGAGTGGAATTCAGAATTCATGCACAGAGACAGTAAAATCAAATTAATTAATATTAAGATAGTATGGGAATGATAAGAATATTGCATGTTGACTATAGTTTTGATAAATGGCAATGGAAGAAACTAGGAGGAACTGTAGGAAGAATTGTGTTCTAGATTATAGTAAAATGATATGTGGGGTAAAAGTATAAGTGATACCATTACGTCGACATATAATGCAGTTACAACATATAATGCAGTTACATGGCAGTCAATATAATTCTTACATTTTCTGGAAGATTTTTACCCCATTCTGGTAAAACATGACCTGTTTTGATTTTCTTCATGCTCTTCGGTGATTTGGTAGTCCTGAAAGGAAAAAGGATAGAGCTGTGTAATTATTCTCCACCCTCAAACTTATATGATATTAGGGTAAGCGAAGAAAAGTATTTTAATTTTTTTTTATCGAAGCATAATCAGTATATGATCAAATGCATCATGCATTCTCAAGGTATGATCTACGCTCTGTTCTGTAAGATAGAACAATCTTCATGCATACTTGGTTTCGTCGTATGACGAACTATGGTAGTTATACGTAAACTATACTGCATGCTTCTCATATACATGTAATGTCTAATTAAAATCCACGCTTGTCCCCACACGCTCGACTGCACCGTTTAGCAGGTATATATATGAAGAGATTTTTTCAAAAGTATTTACCTGCCATCAGCTGTGCGAGGTCGTGGAGTGCTTTTACGGGAACACTGTATCGTAGAGGATAATGCACTTTGTGGTATGGGAGATGTACAAGCTGAAAGAATTTTAATTCTCGTATGTCAGTATAGTTGTCCACGAAAACACAAAATTATTACTGTGTTATGAAAACAGGTTTCTGTGGCTGATACAAAATCCTGCTGACTCCCTGTGAATCGTTAAAAGGGAAACCTAATAACTGTATATTACAGGAGAGATAGCGCTGAAAAGTTGTCTGAAAAGGAGGATTTTAGAGGGGGGGTGATGAGGCCTTACGGTATATTAATTTTGCACCATCACCGAGAGTTATAACAAGTTTAAGAGTTATCTGTAAAGATCCGCGCAACATGATAAACTAGTTTAATAATAGGCATACCGTTGAGAAATTTGGGTTCAGCTGAAGTAGTTGAGAATCCATCTGGAGATCCTCTCATTGAAATACGAGCTATCTCTTGCAATTGCAATCTGAAAAATGAATAACACGCCGAATTTTAACCAGCAATGGTTAAAACAATTACAATTTAGCTAAACTTGTTAGTGTAATGAATGTTAAAGAGATATAGCTAAAGCCAAAAGTAATTCGTCTCTGACGAGTCATTGATCTCTATGACTCGTTTGAGATCGATGCTTTAAATCGTTTTGGGATCGATTCATTTGAGATCAATATTCATGTTTGAGCAGCACCGTATAACTGTAAGCACTTAAAGTTGGGCAAAGACATACTCGTATTCATCTCTTAAATCTTGTATCTCTTCAATGTGTCTGCTTCTCATTTCTTCAAAATCGTCTTCGGTGTAGATCTTTTTCTCCTTATTTTGGACAACAAATTTATTTATTTATTCAGTAATTACTTTTAAGTAAAACATCATGCGAGAATAGGAAGGGCAAAAAAGCTAGGTAAGGTTGCTTTATCACGTGAAAGTTCGGAGGGTCGGTTGAAAGAAAAAATTAGTCAATGCAGCAAATTGAACGTATCATATAAATTATAACATTTCACCAAACCTCATCAGCATCCATTTCATTTATGCTTTCCTGAGTTTCCTCCTCTTTTCTATAAAATGGACAGGCAAAATATCACGTCAGTTATATAATCATAATATACTCATACATATGTAAGTATGATACATGAAATATATTCAAGGACATTCCCATGTACATATATTTTATGTACCAAATATTCCCTTTAGAATTCCATTTTAATCACTCTTGTATATTAACGCAATGCTTACATTGCATCATTACTCCCGCTACTATAATTTTAAGCCCACAAACCGTACGTAAAACTAGATTTTAGAGCATTACGGTCTGGCAGTGTAATCATCCGATTGTTTATATAATTTTAAACAAAAATAGCAAAAACGAAACACATAGGATAGAAAATAATCAAAATACCAATCTTACTTTTTGGCCGCCATTGCTTCATCAATTAATCTGTTAAAAAATACCGTCGAGTTGTTTATAAACATATATTTAAAACAACATATGCGCAAATAATTTCGATTCTTACTCTGTGATAGACAAGGTTTGTGATGTTGCATCAAATGATCGCAATCTTTAAAGAAAGTACAATAATGTTGAAGCCATGTCAAGCTAGAGGACATCGAAACTGGGAAACGGGGCGCCAAGGGCTGCTGTTTAAATTGTATTGTAATTTACTATTTGGTAAATCCGGTTTCATTGGATAACTCTGCAAAAAGTGTATAATGATAAGCTCGAAAGAAAGCAACACAAGTCTGCCGGAGGACCCCGGACATCTGACAGAGAGAAAACACGAGACAACCATAACAACCGCTTTTTTTGGCAATATATACGTCATGTAGCTGAGGAAACAGATCTTTCTATCCGTTCAATTCACAACAATAACAGATGAATCAGTGACATTTCAGTAAATAAACTGTTTCGAGCAAATTTGAACAATTCTATCAAAGCCGCCCAGTTAGCCAGCTCGTTAATTGTTCATATAAACATTCTGCATGATCCGAATTAGGTATGCCCGCGTTTAAAAACTCACCTTTCTTTCTTTGTCTTTCAGAACATAAAATAGAAAAGTGAAATGCTTAGGTAAAGCTGTTTAATTGGCAATAGATCAACATGCCAGCCACGTGCATCAATATTAAAATTGCATGAAAATGATACAGGAATGTTCATTCGCTCGTTTCAAATCCGCTAATGCGCATGAAGATCAGTATTAGTGCTTTACCTGGTAACAAATAACTGGAACATGACCGACAACGGAATTGAACAATGTTTCCTTGTCTGACACAAGAGACAACATTGGATATCTTTTAGGTGTTTCCTGTTCTGAGTCAATATCGCTTTGCTGAATAAATCGAAAGAAAATCTGTTTGTAAACCAGGCCACAACAACAAAGCTTTAAGCTATATGCATGGGAACGAGGTTTCCTTCACGTAAAAAAAACTGAAGTTTGTTTCAGCCGTCGTTCGTCAGTCGTATTGTTGGGAACTGTGTGTAGAACTGAATGTTTTTGTTCTTCATAGTGCCTGCCATTTAATTTTTGCAAGAATTTTCAAATTCTAAACTAATAGATTTCATTATAGATGTTCAATAATTAGGTATAATTTTACGTACCGAAATTTTAAGCTCATCATATCCCATAGTAGACATCGCAACTATTTGTCCTCCACCTTCGCCCTGAACTGCTATTCTAAGCTGAAGCGATTCAATGTTTGTGATACCCTGTCCTTGCACGTACACGTTATCTGGGGGTAAAGTGAATACGAATTCCTGATATCTATAAAAAAGTTGTAAAAAATTAATTATAGAACATTCTTCTCACAATATTCATATCACAAAGAGAAATAGTGTCAGGATTTTTAGCTCTTTACATCAATATATACCAGTAATTCAGGCCGAAATGCTGTACCTTATATATACTTGCTATATATTAAAATGTCGTCCAAATGCAGTGTGATTGCATGATGACATACAAAACCCTCACCTGTTATCTTCGGATGCAGTCGTTAAATTCTCATCGTTGTTGTAAACTCTGCTGTTAAATACTTGTTCACCAAGGCATATTGTGCATTTCGGTTCCGAAACTGGAAACAATTATAGCTCAATGTGTTATTACACACACACTGTCACAATAAAAACGACTCAAACATGACAAAGCGACAACAATAAAACAGTAAACATACAGAAAACAATAACAGTTTGGAACACATGCAAATTAACACTCGACGTGAAGTCATACCTAGCTTGCATTCAGGTTTGTATATTCGCACGTGCAAGAATCTAAAACGGAATAAAATAAGAATAAAATGGAATAAAATGAATTATATATAATGTAATCCTGGTGACTTGGTGGAGCATGTATGGCTCTAAATTTTACCCATGATTTACCCATACAAACCAATATTGCCAGTCGAAATGCCCTTCGTTTATCAAGGATGATCTATAGTATCAATTACCTTTCATAGTCAGTCTCTCCAGTCCCCACGTTTTTATCTTCCTTTGTACATGTTTTTGATTTGTTCTCCTCAGGTAACTCGTCGACAAATGAAACATTTTTCTGCCAAAACAATTACAATTGTATTAAAACGTTATCGTGACCTTTAAATTTAATGAAAATAAAAGTTGCAATTAGTCTTCGGGCACAGTCAACTGCGAGTTAATTATTTCCAGAGTTCGGGAAAAATTCGAAACGCGTACCTTGAGAAATCGTCGGTTGGCTGGGTTTCTTGAATTGGTAAGATTCCGTACGCCAGTTGGACTTTCGACTCTCGCGGGTCTAAACCTTCTGGAGAATTCGGGTGGACCTACAAAATGAAATTGATATTTATTAATCTATTGACCTTGCCTCAGGGAGGCTATGCACAACAGCGCTAGCCAATTACTGTGACCTCAAGTTTAATACACAATATAGCTACCAAGAGTAATAGAGAGAAATAAACATATAAACAAATATTAAGTACTGGAAATAACTGGTCAATGAGAACATGCTCGTATCTATACTCAGTTAGTAGTGACGACTTTTATTAGTGTACTGCACATCTGGCTCTAATCGCGCAGGCCTCTCGCCAAATGAACGTGAAGACACGCACCTGATTCCTTTTCAAATGGATACTTGGATTTAAATCTAATAAATTGATAAACAACATGTTCAGTGCATTGATCTGGTCCAAACCCATGCGGTGGACCAAATTTTCCGTACCTATAGTAAAAGCGATACGGTATTAAAATAAACAAACCTTGATGCAACCGGATCTGGCATCATTCCATGTTTACGATTGACTCTTTTCATTCCTAACAAAGTCTGAGCATCGTCTTCCGATGAAACTTCACTTTCTTCCCGGCTTTGCGGCAACTATATCAGTTTTGAAATATAAAATACACAAATTATACAAGATATGAAGCCATGAAGGCTCATGAAGCCTCAAAGAATGATCTAGTCCGAAGTCAACGATCTAACCACACTAAAGAACAAGCAGTTTTGCTTCGCTTTTTTGCAACAACATGAAGTACCTACCTCATGCAGGTCATCATTTGTTTTGCTACTTTCATCAAAATGTGCCTCGCGTCGTAATAAAGTTTGATGTCGCAAACTTCGCACATTTCGTCGATGATGACGTGGAATAATTGGTTCTTCTTTAGACTCTGTACATTTTTTAACGAAATGTCATTCACGCTGTCTACTGTCTACTGCATGTAATGTATTTTTGGGAGTTTTAAATACTTCTGAATCTATACGGTCATACATCGGATCACCACACGTACCATTCTGCACCCCATCAGTAGCCGAACTTGACGGATATGGTATGGAAAGAATTTCTCTAAAGAGCGTTTGAAAACTGGTCAATTTAAAGCAAAAGTCTATCATACATAAATTCACACTAACATGCGGTTAAACCGCTGTCAAATGTTCATTCCCATTACCCCGTTTTCGCTTTCTTTTTTAAAGATCCAATTAAAAACTTCCATCTGTGACCATGACTCTTGGCACTCTATAAAAGTATTTGAAAGAAGAACTGGGTAACATTATTGGATTGTAAAATAATATGCTCCAGCCTCGGTACATTCGATTCTGGACTCAATGGAGGATATACACAAAGTTTGTGAGGTATAGTTTCGGATTGGCCGTAAAGTGTGTTGTCAATGCGAGAGGGGCGGGGTATAGGGGGGAGGAAAAAATACACGAGGGAGTGGGCTCAGAAGGGAAATGATAGAAATTGCAATGATGAAACACGAACCATAACTTTTGAAAATACTTTCTCCCAATTCCTTATTCTCTTTTCTTTCTCGACTCTTTCAGACTGAACAAAGCAAAAAAATTAACATAATAAATACTTTACGTAGTTGCAAGTATACACAATAGCAAATACGGTTATTACTTACTATATAGTGCATGAAAATGCATGGTTGAATTAGAAATGTGATAAATAGATATAAAGTATATGACCCTACCGCAACACCAACTAGTTCAAGCTTCTTTAGGGCAATATCTAAACGTCTTTGCTTGCTAAAATTATATTATGAAAAAGGCGGGAATTAAATGACGATGTAATTGCAGCAAATCATAATTGGGACATCATAATTTGTGCATAGTTATAAGTGAGTTACAGTAGTCAAGCTTTTATTACACTCTGGTATGCTTTCGAGATGTGGGACTATTTAGATACGGGTCGCTGAAAGTTTAAAATAATTGATAGCATGCACACATCATGTGACGTTACACTTTTATACCGCTCACCCGCGTAGGTATCGGATTAGTCATCGGGAAGTTAGATTTTGATGGAGGGACGTACGAACTACTTGCCTTTCATAGTCATCGTGAATTTTCTGGAATATACTGCTCTTTGCTTCCCATTGTGCAGAATATAATCTCACAAGGCGTATTAGTTCACTCGTTGGAGCTCTCAGATCAGACGCACTAGTATGAAAACAAAATTCGTGTTTCAACAAGAGAATTAAATCTTTCCTTGGGAGAGGGGGAAGAAACAAACATTGCCCAGATGTTTCCTCGGAAATATGAGGGCATACTCCCTCAGAAAATGTTTTAGATTTGACCGGAGGGTTTTGAAAAGATCCCATCATCACGACTCATTGTAAGAAAGCATGCGTTTGATGTTATGCTGATGGGTGGAGCTTCCTCTAGCTCAATATATGGTCCGGATTCAACATCTACAGTACCTTCTGTAGAGCTTGGAACATGTTAATGTGAGGTTGATCAAAAGATTTGATGGCAACGAATGCTAGAAGCGGAAAGAAACAAAACTTTGTAATCGTCGTACCTTTTGCAACACCTAGTGCACCTATACAATGACCGTGCAATAAAATATCGATAGTAAAATTAAATAATGCATAAAGAAAATCGTAGCAAACCTTTAGTAATTCGTCTTTTATTGTAAGCAACTAAATCAGTGAAATTAATACTATGTATGAACGAGAAAATCGTAAACGCCAAGCTAAAATAAGTCTTCAGTTTTTCAACTGTGTTTGTCTTTTTACGTACCTCGGTTAAATAGAGGTCGAACGTTGAATGAGCAGTTTGTACGCCTTCACAGAGAGTGTTAAACTTATCTTTTTCATTTTCAGAATTTAATCCAGGCGTCTAAAAGGAAATAATTTAAAATTTGTCTTTGCCTTGCTGAATTTCTTACGAATTTGGGTTTTTCCAAATTTGACCGGCTTCACAGGAAAGTGATCACAAATCGAATCTTCTTCAGTTGTTTTGGCATGCAATGAAAGCCAATGTGTTCCAAATATATTTCGTAGGGAATGGCCCGTTCGTTTGTAGGTGGCTAAACGTTTTATTTCAGACTGATTTCTGTTTATTCAATTGTTTTCAAAATTCTGATGAAAACGGAACTTTCCAACAAATTATTGATTTTAACAAAGGTGATTGCCCCCACTCCCCCAAATCTCACTGGAATTTCTCCAACCTGTGATACAGGACTACTGATTCACATTATCCCCAGAATTTCTATAGTGCCCACAGGATTCACAACGCAACTGAGACTCAATTAGTACAGTAAGTTTCCCAATATATTAATATCTAATAATCACTAATCAACAACCTAATATGATTGGAAAGGTTAAAATGGAAGTAAGGGAGTGTTCCCAGCAATCTTGCATGGCTAGTGATGGCCTAAATAAAAGGCTTTTTTAACTAACTTACCTCATTAACCACAACTTCTTGTGGTCCTTCCTTTTGGAAATTGGTTAAACTTTCTGCAGAACCTTCTAAGACATCTACTGTTTGAAAGCCAGAAGCAAAAAGTAATGATTACTGATATAAAAAATGCCTCCAATCCAAATACATGAAATACATGTGGATTCTTATTGTAGCTGTTCTGTGAGAGAAGTGTTAGGATTGTGTTCCACTTTAACCGTATTATTGGCGACATGACGTAGCAGTGCATGCTCATATATTCTTCAATCTTTCCTGGGCACTTGGATAGAACTAATTATGACTTTCAGACTTTGAAACAAAGGAATATGCTACAGTTTGCTATATGATGGAAAAAAGGCCTTAGGCTCAAAATTATGGTTCCATAGAGACTCAACTGTATCAGCTCAATTGTATTAGACAACTAGCTGTATCACCTGGGCCTTGATCCAGCTAGGTTACTGCCTTCAAACCAGTTTAGTGTTCCTATGTGAAAATCCAGTTTAGTCAACCCAAAACACATCGGAAGCGCTGTTCACACTAACCTGGGCTTAAGCATGTTTTACTTGAATAAACTGACCCAAGCTTGATTCAACCCAGTTTACTTCATGCTGTGTAAACTGAGGGTAACAACAGACAACACTGTTTATACCCGACGTGACATCAGCTTGGGCTAGGGGATATTTTAATTGCTGATCTGCGAATATCATACGAATATTTCGATTTCTCTAAGTTTATCGAACGAAGCATATATTTGATGGATAATAAGTCTTGTCTCATCAATGTACAATCAAAAGAATCAGTGCACGGTAGTTAAATACTAAGTCTGAACCAACTTACCACTCTGTGATCGCTTGAGATCTGTAGTTTGAGACACGGGCCGATCTTTTTCAACCATAATAAACAATTATAGCATAGTTAACACTTCATGATACAGAGAAGTAATCCAAACTTGAGCTTTTGAGCACAAAATCGTTTGATACAAATGGCAAAACGGTTCAAAACAATCACACTTAGACTTTGTTACCAACGCAACAGGATAATTGGTGATTGTTACATTCATAACTTATTAACTTTCTCTGCCAGTTAATATAAACATAAACCCGGGGTTTGTCCTAAGTACCCTGGTGTACCGAATGAGGATTCGAAAGCTCCAACGATATGCCATTATGTTGTAGATTGGGGTAGAAAAGAGGGATAAAACACACCTGCCCGTATATAGCTTCATTTACAGTACACTATGCTGAACTCATTGACATTGGCACAACACAATCTGGTAACCAGGAGCCGGTTGTTCAAAAGAAGGTTAGCCTGGGTTAACTCAAATTTTTACATCGGTTTTTTTAATCGCTCGGTTAAACATGTTTTCCCATAAATATTTTGTGGATAAATAGAAGTCTTACTTTGCAAAGTCTTTAACCGAGGGTTAGCGTTAAACTAGCTATGAACAACCGGCCCCAGAGTCGCTACCCTTCAGAGGAAGGACGCCGCACCCAATTCTACCCCTTCTCAGACAACAAAGACAAAGGCTGAGCAGATCCGCTATTCAGAATAGACAATGTCACAATAAAAACTGCCAAGTTGAGCGTTTCGAAAACTTTGAAAGAACCATTTGCTTAATTAATATACACTGTACTTGATATTTTTTTCTCTGTGATGTACTTCGATACTGATGACTAAATTTACTTGTGAGTTTCGAATCAACGAAAAACCGCGACCACGACACACTATATAGTTACTGTAATTGTTGGTGAAAATGTTTCTGTACTTTATGACGAAGAACAACTTCTTTGCAGTATTTACATTACAATACAGCACCTCAGCATAACGTTCATGATCTTTCCATTTTTATACCTTTCATTTAGCAAGAATACAACGCAAAAGACTAACTACAGTTAATGCAGTTGGCCGATGGACATCGCGTATTTGAAAGTCAATCACAAAACACAACTAATTAGAGTGGCAACCTCATACGACCAGACCCAGGGGATAAAGGATACCATATTTGTACTCTAAAGGTGTTGCCCTGGAAGAAGAGAAGTGAACCAACCGATATGACAATCCTACACTAGGTAGTAGCCTATGTTAACTATAACCGCTTGCACCTTTGCAATAATTGCGTTTTTCGGTTTGAAAAAAAATCTCGTTTCCATGCGAATCATTAGCTAATCCCCTCGCATCTTTTATAAGCACGTGGTCTACATGGTCAAAGTTTCCGCGATCAAAGTTGAAATTTTCCATTGGTTAACCTAAAGTTTTGGGGTATTTGTAACCACTATTAGAGGGTCAGTGTTTCCACTCTTTTAGTTCCCTTATATATATTTTCAGCAAATTATTCAAAAGCATAGGAATTACTACAAGTTAGAAAAATACAGCAGTAATCACCATAACTTTGACAATGTAAGCCGGTGTAGCTATTAAAGTCGATGTTTCTAGGCCAAAAAGTCCAATGCTTAATGTGAACTAAAGTTTACCGAACATAACACAAATTACCAAACGTGATAAATTATGTGTCGTCTTCAGTGTGGCAACCCCTTTTTGTGGTCAAGTAACGTCGCTGGCGCATCTTCCGAGAAGTTCATAGTCGTATACTGTTATTTCCTTTATTTCCCTTGTCATTTTCAATATCAATATCAATTCGGAATTCGTGATGGCGTCACCATCCCAGAGAGTAATTTGAGCAAAAAATGGAAATGATTACTGCAGTACCAAACCGACCTAAACAAAACAACCGCAGACGATTCGTCAGGAAATGTTGCTTAGGGTAAGGACGAGGATGGAACTCGTACAGCATTACAAACCTTTTCGCATTCCATGTAAGGGCATTTCCAGTTATAGAGATAATACTGCAAATTCCCATCTCCAATTCCAAACTTTAGTTTTTCGAGGATTTCTTTATTGTCCATGAGATCTAGTGCATTGAAGACGTCGAATCCGGACTGAAACATATTTGAAACATGTCAGCTAGGAAAAATACGTCGTCGATATATTCCAAACGACTCTGGGTAAGAGGGTGCGAAATAGGAATATATGAAATGACCAATCAGAAGCATGCTTGTAAAGCATAACCTTTCATAAAGGCTTTTACTGATGGTTATTCGCCAAGATATACAGCATGGTCAAGAATGAAAGAGAACATATTCAGAACTATGTACGCACAAAAAATCGATATCTGTTTGTTAATAACTTAATAGCATTATTTTAACAACTTACCTTTTTAGCTAAAATCAACGCATGTTGCATTAAATCAAACAACGGAGTCGCGGTACTAACATTATAAAAGGAGTAAGCTGCCTTCAGCTCCTTGTGGAGAGGATGGTTCATTATCGTTGACGGAAGAGTGTAGTAGCTGATTAGATCCGTGATCTTTCCATCTTTGTCCTAAATTTAATAAAAATTAAATGCATATAGCAACATAGTATCACTTAAATGATCGAAATACCTATCGATGGAAAACTCTTTTATAAAAATGATAAAATATTGGTAAAATTTCAGGATACGTTAGCAACAGTGATAATTCCATCAAAGTCCTGCTCATTTTTGTTCTTGAGAGAATACCATTCAGGAAAATGATATTAATCACTTTGTCACATAAACATGTCCGATTAAAGATGTCACAAAAAATTTGATTGGCTCGACAACAACTTGCATTATTTCTAGGCCAATCAAATTTCTGGTAACATCTTGCATTACATCATTTATAACGGTAAAAGAATACTAACCGTAACCACGTAACAGTCCATCACACCTTCGATCGGCGTAAACCAGTGCGCAAATTCGTCCTACAATTAGAACGAGTAAAATATTGCAGCAAAAATGATGCAAAATTTACATACACTTTCATTCTGAATCTTGATCGTGCAAAACTCAATGTGTGAATGAAGTTCGCACATAAATTTATGCAGTTACGTAGAATATCGGTTACCTAAATGCCTCTACGGTAAGATTTACTTACTTACCTTTGTTAAAACTGGCGCCAAAGAAAATTTCGAAAGATACTACACAAAAACGTAAAAGAAAGGCTTTGGATATAGCTACCAAAAATTTCAAAGGTAAAAAAATCATATTGTGTGTTAAAGCTCAGGTGCATTGCTCGAATGATGGGACTGCGTCCGTGCGTAAATGAAAACAATGTGACCATTGAAAGATCCACTTATTACAAGACTAGGACCAGCAACTAGCTAAATTAAGGCTGCTAATTTTTACTAAGGTCAAGCATTTTCAGCTTATCAATTAAGCTTATCACCAAACTAAAACTCTACACTGTCGCTACGTAGGTCAGCAATGACGGTCCTAGGCTTGAGGGAGTGAGCGGAAAATCCATTCCTGATTATTTCAGTCATAAGCAAAATGTGTTCACACACACCTCCTTCACTATTGTATATGCATCATCTATATCCGTTGGTTCAAGAGGACGAAGATTTTCTATAGTGATCTCCTGAGAATGGAAGATATTGTTAGAAAATATAGAAGAAATTGGATCGTGCAGAAATCGCTTGAAGTATAGACTCTTTCCTGACTTACGTCTGGTAACTTGTACAGCTTTATCGATCTTGACATGGTCATATTTCTACTGAGGTTGGAAAATTTGCACTCGACGAGCTTCTTTGGGTTTAGAGATCTGTGCCAATACCTATTATTCAAGATAATATAGGAACGATATTTAGGGATTGTTGCATGCTTCTTTGGGGGTGCTAGAGACAACAGATTTTATTCGACTTTAGATTATTTTTATCTTTAAACTTCTACATAATTTTCGTATCTCAAGGATTAGATAAAATGTCTCTCCCGTGAAGTCCCTGATCATGTACATATTAATGCATTGTTTGATGCATTCTTATAAAAATATCTGTTATTATTAGTAGTACAGAATCATGTAACCAAACCTGCAAGTAGCGACTGGTTTTGGTAGAACAACACCAGCAGTATAAACAGCTTGAAAGATTCCTTCCAAGTTGACTCTTCTCGTGATTTCACGGATGAGCACTGGGGCGACACGTTTCTCGCGCAGTTTCTTGTGAACACAGAGGAAATTGATCTCGACTACCCTCTTTACTCTACAAAATATAGCCGACGAAAATTCACTGAAATGAAATATCCCTGTACGCTTGCAAGGTTAACAGAAGATTTAACGAGAACTTAATATGTCTACTAAACGCAAATACAGCAAAATACAAACAAAAAAATCCAATGTTAAGTTAGTTAGATGGCTCAGTGTTCTCAAATGATTACTTACGTGTCATAAATTTTAATCGTTGCAGGCACGGCGCTGATAAATCCCACTAATTTCTTGTTGCTTGATACTCTAACGCCACAATGCCATTGCTTTTTCCATTCAGGAGGTTTTAAAGCCCTATGTAAAATCGAGATATATTCTCCAATAAACACTAATGTTACAATAAATACACATCCCATGAACATTTTATTCTTGAGAAGAATGTGATCAAGCTTGTAAAGCATATATATTCTCCAATAAATACTAATGTTACAATAAATACACATCCCATGAACATTTTATTCTTGAGAAGATGAACGAAATGCGAGTTGAATACAGATGGGCAAATTATCAATATTACTCCATTTGTTAAGATCTCTTTTTCACCATCCAGGTAACCAATCAGTCAGGCAAAACTTCTGTCAGAACTAACATTGATTGAATATTTATGAACCTTACCATTTTAGGAATTCAGGTGAATAATCAAACCTAAACATGTTATCATCATCTTCCACATAGTTTTCATTCAATAGCACGTACAACTCTCTTAGCTATTAACATAAAACATGCAAAGATGGTGAGTGGATCTCATATGCCCAAGGTTGAAAAGAAGGAACTTCGGTATCCTAGTAATTAAACTCTATTTAATACTAGTTTTGCAAGTAATGTAGTCCATAACTATGTGTAGTCGAGATCACAAAGCAAGATAATACCTACTTCACAGAAGCAAAAAAATTTTGCTCAGCCCAGTAGTCACTCAATCAATTGGACACAAGAATCATGTTTACCTGGACTGGTTGTTCAATATTTAGAGTGTCCCATTCAAATCCACTTGGTAGTGAGTATTCTTCCTGCCTGATCTCTTCAATAGCCTTGTCAGGTTCCACAGGTTCATTTGCCAAACAAACATCAGCTAAAAAGGTGAATCAAGAAGTATGGTTGGTTGAGGGGAGTGAAATAAAATTTGGCGTTTATATTTAGGCAGAAATGTCAGAAAATTTCTAAATCTTCAAGCAATCCAAACAAAATCCGACAAGCAATCCGAACAAAATTTTATGAACAAACTTAAATTGAGTAGAATGAGCCAGGCAAGAAGAGGTAGCCTCACAAAACTCATATATGAAGTTGCATATCTTTCACAGTCTTTCCAGAAACCTTTTCTAGTTCATTGGATGTTTCATTTCTTTTCAATGAATGGCCATGTAAAGATATAAACAAAAACACTCCATCAGTCTAATATTATAAATATGCATGGTTATAATATTACATACTAGTGGTAACAATGGCAGGCAGACAAACTTAAAAAAACTGAAAATAGACAACTGCTTTCTTGATATTCATGATAAAACCAGGTCAATGTAGAAACAAGGTCAGTAATATTTCTGAATTGCCAATACACAATTCAGAAATTTCAAGTCTTCATCTTGAATATCAAGAAAACAGGATGTTTACTGTATGTTTGGAATTTGGATTGATATCAGTAATGTTTCCCAAAAAACTGCTCCTTAAAACTTTTTCAAAAAATTGAGATTTTTCTTGGAAACAACTTAGTAGATTTTAGATAGAGGACTTTTAAATTGCAATTAGATTTATAATTTATCAATTTAGTGTTTAATTGTTACCAGAAACAACAAACAGGAAGACAGGAAGGATGCTTTCACAGGAAATGAAATATAAATAAGAAAATAAAACTGAATTGCTGTTACTATATATGGCTTTATGCAAAATAAACAAAATGACTGACAATATCCTGCTTAAGATGAATGAAATTGTCTGCTGTTAGAGTAAAATATTATTAAAGTAGGTCCAAGTATTGATTAAGTGGAACAGCAGAAAAACTGCTTTTGCTGGTGGTTATGTTTGAGGTTGCAAATCTACTTTCATCCTTTTTTAGAAAGCATGTTTTTTCCAAGACTATCTTTATGCTCTTCCAGCTATTAATGTTAATCCAGTCATGTCCAATTTTCTAAATCTGCCAGGTAATACTGATAGCCAGTTGCCATGACAGTTCTAGTCAGTTCTGGGTTACAACTTAAACATTTTATGCAACCCAAGACTGGAGAAGATATACTATATACTATTGTCAGAAAATATCTTTAAGCGCAATTGCCACACAATGCAAAGAGCATGAAAAATATTTTGAAGATTACAAATTTCATAAAAGTGAAAAAAAAACATTAAAAGGAAGGTTGTCAAAAGGTTTTTTAAATTATTATATCACTAACATTGCACAATTTTTAAATGAGCTCAAATTAGTCTAAGTAATTAAAAATGTCACTTTTTGATATAATATTTGTAAGTAATATTACTTGTTTAATCTAGATTACAAAACTTGATTTAAACGATGTGCTAATATTGCAGGTATAGGATTACTCAAAACTTTGTCAAAATGCAACAGAACAATTGCAAAAAGTACCTCTGTGCAGGACTTTGTTTTTGCAATGCTTTTATGTCAAAACGTACAAATATGAATAGTACAAGTTCAGGCGTGAAATCGCATCAATAAATGTCCAAAAGAAAACAGATTAAAGAATGTAACTAGTTTCAATATCCAACATATCTTATAAGAGCAATCTATTAAATCTCATGACCCTGCATACTACAAATGCACGAGGTAGATTAGTTATAAACGTAGATCAGTAATCATAGTAAAAGAGAGCTAATTACAAGAATCAGGAATTGCAACGAAAACATGAAAACAAAACACACCTATATTATCATGCTGGACCAAACTATAAAGTAATTCGATAAAAGTACTCACTTAATTTTGGTACAGGCTGGGTATCCCAAAATTCGTATTTCTTCTCAAATACATTTCCTTTTGTCTTCCCTTTTCCCATTGCGTCGTTAAATCGTATCTTTCCCATTGCCTTTTGTAGTTGTGCTAATGCCTGTGGGCTTGGTACAAGTGTCGTTCCTTCGTCTTTCTTCTTGCCCTTTTTCTTTTTCTTCTTCTTTTTGCTGCCCGCAGTTGTGTCAGGCTTAGCTTCAGCAGACTCGAGAAATCCATTTGTGACGGGAGTATCTTCTTTTTCTGAACTTTCTCCGCCGCTTTCAACTTTTTCTTCGTCCGCCATTTTGATTTCAATGTTGACCAGCCCTCGAAGCGCTTTACGCAGAAAAACGTCATGTATGCAAATTTGGTGAAATTGAAAATAAATTTGTGCATGGTGGGCGGACAGGTTAGAATTTGGGACGGGCAGCGTGTGTGATGGGGGCATGGAGTTTCAAATGCAGCATTTTTGCGGTTTCTTGGCTAATTATCAGACCTCTTCATTAATAACTATGTTCGTGGTACTACATTTTAAGATCAATGTGTTTGGCTACTTTTGGCAGGAGTGTTCGTTTTAAGGTGGCTGGATCTGTTGAAAGAAAGAATAGGAGTTCGAAGACAGGCTACAAAGTCCACAAACTACCTACATACGTTACGCACGTACACGCACGCACACGCACGCACGTTCACATATACCTCATCTGTGCCTATACAAACACACCACTGACCTATACTAGACTCTGGGCACAATAATTTATTAGTTTACGTACGTGTGCTGTCCTTGTTCATATTTTTTACACTAAAATGTGATAAAACTTATTAAAACATTGTATTTCCATTTTGAAAAGCATTCCTCGAATATCTGAAGTAATATCTTTCCCTCTTACGAATTTAAATCGTCATAAACACCGCAAAGTTGTCAGTGGACTCTAATAAAAGCGCTCAGTCCATCTAATAGAGGTCAGTGGCACACATATACGTACACCGAAGGACAAGTTAAATGCCTCTAATTTTTATGTATACTAAAATATGCGGAAAACTGAGTTCCTCAGCCTTAGAATTACCTGTCGATAAAGTGCGATAAAGTACTCGGGAAATTAGTAAGAATTTGCCAGTAGAATTTGCTACCTCAACTAGACCATGACTATACTAATAGTAGCCTAGTGATTTTTTAACATGATTACATGAAGTATTGAGATATGCCCGCGATATTTGGCGACACTTAGCGACGTCCTTAGCAACGAAGACGCAGCCATTTTATCATCACTTTTATTTACAAGTATGGCAAGCATTACTGCCAAGAAAAACCAAGCAAAATTAGCAGAGGGTATTTACAAACAAACACATTGTAAGTATGCAGTATACTATGCGTTTTAGGCAAGTAATTTGAATCGTTATCTCCGATATGAATTTTTAAAATGGTCAGGAATCAGGATCGGTTTTTATACAGACACACAGTGACACAGTATTTTTTTCTCTTTTAACACAGTCACTAAAACCGAGGTAGAAAATTTGCTAACCATATTTCGTGAGAAAGCAAACCAAAAGGAGAAACTAGATCGAACGAAATTTCGTGATATACTACACAATACCTTTGGCATGACAGATGATTTTTTAATGGATGGAGGTATGGTATAAAGTCTTTTTAAAAACTCATTCTTGCAATATTAGAATTAAGCAATTCAAATTAAATTTAATTCAGAAATAGGTAGACTATTATGTTGGAAGAACAAAAACTAGAAGTCTTCAAATATATTGCCCTAAAAACGATGTATATATATATATACATATATATAGAAAAAGGTTGCTTGTCAACTAGAGAGATATTATTCGAACATAATCACTGCTTTGTATTTTTTAATATCACTTTATTCACAAACGTTTTCGCTCTCTTAGCTCTTCAGGTGATAAAGTGACTTTATCACCTGAAGAGCTAAGAGAGCGAAAACGTTTGTGAATAAAGTGATATTAAAAAATACAAAGCAGTGATTATGTTCGAATAATATCTCTCTAGTTGACAAGCAACCTTTTTCTATATCTACACTTGTATTTGGCACAACGCAACTTTTATATATATATATATATATATATATATATATATATATATATATATATATATATATATATATATATATATACACCCATTTGCAAAAACGTTGGCCGCAGATAGATAGATAGATAGATACTCGAAATTTAATTAGAATTGCATATGTTGTGTAATATTATAATATTATAGAAATCCCATGCAAATGTAATCATATGCAATTCTATATAATATATATATATATATATATATATATATATATATATATATATGACTTATATGACAAATATATATATGACTTATATGACAATAATATTATACTGATGATAAGCTCATTCTTTTGCACTTGCAATGTTTCAAATTCATATTCTTTGAAATGGATCTATTTGATGTCTGGCATAATTAATGCATTTTTTTAAAATTCTTTAACAACACAGTGTTTAGAGCTTTCGATAAAGACAATGACAGCAGTATAAATATGGAAGAATGGATCTTGGGTCTATCAGTTTTTCTAAGAGGAACTATGGAAGAGAAAATGCAGTGTAATTATTTTGTATTGTAAATGCTCTTAAATTTGCCTTATTTTGTGAGATTTCCTTGATCAGTACATATGTACATTTAATCACAGATGTAACCCTTTGGAAAGAGCACCCTGCAACCTTTCAATTTTGATGATGAATGGAGGAGTTAGAAGATTAGTTAGTCTTATAGTTTATCTAGTCTTAGTGCTCACTACCCACCCTGATTGTGGAAAGTTGAGTTATATTTTCCTAAAGATTTACCTGCAGATGAGATTGATGATGAGTGAATGATGACAAGTCTTATTGGATGATTTACCAGCCTAGTATACTGTTTCAAACTACAGTACATAATTGTGCATTTTAAATTCAATTCATACTGTATATCCATACAAATTCTATGCAAATTGCACAGAAACATATTACAGTACCATCAGTACGTATATATGGTAATACTAAGGAAAACATTTGTAATTTCCAACCTATTCTGTAGATTGTTTTGAAGTTTATGACCTTAACAGTGATGGCTACATATCTCGAGAAGAAATATTTCAAATGCTTAAATCGAGTCTTATTAAGGTATGATATTGGTTAGGGGGCATGGTCCTGGCGGAGTGTGGTGGGAGCCAAATTTGTGAAAGGCAATTAGTTAAATGCAACCATGCCTAAAACTCTCATAGGTGTGTCTGTGGTATTATCAAATCAATGAAAGAGCCAGTATTTGTTTTTTGTTTTGTGTTATTAAGTGTTTGGGTAATTAGGTTTTGATTAGGAACAGCTGGTCAGGGCAAAGTTAGGAAACAGTTACAATTAAGGTAAAACTAAATGCTGAATGGTAATTGTTTCTGTAGCAACCAACTGAAGAAGATCCTGATGAAGGTGTTAAAGAGCTGGTCGAAATTGTTTTAAAGTTGGTTGTAAGTTAGATATACGTTTTGAAAACTACCAGTGTCATCTTGTGCAAATATCATTTACATACTGTTATCATCCTAGGATCATGGTAATGTGGGCAAATTGTCGTTTAAAGACTTTGAAATGGTCGTGAAGAAGGAACCCCTTTTACTTGAAGCTTTTGGGCCATGTTTACCCGATGCTAAGGTAAAAGCCAAGTACTGTAATGTTGTAATTCATCGATCCAACTAAAATTATTAACACTGCAATTCTGCAAACAACTTCTTGACAAGAATTTCGTCTATCTTAATTTCATTATTTGCGAATTCAATTGTCTGTGACATTGGCCTTTGAAAATCGTTTATATTACGAGTTTGTTAGTTGAAAATCAGTAAATTACCAGTAAATATATATAATGCAATACATATCCATACTGGATATAAATTGTTAACGGCATTTTCGCTGTTTTTCGTATAGGCTATCGAAGGGTTCAACTTACAATTTACTGAAGCAACGTGACTGCTGGTAGCGATTGTCATTTGAAGATTGTACATAATTATAGTTGACGTTTGCTGAGTGAGGTCACAAATGTGTAGAGAATAGAAATTTTTCATCCTAATTTCTGTGTACATAACTACAATGTCTTGGATGAACTTTGTACAAATACATGTAATGTGGCTATTTGTGTAATGCAGCCATTCATGCAATACTGTTTGTTTGTCGCCTAGCGACCCTAGTAGGTATAGTATTTTTTTGTTGTCTGGAATGAGAGAGTTAAAAAATCGAAGTTCGGTAAGTGATTGGGAAAACGTTTTCCTCCTAAAACGAGCTGTGTATAATGGAGTAGTCGGTAGTATACTCCTCTTCTGTAGTGCCAAGAATATTCCAGTATATAACAATTAACACACTCACAATAATCTTTCTTCATTCAGGCTAATAGTTTAATAGTTAATAGGCCAAGGATTAAGAGAACCAAGGTGTTTCTCGGGAAAGGAAATCGTCTCTTAGTTGATCAGTCGTCTACATAGTTGATCCAGTCGCCTTTCATCAGTAAAATGTACCGTATTTAAATACAGTATTACTATTAGTCAAATTTACAGTATTCAACGTTAGGCATCCAAATTGAACCGCGCGTGAACGGACCAGAACTGCCAATTATGACAATTTGCAGATATCCGTAGGCAAAACGGCGTGTTTACTAAAGGTATACTCAGTTATACTCGCATGAAAAATGAGAATTTGTGCATTGAGACCCACTGGAATGAATATGATTTATTTGGGCTATTGCTTGAGAGTGGCACAAAAACTTGAGGAAATGCATCTTTCGTTGTTCACTGCAGTCATCATACAATGTAGAGTTTTTAAGTCATGTTTTCTTGAAAAAAAAACAGTGATTGGATGTGAGTAATTTTGCATTGTGCCGGCAGCAGACTAATCCCTAATGGTTCAATCGCTTTCAGTTTATGTTAGCTACAGACGATATAGACCATTATAGTAAAAATTTAAATACAATGGTTTAACCTGGCAATGTTCAAAGCATGCAAAATGATTGCTTCAAGTGTTAAAGGACTAAAAACGTTTGTAATACCAACCATAGTGTTATGCAAATTGGCTTCGTATAGATCCAATCAAAATTATTAACACTGCAAACAACTTCTTGACAAAAATGTCGTCTATCTTAATTTCATTATTTGTGAATTCAATTGTCTTTGATATTGCCCATTATTGGCCTTTGAAAGTCGTTTATATTACGAGTTTGTTTGTTGAAAATCAGTAAATTACCAGTAAATACTTATATATAATACAGTATATCCATTACTGGATACAAATTGTTAACGGCATTTCCGCTGTTTTTCGTATAGGCTATTGAAGGGTTCAACTTACAATTTACTGAAGCAATGTGACTGCTGGTAGCGACTGTCATTTGAAGATTGCATGTACATAATGATAGTTGACGTTTGCTGAGTTAAGTCACTAATGTGTAGAGAATAGAAAATTTCATCCTAATTTCTGTGTAGTGTGTACATAACTATTATATCTTGGATGAACTTTGTACAAATACATGTAATGTGGCTATTTGTGTAATGCAGCCGTTTTGTGCTCATGCAATACTGTTTGTTTGTCGCCTAGTGACCCTAGTAGGTAGAATTTTTTGTTGTCCGGAATGAGAGAGTTAATAAAATCGAAGTTCGGTAAGTGATTCGGAAAATGTTTTCCTCCTAAGACGAGTTATGTATAATGGAGTAGTCTGTAGTATACTCCTCTTCCGTAGTGCCAAGAATATTCCAGTATATAACACACTCACAATAATCTTTCTTCATTCAGGCTAATAGTTTAATAGCTAATAGGCCAAGGATTAAGAGAACCAAGGTGTTTCTCCGGGAAGGAAATCGTCTCTTAGTCTTTTTTGCCTAGGTTGATCAGTCGCCTTTTATCAGTCAAATGTACAGTATTTAAATACAGAATTAGTCAAATTTACAGTATTCAACGTTAGGTATCAAAATTGAACCGCGCGTGAACGAACCAGAACTGCCAATTATGACAATTTGCAGATATCCGTAGGCAAAACGGCGTGTTTACTAAAGGTATACTCAGTTATACTCGCATGAAAAATGAGAATTTGTGCATTGAGACCCACTGGAATGAATATGATTTATTTGGGCTATTGCTTGAGAGTGGCACAAAAACTTGAGGAAATGCATCTTTCGTTGTTCACTGCAGTCATCATACAATGTAGAGTTTTTAAGTCATGTTTTCTTGAAAAAAAAACAGTGATTGGATGTGAGTAATTTTGCATTGTGCCGGCAGCAGACTAATCCCTAATGGTTCAATCGCTTTCAGTTTATGTTAGCTACAGACGATATAGACCATTATAGTAAAAATTTAAATACAATGGTTTAACCTGGCAATGTTCAAAGCATGCAAAATGATTGCTTCAAGTGCTAAAGGACTAAAAACGTTTGTAATACCAACCATAGTGTTATGCAAATTGGCTTCGTATAGATCCAATCAAAATTATTAACAATGCAAACAACTTCTTGACAAAAATGTCGTCTATCTTAATTTCATTATTTGTGAATTCAATTGTCTTTGATATTGCCCATTATTGGCCTTTGAAAGTCGTTTATATTACGAGTTTGTTTGTTGAAAATCAGTAAATTACCAGTAAATATATATAATACAGTATATCCATTACAGGATATAAATTGTTAACGGCATTTCCGCTGTTTTTCGTATAGGCTATTGAAGGGTTCAACTTACAATTTACTGAAGCAATGTGACTGCTGGTAGCGACTGTCATTTGAAGATTGCACATAATGATAGTTGACGTTTGCTGAGTGAAGTCACTAATGTGTAGAGAATAGAAAATTTCATCCTAATTTCTGTGTAGTGTGTACATAACTATTATATCTTGGATGAACTTTGTACAAATACATCTGATGTGGCTATTTGTGTAATGCAGCCGTTTTGTGCTCATGCAATACTGTTTGTTTGTCGCCTAGTGACCCTAGTAGGTAGTATTTTTTTGTTGTCTGGAATGAGAGAGTTAATAAAATCGAAGTTCGGTAAGTGATTCGGAAAATGTTTTCCTCCTAAGACGAGTTATGTAAAATGGAGTAGTCTGTAGTATACTTCTCTTCTGTAGTGCCAAGAATATTCCAGTATATAACACACTCACAATAATCTTTCTTCATTCAGGCTAATAGTTTAATAGCTAATAGGCCAAGGATTAAGAGAACCAAGGTGTTTCTTGGGGAAGAAATCGTCTCTTAGTCTTTTTTGCCTAGGTTGATCAGTCGCCTTTCATCAGTCAAATGTACAGTATTTAAATACAGAATTAGTCAAATTTACAGTATTCAACGTTAGGCATCCAAATTGAACCGTGCGTGAACGGACCAGAACTGCCAATTATGACAATTTGCAGATATCCGTAGGCAAAACGGCGTATTTACTAAAGGTATACTCAGTTATACTCGCATGAAAAATGAGAATTTGTGCATTGAGACCCACTGGAATGATATGATTTATTTGGGCTATTTCTTGAGAGTGGCACAAAAACGTCAGGAAATGCATCTTTCGTTGTTCACTGCAGTCATCATACGGTGTAGAGTTTTTAAGTCATGTTTTCTTGAAAAAAAACAGTCATTGGATGTGAGTAATTTTGCATTGTGCAGGCAGCAGACTAATCCCTAATGGTTCAATCGCTTTCAGTTTATGTTAGCTACAGACGATATAGTAAAAATTTAAATACAATGCCGTGGTTTAACCTGGCAATGTTCAAGGTATGCAAAATGATTGCTTCAAGTGCTCAAAAACTAAAAAAGTTTGTAATACCAACCACAGTGTTATGGAAATTGTCTGTTGTTAATGCTTCCTTCAGCTTGTGACTGCAGCAAAATGTTGAAAGGAAAGTGCAATGTTGTTTTTTTGTCAGAACTGGATCAACATTTGAATCATACCGAGGCAAGATTCGCCGCTGACAGAAAGCTTTTTGATTCTCAACATTAAATATAAGTATACGCGTATCATTTGAACTACAGAAGAAACACACGATGACTATATATTTGGTGATGTTGGTCATCGCAGGATGGACAGGTAAGTTTACTACAGAGAAATTTTGGCAGGGGCCGATGGAACGAAGCAGGATAGCGCTTTTCACCCTGCCCGGTCCAGGTCTGTATACATGAACCCTGCATGGCTGGGATCTTATTGTCGATGGGGCAATATGTGTGTTTTTTTCGCTATATGTATAGCGCTATATCCAACCCTTACTTGCTTGTCATAATAAAATATACTTTATATATATTTCCTTCCGTGTACGTATACCCTTATGAAGGCGATAACAGGTTTACTCGCAACGCAACAATGAACAAAAATAGTTGATGTTGAAAGTTGTTTCTTGCAACATTACCTTTACTTTACACCACGGTTTTGACTAACTTTTGAGTATATTGGTTTGTTTGCACAGTGCATGAACTGCTGAACTGCCAGTGCCTCAAGCGAATTTTGGGTTCGAACTTCGAAGACAGTGGTATAATACTGACAATTAAATCATTGAAAAATCTCGTATTAGAAGGTACTAGCAATGTCGCATGGAGATACTCCAAACATTTCACTACCGATTACGCATGGCTATGGGTCAGTATAATTATCATGCACCAATTCAAGATTTTCAAAGACTGTTTACTTCAGTGTTTAGCCATAAACAAATTTCCTGAGGGTGTCGTTTTTCGGGAGCCCCCCAAACTTGTATTCATGAATCATGATGTTATATAATTTCACATTTGCCAGCAGTTGGTACAAACGCCAATCCGAACTGGTCTTTAATATCAGGACGATTAGCTCAACTTGATATAAGTTCGGATGATACACTCTGGGGAGTAAACAGATATCGAGACATCTTTTATCGTGAAGGAGTAACTCTGAGTAACCTAAAAGGTTCATCGTGGACACATATAGCAGGTAATGAATAGCTCGATTGCAATTTTTTATTTGGAATGAAAGAAAAAATCCATCAAAACAACGTGGAGGGGCATTGCCTGTACAATACAAGAAACCTTGCAAACCTTGCAGTTGCACTTGCATTTTCGGTACCTAACAATATTTTGCAACCAAAAAATTTCAGGCGGACGGTAATGGAGAATCCTTAAATGGAGGAGCCTTAACTCTCGCAACATTCCTGCGTGTTTGGATCAAGCCATCCAAACACAGAAACCATCAAGTGGTTATCCTATGTTTTACCTATTATCCAGTTGAATTATATAGCATCTTACTGTAGATTTATCTAACTTTATCTAACTAATGGTCCACACTGTATTGAAGTCCTCACCATTTACGATTGCATGACAGGATATTTATCATATTTACACAAAGTTCTTCGTGAATATTGCATGTTATTTCAATCATAAATAATTATCAATTGCCAGGAAAGTTGATCCAAATCGATTCAGGTCCTCCGGGAATTGTCTATGGCGTTAACCGTCATCATCAAATATTCTGTCGAAAAGGCATTACTTTGCGTCAACCCAAAGGTACAGGTTGGGTGCGAGTGCCAGGAGCTTTGAAATATGTAAGCTGCGGTGTTTATGGCTGTTGGGGTGTAAATAATGCCGACGAAATTTGGTTTCGTTACGGTGTAAATCCAAAAAATTGCGCTGGAAACAAGTGGGTCAAAATACCAGGTTACTTATCGGAATTAGAGGTAATTGCATATTGTTATACATGCAATATGATCATGCGTGTTTGAGTGTTAAATGTCACAACACTTTGGCCTCTACTCTTGGTCGTGGGGCCCAATGCATGGAATGCACCTTTCGATACTAGCTTACCTTCAGTCGGTACCTTGCAAGTGTATCCATAAACGCCATCCTGTTTTTCACTATAGCGACTTTTTGCCATCGACATTTTACTTTTGTTTCGGATATGAAGTAACACACCATCAGTGTTATATATTTGACAAGCAACTAACCTCGTTCCTATTAAAAGGTTTTCACGGGGTTGGATTATAACAAATACGAAGTTCGATTTCGGAATGTAAAATCTCACACAAACCTACTCTAGACTGACTTATAACATTGATTAGTAAGCAACAGTGCCAACAAGTGGCTGCATTTTTGTCTACGATTTCGTGGTTTAATTCTTCAAACTGTGCTCGCTATCTTGTGATTAGGGGGTTTTTAAACACCTTCGGTTACCTATATACTGACTTTGCATGTGTATAATTAAGTGTAATGTTACAGTAGTTATATACACTATTTTTATATTTTAATTTTCTACGAAAAACTACATTAGACCAATTAGAAGGAAATGTATAATTGTATGTCTTTTGTCAGGTGGACAAGGAAGGAAAAGTTTATGGAATTAACCATGGAAAGAAACTTTTTGTTAGAGAAGGTGTTTCATCCTCCCGCCCGACAGGAACGAAGTGGAGATTCATTCCAAGCCGTAAACTTACGCATATTTCAGCAGGATATTCTCAGATAGTTGCATTAGATCTTGGTGGGGCCAACAAGGGGGAAAAATGTTGACCAATCAGGGCGTTTGTTGACATTTTGGTCTCTAGACCAATCAGATTACGTGGAATTTGCAAAATGTAAACAGAAGGAGTGAAATCATAACACCCTGTTCTAAGCCTTCTGCAGCAGTCAATGTTTAGTTTTTCAATCTTAAAACACTAGAATCTGATAAAGCAATTCCTTTTCTACAATTTTGTCGTCGGATTTTTCCAGAATCGTCCTGGAGCGAAAATTATTTATGTTTGAATTATCTGGACAAAGTCGTGTTTTAACAGACGATCAAATTTGAGATTTAAGAGTGCCGGGTTCGATTTAAACCGATTTATGAAAAAAATAACTTAATCCTTGACGTTGTATTTTTAAACTCGAGCGTAATTTATGCGGAAACGCCCCACTAAAGTGTAGGTATACATCCGGTTTACTTCTTGGAATTTACAGGCCTGTATTACCCTTGCGATTTCTGCCTTTCACAGCAATGCAGAGGATGGCCTTTGCCAAAGGTTTATTTTTCGCAGCAGTTCGTCCACAGTTGTTTTATTCTGTTCGTCTTCGGTCTCTCCAACATCGCTATCACTGTCGTCGCTCTGCTCATCGTTTTCATCTTCACTGGGTTCAAAGTAGGTCGCTGGAGTAAATACAGCGTTATTTGCAGTCGTACCGAGATCTTGAACACTCGACAGCAACGTTGCTTCACAAACAGGGCCAATTGCTAATATTTGGCAGAAGGCATTCGATATGAAATGAATGGCCACATCCGCGGAAAACGTTCCAGAGAGGGTTAACTCTTTCGCAGCTGATCAAATCGCACTTTCTATGACAGGGAATATATAAAGTAAGACTTAATATAATTTCAATTTAGTAACTAGTACAGGTTTTAATAAAAACTTTGCTTGTCAGGCAAAATTTGCAGGAGATTATTACCTATATTACGATAAGACATGCATTTCTAACTCTTAAGGGGCAGAGGAGCCCACCGTTGCAAACTGTGAGCTTATATTCATGTGTTTTGGTTATATTATTTAATACCTATGTTGTCTGTTATAAATTTCAGTAGGGTGGCTAAACTCACCCTGACTGGCTTGTAAATGTAATCACCCTAAAATTTGCATCATCCATGGCTCAGTCAATTGAATTTTAATTTATAATTTTACCTGTTTGGGTTTGGGGGATTTTTGATGGATGTAAATCCAAGTGGAAGGACTCTATTTGTCATGATCTTCTCACCAAAAAGGTGGGGTAGCTTCCACTTAGTGGTATGTTTTGGCTGTCTAGGGGCTTGGGGTTGTTGAATTGTTGAATTAGGGTGGGTGTAAATAGATTCAAACTTCAGGGTGAGGAATTCTGCTGCTTTCACTTTTAAGGTGTCAATTCGCTTTCTGCTGTAATTTGGCTTTCTGGGTGGAACAAATGCAGATTGGAAGAAATGGAGTTCATGCTTGCAAGCATCAATTTCTTTAGCTTTGCGTGAAATTTCATCAGCTGTATCAGTTTCTTTGGTTTGTTTTCTCAAGACTGAGTGAAAGTTTTCCACTGGATACTCATCGAATGCAGGTAAATGTTGACCAATGGTTTCAAGCATAGTTGAAGCATTTTCTTGCCAATGAAGAAATGTTGACAGGGTTATTAACAAAGCTTTGTTATAGTGGCGCCTTCGGAATATTACAAACATAACCCAACAGTGAAGTATGGACTGGAAAAAAAGTTCAAATTTGTTACACTTGAAGTTAATTGAGTAGATACTTAACACCAATGGGATATAATTGTCGAGAAGATTTAACAGTGTTAAAAACTGAATATCTTTGCTTTTGTAGAACATCGAGAGAATAAGATCCCTGATCAATGTCCATCCGCCATAAATGATTTCAAGCAATAGAGATGTACGCCATGGTTTTGGTTTCTTAGCCAGCTTTGCTTTTTTCCCAAAGATGAAAGCATAAAGGTCAGCAAAAACATTGTGAAAATTCAATAAGACACATTCTCTTGCATTTAAGGATATATGTAGTGGACCAATCAGGGGAACCACATTTTTCAACACTGTTGGCACACTGGGAGATGATGAATAAACCAACTGTCTAATGAAATATTGCATGGGCCAGTCCCCAACAAAGGGTACAATAAAGTCCTTAAGATAAATTTCCAAGCCACTTGTAAGCATTTTGTTTATAGCTGTTAGTGCATTTTCTACAGATTTGAGAGGTAACTCGATGCTGTCAACCAGTTTGGTGTTATCCATGCATGTAATGTTATGATTCTCCACTTGTTGATAATCATGAATTAGAAGTCGTTGTCTCTCAGCTTCTGGATCAAAATATTTTGATAATGCCCAGCTAGGCATATTTTCAGCATATGTTTTAGCTAATTTTGGCATGTTAATGGAAATAAAGTTTTTCACATCAGGAATTTCAACTGGATGTTTTGGTAGTATATCACTTCCCTGATGTGGAACTGCTTGAATTTCTGGGAACACTTTTAAAAGCAAAGTTGCCATGTGAACCACTTGAGTCTGGGTTTTTGTCTCCGGGCGGTGTTGTGTGTGAATATTGTGGTAGTCATCGATGCATAAAATAAGGAATTGGTTCTTCTTAATTGCATCTGTAATGAATGTAACAACATGACTTGTGTGGGTTGAAGAGGCTAATTTAGTTAATATGTTGACTGTCTTAGGATGTGCAACAATTCCAAGATTCCGTAGAGATTCAAGCCCTTGTTTGCTGATTCCAAACTGCTGCAGTGTCCTGGATAGTGTGACTTGAAATGAGTTGCATTTTTGTGATTGTGAGTATAACATGGTGTAGATTATGACCATTGTGCGCATTTTGTTAAGATTTTTTCTCTTTTCAGACATTGGATCCAATGTTATGGCTTCTTGTATGGATGAATATAATTTATCAGCACCAACATCTTTGCACATAATCTCAAACACATCAGGATCCATTTCAGGCTCTGCCAATTTTGTTATGACAGGTCTGAGTTTGTTCAAATCATTTTTGAAATTTGGATAGGATGCCTTTTTTACAAGTTCTTCATATTTGTCTATTGACATAAAAACACCATCATCTGTTTGGCACTCTTGCTCGGCTGTAACAATTTTGGAATTGCTTTCCAATTCTTGACTGCTAATTGCAATTGTTTGGCTGGAGCAACAGGAAATTGTTTCTTCACCACTCAAAACTACAGGCGAGTTGATGTAAGCCGTTGAAGTTTCACCTTGGGAGCTGACTTCAGTAGTTTCTTTTTCAGATTCTTGCCTGTTCATCTCGTTTTTAGCAGAAGATTCCAATACCACAAGCTAAATTACAAGTGTGCTTAATTGACTTTTTTTTCTCTGAGGGCCATACTAATGGCCATAAGGTAATTATATGGTTTCAGCTCTTCACCTACACACCCCACCCACTTATTTCTAAAATGTAAAAGTATGGGCATTTACAATGTGAGGGCCCAGAGTATGTTGTCATTCTGTAATAACGGATTTTCTTTGATAATTACAGCAAGTTCACTGATCAGTTTAATGCTTTTTGTAGGTCATACCTGGCTTTTCACGTTGTTTTTCAACTCGTCGGCTTGTTGTTTAGGAAGCAATCGCGTAAATTTCCTTTTCGTGAAGCATTTGTGCAGGCATGTTGCACATAGATTCTGGATTCCATAAGACGATTTTTCGCCAAGTTCTTCCTTAACATATTGCTCAAAAACTACTGAAATTACAAGCAGGCCACGATTTCTTAGATTTAAAACCTTTTCTCCTTCACGCCCCGACCATTTTTTATGAAACGGATTGTTGCATTGCTTTTTAAATTTTGGCATTTTGACAGACTTTATTCACTTTAACAATTTGTAGTATCCTTTTTGCATACGCTGAGAAAAAAGAAACATTTTCGGAAAAAGCGCGCGATTTTCCCCGCTGTATACGATATAATATTCATAATATTTTAAAAAGTAAGCAAAGCAATATTTGTTAGTTATAATGTAAATATACACTCTTTGTCATATATTATTTAGTTAACGTCTTGGTAACCATTATTTTTTAGAGAAATCAGTTTGTAAACAATGCAATTTCTGTAGAGTCTAGAGACAGGACTGGTGATCTACACTGGTCATGCCGTGACAATTCAAACATAAATAATTTTCGCTCCAGGACGATTCTGGAAAAATCCGACGACAAAATTGTAGAAAAGGAATTGCTTTATCAGATTCTAGTGTTTTAAGATTGAAAAACTAAATATTGACTGCTGCAGAAGGCTTAGAACAGGGTGTTATGATTTCACTCCTTCTGTTTACATTTTGCAAATTCCACGTAATCTGATTGGTCTAGAGACCAAAATGTCAACAAACGCCCTGATTGGTCAACATTTTTCCCCCTTGTTGGTGGGGCCATTTATTCTTATGGCGGTGTGACTATTTTCATTCACGGTGAGACGAACTACTGACTGTAGTACAGTATATATAAGAACTACAACAACAACAACAACAACAACAACAACAACAACAACAACAACAACAACAACAACAACAACAACAACAGCAGCAAGTCAGAATAAACTATCAATTTTAGGTAATTGGCCCATAATCCCAGGACATTTGAAACAAATTGACCACGGGGTAGCAAATGCGGTGTGGGGTGTGAACAGGCATGATGCCATATTCCGTTTAAAAAGCCCGTTAAGTTGGCAACATATACCAGGAGCTCTCGTTCACGTATCAGCAGGCGAAGCAGGAATTTGGGGAGTGAACAGACATGACAATATTTACTATCGAGTTGGGGTCACTGAAGGGAAGCCCTCTGGAAAATCGTGGCAACACATATCTGGAAAATTGAAGCAAATTGATTCCGGACCAAGTGGTATAGTGTATGGTGTGAATGTTGCAGATCAGATCTACTGTCGCACAGGGATCGAGTATGGTAAACCGTTTGGTACTGGTTGGAAGCGCGTTTCTGGTGCGCTGAAATATATTAGCTGTGGTGTTCTGGGTTGTTGGGGCGTAAACAGTGGAGACGACATATTCTATCGCTCTGGGGTAAGCAAGGAAAATTGCGCTGGCACAAAATGGATTCACGTTGGTGGAAAACTAAAACAGATCGAAGTTGGTGCAGCTGGTGATGTCTATGGCATTAGCTCTGCTGGACAAGTTTGGCGTCGTACTGGTATCACCGAGTTACGTCCCTTAGGTACCCGTTGGCAATTAATTCAACAACATGGTTCCCACATCACCACTGGGGTGAATGGCCAGTATCTGTTGGTTGATGGTCAAATACATCATAATGGTGGTAGGTTACCTGATACTCGTTTAAATTTCGGGATAAAATGTGCCACGTATAATGATTCTTCCCAGTCAACACTAAAGCCCTTGCTTAATAGTGCGTAATAATTAATTATAAACTACTCTTCTTTTAGGTTGCCCAAGATGTTCTTCCTAAACACCAATATTTCTTTCCATTGATGCATGGTAACACGGACTCGGATGAAATGATAATTGGATACTATTAAACGTAGATTGTAGTTGAGAGGAAGTTATTAAAAGCTGTAGAGTAATACACAATACTGTAAACAGTGATTTGGAAAAGCTAGTGACTAGTGTGTTCATTGAAACACTGTTATAGCTATCGTTAATTAATTTAGAAATTGCGGCTAAAAAACTTCAATAATTATACTCCATTAATTTTGTTCCATCTTTTCCATTTTTCGTTCCATATTGTTAAAAGATAAATGTTGTCGATAAAATTTTGGAATTAGGAAATAGCCACTCACATTCGAATTGAAGGCGAAACGCTCTTAGTAGGAAATTGCTGGAGTCTGTTTCGGTGAGACAATATTGTTTACAGTGAAGCGTAATGAAAATTTGGACGCGGTCAAATCGGCCTAAATTTATACTAGTGGACAAAACACTTCTCGACGTTTCGACCTGACTGAGGGCCTTCTTACTAACTTTCCTGACGAAGGCCCTCGGGTCGAAACGTTGAGAAGTGTTTTGTCTATGTTAGGCAGTTGTTATACCACATTTGATGCTAATTTGTTTGAAGACGCTGCCACGCTGCTCCCTTGTTATATTGGAACGTATCTAAATTTATACTAGGTTAACCCAGGACGTGTTCGTTCACCTTGCCGCCTGGGAAAAAATATAGTAATGATTACGCCAGTGGCTGTATGGTGAGAAAACAGTGGAGAAAACAGTGGGGAAAAAAATGAAATCCCATCGATGTGTTCAAGACAAATTAAACCGGATTTATATTGCGAAATGTGTCGGACTTGCCAACTTCAGCTTCCCGCTATGATTAATACACCACAATATATGAATGGGCTCGTGACCCGGGTACCAATAAATCGAGTGTAAGGTAACCAGGGTTAGGCGCGGCATATATCGGGTAAACGCAATATATAGATTTATCAGGATATATGGTGTCTCTGTAACACAAAAAGCCAGAAATATCAGTTGTCGGCCATATCGAGGATTCCATTCCGTATAGTTGCAGCAAATTTGTTTTGCTTGGACGTCAAAAGATGTTTCAGTTCGGATGTTTTGCCTTTTACATGCAACGTTGAGTAAAGTAATATTTCTTTCAACTGTACACAAGCATGAGAGCTCCATGCAAGTCTAATATGATCGTCATCAACTTTCTGCTCCCCGGATAAGGTTCAAATACGGGTCACTGGTCGAAAGACATGCGCTATCATTCTGCATGGTGTCACTTTTCCTGATGCCGTGTGGACGAGCGAGGCCAAAAATTGTAACAATTTTCAACTGAAGATGCATGGTCTTTGAAAATATTTTGTAGCTACTTCAGTGCGCAGTTTTGCAATGCTCTAGTCACGCATCTTGAGGTTTTGAGTCACATTGAATGCCAATTTATCGCTTTGCCACACCTGCCCTATAGAACGTGGCCCGATCTACTTGATCAGGAATGAAGAACATGCGTTGTCTTTGAAACCGCAGTTAATAGAATATACATGGTTGAGGAGCTTAGCAAGACGAATGCCATTGGTAAATTTGACTAAAATACTATAGACACGTGACGAGAAAGGAACCATTTTTTGCATAAACGTGGACAATAACATAGTTAATGAGTTGTATTGTACTTTTATTTAGTCTCCAAACCATGTATATTCTATTAACTGTGTTGAAACGAAAGCAATTTCAACGGAAACACAAAAACACACCCGACTACCACAACGCGGCATATTAAAAACAGCGGATATGTATGATTATTAGAATAACTTAATAGAACAATTAATCTGGGTTATCAGGTGTTAATCAGACACACTTTATACAATTACGCTAATATTCTTAATAAAGATGCCTATCACGGAAACGACTCCCAATAGACGTCCTTTGCGTACTGTTGTAATTTACACCTGTGTGCGAACCACAGATAAGGATACCCAAATGACTTGATTAAAGACCATTTAGGGACTATGGTACGTATGGCACGAATTTTTCGCCATTTATACATAACGTGTAGACAATCACATTGGCAAGGACAGCGGTTATCGAACGTACAGGAACGCGGGTTATAAGATAACCCTTAGCGTTTCCAAAGCCAAACTTTTTTCATGTTCCGACACGCTGAGTCACGGTCACCATTTAAGCCGATTCAATGTAGTAATAAGGGTAGATGTGACTTTATCGTAATTGAATAGTTTAGTAATAATAAGTTGGTCTGTAGGTGCGATTATAGTGATGTAATCACCGAAAGTCATTAAAAGGATTTGAAAAGCCCTAGATAATTAACGAATAATATTTTAACATGAAAAGTAAAAAGAATACTAATCTATAACTGATGACTTTTTAATGTTGGCAATAAAAGAGGCTGTGTAAATATTATTTTATACCAAATGACACTACAGTTTGAATGACCACGGGAAATAGCCAAAATAACTTGAAAAATAGCGTGAACTTATTATCTATATACAGTCAAAGTTCCGCCTTAATGTCTGTTTGCCAAGTGAACCTGATCACAAATGTTTTAACTGGTATGAATCAGTATTGTAATATCAGTTTGTTGATGTACAAGAAAAAAAGATTGCGCTGATATAAATTCTATTCCCAACTGTACATCTTCACTGTATTTACGCCAATGGTAACAAAAAGTGCCCATAATCTACAATCGATCACTATATAGCTATTTGAGAATTTACAGTACTATCCGAATTTGTTACCATTGTATGTAGAAACCCGTTTCAGATGAAATATATCTACCCCATGGCACGCAGTAGTTAGTATATACAATAGATAAAGAGCTTAGCTGGAACTGTTATATATACCGTACTATTTTAGTGCGCATGCTCGCCAAGTGCCTAAGATATTGCAATATATTGTGGTGTGCACGAACAAGCCAAGGAAGCAGTTAGCTTTTAACATGTCAGACATTTGCCGAACATGTGCAGTTTGATCATTTTCTGCTCAATCGCCGATGCCAACAAAGTCCAGCTCTGTATCTATTATCAACTTTGTGACCTTGATGTACGTGCGTACGTACACGCACTCAGAAATGCATTTCTCGTTTTTTAATTGACCAAATAGCATCGTTATGGCATGTTGGCTAGTGTTAGTACACCAAATGAACATTGTAGGTTAATTTCTAATTTCTTCTGCACGAATTGTTTCGTATTCATCCCAAAACCAATAACAGAATTAGTATTGACTGGGTACGAAAAACAAAGATACCCAAAGTACCCAAAGCTATCGTCAAACCTATATCCGGTCAAAAGTGAGGAGATGATAAGGTATATCTATTCATTGTTCAAATATAGTTAAGAATGCATGCATTGAATGAAGTTTCATATCTATATTTTTTCATAAAACAAGTGAAGTCATTTCGTGCCAGCACCTACACGCTCGCGTATGCATAATCGCAACAGCCCTACCGACAAAATTACTGGTCAAAAGACAACATAATAGCATATACATGCGTATCTGATCTGATCTAAAAGTACCGCTATGAAACGGGCGCTCATTACTTTAAATATGTAGCATATTTTCTTCAGAAATCAGACAGCATTACTGGACTGCCATATGACGCCTTACTCGCATGAAATTTATCGGCATCGTTCATTTACATATACTGTATGTGCGCATGATGTTCAGGCTTAACTCCATCATAAACGAATAAATTAAAAACGCTCAAGTTGTTCCCGGTTGTTGAAAGAAGTATTGGGCAATGTTGTTTAGCACCCCACAGACATGATTCTCAACAATGTTGTTACAACTTGTCAAGGATGAACAAGTTGTAACAGCATTGTTGACAACCATGTTTGTGGGGTGCTGCACAACATTGTTTAATCCTGTTTTCATCAACCGGGAACAACTTGAGCGTCTTGAGCATTTTTACAACTCGTACATCCCACCGAAGGTAGAGTTCGAGGTGCATAGCCCTTGGTGCAAAATGGGTCTTTACAACAGATGAGATTTATTTTCAAAACCTTGCAACGGTTGCTCATAGTGCTAGCACACACTTATCACTGTTTGCAGTGTACGTAGTGCGGGGTTCACAAGTTACGGGGTCATCACTTACATCTCTTGCGAGTGATATTTGGTCGTAAATTTTAACTCTTTCCTTAAATATATCTTATCGCATAACCGATCTTCATTGAATTGTTGGAATTTTCAAACTGCAACTAAGCATGTCTTCAATACAAGCGAATCAGGTCCGTCTGGACTGTCTATGAAGCATGTCTTTCATGTCATTTTCTTATTCCTTGGTTCCTAGAGTTATTCCGTGGTTTCCCGTCCTTATTTTCTGGTTCCTCCTTACCATTCCTTGGTTTCCTGATCCCATTCCTTGGTTTCCCGTTCCTATCCCGTGGTTTCTATTTTCTGGTTCCTTATTACTATTACTCTGGTTCTACGATCTCATTTCTTGGTTACCCGTTCCTTTTCAATGCTTTTCTGTTCGCATTTTCTGGTTGCCTGCCCCATTTCTAGCTTAGTTCCCCCGCCCGCTCTGATTACGCGATTCCCCCGCTCTCTTGACTCCCCGTTCTAATCCCTTGGTTTCCTGCTCCCATTCTCTAACCCCCCTTCCCATTTTCTGATTCCCCGCTCCCATTCAGTCCTATTCCATGATGCGCTGTTTCCATTCCCAATCCCTGGATCACCGTTCCTATTCCGTGACTCCTAGTTTCGATTCAATGCATGGTACCTACGTTCTCAAGGCTATGTCCTTTTTCCCTCATTTTTAGATATACAGCCATACACCATATGTAGTTTAAACTGAATTTGTGAGATATCAATTATAGCTCAATAATATCACGAAAAATATCATTTCTGATCGTATGCTATGAATTGGCGAATCGTAAAAATTGTGTATTTTGGCACTGGTTCGAAGTTTATTTCAATGGTTTTTGACTAAAGTTTTGTGATATTTAATGGACGGCTTCCTATCACTAAATTTCATTGCAACTGCAAACAATGTGTATTTTGGCACTAGTTAGAAGAATATTACAAAGGTTGTTGACGAAAGTTTTGTGATATTTTATGGACGGCTTCGTATCACTAAATTTTATTGCAACTGCAAACAAATCAACCTTTCCAGGTGACGATTGAAGCACTATACTAGAAAGAAAATTTCTGTGATGACCGGCTTGGGTCGTGGGCGAAGTGTTAATGACTGAGTGTCCTCAATGTTCCAAAATGATCACGCAAGAAATAATTTCT